GATTGTACTTCGTTCAGTTACGTATTGCTCTAACCCCCTAACCCTAACCTAACCCCTAACCCTAACCCTAACCCTAACCCTAACCCTAACCCTAACCCTAACCCTAACCCTAACCCTAACCCTAACCCTAACCCTAACCCTAACCCTAACCCTAACCCTAACCCTAACCCTAACCCTAACCCTAACCCTAACCCTAACCCTAACCCTAACCCTAACCCTAACCCTAACCCTAACCCTAACCCTAACCCTAACCCTAACCCTAACCCTAACCCTAACCCTAACCCTAACCCTAAAAAAGCTTAAATACCTAGAATAAATAAACTTAACTTTATATATAAACTTAAACTTAAACTATAAAGTGCTATTACTAGTATAGAATAACTTTATATAAAGGTAACTTTACTATAATATTTTTTAAAGAAGGATAGCTTTATATAAAGGTATAATATACTATAATATTCTTTTTAAAGAAGGATAGCTTTATATAAAAGTATAGTATACTATAATATTTTTTAAAGAAGGATAGCTTTATATAAAGGTATAGTATACTAACCCTAAGTTCTTACCTTAATAATATATCCTAACTATAGATATAATTAGATTATATAGTACTCTTACCCTAATAGTATATCCTAACTATAGATATAACTAGATTATATAGTGCCCTTACCCTAATAGTAGTAATAGGTATAGTGGAAATTGATATTTATATAGTATATAGCTTATATAGCTACCTAACTTTATCCTGATTAGCTACTTGAAATCTAAGGTTAGAATTTCTAGTAACTTTAACTTACTATTATTAATTTAATAGATATTATATAAAGGTAATACTTAGCTATTAAATACTTTAAGAAATCTAGTTTATTCTTATATAGGTTTTGAAAAGGTATATATATAAAAATGTAGAGTTTATTTTACTATATGAAAATAAATGAACTCTACCCCTATATTTTTTGTAGGGAAATATAGTACTATATGATTTAAATGAACTCTATATAGAGTTCATTATAGAATAGGTGATAGGATAGCTTTCAGCTAGTGCTACCCTATACCTATTATAATATTTAAATTAACTACTAGAAAGAATATAGAACTTCCTTTCCTCTAAGGTCTACTTAGTTCCTTATATAGGTAGTGATCCTATCCTAGCTGCTATACCCTCTAGCGGCTTTCTGAGGAAAGCTGCCTATAGTCCTGGTGGCTGGTATGTCTGGGGCCGCCCTGGCCGCTGGCGGCGCGGTCGGCTTGTTACTCTGAACTTTTACACTTTACTACTGTTCCTCACCGCCAGGCCTCCCTTCCGGGTCTCCTTTCCGGCTGGGTCTTGACAACCCTTAGTCTCTCTATTACCGCTAAGATCTATTATGATGGGAAATCGTTATGTTATTAATGAATCGTATATAACCTAAAACCTAACTGCTTTTAAGCCCCCGTAGAGTCCTGCTATTGTTAAATGGCTTCCCGCTTAAAAAGTCTGCATCTCTCATGAGCTCGTCCGCCCTATGCGCGCCCTTCCGGAGCATCGCGTACCCATCTAGTGTGTCAGCAGGCTTTTCACGGAAGCCATAGCACATTCCCAGACCAGCCGATAGCAGCGACCACGCGCAGAGCATTCCGAAAAGAACGTGTCCTAGTCTTCTATCCGGCACCAGTGAGGCGACACTTAGAATCTTACCCTTACGCGACGATGTCAGGGCAGGCTCTAACCACTCGCGCTTATGGCCTGAGCTAATGCCGTATATGAGGTCGTAGGCATCTAAAGCGTATGCCAGACTCACTGAACGCAGAAGGGCTTGGCTGTCGATAAATTGTGAAAAAATGACTGTTGGACTGGGGCCGTCGTCCGGGCAGACCGCTCGCCACAAAATTCCTGTAAAACTGGCCGTGCAGCATTTGTGTAGCAGTAGTTCCAAATCTCGATGGGCCAAAGTCATGCGCCGAATCAAAGATGGGGTCTAGCCGCTGGAAATCACGAAAGGTAGACGTTGCGCCATCTATCTTTGCCGTTCCCGTCGTCGAAGTCGAGACACATCGAACTCCGATAGGGGCAGCGGCTCCTAGTCCTTTGGTGGGAGCGTGTGTGATTTCTGTCAGCTCCTTAAACTGGCTCACATCGATTCGCCGGCCCTCTTCCGTTCCTCTTGCAAGGAAAAACGTGGTGTTGAGAGCATATGTGCCATTATCCAATTGTACCATGGGGCTGCCTATATCTTCAATGAAGGTCCCAATGGTGGAATTAAAAAGAAGCCATCGTCACCATAGGATCGCTCAGTGCGGTACTGCCACACGGCGTACTCGAACACGGTTGGAGTGATCCCCCTTTCAATGCAAGGTCTGTGTCATCACTGTTGTACCACGTCTTCTGCAAGGTTGAGCGGCTCACTCCGATTTCAAAATACGCTTGAACGTTGAGCAGATTGTATTCAATCGAGGTGGTATTCCATAGAGTAATAACATCGCGCAAAGGAGTTGTCAATTTGATATGCGAGGATGCGGTACTACTAGATGGATCGAGTGATGAGGTGGACTTTTGGCTTAAAATAGTAAACTCGGATGCCGTCCTGACAATGGAGCAGTTATAGCTAACCAGTAAGCCCCATGCCTTGCCGGATACCGGTGTGTTAGCTTGCGGCGCGAGAAAAAGCTCCGGGGAGGATTCGGATAGGGGAAATGTATTTGGCACACTGTCAAAACCAGCGTGCTGAGTCCGGTCGACGGACAAAGCGGTATAAATGATTCCAAGTCCCGGCAGTGTTGGAATGTAGCCGACCCGCCATGCTGTCTGTGCTGGGTGATCATCATCTTTGGATTCGTATCGATCGTTCATGGTACTGCTGTTTCGTCCACGGACATAGGGGGCATCCGGAATTTTGATATAGCCATCGCTAATCTCAAAGGTGAGGCCCGATAGTGGGAGGACAATGAAAGGGATAAAGCTGAGAAAAGCGAGGAGCACCCATAGTGGGTAAATCCTCCGCTGGAAGGCGGCTACAAACCCCTATACCAGCCTGAAGGGCTATTCCAGGTATTGTCGGAGTGCCACAGGACTGAGACTAAGTTTGGCGCCGCCCAACGACGCGAGTTAAGCATAGAGGTCTCGAGGCCGAGGAGCCCAAACTTTGACCATGATAGACCGAAAACGCCCACGATGAACCACGAGTAGAAGATGACGGAGCCCGAAAATGTGCGGTATTTAGCGGCTTTATCGCTCCGATTTTCCTGCAGCAGGTAATACCATATAACGCCGTAATACGCAGTAATAATAGCTGGGATAAAGATGACGGCAAGTGGCCGGGTCCAGTAGCGTTGTAACTGCTCCTTTTGAACCTTCCCTTCTAGGCTCTGCTCCTCGACTTCCTGGTCGTCGGCCGTGTGTCGATGCTTGGCGGCCATGATCTCGATTTCGTCTGAGGAGTCATGCTGGCAACGAAGGTAGTTTCTTGTAGGCCTTGACATTTCGGTGAATGGTATGGCGACGGATAGCAACTCTAAGATGATGAGAAAGGGCCTGCATGCAGGAAGAATATGAAGAGAAAATCCGGAGCCATGGTATCCCTCTTCGGCGCTTTATACTTGGTTTTGTTCTTAAGGCTACTTGAACCCTAACCCTAAGCTTTAGCGCTCTTCATGGATGGTAGCGTACCCCACCTTGGCTTAATAGGTCAGGCCTCGCCTTGCAGCCTGGTCGAGCAATCCATTTTTGTATCAGGTGCTACGGAAACAGCCATCTCTCCCAACAATCATTGTGCTGTCGAGATTATACGAAAAGGATGCTTCTCGTACTTGACGCCTCGGCGCCTCACCGGCAGTGACATCACAGTCCATCGGTCGCGACCTCCCAGCCCTTCTGCATGTCGATCCAGGAGTGGCAATGATTGATTGAGCGTCGATGTTGCCTACGCCTATAGTATCTACCAATCACCGCATCGGCGTCTAAGTATATACCTTAATCAGAAGAGAATTCCTCCTCTTCCGTAAGAAAGCAAGAAAGTCCCCTTCGTATCCAGAGCCTTAAGGAAGGAAACATGAAGGATGAAAATAGATATGCGGGGGCACTGCTCGGAGGAGCTGAAAGGTTGGTTTTGTGATACATCCATAGATGGGTGTATCGACCAATCGCAGATACCGAGATGCATGCCTACCACATCCCGGAAGGTATATAGTAGTCTAGGCGCGAGCCTTGCGGAAATATTGACTTTGACTACATATACATGTGGACTTTAGATGGCCAGCGGCGCGGGCCGTGACCATACAGTGCGGGATTCTCTTTTAAAATTAGAACCCTTTCACCTAAAACCGAGATGTAAATTGCGTGTCCTCGTGACAGTCTATGGAATAAGGGCGTCTTTTTATTTTTACTTTTTTATATTACTTCTATCAGTATCTTTTCCCCCTCTCTTTCTCCATCTCGACCACCTAAGCCTCTAGTTCACCCTGAACAAGGGTGAGTCTTTCCCTATTATGCGATTGCGGGGAAGGGGGAGGGTACTCCTTCAGGAAGTTATGCGTGCTGGTTGTGCAGCGTTTTGAATCTTTGCTTAGATCGAAACAAGAGGTTATATATACGCTAGGCTCATATTTTCGTCCTCCCCCTCCCCTAATAGATTGAAGAGTAATATAGAGCGGTGCCGGTCGACTACACATCGGGCTTATTCGGGATAAACTAGGATCCCAGAAGTCCTATCTAGATAAGGATATACTTATGCTAAAACCGGCCGGCGAGCATAGAATAAAATTCGGGGATGTGCAAGTAAAGTGCCATTATCAGGGTTTAAGTGAGTGGGAAGGGTAAAAAACTGGTTGCTAGAATTGCCTCTAGAGTCTCTACCTAATTGAATATCTATTAAAACCGCGACCTCATAGCACCGAGAAGCAAGATAGTGTTTTAGGCTATGATCTTGAAGTTTTATATCTGGGGATCGGCAGAACACAGGTAAGTCCTCATTCCTTTTTGTCGTTAAACATGTTTTATTCTTCGTTTGAGAGGGGTGTTTCAAAGGGTAAGTTCCTCAAGGATATCAGCTCCTGGGGGCTTAAAGCCAGGTGAGGGATGGGAGCGGTGGCGTGGCGAGTTTCTTTATCAAGAGACCAATCCTAGGCTATAGCCTATGAGTTATTAGGGGCCTGGAGAGGATCGTCGCCATCATACGTGGGCAGCCTAGGCGACTGGAGAGTTACACCTACACAGGAGGGGCTAGCAGGCTTCAGAGTTGCTGCTGTTAATATCCAGTGATGCGCAACACCCTTCATACTATTCTTAGCAATCGGGGGTTTCCTTGTTGGTTTCTAGGGCTATGTCTCTAATTAGAGGGCTGGAGGGACACTCCTACCCTGCTATGAGGAAGGGATCGAACGCAACTTGTGACTTCAGGTTTGGCGAGAGGGTACATATCTGAGAAGGCTTACACAGTATACAGTTAAAGTGATTTCAATAATTCAGACTATGGTACCTGCTAGACAAAGCCCCGGATCCGCAAATCACAAAACAAAAGGGATTATGCTAAGTCAAAGCCCTAAGTTGCTTTTCGGGCCCAGCCCAACTTAGAGCCTCCCAGCATCCCAGCACCAAAGCAAGATAAGAGAAGCCCAAGGGAGGCTCATACCTCATGGCATCAGGTGGCCTCTTCTACCTGCCTAGCGCGTGAAGAGGGAGGTTCCCTGACATCATCAGCTCGCATCAGGCATCTATGAAGGGCGTAGGGTGTCCTCCTGAACAGACGGCGACACCATAAAATCACTCCCATCTAGTTCACCCTAAACGTGAAGTTAGGGCAGGGAAACTTTTATTAGAGGCGGTGTCTTTCTCCAATGTATGAATCGATGGGGAAAAAGACGCCTCGTGGCTCAAGTCAACGTTTTTAGCTAAACTGCCCACAAGTGAGATTAAGAAGGGGTCGTTTTAGCAACACACCTAATAAATGCTATATCTATTAGCTATAAAACTATAGAAATCTCAAAGAGAAATAGATCCTAAGAAGGATCTAAGCAGCAAATACGAACAGCACATTTACCCCCGAATCACATCTATTCAAACCACCTGCTACTAGCATCTTTATCGGCAGAAACACATGTAAATTGCGACGAATGTCCCAATAATCGTTGCTATTCCCGCGACAATTCCAATAATCTCTACGACACTTAAGCTAGACTTCTTAATGGTAGTCTCTGTCGGGGTTGCAGATGGGTCAGATTCTGCATCAGTGGAGTCTTCATCTTCGAAGCAAAATGACCGTTAGTCCGCAAAGCTACTAGAGTAACGTGCTGTAGGACGAGCTAACCTGAAGGATGTCTTCTAGTCGTCTCATTCGGCCGACTTGTGGGAGCTACTGTCGCGTCGCCACCACTTCCCGACGCCGTTGCCTAAGGCCAGTGGTTAGTTTCGCAAAGGCCGTTCTATAATATGACGCTCGACTTACCAAGAGGGCGGGCTCAAAGCTGCAGAAATCTGCAATATAGGACACGACCGCATTGTAGTTGTAGACTATCCAGGCTTCCTGTAAGCCCACGGGGTGATCAAGGTCCCGTACACAGCTGTCGGTCTGGTCGTATATATATTGGTGTTCCTCGCAAAGGCAAACCATTGCATCGCACCCGTCATATCCACGGGCTACGTCCCACGCGGCGCACCACTGCTGGTCCTCTGTAAGCTCGGACCACCCCCGGCCCCCTGATAAACTTCATATGATGGTCCAAAGCGCGAACCGTGGGAAACCAGAAAGAAACCAGGAGAATCAAAAACCATCTCATCGTCACGGTATATATTGGTTGATCTGGAATCGAATATTTGAAGCGGATTATTGATGGACTAAATAATTTATAGTCGAGAATCTGCTGCGCCGCGGCCCGGGCCGCCGCTCCCACAAGTCTTGTTTCACATCCGGTGAGGTGCCTGGAGATTGGTTCAATCTCACGCGTAGAACGCGACTCCGCGAATTAGGATCGGTTCGCCAAGCTACGACCGTCGCTTTAAGCGCCCATCAGAGAACAACCTTAATATCTAAACGTCTGGCAGCCTCGAGACGTGACTCGATGACTTAGTGGCCCCAACGCCCGTTCCCCTTCGATACGGCATACGTCAGTGCATCGACTTCACGACCTTCATCCTAGGTCCTAACTTTTGAATTTGCCCCTTTCAATTAAGGCATTTAGCTTTTAAAAACAGCTAGCAGTCCTTTAGGCAACCCCTCTCCCTAATAATGACGACAGCACTCGTGTTATCTATTCAGGACCGGCCGGTTCGATCTTGTCGGAGGGTACTCGTTCTCGAGCAATACCCCTAACACTTTACAACATACATAGTTATGAGACCGCTCCTCTTCTATAAAATTTAGCTAGGCTCCAGGCCTCGGTCGTGTCTTTCAATCATGCTTTCAATTGCGATCTATGCCTCAGGTCGCGATAGATCTTCCTACTCCTACGGTTCCTACGTTGGTGGGCTGCTTCCGACGTTTATCCTTTCTACCACTTCTGCCGCCCTGGCTCCCTGCTTGGGCTGGCCGTGATAAGAATTAGATATATAGGGAAACGGAAACCCCATCTAGATTTAGATCCTTCGGGCTTATCGGTTATCCCTTAACAAATCCTCCAACTCTACTAAGGTAGCAAGGCCGAATTCGCCCTTAGTATAAAAAGCGCCAAGTCGTAAAATGCCGGTGGAATTTTAGCAGCTGATTCTTAGTATACCTAAACTAACCAATCATAGCTGAAACCCTACGGCGGTGATATTGCTAGACTGGTTGCCGAATAATTTTAAAGTGAATACTTAAACCATCTATAATCTCTATCGAACCCTTTATAAGAGGCCTTAATGTTGTTATCCTATATATGCTAGCTAAAAAATACCGCAGAGGTTACCGATCAACGACATTATACACTATCTATATTATTCTTAAATATATAGATATGAAGCAGACGATGCTATCTTCGGTGACAGACGATGCGGGACTAGAATCCGAATGTCAGGCGACACGACCACAGGTTAAACAAGTTACAAATAGACCAAAAACCCCCTTGGAGACGCCGAGCACCCCGAATATGGAATCCACTTCATATCTTACTAGCCTTCCTACTACCGATCCTATCCTATCTACTCAACGGACGCTAAACGAAAAATACAGACAATTGTCTACTAAACTCGCTGTAGCTGATGTCATCCGCTGGTCACCACTTAAGCCGGATTCAGAGTGCCTTTTAACTATGCTCCATGACTGTGGTCTTCTGGATATATACCAATTTCAGATGGAACTTCACCAACCTTTCAGATCGCGTCGTCTAATGGCCGTCCACACCTCAGAATGGCAGGCCACGCCGGCGACCCGTTGTGCCACAATGAAGCTACCACAAGGTCGAAATCCGCCGCAACGGAGGAAGCGTAAACGTCATAACGATATGGATCTCCCAGTCGTTGGCTATACGGTTTCCAGTAACGCTAGGCCGAGTACAGGTAGGACTGACTGTTTCCCTATGGCCTCTATAGGTCACGGTATGTGGCTCTTACTCGTGCCAGATCCTGAGCGGAGAAACTTCCTCACATATCTTCTCTTATCTAAATAACGCTAATAGAGATGAGAGAAATCAGGGCCACCTACATAGTCAGTTACTAAAGTCGGTCGTATTATGCAACTTCGGATAGCGAGCTGGAGGAATCGGAACTTTTCCTACTAGTGTACCCAATAGGAAGATAGGTCGTAGTCTGGCTAATATAGCCTATGGATAGGTGTGATTCCCACACTCCCTTAATATACAGCTAAAATGATCTAGCATGCCACCTCTACGTGTCTGCCTGTTTTCTCAATTGAAAAAGCTCTATATAGTAACGTTTCCCTATAAAATATCCTGGAAATTGCGTGATCTATACGACTTCGAGACCACTTCGCTACTAGGAAGCAGTATTATCAACAGATGAGAAAATTTCATATGGAACAACTCTACTGGTATGTGAAGAATAGTAATGAGCTAGCTATCTCCACCCCGTCAATGCCATCATGACATAGAAAACGCCGTGAGTAATCTAACATAAGGAGCTAAGTAGCTAGTCGTCTAGATTCGTATATTCAGTAGGTTTAGTGTCTTCCTATCTCGCGTATTCGATCCCCAATGTGGGAGCCCAGACGTGCCTCACAATATCGGCCTCAGGCAACGTAAGCCGTCTACAGGAAATAGCCGTAGCCCCCCTAGGACGACTAGTGCGACTCCGAATTCATCGAAGTATCTAGATAGCTCTACTGTTCCTTCGAGGGAACCTACACAGATAGTGCAAGCTGCATCGCAGGAGCTAGGCCTAAGCGATGAGGATGCGCAGGTATCACCTCACCCAGGTTTCATCGTGACGAACTATTCGAAGCTGGATCGAGAAGTCCAATGCCATCTAAAAGAGCAGGGGTGTTTCCTTTTACCTAGCCAGGACATAATGGACGATATAATCCGCCTATATTTTCTACACCTTCACCCCCTGCTTCCGTTGCTTGACGAGGATCAGTTTTGGAACACATATTCCTGGAAGAGTCACAGGAGGACAATTGAACCGCTGCCATTACTCCTGCTCCAGGCTGTCATTTTCGCCGCGTCTGGCGTAAGTAGAGAATCAAGTCGAGCTCCGATGAATTGCTAATTTGATACTAGTTTATCGACATCGCGACCGCTCGTAGACTTGGCTTTGAAACGATAAGGATGACAAGAGCAGCTCTTTACCTGCGATCGAAGGTATCATATCGCTCGAGAATACTTTATAAACTAGATATTAAAATTGTCTTATTTAGAACCTTTATAAGTTTGGTAGCGAGTCAGACCCGGCGTGGCTTGCTTAAGCTGCGCTATTATTTACCTATTGGGACCCACCTTCGACTGACCCTCAAAGAAGGCCGCATACAGCCTGGATAAGAGCAGCGATTCACCATACGCGCTGTAGCGGAGCGGACTTTTCTGAGGTATCAAGCTCTTCTCTAAAGAAAGGCCATTTCTCTACGAGCGGGAATGGTTGGCGTGAGGCAAGTATGGCGAAGAGACTTTGGTGGTGCTGCATAATACGTGAGTGCTGCATAATACGTGAGCGCACATTATGTCTCCTCTTCCGTCGGGAGCTAATAATTCAACAATCATCTCCAACTCTTCATAAGTTTGATTTCAATCATGAGCTGTTCACCTCCCAGGTATACGACCCAACTACTAAGAGCCTCCTGATTGATAGGCTATTATATTTTATCAAGTTACTTGCAATATTGGGAGACTTTTTCATGGCGGTATCCTCTAGAATACGTCCGAAACATATACAAGCTGATGAGACTAGGTCGCGTGCGCTTATAAACTGTAAGGACGCCCTAGAGAGATGGTATAACGATATGAAAGTAGCTCCCGCACTACCTGCCACGACGGGTGGCAGATGGTGTACTCCCTAAGACAATATATGGGCCTGATTCATATATTTTATTAGTAAGTATTGTCTATACTTTTATCGGAGTTTATTTGCTTATTTTAAGATATATAGTGTGGTCAAATTGACGATCTATCATGAAGTCATGCTTGTAGAGATATGCAAAGCTGATGCCTCCCTTGGCAAATAGATGACTATTCAAACTTTTCACTTCCCAGGCTCATCGCTGCAGCACTGGCTATGATCCTAGCTCGGCCGTCGATGGTCTTTCATCTTAGGTGCCGGACTAGCATAAGCAACATGCTACGGAGTAATTGGGCCGTTTAGTAATCTCGGAGAATATATATAACGCGTCAGATGCGGAATTCAGATTTAGAGACGGGAATGTCTCTAGTCTTACTTATATATCTTATAACGAGAATAAAGCTAGAAATCTTTTAAGGCACCTCTACTTTCGGACCCGTACTGAGATGAGACCTCGAATTATTAATAACCGATCTTATCCTCAGTCCCGATCAGGTCAGGCTAATCAGTAAGCTACACTTAATCCTCATAAGTCTAAGTCACATTATAGGGTAACCTGACACCTAAGCTTTGCTATTATTCAAGATCAAGGCATACAAACACTCTTCCCGAGGGGGCACACGGCACTATTATATGGATATACTTGCCGATACTAGTCTGGATCATTGATGTAATCAAACTAAACCTTGATATTCCCTAGAATGCAAAAGGTGGGAGAGGTTCACTATTCCGGAGGCAGCGAACCCCCTCCTACACACCCCGGCCACCAACGCCATAAGAAGTAAGTAATCCTCACGCGAGATGATCCCTACGAGCGTGGCCCATTCGATATTAAGAATATCTGATTCCCCAGCATGACGCCCAAGCTAGTCTAAGAGTCCGAAAAGAAAATACTGTGAACTTAGTAGAGATCGCGTGGGATGTTATCATATAGTCCCATCCTGCAAGTGTAACTCATCGTGACTTGTTATGGAGGATGCCCCATGCCTTATATCGCTCCGCCTTTAGCCCTTCAGTATGATAATCTACGCTGACAAAGGTTACATTCGCTACGGTCCTAAAAAGAGCGAACCGAAGACTAAATATAGACACTATATTAACAGCGTGAAAGGTTTCTAACGCGTGGGTAGATAGAAAAAGAAGTAAAAGATGAGGACCTGAAACAAGTATAACGATATAAAGAGAAATATGAATTTCTAAAAACTAATCTGCTATTAAATCATACCACATATCCGCAGTCTTCTATGTTTGTATACTGATACATATACCGGCACCGGTACGAGTTTAGGTACGGTCTGTTCATTAGGACGCCATCAAGGATTGCCAAATAAAGTAACTATAGTAATCACGGATAGTCACCGCGTTAAGTCTACTTAAGGCTATAGTTTAGTGAGGTTATATAACGGATTGTTCACTTTATATAGAATAATATCACGAACGCTATTAAGCCGATAGCTATAATGAGACTTCTATGCTGGTTACCGTTACACATTATTGTTGTTTATTAAGCGCCTTATAAATCTGAAAGAACCTACCGTAGAGCCTTCTAACAGTTAGACTGACGCCGTTAGAGGTCTACGTCTAGTGATAGTTATTAAGCTGTATATCCTACATGTTAGTAGCAAACCCACCTCGACGTGGCAGTCATAATTTTCTATCAATGAAATAGGTAAGATGCTAACATAAACAATAATATAGCGAATCTACAGATATTATAATACTAACTAGGCGGCAACCTGTGAACTGGGGATATCAATCTCTCTACTGCCTGTTGCTCACCAGGACGTCTAAAATTCGCAATAAACTTTACATAATACCTGATTCAGAAGCGGGGTAGCTTCAAACTAGGAATATTGCCCGTTCGAGAGTTGTGGGGTAATGTAACCTAATAGCATAAAGTTATTGTGAAAACCGCTAGGCTTCCGTAGTATTCCTTATGGCTGCCGGCTGCTTCGCGGATCTACATCCCTCATGGCGCGTTTTTACTGATCACTGCCCCCTTCCCTATAGAAACTAGTAGCGCGGTTTAGCGTCGGGAATAGTCCCGCCGCGGTAACTAGCTTAGGGCCGAGGTAATCGAGGTGTTGGTCGGCAATCGACCTTGAATCTGAGGGGTGATAGAGGTGCAAAGTTTTAGATAAAGGGCGCGCCTGGATATCTAAAACTTTACACCTATATCACCCCTCAAATTCAAGTTTTCCTGATATTCCTAAGACGCGACTCTTCAATACAAGGCCATAAGTCGAACATTGAGTAAAATGGCTCCAATCACCTTAGGCGATACGGCTGTCCGTGATCTCCGCGCCCTACTAGATAACGCTGTTTCCGACTCTCAAAATAGCCTTCCGAATGCGACTATTGTGCTCCTTGGGGATGGAAAGCATACTGCCACGGAACTATTTGATTACTCTGCCGCAGGCGACGACAGTGGCATAGGAGATATACACTGGATGGCGTCATGCACCAAGCTTATCACCGCCATCTCGTGTATGCAGCTCGTTGAATCTGGAGCGCTCAGACTAGACGACCCGGATCAAATTGAAACTATCTGTCCAGAATTCAAAGATCTCCAAGTTCTCCAAGACGACGGCATCCTCGTGGACAAGAAAAGCAAGATTACGTTGAGAATGCTTCTCACTCATACCGGTAAGCTATGATCATAACTGTTACTGTGCATTTCTAATGACGATAGGATAGCCGGGTTTGGGTATTCATTCTTGAATAAGAAGCTAGAAAAGTATAACGAGTTCTCCTGTCAGATGGATGACTTTCTCCAGCCACTTGTTAATCAACCAGGGGACAGATTCGAGTATGGGGTGAGTCGAGTCAGAGATCAACCTATCGTGCGAGTACTCCTCTAGCTACTAAATTCCGAATAGATCTCTATAGATTGGGTTGGTATTATCATTCAAAGAGTCAGCAATATGACCCTCAATGAATACTTCGACCAGTATGTGTTCCAACCGCTTGAGATCAAAGATGTTACGTTGGTTCCGCCTCAGGAAATGGTAGACCGACTAGTTGGAATGTGGCAGCGTGAGAAAGATGGTCACATTACGCGCATTCCCCAACCACTAGCGAGAATGCTTGATGCCAAACAACGAAGTGGTGCCTTCCAAAGCGGTGGCGGTGGTATCTTTGGGAACATTCGCGAATATGGAAGTGGGTCCATGAGTCCCCCTTCTCCCTAGTTTATATGGAAACCCGATTAACTCTTGCGGAACATAGAACTCTTAAGCACGCTATTGAATGATGGAACCTCTCCACAAACCGGCAGGCAGATTCTCTCACCTGCCACGGTTCACGCGATGTTTCAGAATCAACTCTCGGATCCCGACTTCGCCAGACACTCACTGCCCGCAGTTAAACCAAACTTCGTCTACCCAGCAAATGAACTATATCCATTGACAGCCGCGAATGCACCCCAGGGCTGGGGACTTAGTTTCATGATCTCGCCGGGCCTAACGGGTCGGTCCACCAATACCGTTCACTGGTCAGGGATTAGCAATATCTTTTGGTGGTGTGATAAAGAGCAGGGGGTCGCTGGAATAGTTGCCTCACAAATGTTACCATTTGTTGACCCACAAGTAGGGAAGTTATGGTTCGAAGCTGAATCTCTTATGTTTTCTGAAATCCACAAAAGTCGGGTGGGGAATCTATAGGTGGCATGTACTGATCTATACATAACTTGCACCCCGCGACTTAGAGGTAAACGACGCAGGATCCTGGGCAACAAAAAGATAGATGGTGGGGGCGATCCCTTATCCTATCCCTTTCTGCGTCAGCTTCGAAATAAGCGGCATTGATATCAGTGGATTAAGTCAACAGCTATAGAATCAAAGGTCTAACATGAACCCCTGATTAATCAATCAGTCCTCCGGGTTCGCCGAAGCTCCCTAGTCCCTCGGTAAATGGGACGAAGGATAGCCAGGCCATATCTGTTGAAGATCCCATCCAGGGTGCCGAGTTCTCATCAAACTGAAATGACTCATCTAAAGCGGCCGATTGGTGGCCTACAGTAGCATCCCATAGCCTTGTTCGACCGAAGTCGCCTAGATCAAATATTGAGTGATCCTGACTAGACAAAGAAGTAGCAGCTTCTAGTTCTATGCTACCATTACCTAGAAAGGATAAAATTAGCTTAACAATTGTCCGGAAAGTGGTAATGACGCGTACCCAGCATGCCGGTGCGAATTTCTTGTTCGACTAATTCAAGTAGACGATGACAGCGGCGAGCCGATCTGCTTTCGGTACCATAGCTGTCTAAGAAACTGAGGCATTGATCCCAGGACCGTTTCAAAGCATTTTCGTCGACAGAATTAATATACTTAGGTATACATAGTCGACTCACAAGGAGCACTATAGCAGAGGCATGAATGTCTATACAATGTTAGGCGCCCACCCGTATTTGATTTCTTCACCATAAAGCGAAGGCCTCATTGTTGCGTTCATGGCACAACTAAGAAGGGAGACCATTAGGGTGATGAGATTGGTGACTTACAGAAGACGTTATACCATGGTGCCGGGAGGTAGTCGCTAGCCGATGGTGTAATCTCGGTAATTAATCTCGCAATGCCCTGGGCAACAGAGACACAAAGGTTTGCTGCCCGCACTAACATCTCATGACGCAAACTGGATTCCTGATAGCCCTGATGCATCGCGCTGATTGTAGCAGAGCTTGAAGCTAAATCACACAGTTCTGACAGGGCGGGTCGCAGCAGAATCAATCTAATATGCAAATACCTTATCTCCAAGATTCTAGCCTGCCGTCGGAACAATTTCATTTTTGAACCATTGGTCAGCTCCCCGGTATTGTAACTCTCAACTTTTAAATGATCTGGCAAGTTGAAGCGCCATTTCGCTAGCTGTGTGTCAACCTTTAGAAGGAGCGGGAGATCGGCTATTTTGAATGTTCGAGAAATTCGCGCCCGGCTCTCCCTGTTTGGCGCCTTATAAGCTGCGCTCTCGGCCGAATCCTCGCTGTCATCGGGGCTAATGGCGTAGAAAGAGGCCAGTACACGACCGAGTATATGCTGTAATTTGAGGCCTTCTATGTAGCATTCTACTTCGCTTGGGAATGCCTCTGGCTGGCAGCCCGGACTATCCATCTCCCTTGTAAGAAATTCGTCATCTATTGCAGCGGGAAGTGGCGCTGGTTTCGCCCTTGTTCCAGGATGTATCATCAGCGGACGACCATAAGTGAGGGATAATACCCTAATCACATTATTAGTTTCAACTAACATAGTTGTAAATCAGCCGTGCCTATAGATAAAAACGATCACAAACCTATCGAATAGGACACAGCCGCTCCATGTTCGCCGGTGCATTTCTAGTTGTAGCTGGTTCATCCTTCGATTCTTGCTATTCACGGATTCGTGGTGCAGGCCGATACACTGTGCAGAACGAATGGCTAACCCGACTATATTCCAGCACAGACTCGACATATACGTGCTCTGCAGATATTGGGCTGTTAACAGGAGCGTCTGAACGAGGGGGATGCTACCACGGTCTAAAAGACCGACGTTCAGGAATTCCCTAGTGCGGTCAAAAGGATCGGCTGACTTTGTCACGGTTTTGAGGCTGAATATGAGTACTGAAAAGGGCACCAAGGGAAAAACGCTGTTCAGCATGCAATAGAACAACTCGTCGCCAACAGTGGCATAAAAGCCGGCATTTGCCACATGGCTATCGCCGGTAGAGTTGTTAGCCGGGTTCCAGAGCGAGGAATACCGCTCCTCGAAGGACTGCCGATGAATAAAAGGGTAGATGCAGTGGACTTGGGTCCAATAGCTTTCTAGAAGGCTATCCGCTTCCGTTCGGGGTGGAATCGCGTTCATTCCGTGCTTGAAATGAAAGCGCCTTGGCTTTGGCTCCTGCGTTGAAGACTGAGATATGACGTCAACCGATGCAGCATCCTCTTGGCACGTTGGGCAAGGATCTGAGATGCCTCGGTCCATTATCGGGTTGATGCCGCCGTTGATATTGTTGTTTCGACATCTACGGCATACTGAGCTTCTGGCTTTCCCAATGAGATTCAGGCTACTGGATGGGCCAAAATACCCGGAGTTCTTCCTTGGCCGCCTGCTGGTGAGGCCATCAAGCGAGCCAACAACACCCATAGCATCGACTTCCGCCTCACTGTCGTCCTCTCCTGTGCTTTCATCTTGCGTCATATACATGACTGCTGATAAGCTGGATTGGTGGTGTCGTGACGTGCTGACCCCTAATGCCTCCGGGTCGGCTGGTACGGGGCCACGCTCGTTTGGAACGCTGTCATGTCCATCATAGGGAGCTGGTATAACGTTTTGGTTGGGTGGACGGTCTCCAGGGCATTCGAAAGACCTTACCGTCTGCGGCTCGACAGAGGCCGAGGGTGGGGTCTGTAACCCATCGGCTCCCTCTCCGGCGGAAGGCGGTACACCCCGGTATGTATAAGATGGAGAAGCGCCTAGAGAAGGCACAGGCACTGCCTGGTCGGCTGTGCTCTCTAGCTCCTTAATCCTCGCCTTTAGACCTTCGACATAACTAGGGAGCGTTGGTCAGTCGTCTGTTTGGAAACAGTGATAGGTGGGCCAGGAGCCCAGTTACACTCACGTATTGCTCCACCAACCTTTGCTATTCTTATCCTCGTTCCAGATGCAGCGTCTACTTACGCCCCTGTGACAAGACCCACACACCGGTCGCACGCCGTCGCATTTACGTTTTCGCTCACGGCATTCTTCGCACGCAATTGCTGTACGGCGTCTTTTCCTAGGTTCCTCTGACTCAGGGGATTCGGCAGAGAAGCGGGTGGAGGATGGTGGCGCCATGGTGTCACGGCCGCATAATATAGATAATTACAAAAGAGAGTCCCGTGTAACATCGGCGAGAGGTGGGTTCGAGGATGGTCAAGAGGGTGGTTGGATAATGTAAGGTGGGGAATTTACCAAAGCCCAATAACCCGGAACCACCAACGTCGTCAGGTGACTCCCCGCATTCTTTCCCCTTTCCCCGGCTGTGTGGGGACTTGCTTTCGAAGGATTTGGAGGAGCCACTTCGGGAACAAGCTATTGGATGCGCCTCTCATTGGTAAACGTACTCTTAGCTCAATCCGGAAGCGATCGTCTCATATTATGTGATGAGCCTGGCCGCAGGAGATTCACAAAGTCACGCTATTTATTACGCTCAGCACCGATGTGTGAAGGAAGCCACTACCTCAAAAGAGTTCTCGCTTGTTCGTATGGGTGGGAAGATTGAAACAAAGATTTGCTACCAAGACTACACGGTAATTATATACAGTTCGCAACCATTTCAAAGCCTCAGTTGAGCGTGGAGCCCACCATCCACTGAGAGGTTAACCCCCGTTATTCCCTTAGACATGTCGCTCGCCAGGAACACAGCTGTGTCTGCGATCTCTTCTGGTTCACCAAGCCGATTAAATGGATGACACCCAGCCATATAGCTTTCTGTCTCGGTATTCTCCGTCATCGAGGATATCATAGGAGTGCGGGTGACTAAATAGTTTGGTCGAAAGATTCAGCGGTCTATTCAAGAGCAAATGAGCTTACTCTTACTTACAGCCGGGGAGTATAGAATTGCAATGAATATAGTGAGGCGCAAAATCCATCGCTGCAGCCCGCGTCATGGCAATTACGGCCCCTTTTGTAGAGGCATATGCCGGGGTTCCGGTGAAGCCGAGAACCCCAAGGACAGACCCGACATTAATTATCGTGCCGGCTCGCTGATGATCCGTTTGTCTCACTTGACGAATCATCTGTGCTCCGGCATACTTGCATCCGAGGAAGGTGCCTCGAACGTTCACCCGATGCGTGTCATCAAAATCCGCTTCCGTCGTCTCCCATACAGGACGTGGATGCGCTGCTTCTGAGGCAATCCCAGCATTATTCACCATACTACCAAGGAGACTGGTTAATCGGAACTGCACGTATATGTGGAAGTTTAAGGGCTTGAAGCCGCTTTTCACCACCCAACTTACATGTCGAGTCGGCCGTATTCCTTGACTGCCTTACGCACAAGGGCTTCCATACTTCCACTGTCAGAAACATCCGTCTCGGCGAATATGCCTCTACCACCCATGTTAATGATCAGTTGATGAGTAGCAGGCTGATGAGACTGGGACGCCTTCTGGTCGGCGCAGACGACAGCAGCGCCTTGCTTTGCAAAAGCTAACGCAGTGGCGCGGCCCAGGCCGGAGGCGGCACCAGTCACAATAGCGATGCGGCCGAGGAGTAGGTTCGATGCCATTTTCTAAGGGCTCGGCTGGGTACTAGTTGAAAGAAATGAAAAGATTGCGAACAACAAATGCGCCGGCGCTTTTGGTCGAAGTAAGATGAATAAGAAGTGCGAGGGTCAAAAGATGACGTGCAATCTTTCGCCATCTACATATTTCACCCTTACGGTACTACCCCTACCTTGATCCCTCCAGAGGCTCGATCCATGGTTCCGGCTAGCACTAGTTCAAGGAAACGCGAGCGGATGTGGTCCCGTGGGTTGGCCTAGGGTTTATTGGCGGATCTAGAGCCGCAAAACATGCGCTTCCTTCCCTTTCCTCGGTTCAGGCACGGACCCCCTGAGATCAGTAAATGATCAAATATTAGCCAGCGTTCAACAAGCCTAATCTCCCCACGATCACGTCTCCTTCAGCACAGTTACAATCCCTTTTGACTAAGCAGATGCTGGGCAGGGCGAGCAAGGAAAGTCGTGGGGAATTTTTGCCCGGTAGTTAGCTTTTACATTTCCACACACTGGAAAAACTTAACCTCTTAACAGTTTCATAAAAAAGCTGGGAAGCTTACGTTTGTGTCGTATTCCTTATTGTGCCCTTCCCCGTGAAGACTCTTAGCTTTAAGGTCGCATCATTTGAGACTATTATACCACGGGGAGTGCGGTCACGTTCAAGTAGCTAATAAGAAGAAGCTTCATAGAATCAGGTAGACCGACCTCTAAGCTCGTAGTTCTTTATACAGCACATAGCACTGTGACATATATCTTAACAGACTGTGGGCCGCCTCACCTAATTCCTTCACGTTCGATACTCACCCGTCACGTCCGGAAACTGAAGCATATCTACTATCGAGGACAATACGAGGCGGGAAGTGACGGCAGTTGCCAGTTGCGCTATCGCATGGCGAAGGATAACCCACCACAATTCCTCAAGGATACATGGTCCGCTAGCTCTTTTACAGTGTTAACTAATACTCAAATAGCTCACCGTTTTCCTCACTCCTATCATTTTTTTCCACTCTATATGTATGCGAAAACCCTAATAAGTATATTTGCTAGATTCTAGTACTGTTTTCGGCATCACCTCTACCGCAACGTATCATTATGCCAAAGGCCTAGCAAGCAATGTAGCAATATTTACCGTCCTAGTATGGAACCAGGATCTCCTGCGCGTTGTATGCCACAGCCAAGCTGCGAATATATATCGGGAAGATTTGGCGGCTTCACCTTAAGTGAGGAATCACTCACCGAACTACTTCTAAATAGATAGATCAACACCCCTTACCTGCTCACCCCACCGCGCCGGCATTGATACATGGTCAGAAACGAAAGTGTCAACTGCTCTTAAGCTGGTGAGCAAGGATTGATAATTTAATGTCCCCAGGAGCCTATCGCACCGTATACCTCCTGCACGGTGAGCGTCTTGCGGTTCGCGAGCCCAGCAGAGAGTTCCACATCAAGCCCGCGGACATCAGTCTAGGCCAGGGCGATGGGGTAGTGTATAGCCTCCGGCAGTTGTCGAAAGGGGTTGAGCAGGTACTGCTCAAGCGTCGGTAACCGACGATCCATCCAACTAGGAATGGCAGTTCGCGAGCTACGCCTTCATTATATCGCAGTGCCAAGAGTTTCACCATACTGAAACTCTTTAAAGCCAGATCCTAATTGGAGAATCGGCCGGGCTGTGTACGTAGCAGCGTCCACAGCACATATTGCTACCCCTAAACGTAGCATGGTAATCCATAGACATCTACGTGTCGATCCATAGACATCTACGTGTCGACGCCTTATACTTAAGACAATTATATAGAGTTCTTTGTTAGTATTTCTGTTGGTAACAGAAAGACAGTACAGAAATTAGTTTCTTTAGGCAAGTCCAGATAATCGGCCGAGGGAATATAAAAGAGGAGCGTCACTAAAAATACAAAACAAACAAGGTGGCATAAATTATAAAGTTAGCTGGCCTAATCAAACCTGCTTCCCGATATTAGATAAGAGTTCGGGAATAGCCACGGGTCTCGCTGCGGTGCGCTGTGACCCTTAGTGGGACATGCTGGTTTGGGGTGTTAGCCGGACGCAAGATCTGCCGACGACGTTGGCGCAACTGGGACGTGGGCTCCTGCTAGTTGCCGAAACGAGGTCAGATGAAATAACAGGGCAACTATTCGCACGAGAAAATAATGCCGAGTTTTGAAGGAAGGACAAAATAGGCCATGATGAGGTAAGGAGAAACTACGGGGTTGATCATCCGCCGGGGAGGTATCTATCCATTGATGACTCTGTTAGTGTTGGCATTCGTTCAGCCTACCCTGATACTGTGTAGTCACGTGCTGAAAATTCAATGTATATTTGGCTCTATAGCTCGAAACGGGTGTAAAGCCTTGCTTCGAGCTACCTTCTTACTGGGAGTTTCTGATTCACCAATTTTCAGCTTTGATAAACTAAATATCTCAGCTTACATAGCGAATCCTCCCCGTGCTATTCTGGTATTGTAAACACCATTCTGGGTGGCAGCTAAGGTGTAGGTAAAGAGTATATCAAGATATGCTTACCGAGATGAGACGGTATAACCGATTGGGAAAATAGCATACAACTCAGTATACCAGGAGTGCTAAGGCTGCGGGGGTTAGATCACGCTGACAATATCTATACCTCTATGATGAGGCATCTTTTCACTATGAGTATAATAGGCGCAGCTGAGTAGCTTGAGCCTTGGTCAGCTATTTTCCTTATCATCGCGTTTAGTTTAGACGATGAAAATACGAATAGTCGATTGAGTTAATCTAGAATATATATGCGGTGGCCAGTCAGGAGCTATGGAAAACAGGTGCTTTTTATCCACCGCCACTTATACTATGGGCTTCACCATCATAAACACGCCTCCTCAACGAGCGAGAAGCCGTCAAACATGAAGTTGACCTGGCCACCATTACACGAGCTCGAGACTGATAATACAGGGGCAGAGTTTGTGACCGTTATGCTTCTCACCACCGAAGTCCATTGTGAAACCGGCCCCGGGGTAGGAGTGATAGTCGCTCCTTGTTGTATACCGTCAAGATAGATTGTGAAAGTGCACTTGTTGATGAGGAAGTTCTGGAAAGTACCGAGAGCATACTGGAGATCCAGAAGATAGGTCTCACCAATCTCGACATTGGACAAGGTCTGAGTGAAGGCCGCCGTCCAGCCACTTGGAAGGGTAACAAACCTATAGACATATAGAATTAGCCTCTTATATATTACCCATATTTTGAAGGGGTAGCCTACATATAGCCGTTACCGTCATATGGTGTTTGGGCACCATCGATCCCCTGGACCCAGGCGCCGGACGGAACGGTCCAGTGATCCTTACCACCTACGCCATTCTCGAAACTGGGGTTCAAGATGCGGTTGGTGCAGACGGCCTCCGCAGCCGTCGACGTGGCCGGCAAGGAGCTAGTTATGGGGATATCGGTAGGCGTAGGCGTAGGCGTAGGCGTAGGTGTAGGAGTTGGCTCATTGACACACGGATCCTCGACGATGGAGAAGTTATCAAGGAGCACATCAACATCCGCGGGGAGCGCGGGATTACAAAGCGCCCAGACTTCGAGCAGGGGATTTACAACCGTGGGGACAAGAGTCCTCTCAACCTCGGTGTATATCCCGGGTGTCTGGAAAGCTAGGGGATCTCGGCGCCAACGCCAGTGCTGCTGAGCCTGATGGAAATCTTACAACCAGGGACATTGACCAATTGCGTTTGTCCTAAAGCATAATGAAACTTGAGCTTATAAGACTTGCCTATCTCTAGGGAGGTAAGCGTTTGCCGTATATATCCCCACGTCGCCCAACGGTACAATTTTAACTCTCTGTTACAGTGTATATTAGTTTATGGCCGTGTAATAGGTAGAGCGCAGAGGGTCCAACATACACGTAGCTATCCTCATGCTGCGCGGGAATGGATAGATCGCCAGCCTTGATGGTGCCAGTGGCAATAGTCCAACCGGTACCCTCTTCTTCGAAGCTGTAGTTATCGACAAGATTAGTGCACACAGGGGTTCCTCCGAGGAGGCTATGACGGTACTAGTCGGCTGATTGGTCTCACATCGCGGTACGATGAGAGCATTAGCTCCAACAAACGCGGTAGCGGAGAGGACAGCGATGACAAGTCTTTGGAGAGCCATGGTAAGCTAGACTTGGAGGCTTAAGGAAGAATGAGTTCACAAAAGAAAAGAAGGAGAGAGTCGCTGCCCGGGGAACGCTTCGAAACGAGCAAGCGTGGGAGTCGATTGTTAAAGTTATATCTCATAGTCACACCATGGTTATAAAAGAATGCAAACGCCTTTAATTTACAAAATCAAACGGAAGGCGACCCCTGCAAGCGCCAGAGGAATGCGAGGTGATGCTGCAGCTTCTAAGATTACAGAAGTCGGTGGATGGACGCTCGCCAATGAGATGTGGTCTTGACTCCGCGCTAACCGGGCACTCCAAGTGGCCTGCTCGCAGAACCAGCGGAATTCAACCTTAAGGGGGCGGAATTACGGGTCTTGATGGGGTCATATCCTCGTTCATGAGGGTGGGCCACATTCAGCTGACCCCTGCCAAGGGTTCAGCCACAATCACCGTCCGTGGTCCTCAGGGGAGGGGTCGGTGAATGACCCCGCGTCGAGCTGGCGGCAACGCTAATTTCTGTGGAAAGTGTCACTTCGCGGCTTCTGTTGAGTTGGTTCGTGAAAGCAAAAAGCTCTTTGACAAATGATACCAAATCTTACAGCGCGTCATGTACCTCGGTAATGCCTCTTCACTCCCACTTCGAGACCTTTGTGGCCGCCGAGATTTAGCACGGGGCACCTTTGGGGAGGCGGGGCCTCGACGGGAGCTCGAGCCCAACATGCATGCGCGGGAACATGAAGGAAATTACGAGGCTTGAAGAAGCTGACAGGCGCATGTAGCAGGACTGGCGCACGCAAAGCGAACGTGTGATTCGTATTGTCAGAAGCTAACACTTATTTGAGAGAGCAACGGCCAGTTCGACAGGGAGATTTAGTTTTCATACATTATGTAAAGGATTGCAGAATATCAGAGCCACAGGATTTCGGAATATGCGTCTCGACGTGTCGATTCTCGTGCTGTCTAGTCGTGGTGGTGGCGCGAATGCAATTGCTCCATCATCCATCCACAGGCCGGCGCTCACCTCACAACAGAGTCCTGTGTTTATTACATGCCCAACCCTAAATCATTACTCGTGGCACGAGTATGACGTGATTCGTCGTTTCCTTGCAGCTTCGCGGTAAATAGGTCGTCATGTCCTAAGAGAGGAGGTCCCCAGGACGATAAACTCTTGGCGCCATTGTATTTTAGTGATACCACGATCCCGAGTAAATCTCTAGATAAATTTCAAGGATTTGATTCGGATGACTGAGGATGCCTTTCATGACACTTACGTCAGGATGCGCCTGGCGATAATATAATATGAGACCCCTTAGCTGCTAAGACGGGGTGAAGTGACGGTATCCCACGATAAGATAGGCTTGTCAGCCTAAATTGTTAGTCTCTAGAAATTTGCGTTCTCTATCACTTTAGTTTATGCCTACCTTCCCAGTTTCGAGATTATAGATTGCCTTGTCAAGGCTTTCAGCAGGGGAGCAGCGCGATACCTGGTCGATTGGAAATTTACCCTGTCAGTAGAGTGACACAATCTAAGGTATGAGCTATTAGTCACGTATAAGCATGTAGAGAAAGCCCCTCTCGATCGATATAGAGAACTTACCTCTTGTGGATTTTCTTGCCCTTCAATCACACCGATGACTCGCTTCTCTCAGACGGTGTGAACCACTAGACCAAGTGCAAAAATAGGATAATATTACCCATATTCTTATACCGGAATATGTGATATTTATAGGGTAAAACCCACTTCAACAGCTTCCACGATAGAAGGAGATCTGATGCGCTGACTTGAAGGGTCGCTGTGGGTCGAGGTACTCCAACCAGGGCCAGAGTCCCGTCGTAAGCGAGTGTCTTAATTGATGCCTCGAGAAGAGGTGCAACGCCCGTAGTATCGATTATGTGGTCTAATACGCCGAGAGGCCAAATTGTGTGGATGCCATCCTAGGTCCAGTGTACCCCCTTCTTTCTTTCCACTCCTGCCGCTGCTGTAGAGCTTGTTTGAAAGGCCACCTCCGCGCTGCCCGCATATAACAGAGACCAACTTCATCAACACCGCGCGAAAATCCCTAGATGCGAAATTTCCAATAACCCTGCGAGACGGCACGGCTGTTCACGGTCAATTTTTGGGCAGTCGCCACTCGGTGCGTACGCCCTGGTCACCTAGCCTAGCGATGGATCGTAAAAATCGACCTCCCTGAAGATTCAAAAACCTACAGTTCATGTATATGGCCCCACTGCCGTGTGGTTGTCTAACCGGATCGGTCCTCAACCCTATTCGCCCACCACCCGCAAGCAACATTGATTCTCGGCATGGGAGCTGTAGGGCTCTCGGCTATGTTTGCAGCACAGGCCCTCGCGTTATCTCAAATTCTAGCCGTGGATACTGCAAGCGAGATTGGATAGCTGAACAACAAGGTCCTTGATTATTCGTTAGCTATGGGGCTTTCATAGATCCGTGGACGTTATAAGTGACGGAAGAGAGGTTCTAAAATTAGACCCCCGGAAGGAGGCCCAGGATCCGCTACGTCAATGTGCAACATTTTTACATAGATGAGCCTCATTGATGAGAAGGACCTAGCTCTTTACATAGATGGACTTGTTAAGTTGGTCTATTCTTGACTCGTTCTACATGGCCATGTTTAGTCGCTTGTAATAGAAGATGCGAAGGCAATAGACGTCGACAATACTACTAGTCTACGGAGGACTCCACACTAAATATGGTCCCTAAACTACAGGGTAGCAATGGGATAATATGATTGAAGTAATACTGCTGTATATTCCGCCGTTAACCAGCGGTCTGCCTATATAATCCACTCTCCACACACTCTACTCCCTAAGCCGCGGGAAAAGAGCTAAAGCATTATCCCTGTTGATCTGAGTAATCAGGCCTGGGTCCTCAAATTTGTAAGCGTCAAGGCGCGTAGTATGAAACTCGATGATGCCGTCATGTGCATAAGGAGCGTCGCTGCCATACAGGATGTGGCCCGGCTTCGCAAATCTCTCTAGAATCCGAAGCACATTTTCACTCCCGGCCACCGCCGTGTCGTAATAGAAACTGCGGGCATCATCCCAAAAGGCGTCCAGTTCCTCTTGGCCCTTGGGAAGGATGCTTGCCGGACGGCTGATGAGGAATGGGAGGGTTCCCCCAGCATGCGATAAGATGATCTTGCAGTTGGGGTTATTGCGAACGGTTTTATTCACAAGCATGTCCAAAGCCGTGGTCGTGGTCTCCATGGGGTATCGAATGACAGGCTGGGACAAATTGCTCACTTGGCTCGTGTCCACAGGGTGGGTGGGATGCACCAGGATGACAGCGGATCGACGATTCAATTCAGCCCAAATGTCCTTGAAATCCGGGTGACCGAGGTAGTGGTTGCCCGGGCCATACCTCGTAAATAATGTAACTCCATCGGCTTTGAGAACGTCAAGGGCATAGGCTATCTCGGCGAGGGCGAGCTCCTTATCCATGATGTTGGGTAGCGCGGCCAGGAAGCCGTACTTCTTTGGGTTCTCATCCCGGAGCTTCGCGGCATACTCATTGGTCTTGCGGGCAAGCGTGGCCACAGCTTGGGGGTCCTTGAGGATGCATGCTCCAGGAGCAGTAAGTGAGAGAATAGTGGTGGAGATACCGAATTTGGCGTGCACACCATCATCAGTGACTGGACTCCACTTAGGGACCTCCCATCCCGATGGGTCTCCGCCGGAGCTTATAACAGCTATAGATATCTAAGTAAGAACGCGGACGAGTACTATATCGGATTGGAGCCATAATAATTACCTTCGGCGTAGAAGTCGGGCACGAAGTGGTGGTGAACGTCGATTCTGTTAGCCATATTTGCTATCGAAGTGAGAATTGTCAAGTGTGTGAAGTCAGATTTCTGAGGGATTCGATCTTTTGATGCTAATTCGAAATCTTGGATATTAGTTGTATCTAATTCCCAAAACATTGGAAAAGGCCGCGCCTTTATCCTTACCTCAAGTCTAGGACTTTGAAGCTGGTGGAGGTTTAGGTAGAGTTCCCCTTTCGCATCTAGATCCGGATTGAAGTGGGCAGCAAGTCTTCTCGCCTACCCACTTCCCCGCCTAACCCGGACTATGGGGGCCATTTCAAGACTGAATCTCTTTTCAAGTGAATAAACTGCACTTTTTCCGCGGTCCGGGTATCGACCCGTGAGCTGGAACTGCATCCTGAGAGTGTCCTCGCTAACGGCCCTGGCCGGAAGTGGATCCGCACATCATCAAGTGACGCAGGTTAGTCAAGGAAATCCAGAATCCTGACGGGTTCGCCTAAGCCAACATTATCGAGACAGACTAGATGCGGATATCGATGCGCTGATGAAGACCGCCGTATACTACGATGGCACTATGACCTCGGCAGTTTGGCATGATGCCAGCTGCTCAAAATGGAGATTTACCGCAACTAAGACAGTCCTCACAATAATCGCCCTTGAAGTCCGGAGATCCACGACCGTTTTCACATTTTTTGACTACGTAAAATTCGAATTTGTACTCTACTCATACGATGTTCCCTCTCAGCAACGCACCAACTCCACCACGAGGAGCATATGATGTGGTCATAATAGGTGCTGGTATCTCCGGCATCAATACGGCCTTTCACCTTCAAAATCAGCTACCAAACCTTCGATACGCAATTATAGAGGGGCGAGACAAGATAGGTGGAACATGGGATCTCTTTCGATATCCCGGAATCCGATCGGATACAGATTTGCAGTCCTTCGGGTTTGCCTGGCGCCCCTGGACTGAGGATCGAGCGATTGCTGATGGAGAATCTATTGCACGGTACCTCGCCGAGTCTGCAGCCGAAGCCGGAATCTACTCCAATATACACTTCCAGCATGAAGCCAAGACCGCCAACTGGCGACCTGAAAGTCAGGCGTGGGCGCTAGAAGTTGAGACGAATGGCCGAAGGCTCGAAATGGAGGCCCGATTCCTTGTCCTAGGCAGTGGGTACTACGATTACAAAGAGCCTCTACAGCCAAATATCCCGGGACTGTCTAATTTCAGGGGCCAGGTTGTGCATCCTCAATTTTGGCCCGACAACTTGGACATGGCCGGCAAACGGGTTGTGATCATTGGCAGTGGTGCGACGGCCATCACACTCCTTCCTAATATCGCGAAGGTAGCGAGGTCCACCACAATGCTACAACGTAGTCCAACCTATATTTTATCGATTGACAATGCGACGAATAACTCTCTTTACACCGAATACTCCCGAAATCGTGGGGGTTTAAGCTGACACGTCTGATGTTCATCGCCACCACCGCCATCATCTACTATCTCTGCAGGGCTTTTCCGAATAAGGCCCGCTCTTCTCTGCTAAAACAGGTGGGGAGGCAACTACCCGGTAGTGTTTCGGTAGACCCTCATTTTCAACCGAGTTACCGTCCGTGGGACCAGCGTCTGTGTTTCACGCCAAATGGCGACTTTTTCGAAGCGATCAGGAATGGGAAAGCAGACATTTCCACTGGAGAAGTGGAGACGATAACTGAGGATTCCATCGTCCTCGCATCAGGAAGCAGACTGGGTGCTGACATCATTGTCACTGCGACCGGCCTGAAGCTCGGCTTGGGAGGCAGAATTCAATTTTCGGTGGCGGGCAAGGCAGTCGACCTCGCCGACCGCTACGCATGGCGCAGCGTACTATTCCAGGATATTCCAAACTTGGCTTTCATGATTGGTTACGTCAATGCATCCTGGACGCTCGGTGCTGAGACATCTGCCCAGACTTTATGCCGCCTTCTCAGGCACATGGATAGCAAGTCTTTAACCAGCGCTACCCCAAGAATACCTGCCTCTATACAGCCTGTGCCGCTGTGGAATTTAAACTCGACCTACGTGAAAGAGGCAGCCAATGCTCTTCCCAAATGTGGTGACTCAGGTCCGTGGGTCGGGAGGTCGAACTATTTTCTTGATCTTTTCAAAGCGCGATTCTCGAGCATCACGGAAGATCTGGAATTCGCTAAAGGGGACTAAAGATACTGTGTTCTTAATCTATGTTCTCTAAGATGGGGTGATGGCAGGCCTGGAAATATAGCTTCTTCTTTAGATCCGGAACGTTGAGATCTGTTCAGTCACTGAGCTAAGGGGTGGGTGGATATCCCACCTTACCTCTTAAATCCAACCAGCACTCCCATCCTTCAACCAGGATTTGTTAGAACTGAAAGCATTGTAATTATAGTTGCTTTAGGATTGTCGAATGAAACTCATCCTCAAACTAGATGGAGAGCTTAAGGTCGTCTTTTCAGTCGCTAGATGATCTTGAGTTGCCGCGGAGATGATGGGGTGTTCAAATTCTTGGCATTCATGCCGTTCTACTCGTCATCTTCGTGCTTGACGATGGTGCCCAGTATGACTTGACTTTTAGTTGGAAGGAGAGTATTACTTGTATTGCTGTTGGCTACCTGGCTGTGTATAGCCCTCATGTCATGTTCCGGCGAATCCGGTGCAGTCCTTCAACCTAGGCGCCCCATCACAATTATCGTCCAGTCGAGAACTACCAACTACTATACATAGGAAAAAGACGCACGTCTATTAAAATCTATTTCTCGCTGTCTCTGCGCCTCGGAACCAACGCATCGTGGTAATGGCGAGTGGGCGGAGCAGAAGGATGCGAGAAGCTATAAACATATCATTCCGGCTGCTGGAATTAACTAGCTCGATGAATGCTCTTTTTCTGGCATCGACGGCCTAAAATAGACTTTCGAAGAGAGAATATCTTCGAATGGCCTCTCTATTTAACCCTGACAATTTGACTCTTTTCTGTGCTTGTGAGCGCACCCGATGCGCTGCTCGTATGAATCATCGCAATAGGCTTATAGCCCAAATCCCCAGTACCCCGGCCAAACGAAGTGTCGGGCGTTTGACGTAGGCTCGTTAAGTCTAGGGTAGTACTCTTCAAGCTCCTTCTAAACGGTACGACCTACACATATATTACCCTGAGTATGAAAACAATCTTCGAGTGTCGCTTATAAGGTATGGACTTTGCGTCCCCTTAAAGTGCTTAACCTAATTTACACTGTTCCACTCCTTCCCTACTTTACTTCGCGCTCACGGTCCCTCGATACATGAGGTTACTCTTCATTGAACTCCTTGGCGAAGGGGCGAAAGCATTAGTCGCTCGATGGAATGGCTACAACCATAGTTGCGCACACACAGAAACCTGCCAGGGGCATTGCTAACAGCAACGCATAGGGTCTCTGGCACCGGGACTTGACATATAGAAGATGTGCATTTTAGTGCTAGTAGTCGTCCACCCTCTTCTAGCGGTGAGCATTCCTGGACTTGGCTCAGGTGAAAATTCAAGTTCTATGGCACACTTGAGTCTGGTATCCCTAGGCTCACCGAGCTCAGCTGCTCATGGAGAAATCCCGCCTGCGAGATATCCTGAAAACGATATCGGGATAGGTTACAATACACATGAGCCCTAGCGGGTTGTTGCACCCCTCTAGCTCAATTATATGAGACATAGTAGAGCACGAGGGACAAGGCTACTAAGTATCGCCATGCCTCAACTCTACCCCAGTACCAGTTCTCGCCGGGGCTCGTTAGTAGTCCATTTTGTTATCTTCCCGCAAAGTGATAGACATCCATCTTTATTAATTGGGGTCTTCGAAGAAATCTTGGAGCCTGGCGTTAGTGTCCTAGCCCACCCATATTAGCTCTCTGCGCTTATCAGGGCCAGCTTGGATAGAGCCGCAAGTTGGTGTCTGTCACTGTCCTAGACTTGGTCTTGAGGATAGCTCTCTACACGGGCCAAGAAAAGAGTGTGAGAAATAAAGAGGGCGGGCATGCGGGCGCATCGAAAACCCTCGTAATACGGATGTCGCTTTTGAAATCGATCTGATCCAGGCACAGCATGAACCACGGCGGGAGGTTGCCCGCGAGGTAGGCAAGTGGCGGGGCCCGGATCCAGACCCGTTAGCGTGTTTTGGCTCCAATACCAAATTCATGGGATTTCTTCGCTAGTGCTGCGGATAGCATATAAAGCTAGCCACGGTGCGGGGAAATAAGGCCCCCGAGATGGTGGAGACTGATCAAATGATTGTTGAGCAGAGGTAAGATTATCACCATATAATCCCCAGCACAACCTAGGATTCATGCAGGCCCACCTAGTCCCATACGTAAAGGGCCATCCAAACTCCTTTGTTCCTCGACCCCAGCTCCAATTCGAATTTGCCTCTTCACTTGCCAAGAAATCCATCATGCCTTCCTCCGCGATCACGCTTAGTCACACAGTCTTGACGGACGGGCTTTACTTCGGAGAGTCCCCTCGATATCGCGATGGGCTCCTCTACGTTAGCGATATGACGGGACGCAAAATTTATACCGTCGATGAGCAGACCGGCAGCAAGGATATTCTTGTGGAGGTTGAAAGCCAGCCCAACGGGATGTGTTTCGCCGATGATGGGTCCCTCATTTACTCTTCCATGTTCGACGCCAAACTACACCGCCTACAGGAGGGGAGATCTTCGCTGTACGCCGACATGTCAGGTATCATGAAAGGTTACTGCGGTGACATGGCTATTGATGGAGAAGGCCGCGTGTTTCTCGACGACACGGGGGCACGGGTGCTGCATGGCGAAGACCCCAAGCCCGGCCAGCTTCTCGTCATAGAAAAGGATGGTTCAGTGCGCGTAGCTGCCGATCAAATCGTCTTCCCAAATGCCCTTATGATCAACAACGACGGCACCCGTCTTTTCGTGGCGGAAACTTTTGGGAACGGGCTCCTACGCTACGACGTAGGGGCTGGGGAAGCTTAGCAATCGGACAGAGATTTGGAATCCAGCGTCGATTCCTGGCGAGAAACCCCAGGGCGTGTCAGGAATCGACGGTGGTTGCATGGATGGCGAAGGTGCCATCTGGCTGAGCCTTCTTGGCTACGACATGTTTGTCCGTCTCACGCCAGACGGGAAAATCACGCACCGCATCGAGGTAGATGGTCATGCCACTGCCTGCACTCTTGGGGGAAGGGATGGGAAGACCCTTTTCCTAGTCATTAACAAAGTTCCTGAGGGGGAGGAGCTGTTCCCTGCCATGGTCGCGAAACGCACGCGGTGTACGTTGGCATCAACCAGGGTGGAAGTTGGTCGAGGAACGGCAAGGCCGTAGATAAAAATGAGGTCTTGGCATAGGATTACCAATAGATATCCCAACGGGATGTGAGGGGAGGACGCCGCCAGAGATGGTAGTCTAGGTTAGCGCTGACGCGTTTCAGAGGAGGATTTTGTTCCCATAACCCAAGAAAAGGCTAGGATTTGGTATCTGTTACGTTTCCATTGCATCCCAGGTTCCCAACTTTGAAGCTACAAAAGTATTGCCACCAACTACGTTAGACATGTTTTCAATGCTGCCATGTGCCTTTGAGTGAGGAAATCGAGACGTATCTAGCATCTCAATTCCGGGAGTACCTACTATTTCCCAAGGCTGCTTGATATTTAGCATTCAAGCTTGGTTATAGCGCCCTTTCAAAGTCGCAATGTTGAGCCGCCGCGTGGATAAACGCCAGCTTAATCTTGATTTAAGATGAAGCACATCATCAATCTCGGGATTCCCTCGGGACTGAAGTACCCCAGAAATTAAGCACAGGCACAAGGACATTCATTCTCCTAACGCAATCACGTCGAGGCAGCGATTAGAGTTGGCATGTTAACCATAATGAGATAGGTTGCGAGAATTAGATAGACTCTAGACGGTACCTACCTAATTTGGAGTGCGTTGCATTTGATGTAACTGTTTGACGCTGCCTCAAGGTCGAGGGGATGGTGATGGGCAAGCTTGCATGATCGAGTGTCCCACGTTCCCACCCCCTGTCTTCTTTCGTCCGCGTTTGGCTTATTTCCGCCTTATCCCCGGACGCCGTGGCTACCCGTTGATTGGGTGTGCATCGTGCCATGTTTTCTTTGTCTTTTTGTCTCAAGACCAAGTGACCGTCGACCAACCATGATGTGTTCCAGCATCACGATCTTCTCGTCGCCAAGACGGGGGCAGAGTGGAGGAGCATTGGAAGCACTGGTCAGATCTCGATGACGCTAAACCCATGGCGGTGCTCCGGCCGCGGCAGGGATTATTTGAATGCGCTTAAGGTTCCAAGGTTGCATTTCACAGTCCTTCATAATCCTTCCAGTGCCGTGGGTTGTGGATGGGGGCTCCGAAGGATTGTAGAAAGATTCTGTCGGTGAAATATGGAAATAGGAGGAGCATCACCTCTCTCTGCGGGGTTAAACCCCTGTCTAGTGGACAGTTTGCTCCGAAGTACGTCCACTGTGAACAGCAGCGCGGGTCAGGGTCATCGCAATTAATAAGCGCAGCCAGCGCCAGATTCTTAGAATCTTGGATGCGACGAAATGAATAGCCGCGCAGGATAGTAGCAATAGGATTCGTCAGGTATCAGTTGACCAGGGGTGGATCAGGAGCGACATCACCAAGGACTCCAAGGAGGAACTTCTTATCTTGCAAAGCAAGGGTTCACTGTTAATTAGTAAACACGGCCTCGCGTTGAACAGGGGCTTTCCCTTTCCCACGAGGGCGAGGGAAGGCAGGTTCACGGAGTTATGCTCGATTGAGAAATCTCCAAGTTGCACCCGCTCAACGGATCGTGGGGACTCTAGAAAAAAATATAAAGCTTGATATTCTCTCTGTCAGTCTTGTTCTCGTCTTCAGAGCTCACACTCATTCATCATCTTCGAGTCTTTACCTCTCTTCACTACTCCCTTCTACTCCAAGTCTGCCACTGCTAGTTCCTTGTTCTCCGAGCCCTCATTCAAAATGAAGTTCACCCACGCCATCCTCGCCGTCGCCTCGCTGCTCTCTGCGCCCGTTCTTGCGGCGCCCACCGTGCAGTCTGAGGGCCTCCTCGGAGGTGAACCGACTGCCTCGCAGCTTTCTGCCCTTGCTGCTCACCCCGACTCCGAGCAAATCGACGCTCTCTTCTCCCACATCACCATCGAAGGAGAAGAGCAGAGCGAGTCGCCTGCCAATCCTCTTGTTGCTCGTGGAGACAACTATTGCAGCCCTACCGGTGCTGAATCATGCAACTTCTGGATCAAGACCACCATTCCCATCGCTAGCTCCGGTTTCCAGCGCTGGTGGGGTCTTTACAGCAACAGCTGTGCCAAGATTGGCGGGTCTGCTAGCTCGCTTTCTGTCACCTCTGAGAGTTGGTCTCTCAGCTCGCAGCTGCCGTACACCATCGAACTCACTATCAACTTTGGCGGATACACCCCCGGTGGTTATTTCTGGTATGCTGGCCGCAAGACCAACTTAGGAAGCAACATGTACTGCGAGAGCTGCAGCGGCGCCTCCCGCTGCTGTCGCGTTGCCTTCCAGTGCCGTTAAGGGCACTAGGGAAATGAAGCCCCATATCAATTACGATCGTCAGCTGTGGATTAGGGTGGCCAGGGATGTTGGGACGTCGAGGTTACATGGAGAAATGGAGCGTTGTGGGGTGCCAAATTTCAGCTAAGGCGGGACGGTCAACACTGACAATATCTCTGCTCTCACTTGCAAAGTGTCACGCACGACCATAATTCTTAGGATCTCTGAATAGACAATCTTACCATCCAAGACCCGTTTTAGCGAAAGTCTCTAGTGTTGCGTCCATAAGCCATTTCACGAAGTTTAGATTTGCAAGTCTAGACAGCTTGACAAGGCGGCTAATTTTGTCAATGTTCTTCCATTCCCGTGTTTGCACGCCCCGGTGCCCCATGATCTAGAAAAAAAGAAGAGGAAAAGCCGGAAACGAAACGGGGACGGGGACAGTCAGATAACTAGGTTCAATCGACGTAATTCCATGTTGGCAATCTGCGTAAGAAACCAGGAACTATGAAACGCTGTGTTGGCTTCGGGAATGCTCCAAGGTGTTGTTGACAGCGGCAGTCACCATTGGGTTGGGTTCAGCGCCGCCAAGCATCAATTCAGTTCTTGGCCAGCCCTCGCGCGCCAACACAAGCGCTGATGGCCTTGGCGCAAGCGTAGTGTCTTGGCCTCCAGCTCCTTTGGAAGCGCTCAGCTCTTTTCCATGCACGTCATGCGATCTCTCTGCCCGCTCATCCAGACTCGAAAATGATGAATTGGACAACCTCACAAAATATCACATTAGTCAGCGGGAAACCGGCACGACCCGTGTTCCTGCGGGGGGATACGAAGACTGTTTTCTGTGTTGATAAGTAGAAGGTAAAACCTTCCTAGCAAATTCCTGCCCATAGGAGAAATACGAGGAGCAGATATAGTCAGATAGCCCCCGACACCGGATTTCCCGACACCCATCATTATGGACCACCACGATTTCGAGACGAACATTCAGACCGGTATCGCAAAAGGGAACATCCGTGGTGCTGTCCTTTGCGCTGCAGACGCTTCTGGACACTTTACATACCAGAAAGCAGTTGGGGAGCGAATACTCCTCACCGGCCAGCACCGTCCGCAGCAACTCGATGATGTCTTGTACTTGGCCTCGGCTACCAAGCTCATCACTACCATCGCCGCTCTTCAATGTGTCGACCGCGGCCTACTTAACTTGATGACGACTTGGGCGCCATTGCACCCGAGCTTGCCTCTAGGCAGGTTCTCGTAGGCTTCTCGGAAGACGGGGACACCCCGCTTCTCGAGCCGTTAGCAAGCCCCATCACCCTGCAAACACTTTTATCGCACAGTTCGGGCCTATGCTATGATTTCTTAGATCCACTTACTAGGAAATGGAATGAAAAGTTCAATCCCTCCCGTCCTGGTGTACGCCGAACCGTTGAAGAAGCGTTCAAGCAACCGCTTCGATTCCAGCCTGGCACTAGCTGGATGTATGGGCCTGGCTTAGATTGGGCGGGCCGCGTTGTTGAACGAATTACGGGTCTTACCCTGGGAGAACACATGAAAAACACATATTTGACCCGTTGGGCATTACAGACCATCACTTCTACCCTGTTACACGGGAAGATTTGCGCGAGCGGCTCGTGGACCTCAACCCCCAGGATCCGGATGGGCTCGGCCGCGCAGTATTAGGGGCGGTGATGGCGGCAACCTGCATTCGTCCGGAGACTTTGGAGGTCAAGGGCTTTTCATGACTGGCCCAGACTATCTAAAAGTCCTTCACTCGATACTGGCGAACGATGGCAAACTTCTTAGCCCGTCAACCGTGGAGAACATGTTTCGCCAACAGCTAAGCCCCGAAGCTGCCGTTGGGCACGAGGCCGCACTTAACAGTCCAGCGGGGATATTCTATCGAGTCGGCCTCGACCAGGGAATGAAAGCCGGATTTGGGTTGGGTGGGCTTCTGATGCTAGAGGATGCCAAGGACTGGTATGGGAATCCCACCCTAACGTGGGGGAGGGTTAACGTTCACATGGTTCATTGATCGGAAAAATGACCTTTGTGGAGTCTGCGGGATTCAAGCAGCACTACCTGTCGCGCATGATTTGATGGAGGACTTGAAAAATTCTTTCCGCCGGGGCATCTATCGAAAGCGCGCCAGCCAGGGTGGTGAACTCTGACCGTCGCAAAGGAGGCACTCGAGTGTACAATGGAGGTCGCCGTCGCCGAGACGACTCTTCCGGGAGGGGCCGCATTGTTTACTGACCGCAAGGCTTTGCTTTCCTAGTTCATAGGCTACTGGCCATTTCGGGGGAGGAGGCGGGCCTTATCTAGAATTGGTAGTTCAGGGTTTAGCGAGACAGTCGTAGCTCGATTAGTTGCCGCTATTCTCAGCCTTCGTGAATTGTAGTCTATACACGGCTTGTGTATCTATCTTGCTATTCTACTAGACTTTTAAAGAAGGTCCTCATGACGACAATCCTTCCCTTGCCTTCGACCTTATGTTATGAAATAGAAGTGGACGCGACTATAAAAGATTTCTTATTTTTATTGCCTCGTGGATTGAGAACTCACGATCCCGTTATGGGGAGGTCCTCTCTATTGAACAAGGGAACCTGAGTAAGGCGGCGATTAATTTTAAACGGGCTCGATGACCTTCTACCGAGATCGATCTCGTGGCCCGCATCCTGAGCTGTGGGGTTGGTAAGCCCATTTCTTGTAATTTTTCTGCTGTCTTAGCAGCGCTAGATATCAACTTGACCTAGCCGCCTTCACAGATGGTTCGCAACCGACTCTTAAGAGAGCCTTCTCTATGGAGAAAAGGTCAGAAAGGAAGCTTAGGTGTTATTGGTAGGCGTGCGTGCCCTTTGTTCAGAATGGGAAATGAGGAATGTCGGGGGACGCCAATGCATCCAAGCACTGACGCTTTTCGACCATCGCCAAGATCCCAAAGAGGACGAATGGGCAGGACACATGATTAACCGGGCCTCAAAGGATTGGTCCGAAATGAAAATGCGGCTCCTTCAACCCGACAAGCCGTCAAGTCGGGTGCGGAGCGCTCGAAAATCAATCTTCAAAAGAATGGCTTTATCCTGTTCAAGATCGTGGATATCACAATTTTCATCTGTTGTTTTGATGAAAATTCGAGTCGGGCTCGCGCTTCTTTTTCTTGGGGGCATTTTTTTGTTAGTATTGGGGCGTGACAACACAGCATAAACGCAAGCTAAAGTGTCACAATGAAGACCCATCGCCAGCTTGGAAGTGTCATGCTGCTGGCGCCATTCCTCACAGCACTGGCCCAGGAGCAGACAGTCGGACGATTTGAAGTTGACCTTGTTTTCCTCGCGCGGACGTTTACACCATCTCTGAGGTATTTCCCATCGCCCTCGCGGTCCAGAATCTTACGACTCTCCGTAACCTCACAGAACACTACTTGAAATGGAGTATCATGCCGTATCGGCAACTCGGCGGCGCTGGTGCGTATGATCAACCCACCGGCAATGTGGTGGATAGCGGAGTCTTTAGCCTCCCTGAAGACGATGAGGTTGACAAAGACGACTCGTACATATTCGTGGCCCACTCCAACGTCACGGAATGGCTAGCGGAGCGACGTCAACGGACCGGCGGGGACAAGGATGAGAAGTACATGCTTCAATGGCTCATGAGCGAGAGCACGGCGTACAAACAGCGGTGCGGCCGCGGAAATTTAATTTGGCGCGCCCAACACCTGTTCGGACTCGAGGCTCCCGGCGACAGCGATTCGATTTACTTCAAACCCGAAACTGACAAGGGCGTGGCTCCCAACGTGACGGAGGTGCCCGAGTGCCCCGTTTTCGGCGCGGTTATCGATATCCTTCCGAACGCAACCGACTCGACGTGTATCGTACTCAGCGACGAACTCGACAAGACCGGGACCCCCTGCGCAATTAAAATTGACGAGGCTGCCGCGCAACAAATCGCCACCAGAGTGTCTGAACTGGCAGACGCCGCTCAGGCCACCCGAGCGCCAGAATCCGACAAGACCGAGGAGTCGGAGGATGACACGGGTGCTGGGAGCCGCTTCGGCGCATCCATCACTGGTCTCAGTTTTGCTGCCGCTCTAGCCTGCCTATTTTAAAAAGCACCCCTCGTCATGAGATTTTGGGGAATGGCGATCAAGGGAGCAAAGCAGCGTTCCCATAGGGCGATATATCACGTCGAGAGCTCTAACATACGGACAGGGGGTATAATGCTGTCCGTATTCGCCGCTTGCTGTCTAGAGTAGATGATCTTGTAGAGAAGATCGCCAATGTATCGATAGTTGGTTATGCATGGTACATCATCAGTCCGAATGGTGAGGTCTATGGCAACGTTTGCATAATCTAAGAAAGTTTAAATAATCGATCCATCGTTGGTCACTGCATCGGCGTGATGTAGATTCCGCGATTCACTTTGAAACACAGTGTAGTAAGGTATCAGGTATCATGCCTGCTTTATTATGACAACAGCCCGCCAGCGCCATGGCGTGTTCTGGCATCTCCTTGGCATGGATGACAGCAAGCGTTGTGGATGGTGAAGTCTTCCTGAGAATTCAAGCGGCGTTTGATGGAAGGGGTGTCGGCTCCTCGTTCGTCCTGCGAGGGTGCGCAACTTTCCATTCTCTAAGCTTTAACGAACGTGAACTTCCTTCAAATTCACATGTTGTTTCTTCGATCACTATGGACCTCGGCTCGAACGATGACAGGGAACTTGGTGCTTAAATAAATGCCGGCTTCCTTCAGCCCAGAGGGGCTCATGTCTATTTCGCCTCTCGATTGGATGTATCTTCAGCCGCACCTTGGCTTTCCAAGACCTGCAGGGTGCTTCAGCCCAGCCCGCTCCGCTACCGCAGGGGTAAAACCTAATCGGGGATAACCTTGGCATCCACACATTTCAGTGCACGTCCGAGTAATCTTAAAGCAAACAAGATGCTATTATTAGCATCGCAGGGTCGGAACTTGGCATCAAGTATGTGTGAGAGTCAAGGCTATATGACCTAGGATCATTCTTCTTGGCCCCTTTTGAGTCGAGACGGTGATTAATCCCTCCTTCTTCTGTGTTCTTCGTCTGACTTGCCGTTTGATCCAATTTGAAAAGGACTCCAACATCTTCATCATGGCTTTACTTAGACTCGGCGCGCGCCTCATGGCGGCTTTCCTCATACCTACGTTGGCCCTAGGTGCAAACCCCTATTTCTGAATACCGGCAACGCTGATTGTGGTATTTGCGTCGATGAAACATTCAAAGTCTGTCCTGGTCACTACCGTGATGCTTCATATGCAGAATGCATGTGTGGAGGCGAGGGTGGCAGCATGCTAGAGGCATGTCTCTCGAAATGCGACACAGCGACAACGAAAGGACGGTCCGTCCTCGTACCAACATACGAGGCTTATTGCGGAATGTACTTTGACGATTTCTGTGGCTCAGGGTCTGTCGCAGTTTCGGGGATACTACTCTGGATAAACCAGTTTGCCTGTCGGACTCGTCATCTACTCCACAGTCCACCACCGGCTCCGGCGGCTCCTCGCAGACATCCTCTACATCAAGCGCACCCACGTCCCAGTACGTCTTCAAAGCCTTGCGGCAATTACATGACACTGCATAGTCTCTAAAACTAACCAACGTCTCTAGAAATAGTGAACCAACCGATAACAACCAGGGCAACCAGACTAGTGATAATGCGGGCAGCAGTGGGAGGATTACGACGGCGCCCATGGGCCTCACAGGTGCTATGCTTGTCCTTGGAGTATATCTTTCGTAAGTGCAAGGAACTTAATTCAGTCCTTTGCTTGCGGACAAGAGGAGAGGATGACAAGAGGAGAAAATGAGAGAAAGACAAGTGGTCTTGGTTGCTCACCACAAGTCCGAGCATCACGCTAGCCGACTAGGCCCCAACCAAGAAATTTATCAGACTCACCCAGAATTTTTCCCTGTGACATCATGATCTATGCATGGAGAGGATTCTTAGATACCGCAGTACCTCCTCTCTAAGAGTTGTCTTGCTTAGGTTGCAGAAAAAGTGTTGAATAGACAACCGCCGTTCAGATTTCTAACATACCTAGCTATCCCCCTCAGAATCTTCAGTAAAAAGGCGTAGAACATTACGAACAATTAAGCGCTATTTAGCCCAGTACAAACAGTCCACAATCAGATACCGGTCAGTAATAAGGAGGTAGATGCGTAGAAACCGGCCAACTGGCCAGTATAGGATATATTACTGGCGTACTAAAACTCTGGTTACCCTGGTCTATATAGGACCTGTATTATGGCTGAGATACCGTCGTGCTTTTTCTCATCCTCAGGATCCGAATCCCTTCGTCTGATTCTGTCAGTCCCACGAACTCCTTTTCTAGTCCTACTTTGCGTAACTTGTCTACTGCTTCGTCGTCATTTCGTACCAGTCCCATATCCGTAACCACTCGCTGCATTTCTTGACCGTTGAGGTGTACGAGGCATTGCCAAGGGCTACCAATTGTTATCCAGCGGACTCTGGCAAGGAAGAAAACAGTAATCAGAACCACCACGACAAGGTGGAAAGCTATCGTGGCCACAGCGACAAAGAAAAAGGTTCTACCGACAGGCCTTGTTACGGGAGAGTTGATTCGGGATGTCGAGGGTCGGTAAATGTTGAAGTGGTCGAGGTAGTCGTAGTATGAGAGGCTCTGCTGCATCGCCAAGAACGACTGAACCGCTTTCGCGGGGTTTCTCGTCTTCTTCAAGGTATCGGAGAACACGGCACTCTGTGCGCCGAGGATCGCTTCGTCATTGAGGCTTACTTGGACTAGGTCGCCCATCATGATCGATTTGGCGATCTTGGGGTCAGATCCGTTGACGGTGGTGAGGGTGAGATACTCTTGCACTGAAGCCCCGATGCTGTTGTCACGTAGCTCCTCCTCGATAATTGAGCTACCATTACTTTTCCAAGCAATCCAGGAATTCTTACGCTCGATATCAAAAAGGCTACGTTTAGAGGGTTCAGCCGTGTCTCCGCTGCCAAAGTATGTTTGAATGTCGGTTGTGTCAAGCCGAGTGCCGTTTCTCTTAGACGTTGGCTCGGAGGTTGCAGGCCCGCTCCGATATGCGTGAATGTCCGTAGTTACATGGGCCATGGATGAATAGCAAAGAGTAACTAGGGCACTCGAGTTCCTCCACTCGGTATTAATGCGTGTCCATACACCTGCATCTTCCTCCGAAGTAAACTGTGGAGGAGAACTGGCCCACGGCTCAAAAGTGTTGTACCACCCATCGTATCCCTCGGTGCTCACGACAAGAAAGGCCACCGTGGTGGCGACAGAGTTGTCCTCTTCGGCCGCACCGCCAGCTTCATGCATGATAGATGCTACCCCTCCGAGGAGCGGGTCGAACTGCAGCAGACAAATCGACAATGGCAGCTGTTCTGCGTTGGACCATTCTTCCCTAGGAGCCCTGACCGGCATGGAGCACAGGATTGGTATAGTGTCCAAGCCTCCGCTTGCCCTGCTGAATCGTGGGATCGTTGGCAAGTCGTCGCCGAGGACGCTAGAGAAACGCAACTCTCCGGTTAACGCGAGGGCACTTTGATGGGTTTCGGCGTAGAACGAGGGATCCTGAATTAGTGGCCTCGTGCAGAAAACCCTGTTGTCGAAAAGCGTCGCCGGCCCAGTATAGTCTTGCACATCTCGCCTCGTCTGAGTGTCGTTGATCGGAAGGTAGGCTCGGAGGGTTGTTCCGGTGTCCGCGGTTCTATCTGTTAGAGACTCCTCGACACCCCCATCGATGCCTTCCTTTAGCTCCGCGAAGGCCGGGAAAATTGGCTTTCGATAGAGATATCGACCATTGATACCGGCGCCAAGCGGACCAACAGTGCCGAACAAGGCAGCGGGGGTCTGTGGTTCATCGATCCGCGCAGTGACAAAGCCTCGGCTAACGTCAGACAGAAGTATGGTGGAGGTGAATTGGAGAAGGCAGTAGCTGAGCGTGAGTCCCACGACGATTACGCGAACTAGAGTTCCACGGGATGAGCCACCGGCGAAACAGTTCATGAGAAACGACACGAGGCCCACGCCATTCGCCGCCATCATCGAGATGGCGGGTGCGACTCGCAGCGGAACGGCAAACGCCTCGAGAAGCATCGCGGACAGCATCGCGACACAAGAGACGACCTGCAGACCAACGACGAGGCGAATAATGAGCGCCGTGAGGGTCACCGATCTGGTGACCCAGTCGGATGTCACAATCCGAAGCCAAAGCGCATTCTGTTCATCGCTGAACCACAAAAAGGACAAGAAACAACAACATCCGGCGATGACCAGATGACCCACTCCAAGTGTTGCAATGGTTAGGAAGCCCAGCTTTTGAGTGGCGAAAGATCATTCTGCACTGGCTTGGAATCTTGGCCTAGCTTGACAGGCTGACCTTGCGGGGCGGTCATGTCGATGGGAGAGTGCTCTAACGCGGCCGAGAAAATGGACGAAGGCGAGGCAAGACAACGCGACGCATCTCGTCTCGAAATGGTGAGCGTTGACGGCTTTATTATCTATCATGACGGGCCCGTGAGAGGCACCATGCACCAAGCGCCCACCGGGGGTCAAGGGGTTTTGCCCATCGTGGACTGGTGTGCCGGATTGGGAAAATATTGAAGCACCAAAGCCATGCAGTGTCTTTTCAGCGTTCATCTTAATTTCTTTGGAGCCAATGGCGAACCCCAGGATTGTCATTCTCGCAGCACCCTACCAATAACCTCACACGGGCGCCAAAGAGCTGAAGAAATTGAGCAAGTGCTGCGGCGTAAATTTCAGTCGCGATTACCACGCAGATTGCTTCTCCCACATTTCTCCATTTTGTATCCCCCGCATTTTGTTTATCCTTGACTTGGTGGGTCGTTCAAAAGCTAGTGTACATGTACTTGAGGCATGCGCCTGATATCGCACCCGCTTTCCCGGACGGCAATCGCAAGTGGCTGGATGCAGCTCACACGACTCCATAGATTCACAACCTCAGTGAAAACAGGTCCATGTAATAAGCCTCCGAAATGCGTAGCGGGTTGAAATACTGGTCGCTAGAATTTCAACGGGTCTGAACATGGAAAATCGTCATCGGGACATCCTCAAACACGCCTTGGAGACGATCGGGAGTTCATCAATTGAGCCCACATTTCAGTACCCGGCCTTTCTGCCTGTGGGCTTCGTCTGTTCCAGTCCAAAGCCGAACACATGTGTGATACTCTATGCGGGAGAGACCCCCCCTTGTGAGACTGTTCTCGACCTACAGTAGGTGCTCAGCACGTTCAACCCAGTTTAGGTGCTGGTAACTTCTATCGCTACATTTTGATCTACAAGATTTGTGTTAAGCATCCGAGTTAAGCCATTGCCTAGGCCATCTTTTAGCCTCTCCAATGTCTCAAGTAGCATTTCGCTCTCGTGCGTGGAGGTAATTCCGGCTGTGACAAAGTGTCGGCAAACCTCAAGGAGAAGCCACGCACTCTGCTGACCATAGAGTCCGGCGTTGGGCTGAAGGAGGATAGCGACTGCCTGTACGAGTCTGTGGGCATGTTGCATTGGATCGGTACGATTGGGGAGATCTGCCTGTGGCCCAGATGCCATCCAGAGAATGCTATACAGAATGAGGGAGGTGGCCCAGAATAGACTCATGCCATGGACTTGGGCAACGTATGTGACAACATCCTTTGCACGAGATTCTGGGCGGGAGGTATTACTGGCATTGGCCACCTGGCGTAGGAGGCCGAACCAGGCCGAGAGCTGTCCGTCGTGCTCCCAGCACTTCTGTATCAGCGCGAGCCGCAACGTCTCTTTCTTGCTCTCCTCCGTGCACTGCTGCATATTATCGAAGTCTTCGACAAGTCTAGGCATGTCAACCAACACATCTACGAGGATGTCTTTGAGGTTTTTCGGTATTCTCTGCCATGGGACGCTCTTCCATTCTGGAGTGCTGAGCACCAGCTGCCTCCGTCGAAGCACTGCAGAGAGTGCCTAAACAACATCAGAACTGATTCGAAATAACGCATGTTAAGTTCCGGTGTTGGCTTACCATGTCCACTCTCTCATCGCAAAATATGTGATGCGCGTCGCCATCTATATGTGCCTCTGGAGTTCTAGCTGTGAATAACGCAAGCTCGCCAGTATGATGCCAGTCGTGAGATTGATTGCCAGTATGTCCAGAGCTCTGTTGAGAGAAGGCCTGTAAATGTGCGATATCAGCAGCCAGTCCTTGGTCGTTTCATAGCAAGCCCATACCTCGAACATAGTCAACAACTTTACGGTCGCTATCAATGTATCTCTTTTCGTTCCTTGAAGTACACCCAACGACTGACTCAGTTCAGCCAACGCTTTCCCGTACAATCTTGACCCCTCTTTGAGCATCCATGTAGCGTCATGGCGTTTCCCCATTACAAAGAGGCAATTGGCCCACAAAGCATGTCGAAGAGAGTCATTATCCTGGTAGAGCTCCCGTGCAGTTACCGTCCAAGTGCATGTGTAGCTCCTAGAGGAGCTCATCGGAATCGGCCGCCCAGAGGGAAAGTAGGCCTCCCAAAAAGATCGATACATCGCCTTTCTTCCTCCGGCCGTGTTAAAAGACGGGGATGCGATATTTCGCTGGAGATTTGATTGAGATGAAGACGGTGCCCCGGCGTGGTAGGTGCGTCGGCGAGCGGCACTCTGTAGCCATTGTGTCGGCTGCTAGGCGTGCTCACAACGAATACGCGTTTGATATCGTAGCCCGCACACTTTAAGCCAGCCTCTCTGCACCGGAGGCACGCGGGTCTTCCGAGATCGCACTAGTCCGACGGTTAGACAGGGAGTGTCCCTCCCCTCCTCAAAGTATGGTGATTTAGCATGTTCATCCACTCACCCCTTTTCTTCGCTTTCGACAGGTGAGGCATGCTTTTGAGCGGCCTGGGACTCCGACCATGATCCCTCAAACAATGGTTAGATTTTGCAATAATTGGAATGGGCGCGAATTCAGGCTTCTTCGGGAGCGGTGGAACGCTTTAAGATATGATGTCGTGGCCCAAGCCACTCCAGACCTATCTCTATATAGCAGAACATGATTTCTCTTATTAGCTGTCCGTCGGCTAATATGTTCAGTGCAATAGAGACCAACAGTGTTTCATAACCGAACCAAGTCTATGGCATGGCAGTGACGTCCCCTGACTTCGCCGGTATTAGATTAATGCATCGTGTGGGTGGGTGTTCATTTCAGATGAATGCACTAGGCCAAAAACGGCCTGAATTCGCGCGCCGGCGAATCATGGACGCTTCCACTTCCCGTGTCAACTGTGGAGTCTTCCAAGAGCCTGGATGATTGGCACGCTAGGCCAAAACAGGCTTCATCTCACGACACCAACCAATCATAGCCGCTCCCGTCCATCGGCTGGCGGCTGGTCACCGTTGGGTCTTCCAAGTGCCCAAGCGAATAATGCTTGATGAAGCGGAGGAAGATGGCGGTTTGGCTCCAATATCAACACTACTTCTCAAACATTGAACCTGTCTCCCAATGGCCGATTTTTCTTCAAAACGCGTGTTTCTGTGTGGAGGCTCAAGTGGTTGTCCTTCTATCTAAATCGAACACAGCGGAGAGGGTGACTAAGTGCCGCTTCACACTGCCGGTGAGGCTGCCGGCCAATGCTCCGAAGTTGGAGAAGGCGGATTTTGAACTGTAAGTAACTCGAAATTCATTTATACGTATAATTGGGGTTTTTACAAATTTCAGCTCTCTGAGACGAAGATATGGGTCAGGGTAATTATCACTTGATATGGAACAAATTACCTACAGGAAACAACAGGCCCAAGGATCAACACACGGGCAATAGGAAGTCATGTCGATGCCGTCGCCTGGTGGCTGAATGCATTGTCCATAGTATCTATGCCATCTATGGTTGACGACGCGCAAATGTCAGTAGCCCGCTTTTCCCGTAGACTGAGTCGGCCTCGTGTATAAATAAGACACCTTGCGCAAGTCCGAATGACAAGATGAGCTGAGCACCTCGCACGACCGACAACGCTGAAGCAAACTGATTCTCAATCACTTAAACCCTCGACCCACATCCCTAACCTACACTATGATTCTCTCTCACCTTTTCTACCTCATTTCGGCTAGCTCGGTTGCTCTGGCGCAGTCTCGCACAATGGGCTTTATCGGCTGCTCCATGGCCGAGAACGTGGCTCAGGGCTACGTTGCTGTCGGCGGAGAGCGCTTGTGGGCCCCGTACGGCACCGGTGCAATGGTGGTCCAGTCGTGGACGAGCCCGAATTCGGCATCATGGCAGCTATTTGACCGCCAGGCAACCCAAAATGGCAAACCCACCGCCGTCTGGGTGCAGATTTGCATCTTTGCACAGGCTGGCGCAACAATGCAGGAAGTTACACAGCTGATCGAGAATGCGCGTCAACACGCCGCACCGGACGCCGAAATCTACATTACAGGCCAACCGCTCTATGAGCCGGGGCAAACCTGCTTCCTCGCCGGCGCCGATGGACCTGAGCTGACAGATAGTCTCGCCAAGCAGGCTGCCGAGGACCCTGCCCTCAACGTAACCTATCCCGGTTCCTTCTTGCTTCGCCAAGGCGAAGTAGCGGATGGCTGCCACGCGAATACTGCGGGGCAACAATCTCTAGGCAACCAGGCAATCGAGTTCTTTGGTTGATAAGATGGGGAGGGTAGTGACTATAACGGATCTTGGCTCATATTGAAGTGTGGTCGGAAAGAAGGGTTGTACTTAATTACTATGCAAGATTTGAGGGCGATGTCATAGTTGTGACCCTTTATATATATGGTGGTTTAATCCTTACATCTCAACAAGATGTGATTTACGATGTTTCAAAAACCATGCTAATCCACTTCCCCTTCCGATTATATGCATTAAAAAGTCAGCATGTAATAACTGATATGACCAGAAGACCATAAAAAGTGTAGGTATATGGTAGACTTCCGAACGTTTAGGCGTGAACACGAGAATAGAAGACGCGGATAAATTTAGATAAATAGAGCGTATTAGAATATTATAACGAGAAAACGGAATTTGGCGACAGAGGGAATCCAGCTGCAGGCAAAAGTGGTAAGAAAATAAAATCTATCATAGAGTTCTAATCTAGTATGACATAGGGAAATATATGGATTCATTTGTGAACATTGAGGTCTAATGAAATGTGGTGGTGTGGTTTGATGGTTCACGCTCTGCAAGAGAAGCCTACTCCTTTTTCGTCTTCTTCATCTTCTTCCCCTTTGGCATACGAACAAGCCAGTAGAGTGCCAAAGAGGCAGCAATGTTGAAGACGATAAAAGCCATGCCGATTCCCCAGTCCCTCCACCTATTATCGTAGTTGGAGCTGATGCTGCTCAGGAACACGTTGGTGTCCCTGATTTGGCAAAAGTTACAGTCGGAAGTAGCATCCTCGTTGAGGACATAGCCGCCGGCGATTGCAGTGTAATTCTGAAGATATTCGCCGCAGCTCATACCGGAGGGGATCAAAGACGGAGTATTCGTTCGATGCACAGGTAACCTCGGCATTCGCAAGCCCGGTAGCCATGATGGCCGACACCAGATACGTGAACGGCGACAACCGATACATGAAGATCCAGAAACCAGGAAGGGTATCGGGGCCCGCGAGAACACCGCAGAAAAGTAGGCAAAGCATGAAGAGGACGTTGGCCAAGTTTCCGCCTGCCTCTGCTGTATCAGTGATGGCAATGCAGGCGTGGGCGAAGGTGCAAGTGAAGATGAGGAACTGCCAAAACAGAAGCCACATGAGGCCACCGCGCTCAACAGTCTGCCCTGCCTCTGTCGCATTCTTGTTAAACCCGACGGGGTAGTAGACGCACACGAACATCAAGACGGACATTAGAGTGTTCCAGGGAATCTCCACGATAATCTGAGAGAGCATGAATACCTTCCAACTATAGGTCTTGGACGGTCGCTCTCGCACCTCGTAGAGCGCACGCTGGGTTACAAAGTGTGGCATTTGTTGCTGCACAAGCTGGCCGAAGATGGTCAAGATGTTGAATATGGCAAACATTTGGTTCTGGAGGCCCTGGATTGAGAGAGGGGCGTTGAGGAAGACGAGTCCGATGAAGAGGGCAACAGCGATACAAAGCGCGGCCTTGGAGTAGATGTAGGAGGGGTACGCCAGTACTGCTCGAAAACACGCTGGGTAGCGACGCCGAGCTGTTGCCAAAAGGAGCGGCGAACTCGCGGTATGAGCCTGGGTCGTTATCGTGCGCTGCTGTGCCGTTGTTTCCTTGGTCTTTGAGGGTTTGGAGCTCAGTATAGACAGAGTTATACTCTGGGCTGTCACGCCACACCTTGTGCCAGTCAAGGTCGGTGTGGGAGCCAGGGGCAGCACCGATGACCTCAAGCATCCACTCAGCCGGGTTCGCACCCTTAGGACAGGGGCCTGAGCCGTTCTTCTCAAAATAGCCGGTCAAGGTTTTGGAATCCTGTCCGATGTCCCCGAAATAGACGGTTCTACCTCCCTTTGCTAAGAAAAGCAGGCGGTCGAAACGTTGAAACAGCATGGCGGAGGGTTGATGAATCGTGCAGAGGATAGACTGTCCAGCCTTTGATAGCTTTTCAAGCAGGTCTAAAATCGCCCAAGATGTTTGGGAGTCTAATCCAGAAGTGGGTTCGTCCACAAACAACAGGAGTGGTGGTTTAGCCGCCAACTCAACACCAATTGTGAGGCGCTTCCGCTGTTCCACGTTCAAGCCTTCGCCGAGAATACCCACGACGGCATCTGCATATTCCTGCATGTCCAATAACTTGATGACCTCATCCACATAGGCAATCTTTTCCTCTCGTGGCGTGGATGCTGGCTGTCGAAGAAGAGCGCTGAATGTCAATGCCTCGCGAACAGTGCTTGTTTCGAGGTGGAGATCCTGTTGTTGAACGTAGCCGGTCTTTCGTTGGAAGGAGTGATCGCGAATCTTCCCGTCGACCAACATCTCTCCAGTGATAACTCCCATGGAGATGCGGTCTGCGAGACAATCCAGTAGTGTCGTCTTTCCGGCGCCGGAAACACCCATAAGTGCCGTCAAGGTTCCAGGCTTAACCCAGCCGTCGACATGATCAAGAATACGTCGGGGCTCACCTTTGATCGTGATATCGTAGCAAACGTCGTTCCAATGGAAGACACTTGAAGAACCCTGGATCTTCCCGCTGTCTGCGTCACTGGAGACCTTGTCTACAGTAGTAATGGCATTGGCGCTGGCTGCCTCGGAATCACCCTTTCCTCGCGAGACGGCAGGCATGTGGCCGCGACGGAAGACGAGGACTTCGCCCTTGGACTTCTTGGCCGTGACGAATTCGGTGGCAAGGATATAAACAGCATGGAAGAAGAGAACGAAGGCGATGACGATTCCCACGTTTCGCCACTTGTGGCTGTGGAAGTACTTGTATTGCGAGTTGATGTATGCATCCCCGCTGACAAAGGACTCTCCCGGAACGGCACCGACGGCGGAACAGGCCCGGTTCATTGCACCGACGTCTGCATACCCCTCGATGGCAGGGTTCGGGACCAATTGATCGCACGAGAAATCCCGGTTGTGAAATTCGTTAATCATGAGAGCTTCGAATCCATACGCCACGGGGTCGAGGTAGTTGATCCAACGACACCACCCGAGCATGTAGTCGACTGGAATGACGAAGCCAGTGAAGATAACCAGGGCAAGAATCAAGATAGATGCGGGGACCATGGCCTGGGAAAGGGTTCGGGAGCTCGCAGCACTAAAGAAAAAGAAAACGATCTGTGAGCGGAGGGGCATTATTGACTTGTTTATATTTGGCTGAACTTACATTGTCCGGAAGATACCTGACATGGCCAACACCATGAGAAACGAGACAAAGAGGAAGAAGAAGAAGGCACCGGGCTCCCTGTTCAGGTTCGTCATGAAATACAAGATGAGGTTGTAGCAGATGGTGTTGGAGATCTTGTACGGCATGTCAACAAGGATGGACGAGAACGACTCTGCGGATGGGTGGTAGAAGGCGTAGCGGGCATGTTTCTCAACGATTGGTCGCTGGGAGTACTGGGTAAGGATCTCTAGCGCGCTAGAGAAGGCATTGGAGAGGATGGCAACGAAGAGCACGGCAGCTCGCTGATAAAAAGATCCGGTCGTGGGCTGAATGTTGTAGAAGAGAGATGAAACGATGAGGCCAGTGGCGCAGTTGGCGATGAGGGCGAAAACTGTGAGGCCGGGAGAGCCGAGGAGTCGTTTCCAACCCCGCCAAAGACACAGGTTTACCTGCTGGCGGTAGGAGAGCGTGAACGGCGATTTGACGCGCTGACGCTTCGCTTGGGTCTGCTGCTTGTGCTCGCGGAACGCGACGGCGCTGTCGCCGTTGAGAGGAATTGGTCCTTGTACTCGGCGACTTCTTGGAGGCACAGCTGATATTCCCGGCTCTCCCTCCATCGCGCCGCGAACTCATCAGGTGTCCGCGGGACACGGTTTTCCCAACCAGGACGGACAACCCTTTCGGACGGTGCGGTCATCGAGGTCAAGAAGTCAGGCGTTGTCTGTCGATCGGGACAGTCGAACCCAAGGTTGATGAAATATTCCCGAGCTTGGCCTGCGGGGCCGAAGAAGATTTGGCGGCCTTCGTAAATCACGAGAGCTTTATCGAACAAATCGTACGCGCTTTGGGGAGACTGGTAGATGGATACCGCGCAGGTCTGTCCAAAGAGCTCGGATTGGAGACGGAGCGTCTTGCAAAACTCGATGGCATTGGCAGAGTCGAGGCCACGGGTCGAGTTATCCCAGCACTGGAACGGCGCGTTGGAAAGCGTCGCCTCGGCAATCGTCACACGTTTTCGTTCTCCGCCGGACACGCCGCGGATATAGTTGTCTCCGACCTGGGTGTTGACGGTGTGGCTGATACCGTACATGGCCATGATGACATCGCGTAGGTGGTCGCAGTATTCGTTGCGGCTGACACCGGGCGGGAGGCTTCGAGGGCATCTTGCCCGGGACGCAAAGGTAAGCGTGTCACCGACCGAGAGCATGGGGAAGTGGACGTCGACTTCGGCGGTATAGATGGTCTCTCCTCGATGGTCTTTGTGCATTTCCTCGGCGGTGATTCCTTGGTAGTTGAAGTAAGTGCTCTCGTCGACGTAGAGGCCGTTGGTCTCGCCGGAGATGGTCTTGAGGAACGTGGAGCAGCCGGAGCCGGGTGGTCCAAGCACCACGAGCATCTCGCCAGCCTTGACGACTCCGTCGAAGCCCTTGAGGATGTCAATGCGTCGCTTTCCGCGCGAGCTCGACGTCAAGTTTCGGAGCATGCTCGAAGCCTCGAGCCAGACGTTGCCGACGTCCTTCTGGTAGTCGGTTTCGGCGCCGTATCCAAACACGTTCATGCCTTGGAAGCACAGGCCGCTTTGGCGGAACCCGCTTCCGTGCTCGGATACGGAGTGCGCGAGGGCGGCTGCCCAAGCCCGGGCGTTAAACTTCTCGCTGTGTGGATCTAGAGCGGAGTCCGTGCTGCTGGGTTGGAATAGGCCGCCCGCGCCGACTTGGCCGTTGGCCGTGGAGTTTCGCGTATACTGCCGGGCAAGGTCCCGCACGATGGAGTGGCGTCGCTCCATCTCCTCCATTTCGTCCGCATCGTCTATTTCGGTATCCTGGCCAGACACCAGCTTGTCCGATCTGGAGCTTGCGTCATTGTGTCCGGAGGAACGGTTGTCGTGGGCTGGGAAGGCACGCCGGGAGAGCTGACAGCTGCCGGGGCCGCATTCGAATCGACAATGGTTTCAGAACTCCCGTGGAGGAGTCGTGAGTGCCCATGGTTGCCTTCCGGGTAGAGGAGACAGAGGCCATGGAAAGCACTGTTGGGGGAGAAATGAGAGAAGGCCCACTTTTTCTCAACGATAGGTAATGAGCAGAGCGAAGTGCGGTTGTGGGATGGAGTGCAAGTAGTAAACGGCCACACTATGATTAATGGGGAGGTGCGCTGCCGGTATAAGGCTTGGACAAGATCCCTGACAAAATATTGGCGCCTGGCGGTTATATACTCGTTTGCAAGATTTTTCGATTCCCTGAAGGGCCCGGGCAGTTATCCTAGCTTTCCTGCAAGGTTACCGAGATTTCGTGGAAACTAGTATAGTCCGTTCGGGGCGTGGCTCCTCGCGTCATCCCGAGTCACGGTGCCACCGGAGTGACAGGCTACAATCCTTATTTTCCGACCGCATCCTCGGGGCCCGACAAGTGTCCGTCGCCCGGTTCGCTCCAGGGGTGGCTTGGTAATCTAGCGGGAGTCACGTAATCTTGCTCGATACCGAGTCCTTGGAGCCTTCCTGGCTGTTTGAGTCCGGGTTCGCATTGTTTTGATACCCCTTCTCCAGGAACCATATCGGCCGATATCTATAGTCTACTGCCTCATCCTTTACGCTCTATGATGCAAAGGGAGTGTTCTAGAAAGCTATAACCATGGTTTTGAAGATGTTTCGGATTTTACATCAGTGAGCATCATCGCGTGTTGGGCGAATTCCCTACCCAACCACTTGCAATGTTTTCTTCACAAGAACGATTCAACTATTTTTGGTGATAAATTATACCTACTGGTTTCTAAGACGGAACCAGAAGGGGGTTTCGCGTAGAGGACCGAAATCACTTCTTTGGTCGATCTCACATTATCTTGTCATGATAAAGCCCGTGATAGCGGAAAGGATGGGGAATTAGGGCGACGTGCATCTTTTATGGCATCTGCAAGCATCAAGTTGTCGAGGTGGCTGTCACCGGGAAGGTGCCGAGAGGCTGAGGGATTCGGGACGTCCACGGTTGGGGCATATCGAGGTCTCGTAAAAGTTTGGGAGCTGGACATGTTTGCGTCAGGGCTCAAACCTTCCGGCATCTTCGGAGACGGGAATTGAGCCGGGTCCGTGCTGACGAATGTCCTGGATGGCTCCACTTTGGCGGGACCAGATCGCGACTTTCTACCCCTGATTGGCCCCTGCCACCAAAGGCTCGATGCTTGGCGGACGCCCCTCTTAGAACTTCGGCCTCCGAACGCCTAAATACGGAATGGCCCCCAGTGCAGGTGGAACTTGCTTGGTGAGAAAGCTGCGAAATTGGTATCATTCCGCTTCCTTGCATCATAACGCCTCGATAAGGCAGGAATCGAAAATAGGAGGTGCCGAAGTTGATAGAGGGTCAGGTCAAACGACTTCGGTGGGGGTTAGGTTGACCGCAGCCCGGAAAGAAGAAGACAGAAGATATTAGTAGAAGATGCATGGTGGGGAGGGCGGGATGTTGATTCGGCCGTACAATCGTTCTGGCTTCATCGATCCTTCGAAATAGCCCCTGATCTAGATTCCCACGCCATGTGAAGTTATCAGATTGACATGTGGTATCTAAGCAAACATCTAAGGCAGCCCCGCCTAAGGGTCCTTGAAGACTAGTACGCCTAGCACGAGACGGGGTTACGGGTATATCATTGATAGTCTCGGGCTTTCCAGGCATGAACAGCTTGACCCGCTGTGTATGTGCAATTTCCGGGGTGTCTAGGCCTTCTAGCGACACGTGGCGCTTGGCGAAGGCGTGCCTCCTAGATAGCCAAGGGAGGATGGGTATGATGGATGCACTCGCGTGGTGGGGGCGGTTGTTGACAGGCAAATCTAACAAGTATCTATTCAAGATGCATTCGTTGAGACAATAATAACAAATACGCGAAACAGACGCGCGCTCGAGCTATCAAGGTATGTCCCGCCCCGCGGAAGTGCACCGAAATAAGTGTTTTGGGTTTTATTCATCATCTAACAGGGTAGATATGCCAATAGCGTGGCAACGGATATCAAAAGTCTAAATGTCTACCGCCGGTGTTGTCATAAGAAACAATTCGCTCTTCTGCCTGATCTGGGGACCATTTCCAGAATGTCCTTCCGATCAATAAAGTACCCCTGAGCCGCCGAGTACTTGCGCCGCAACGCCATCTTCCACGCCCTCCGATACTCGACGTGGAGTCGGTTCCAATCCAAGAACTCGGAGAGCCTGTCCGCATTACTTCTTTGGTCCACTCGATCGCGCATCTGCAGCTGACAAAAGTCATACATGAAGCCTGTCATTTGGTCGACCGACTCATCGAAGGACTGTTTGAGGCGATCCACGATATATAAGCCGTGCTCGGGGCCGTTGACGCTCTCGAGCAATTTCGACATGTAGCTACCGAATCCGGAAACGTTGGCTGCTATGCTCGGGATGCCCTTCGCTAAACACTCTGGCGGGGTGTATCCCCAAGGCTCGTACTGCGAGGGAAGACACCCAAGTGAGTCCCACGAACGAAATCCTCGTAGTCTATCGGCAGAATGGCGCTGGACGACCGCAGAAAGTCGGGGTGGAAGACGACCTTGACTTTGTCGCTCGGATCATTCAATAGGTTCACCCGTTTCAGATGATTTAGGATTGGGTCTTCGTCTGGGTTGGAGATCTTGTGCGTGATGACTGGCGGTGGGCCACTGCGCTGGATGCCATAAAGCCGCCGCCGGAGGGCTGAGTTTTCCGCCTCGGTGACGAGCTCCGTCTCGGTCGGCACCACGTCGCCATTCTTCCAGAGAAGGGTGCGGTCGAGAAGCCGTTTCTTGATACTCTCCTCAATGTGGTCGATAGCCTCGTGGAGTGACTTGACGATGGCCTGCCGATGCAACGACTCCGCAGATATCGAAGCATCCTTGGCTCTCATGACAATAAACGCAACCACTGTCGGACTATCCGGGCCCTGCTCCTTGAGTCGTTGGTTAAGGCGAGCCAGCGAGTCAATGAACATGTCCGCGCCCTTATTCGAGTACTCGTACCGGCCAGAGGTGAAGAAATAGAGGCAACGATTCGCGTCGAAGCTGTCCAGCTGGCCGTAAAAGTGGCCGCGGACGAAGTCGGCGATTTTGGCCTTCATGTTATACCGCACCGTACTGGACTCGTTGTATCCCATTTGTCGCTTGAACCCCAGATCCATACCGTTGGGGAGTACGATGTCGGCTTTTCGGCCAAGCAAGTGCTCACACTCGAGAGAGGTAATGTCCGAGACCGTACTGAGGATATCGCAATGTTGGGCAGATAGGCGCTCGATCCTGTGCCGGTGGAAGACGGAGGAGTGTTCCTCTTGGGAATCAACGTCAATGGTTTGCATCTCATTATACAGGTCGATGCCCCTCGCGCACAAGTCTCTTCCCATCACCGTCGCGTGTGCCGTGAAAATAGTTGACATGTTGAGCTTTTCATTCCTGATGAAGAAAGCTGCCAGACCGCTTGGCCATTCGTGGAAATGGGCGATTACCGCCTTCTTCTTAGCCTCGGCAAGGAACTAACCAGTTACCACTGTTAGTACTAGGCCCATACCCATGATCATACGAAGAATCTCGCTTTCTCACCTCCTTAAAGAACCACGTAACGAGACGTCCAAACACCAAAGCATCGTCACTCTCGTCATCAACCGGCAAAGTGACGCCCGAGGCCTTTTCAAATTCCTGCTTCCACTGCTCGAGGTACTTATCCTGTGCAGCTTTCACGTCGATTAATAGGACGCGTGGGTTTCCATCGATGAGCCACCTGCCATACACAGCCCGAATTCCTTCCTTTTCGAGACTTGCGATGGCGTGCGACATTTCCGGTGATGATGGCTCGAGCTCGTCGAATTCGGCAAGTGCCTATGGGAGGGTGGACTTTTATGTTAGATAAGGGCCCAAACAAGCGAGTGAAGGCCTCCGCTAAAACCTACCGTCTGGTAGTCGAGACGACCGAGCAAGGTGTACCGTTTGCCATACTGCGCTGTGGTCACCGGCGCTTTGGTCTTGAGCACCGTGTATACGCCGCCAACTTGAACCCGACTTAGCTTTCAAATATTGAAAGGGAGGGAACATTGGGATATCATACCCTGCCGACCGACTTCACTACACACTTCAAACAGAAGGTGGTTCTGCAGGTCTACATCGTTGTCGTTGGTGGGTCCGCCTTCCAACTTGACGAGCGACGCGAGTTTATCAGCCATGGCGAGGCGACAAGGTGAGAACAGGAAGGACAAGAGAATCAATCGTATTTCGCACGAGGAGATGGGTATGGAATTGCATCCCCGAGGAAGGGCTATGGCCATCATCGTTAATTATATACACACATATATATATTCCCGGACGAGCTTCTATTCCTTCAATCCCCTCTCGTCACCAAGCTGTCATTCCGTCAAGCCACCAAGTGGCCTTCGTCGTGGAGCCGGTCGATTGGTTCGGTGAAGCTTCCGTGTATCACGTGATACAGAAGTGCGCTGAAATCGGCTTGGAAGCAAGGAACGCTATCTGTGGCCGGAGGCGTTATTCCGCCATCGAATAAGAATCAATCTGGATTCTTCAGCTTAAATCCGAAACAGGCACGCATGTCACAACGACGTCAGGATCCGTCATTTTCCCCTGGAAACGATGAGTTTGGATTCTTCGGGAACCAACTCTTCCATTCGTCGCCCTACGACGGGTGAAAGTCTTATCTTGCAAGGAACGAAGAAATGCAAAGAGGGACATGTCCACAAAATAAAGAGACAAGAACACACGTACCAAATATATGCATATTCAAGTTAGAATAACTCTTAACTATTCAATGTTCTCATTATCCTGACTGATTTGCGTCTCTCATTTTCACATGTCCCCCATCAGGCGCCACCACCCTCCTCTTCCAAGATGGCGTCAAGCCAGAACCGACACCTGAGGTTGGCCGCCGGATCTTTGCCAATGCTGAATTCCGATGCGTCGGTGCCTTGACGATGGACACGGAGAATTCGTGCATTAGGTCCGTAAATAGGAAGTTCCTTGGCCTTACTTCTGCCCCGGCTTCCACGGGTCGTAAATCCGATGATCCAATCTTGGATAGCGCCCACCGCTGTAAGGTCGATTGGTAGACCGAAGGAATCGACGGTGGCGTCATTGTACAAGGAATACGACACGTCCTGCGCATGAACCCCGGGCAGACGTCGAAAAGATATCCTCTGGTCTGATTGCCATAGGCCAGATTCGCCCCAAATGCGTGGCAATTAAATAACGCATCACCAATCGCCAGCATTAGCCGTTCGGTGTGGTTTTTATACGGGAGCGTTCCGGAGAAGTCCAGCGGATAGATTTCCTGCGCCAAGGTATCAATCTTGCCTCGTGGGAGGTTCGGCAGAAGGTTCGAAAAATACGCACGGAAGCCTGCGTCATTCTCTACCCGAGGGTCTGTAAACAATAGCCCTTCCCGACTATTATGGGCCAGCACAATATCCACCGACCTATCAACTTTTCCCTTCGTTAACAGCCGAGCGGGCACGTCGCGCAGAAACTTGCCGTCAACATTGAGTTCTGAGTAGAATTAGATTAGCGCTGGCCTTTGAAATAAAACCGACCTTTAAAAAACAAAGAAGAATTGTCACCACACCACGGGACTACTCACGAAAAACAGTGTCCGTAAAGGCCCCGTTCGCAAGCATGGCCGTGTTGATAGCCTGAAGTTCTGTGGAATTCAGGTTTCTCGCCTCGTCGAAGCCCGACGTGCCCGAGATCTTTAAAAGTCTTGGTGAATCCTATCATATTGATCCTTGTGGATGATGGGCATCATTGCCGGACTTTGGATAATCGCTCGATCAAATGGCGCCGAGCCATCTTTGCCTCAAATGCTACGAGTTGGGCAAGAATGCTGCCGCCGCCCGCAGATTCCCTATCGCCGTTACTTGATCTCCATCCCCTCCGAATCGGCGAATGTGTTCTCGCACCCAGTCAAATGCTAGGCGCTGGTCGTATAACCCCGCATTCGACTCGACGTCATCCGCGATCCTCCTACCTGGCGGGAAGCCAAACAGGCCCCTAGTATGCTCTGGTTAGCTATAAGCTATCTGACAAGGGAGAAAAAAAGGCTCGCATACAGACGATAATTGATCGCTACTACAATCATGCCCCCATGCCTTGGGACATGCTCCTCGCCGCGATTCCAGCCGGGTTCACCGCCTCTTTGGACCATTTCGTATAACCGCCGCCATGGATCCACACTAGTACGGGTCGCTTGGTGGTGAAGCGATTTTCCCAGACCTCTTTCGGCGTGTACACGTCCAATAGCAGACAATCCTCCGACTGCGTTAGGTTATCCGAGTTCCCAAGGCGTACATCGGACAACCCTCCGCAATTTGCGGCATACTCTTGCACGAGCGGTAGGGTGTACTTGGAATAGTTTCCTGCCGCCTGGAAACAGATCCGTGAGTTGGAGCCGTCGTCGATCGTTCGATTTACGCTAGTCCTCGCTACCGGAGCCTTGAACCGAAGGTCTCCTAGTGGGGCCTCGGCATACGGGACGTTCTTGAAGGTGTAGATGGCTTCGTCTGGCTTTTGCGCTTGTAAGAACCTATTTTATCTACGCCGCGTGCTTGAGAGAGGGTGGTCCGTACGTGTATGATAGCCCTATGGCGAGAGGTCCCAAGGTCAACGACTAACGGATCCCGGTCCGGGCCCCTGCCCAAAAGGTACATGCGAAAAGGTAGAAATTTTTAAGTAAAACCATGCTAAGCAAGGCAGAAGCAGAAAAGAGTTAGGGGAAATGCGACTCAGGGAAGTAGGAAGAGAGGGGATGGTTGGGACAACTGGGGACAGATACAGGATATATTGTGAATCCGTTCGCGAAATGCGGGGAACCGGCTGTTCTTTTGGCCCCCAACCCCGGATTGACATACGGCATATGACTGCATCTACTATATCCATACATCTATGGACGTAGCCATTCAACCTTAACGTTATACGTATATCATAATTCAAGAGGGGTACCGCCTCAAAACGCCGGTAATTCGAAAAACTCCAGAGAGCGCCGATTTACCATAAAGGATCATTACGCTTTGCATCATCATTTGACCCATTTTCGTCAATAACTTACAAGACTGTTTCTGCTGCACACACCGAGCCTATACCAGCATTATTTGTCGGCGTGCTCGTCCATCGTCAATGTCATGAGAATCTCACGATACTTCTCAAGGCTTAATCCAATGATGTTGATGAAACGCCACTGAGTATTCCTCTTGAAAAATGGGCCCAGATCTTCAGAACGGCCAGACCAAGACTGGTCGGGTCACCTCTGAACTCAGTCTCTTCCTCATCGAAATCTACCACAGCCCAGGCCTCTTCCACTATGCATCGAACCCAGTGAAGAATGCGTTCTTCGCTATCTGTTCAATAGTTATACATATTAGTATTTGGCGAGAATTGGGGCGTTTGCGGTGGCTGGGATTGCTTAGGTGGTGATGAGACCGAAACATACCATTGAGTTTAGCGCTGCTTTCTTGACCTGGAAGGGAGAAGAGCCATTTGCTCAGCAGTACGGCGCACTCCATTCCCGAAAGCGAGTGCCTTACGCTCCAGAAGAAGGCTTGGCTTCGAGCAACGCGATCGACGCCAAGACGCACGGGAATGCTCAGTGCATGAGCTGCGTAGAGTAGAGCAGAGATCAGTCCATCGCTCCTGCGAACTCTAGGAGACCTGGCAAGCGCTCGAGCGATGCGTATTGGATCGCGAGTTTCCAGGCACCTATACGGACCGAGGTTGAGGTAGATTCGTATGTAGGCGAGACTTAATAGCGCGCTCGAGGTGAAGGGAATTGGCCCGTTCTCATTGTTGGGGTCAAGACTTGACTCGGGAGCCTGCTGCCAGCCCGAGGTCCATGATCGAAGGCCGCGTCTGCAAATGAAGGGGTGATGCGTGAGAAACGGAGATATCAAAGACGGGTGCGCTTGGAAAGGGGTGCCGGCTTACTCTAACTTTTCAACCTCATCAGCTGGCAGAGCTGCTGATTGATCTGCTACAGGAAGGGAAAGGTCCCTAACAATATAAATCCGTTGCAGCAAGCCATGGAGGAGGACGTAATTTCCCAGCGGCGTGGGTATGGGATCGAGTGGCGCTGTACAATCCACGTTCCGGAGCAATAAGGAAAGTGCGTCTTGAAAGAGCAGTTGTGTTTTCCCTACCTCTTGCGTGGCACTCTGCCACTTGGCCACCGACGATGCTTTCCACTCTTTCGTAGAGCATGGTAGCCGAAGGTGTATTTCGTTGCTGCGCAGGACGGGGTAAACGTCATAGGCTACGCTGTGGATATGGAGAAATGAAAATGCGATAAGCTTCGCTCTTCGTACGGATTCCTGATTTATCCACTCGAACCACGCGTCACACGGGTCATCTGGTAAACTTGACCCGTTTCGTGTGGGTGGTTCTTCAGTAAGGCCAATGTCACGAAGAACCTGCACAAGCAGGCTTTGGAGACCAAAAGCTTCGCGGAGCAAGACCTCCTTGGGCTCCCAAGTGGCGTAGCCCATCAACACGATCAGAGTGCGAACAGCATCGATGGGTTCCCAAGTGCCCCACTCCTAGCCATCACGGCATCTGAGCCCTGCGCCGGTGAAAACAGGTTGCCTGCGGATGGAGGGCGGGCCTGCGACAAACAGCCGCGGATATCAAGGAAGCTATCCGTTCCGTGGCCGAATTTCTCGCTCTCATGGCGCAGTCGCTGCATCAAAAGAGCCCTGCTGGAATAAAAGAGCTGCTCCGAGTTTCGATGCTCAAAACAGTACTGCGCACCAATGGCTGCGATCCCTAATACCAACTCGAGGGGCGCCGCATCTATGTGCCAAGTATGGTGGATGAATACCATGTGCGAATGGAACCCTTCAAAGAAGGAGTTGATGTAGCGAGTAAGAGTATGGCGTGACGGTAGTTTAAAGCTAGGGCTTACAACATCCCGAAAGGTGTCTAGGGTAGCTAGTAGCCGTGAACGTTGGTCATCTGATACTCTATGACCTCGGCCGTCAGTCCGGCGACCTTCGTAGCCTAAACTATAGTTAGTACACTAACATATGGAACCGTTGCTCCACAGAAAACGGTACGATGGTCGATTAGCATACCCTCATCATTAGGATTGGCGGGAACTCGATTGTCCCCGATAGCGGAGGGCAGCCATGAACTGAAGGGGGTACCTGGCCGGGACGGCCCCGGCCTCCCACCCGGCGTCATGGCTCGGCCTCGAGGTTCAGCTGGTGAGGCATCTGGGGCATCGTAGTCACGCTGAAAGTATGGGCTCCATTCAGCGGGCAGGCCAACGCCATCTAAGAAATTAGCAAACTCTTTGAAGTGGTCGTATCCCACTATGTCCGTGCCTGATATTTGACACCTCTCGGTTAGCAGTGGGGGAGGGAGTAAGAGTCTGACGATTAGAGGACTCGCCATTTTCAAAATTTTGTGGCGTCAGCAGGCCTTGGAAATATGAGGGGGAACCGCATCCTCCCGCACTAATTCAACTGTGTGGCTGTCAGGAACATGATGTGGTATATCTGGCACCATCCGCGGTCGAGTTATGAGGCGGTCATTATCAACCGACGGTAAAGAGACGGGCGCGTCATCCCCGTCGCCGAAGGAGAGCCATGTGCCCCATCACGTCCGCCGGCGACCGATGGCGGCCACTTTGCATGGTCGGAAGTATTAGCATGCAGTGAAATACGTTGATGGCGGGTCAAGAGATCCCGGCGCGCAAAGGACTCGCCACATATGCAAATGAACGGCTTCTCTTTTGTGTCTAAAGATTAGGGAATACGAATTAGTCTACCTAGGTATAAGGACAGGAGGATATATTATCCTAGATAACAAGAACTTGGATAGGCGGGACGGACGAATTCGAACGTGACGTTCGAGGTGTTCGGTACGCTTGAACGTTCTCCCGCAGTGAGGGCATGGCCGAGAATCGCCCCCGGCCGCCTCCGCCGTTTCGTCGGAGGCGGTGACGGCTGAGGACTGGAGTCGCGCCTATGGGGCTCTACGGATATCGTGGCCACCATTGAGGATTACATGAAAGGGTCTTGATCTCTCTTAGAGTCTATAATGGAGGCGGCGTGGGGATGATGGAGCGCGCTGGGGCGTTGGGGCGTTGGGGCGGGATGGGAGGGCGATATCGAGTTGGAGGAAATATGTTGGAGGGGACAGGTTGGAGGGTAAGATGGAGGCATGATCTGAGCAAAGTGAACTGGGGGGCATGAAAATTTGTAACTCCAAGTGTTGGAGACACTTCGTCCCACAATTTCGGAGGTCAGAGATAAGTCTATGTCGTTCGGTATCGCTGGCCAGTGAAAAAGTACTTACGTTTATTTGCCGACGCTAGCGTGAGTGTCGTCGCCACCATTTCTCCACTTGGAGGTTGACCGTGCTCCAATTCGATATGCCAAGTAATCCAAGTCCTTGAATACGTCTAGGAGTCCATTTCATGATTCCATTGAAATATCCATTGTAATCAGTGCTTCAATACGGCCATAGCGATATGGGCCTGGCGGTGGTTCTATGAAACCGCCTGTTTTGACGATCGCTTTACTCAAAATATACCACCCGCGCTGGACCTAATCCCACACTCCGCACCGTCTAATCCTCGAACTTCTTTAAGAGAGACTAGGTGATCATGGCGTCGCTTCTTCCGAGATTTCCAGGTGTCGCATTCATCACCGGTGCTGGCGGTACCGGTAATTCCTCCTCCTTTACCCCTCCCCCATAAACATGAAGCTGGGGTTCGCTCTACTTACACGGCCAAAAATTTAGGAATTGGAGCAGCCGTGGCCCGCGCATTTGCGAGTTCAGGATGCTCTCAGTTTGCCATTACCGATATCAATGATGAGACTCTCGCCGCAACTCATCAGGCAATCCTCAAGATCAACCCAAAGGCGCAGATTATGTGCCATGCGGGAGATGTATCGAATGAGACATTCGTTGAGTCGATGATGACTGACGTGACTAAACGATTTCGCCGAGTGGACTATGCGGTGCACTGCGCCGGAATCCTTGGAAGCGATCAGAGATCTACGGAAATGTCCGTGAAGTCGTTCGACGCCATCACAAACGTAAACTACAAAGGGACATGGCTTGCGTCCCGTGCGGCCTTGAGGCAAATGCTGCAACAAGAACCGATACCTGAACACCCACAGCAACGAGGGTCTATCGTAAATATCGCCAGCCAGCTGGGAATCGTAGCCCGGCCGGGGGCGGGTAAGTCTTTAATCCTGCGTTTTAGAAACGAAGTCCTGTAATAACATACCTACTAGCGCCTTATTGTGCCTCAAAGGCTGCCATCATCAATATGACTCGTGCGGACGCTATTGACTATGCGCGGGATGGAATTAGGTCAACTGCGTTTGCCCTGGTGTGATAGCAACGCCGATGACCGCGAAGTCGGAGGAGGTAATCCGGCGCTTGAAGCCGGCGATCGATATCGCCCCTATGCAGCGGATGGGACGACCAGAGGAAGTCGCGGACGCTGTCTTATTCTTGTCGTCGAGCCAGGCCTCGTTTATTCAGGGACATGCTTTGGTTGTGGATGGAGGATACACGATCAATTAACATGGGTTTATGCCAACGGTCTGAGATGACGAGGAACACACAAACACACATAACGCATGTATTATTATAAAGTTTATGAAACTCAATGTTTATGTTGAAAATCTTCCAAGTTTTTACCTTTTCTCCGGCAGCCATTGTGTTTATCACGACCGTGGAGCAAACATCAATGCTACAGGATAGATCCGGACGCAAGGGACTCCAATGAATCTGCACTCTTTTGGTATTCGTAGGAAGAGAGTCACCCTTTCACAACATAGTAGGTCTATATGCTCCAAATGCAGCCTGATTCATAAGAAATCTATCTATGCTAGGCGAAAGGTTCTAGAGGGTGTACATCAACTGATATTCTATTCTTCACATATTATGCAATTACCCGCCGCCATCCACGTTTCTGGCCCCTACATGTCTTTATCTATTGTCCATCCAGCACTCATCTCTTCTCCACCCAGTCAAAGGAGGATTCCCAGGCATGTCCGACCTGGAGCACCTTCTTGTCTTGGCCTAGGGCACCGACGATCTGCATCCCGACCGGCAGTGAGAGAGTGGCGTCGTCTGTGGCTGGTGCCCATCCCACTGGAATCGACATCGCAGGGTGTCCAGTGACGTTGAAGACAGCAGTATTTGTCGTCATCCCTATTGTAGGCTCAAACGAGGCTCTCGGGGAGTCCCGCATGCCGTGTCTACGCGCCACAAAGGGGGTTGTGGGGAGGACAAGCACGTCCACGCCGGTAAACACCTTCTCGTACGCATCGCGTATCCGCCGCCCAATGTTGACGGTGCGGCCGTACAGCCCTGGGAACTTGTCGGCCAGGTAGAGACCGTTGATGACGGTGTTTTTGTAGAGGGGAAGAGTCGCTGGAAAGATGCCGTGGTCCACGGGAGCCGAGCCTCCTCGAACTCGGTGAGATAAAGACCGCGGCGTCCGTGGGCTTTGCCCAAAATGGTGAGAGATCCGGAAATGCGCTGTTGAATGGTCCACACAGCAGGCCCGTCCAGGTGCTCCGGCACGGAAACCTCCTCGACTGTTGCTCCAAGTTCTTCAAATTTTTCGATAGCAGCGCGGACCACGGCTCTGACATCTTGATGTATTATATCTTGGTTAAATCCCTCGGCCAGTATTCCAACCTTGATTCCGGATAGAGGTTTTGCCGTCTCCGAGTTTGACACTAACGCTTCAGCAAAGCCAAAGGAGTTGTGTTTCCCCGCGCCGACTGACCGGTCGTCAATGCCGTCATAGCCTGCTAGGGCATCTAGGCACTTGGCCACGTCCAAGACGGAGCGCGCCAGGGGACCAGCATGATCATCAATAGCGTCACCGCTAGTGATCCCAGTGAATGGAACAAGCCCATAAGTTGGCTTCATACCAACACCTAATGAGGCAAGTTAGTCGCGAACTGGCCAATTTTCAACGTCGGTATGAACGGTTGGGAAACTCACATCCGCAGAGGGCTGACGGCACCCTGATGCTCCCGCCTTGATCAGTGCCAATGGCGATATCAGTGATTTTTCCTGCCACCAGGGCAGCCCCGCCCGATGTGCTACCGCCTGCCGAGTATCCAGTGGCATGAGGGTTTTCCACAGTCCCTTGGGCGCTCGTAAAAGACGCTGTCGAATTGCAAAAGTGCTCGCAAGTTGCAGTCCCGAGGATATCTGCACCGGCATCGAGTACCCTGGTGACAACTGTCGCGTCGGTTACAGGGGTCCATGGATCAAAGGCATCGCTGCCGTAGAACTGAGGCACCCCTGCAACAGCGATGCAGTCTTTGATACAAACACTTTTGCCTGCCAAGTGCCGCGCCGCACCATTCCCAGTGTCCTGGGCACCGCGTATCAAGACTTTGTGGGCCCAGGCTGCACCAAATACCTTACTGTCCTCCGCTGGCCGGTGGACGTTTTCACGGGGGTACCGCTGTTGGTCAGATACCGGCTGATAGTCTGGCAGACTTAGAAGATGCTCTGCGCAGTCATGGACCGCGGCGAGGAGTTCATAGTAATCAACAGACTCTTTTGGATCAAGTTCGACACCAAGGTGTTTTTCCAAAAGAGCCTCGGCATCCCCTTTCTTAACCGGGTTATCCCTGAAATCAAGCTGTTAGAGCCTTGTCCAAACAGGACTGACATATGAAAGTAAATGCGGCTTCTCATAACTTACGGCCCTATCTCATTGAAAAACACCGACATTTATAGCGTCTGATAACTTGCAGCAAAGACAAGTGGTAGTTGTACGTGTGCCCCGAAACTAACACCTCAGGAAATCAACTTGGCGGTCATAAGGTTGAATTGGGAGTACAATCAATGTTGTGTCCAGAACAGGGAAGCAACCCAGGTGTTATCAGCTTCAAAAGAGCTTGATTTTCCCCTTTTGCGGGCCAAGGTAACGATGCGCTCGGAATGGGGCCCATGTGCGTCCGCGGATGCCGTCTTTGATAGCCCGGCTCGGATACGGTGCATTGGAGACTAGCGCCCATCGGATGGGGCTCTCCAAATTTTGGAGGTTCCAAGACATCAATGATCCAAGCTTGCCAAGCAGGAATCATTATCTCCAACGGACCCACAATTGGGGTCCATTGGACTTGAACAAGGATACCATGGGCAAAATAGATCGTTTTGTTTGACGTTCGATCCTCAATAGCTTTGGCTCCGCAGCTCCGCATGAGAGACGTCAACTGGAGCGGGGTGACCGAATTGATATGCCATGGACGTGACAGAGCCGGTGATAAAGAGGCACTCCACGACGAGAAACGCCGGAATAGCTAACACGCGAAAGTAATAGGAGGAAGGCATGATCAACAGCCAGCAAGAGAACAGCCATAAAAGACATCCACCCAGGACACCACCAATCTTGGTTTACGTTATTCGAAAATCCCAAGTGAAGGCAGCAATAATGGCACCAGACGAGAGTAATCAGCGGGGAATGAAGGCGGCGGAGCTTAGCCAAGTATGCCACCAACCTTGTCCACATAAATGCCTTTAATGCATCATGAGTTGTGATGAGCTAATGGGCTTCCGCCATGGATCGTAGTATAATAAACCTTACGAATTAACAACCAGAGAATTGCCCCAGATTGCCAACGATGAGCTTCTAATCCACGTCCGCGCCGCAGGATTTTGCCATTCGGATCTCCAGGTTTTACAGGGCCAGTTTCCCACCCAGCTCCCCATCATCCCATCGCACGAGCCCGTTGGGGTGGTTGTCGGTATCGGGTCCGAGTGCCCTGGGAGCTGGCAGCTGGGCGATCGTGTCGGGGTGCTCAACTTCAAAAATGCTTGTGGCGAATGTACCGGGTGCCGCTTGTCAATGCGCAAGCAGCATAAACACGACCCCAGATTTTGTGTGCACCGGAAGACGGCCGGCTTCAGACACGACGGGGCCTTTGCCGAGTACATGGTGGCGGATCCCCGCACCACCGTCCCGCTCACCGAAGGCATCTCCTTTGAGCAAGCAGCGCCGCTGATGTGCGCAGGGGTGAGGGGCCAAATCCTATATGGTGCAATTTCGCAAGCTAACATGTCTGTAAAAGGCAACAGTATGGGGAGCTTTGGAAAAAGCGACCGCCGGTCTGCAGCCGGATGATGCGGTCGGCATTGTTGGAATCGGAGGCCTTGGGCACTTGGCTCTCCAATTCGCAAAGGCACTGGGGCACAGGGTCGTTGCCATCGATAGTCGGGCAGCAGGTCGAGAGTTAGCAACGGCGATGGAAAACCCAGCGCTGAAGCCAGACTTGGTGGTGGATTCTCTAAAGAAGCGCGAGTCCACGGATGAGATCTACGAGTTTACAAATGGCGAGGGACTAGCAGCCGTGGTCGCCTGCACGGACTCGTTGGAGGCAAACGCTTGGTCGCTGGAGTTGCTGAAGATTCAAGGCGTTCTCGTTGTTCTAGGGCTCCCGCCAGAGAAGTGGCAGTTTGACTCGAGCCTGATGGTATTCAAGGAACTTACTATCCGCGGAAGCTATGTCGCGGATACCGAGTCGACGAAAAGGATGATGGCCATTGTTGAAAAGCACAATGTGCAGTCCCACCTCACAGTCATTGCATTCGAGTCTCTTCCTGAGATTGTCCAAATGTACCAAGAGTCCTCATTCAAGGGCCGATTAGTTGTACGCATATCACAAGATAGTTGAGCCATGCACGCTTCAATAAACTACCACCAGAGATAGCACTTTTGAGATGATTGTGCTCGTTCAAAATCATACCATGTCTAGATAGTATCTCGGGATCGCTCGGGTTTGTTGATATCAGCAAGCAACACCTCCATTTCATGGGGGCTCTTATCGATTTATTTTTGTCTCCAACAACCTTCAATGCGAAATCCAATTGTTCTCCAAGTTTTTTTCCGTCTCCAACAATGTCCACTAGTGTACCCATGTACCGCCCTGTACTATCCCCTGATGGGCGTGGATTCACGGAGAGATTTCTCGACTAGGCTAAGCTAGGCCAAGGTGAATCGCCGTGCCAAGCCACACGGTGAGATAAGGATGGAGATGAATGATGGGCGGGATATGATCTGGGGTGGATCAAGCGTCATCCCCAGTCCCAATACCCCACCTACCGACATCATACATGTATAGATATTGATCTTTTCTTTATTTTCCCTCCATACAGCTTGATCGCGCACCATCTCATAGTCGACAGGAGAAGCCATTCACATATCCACACGCGATCTCAATTCAAACGTTCATATCTCAGCAGCATCATGGGCAAGAAGCGAGTTCTCATCAGCTATGGCGTTGACGTCGATGCTGTCTCCGGCTGGCTCGGTTCGTACGGTGGACAAGATTCATCCAATGACATTAGCAGAGGTGCGTGTGCATGCCCCTTGCCCGACTCGCGAATGAGCGGGATGCATTCCAAAAAAGGATACTTCATTGGGCCAATATGTGCTCGTAGGCGGTGTACTGATCCTCCCGTATAATAGGGTTGTTTGCGGGGACAGTCGGGGTCCGGCGCATGCTCAAACTCTTCGCCAAGTATGACATGAAAACGACATGGTTCATCCCCGGGCACAGCCTTGAGACCTTCCCTGAGGAAATGGCAGCCGTGAGGGATGCGGGGCATGAGATTGGTCTTCATGGCTACTCGCACGAGAACCCAACAGACATGTCTCTTGAGCAGCAGCGAGACGTGCTGGATAAAACGTATAAGATGCTAACCGACTTCGTTGGAAAGCCCCCGCGGGTAGCGTAGCACCATGGTAAGTGAAACCCTTGTGGCTCCTAGACATTCAAGTCTCTCTAGGAGGATCATGGAGGGGAGCTAATGAGTGCATCTACGAATCCAACAGGTGGGAGACCAGCAAGGAAGGGGCTCAACTGCTCCTAGACTACGGAATCCAATATGACCACAGCATGAGCCACCACGATTGCCAGGCATACTACCTGCGTACAGGTGACTCGTGGACCAACATTGACTACACCCAGAAGGCAGAGCAGTGGATGAAACCCCTTGTCAAGGGCCAAGAAACTGGACTAGTGGAGATCCCAGCCAGCTGGTACCTCGACGACCTACCTCCCATGATGTTCATCAAGGATGCCCCTAACAGCCACGGATTCGTGAACCCGCGGGATATCGAAGACCTTTGGCGCGATCAGTTTGATTACTGTTATCGCGAGTACGACGAGTTCATCTTTCCTATCACTGTGCATCCCGACGTATCTGGCCGGCCGCAGGTGCTATTGATGCACGAACGGTATGTATCCACTCTGATTCCTAAGTTGATTGATACATTGAATTCCTACGGTGACCGGACATAACGATACTAATTTGATTAGGCTTATTGAATACTTTAAAAAGCATGATGGCGTGGAATTTGTAACGATGGAGGAGATGGTAGAAGAATTCAAGAAGAAGAACCCCCGCCCGAGGGCGCGGTGCTGCCGGCGGCACCTGGTTCGATTCTCAAGGCTGAGAAATAAACTAGAGCTTTTCAAATAAATCTGAGTTATTCTATTACGCATTCTTTTTCTCCATCCATGCAGATAGTAGACCCTCTTTTTTTTTTCCCCTTCTCCTCCGGGGCTGGCGGCGTGGTGGGGCAAGATCGTAGCTCTGTGCCAGGAGGTTCGCGTCTTTCAGAACGCCCCAGTCTCAATTCCTCAGTAGTTCTGTGGGGCCCTCGTTCCTCGGTTTAACTTGACTGAGCTTGGCCATTCCTGAATACACCCATGCGCCAGTGTCAAGATCCGGCGTAAGTTACCCCAATCGAAGATAGTCAGAATGTCAGCCGCCACTACTCTCCAAGAAGTGGGTCAGAGCCCCTGATTTTCTTTTTGCCTCCTCGAGTTGGAGGTCTTGGAGAGGCAGCGTTGGGGTAGTAGGATGAAGACTTTCCCAAAGGGGCAGTTCAATTTTCGACGCCCGCCCCTCCAAAGATACCGCGTCTGCTCCAAGATGCAAAACTTGGATGATTACAATCCATCAGCCCGGATCCTTGAGCAGGATCCGTAGTTATGGGACGGTTCTACCGTTCGCCTTCGTATTGCCGACACGCGACCCCACGCCTGCTATCAGGGACGACGTTGATCGACGTGGAGAAGGCCTTATCTGGAAAGGGCCTTATCTGGGGTAAAACGACGTGAGCTACTGTGCTCTAGCCTGGGTTGTTTCTACTTTCGCCAAGAAGACGACCTAGGCAAGATAGCACGAGAAAAATCTCACACGTCGTCGCGTTATATAAGACACAGCGACACCATCACCAGTCTCCCATCACATCTTGATCGACACTCTTCAGCCTTATGCAAGGTCGCTACAAGCTCAATCACATCATGTCTCCTTCAACCACATACGAAAAGGCAGATGCCATCACGCCTGCGCAGGACGGCAGCAGCAGCAGCGTGGATATGCAGAAAGCAGAAATGACCGATGACTCCTTCGAGGTGTTCAAGAAGCAAGAAGGTGCTGTCGACTTCCGCACTGTCGGCTGGGTCCACGCTTCAGTCATTTTTCTAAAGGGTTGGTCCGCCCTCTCCTAATAGCTTCTTTATTGTATCACTCTTCTTTGTGCGCGCCGGTTACTAACGAAGAAGTTCAGTCATCTTTGCCACGGGTGTTTTGACTATCCCGTCCGCAATGTACGTGCTCGGGTCGTTCCCCGGCGCCATCAACGTGCTGGGGTGGCAATTCCTCAATACCTACGGCGCGATCGTCCAAGGCAACTTCCGCAACGCCCACGCCGGCTGTCATTCCATCGCTGATATGGCCAACGTCGTGGGCGGGCCGTGGCTAAAGGAGATTGTCGGCGTGCTCTTCCTCGTGACGTACGCGATTGTGGGTGCTTCGGGAATCTTCGGCGCCTCCGTCGGCCTGAATGCCCTGTCCAACCACGCCATCTGCACCAATTACTTCATGCTAGTCGCCACCGCCGCGGTCTGCATTCTGGCGAGTTTCCGAAAGTTTGAAAAGATTGCGTGGCTCACCTGGGTCGGCTTCATTTCCGTCTTCGTCGCCGTCTTCGTTGTCGTGTAAGTCCACCACTGCATATTCTCAAGTCTTCCTATTGCCAGCTAACGTTCGTCCTCCCTGTATTCAGCGTCGGTGTAACGAAGCTCGATCGTCCGGCGGCAGCCCCAAAGAAGGTGATTTCGATCTAGGCTATCACGTCATTGGCAATCCTACCTTTGTGGCCGGCATCACCTCCGTGGCCAGCATCTTTTGCTCCGGTGCCGGTACCTCTGCCTTCCTTCCCGTTATTTCCGAGATGAAGAGGCCCCGCGACTATAACAAGGCTGTGTACGTGTGCATGGGCATCGTCACCGCGGCATATCTCAGTTTCAGTCTCGTCGTTTACCGTTACTGCGGCCAGTGGGTTGCGTCGCCTTCCCTCGGCAGTGCTGGCGATGTGGTGAAAAAGGTGGCTTACGGCATTGCCCTTCCCGGGCTGCTTGTCAGCGCCTGCCTCTACATCCATGTTGCGGCCAAGTACCTTTTGTCCGCATTCTGCGCGACTCCAAGCATCTTCAGTCCAACTCTTTCGTGCATTGGTCGGTCTGGTTCGCGTGCACTATTGGCATGTCGGCAGTCTCCTTCTTGCTCGCCTCCGGTATCCCCATCTTCAACTACCTTCTTGCGCTCGCCGGCAGCCTTACCTTTTCTCCGCTCGCACTCGGCCTCCCGGGTACCTTTGGATCTATGACCACCCCCATTACCGCAAGGGAGGATTCTTGAAATCAACCGCATATTGGGCTAACTGGTTCCTGATACTTCTATCTGCGTTCCTCATGATTGGTGGAACCTACGGTGTTATTCAACAGGTTATCAACGCTTATGCGAACGGCGAGATTAGCTCCGCATTCTCCTGCGCGGACAACAGTAACTCGTCACCTTCGGATTAAAGCACGGGAGTGGATTAGCGGCGGCGCGTGTTATTTTTCTATAGTTATTTTGTTTGTTTAAAGCCTGCTGTACCCTGAAATGGGATATTTCGAAGCACGTCTATTGACGATATTTTGACGGACTGTGGACGATGGGAATGTCGGAATCAAGTAGCGTAGATCGGGGCTATCTTTCTTTCTAGCATTTGGCTATACCCAATTAACGAGAAATTTAAACGAGTTATTGAATTAGTTCAGCCATTCATGAACAAGTTCTCCAGCCAGACTTCTACTGGCTGCTATGGTACTGAAACTGTTACAACACCTTTCTCAACTTGGGCACGTCCGTCTCTGAGCCAAACCCGAGCGAAGTAAACAGAAGGCGCTATCTAGACTTGATTAAGCGATCCTATTCTTCTTCCATGCATATTCTTTGGATTGAGAGCTTTGCGGGCACGATCGGATGATCAAGGTGAACAAATATAAGTGCAAGAATTAGGTGTTGTGTTTGGCATATAGGTGAGGTGTTGGAGGCATATCACAGCTTCACTTAGGTATTTGCAAGGGGACGCGAGGAACATGCCTAAAGATGAATTCAGAAAATGTCTCGATGGCATCAAGTGCGTGTAATTCATTCGCTGGAAATATAAACTAACAAACACAGAGGTATAAGTGGTGCGCGAAAAATATTGTGCAAGGTTTTTGAGGCGGCGGGGGCGAACCCAAACGCGTATGACATCGACTGTTCCATGCCACTTCGCGCAAGATTTCTCATTGCTGTGAGTGCTAGAGAGCTTTCAGCCTACAAGGTAGGCGTCGTGTTAAGTCAAAATGCGCAAGGCCCTTTGCACAGTCCCGAAAAGAACGGCCGATAGAGCCTAATAAGTCTCATGATAATTGCAGTCCATATTCCTAAAGCGAGGCATCCGTATCAGAATGAATTTGGGTCCATTGAGGCCAGGAGTTGATATCTGCATCAACATGGAAAAGCTCGGATTCGATAAAATTTGCATAGATAAAGGACATATCAGTAATCGGTAGGTTTTTATCACCTAAAGAAGCGGTGCCAGGCCCTCCCGCGGTTGGCACCCCAAGCGTCGGTGTTGTTGGAGAGGCGTTTGGTCGAAGTTTTCGGAACTGAGTTAGGACGACATGTCCGAGGATAGACGCTACATGACATGGTAGCCCGATAGAATGAAGCCAGCTAACTAAATTCAACACGAGGTTGTCAAGGCTCGCAACATCATAATTAGCGGCCACAAGTTGGCTCTCGTATGCGTGGAGGATTTTGCACAACGTGAGGGCGGAAAAGGTGATCGCGTGGTAAATGTGATCTGTCAAGTGCCGCGTCCGTCCGTCTGCCGTTTCAACGGCAATGTTGATAACCGCGGTGGAATGGCGAATCATCTCGCGCACGACAGAATGGTGCATCCCCGACTTGTGGCGTTTGAGAGAGCTGCCGTATACTAAAAGATTGGCGAAATGGAAGCCAATCCGAAGGAACTGAGAACGTGGCTCGTCTATGCGGAATCATAAGTCTTTGCCCTTGGCTGGCGAGATGGGACGACGGAGGGAACTCACTGAACAAACTAGACCAGCTGTGTTGCCATGCTTCAAGAACCACGAGAGTTTCCGCCACAGGAGGTGGTGAGTTGGCACGAGTGTTGCAAAGAATCCAATACAGCTCAACCTCGGCTGCCATTCGCCTTTCGTAGTTTGTCGTACTATCAAATTTGGCAAGATGGAGACAGCGGTCGATGTGCTCCTGGCGGATAATCGCCTGTCGGTTTGTGCCTACACAATACCTACAAGATTACGGTCAGCCGAAGAACAGCGGCGATACTAGGACGGACTCGGTGCGAGTTACTGGAGATGGGCTAGGCATAGGTGATTCCACAAACACCAAGAGTCTAGGTTCGTAAAGATATCCGCAGTAGACTTCCAGTCAGTTCGCAGTATCTCTGCGAAGTATGGGTTTGAAAGAGCTTGCTGGATTGCGTAGCCGGTCAAGAGCCAGCCGTCAATGCTGAGCGGCACCTGTCCGACTGTGGTGGACCATAGACTCAAGACAAGCGCGGCCTGGAAAAATTCCCGACCCTGGGGAACTTCGAGAAGCCCGGATGATACGAGGCGCTTGGCTTCATGGAAGAGCTTCGGGGCAAGTCTGTCCGCCAAATCCTGCGAGGTGTGCCTCACCGCGATTAAGAAAACACTGCATAGCAGGAGGGGAGATCGCTTCACTCGGTTAAAGAGCGTGTCTGATGGGCAATCCTCGGGAAATCGCACCCATCGGCCATAATGAGAATGGAATCTATGGGGTGTAAGTAACATGAGCTGAGTACAGGTTGCATCCATCCTGTCCAATCTTACAAGGTAAAGAGTGAGTGGGCTATCGCGGGCGTGACAAGTCCCATAGAAATCACATCGTTAGGTAGCCGAATTTCGTCAAGCTGTCCTGGTGAGTGCACGCCAGCATCGGTTGCAGCATCTCGGATCAACAATACTGGTGCCGGGTCTAAATCCGAAGGATCCGTGGATCCCAGATGATGGGAGAGGAGCGAATGGCGGGGCTGTAGTCGCACGTTGCTCGTCAAAAGTTGAGTCGAAACGGTGGATCAGTGCCTCGACACTTCTCTCGAGTCGCTCCAACCTGGCGGTTCTCGCTGGCAGATTAGTAAGGAATATTCGAGACAAAATAGAAGGTGGGCCCGAATAGAGTTGGCCGACAAGGACAACCATTTTTAGCACATCCTTACCTTGTATCTAATGAAGACTGTTGCTTTGGTCCCGAAGCGCCCACTGCTAGATCCGAACCCCGATTATACCCACGGTCTAGTGGCGAATGTAGGCGCTCACGGGTGTTGTTGCTTGATTCGAGTGAGCAACTCTGCTGCAACGTGCGGCACCGAAGACAGCCGTTCCCCGCTTCCTCCGATGCATAACACCGGGTTTTATGCCGGCGGCATCGGTCGCACGCTTTCGGAGCCCGGCTGGAGCGCAATGGGGGCATAATGCATGAAACACCAACTTGAAACTTTCTCCGGGCAATATAAATAAGGGTTGAACATCTTTCCCATTGTCCTCAGGACGATTGATAATGGCGAGCTGCGATCCAGGGATGTCGTGATTAGGCGTCACGTGGTTTGTTGCGATAGGGGATATCGCTCACAGGTGCTGGCTTATCCGTCGGTGGAGTGGGGATGTGGATTGCACCCGTAGATTACCAGATACACTCTTATCAGGAGTAGTATTAGTCGCAATAAAGGGAGAACAAGAATGGCTATTGAGTAAATATTGGCGCTAGCAAATTTTGCTAAAACAAATGGTCTATCTAAAGATCGTGAAAATAAAACAGAAACAGAGCTAAAATAATGGCCTGCTATAATCTCCCCGGTCGTGTCCACGGCAAGCCAAAAACAATTACGATGTCAACCCCAGCGACAACTATCTACGTTCTTCCGTTTCCTCATCGCGAGAAGTGTTATACTTCGCCTCAACGCCGCCATCACCGTGATCAAACAAACGATACAACAATTTCCAGACAAGAATGACCACAGCAGCAGCAATTGCGCATGACGCTGCGATTATCAAACCACGGGTGTAGCGGGGAGCATCTGTAGCGCGATCATTGTTAGCCAACATATTTTGATCTATAAGAGATCGTGAGGTGAGGAGAATCGTACCTTGAGTTCGGAACAGTTGGTTTCAGGGAAATTGGCGAGCTGGATACTCATCACATATGCTGCGAGGGCAACCGGCCGCTTGTAGTCTTCCATCTTGGCTGTGAGCCACGCGGCGCTGATTGCCTGCGCGCTTCCCATGCCCATCTGGGTCCATACAACACCTCCTGTTTTGATTCAAGTCTGGTTAGCTTCTTTTCTTGAAATCGAACGTAAGAAGATTCGAGTTGGTAGCATACCGTATAGAGTCCACTTGCTCACATCGGTCGGGGCCAGGGCCAGCCACAGCAAACCGATTGCTCCCCAGAGATATCCGACAGCGATGTGGAAACCGCGCTCACCGAGGCTATCGCTGCTGAACGCCAGTGACACTGACCACACCAAAGCGCAGACGCTTCCGACCGAGTTCAAGCCATTGGCCTGGAGGGAAGTAAAGCCCAGAGACTTGATGATTGATGGCGCATATGTGTTCATGGGGGCGATCATGACCATGGAAAGCAGAGCAGCAGCAAGGTGGCCATAGATCCTCCAGTCCGTGAAAGTCTGGATTATGTGAGTCAAAAGCACAGGCTTTCCATAGCGAAGCGCCTTGGTAGGATCGTTGCGAATGACGCGGGTGACGATTATCGCAGCCTCGCGGTCCGTGAAGACGTTGAAGGACTTGCCAAAGAACGACTTGGGCTTGGCAGCGTTGTGCGGAAGATACAGGTAGGCGACAATTCCGAGGAAGCAAGTCAAGACACCCTCTGTAAAGACGGCCAATATGGTGAGTGATTCATTCCATTAAGCCATGATGGGGAGGGAAGGGGGGGGGGGGCATATCACCTACCAATGAGAAAGAGCCACTGCCATCCATGCAGACCTCCTCTTCCTTTGAGGGAAAGCAGCCCTATGGAAAGCGGCCCACCAAGCGCGCCAGCAAAGCTGTTAGAGGCCCAGAAGAGAGCATAACGCAGCGCTAGTTCGTTGTTGGTATAGTATCTCGAGATGTAAAGCGCAAAACCCGGGATGTAACCTCCCTCGAGGGCTCCCACGAAGAACCGCGCCACGTAGAGCCCCGTCGCGTTCTTCAGGAAGACTTGAGCCCAGGTCACCGTGCCCCAGAGAAACATGGTGATGGGGAGGAATCGCTCCGGGCCCATGTACCTGCTAATCATGTTAAAGGGGAGCTCGGTGACGATGAAACCGACGGTGAAAAGGGTTTGGGCCAAGTTGATAGCAGCATTGTCGATCTTGATGTCATCTCTGAGCGTGTCAGTCAAGGCGTTGCCGATATTGGTTCGGTCGAATTGGAGGAAGCAGAAACAAAGAATGATAATGGGCAGAATGAAGAAGTCAACCTTCAATATGGCTCTCCGTGTTTCCCCAGAGTCGGCAGAAAGAGTGGCATCGTAACCGGGGACGGCGTTGCCTTCGTCCGACTGGATGCTCCCAATTTCATGACCAGCTTCTAGCTTGGGGTCCGAACCCTTTTACGAATAGAAGACATTGTGAAAATTGACTGGCGAGTGGTTGAGGGTGCTCAAGAGAAGTGAAAGCTGAGGTATCTCAGACTCGTGCATGTTTTTTCTTGTCATCGTGGGAACGACCGGCCGCAACTAATATACTCTTCCATGATTGAGATCGAGGGCCCTGGGCTCCAATCCTGCAATGAGGCTATCTACAAGGGAATTCAGTTATCATTCGCATTATGATGGCGTGCTAGCGCTCGATTGCCAGTTACATCTCGTCGTTATCGCTAGCGCGGGCTCCGATAATGCACAGTGGGTGGGCCGTTGGTAAGCCGACGGTTATCTCGCCGGTAAGCCGACGGCATGCCGTCGGCAAACCGCCGGTATCGCGCGATTCTCGTTTGATAGCTCCAACGAGCTCCGAGAGAGCGACGTAAGCTTGTCACTTACTGAGGTTTAAGGAGATCTAGTATGGTTTGCTGATGACAATAAATATCCTAGACGGCAGCTCAACATCGACTGTATCTAAAAGAGTTTTATCGAATAAAAACCAAGTGTTACAACTCAATCACGTCAATTCTAGAAGTCTCGACACATACAAAGCCCAAACACCTTGCTGCTGTTTCGAGAGCAAGTCATTTCCTTCATAATTTCTTTTTAAATTCCTCTCCCTCTCATCTGAACGCCTCTCCTTTCCAATGGAACAAAACACTCTTAAGAGGCGCGGAGTAGGCCTCATCGGGGTTGACAAGGCCCGGTCTTTTGGAGGTTACACACTGTTCTGTCCCTTGACCAGCGACGTCGCACATCTCGTCGACATTGACGGGAAGGAGGTCCACACGTGGAAGCTCCCCGGTCGAGTCGGCCGCCATGCTAGGATCCTCCCCAACGGAAACCTTGCCGTCAACACACTCCGGTCGTGCCAGCAGACGACCGAGGACGGCGGCCCATTTCCCTTTCCCTTCTTCAACAAGTATGGCGGCGGAATAATGAGCGAGCTCGACGCTGATAGCAAAGTCGTTCGACAATTCGTCGATCCCATGGGACACCATGACCAATATCACTTTGGCGATGGCCGGATGCTGTATGCATCGCTCGAGCCGCTCTCCCGTGAGGATTCCGCCAAAGTGCTTGGCGGTGTCCCCGGCTCGGAAATCGATGGCATCACCTACGCCGACATGATCAATGAGGTTGATGAGAACGGCAAGCTTGTTTGGCAATGGAAGGTTTCCGAACGGTTGCCACGGGACGAATTTCCACTCCAGCCCCACTACACCAGGGAACACTACCCCTTGATTAACTCCGTCCTTCCTTTGCGCGACGGGAAGCACATTCTCGCGTCGCTGCGATCGGTATCCGCAGTCATCATTATTGAGAAGTCTACTGGGAACATTGTATGGAAGCTTGGCTCCGACGTTCTCGCGCAGCAGCACAACGCGACGGAGCTAGATAATGGAAATATCCTCATCTTCGACAATGGTGCATTCCGAAACGGCGAGTCCATCACCTATACCAGAGCCATCGAGGTAGATCGGGCCACGAAGAAGATTGTGTGGGAGTATCGCGATCGCTCGCAAATGATCTCCTTCTTCACACCATTCATGGGCAGTGCCCAGCGGCTACCGAACGGGAACACGCTTTTGTGCGAAAGCGGTTTTGGTCGCCTATTTGAGGTCACCCAGGACGGGACCATTTGTTGGGAGTATGTCAACCCTCACTTCGCTCCGTACCCCGATGAGGCTACGGCGACTATATTCCCAGGAGAGTCGAATGCCCTGTTTCGGGCATATCGGTACGGGGCTGAGGATATCCCTTGGCTACAAAAGAAGTTGGGCCGTAGCTGGTGGCCGTGGTCATGAGTCGAATGAGATATATGTGTGGTAACGACAAGTCAATGGTTACATGAATGCCGTACCAGGCACAGATAACGATGGTTGTGATGCAACAATAAATTAGAGATTATAATAAGATATGAATATGCGTTCGCATGCGTTTAGGTATTGCGTGTCTCGTCATTAGCCTCAGCGGCCCGTCCGTGTTCAAACATGATAGTGTGCCTGCCCCTTTCCTACACTTCCTTCTTTCCCTCCTTCTCCTCTTTCTCTTCCTTCCAAACTTCTCTCAAGTCTCCCCGTAGTTTCTTTGTCAACTTTTCGAGCAGCCACTCTCCCTCCGTTGCCTCCTTCATTAGCGGGCTTCGGTTTTCTAGCCAACTCCATTTCAATCCTTCCAAATGTTCTGTTCGGTCTTCATTACCAGAGACAGCATCCTCATCATCCTCATCTCTTCGGGCGGTCCGAGGAATCGGAAGACAGCAGCCAAAAGGCCGCTTCCGGGCTACGGCAAGTTTCATGTCGGGGGCCCTATGCGTGGACCCTGAGCACTCATGCTCACCAAGAAGCCGGAGATAATGGGTCCACTTCTCATACGAGTAATGTTTTTCTGGTTCGGATCTGAGGTCGAGAGTTAGTTCGGTAATAGCTTCGATGAGCTTGTACCGCCGTTCGGCATCGGGGAGAGAGTGGAGCGAGATGTGAGAAGTGGAATCGCCCGGCTTTGTGTCCTGGCTCGTACTGGGGCCGGAACTACTGTTCTGATCTGCTTCTGAGGTGGCGAGAATGCATGACTGTCGCTTTTTTATCTGGATGTTTCTTTCAAGACTGAACTTATCCTTGAATAGGTGCCCGAACGAGAGCATGTAGAGGATGGTTTCGAGGTCTGCTTCGGAACCATGCTCTCCTGGCAAAACCGTTCTTTTGCCTAGTTCGAGGGTGACCACACGAACAACCTTGACAATCGTTTCGCTCGCACTCGAGATAAACACCGTCATGGTCGGAAGAGCAAGAAGCGTCCAGAAGACGAAGAACGAGCGGCCCCCGGTAGATACAACCGTAAGATCGCCGTAGCCTAGCGTAGTCAGGCAGATGAATGTGAAGTATACGCCATCAAAATAAGACCACTGTTGGTACGGCTTTTCAAACTGGACGAAGATGAAGGCTCCGAGGAACCAAAGAAGGAGCCACGGCCCGATGGAAAACACGGTAGTGACCCAGCGGCTATGGACACCCGCCTTGTATTGAATGGCGCGCATCAAGTCGAACTCGGCTTCTCTGCGGGATAACTCGTCATAGTCATCTAGGTCGGATCCCTGTGGCCCGGAGCTCGAAGATTCCTTGTTGCCCGTTTGTTCTTCAATGGGACGGAAAATGGCGTCCTTCCCTTTGGTAACAATACTCTTGATGGCCCTTCGCCGCATCCTCTCCACCATCCTCGCGTCGACTCGGGATGCCGCGCGCTCAAGAATTAGGCTGCGTATAGATCCGATGATGAGACCGACGCTGATGATACCGACCAAGGCGTAGGGAATCAAGAGGCCGCGGCCAAGGGGCGTCGTCGGTACAATATCGCCGAAACCAATGGTAAAAAGTGAAGCATCTGCCCAGTACACGGCGTCAAAATATGTCCAGTCCTCGATTACCGAAAATACGAGAGATCCGATGAGGATGTACATGAGTAGGAGAATAGTTTGGAGCATGAGAGTCCGCTGGCTTCCGGTCAGGTGGAAATTCTCCGAGTAGTGATGGGTGAAAGCGCCGTACACCGTTACTACTAAAAGAGAGGCTATGACCATGTAGATGATGGCAGCCCACAAGCCGTACCAGAATGACTCGGTCCAGATGAAAGATTCGTCTGTGTCGTTTAATACGCCCGAGGGCCTGCAGCAAGCGACAGCAGAACCATGAGGCAGATTGAGGAGAGATACCTCCACACCGGATGACCATCATTAGCGTGCAGTTCTAGTTATTGCAAAGGGACCATCACGTTGACACGGCTTGAGAGGGGCCTTACCATCCAACAATTGTTAGTGGTTGTGCAACAGAGAATCGGATTCGTTTCGCCATGTTGAGGAGCAAAAACATATTGGATATTAGGGCCGTCCCCACCTGGATCCCGTTGACCGCAAGCAACCTATCTCACAAATTATTAATAGGTGTGCATCGGTGCATCCTTCAGAAACGAGGGGCAGGAGGATGAACAAAAGAAAAAGAAGCAGAGGAAAGAAATCGAGTATATTTGCCGTACGTACCACTGTGGATCGGTGATGAACTGTCGCGCATCAGTGTCGCCGTTGGGGGAGGCGACTTGCCTCCAAGGCCTAGAGAGGGCGCATATACTGAAGGCAGATGCCACAGGCCCAAGAGTGCCGGCGATCATGGGGAAAGCCGAAGAGGCAAACCACCACCGGCTAATAGACAGGTGATGTGTCTTGGTTAGATTGCCCAACTCATAGATGGTTAGGAGAGTGGAAGTTCTCCAGGAAGACTTTCGTACCTTGGGCCCGGCTGGCACTCTTCATCATCATCGATGGCGGACAATTTCTGGCTTCCCCGTCTTGCGCTGGGTCGAGCATGATGGCCAACGCTCGCCCTCGGGTTCGATTTCGTTACCTATGTATGCTATGGTGTCAAAGGGTGCGATAGAGCGCGACCCCGTCGTTTCCCCAAAAATAGTCCGTGTCGAGCCAAGTCGCCAAGTCGACTCAAGCATTCTAGAAGACTCGGAAGGGGACCCCGGGTCTTGGCAGTCGGGGCAGTGTTTAACGGCCAACAATGAGCTGTTGTTTCGTGGATCAGAACATTGAGATGCGGAAAGTGGAGGACGCGCTAAAAAGCAAGGATCTTGAGATGCACGTGGACGCTAACTGGGCCTATGACGTAAAAGCCGGCGGAATATCGCCGGGCCGCCGTGATGCCCGATCATCACTCGTCATTGGTGTTTGCCTCGCCTTTGCGATTAAAATACACAAAACATTGAAAAAAAAAAGGGCAAGATTAGGATTGTTATGCTTTGGATGCCTTCATCTATCCTTTTTTATGTTCTTTGAGCTGTGATAATTACCCAACATCGTTCAGGCACAAGTGACAAATGCAGGATTGACAAAGTTGAGACTACTTTGCCGAGGCAAAGTAGCAGTTTATTAAAAACGGTATCGAATGGAAAGATATTCTCGCACGATGACGGGACATCGTCAAGGTCGATGCAATACCGAGCGACTGCATTATTATCCTCGTGAAACACAGAATGGCACGCGCTTGCTAAACACACTCTTCTCGCACATAACTTGCTAGAACAAATCAATTAATCCTACGCTACAAACCCATTTCATCCTTTTGCCCTCCTTTATTTGGGTCTCCAGTTTAGTGCGTAGCTACTTCCTTGATGCTAGCGCGGTGCATCTTTGCCAAGAAGGTAGAGTGCATGAACTTTCGGATGCGTTTGCCGTAGAGCATGAAGATGATGACAGTGAGGTTGTTCGCGAGCACGATGCCGCAGAATACGCCCGCAATCATGACGACGTAGCCATGCTCTAGAATCCAGTTGAGAAGGTTGATACCCATGCCAAAGCTGATGGCCTGCTTGCCGAGGTTCATGGCAATCAGCATCTCGCTAATGTTGGAGTTGTAGCTGTCAATCGCGTAGGCAAGAGTGAAGGTGAAGTAGAAGTAACTGGCAAACTGATTCATGGCGACACCGATAAAGTAGCAAATCCAGTGCAGGTTCTTTTGGGCGCTGAAGCCGTAGAGGATGAGACCGGCGGGGGCGAGAAGCATGGCCGGGAGCATGACACCCAGACGCATCTCGGCCTCGCGAATGCCATTGTTCTTGCGGGTGAGACGGGCCGCCAGGCGATCAGAAGACGAGGTAAAGGGGAACGCGAGGCCATAGCCGACAATGGTGGAGATTGTGATGAGGCCAGAGTTGAGCTGCGACCAGTTGTAAGGGGAGCGGTGATCTTGAGAGGGAAGGTCATGTTGAAGGTCAAAGCACCGAGGCCGATGTAGATGCCGTAGGTGGTGATGACCCAAAAGACGTGAGGGATGGCGAAATAAGAAAAGGAGCGGATCATCATGAGGAAGAAGGGAGAGTCCTTCTCCCACGTGCCCCAGAACTTGAGGGTCTCGACAAAGGTCTTGCGGGCGGGGATGGCGGCGGCCACCTCGCTCGTCGCGACCTCTGGCTTTTCGCCCGACTCCATGATGGAGGAGCCGTGGGGCGCGACGCTGGGGGTGGGGCGGTGGTAGGTGGTCTCTTCGACGACGAAGAAGGCGAAGACCAAGAGGGCCATTCCGAAGGCGAATTCTACGTAGAAGAAGAGCCTCCAGGAGTGGCCGCCCGCCAACATGTAACCGGCATAGAGAGGACCGGTGGAGCCGAGGCAGAGGCAGACTGCAGCAAGACGTTTTGGTTAGCAGCCGAAACATCCATTGATACCAGAGCTATTCTTACTCGTGTAAATGCCTAGGCGAGTTCCTCGCTCGTGCAAGAAGTAGATGTCGTTGACGAGTTGGACGGGAAGGGCCTCGCATACGCCAGAGCCGAAAGCGTGGATGACCCTAGCAGCCATCAATCCATTGAAGGACTTGGCCTGCGACGCGGCAATGAGTCCGACGCAGTACTAAAGGTAAGGGTGAATATATTAGCGTGCAGTTCTCGACACGGGCAGGCTTTTAGAGTGGCCCGGTTTTTGTATGGAGTATAGACGACTGAAGACGTACGCAAATCAGGGACATGAGCATGACCGGGCGGCGACCTATTTTGTGGTATAGCGGCACCAAAAGGAGGGAACCTGCGGAGAATTGACATTTGTTAGATCTCAGGCGCACTCGCATGATCGTTAAGTCTAATCGAGCTGACGATGTGATGGAACATTGAACTCACCGAAACCAAACGCCAGGTTTGGATAGTTGATCAGGCCCGCTGCCGTGTTGGGGGTGATGCCAAACTCTTCAGAGAAGATGCCGATATACACCGACGGGCCAAGGAGCGACGAGTTGGACAAGAATGAAAACAGAGAACATGTTATCAGAATCGCGAGCTTCTTGCCCGCGGGCCACTGGAGGATCATTGGGGTCCTCGGCGGGGACGGGGTACAGCGCCTGGCCGTAGGCGGTATCATCGCCCTCTGTTGCTATGAGTTAGCAAAACTTCATCTTGACAAGCGCACCCCGCGCGCGCCACGCAAGGCAAACACGCGCAACATGGCTGAATTCGAGTCGCATGAAACAGAGTCGAGCGCCTCGTTTTTCTTTTCCTTTTTTCCCCCAGGTTTCGGTGTGCTTACCTGCAGCTTTCAAATTGACTGTGCCTGGCACATCACCTTCGGTTGCGTGACTACGTAGCGTCCGCCGGTTAGCCTTCTTCCAAGCCACGCCGAGAAATGGATAGATGGGGCCGTAGCCGCAACCGGGATGGGGAAGCGGCAAAAAGACCACCAGGAAGGATGCCAAGGAGAGAGGGCAAAGGAGCGACGGGTGGTGCTTACCTGTGCACCAAGTGCCGACCGGTGGAGGGTTCTTCAGGATGCATGTCTGGCGTGGTTGGCGTTGAGTGGGGTTACCAAATCCAATCCGCGAGAGAAGAAAAAAAAAGATGGAGAGGAGGAAGAGGAGAGACCTTGACCCACTCGAGTAGGGGATGGAGCCGCAATTCTCTTTATTTATCATCTCGAGGTAATCAACGAAGAATGGGTCTCGCCCCTCTTCATTCTGTCCTACTTGTCCTACTCCGTACTTTTTCCCCATGTCAGCTCGGTTGCTAAAATCCGGGGTTGGCGATGCGTCTGTTCGAGGTCGACCAAGCGTGCTCCACCGGCGGAAAAGTGGAGCAATGAATGGCTGCTTTCGGCTCCTAGAATCCGGGGTAGGAAAAGGAGGTTTTTGTTTCCACTCAAACACTGCAAACCTGTGAAAGGGGGAGGGGGAGACTAAGCTAAGTTGTGGGCTAAACCTGATTGACTGTCGTGCAAGAGTGGAGAAGCTATCTCGACGGACCAATTCACGTCGTGGATTGGCAACGAGGGCGGGTCCCAGCGCATCTAAACTGCGGGGTTGGATGACCACCTCAGCATTTCTAAGCTTCTCAGCGGTCAAATGGACACCTGCTTCTCCAAATATTGGGATCGAGGTCCATGCGGAAGGGGGCGTGGGCGAGGGCGTGGGCGTGGGCATGGGCATGGGCGAGGGGATGGATGGGACGCCACCCGCATACTCGGGGAAGTGGGACGGAGCCGATAGCAAACCACCTCCTCCCCAACGCATTTCTGTTGCGCTCCCTCCCCCAGCCTTTCCCCCGACTCGCATTAGCAATCATCTCCAATCTCTCCAAAGACCGTAGCCGTGTCACGAGAACATGGGACCATGCGAGCCGTCGCCGTGAGGGAGACGGATTAAACTCGGTAAGACGGTGTTTGGGAGTTGCTCCGGAGCATGATCTTGAATCAACATTTACATCACCTCGTTTCTGGAGACATGAGAACTTGATGAGACGCCCGGCGCAGGCATGGACGTCGCTGCCCTCCCCCTCCCTTCCCCAAGAAACAAACCAGAAAAAAAAAAAAAAAGAAAAAAGGAGAGAGAGATTAATAGCGGAAGAGGGCGAGCCATAGTAAGGGACTCCAAAAGAAAAAGAAAAAGAAAAAGAAACAAAGAACGGGGTGCTTTCAAGACCCACACATCCAACTCCAAAGCAGCACAGCACGGCCCTCATGGTGAATACCAAGCCCTTGGAACAGGGTCACGGCCTCGCGTCGCATGGGTTGACGTGTTGAAGGGCTGCTAGGCCGCATCTCGTTTGCTTGCGGATTGGATCGAGCTGGGACGTGTCAAGTTGACCAGTCCACGAGGGCACCGGAGAACTTGGACTTAGCCGTATGTCCGGCAAGGCTCTAACCATGTTGAGTGATCCGGGTTTGCCTGGAGCAACGCTGCCTAAAAGTTGATGGCCTGGGCCATCTAAGATAGATGGACGTCTGGTTGCGGCGGCATCTTCCTGCTGTGCGCGATGAATCCCGTTGCTTTAAAATTTACTGAGAATCCTGATGGGAGAAAAAGGCCAAGGCCGCCATGCTGTGCAGCCGCATTCTCGGGATCTTTGTGTGATGGTGACGAGATGGGCATTGCTGAGATAATGATGACAAGGCAATGGTCGTTGCGGCGAAAATAGGATCGATGGGAATAATACCGAGGTAATCACGGAGGTGATGAGATGGTTGTGACGAGTGATAGCAAGAGTCCCATCTCAAACAAAGAGAGGCATCAACATTGCGTTAGGTTCCGCAGAACACTACTCCAGAATCCATCCATCGTGCACATTCTCCAAAACGCAGCCCAGCCCAGCCCACACCCACACCCACCCATCCATTGGATCCATCCCCCATCTCGACACTATCGTCTCTAGTGCCACCATCTCCGTCTCAGCTCCCCCGCGAGTCCCACTTTTATTCTTGTTCCTTTTCTTCCCTAGATCGATCTGTAAATCCGTATTTCCTGGTCGTACGACGAAAACGTGCCTAGTGGTGGGTGTGTGTGTCTCGAGGGATTGGAGAGAGAGAGAGAGAGGAGAGAGGGTGGAAGTGACCCTCCCCCTTGCTCGGCTGTCCGCCCCCGCCATTTCCCCTCTGCCGAAAAAAGAAGTGACCCACCACGAAATCCGTCCCCAGTCTGTGCCCCACCTCCGCATTCTCCACAAACCCCGCCGCGGGGATTTGGGTGCCCTTGCTCCTGGCTCCTGGCTTTTGTTCCCCGGCAAATTGCCTGTAGTTTGCTGTCCTAGGGATTCCGACATTCCGAGATGCTGCACATGAATAGATATGTATATACGCTGCTGACCACGGGGGAACAAGCGATTTTCCTTGCATCGTCAGCTTTGTCCCCCTTTTCTTTTCTCTCGCCAAGCTCTGATATACCCCCTCCCTTCGTGCCTTCGTCAGTCTCCGTCATAGAGCACCGCTTGCGTTCTTGGGCTGTCGCGCCGCTCGTCGCTTGACTCTCTCGTTTCTTTGTTTCCTCCCCGCCTTCTCCTTCTTCCGAGTTTCCGTCACTTCTTGCTCCCGTTTTGGGCTTACTCGTCACCTCCATTTTCTACTCATTGCGTGCGCCGCACTTGTCGTGATCCTCCTCTCCCATTTCGCTTGGGCGCACTAACTTCACCTCACCAAACCCACCAACCAAAAAACACCAACCATGTCCGAATTCCCCCGCCGCAACTCTGCCCAACCTGACCATCCTGGACGGGGTCGCCCCCGACCAAAAGGTGGTCAGTTGGATCGTCAACAACTGGCTCGCGCTGCTGCAACAGCGCCTGGAGAAGAAGAACCTCGGCGACATCTCCGAGCTCTTCGTGGAAGAGGCCTGGTGGCGCGATGTCGTCGCTCTCACGTGGGACTTCCACACCAAGAGCGGCCTCGACGCCATCTCCAAGTACCTTCTCGACTCCACCGTCGACATGACCAAGTTGCAATCCTGCAAGACGGGCGGACTCGTACCGCACTTGGAGGAGGAATACGGCATGTGGTTCATCCAGGCCGGCTTCACTTTCGAAACAAAGTACGGCGCCGGCAAGGGCATCCTCCGCCTCGTCAACGTCGCCCCCATGACGTGGAAGGCCTGGACCGTCTCGACCCAGCTCGAGGAACTCAAGGGCCAGCCCGCCCTGGCGCACGGTGCCGCCGTCAGACTTACCAACGGCGCTGTCAACGGTGTCAACGGAAACGCCGCTGCCGCTGCCGCTACTACCAGCACTACTGAGCCACAAGTCGTAGTCGTCGGCGCAGGTACGTGATATCAGTAACCCCGCAGTGGAAGGATGGAGGGCGCGTTGGCCCCTTTTTGATTGAGGAAGTTTTGACATAACTAACTTGGGCATTGTTCTCCTAACGCAGGCCAAAGCGGACTCGCCACCGCCGCACACCTCAAGAACCTCGGCCTCTCGTGCATCGTCGTCGAACGCGGATCCTCGGTCGCCAACGCGTGGTGGGAACGGTACGACAGCGTCCGGACGCACACCACGCACTACGGCGACCACTTCCCCTTCCTCAAATACCCCAGCAACTGGCCCAGCTGGCAGGAGAAGCAGCACATCACGCGGTGGATGGACTACTACGCCAAGATCATGGGGCTCGAGGTGCAGCTCAACTCCACCGTCACCAAGGCCGACTACGACGAGGCGGCGCGCAAGTGGACGGTGCACATCGAGGACAAGGACGGCGGCCCGCGCACCCTGCGCACCAACCACGTCGTCATGGCCCTCGGCATGGTCGGCTCCAAGGGCGCGATCCCCGACATCCCCGGCATGGATACTTTCAAGGGCCAGGCTTACTCCGCCGCCAGCCACAAGACGGCCGCCACCATCCCCGACATCGACCAGAAGAACGTGGTCATCGTCGGGTGCGCCACCACCGCCCACGATATGGCGCAGGACTTTGTCAACCACGGCGCCAAGAGCGTCGCCATGATCCAGCGCCAACCCACTTGGTCCTTCTCCGCCGAGGCCATCAACACCTTCCATCTCGGCCACTTCACCGTGCCCGGCGTCAGCACCGAAGAGGCCGATCTCCTCATCAGCTCGCTCCCCACCGCCGTCGCGCGCGTCTTTGGCTACGAGATGACGCAAAGATGGTCAAGCACGACGCCGAGCTCCTCGACAACCTCGAAAGGTCGGTCTCGCCATCAAGCGCGGCGAGGACGGCACCAGCTTCATCGACTACCTCTTCTTCCGCGGGGTCACTTCTACGTCGACCAGGGTGCCACGCCCATGATTCTCGACGGCCGCATCAAGATCCACACGAGCAGCGAGGGTGTCAAGTCTTTTACGCCCGACGCCGTTGTTCTCGCCGAGGACCGCAAGGTCGACGCGGACATTGTCGTCCTTGCCACCGGTTTCGAGCCGGCCACCGCCCAGCTCAAGCAAATCATGGGTGAGAAGATTGGCGCCCAGGCGGCCATGTACGGCGCCTTTGATAGCGAGTTGGAGCGCCTAGGCGTAAGTTATTTTTCTCTCTCTCGTTTTTGCCCTCATTTTTTACCCACGCCAATGTTTCTCTGCATCCCCCTTTCATGTCCTTAAAAAGATCAACCTTTGACTAACAATCTCATAGTGGTGGCGACCCACTGGCATCCCTGGATTCTGGTACATCTGCGGAACTCTATCTTGGTCTCGCCAGTACTCTGGCATTCTCGCCCTCCAGATTGCCGCGGTAGAGAGGGGATTCGTTGACGGACACTGGGACAACAAGAACTAGTATGAAAAACTGGGTTGCGAGCGATAACTTCTTTTTCTGTTCTTTTTATTACGTCTATTTCTTTTCGTATGGGCCTGGAGGTTGTGAAACCACCAGATGGATCTAGCCGGACAGCATGGCGTCATGACTTTACATGATAGACTTTCTTTGATCAGTCTTGGTAATATTCTTTACTTATTATTTTATGCGTCTTGGTTCACATTGTGCACGTGCATGGCCTAATGGGCCCTAGAAAGATGACCGACATACACCCATAAGACTCGGTCCTAGTGCAATTCTCCCGTTTCCCTTTGCCTAGGCCGGTCGTAAACTCCCTAGCGCTGAGTTCATGATACATGTACCTGCAGTGCAGCATTTCTGGTAAATACGTAGGTCGTACAAAACGCATGTACTGCAACCTAACACAAGCTCTTTTGAGAAACGCGACCTCGAGGACAAGAGCACCTCCGAGGTGCTTTAGCACGTAACCTTCACTGGTTTCAGCAAATATCTCGTAGCCCATACGTTGGTACCAGTCTTCGTTCGCAACCTGTGGCTCGCCCATGCGTTAGTCAGGTATCAAGAAGAAGGAGACGGTGCCAACCCTAATATCACTTCAGCAAGGTGGGGGTCAGCGGAACATACAGTTCGTCGAGGAAGCCCCCTGTCATCGTAAACGACCTTTTGGAGAGTATCGCTCAGCTGAATCTTTTTCTGCAGAGTATCGAGCGCCATGATGGACGCATTGTAGGGCTCCAGCCTCGCGATCCTCTCGGCGTTGGCCATGGCCGCCGCGCCCAACCCGCCCTTTTGCAGGGCGTACGAGACGTAGAGTTGATGCAACCACGTCACACCCGTCGGCGGTAGACCCATGGCTTCGTCCTCGCTGGGGGTGGAAGTCGAGGGCCAAGTGTCCAATCGGGTGGAGCGGTGCTCCCGTCGGCGTCCGAGCCCGGCCCCGCACTTGGTGGGCCGTGTCTGTCAGCGCGAGGGTTTCCTTGAGGGATGGAATAGGGAAAAAGGTTAGTGTCGTTGACAAGAGGGGAGCAGAAGGGGACAAATCACAGGGCCAAGGGGAGACGCACTTGGGGGTATTCGGCAAAGTGCAGCGCCAAGAGCTTGTCGCGGTCGGGATGGTCCTGCGCCAACACCTATCTCGCGGTTCTTTTAGCTTGGCGCTTTGCAACGTTGTGTAATTCAGATCTAGGGTTCGAACGTACGACCCAGTAGAAAGCTCGACCACCTCTACGAGACTCTTCGGCATGCATGGGTACCTCATCCGCCCTCCAGCCGCAGGCAGTCCTTTGGTCGAATAGCCTAGTTACGTGTTCATCGGAGTTGGGATCCCAGGGTACGAGATCGACCTTCCAAGCGTGTTTTTCGCTCATTCTGCACAGATTTCGGACTCTGTAGTGTGCGAGTATGAGACCTTTGGCCAGACGATCGAATAAGGCCCCGATTTCTTCCTTTTTCTTTTCTTCCCTTGCGTTGTTCGCTGCGGGGTGAAGGAGGGGAGAGCGCGTTGGGCGGAAGGATGATTAGGTGGTAGGATTATACTATTTTTTATTACCACCTTGGAAGATGAGTCAGATCAAGGCCGAGTTCCTAAACGGTACCGCCGGGGCCGCGGCGGTCAGCGCGAGCCTAAACTATGTATTCGCGCGAGAGAGGTACGACTTAAGAAGATGAATCCAGTGATTCACCGAAACAGAAGGGACGATTGGGAGTGGAAATCGGGCTTCCTTGCGCTCGAGGGGGTTTAAATGGGCTGCGCGATGGCCCATCCCCGCCTGCGCTGCCGTGTATGTGGAGAGGAGAGACAGTGCGTGGTGGACTCACTACTACATGTAGCTACTCGTCCCCATTCACACTTTTCAACAACGAAAGATAAGCCGTGCATCGTAATTAGAACGAGAAGAGGGGTTGTTTGGCGTTGATTTTCCCTCGTATGCCTAAAATACGTCCTCTAGCCAAGCCAAGCTATTGATACGCGGTGGAGAAGCCCCAAGAGGGCTTCTTCTCCCTCTACGTAATGTATGGAGAAGATGCCCGCCGCCGTCGCAGGTCCCATATCCCGCTCAGCGCTGTCACCAATATACACGATATTCTCTGGCGAAATACCGAGATGGTCGAGAACCTTGGGAAAAAGCTGACCGATCTTGGAGTCCTTGAAAAATTTGTTGTCGCGAGGTGATCGACATACGGACGGATCCCCAGGGCTTCCACCGTCCGCTCCTGCGCGTCTTGAGGACCCTCTGTAATGATGACTACCTGTCTTCCGGAGCGCTTAATCTTGGAGAGCAAGCCCACCGCACCGGCCTTCAGCTCCAAAGAGGCCGTGAGCGCACTTTCGTAGAGTTGGAGCAGCGTTTCGAGAAACGCGTCGTCCGGCTGGACGGAGAAGTGCGCCAACAGGGCCGAGAACCGGATCCTTCGATAGTCGAACGAGGTCTTGCCGTCCGCGAAGGCGCCGGCGGTCTTTTCCCGGAGTATCTCAGAATACGCAGCCTTGAGCTGGGGCACCGAGAGCGCGTGGCGTTGCGAGATGGCGTCGAACACTTGGCCGGCGGCGGCGGACGACGCTCGGCGGAATTCGTGCAGGGTGTCGTCCAGGTCGAAGCCTACCCACTTCTTTTCGGCGATGATCAGCCGGAGGCGGGCTGCGTCGTCTCCGGTGGCGGAGGTGGCGGCCGCGGCGCTTTCATGGCCTGCAGTCATCGTGAAGCACACCCTTGCGAGATTTGGCTTGGTGCGCTAGGATAGTATGGTGGTTTTGTCCGAGGAATACGGCGGTGATGAGATGTTTGGCGGAAGGATGAGGGGAGGTGAAAAGTGAACATTCCCCCTCTCGGTAAATAGTACTCGCAACTAAAAAGCCGTTGAATACAAGAGGGCTTAGATTTCACGGTGAGTCAACTGGAGAGCTGTGATTCTTTTTCACGCAAACACTGCTGCCGTCCCCACTTATTAAGGCGTGCAGTTAAGGCGGTATTTTGTCATACTAACTAGTGCTAGACACGAGGGGAGGGAGATGAAGTGAAAAAAAAAAAAAATGTAAAAGAAAAAGGAATACGAAAAAGAAACTTGCATAAGAGGAAAAAAATTTGGTCGATGTGCCTTCTGGAAGGCGCATTGGGAATTGAGCCCAATGCGGGGGTCGAACCCGCAACCTTGAGATTAAGAGTCTCACGCTCTACCGATTGAGCTAACCGGGCAGGTTAGTTGAATTGTTGAAAGAGAGACGTTGTAATTGAAATAATAGAGGAAAGATGGCTAGGTGTGTGGTGGTCGCCGGTGGTCCCGCACTACGTGATGAAAAAATTTGCGCGGTTCCACTTTGCCACTCGGTTCTGACGGGGAAGGAGGAGGGAATGGTGGGGGTGTCGTGACGGTGTCATGATTGGAGGCGTCGAGCTCGTGGTTGCGATTTATCTAGCGCGGACCTCTACGTGGATTGGCATCCTCCATGGCTAAACCAAAAACTTGGGATTCGGTTGGCCAGTCCCGGCTCTGGGTACAAGTGCTCACCGTAAAACAGGAGCACGAAAATCGCAATCTCTCACCTCGTATCGTACAAACTCAGCAAGCCGGTGCTTATTTTCATTATCCCATTTGACGACTGCGTTGAAACCGTCGTCCTCGATTGGGAGCAACGTACGTCGCGCTGGCTTTGCCATAAGCGCTGTCCCTCTACGAGCAGCTTAGCCTATATTGATGGGTCCTTGACCTCTCGCACATCTATGCGAGCGTGATTTATGCTGTCCAAGCCGTAAAATCTCGAGGGACCACAAGAGGAACATAGCGACTTTCCAAGCCGGCGTCGCTAAAGTCCTTCATCAGTTTTTGCGTGTCCCATTTCTCCGAGTGCAAATCGCCATCCTTTGCCGGCGTATTAGACACGCACCACCCACTTCCACCCATAGCATAGAAGAGCCACACTCTTCCTTGCACCATGACGACGTTGAGCGAGCCCTGTGGGTCCGCCGTCGGGGTATTGTCGATTCGGGCCATGGCTTTGGCCGGCCGCGTGACTTCCTGCCCGAGCCCGTTTCCCGGCTCATCGATGTAGCCATTGCTCGTCAGGTTTACCCAGGTGTAGAAGATGCGAAAGAGTTCCAGGCGGGCACGGGCGTGGTGCTGTTGGCGGGTGTTTTCCGGTTGACGAGGAAGAAGATGTACAGTTTGTGGCGGACCTTGAGGGGATCGTTGCTAGATACGTCAGGGACGACGAGGGGCGCGATGGAGGAGATCTCATAGTATGACCACGGCTTGCCGTTTTCCACTATGTCGGACAAGCCAACAATTTCAGACCCAACCACGAGACGGCGCCACAGGATAGACTCGCCTCGTTGTCCCACGTCGATCTGCGAGAGCTGCTCCTTTTCGATTGTATCGATCATGATCCTCCGTGACCCTTGCTCCGTAGTAATACAGTACACGTACGAGAACCCGTTTCCGGGATCGTACAGCTTGGCTCCCGACGTCTTGGCATCCTTGTTGATGAGAGAAGGGCGCAGCCGGATATCCTTCCACTCCACCTCCTTGTCGTTGTTGGGTCGCCGCTTCAGGTTGACCCCTTCCTCTGTTAGTTTGGGATATGCTAGATACACGGCCGTGCTGCGAACGAGGATGGATGCCTGGCCCAACCCCGCGGCGCGCGACCCAACGTCCCACCGGAGCTTCCCTCTGTCCATAAAGTGCGGGCCCATAGCGATAAAGACCCATTTTCCTTTGCTGGCGGCAAAGTATGTGGCCTGCACCTCGTTGGCTTCGGGATCGTAGTTGAACTCGGGCGTGAAGTCTTTCGAGTCGAGGCCTTCCCAACCTTCCCGCGGTATGATGCGTGCTTCCCCGAGGGTCAGTGTGCCGTCTGCGCGAAGCGCCGCCGGGAAGCCTCTTAAGATCCCGCTCGACCGTTCCCAGCGGAGGAGGACGATGGTTGTCGTAGACGATCCTGACGCTTGAGAAGCCATGGCGAAGAGTTTAATCAACCAAGGAAAAGGCAGGTGCGTAAACAACTTCAACGACTCGAAGTGGTTTTGAGCTTCAGTTGCAACATGTCGTCGCGGGTTTCGTCGAACATTCTCCCCCACCTCCTTGATAGGGCCCTCAGTACAGATGCACAAACGCACTCTCGACGAGCGGGTATCAAAGAGAACGCCAAGCTCTCCCAAGCCCATCCCGTTCGGGCAGCATTTTGCGATACTGCGACCCCTGTGAAAGCCGCAGACTCATGCACGCTGACGTGCGGCTGAGCGAAGTAGCCAATTGTGAGCTTGGGTTAAAGCTTTCCCCGCCGCGCCGCCGGCGAGGTGACGCCCCTCTGACTTTTAACTGGTTTCTCGAACTTTGAAAGAGCCAAGTCTGGCAAAGAGATGGCCCAGCTGCTCTCTACGCCGACCAGACGCTGCATGGAAATATTGGCTCCTCAGCCGCTGCTAGTCGCATGCAGCCAGATTTGTGTAGTGTACAGTTCGAAGAAATTCTTGGCTCCCTCTCTGCCTGCTACGAAACGGAAGCGTGGCCACGCCCATTGATAGCCGGACTCAACGCTCCGGGAGACTAAGATAAACGCTTTCTTCAGCGGTTGCAGCTCCTCGACCAAACTCAGAGGGTGAACGCAAGGTGGCCATGGTGATAAAAATGAAGCCTTAATTGCCAAAATTAAGAAGCTACCGCTGCGCATAGGAAGTCTACGCAAACCTATCCACTGCGCTGACTTTCTGTATTTGTCGATTGAAGTCGTGGACGATATCGACGAGCATGGAGACTGATTCCTCCTCGGCTGTAGGCCGCCCGGTAGGCAGCTTTTCCGTCGACGATAACGGCCTGGCCCGCTATTCCTTCAAAATCGATGTTCCCGAAGGCATCAGCAGAAACAGCACTCCCGAAATCTCTTTAGAGTATGCTCAAGGCCTGCCTAACGGCATTCTCGGCGTTGGCTGGTCACTGTCCGGCACATCTGCTATTCGTCTCGGCGCCGCCAAGTTGCCGTCGGACAGTCCCAACTATTCCAGAGTCGACTACGATCGCTCGCAACCACGGTATTTTCTCAATGGCAGGGAGCTATTGATTGTCTGGGGCCAGTATGGAGTGCCTGGGGCGTACTATAAGCCAGAGCTCGATCCCGATGGCCAGACGGTCAATCACGCCGACGATGGCGGCTTCATAGTTGAAGATTTCGCGGGTGACAGGTATGAATACGGAACAACCCCAAAGAGCAGGATCTTTTCCGATACTCAGGGCGCCTATATCGAGTGGCATTTGACGAAGCGGACTGATCGGTTCGGAAACTCGGTCAGCTATGGATACGTTGGGCACCCGAGCATTGGAGCCAGTGCCCTGGAAGACGAGCTAAATGACTCTGGTTCGGTTTATTTGCAAAGTGCGACATATTCATCGAATGAAAGGACCGGATATCAAGGGAAACGACTAGTTATTTTCGAATATGGCCCACGACCTGACCCTATCGTTCGTTCATCCTACGGCCATAAAGCAATTTACGCGCAGCGTCTGGCCAAAATCCGCGTGGCGACCAACCTAGACTCTGGGCGCGTCGACTTGCGGTCATACAGGGTTCAGTATCGCCAATCCTCCATAACGAACCTCTCCCTACTCTCAAGCATTACAGAATGTTCAAGAAAAGGCAGGGACTTGGTTCCTACCGAATTCACCTACTCGGGAGAGACGGCGGCGGGATCCGGACCTATTTTTAGGGTGGATAACGCTATCTCCACCTTACAGGGAACCAGGAACAACATCAGCATCGTGCCCTTGAATATCTCCGGCCGCGGCCTCACCGACTTGGCGTGCTTGCGCTATCAAACGGAAACTAAGCAACTATCCCTCAAGACATATCTTGCTGAGAAGAAGCGAGACGATCACGGCGAGCTCGTCCTCAAGTGGGAGCCATCTTTGCACGCGGGGGCGAAGCTTCACTGCCTATCCTGGACCTAAGCGGTGACAATACCCGGATGCGGCTTGTCGCGGCCGACTTGAATGGGGACGGTAGAACAGACTTGGTAATACCGTACTGCACTGTTTCGGGCGAGCTGGCTTTCTCAATCTCTCAGTCCCTAGGGACTGGCTTCTCTGATCATGTCACGAAACGCACTGGAATCGCCTGGCAAGATGAGGCCACTTTTATGTCGACCGATCTTAGTAGCGAAGGACGAAACGATATCATCCAGATATTCCCTTTTGGAAAAAACTTGGCTTTCCGACTATTCTCTGCGGTCGGTGACAACGAACTTTCCTCGGTCCAATACACTGATGAAGTTCGTACGACTTATCCTTTTGAAAACACAGTCTCCTGGCTGGACATGCGCGGCCAACTCGATGGATCTAGGCGGCTTGTAAGAATTTGGTCACAGGCTGGTCCTAATCTCACATCAACGCTCCACGCAACCTCCTTCAGATTCATCCAGGGCCGAGACGGCCGCGTGCAGCTTGAAGTGGACAATGCCCATCTTCTCAGCTCATTCTCGAACGAGGAAAAGAAAAAGATCACCGTGCTTCAGTGCGACATCAATGGTGACGGCGTCGAGGATCTCGTGATATGCGCTGTGGATATTGTCCCCGTCGGGTCCGACAGACTCCTCAAAATGTCCTATACCACATTTCTCAACGACGGCTGTGGACGCTTCGCTCAACATGGAGAACCGCGTGTCTCCGTAGTGACCCTCGGGCCCGAGCAAGCACCCCCAGGAACCGGGTCCTTCCGTGTGACAAATTTCTACGGCTCCGAGTACCCGTCTATTGCGTATGTGTACCAGTCACTACTAACGAGAGACTTGTGCGGGCTCATATGCCAAGGTTCCTCTACTGGATTCGTGGGAGATGTGCAGTGGTTCAAGCTTGCTGACAGAAGTCGCCTACCTGGCGAAGCCGGGGACATTATTGGCGCTGACCTGTTTGGCAACAACTTAAGCGGCTTCCTCCTTTATTCAATCGAGAATGACACGGCCCAGGTAACCTCAGTATACAATCAGATGGCGCCCACCGATGACCTCATCACGATTCGAGACTCCTTGGGGCCAAGACAAGGATAACCTACTCTCCCATGACGGATACGAACGTGTACACTGCGGGAATAAACTGGTGGGACTACCCTGCGCAAGGCCCAGGTTCCGACTTTCCGCTCATAGCTTCCTCCTGGTACATTGTATCAAGGACGGATACGGAAAATGATGCGTCGATCAACAGCCTTCCGTACAGTTGCTATGAGGAGTTCATGTACGAGGACGCGCAGGTCAATCTCAAGGGGCGGGGTTGGCAGGGCTTCCGGAAGATTTCGATGTACAACTCTTCTATTGATTCCACCCGTGTCGAAACTTTCAATCAGCAATGGCCATTCACCGGCACAACCTCGAGCGTTACCATACTTCAAGGTAGGTTCGACACCGGGACAGCGCTGCAGACAATCGAATATTCATACAAGCCACGTACCTTCCCTGCTGGAAGCTACACCCTATGCCGGGTCAACAAGAGTAAAGAGGTGACGACATGGCTTGGCCAAGACACCGGCTCTCGACAAACCATCTCGGGATTTGAACATGACTTTGCTGGAATGGTGCTGGTGAAGAAACATACGGGAAGTAATGGAAGCCGCGTGATTACGCGGTTTAGATACACTTCTTTTGGCTTTCTAAGCCTCCTGAGCGCAAGAAGGTCTCGACTTCGGAGTCGAATCTTGACTTTGACGTGTTTGAGGCCGGCGATTTGAGTCTGCAGCGGTTCGAGTATACCGGGTGGGGCGGTTCTCTGTACAAGAGCTCTGCTTGGTCTTCGGATACAAATTCGTTCGTGTCAACAGTCACCGAGTACGACAACTACGGGAAGAGGCTCTCTACACTCGACCCTGCAGGTTTGCTCACCACCGCCACGTACGAGGAAACCTTTAACACGCACCCGATTCGCATCGACGAGGTTGGGCTCGGAGTCCAACATCAGCGGGAAATTGGCTACGATTCTCTCTCTGGAGACATTTTCGCCGAGCGTACCGCAAGCGGCACGGTCGTTCTGACGGTTCCAGACGAGTGGGGGCGGCGCAGCAGAGTCATCAAGTCCACTGTTAAAGGGAGCCACCACAGTACGTGGGGGCCTTGCTTTTAAAGGACATCCCCTTTGTATCAACGGCAGAATTTCGGTCGGCGCTGGGGGTCGCTAGCCTCGGGGCTTCTAGTACACTAGAATACGAACGTGTAAGGTCTGCCGCTGGGAAGATGCTTTTACTTACACGCAGCAAGATCTTCTATAAGGACGGGAAAGACGGTGCGACGGAGATTCAAGAGCTCGTAGACTGCGTCGGCCAGGTCAGAAAGCGAGGGATACTCCAGGGCCAGGAGGACGGGTCTTGGCAAGCGTTCGAGTTTGACTCCAGGGGACTGCAGACTCTACGCAGTTATCCGATCAAGCTCCCAAGCGCTAACGGCTCCAGGGACGCTTGGGATTGGTATCCGGATAAAGACGCGACTTACCGTAAAGAATGTGACGCCTTGGGGCGCGATAGGCTCGTAACCACACCCAGCCACGGCGGCCCGGGGAGCAGCGTGATGCGCCGAACAGAATACCTGGATGGAGGGAGAAAAGTACGGAGCGTCATTGAAAGCGTTTCTGCCGGTCAAGAGGGCTCCAAGATCCTCTCGACGAAGGAGCATCGCGCTGAATTGTTCAATGGCGTGGAGAAGACCGTCATGTCCAAGAACGAGATTGGCCAAGCTACAGGCTTCAACTACGATCCCCTGGGGCGCCTTATTATTGCCAGTGACCCGGCTGGCAAAGCAGAAACTCGAGCGTATAACTCCATGGGGAAGCTCGCGGAGATCCGGAACGTCTACCAAGGCACCGTGAAGAGGAAATACAACGAGAGCGGATGGCTAATCGAGGAAACGAACGGCGCGGGCGAAACCACGGCATATGCGTACGACTGCAAAGGCCGAGTTCTCCGGCGCACGCTTCATGACGGATACCTCACGCTCTATTCATACGACGAGGGTCTCAAGGATACGTTATCCACCATTCGCGACAAGAAGACATGGTGGGACAGCACTCTGGAGTACCTGGAAAAGTTCGAGTACAACGCCAAAGCCAAGGTTACGAAGCGCACGCTTTCTCTTTCGGCGACAGAGTCCTACGTTATTACGAGTTCCTATGATTGGCAAGACCAAGAGGTCCTTCGTACACTTCCAGATGGAACACGAGTTTCGCGCGAGTTCAAAGGCTCTCTGTTGAAGAGCCTTACCAGCGACCATCCGGCGCATAAACTGAGCGTTACATACGGAAGCTACAGCGCTACTGGGAAACCCGAGCAATGGGCTATCGAGAGGCAGGAAAGCGGACCTGGGTCTAGTGGTTCGGCGGGCTTTGTTCATACGAGAGAATACGACACGCTTGGATTCCCGGTCAATCAGACCTTGAAGAGCGGCGAGAAGATACTTGCCTCTCGACAATATACATGGAACGAACTCGATCAGCTCTTCAAAGCCCACGAGGGAGAGGATGCAGGTGGGAGCACCGACTACCTGTACGAAGCGGGCCGCCTCACGAACTGTTCGGACCCCGTAAATGGGTCTACCGGCTACACGTACGACGAATCGGGCAACGTGACAAGTCACGGCGAACGGCAATTTACATACACAAAGAACAAGGCTATCGTCCTCAATCGAGGCTCCGTGGAAGCCACCGCCGAGTATGACGCGGCAGGTCGTCTGATCCGTCGCACAATCGAGGATAAATCAGACTTCAACTTCCAGTACGACTCCATGAGCAAGCTCCGTTCCATGGTCAACAACAAGACCGGCTCCGCCACCAGTATTACGTATAACGCGCAAGGAGACCCTCTTTAGACGACTCCCGGACGGATCGAGGAAGTCCGTGTGTCGCCGGACTACGAGGTGGTGATCAAGCCGAACAAGTCGAAAAAGATACAGGGCAGATTGTTCGGGCCGGATGGGATTCTGGGCACCGTCTGGCACGAGGCGCCCACCCCCAAAACCTCCCCCACCGTGCATGCCGAGGTTTTCTTCACCGACACCAAAGGCTCCGTCACGCACATTTTTGATGTAGCGAGAACAGATGAGGCGTCTAGCGCCAAGAAGCGCAGGTATTCTCCGTTCGGCGTCATGACGGGGATGACAAGGATCTATCCAACACCTACGAGGGCCAGAGAGCGGACGAGGACACGCATCTCCTGGATTTCAACGCGCGGTGGTACGACCCGCTATTTTGCAGATTCACGACGCCGGACAACATCACAGACGAGCCTTCGATGCAGCGAGTAGACGGCCTGAACAGATATGCGTTCGAGAACAACGACCCCGTCAATCACATAGACCCGACGGGCCACTGGAGCTGGCAGTCCATCCTAGCCATCGTCGTCAGCGTCGTCGTGGCCGTAGTCGCGGCCGTGGCAACGGTAGCTACGGGAGGTGCTGCGGCATCCCTGACGCCTTTCCTAGCCTCGCTGGTGTCTGCGTAAGTGAACCCCCTTTTCCCCATTTCCGAGAAACCGAAAGAGAAAGGATGCAAGCACTTTCAGCGAGCTAACACAAACCATGTTCTAGCGCCTCCTCCGCATGGCTCGGAGCAGGTATCGCCGGGGCAGTCTTCGCCGCAAAATACCACGACCGGGAAGGCAAAGACTTCTGGAAGGGATGGGGCGCCAGCGTCGCCATCGGCTTCGGAACCGGGTTCGTGACGGGCTTCGTATCCGGGGCGTTTGGAGCGTGGATCGGCACCGCGGGCACCTCGGGCTTCATCGCGTCCCCGACCAGCCGGCTCGCCGCCGACGTCGCGTTCCGCGCGGTGGCCCTGGGACCCGGCGACGGATTGATCGATAGGCTAGGCGCCAACGGGATCAGCCGCGACCTCATGGGCGATGACGTGAGCCTCGCGGATGGACTCCGCGACGCGGCGTTGATCGGCATGGCCAGCTCGGCGGCCGTTCCCGCCGCCAAGAGGCTCGGGGGTCGTGCCAGGAATGTCTGGCGGGGAGCAGCCAACCGCGTACGGCCCGCTGCCGTGGCCCAGGCGGCGGACGATTTGGTGTTTGAGCCCAACCCTCTCTTCCAAGTGGAGATGGCGGCGCCAGCGATGCCAGCGCCGATGGTAGCCGTGGTGCATCCCCTACCGGTGCCTTCGGTCCACGGTGGTGTTCCGGGTGGGCTGAATATGGATTTGTAGACTGGAGCTTGGACAAGTAAAAGGATAAATGTCGTTTTTCTTTGTTTTTCTCTTAGTTTCAATACGAAAGATTCGAGTAGAGTGCTCTTTTTCTACCCACTTCTCCTCGTCTCATTCGCATCGGCAAGAGCTAGTCCCTTTTCCCCAGTCTTGGCAGCACGCGAACACACTTCTCGGGTATGCGGGCGAGCACGGATCTGGGAAGGCCAAATATCCAACTTTAGCACTTCTCGTAAAACGCATGGGTGTGCCGAGCTCTCCGCTCACAACTTGCCGGATGAGCACACCTTCATACCTGAAAGAATACGCCATACACAACAGAGCGATGTGCCTTAGCTCGCCATACCACCCTTTAGAGCACGGTCTTTGATATTGGATAGGCTCCGGAAGGTGTTCCTAAACGTCTCCTTATAGATCTAGAGCATCGAATATTTCTGAAATAGCAATTTTTAGATCCTCTGAGCAGCCGGAGGTTCCACGGCAGCAGGACTACCGAGGCGCCACCAACACCAGGCTCGCAAACGGTAGCGGTTTCAGCAAGTACATGTACTTGGGGAGCAGGAAGCAGCGACGACTGAGAAATATGTCTCAAATGGTCGACTGCCGGGCCTATCCCTCCTGATCTAGGACAGCCCAAAGGGCAATACGAGGTCAAGATGAGGGGATGTGTTATGTCCGTCGTTCGTTTTGGTCGCGCAATGTGCGAAGAGGAGGGTTACGGGACCAATCCGAGCAATGCAACCTTTTCCACGTGCAGCATAGTCCTATGACGGCTGTCGTGTGTCGGAAATGCATCGGGGAGGGGGCAGAGATGGGGGGGCAAGGGCCAAGCTGCGGGTTGCGCCGTTTTGCTCATTCGGACAGTGGTTGCATTCGCGTCTTGTCTGATTGGGCTTACTCGAAAGTGTCTACTGCTGCGTTCGTGGGGCTGGCGGAGGACCCTCGCACACAGCATAGCTCGAGGAAAATAGAATAAAAAAACTCCCTAGCTCGGAGGATTTTGGGGTAAGCTCAATTAGCAAGCCACCCAGAAGCTTTGATCAATTGATGCTCGCCCCAGCCCTGCCGGTGTCATTTCTTTCCAGCCCAGCACAGACTAGACTAATGACACAACGCCACCATACACTGCCAGCTCACCCATTCTCTCTTTTACCCATTGTATAATACTGCCCAGGCCCAAAATGAATCTCAGCTAAAGGGGAAGGAGCCAGCTATGGCTTATGGTTTTCTCATTTTTACCTCTTCTTCCAGCTTCGTGGCGGCCTGTGATGCCATCCGCTAGGCTGGCCTGGCCCAATGGTGTGCTCGTTTTGGGGTATCCTCGCCGACGTCAAGCCAGCAGAGGATGTCGCTCCGTGGGATGCTGTAAGATGATGCATGTCGACAGAGCAGACCGCCATTAGAGCAGGATCGTCGTGAGGGGAGGAGAAGGCTCTCGGGTCGCGGGGGTGGGGTCCGAAGCCAAGTAGGCAGTGTCTGCAAGCCCTTGCCAAGAGCTGGCCGTCCGCGTCCGTGGCGTCATGCCGCTCACAGTAGATTCATGGAAATATAGACTGGAAGGAAGGAAGAAATAAACTGGAGGGAGTTGTGCATCGTAGCCCTGGCTCCTACTGGCCCTACAACCGGCCTGGCGGGATCAATTACTACCAGCCTGCTCTAAGCCAGTTAGGGATCCCCCGGTCAGAGATCAGCGTTTAGGAAGGCCGGATCGTTTGTGCGAACCGTTGCAGGCTCAATAAAATTCTAATTCGGGATATATCTTTGCTGGGTGGCGGTGGGATGATGGGCAATATCTGCAGGCCTTTGCTGGCTGTCTGACGACTGTCGTGATAAAGTCCACGAATTTCAACTGAGGAGTCTGTCTTGCTCCTTCCAAGGCCGTATCGCATCTCGACCTACGTAAGGTCCTTTTTTTCTTTGGAGAAATGGGCTATCCATGATGGGGGATTGCCGATTATGTCTTGACGTGGTATAGCCCGGCTTCCGACCGGATGAAGCCTGCATTTGCCCAGTCTCCAAAATTGGGGTAAGGAAGCGAGCTGACAATATTGGAGATGAGGCCAATGAGGATTACAAGAGGCAAAGCAGGACGAAGAATACCGAAAGGATTTTCGTTCGCTTGCTTTAATTTCCTTTTTTTTCCTAGAGAAAAATTCTACGTAGAGGCTTGATAGAAAAAAAACCAAAGAGGAAAAAAGTTCCGATCAGAAGCATTTACCAACACAACAGCACACTGGTATTTCCAGGGCAGCTGCAGCACCAGCGATGAAGAACGCAGCGACCGTGTCCATGTGACGACGCCGTGCTCGAAAGATCGTCATTCAGTCTTGCCAGGCCGGGCAAGACTCACACAGCATGTCGGGGGTCGTCGGAGGCTTTTCACGAGATAAATTCCTCCCCCAACTGATCGTCTATGGTCTAGTTTGGAAAATACGTGGGCTGCCCACCTAGACTGCATGCGTGTGTGTATTTTCCGTGACAATCACGACATCCATCGATCACTCGATCATCGATGAGGGTTGCGTTCGCAAAGGGAGCATCGGGCCGGGTGTGGCCGGATGGGAATGGGTCGTGGAGGGCGGCGAATAGAGGTGAGTGGGTGGTGCGCTTGGCCCCAAGGAGCGCCAACGTCTTGGTGGTGGACTGTCGTCGATCTCGGCGCATGATCTTTGCTGGCATTCAATACGAGACAGGGCACTTGTGCCGCATTCAAAGGGTTCTATTTTTTTATTTTTTTATTGTCTTTTCCATTTCGCTCTACGGCTTTTTTCTTAGTGCTTCCCTAATACTTGGCTTGCTCAATTACGAGACATGAAGACGGGTCAGATGATTAGCGCCATGGATTCAAGCCATTCCGCCATCGTCGAGCTCGCCATCGCGGTCAGTCCGTATCACAGCCCGCTGTCTCCTTACGAGTTTAATGCTCGAGTAATCCGATTTTGCCGCTTTACGGGCCCAAATTTTTGTAAGCTTCGTCTTCGCCATCACGCACCCGAATTTGATCGCTTAGGAAGCCAGTGCCGATCAAGAGGTGCTGCATCTATAGTGCTGTACGAGGAGTTAGGACAGGGCGACGACTCACGAACGCCTCTTTACTGGCTCTGCCTACTGGCTATTCCGGGAAATATTGATTTCTGGCGGGCTGTGTGGGGGAGGAGCAAGCCAGAGGATGAGTTGAGTGCATTTGGGCAGTTATCCTCGTCGCCGCATGTCAGACGGTGAAGCCCTTGGGAGGCCCAGCGACCGTGGTAAGCAAAGTTTCCACCATTCACAGCACAGCCAGGCGGAAACCAACCAATTGCGTCGTCGGTAGATGGGGACCCCGCAGCATTTGTGAAAAGCTTCTGCTCAATTTTGCCTTTTGTTCTTTATTCTTACCCTTTCCCTTGGAAGGGAGGATCAAAGTTGGCTCTCCAAGGGAAGGGCGACAGGGCCCTTTTCCCTGTTCGGGAGGCGGGGAAATGGGGCTTCTCCGCCAAGCTGAAGGGGTGGGCTGCAGCCAGCAACCGTGTTTGGTCCAAGGTCAGCCGAATACAGTTAGGGCCATCCGGCTTTTCTTGGACCCCAAAAATAGTTGGCCCGACCCATAGGCCAAACCTTGTGTGTGTGTGTCTCTGCTGCTTCGCCCCCGTATCGGTACGTCGCTTTTGTATTAGGTTCGTTTATCAACCCTTTCGGAGGAGCTGACAGCACACGGACGAGGCTTTGGCAAGCTTTCTAGCGCAACCACGCCTCGGAAGCTCTCATACGTCTGTTTTTTTTCCCAATGGAGCGGTACCGATGACAGCTCCTCCAAGCCCCCACCGAGAGCATGTGCGTTGGTCTTTGTTCTTGGTGGGATGCTCGAGGTGGAGCGGCGCAGCCCTCTATCGCTATTCTTGCATCACACCGCACCACGCTCATGGGACGTTCCCTCTGAGAAAGCGGGCATGAGGTTCTTGCCCGTGGGAGGGACCTACACGAGTTTTTCTCCTCTTGTCGAACAAGAGACGATCAAGTATATAAGACTGCTTGCCTCTCGCTCTCTAGACCTACTTCATTCTTGCTATCATTATCATACTCATCCACCTCTCTATCCTTCCCTCCTCTACTCAGCTCTCACTATCACTTTTATACAGACACAAGTGCAAATCACTCATCGACTGCTAGTGCGCCCTCTAGGACTCTAGCCTCCACTTTTATCCCTTCCCCTTTCTCTCTCCTAGTCATCTCTCACACACACACACACACACACACACACACACACACACACACACACACACAATGCGCTACTCCTTTACCCTCCTCGCCCTCGCGGCCACCGTTCTTGCCCTTCCCGCGGCCAAGCCGGCCGACGATGGCTCGTGGCGTCCCGGCAAGTATGAGGGTCCCGGTACCCCATACGATGACGGCAAGTGGTATCCCGGAAAGTACCCCGGCGGCAAGGTGAAGCGCGCCGATGATGGATCATGGCGCCCCGGAAAGTATGAGGGCCCCGGCACTCCCTACGATGACGGAAAATGGTACCCCGGCAAGTACCCCGGCGGCAAGGCCAAGCGTGCCGACGATGGCTCGTGGCGCCCGGGCAAGTACGAAGGTCCCGGTACCCCCTACGACGACGGAAAGTGGTATCCCGGAAAGTACCCCGGTGGCAAGGCCAAGCGCGCCGACGACGGATCATGGCGTCCTGGCAAGTACGAGGGCCCCGGCACTCCTTATGACGATGGCTCGTGGTACCCCGGAAAGTACCCCGGCGACAAGAAGCCCGCCAACCCTCCTGCCACCAACCCCCGGCTACCAATCCTCCTGCCACCAACCCTCCGGCGACCAACCCCCGCCGGCACCAAGCCCAAGCCCGATGATGGCTCGTGGCGCCCGGGCAAGTACGAAGGTCCCGGCACTCCTTATGATGATGGCAAGTGGTACCCCGGCAAGTACCCCGGTGGCAAGGCCAAGCGCGCCGACGACGGATCATGGCGTCCCGGAAAGTACGAGGGTCCCGGCACTCCTTACGATGACGGTTCGTGGTACCCCGGAAAGTACCCCGGTGACAAGAAGCCCGCCAACCCTCCCGCAACCAACCCTCCGGCAACCAACCCTCCCGCAACCAACCCTCCGGCTACCAACCCTCCTGCTACCAACCCTCCCGCTACCAACCCTCCCGCTACCAACCCTCCCGCTGGCACCAAGCCCAAGGCGGCCGATGATGGCTCGTGGCGCCCCGGCAAGTACGAGGGCCCCGGAACCCCTTACGATGATGGCAAGTGGTACCCCGGCAAGTACCCCGGCGGCAAGGCCTAGTGCGCCGATGAATTACTCGGGCTCCCCGTTTCCACCCCGGCCTGCGATGCGCAGCTGGGCACCGGAACCTCTAATTACGCCTTTCTTTTGTCCTATTTAAACTTCTCGCACTCCTTTACGACATGACGACGTTTTATTTTTTGGGTATCGGTTAGACTGGTTTGGCTTCTTGCATATAATAGCATATTTAATTTTTTTCCTTTTTTTGATCTTAGACTTTCCTTAGCAGGCACAATAAATACCTGTTCCCCTGATCCTGACTGTTCCTATCATTTCTGTGGTATTGTTAATGCTCCCCGGTCGAAAGTAACAACGTCTCGCATATTGTATACGAGCCGCTCTCCTCTTTCTCACTGACTGAGAGAGAGTAAGCGTCGCTCTTTGCTGACCTGCCTTTCATTGGCTGCTGTGCGATGTTTGCTGACCTTGCCTCGCATTGTCGCGGTGTCCCTGACCGCTTTACTAGAGACGCAAAAAGTAAGTCGAGCGTAAAAAACCATGTGAAAGTGGCTGATTACATGGCGCCTTCCAACCTTAGGGGACAAGGGGCTCAGGGACCACCTTGCGGCGTCTTCAATCTCACAGCGACGGCAGAGAATTAAAAGGGGTTGGTATCCTTTCTAGATGGCTCACCCGAACGATCGACGCCATAATAAGCCTAATGCTCCCCCTCTCTTCCCCAGCATCGTATCCATCCCCATTTGTGCCTACATCCGGAGCACGAAGAAGAAAAATCCAACCGACTCCGATCGCCGTGACAGCAAGACGCAGTCTGATTCGAGGGGCCACGGGGCACAAGGCGAGGCCCACAATAAACCGAGGTCCGGATCGCGCTAGACACGCCGCTAGGGCCCTTAGCAAATTGCGGGGTTTGGACGCTAGAATTCCAGGTCATCCGTTTGGGTCGCGCTCGAGCATTGAGGCCATCGACAGATCTGGCCCCGCCCCTCCTGGACGATCGCTCGAACCACGTCGCAGCGAACCCGTTTCGCCGATTTCTAATAAGCCCGTTGGTTTCGTTTCCTTGACATCTCATCAGCTCTACCCTCAACCTCACATTCAAGCCAACCTTTGTGGATGAAAATGCGAAGCAATCGTACCTCAGCGCGCAATAGACCACAACGTGAAGCATCGTATTGCGCAACCCCGATTGGATCGTGGAGTGAAAGTATCTGGATGTAAATCCAATTTTTGAAAGAGCCACCAAGGGAATTTTTCACAGAGACAACGTGATCCTCGAACAAGATGGGTAATGCACTTTCGATTGCCGCAGAGCAGTTTGCGCAGACACGCCCCAACCGTCTCCTCGCCATCACCACCGCCCTCGTCACTTACCTAGCCCTCACTCGTGCGTTGCGATATAGACGTCGCGACCGCACTCTCCGAAACTATGGGTATCCTAAGCGACCCTTGAAATCCATGACCGTCGAGGAAGCTTCCGCCATACGCCGAGCGTTGTCCAACCTAGAGTTCCCCCACGCATACACTACCTCCCTATTCTTTGCGCTTTTCAAGGTATGAATAATAAGAGAGAAAAAAAGACTCTCCGTCTCCCTCTTATTTCGCTGTTCCCGCTAATCATAGAACGTATATACGCGGCATGAAGACATATGCCATCCCTACGATATCCAGCGTTCTTCTCGCCACCGGCCAGTTATCCTCCGACCAAACAGCGTCAAAGAGGGCAGCAGACACCGCCGTCATCGTCACCGAAATGGCCCATAACCACCCCGCGTCGGATCGGGCCGTGGCCAGCATCGCCCGGATGAACTACCTCCACAACAGGTACCGCAAGGCCGGAAAGATCACGGACGACGACCTGCTCTACACCCTCAGCCTGTTTGCCCTCGAGCCCACGCGCTGGGTGTCGAGGTTCGAGTGGAGGGATCTCACCCCGTCGAGACCTGCGCTGAGGGTGTCTTTTGGCGGAACGTCGGCGAGGCCATGGAGATTCCCTACCAAGTCCTGGAAGCCCACTACGACAGCGACGAGCGGGACGGGACGGCGTGGATGCGCGCTATTGAGCGGTGGAGCGACTTGTACGAGAAGCGGTGTGCCGTGCCCGATGAAACAAACGGAAAGGTGGCTAGGGGCACGCTCGACATCCTCCTCTTCAACATTCCCACGGCCATACATGGCATTGCCGTCCAGCTCATCGGATCCATCATTGACGCGCGGACGCGTGATGCAATGCTGTAAGTGTTTCCAGCTACCATTTCTTTTGTTATTCTTCCGGTCACCATCCTCTTGCCTAGGTGACAGCGCATTCGCTAACCCGAAACCCTTTGTGAAACAGGCTTCCCCACCCGACAGACATGCACACGAGGCTGCTGACGGGATTCATGGCTCTAAGACGAGCCACCATCAAATATCTCCACCTCCCACGGCCCCAGTGGCTCGAGTTCGCGCGCGTCACCGACGAGCCGGACCCCGTGACGGGCAACTTCTACATGACGCTCTACTTCTCCCAGCCCTGGTACGTCAAGCCGACGTTCTGGAGCAGGTGGGGACCCGAGGCCCTCTTTACCCGCTTGACCGGCGGCCTCGTCCCGTCGGCCGACGGGCAGTACGCGCCGCAGGGCTACAAGATTGAGAACCTCGGACCCGTTCGGTTGGAGGGTAAAGGGGCGGAGGAGATGGAGAAGGAGGTGCAGCGCATTCGGGCGCAGCGCGGCGGTTGTCCCATGGCCGGACTTTAGCGACCGGGGTTCTTGAATGATTGTGGTAGGGGACGTGAAAGGCGCTTGTAGTCAGTACAACGGAATCCTCGTTGGTATTTTATTGGGACAAGGAGCCAAGGGAATTAGGATTTTATTAGGATCAAGAGTAACAACCACGTCGTGAATTTGCCTACGAAAGGCGTGTATCCTTTATATTTACGTTTCTAATTAACATTATATCTTAAATAGTCATGAAATTGTCTATCGGTTTTATGTTCTCGGCATCAATCCTCTTTATGTACAATCCCCCGCTCCGTAAACAGCGTCCCGGAACTGATCAGACTCCGACCGTACCCCGGCAAGATGCAGCGGGACCCTCTCTAGGTTATTCTGTACCTTGTCCCGCACATCCATGAGCTTGGAGGAGAAGCTCTTCTCCGACTCAACCGTCTTTAGCCGCTGAAGGGCGTCCTCGTGTCCCCAGTGCTCCCTCCTCAAGCTCGCCACCGACACGATGACGTCTTGTAGCAGGGCGTCGAGCATCGCACTATCCAGCGCATCAGAGGGCTCGTTCGGAAGCATTGTCGCCTGGCGGATGAAACCCATCAAGAGCACATCGACCTTTGCCTCGAAAAAGTCAACTTCAAAATCGTTGAGGAAGTGAACGGCGGCTTTTGTTTTGCGCACCGCTCCCACAGGGCCATGCATCAACGGCGCAACGGTGACAACGGCCTCGCACCACTCGTTGGTCACGTTGAGGTCCTTCTTGGGCTGAACGCGGGCCCAGGCGACGAAAACGCCCTTGAAGGAGGCCTTGATCTCCTCCGGCAAGCCAGACAGGTTGGCGGTCGGAACGCCGTACCTCTCCCTAGAAAGACCCGTCCCTTTGACCACCACCCCGGTGAACCTTGTCGGAAAGGGAGGCTCCGGACCCATCTCGGAGCCGATCGCGCACACGATGGAGGGATCGCCGGTGCTCAGGAGCCCCGCATCCGCCGCTAGCAACTGGTTGTGCTTTTGCTGGCGGATATTCCTCCACTGTTCATCGTGCTGCTGGTAAGCCATGGACGCGCCCTTCTTCGCCAACTTCATCTTGGACCCGTACTTGGCGACGCGGGACCCCACGATCCCGGTCACGGGAGCCACATAGCGGAGCACCGTGTTGGTCGCGATCACGGAACCGACCTTGACACCGACCTCGAGGGGATGGAGCGGAGGCCCGCGCCACGTATGACGCTCGAGTCGGTGGACGTGCTCGCGATGCGAAACACGGGGCTTCCGCAGAGGACCTTGCCCGGGTCCGCACCCTCACACAAGACGAGCCGATAGTACCCGTCCGACGCCCCGGCCGGGATCCTCACCACAAGCGTTTCGCGCGGGAGGTGTTTCCGGAGGCGACCCGACGCCTTCTCGGCGAAGCGCTTCAGGTCCCGCTGGAAAGCGCGCTCGTCGTTGGGAGGCAGCTGCGACGCCGAGGCGGCGGAGGCCGGGGTGACGTTGATCCAGCCGTCGACACCCCCGCCCAGCCTGGCCTTGAGCGCCATGCCCGTCTTGCCGGAGAATCCCTTTTGCTGCAGCCACAGAGAGCGGGCGGGGGCATGGCCACGTCGGAAAGCACGGAAAAGGTCGCCGTGGTGGCGGGGCCGCGGTACCAGACGATGGCGAAGGAGTGGCGGATGATGCTGTAGTGCTTGGTGGATTCCACGGCGCGGGATAAAATGCCGCCGGCGAAGAACTGGGCCTCCTCGAGAGCCTGCTTGAGCACGGCTTTCGTCCCCGCGGGCGGTGGCTGCGCGCTGCTCCCGAACGGGCCGGTGGCGTTTTCGGCACCGAGGATGCTGTGGATGGTGACGCCGTGCGGGGTCCGTCGAAGGAGGGCCCCGCGTCGAGGTCACTCCCCGAGCGGTGGGACAGGTTCACCGAACTCTTGACGCGGCGGACATAGGGGTCGGCGTCGGCGCCGGGCGACAGCCGTGTGAAGGAGTTGGAGGCGGTGAGCAGGCCGGGCTGCTGTCCGTTGTGTTGGGCTAGCGGGACCTTTGGCGAATCGGAGGGGACGAGCGTCGTCGATGAACGGGAGAATTGGCCGGATTCGTAGCTGGGAGGCGCTTTGTGATGGTCTGCCATGGCTCTCATTTGGCGGATCGTGGGGGTTGAAGCGTTGGCAACGTGAAAATAGCGCTAGTCTGGAATTACGACCAGACAGTTAACCCCAAATATCCACAGCCACCGTTATCCTGCCATCGCAACGAATTTAGGGTGTTAGGTGGCTTATCAGTCAAGTGTCGCTTTGTTTCAAACTAAGCAGAGAAGGGTCGATTATTCAGCGTCAAAAGCCCAGTCCCGTGCCGTGAGGGGCACTTAGTCATGCATCAAGTTCAGCTTCCAACTGCTACACTCCCCGTTCGCCCCGTTAGAAAGCTACCGTTGACATGACGGGTGCATATATACGTTCACTCCAACCTCCAGGTACTCTTTTGGATGTCCGTATCGCAGCCTGGCCATCCCCTACATCTCTGCGCGGGGGTTTGAACTACACTTCTGCTCCAATGAAGTCGATAGAAACTCGGCCGCCGTCAGGCTCGTTGGGCAGCCGGCCGCAATGCAAGTTGTTGGTTTCTTTTGAGGGAAAATTTATTCCTTCACCCCTCACTGTTCTTCTGCTTTCCATAGGACTCGTCGTTCGTCGGACAAGAGACTGTTCTTCCCTAGCTACATGATCTCTCTTACTACTATCAAACATTTCTAGTGCGCATCTCTTGACGCCTTCATCGAGCTATGGCTGATGCCAATATCAAAAAATCTACACCGTTGGCTGGATTTGCGCTATTCTTCCCGAGTACGTAGCAGCGCAGGCATTTCTCGATGAAAGGCACGACCCGCCCGATGCCCTCGATCAACACGACGACAATACGTATTCTCTTGGCAGAATTGGAAAACACAATGTCGTTATCGCCACACTCCCCAAGGCGAATACGGCCTCGTCTCAGCTGCGGGTGTAGCAAGAGATATGCTGCGAAGCTTCCCCAACGTGAGAATAGGCCTGATGGTCGGGATCGGCGGTGGCGCTCCAAGTCTTAAGCATGACATCCGCCTTGGCGATGTCGTCGTCAGCGTTCCTGGCCATGGCGAAGGCGGTGTGTTCCAATACGACTATGGAAAAACCATTCAGAACCAGAAATTCGAATACACAGGATTCTTGAATCAGCCACCGCGGTTCCTGCGTACAGCCGTTACCGGGCTTGGAGCCAAGCACGAAGTAGATGGGCATAATATCGAAGATATGATAGACAACGTTCTCGGAACGAGAAAGCGACTACGGAAGAAGTACAAACGTCCAGACCGAAGCACCGACAGACTCTATCTGAGCAGCGTTGTGCATTCTCTAGACCCCGAAGCGAGCTGCGTATATAGAGGTGGCGATGATACATCAAAGCTAGTGATGCGGCGTGAACGGACAGAAGAGGATGATAACCCTACAATTCACTACGGCCTAATAGCTTCAGCAGATAAGTTGATGAAGGATGCTACTATACGGGATAGCCTTGCCGCAGAAAGGGGTGTTTTGTGCTTCGAGATGGAGGCTGCAGGGCTAATGAACCACTTTCCTTGCCTTGTCATCCGCGGTATCTGCGACTATTCAGACTCGCATAAGAACAAGGAATGGCAGGGGTATGCAGCGATGGCGGCCGCTGCCTACGCCAAAGAACTTCTGTGCGAAATCCCCCGACCAAAGTCGAGGCTGAGAAGAAGATTAGCGAGGTCCTCCACAGCGGTTAGTTATTATCCTTCTTTAGTTATTTTAACAAGCATCTTTATTAACTTTGTTGCTACCAGTGGATAGCACTGTGATGAGAATTGAGAAAAAGATGGACGAAGGGGCCGCGATAAAGCTTGAGATAAGGCAAGAAGAGAGGGAAACTCGACAGGATGAGAAGGATAATGAGTGCCTAAAAGACTTGCGCGCTACGGACCCCCGCACCGACAGAGAGCGTATTAAGGAGACAAAGGGCGGCCTTTTTCGGGATGCGTCTAGCTGGATCCTTGACCACGACGACTTCCGGCGATGGCGTGACTGCGATGAAACTAGATTACTCTGGATTAAGGGTGACCCGGGTAAGGGTAAGACGATGCTCCTAATTACTGTCGTGGATGAGCTGGAGCGACAACTGGAGCAGTCGAAATCATCGCAGCAGACGTCTAGTGCTACTATAGCGCTATCCTACTTCTTTGCCAAGGCACAGACAAGAAACTTAACAACGCCACGGCTGTCCTGAGAGGCCTGGTCTACCTCCTCGCTGTCCAGCACCCACGGCTTATCTCTCACATCCGTGAAAGTTATGACCATGCTGGACCAAAGCTCTTTGAGGATGTCAATAGCTTTTATACACTCTCAAATGTGCTAGAGAGAATGCTCCGCAACGAGAGTCTGTCAAGGACATACATTGTGATTGATGCGCTCGACGAGTGCACGACTGATCGGGAAATGCTCTTAAGGTTCATAGTCGAGCACTCCGCAGTATCTGACCGTGTTAAGTGGATCGTGTCGAGCCGTAATAGGCCCGAAATCGAGCAGCACCTCAAGATAGACGGCTCAGGCATGAATCTGAGTCTCGAGATTACGAAAAACGCAGAACAGGTATCTCGTGCTGTCGGCTCCTACATTGACTTCAAGATGGAAACACTGTCATCGCTGCTAAGCGATCATAACCTGAGGAACCTAGTACGAGACACCCTACGCGAAAAGGCAAATGGCACTTTCCTATGGGCCGCCCTCGTCATCAAGGAACTCGAGAAAGTGACAGCAACGCCCTGGCGTGTGCCGCAGGTAGTCGAGGAAGTGCCTTCTAACTTAAACGAGCTCTACGATTTAATGATGGTCCAGATTCAACAACTGAAGGACTGGGGGCTTTGTCAACTTGTGCTCTCGGCAGTTACCGTAGCGTATCGTCCACTCCACCTCACTGAGCTGGCCATTGTGTCCGGACTACCGAAGTATATCTCGGAGAATCCGGAGTACGTTCGGAGAGTCGTAGCTCTGTGCGGCTCATTTCTTACAGTGAGAGGGGCTTTCTCTATGTTATTCACCAATCAGTCAAGGACTACTTAAATGAGAAGCCACGCAGCGCTATCTTTCCTGATGGTCTTAGAGCAGCTCATCACGCTCTCTTCTCGCGGTCAATCCTAGCATTATCAAATGGACTACTGCGACGGAACATTTACAACCTTCCCCACCCGGGCATGCTGATTGATGATGTCGTCAGACCTAATCCAGACCCCTTAGCTGCCATGCGGTATTCGTGTGTCCACTGGATTGACCATCTATGGAAAGCAAATACTATCAGGGGTGACGACAGGTGTCAAAATGATACTGATGAAGGAAAGGGCTCGCTGTTTCTACAGGAGTTTTTTTATACTGGCTTGAGGCTCTAAGCTTATTGCGAGCTATGCCGGATGCTATTGTCTCTATAACAAAACTCGAGAGTTTACTTAGGGTAAGTTTAATATTATGCTAGGAGCATTCAAGCGAAAGCTAATTATCACAGGAACGATCACCACATCCACAGCTGCTCAATTTAATCCAAGATGCGCGTCGGTTCATACTCCATAATAGATGGGTGATCGAGAATGCTCCTCTCCAAACGTATTCGGCCGCGCTGCTATTCAGCCCTACAGAGAGCTTAATACGGAAAATATTCAATAAGGAAGAGCCAACATGGATTAAAACTAAGCCTTTAGTTGAAAATAGGTGGAGTCCTTGTTTACAGACTCTCGAGGGCCAATACAGCCAGGTCCAGTCAGTAGCCTTCTCTCATGATTCGAAGCTTATAGCATCTGGGTCCACTGATGGGACTATCAAGATCTGGGATGTGGCTACAGGCCATGAGGCTCACATGCTGGAGGGCCGTAGCAGCTGGGTCTGGTCAGTAGCCTTCTCTCATGATTCGAAGCTTATAGCATCCGGGTCCGATGATAAGACTATCAAGATCTGGGATGTGGCTACAGGCCATGAGGTTCACATGCTGAAGGGCCATAGGGGCTCGGTCCGGTCAGTAGCCTTCTCTCATGGTTCAAAGCGTATAGCATCTGGGTCCACTGATGGGACTATCAAGATCTGGGATGTGGCTACAGGCCATGAGGCTCACATGCTGGAGGGCCATAGCAGCTGGGTCCTGTCAGTAGCCTTCTCTCATGATTCGAAGCTTATAGCATCCGTGTCCAGTGATATGACTATCAAGATCTGGGATGTGGCTACAGGCCATGAGGTTCACATGCTGAAGGGCCATAGGGGCTCGGTCCGGTCAGTAGCCTTCTCTCATGGTTCAAAGCGTATAGCATCTGGGTCCACTGATGGGACTATCAAGATCTGGGATGTGGCTACAGGCCATGAGGCTCACATGCTGGAGGGCCATAGCAGCTGGGTCCTGTCAGTAGCCTTCTCTCATGGTTCAAAGCGTATAGCATCTGGGTCCACTGATGGGACTATCAAGATCTGGGATGTGGCTACAGGCTATGAGGCTCACATGCTGAAGGGCCATAGGGGCTCGGTCCGGTCAGTAGCCTTCTCTCATGATTCGAAGCTTATAGCATCTGGGTCCACTGATGGGACTATCAAGATCTGGGATGTGGCTACAGGCCATGAGGCTCACATGCTGGAGGGCCATAGCAGCTGGGTCTGGTCAGTAGCCTTCTCTCATGATTCGAAGCTTTTAGCATCCGGGTCCGGTGATACGACTATCAAGATCTGGGATGTAACTATAGGCCATGAGGTTCACATGCTAAAGGGCCATAGCCGCTCAGTCCAGTCGGTAGCCTTCTCTCATGATTCGAAGCTTATAGCATCTGGGTCTGATGATGCGACTATCAAGATCTGGGATGTGGCTATAGGCGATGATGCGACTATCAAAATCCGGGATGTAGCTACAGGCCATGAGGTTCACATGCTAAAGGGCCATAGCCTCTCGGTCCAGTCAGTAGTCTTCTCTCATAATTCGAAGCTTATAGCATCCGGGTCCAATGATGGGACTATCAGGATCTGGGATGTGGCTACAGGCCATGAGGTTCATATACTGAAGGGCCATAGCGACTGGGTCCTATCAGTAGCCTTCTCTCATGATTCGAAGCTTTTAGCATCCGGGTCCGGTGATACGACTATCAAGATCTGGGATGTGGCTATAGCATCCGGGTCCGATGATGCGACTATCAAGATCCGGGATGTAACTATAGGCCATGAGGTTCACATGCTGAAGGGCCATAGCGACTGGGTCCGGTCAGTAGCCTTCTCTCATGATTCGAAGCTTATAGCATCCGGGTCCGATGATAAGACTATCAAGATCTGGGATGTGGCTACAGGCCATGAGGTTCACATGCTGAAGGGCCATAGCGGCTGGGTCCGGTCAGTAGCCTTCTCTCATGATTCGAAGCTTATAGCATCCGGGTCCGATGATAAGACTATCAAGATCTGGGATGTGGCTACAGGCCATGAGGTTCACATGCTCAACCCTGTCATTGCAGTATCTGATATTTCATTTGATGCTACTTCCTCATCTCTTCTTACTGATGTTGGGCGAATAAGTTTAGCTTATATTTCAAGCTCTAATACTGACGTCAAGATAAGGACTGGGGCTCTAGCTCAAGATATGCCTCGCCAAGGCTATGGACTTAGTCATGATACAATATGGATTACGTGGAACGGCCGGAAAGTCCTGTGGCTGCCACCCGACTACCGGCCCGCTTGCTCTGCATTATCATCTTTATGGTTAGTAATCGGGTGTCTCTCAGGTAGGGTCAGTATATATGAGTTTTCAGAGCCTCCTATACTTATATGATATATTGATATAATAAATTCTTACTATTCTTCATTCTCTATTTTTTATTCTTTTTGCAAAACAGGAGTCCAAGGGAGATGGGTAACTTATATTTTCCTTACTCTTATCTAGAAGAGATGGTTAGTATTCGCGAACTTCCTGGAAGATTCTAGCGTGAAGTCTATATAAGCCTAGAGTTAAATGGTAATAATGATACCTAGGTAGCATGCGGCGGTTCCATTTGAATTGCCACTCCACAGAGGTAGACACACCAGCTCATACCATTCCGCAGACCTCAATACATATATGTACCTTACGCTCATCTTAGATTTGCAAATCACGCCGCCACCGTATCCCAAACCATTTCTCTCCTCTCTCTCTCATATCCTCTCTCTCTTTCCCTTTCTGGATAACTTCAATAGCTTGTAAACTCCATAATGGAATCAACTCGCTTGATAGACCTATGTTCAGCACTAAACATATCTTAATTGAGGACGTATCAAATACACTGCCTCGGGAGAGTTACCTATATTATTTGATAATTCCGACCGCAAACCAAACACCAGGCTGGAATTCGGCTTACATATCGGGCTCATATTGAATTCGAACTTATCCATAACCGACTACACCGGAGAGCTGATTCAAAGCACTCAACCGACCAGCCGGAACCAAGGCACTATCAGTCCCTCTTACAAGTACCCGATGGGAGGGGGTTCAACCTAATCAGATTGGTATGAGGCATGATCCATCAGGTCAGAACAAGCAGATTTTGCATATCAAGGGTCACTTCTCCAAGTATACCCAACTATACCCCTTGAAAAGCAACCATTCAGAACCAATTGCAGAGGCATTTGCTCAGTTTATTGCTACTTTCCACCTCCAAGGATTGTCCATCTAACCCTCTCCCTACTCAAAAGTGTATCTCCTAGCCTCTTTAAGGCCGCGATGACACCTCATTCTGCCTTAGCCTTCTCTCTTCTCATAACCTAATCCCCTAGTGGTTGACGAGAGACGCTCTCCTCTCTCCAAGGCCGCGATGGGGCTTTATTCTGCCTCACCCTCTCCCTCCTCCGTCTTTTCTTGGCCACCAGTCGTTCGGGAGGTGCCCTTTACCTCTAAAAGGCCATCAACTACTAGCGAGGCATACCGAGCTTCTACCCCTCCTCCTAGTGCCTCTAGAACGGTTCAACGTGTGATCGCATAAAGCTCAAGGAAACCAAGACAGGAAGACTGACAAGAGGAGAGGGGGCATGGTCCCAACTTGAAGCTTGTTTATTTCTTTCCACAGTTTCCTCCCCTTTGTATCCATCCTATCTTTGCTCCTTCTGAACCCCAGGTGTATGCTGCCAAAAGTTGGTTGAGGAAGTGTCACGGCCTGGCCTCAGAAGCTCCGTTCAAGACAGACACGTCCTCTATGAATGCACCAGGAGCGGCGGCCAGGATGGAAGTGGTGTTGATCATTGCGTCTCGCCTCCACGGCGTTACATGTGCTAGCGACATCAGGGATATCGTAAACTACGTGTAGCTTTGTCTTCGTTCGGGTGCTGGGTGGCCCTTGCACAATTCAAGTCGTCGACAATCAAACAATCTCATTGATTACAAGCCCCAGCGAAGAAGACAATGGTATGGAAACAGGATTGAGTGCCAGATCCCATCGACATTGTTGCTGAAATCGTAAACGGAAATATTTCCAAGTTTAACTTTAGGTAGTGGGTTAGAGTAAATGCGAATTGTTAGGGATGAAATAAGACGTGGGCAGGAACAGCCTGCTCTTTCCTCTGTTGCTCCGACGTTCTAATCTCTAAAACCTTCTCTTCAGCAGTCAATATCTCTACACTTAAACATACCATGATAAAATACTCGTCTTCGTCAAGTCGCGAGTCCACTATTTAGACTCTAAGCAATAACTACAGTTGCTAATAAGGATAGTATTTTGGTACACTCATCTACACTTTATTGCGCCACGTATTACCCTTGGCAAGCCACTCGCAAGGAATCAGATCAACAAGTGCGGGTCCTGTCAACATTAGTCCCCAGAGGCTGACCTGTGGAGACGGACCGCATAGGATGATGGATCCATGGCTGCAAACCCTTACGCAAACGAGAACTGACGTCAATGCGTTTCCAGACAGTCTCCATCGCTACTTCGAATCTTACTCGTCTGAATTACTTCCCGAGAGCCTAGCCCATCAATGCTAGCTCGGACCTAAATCCGCAAAAGTCAAGGCTACACCGGTGAGGGATAATACGAGGATGCCAAGGGCCAGCTGGTGTGAGCGCGTTATTCCCCCGAAAAAGCGGCGAATTTTCCACACACCTCAAGGATCCATCAATTCGAGGACCTCAAATCAAACTTGTTTTCCCCTTGCCCTCACCCTTCCCGGTCTTGACATGGCGATTCCACGGCCGATTCAAGAATGCGACTTTTTCGGCACGGAATTTTCGGCCTCTTTGCATCGGCGAAAGCTGCCTACGTCCAGTGGCAACCATGTGCTGGTGCCACAGAGGTTTTCCCTGATGGGTTCCCAGGCTTTCTGGCCCAGTCTTTGAGCGCAGGGCTGTCACCCTCGCACGATGGCTCTCGACCAGGAAAGAGCACATCGATGGAGTTTAAAATCGGCGCGCAAATTGGAGAGGCTCGATGTGCTTCCTTTGTCGAAGGGCTCAAGCCGGTCAGAGTGGATTTCCAAATCCTCGGCCGCACCGAAATATTCGACGCGCAGGTTACGCGTGCGACCTGCGCCGCCGCCAGAAGCTCGTCTCGCGCGCCGCTCACGATCGAAGCTAACGTGGATATTGAGGAGCTACCCTTACTCTCGACCTTTTACCTCACCTTGCACACGGAAAGTCAGGCCAGGATGGACGGGCCCGCCGATAAAGGCTGTCTCGCCGCCGCCATCACCCCGGCCATTACGCCCGACATGGCAACCGGCCTCCGCTACGGCCAAACAGCCCTGTTCTTGTTCGTCTTCATCGTCTCCATCTTGCGGACAATCTACGACACCGAACCTGCCACGTACTCCGACGACAACGACGACGACGAGGAAGAGGCTGCTGTTCCGTCCGCGGCCAGGCCTACGCGAGCCCTTCTCCCCGGCCTCGGCGAGTTGTTACACTACCTACAGTTCATCTTCTTATCCGCGAGCCTAAGCCTGCGATACCCAGGTTTCTTCCAGCCCATCGCGAGCTACCTAAACTGGTTCTCCCTCTTCAGCAGCGAGGGTCCTGTCGGCCACGCGAAGCGCTACACTAGCATCAACGACGGCATCTACGAGAGGAACGGGACCTACGGCGGCACGTTCGGCCTCGAGCTCATGACGCAGATTGTCGGGGCCCCCACACCATGGAAGTTTGGCTCAACATGGTTGTCCTGCTCGCTGTGCTGTCGATGAGCATCACCGGCTTAGTTGTCCTCGCCGGAGTAGTGAACCGCCGCCTGTACCTGTGGAACCCGGAGCCCAACGAAAATGGCATAAAGGATGCCAAGTTCACCACCGGCCAGGTTTTCCGCGCCATCTTCTCCTACTTCTCGATACCTCTGGTCGCGCTCTCAACGTATCAGTTCGACTACGCAACCCTACTCCCGGCGTATCACACCGCCATGGCCGCCACCCTCCTCGCGCTCATCGCTCTAGCCTTTATCTGGCTCCTACGCCAAATCCCCGCCCGTAGCCTCGGCGCGCTTGTCTTCAACGCCCCGAAATACAGCCCCTTACACAACCCCGCCGGCCATAAACCCGGCCCCCAGACCTCATTCGTTGTCATCATGTTTGTTCTCAATTTTATCCGCGGCATCGCGATCGGCGGCTTGCAAATATCTGGCGTTGCCCAGCTTACTATTCTACTCGCGTGCGAAGTCGTGTTCGTGGCGTCCATCTACAGTTTCAACACTCATCGCTTATTTTCCGCATGTGTGGCTTGCACTATTGCCAGGGCCGTCGTCATAGCAGTGATGACCGTGTATCTACCCGGCGTGGCCTCGTACCCTGTCAGGGACACAATGGGCTACGCTATACTCTCACTCCATGCCCTCGTTCTTGTCTTCGCATTTCTGATCCCCAGCATTCTTCACCTCGGAAAATTATGCGTGCAGCGTTACCGCGCCGAGCGTCCAAGAGTTTGTCCCCCTGCTACCCCCATGCCATGATCCACCCCACTTCATTTCTCTCTTTCTTCTATAGCCCGCTTGATCTTTTCCACTAATATAGCTCCTCATTTGGTCAGGTCTATAGCGTCCGCCAGCTCCGGCGGCGCGAAGCCTCCCGCGCGAACCTGTCCGCCCTCGTCACTAGCAGCAGCCTCGCGGCGCTGGGCGTATCCGACGTCAACCTTCAACCTACTCTCCGGCCCGACACACCCAGCACTCTACGCCTGGACACCAGGTCCACGTCCTCGCGTTTCTATCGCCCTCCGCGTTCTACCTTGCCCAGCACTCCAGTCGATCTCCAGGACAATAAGATCGCTTCACCCCGGCCCTCATCGTCAGTAGCCTTGCGTCCGTCGTACTCTAGTTCAACGGTGACAGTCCCGTCACCGCGCAACCTCACTCTATCGCTCCCCTTAGTTACCACCTCCTCATCATCGCCGCCAAGCTCTCATTCTTCTTGCTTACAAGAGGATGGAAATCCCACCGACTTTCGGCGTACTGGGCTAGGGCCGCGGTGGAACGACTACACTTTCCGCGAATCCGATCTTTACTACACGCAGCCCCCACGTCGAGGCACGCCAACAAAGGCTTCGCAAAGCACGGACGATGCTATTCCGGAAGTGCCATCTTTGCCGAGTAGGCTATGGCAGCGTGTTGTAGGACCACGAGAGGAGCATTCACGAGGTTTCGAGGTGGTTCGACCAAACCGAGTGGTAGACAACTTGCACCCAATCGCGCACGATCCTCCACAACTAGAGCTGAAAGACCTTGGAAAAATAAAATAATAATAATATCACAATTTCGGTCCCGAGCCATTTCGGATACTCCCCAGACTTAGATGTAAGGAAGAAGCTACTTCTGAAGCTAGAAGTGCTATGAGAGAGGTCTATGATAACACGCTCCACAAAGCATAAATCCCTCTAGGAAACATGAAATCTGCAAATTGAAAGACGAAAAACACGACAAGGGGGAGATTATGTGGCCTAGTGAGAAGTACAGAGGAGAGAAACATCCCGAACTGTACGTTTGTACGAGCGCGTCTTATCATTACTAGCCTTGGAGCTACTCTACCCTACTCCTGGGTCTACTTCGCCCTCAGGTTCTATCATTCGGGTGTTTTCCGGGACGGCTGGCTTGGAATGTATAATATTTTACAACGCACATATACCATGTGCCCATCCGCGCGGCCCGGTCTCATGGCATGGATTCGCGCTAGGCCACGGACCTCATCTCTTCTTGCAGCCACAACACGGGCCGGTTCTTCCTTCTCTCGTTAGACTTCTACAAAGTCAAAACGGAAAAGACCCTAACTAAAAGTTTCAAACTATTTCTTGGACGTCACCATCATCTGGACCGGCTCGGGCGGGCCCGCAGTGATGTAAAGGTCTGGTACGCGTGCACGCCAATCACAGTGTCCATGTCAGACTGGGGAAGCTTGGGCTCCTTGTTGGGCCGGTGGCCCCGGAGCTCAAAGTCGAACCAGCGCGCCGTGAACAGCAGGGCCATTCTCATCTCATCCATGGCAAGAGTCTGACCCATGCACGAGCGCAGTCCACGTTCGAACGGCCGGTAAGCGTTGCGGGAATAGGCCGGGCTCGAGTCCAGGAAACGATCGGGATTGAACTTCTTGGGCTCGGGGAAGTACTTGGGATCGAGATGCATGGTATGGCCGCACACAGCAACGGTATGGCCGTCAATGGCGTATCGTTGTCCATTAGCCTCGATGAAGTCCCTACTCTCTTTGATTAGCCAGGGGGAGGGCTTGAAGGGAGAACGAATTCTCGCGGAGAGGGAAGCCGAATTCTTTGACTTACACGCCTGGCTGGGGCTCGCGAATAATAAAGGCAACTGGGAAGAGACGCAGGGTTTCATAGATGACTGCGGTCGTGTACTTCATATCCTTGAGCATGGTCGGGTCGCGTCGAACCATTTCGAGCGTACCCTCGTACGTCTTGTCAAACAGTCGATCGTGCTCTTCACGGAGCTTGGCAAGGGTTTCGGGGAAGGCCGAGAGGAGCATGATAGCGTACTGGGGAACCCCATGTTAGCGCAAGGGTCCTTACCTAGAGCAAAGACGAACGAAAAAAAGGTTGCTTTGCAGGCCCAATCTGGGGTTAGGAGCCGAAGACAAGGGGACTCACCGTCGACGTATCAGCCGTAGTTCCGAAACCTGCGGCCATAAAACCAAGGGCACTGTGGAGGCGGCGTTAGCTGGCGAATTTGGCAAGATGGGAAAATAAACCCAGGTAGACCGAAACAAACATACTTATCTAAGATCAAATTTAAGGAGGATTTGCTCAACGGCCGCCCAGCCTCGATATGAGGCGCGAGCATGCGATCCACCAGACTAGCAGCGTTGTTACGGCTGGGTACAATCTTCTTTCGCGCAGCTCCTCGAAGCGGGGCGTGACGTGCGAAGCCACCGCCTGGCGCAGCTTGCGAGACGTGGTCCACTCGTTCCACTTGGCCACGGCCAGCTTAAAAATGTTCTTGTCGCCCGCGATGACGGACATGGCCAGGCTGAGCTTGAACATCACGTCGTAGACCTCGCCGGTGCCGGTCTGGGTGCCGAGGGGCGCGCCGAGGAAGACGCGGCTGACGACCTCGAAGGGGAATTTCCCAAACTCGTAGACAAAGTTCTTGCACAGGTCGCCCGAGTCGGCCATGGCCTGCAGGCGGGTGTGCAGGGCGTCGGCCTCCTCGACAATGACGTCGTGCTGGGCGCGGATGGCGGAGGGGTGAGGCCCGGGGCGAGCATCTGGTGCAGGTCCTTCCAGAGCTTGCCGTTGGTGGTCTCGATGAAGTCGGGGCCGAGGTTGCGGGCGAAGAAGTCGCGCACGAGCGGGGACTGGGGGTAGGCGGTGGCGGTGGTGACCTGGGCGGCGAGGTCCGGGTTCGTGATGACGATGAACTTGGGGCCGGCGGGCCGGAGATCGAGATACCACACCTCGGGTAGGTCGTGGGCTTGCTTGAGGTGGGTCAGGACAGATTGGAGATATGTCCTTCGAGGGAAGAGCTCGAGTGTTTCGCCGATGAGCTTCATGTGGCCCCATATTAACGAATGCGGCGGGCAGGGCTTGAACGTGGATGAATAGTTAGTATCGCCACTTTGGGCATTCGTTGTGTAATTTCCTCGTGAATCCCTTTTAATTGTCGGCCCCATCTCGTGCGAATATTTTCTTCCAAGCAACTTGACCTCCTCACTAATTGCATCAACCATGGGATTCTCACCTTGTCGGCATAATAGCGACGATGCGCTAACAGCTTGAAAAGATAATAGCCAAGCAGTGACGCGACGCCACCGGCGATGAGCCAGGGCGTTCCGATTGTGCCTGCCATGATACTGCCCCCATTTTTCTGTTGTCGCCGTACGCTGCTCTAAGTCGACCGTGGCTACCGTCGTCGTCGAAGTCGTTGATTCGTGATTGAAAGGGAACAAGTTGTTGGAAGAGAAGAATCAAGTTTGAGGTTGAGCAGCGGCAGGGGGGTTTTGTCAATTTTGAGCGCGCGATGGTGACACCCGCCACCAACAACACCTACATGTATCCAGCGAAAAGCACCCAATGCGGTGTTCCGTGCCTGGCCCCTGGCGCTGCCTGCATGGCGACGACAAACCCGACCGTGCAGGACTCGCTGTCCCAAGCGCTACGCGATCCCGGATTTGACCCATCAAACGGAAGGCCCGGCTGGGCGGGCCAGTCAGGACGTGCAGGATTCTTGCTAGTGCTGACACTGCTGATGCGGCGTATTCGCTGTCTTCCTGCGCGCCGCATCTTGCTGGATGGGGAGTTGGGAGGGTGTCCCCTGCCAGCCAGTCACGACCTCGCGAGTAATCATCGTTGCATTTGGTGGAACGTGGGTTTGACGCCAAAGGGCCTTCTCGAGAACCCTGGTCCTTGGTTCATTTTCCCCGAATCCACGTTCTACCCTGGGCGTCATGATCAGGCTAATTGATCCCATCGTGATTCCCCCATCTTCGCTTCGCTCATTGTGCATCAATCAGTCTTCGTCATTTGCGATGCACGATCTGTAGAATTCCATCGCCCAAAATGTGAAACTGGTCCATGAGGCTTCCTTTTATTCCTTCGTATCCTCATCCCTCGTCCTGTCCCACTCCCATCCTCCCACCAAAAGGGCTTTCGGACACTGGGAAGACTAATTTCCCCAACAACATTGAAATTGTGACGAAGAATCAATTTCATTCGAGGCCCCCTGGATGTTCCAGAGGCGCAGCCACGTCCCCGCTTCTAGACTGCGCTTCAATGTTACGAAAATAGCACCAACCGGACGCTAATGAAAAATGGCTACATGGTAAAAATGATGTCAAGGGCATGGATCAATTGATTGCACAGTCTATGGACGTCCTCATCTTTGAACAAATCCAACCCTCCAACATCATGTTTACAATGGATGGATACATCCATGGATGGATGCAATCACAGGCCCATCAATCCATTTTTGATGGTCCTTTTCCGGTCCCCAGCCCTTTCAAAGCCTCAATCAGGCCAACGCTAATCTCCACACTTGCGCCTTCCACAGCCTGCTTGGCGAAAAAGGCCTCACCATCGCATACCGCAGCCGAAATCTTGCGTTCCCCCAGGGCGTCCATGCCACCGGGCTTCAGCTGGCCTTGCGTCTTGATATCATCCAGGTACTTGACCCGCGTCATGTACTGCTGCTTGCGTTCCTCCGAATCTGCTCCGAGCCGATGCGATCGAGAACGTACCTCACCCCCGTCCGCAAGCCCATAAAGGTATGCTCACTGACAAAGATGGTCATGGGCATCGCCCACCACGCGCCGCCGCCAAACCCGGCCATGCCGTAGAGGTGAACGACGGCGCCCGTGGAGATGCTCCCCATCCACGTCAGGAACTCGAGGGAGCTGATCCACGGCCCGATGCTGTCGGTGCGGACCGGCGCGGGACGCCGGTGCTCGTTGATGATTTTGAAGAAATCCGTTCGCAGCTCGAGCACGTTGTTTACGAGGAACCCGACCGAGAGGAGCGGCCACACGGGGAGAAGAGCGCGAGGTAGCCGAACTGGAGGGCGATCTCCGCGATGTCATCCTGGACGTTGTAGATGTCGAGCGTGGCTTGGTGGCGGGCCTTTTTCAGAATCTCCGCCTCGGTCGGGTCGTCGTGCAGAGCTACCGGCGAAGCGGCCCCCTGGTCGGCCTGGCGCGGTAATCGTTGTACCACTGACGAGTCTTACGCTTGAGCACCGGGAGGATGTTTTCCTCGAAAAACGCAGAGATCTGGCCCGTGACCGTCAAGGCGATGACCTCGTTGCGGAGCCGGTTCGGATCGACACGGAACGAGCGGGGCGCTACCAAGTACTTTCTGCCTAGAGTTCCCGATAGAGCCCTCGTGGCACTCTCGAGTTTGGGGACAATCGCCTGGCCAAATGGGACGTAGACGAAGGCGGTGATGAGGATCGGAAGGTAGTTGGTGATGATCTGGAAGATGAAGCTCTTTTGCGTGCGTGACATGTCGTAGTTATCCTCCGTCCTGTGATTCTCGAATTCGGTGAGACTGGTAGCTACTGCTTCGAGGTAGTTGTTGACGTAAGGTATGACAATGGCGAATAAGATTGTGGGGAGATATTCCTACATCCGGGGATGGTATTGTAAGTGTCATTGGCTACTCGAGGATACAGCCGGTGTCTACATACCACGAGGTCCTCAAAGGGACCTTTGTAACTTTCGGATACCAAAGTCTCGAGTGCGAACACGGCAAACATGAGCATGCCAAGAATGACGACTGCGAAGAGGATAAACGGGACTTGGGCTAGCTGGCGAGCAATCTGCTTCCACTTGGGCACGTAGTGCCTCGTCCTCCCGCCTCGTCGACAACCACCCGCTCCCACCGGAACTGGGGTCTGCTGACCTTTAAAAGCCCGACGCCCCTCACCTTCCATCGGATACTCAGGTCAATCTCTTGAATCTTCCAATATTCCAGGAAAACCGTGCACCAGACGCACGTCACGATGCCGTAGGCGACCGAGTACTCGGGAAGCCACCTCCACGCCACTAACCCAGTGACCGCGGGGAAAGTGAGAAACACGACGTACGCCTGGATAAAGGCAAAGTAGAAGGCGACCTTGGAGCCAAAGAGGTCACGCACGCGATCGAGGTCCGCGGCCGTGAGGAGAAGGCGCCGGTTCAGGTGCTTCATCAGCGCGGCGTTGGATTCGTCGTTGTGCAGCGGGAAAATGGCCTTGACCCGCTCCCACTGGCCCCATTCGGGGGTGATGCCGGCGCCGCCCATCGACTTGGGCCAGTTGACGAGGTGGTACACGGACAGGATGTCCTCCGCCTCGAAACCGTGGCGGCCGGCATTTTCCTTGATGCCGCCCGGGTGGGACTGCACTACGCCGTACAACCAATCTTTTATGCTAGAGCGGGGATGGGACGAATTAGCCGGGACCGAAAAGGGGAAAAGGTCTCCGGGTGCGGGACCGGGGGTCGGGAGGGAGGTGGGAACTCCGGGTGCCGGGGGTGCGTGTGACTAACCGAGAACTATAGACGGTGGTGTGCAAGAGGTCTTGCGGCACCTTGACAAAAATAAGCAGGGTTTCGCCGTGACCGGCTCGCACTTCGGTGTGGAGGTTGGCCGATTCGAGATCTCGGATAAGGGTTCTGACTTCCTTGATTGCGGTTGGGGCATCTTTTTTTCCCGCCGTTTGTTTGTTAGCCGACCCCGGGTTGGTTTCTCGCCAGACCATTCAATTCCTTTTCTTTTGGATTTTTCAAAAACGACAGCTCTACGTACCTACTTCCTCGAAATCGTACACAATGACATACTTGTCATTGTACTTGCGCAGCTGGTCCGGTTGAACCCCAGGAGATGGCCGCGTAGTCACCTTGCTTCTGCCCATGACCGACCTTTGAGTTTCAATGCAGTGAAAAGCATTTGGGAAACCCTGAGGTCTCTCGCCCAGGACCATGGCGCCCTTCTTGTCTAGAGATAAATGCCCTCCGCACCATTGGATCCTCGACAGCCCTACGGCGTAAGACGATGCACTGTCAAGACGCAGCTGCCAAAAGTGGCCTCGACGCGTAAGCCGGTCCACAATGCCAAGCGGAAGTCGGCACCGCTACTCGCGCGCCCTAAGCGCTTCGCGGGCTTGAGTCCTCCAAAATCTACGACGGAATGAGCGGTGGCTTACGAGCCTTACCTAATGGGAATGCAGAATCCAACAAGGCGGCTTACAATCCTTTTGGCGGGACTGTGCTAGTGCCATGACTCGCTATCCACTGCCTCGAGACCGACCAGAGGATCACTTCATTGTCCCGAGGCACACTCGACGGCGTTTAACTGGCGACTGGTTTCAAGCCAAGCCTTGTAGGATGAGCGCCAAGGTACAAAGGGTAAGACGATTTCGTGGACAAAAAAATCAAACTTAACATTACATTAACTTCCCTTTATTTACCGAAAATGTCAACAGGGTTGGTGGGAGGAGATGGGAGCATATATGGTATTGCACAGCTTCGCCTTTGTTGAAAGGGATGAGCGAGATTGATTAGGTCACCAATTTACTCCAGAAAATCGGCATTAACGCGAAACTTCTAGACTTTGTCTGAGGCGTCTCAGCGCAATGGAGTGTTCGTCTTATTTGGGACATGCCGCCCTCTGCACAGTGATCCCCAGATCTTCGACGGATCTTCAGGACAACCGACCGCAAACTTGACTCGTCGTAGCTCTCTCCCCGCTCGGCAGATGAACGCGGGCTTAACTTGTTGCCTTCTACACTTCTACGAGAAATTCCTGCTCTCCCGTTTGCCAGCAATTGTTCTTTCATCCTATCAAGGGAAGGTTGCTTTTTTCTTTCCTTCTCCTGCCTCTCAGTTTAAGGGGAATTTTAAGGTAGATAAGCCTTGGCACTTTCGAAGCCCGGGACCACCCCTTCATGCCACTCGATTAGAGTTAAGTTGGCTAGCGTCCAGTAAAGGCGCAGCAGAGCCTCGGCGGGTAGTTGCCTCAGGATAATTTCAACTTGGCCCGCTCGGGGGACCTTGACACTGTTAACGATTTGCCCTTTGCGAGGACGCGAGGATGGGGCATGTCGCAGAGCAGGGTATTGCTGTTTTATGCGCTGGGGGAGGGGAAGGGCCACGCCGCTGGGACGATCTCCCTGAGAAAAGCCCTTGCTTGCCCATCGTCGGGGGTGGTCGAAAAAGTATCGTGAAGGGAGGGTCTGGACCCTCATCGCCGACAAAAGCACTGACGAGAAGTTGGCAAAATGGAATGATTTGACGAGGTGCACGTGACTTTACTGCTCCAAGCTTCGCGTTCTTTGTCAGAGCAGGACGAGGGTTGGTCTCAGGTTGGGAGCGACCATAACCAATCTGCGTTTCAAGTGGGTGGACCTGGGTCGATGGGCCCAGACCCTCGCACTCCCAGACGAAACCCAATGAGCCCACTCATCGAGCCATTCCACAGGGGGAATTGAGAGTTTCTTTTTGTGCCTGGGGCCACTGGTCGCCGTGCTTATCTGTTGCGCGCCTAATCAATGGGCAATACTACAGATCATTGAGCGATGAAATTCTGGGCCCTCGTTTCAAAATTTTCCGAGACAAGGTTTTTTGCCAAATGGGCCCAGGGACCCTTGGGGAGAAGGGGTGAGAAGGGGGAAAAAGGCTCGACTCGACGTCTCGTCTCGTTGGGCCAGGCCAGGCCCATCGTCAAGTGGTATAATACGGCGCTCTCCCGGCCCACCACGATTTTGCGGAAAGGGTTGGCCTCTTTGCTCAATTTCGAACCGACGACGACGAGTCAAGATAATTCTTTTTCTTTTTGGTGCCGTTCCTCCTGCAGGTCAGATTGTTTTCGCAGGCTCGCTGGTCGACACAAAGTTTTATTACCTTTTTCTTTCTATTCTACGTCTCTCTAGGACTACGCATTCTTTGTTCCTATCGCTCTCTTTTGTCCTTTCTACTGGGCTCGCCTGCATCCTTGGGATATAATCGTCTTGACCCATTCGCCACCGCACATCTCACCGTCATCATGCCTGCTCTACCAGTTGGTCCCGAGACCCTCAACCACGGCTTCATCGAGGTGCGCAATATCATTCTCCGGAGAGCCGTCGACCACTCGATATTAGAAACCGTCGCCGTCAGTAAGTTGGAAATCACCCGGACCTTTCCCCCAAATCCCGTCGCACTCGAAGTTGCTAACAATAGACAACTAGCTTTCACAATATTCATCAGCATGGGTGCTCTCATGTACTGGGGCATAGTGAAGGGCGGTGACTGCGCCTGCGGAGGAAAGAAGAGGTGAAGGGGGCTTTTATTATCCAGGCGATTTCACCACGGCGTGTGCCTGACGACTATCGGCACCTCCCGCTGCCGACTCGCATCCTTCCGGCACCGGCCCATCTAAAGGCTACACGCTTATTCAACGACCATAATTATTCCCCGATGTCGACGTTGTTATCCAGAACCGCTCGTCACAATTCTTGATACCTGACGTAGTCTAGAGTCGACTATCGAACAAGAAGAAAAAGGCCGGACCCGTCTCTCAATGCCATCAATGTCAACCCAACACCCATTCCTCGACTTGTTCCGTCTCTTTCGACCAGGCCATACCTCGGCTTCTTCGTTTCTCCTCCTGCCCCTGCCTTCACCAGCATGCCATCTCCGGCACGGGCTAATTTTCTTCCTTTTTTCTCTTCTTTTTACATTATTGGCGTCCAAATTGCAAAAAAGCAAGCACGGACAATTGCATATCTAAACATATCCTGAGGAGTTGCTCGAGAAATTCGCCTCCTCACGGCTCAGGGAGTTTTCTTATCCCTTTCATTGACTTATCCAGAGGAGGAATTTATATCCCGAGATCCTGTGGAGGTGGGGAAACCCCAGGAGAGGAAGCGACTGTCACTGGGTGACTACTGTATTTATCTGTGATTCCTCTTCTCTTCGAGAGGGGCTACCAGAACCCTCCGACATATATATCTGCATATCAACATACATATTTTTCTTGAAAACCAAAAACAAACCCGGCCGCCCGCACCGAGCCCTCAGACTTTCGCTTCACACGCGGGCTGCATGCAAAGCCAAAAGAACAAAAACTCTTTTAATAGCATGCGCAGAACCTTGGTTCCCCTTGTTGACTCGTGCGCGCTGGCTTTTCATGCGGTTCAGTTTGAAGGGGACCGATCAATGTCTTGGCATCGCCCAAAAGGGTTTAGTCTGGAACCAGCGTTGCCGCGTCACTGATTGGAGAAAGCCCCACTTTTCCCTTTGATAAGCCCAACACTCCTTTTTTCCCCCTTGGCTCTCATTTGGTCCCCGTTGGGGAAGGCCAGCTTGTCCTGTCCCCCTTCTCGTAATATAGACCACCACAACAACGTATCCGCTCATCCTTTTTTCCGAAGACCAAAGAATAACCGAGCATCGCTCTGATCTCATCACGACCTCTCAATACGACGACAACTTCAAGTCACCTCCCCATATCTAGCCCTCCTTCCCACCCTCCCCCTTCAAGCCGCCACATTTCCCCCGGCTCGTCTGTGCCTCTCCCCTGCCATCCTAGTCACCGCCACCAAACTTTTTTTTTTTAGAGAGAAAGGGAGCGCACAGGGGGTTTAACAGTTGCAGAGACGCAACCGCGATGTAAAAGTTCACAACAGACTCAAGGCCCCGGTCTCTCTCTCTCTCTCTCTCTCTCTCTTTGAAAGAATGCGTCGCGCGCTCAACCTCCGTCTCGCCTGCCAGGGCATGGCGATGAAGGTGTCGGCCAACCTCGTGGTCCAAAACATCGCCCATCGCAAATCGCCAGAAACGTCTCCGTTCGACTGGCAGCAGGTGCTCGAGTTCGCCATCTACGGCTTCATCGGCTCGCAGGTCGGCAACGTCATCCAGTACCTCCTGGAGGACTGGTTCCCCACCGGATCTTCCCAGGGCGACCAAGTCTTGCCCGCCACCATCGTCGCCGACCGGCCCGCGACGACCGACGTGGTGGGCGAGAAGAAGACGGACGAGTCCACGTCCTCGTCCCTCGTCGGCAAGGGGAGGACTTGCTTGCGGTTGAGCCCCGATCTCATCTGGCGCAACGTCATCGCCAAGCTCGTCCTCGATCAGACATTTGGTCTCCTCGCCAGCGGCTGCGTCTTTCTCATCTGCACCAACATTGCGCGCGTGCCTCACCCCTCATGGTGGTCAACGTCATCGAGCAGAGAATCTTCGCCCTCATCAAGGCTGGCTGGCACATCTGGCCCCTGGTCGCCATGTGCAACTACCTCTGGGTCCCGGTGCGCTCCCGCGTCCTCGTTGCCGTCTTTGTCGGCTTCGGCTGGAGCATCTTCCTCAGCATCTTTGCCCGAAAATAAGAAAGGGCGACGCTGCGGCCGACTAGTTTTTATTTTCGCCCTGCATGGATTAGCTGATCGTTTTGTCCTTCTCTCCTTCAGCCTTGTTCTTGTCGTATCTAGTCTTGCTGTGAGAGATCCCCCATATGTATTTATTTTTTATCTTTATATTCCACGGACACGGGAGTCGAGGCGCTCGGGGCGAACACGGCCATATCGCGCGCATATACCTTGCATAGAGCACACTGTACCCTACCAGTCTCGGAGATGGATAGCCCGTTCATCGTCTTTCCTCCTATTTTTCACTACACGTCAAGGGTCTTTTCAACTGGAACAGCGGAGTTTCACTTTTAAGAACGTAAACAAAAACTAGACTATGGTATCATTCTTCGCCTCGATAAAAGCAAAATGTCAAAATAAATGTATTCCCGTATCATTGGCAGTCATGCCAGAGAGATGAGTTTAAAGAATCGGCGTGACCCTAGCAATGTGCGAAACGACGCCAGCGGCTGAGAATGGAAGAGTAGTCAATACTACCCCGGAAGGAAGAAAAAGTGGAACCTCCCGAAACCCCTTGAGCGCTGGCTCTTGATCTAACGACGCAGCTAGTGGTTTGTTCCGTGTGACTATTGAGTTGGGGTCCGCCCCTAATATCACACCTGCGCGGAAAGAGGCTTGACATTTCAACGAGGTAGCTTAAAAACCCCGTAGCTCCCGCTCATGACGACATGCCCATCATGTCTAGGCTCTTCTTGTAATCACCGGTCCCGTTCTCGGGATCAGCATCCTTGGCCTGGCACGCGCTGCCCGCCTTACCTTGACCCTTCGCCCCGTCAATTCTCATCCAGTTCCTCCGATCCGTGGCTTTGAGCAAGTTTTGCTGTGCGTCGTCAAACCAGCCATTGACAAAGTCACCGTGCATGCAGTACCCATCTCCCACCTGAGGTGACACGACAGATCATTAGCAATGGACCCTTTTTTTTTTTTTTGTGTGTGTGTGTGTGTGTGTGTGTGTGTGTGGCGTACGAGGCGCGGACGGGAAAAGAACTTACCGGGCCACAGGCCAGCTTCAGCGGGGAGGTCCATTCCAGCCCTCGGGGATGAGACTTCGAACGTCGTATCGGATGGAGAAGCGGAGCTGAGGCATGCGCTTCATGTTGGCAGGGCATTTCCGCCGTACGCCGCGGCGTATCCGTACGAGGTGATGTCGCCCGGATCGACGCAGTCGGGAATCGCAGGATGGCCTGGATGTGCGCGGCGCAGGTGACGCGGGGAAAGGTGCCTCGGTCGCGGGTTTGCCTGTCTTCTGGGCCGGCGTCGCACCACCATGTGAGGCCGTTGATGTTCTCGTCCACGTCGGCCTGGGTCTTGGCGGTGGCGTTGCCGGCCACGGCGAAGAAGTCCTTGGGGAAGGGGATCTCGGCCTTGTCGATGTTTTCGTAGTAGGTGCTGAACATCATTGGGTTGACTTCGTGATACTCGTCGTTCTTGACGACGTAGAGGGTGGGGGTCCCTGGACTAGGATAAGTCTCTGCTCCTCTGCGTCTAGTGCGAGGTGGCGCAAGAAAAAAAAAAAAAAAAACGAAAAGAGACTCGGACTTACAGTACACGGAGAGGTCGTTGGGGTTCTCGCCCGATGGACACCCCTTTTGTAGCTCTTCAGTTGTCGGCATGTCCTTGGTGACAGCGTCGGATCCGTAAAAGGAGTGCATGTGCGAGATGTATTCTCCTGGGAAGACGATTGGGTCAATGTTCTTCAACATGAACCTCTTGTGGCGGATATCGGTGTAAGCCGACACGATGCCTGCCATGAAGGCGGCACTAAAGAGAGACTGCTGCCTCATTTTTTGTTCTCTTTTCCGAGGGAATGAGTATCAGACGAACTAAGCGCTTCAAGATGACAAGAAATGACTATATCCGATATCCTCGGCGCCGAATTGGGCTGGGATGGTAGTTGGGCTATATAGTCGAGGCTAGACGGAGAGCAAATGGAACTGCCGAGCCATGCCAGCGCTGGAAAGCAGGCCTCCAGAGACTAGGTATAGATGCTTGTATATACCAACAGAGCCAATATATGGCACCGCCTTTACTTCCAGGAATGATTTTAAAGGGATATGCTACTCGGTGTGTATTGCACTTACCAGGCGCACTCATGATTCGGAGCCATGGACTCTTGGCATCGATTGTCGTTGTTCAACCCCAGGTCTTTAATCTACGCTTAATGGCTCTCCACACTTTCTACCGCAAGCGGGCCAATGATCGCATCCAACCCCCAAACCACACATGGACAAAAGCACTACCGACGAAACATAATGTTCCGAATTATAGAGACTTGGGAGGAGGTCTGCCATTCATTTCTATCGTGCCTGTATCTCGATGCTTGCAGTTGGGCTTTGCTTGATGTGTGATATGCTCTGCGTTCAAAGGTGGGGATCCAGCTGGTGTGTTATGTTCTGGTGATCGAGTTCTACGGCCTTACCTAGACGTGATCAGACCGAGCGGAAAAAACCCCATGTCTGGGGTTATACATATGCTGGCGTGAAGTGTGATTGATAGTGGTATGGGAAAGCTGGCGATTGTCATTGACTTTTCTCTCAGGTTTATCCCGCGAAGCACACAAGTACAAAGTGGCTGCTCAGATATCACCTTTGTTGATATACTGTGTTAATGAGCAGCCATCAATTCAATTCGAGGTTTACCTTCTCAGGATCTCAATCGATTGCGCACACGATACTCAGCGCACAGCACAATAGTGATTTACAGGATGTGATCTATTCATTTTGACAATGAGGGAAAACAGTGAGCGAACAACGTCATCACGCTCTATAGGCCCTTATCTTGAAGAGTGGGGCCGTCGGGGGATTAATTGGCGTGGAACGGAGTCAAGGTGTGATCAATGCGATGAGTCGTTGTGCCTCATAATTGTGCCAAGCTGCTCGGTCCTTCTGAGAAGCCCGGAAGTGACCCAACGATCCTTGGCTCCAAAAAACACCATTGAAAAAGTTACCACTAGAAATTCGAAATTTGGCCCAACAAAGTGGATTCAACCATTCCCCTCGGCATGTGATCCTGGCCCGGCGCGCGCGGAGGGAAAAACAGAATCGATAATAAGTTCGTCCTAGATCCCGAGGGTGGGGGCAGAAACCCCTGATCTAGCACTCTATATCCATAGATCTCCCCATTCCCACTTCAAGAGCAATACATTCCCCAGGTTTTTGTTCCCAACGCCACCGAAAATGAGTCTGCAATTTTTATCATCGCGCCTGAGGGCGCTGGTCGTGCTGATCGCACAGAATGCGCGGTCCTTGACGAAGCTAAGGACCGTCGCCATCATCTACGTGCTGTTTAACCTCAAGAGCCTACCCTTGATGTGGCACGTAAGTTTGCTTCCCCGAGTTCAATTGCACCTTGCGCTTTTCTTTCTTTTTTGTTTTTGTTCCCTTTTTTCGGGGCATCAAACTGAAAGCTACGCGAACGTACCGCACCCCGAGACTGACACCCTCGCGATTTGACAGTTACGAACCCTCCGCACCGTTATCCGCCGCATCACAGACCCAGCGCGCACCAAGTACCTGTCGCCGCGATGCCTATTCCTCCCCACCGTTAGCTCCACGCGCTCGCCGTGGCTCGAGTGCGACTACAACATCCACAAGTCCAACTCCACCTACTTCACCGACATCGACATGTCTCGGGGAACCTCGCCCTCTTGCTGTTTAGGGACTTCTTCCACTTTTTCCCCGGCCCCAACAGCATGACCATCGCCCTAGGGAGCTGCAACTGCGTGTGGCGCAAGGAGATTAAGCCGTACAAGCCGTACGAGCTCTGGTCGCGCGTCGTCTCCTGGGACGAGAAGTGGATCTACGTGGTCACCCATTTTGTCGAAAAGGGCCGCTACGCCCACAAGGAATATCTTTTGCAGCCCGGGCGAAAGGCGAGCCGGAAGACGACCAAGGGCGAGCCCGTAGACCCCATCGAGGCCGTGTACGCGTCCTCCATCTCGAGATTTGTCGTCAAGAACAATAGGCGTACGGTGCCTCCGGAAGATGCGATACGCCTGTGTGGGTTGCTCCCGCCGAGAGATGACTCCCCGATGGCGCTGAGGTGAACTCTCCGACTTTTGAGGAAATGGAGGCGATACGGTTGAAGAATCTGCCTATTGTCCAGTTGCGCGAGGGTGGGATGCCGTTCATACCCTCTTCGATGGGGATGAAACTGCGGCGCTGGGGAGTTATTCCGAGTTCATGGGCTGCTGATCCCATATATACTATTCCTGGACGTCCAATGTATAGCAAGTCATAGAATTAGAAATTTGTTATAGAGCATCTAGAGATGGGCATCGGAGATTCACATACCAGCGCTGTCAACTTATACTTGAACCACTGTAAAGGGCTATATGAGCCCCCATCTCCTCTCTTATGCACCTTGTAGCGTACCCGATCCGGCCTATCCCGCTCTCGCTTCACTTGAAACTGGAAACCCTGAACCGTAGACAAACCCGGCACTAGCGCGACTTAGTGCCGTCTTTCTAGGCCCAGGAAACCAAGGTCGATTCATACCCAAAAGAGATTGACTCTGTTTTCCTTGAGAAGAGTTAGATGCGGTAGGACACGCTGGGTGTGATGTGGGGAGGCGTAGGCGCTGGATGGGACGAGGAACGAGTGATGTCAAGATCTCGAACCAGAAACAAAGTCGGCACTCATGGAAGTCAATTTGAAGTGATGCATTTTTTGGGCGTTATGAAATATATAAGGAGAAGTAATAAAGGTATATTACAGTAATGATGTAGAAGAAGAAAAATGGTAATCCTGAACCTGCCCCAATGCTGCCGAATCGTCCACAACTTGGAATTAAAAATCTGCGAAATATTTTCCCTTCACTCCCTCTCCACAACCACTCCTTCCGCATCACCGCCAATGTCCGGGTGTAATCATGCCCCCATTCGATACGGTGGGGTTCATTTACGCAGCTGTGGGTTGGATGCCTCCAGGCGTAACGCCGCGGCCGTCGCCACCACCCACAGTCACGGTCACGGTGACCTTGACGGTCTCGGCGTCGTGTACGGTCTTGGTCTCATACTCAGTCTCCGTTTCCGTCTTGGTGACATTCTTAGTTTCGACTTCCTTCTCGGTCTTAGTTTCCGTCTTAGTTTCCGTCTTGGTAACCACGTCCGTTGCCTTCTCTGTCGTCGTCACCAACTTGGTGACGGTGGCGGTTGAGACGAGGCCACCGGCTTCAGCAGTAACGGTGACGTATTCCGTGGACACTAGGCCTCCACCGGGGGCGGTGACGGTAACGGTCTCGGCGGGTCCGTGGGGCTGGCCCTCGCAGGCGCCTTGTGTGACGGTCACGGTCTCTCGTGTGCGGACGTATTGCGTGTTCGAGACGAGAGAAGTCTCGGTGACGGTGCGTGTGGTGGTGACGAAGATGTTGTTTGTGACGGTGACCGTATCTTGGGCAAGAACGGGCACGGCGACCGCCGCAACGGCAATGAGGATGTTTCGTAGAGACAGCATGGTGAGAGAATTCGCAGGGTTGGCGATGAAGTGAACAAGAGTTTGTGTTTAGACGCTTTGCCTAGATAGTCAACGAGACAGAGAACGAGCGTGAATCTGCTGCGCTGCAACGGATCTTGGAAGCAACTGAGAGAAAGAATGGAATGAAGAACAACAGCAGAAGCGGACGACGAGCGGGGGGACAGAGGGAGAGAAATGGGGCTAGATATGAACCGGATTCTTGGTATTTACACGCAAGGATCCGCTTGGCGGATTCGGAGATCGGAACCCGTCTTTCCCCCAACTGGAGCCAAAGAGCCTATGAGTAAAAAGGGCTGGAATGGGATGCCCAGCGGAGCGAGCGTGAGCAACGCGGAGCGCACACGCAATTATTTTTGTCTCGCAGGTGCACATCAAAGTATACGCACACGTTCCGCGCACGCAAATGGGACAAGAAGTACGCTCGTATATATTATTAGCATCACCGGTAATAAATTATACCCGGCTCTGGGTATAGGCGTGCTTTCCTCTGCCGTGTCTCCAAATAGCCGTCCCATCGCGCGGGATAAAGCTAGGTGCACGCACAAGTAGAAAATTCGTCAAGGTCGCCCGAGTGGGCAGATGTGGCGACGAAGGTTTGTTCTCGGCTATATGGCAAAGGCTGTCTGCGGAGGCCAATTAATATTCCCTCCTCGCTCTCATCAGCACGCCGTTCGCGAGGGGCAGCCGTGCTACCCAAAATAGAATGTTATTAATTGATGCCTGGGCCAAGGAGTGATTGCGTCGTATATATACCGCAGCCCGCAATCTGCACAATAAGCCGTTGTGCGCTGGGCGGTGGGAGAGCAAGGAGAGAGAGATAGAGAGGGAGGATAGATAGTGCTGAGGGGTGATTATCTCGTCTAGCACTATCCTCACCTGGTCAGCCTCCGCTTACGCCCAGCGATCGGATTACAGCAATTTGTTGGCCGGCCGCGGGTCGGGGATGTGATGCAGGGGTGTGCCGCCGTGGTTCCCGGGGGCCAAGGGCCATTTTCATTGTCAGACGATAGGTTAGGATCTGGGGAGGAGGAGGAGCTCCCCACGCGGCACGGACGAGTCAGTCGCTCTGTTTTGGGAGCCGGGCCTGCAGAAGCCGGTCCGACTCCCCGTCTGAGCGTTGTCGGGGGTAAGTTGGAATTCGCAACTATTTTGACGACGCTGATCTTCATTCTACTATGCGAGTTCTATATCCAAGCTTGGATTTGAACCCGGCGCACGAGTCGGGCAGGAAGTACGTTGACAGTAGTCGGGGCGCGTCATATAGAAGACGGCTGCACCTTGGTTTGCGCGTGCTTCGTGCTCAGGGGGCACGCTGCCATATTTGCCCATCCACTACGGCTGCCATATTTGCCCATCCACTACGGCGCGGTCGCAGGTTCTCCTCGCCAGAGCGAGACCGAACAGAAGTACCTGACTCCCAACATCCGGGTTTGAAGGTGATTAACCTTATTACCGAGTGGGTTGATTGGGCACGAATGGGACGAGGTTCCCAGTGCATGCTCTGTGGGGGACAACCGACATGATTTTGAGACTCTTGGGTTACGGCTTTCTGGTCTCCCGTCTCCCATGCGTCTGCTTTGTTTCTTTTTATAGATTGGTCTTTTGATGAACGCCGCGGAACGCCGCGATGGCTCGTAGGCCCAGTAGAATCTGAGTAGGCTCGTGGGTCTAGTCATCCCCGGGCTGCAGCGACGAACTTAGGAGTTGAGATATTGAAATTCCTTCAAATTTCAACAGATAGTATCGACGCCTTACGCCTCAATCAGTTAACCTTGAGAAGTGGGGAGGTGTATTTCAACAGATTTGACAAGAAAGAGTACTATACATGATGTAGTTCGCACCCTTGATTGCGAACTCACTTGACATTCAATGTTCTAACTTGATATGTCATTTGATACGAGTGTCAGCGGGTCTTGTACTTGTAGATATTAGGTACCAGTATCCACCATCTTGAAAGCAAGATTTTACGAATCACACGTTCCTAAGCCCTTTCGTATAAGTGGCAATAGAAACAATAAAGCACGTAGAAATCCACGTAAATTTATAAGAAGTTTCTGGATTATGGTATCGTAGCCAAGATTGGAAGCCTTGGAAGGTGGCGTCAGTCTGGCTTCATCCCAGACGCTACCAGCCCCAGCCTGATCAATCTGATGGATTACAATATCAACACCACGCCCATAAACCTTAGAAATCCGTGTTAAGTTACCTCAATGTTGCATCCATGCCACTGTAGCTTCTACAAGAAGTTGCCGGACGGTAGGATTATAGCCCCACTTAGAAACATCCCGAAGCCGTGTTAAGCCCCGGTTATCTCGGATGCTAACATCCGCACCAGCTTCAAGAAGCTACCGGACTATAGTATCATTGCCCGCCTTCGACGCCTTATGAAGTGGCGTTGAACTATCTCTATCTTGACTATCAACATCAGCGCCAGCCTTGAGAAGTTGTTGAACTATAGCGTGATAGCGTGCTTTGGAAGCCTCGTGGAGTGGCGTTAACCTATCTTTGGTTTGGATGCTAACGTCAGCGCTAGCATCAAGAAGCTGCCGGGATGGGGTGCTAAGGCCTCCAATGAAAGAGCATGAAGGGACGATATTGAGCCGTGTCTTCCGATTCTAGTAATCTCCATAGGTTGACGAATTCCATAAAATGGACTTGCGCCACCTTGACCTTGGATAAAGATATGTTTGCCACCTTCGAGAAAGGGCTCAACTATGGCAACGTGGTCGTTTTCAGGGCCCCACGGGGTGGTATTACGCCATCTTCAGACTGATCGCGAACATCAGCGCCAGCACGGGAGTCGTGTGGTGCTTTGGTGTCATAGCCATGTGGCGAAACATCCTCGGGCGGCGTCGGGTCACAAGAGTTTGGTGCCAGGATCGGCAACGGCCTTAACAACTTTATGAAGTGCCGTTAAGTCACCTCCATCTCGCATGGTAGCAGCAGCATTGCAATTTAGCAGTTACTGGACCAAGACGCTAGAGCCTTTCCTTCAAGCCTCGTCAAGAGCCGTTGAGTGGTCCTAAGCTTGGATTCCGGCATCAGTACCAGCATCAAGAAAGTGCTGGGCTATAGAATAATGGCCACCTAATAGCGGGTTATCGGACGACTTTCGGTTATAATCTTAGATGTTAATATTTACATAACATTGAAGCCTTAAGAGTCCTGGGAAATGCTATTAAATCATCATTATCCTGCATGTTGACTTCGACATCAGCCTCAAGAAATTGATAGACTATGGTACCATGGCAGGCATCAGTGGCCTTATAAAGTGCCATTGAGCTTCTTCCATCTCGCCTGTTAGCAGTAGTACCAGCATCCAGCAGTTTCTGTACCGTAGCGCTAGAGCCTACCCTACAAGCCCCATGAAGTGCCATTAAGTTATCTTTACTTTGAATATCGAGATTAGTACTAGCATTAAACATTCGCTAGATTCCAGTAGTAAAGCCCGCCGTAGAAGCAATACTGAGCCATCTTTATCCCATATGTTGATATCAGTGCCAACCTCGAGAAAGAGATAGAGAATAGCATAATGGCCCACCTCAGAGGCATTAAAAATGATATCGATTTAAATTCATTGTTGAAATTTGCCAGCGCCAAGTAGTTACGACATGATAGAACCAAAGCCTGCCCTCGAATCATTATAACCTGGTTTTAACCTAACTCTACTATAGATATTAAGACTAGCGCTAGCGATAAGTAGTTTTTAGATAATGGAACCGTGGCCTGCCCTGAGAATGATGAAGTGGTGTTGACCCAAATCTATCACGGATAGTAACATCGGCGCCAGCGGCAAGCAGCCGCTGCATGATGGATTCATGGTTTACCCTACAAGCATGATGAAGTGGTGTTGACCCGAATCCATCACATACATTGACTTCAGCGCCAGCGATAAGAAGTTGCTGCACAATAGAACCATAGCCTGCCTCAGAAGCCTGATGAAGTGGTGTTGACCTATCTTGATCGTAAATATTGACATTAGCACCAGCTTGAAGTAGTTGTTGTATAATAGAACCATGGCCTGCCTTAGAAGCCTGATGAAGTGGTGATGACCCGGATCTATCACAGATATTTACTTCAGCGCCAGCGATAAGCAGTTCTTGTACAATAGGACCATAACCAGCCCTAGAAGCATGATGAAGTGGTGTTGACCCGGATCTATCACATGCATTGACTTCAGCGCCAGCAACAAGCAGCTGCTGTATAATAGTACCATAGCCTTCCTTAGAAGCCTGATGAAGTGGTGTTGACCCTATTCGATTATAGGTATTGGCATTAGCGCCGGCTTCAAGTAGTTTCTGTACAATGAAGCTATGGCCTGCCTTGGAAGCTAGATGAAGTGGTGTTGACCCTATTCGATTATATATATTGACATCAGCGCCGGCTTCAATTAGTTGCTGCACAATAAAACTATTGTCTGCCTTAGAAGCCTGATGAAGTGGTGTTGACCTATATTTATCCTGGATATTGACATCAGCGCCGGCTTTAATCAGTTGCTGCACAATAGAGCTATGGCCTGCCTTGGAAGCTAGATGAAGTGGTGTTGCCTTATATCTATCCTGGATATTGATATCAGCGCCGGCTTCAAGTATTTGCGGCATAATGGAACTATAGCCTGCTTTAGAAGCCTGATGAAGTAGTGTTGACCCTACTTGATCATAGATGTTGACGTCAGCGCCAGCGATAAGTAGTTGCTGTACAATGGGACCAGAGCCTGCCTTGAAAGCATGATAAAGTGGTGTTGACCCTATTTGATCAAGGATATTTATGTCAGCGCCGGCTTCAATTAGTTGCCGTACAATGGAGCTATGGCCTGCCTTAGAAGCCTGATGAAGTGATGTTGACCTATCTTCATCCTGGATATTGGTATCAGCGCCAGCTTTAAGTAGTTGCTGCACAATGGAACTATGGCCTTCCCTAGAAGCCTGATGAAGTGGTGTTGACCTATATTTATCCTGGATATTGACATCAGCGCCGGCTTTAAGCAGTTGCTGTATAATAGAACCATAGCCTGCGTTGAAAGCATGATGAAGTGGTGTCGACCCCATTTGATTAAGGATATTCATGTCAGCGCCGGCTTCAATCAGTTGCTGCACAATAGAGCTATAGCCTGCCTCGGAAGCTAGATGAAGTGGTGTTGACTTATATCTGTCCTGGATATTGATATCAGCGCCGGCTTTAAGTAGTTGCTGCACAATGGAACCATGGCCTGCCCTGGAAGCCTTATGAAGTGGTGTTGACCTATTTTCATCGTGGATATTGACATCAGCGCCGGCTTCAAGAAGCAGCTGCAATGTGGCATGGTAACCTCCGGCGGAGGCCCAAAACGCGGCCGTCCTAGACCCCCAACCTATTATAGTATTGATATTGTTGACACCCCTCAAAAGCCGCTCTACCACAGGACTTAGACCAAGATAGGACGCTATTATAACGGGCGCATCGTCCGATCGTACCTCTTTTGTTCTATAGAGATGATCCGTGTATATGTCTAGCCATCCTATCCGTTGGGGGTCTAGGCGGCAGCATGACGTCGCCTTTAGCACAGTAGGATGATCCGTATCCCAGTTGGTCTCGCGAAAGTGGCTAGCCCACTGGTTTGCTGAGTATTCTCCGAATATATTCGCGGCGAAGGCATGAATGAGAGGCATCGTTCCGCGACCATCATGCTTATAGTAGGCACCATTTAAATCTTTCAAGGCGAGCCTCTGTAAACAAATCTCAGCGAGGATGCGGTTCGACTCCTTCGGGTGAAAGGAATACTCCCACTTCGCTACTATGCTACAGGCAGGGCTAGGGGACTCGGTAAGCGCAGGAGGGACTAAGAATTCGCGGGCGGTTTGATGAAGTAGGTAAATCTTGGAGTCAACAATGACGACAAAAAGCCCGCAAAGTTGCCTAATATCATCGCGAAACCGGATTTCTGGTACCAGATCCATATCTTCAAGTGATCGGTGTTGCGGGCCTATTTTTAAAGCCAACGCCATTTCTTGTAGAGTGAGTGGTCGCTTTGCTGCTAAAATGATATGGAGAAGTTTCCGAGTGAGATAGGGGTTCTGGCTTTTTGACAAAATGGCCTCATACGCATCAGTAACTGTCCGTGGTAGACTACGAATTTCTGATCGTATTTCATCTGGAGTAAGAAGGATGCTGTTACGTAATTCAGCAAAGACCAGGTGAGCCCATAGGTAGGTGCGGTTTGGCACCCGGGTAAGTTCTTCGAGCAGAACATCGCGCTCTTTGGGAATTAGTCCAAGCCTGTGGCTAAGACTTGATACTTGATCTTTGATAACTAGATCAATCTCAGAGGATATCTTGGTGACCTCTTGCTCATTATCCCCTCTTAAGTGTATTATGGATAGGTCGCGGCTTTTACCCTGGAAGAGCCTCAAAATGTCAACATAAGGGCGACTAGTGAGAAGGAATTTTACTGGCACACTGCCTGTTGACTGCGATAATTTGCAAATGGCATCGACCAGCTGGTTCCTCTCTTTGGTGTCACATTCGTCAAGAGCATCAAGGATACAGATTACTTGTCTCTCTTGGTAACCCACCGCAGAGAGGAGCATTTCCCAAAGGTCGCCAAAGGAATTGAGAAGAGTATCTCCCTTGTCTTGGAGCTTCTCAAGGACCTGGGATGAAAAGAAGCCTGGATAGTGGTCGAAGATCTGGTGTAATATAGAGCGTAACGCAATTACTGAAGATCTCTGGTCTTCAAAGTCTTCCTTGAAGAAGAAGTAGCAAGTTGTTCTTAGAGCAGCGCTTGGTAGGACCTCGTCAGCCAGATATCTAGCTAGAACTGATTTCCCACATCCTGGATCAGCAGAAACCCAGAGTAAGTGAGCTGCATCACTCTGGTGCCAATTCCGGAAAAGCGAATGGCTTGTAAACCACTCGCATGTACCTTTGACTCGTGGCGGATTCCGGTCCTTGCGATCGCGGTATGGACATGTGTAAAGCTTCCGGAGCCACTCTATCGATTATCAGCAAGTCGGGATTTGATAGTAAATATGGGAAAGCAACACAAACCTTGGCGTTTTGGAATATTGCCAATCTCCATTCTTAAACGCTTTATTGCATTATCCTTTCCTTCCCCATAGTTGAGTGGCATGAATATACCGAAGATTCCGAGAAGACAATATACCCAATCCTCTTCGCGAGTAGTCTCGCGCGTCTCTGCCCATCTTAGCCGCTCATCTGCATGAAACTGGTTGAGGGAATCTGCCTTCTGAAGAGCCGGGGTAGGTATCGTCGTAATGTCATGAATCGCCAGTTGTAAAGACTTCTTATCGCCGATGTATAGGCTTTCCTGGGAGAAGAACTTTACTGATTCTGGCGCAAGCAACTCTTGAAGGGTCCACCCCCGGGTAAACCATTTACTTGTCCGGAACGCGTCTTCCCAAGAGAGCTCAACCCCGTCACTGCCCACGGGGTTGTTCATCGATACATCTGACAAGTAGACGTAACATTGGGTAGCATTGCGGTACCACCGAAACATGGAGTTTATCGATTCTTGGACCTCATCCATGGTCGACTTGTCGATGCAACAGGTATCCACCCAGAAGTATTGCAAATTGTCGCGACTTGCTTGGTTTGCGCAGAACTCGATTTTGTGGGCGGCCGGCTTCGTTCGCCAGGTGCCTTCCTGGATATCTTTGAAGGTGACCTCCTCGGCGTTGTTTTTACTCCAGGTATGTGAGAGTATCGCGTATGGGGGATATTATCGGCAATATCATCGGTCAGGCTGATCTCGCCACCCTGATCGAGCGTCAAGAGCCGCATTGTGAACTGGACCGGCCGGCTGGGGAAGGTGTCGATAACAGTGCCGCTCGGTCTCGGGACTACTGGTCTTGATAGAAGATCCAAGCGGGGTAAACACTACCGCAGTGCCCTTGAATCTACTGGGGAATAGTGTTGTTGAGGAGAATTATCTGCCGTCCCTGTTGTAGACACGGTTCGTTCCTAATACTCAATTCGCGCCGCAAGGAGTATTTCTCAAGAGGAGACTGATCGTCAACATCAACTTTGAGCCATGCGCGAAGCAAGGTCAAACTGCGAGGCGGAGCTGGGTGCCTAAATGTGGCTGCCCAACCCAACTTCACCGCCTGCCACAGCCTGGTTGAATCGGTTCGCGAGCCAGTCAGTCGGAGCGCTTTTCATCTTTGAGCTGGCGCCACAATCTCATCCAATATGTGGTTCGCCATGAGGGCACCGCCTCACCGGATTTCCAGTGGAATTTCGGAGAGATCTGTCTATCAGATCTGGTTCGCATTTCGGTCCCTTGACAAACCGAAAAACAGGAATGGAAATCTACTATTACTATTACGCCTCGAGCCGGTCTTCGTCCCTCCAAACAGAAAATTGAGAGTCTCTTGGTTGCACAAAGAGCGTGGCGGAGCTTGGCGGTGGTGGATTAGATAATAATGCGAGTCGTGGCTCGATTTGGGCAAACCAGCATAAACTGTCAGCACGACAACATTGAATAGAAGCGCGATATGGGTTTCCCAGCAAAGGAGTGCCCAGGCGCGGAAGCACCGGCGTATTTCCTTCTTCCGAGCATCACCGGGTCCATTTGAGCCTCATGTAAGTCCCATCTTGACAAAAGTCAGAGCGCACTAATGGTTCATCGTTGGGTGGATCTCGGGAGCAGCACCCAGTCCCCGGGAATCGCGGACAACGCGCACGGGTTTATGGTGCCTCTTGGGAATGGAGACTGCGGCCGAGCCTACTCCAAACCCAAGAGAGTGCCGCGGACGGCAGAGTGAAGGAAGGCTTTGCGTTGGATGGAGCTCAAGGCATGGCCTTGCCCTTGCTTCAATATTACTACAAAAATATGTCAGTAATAGTAATAGCAAGGAAATGCATGCGCTTTGATGCTGCCGTGAGGGCTCCCCGCTCAGCAAGATATGGCGCGCACAAGAGGAGGAACAAGTGTAAATCGTGCCACCCTTTCTCTCTCTCCCTGGCCTTTGCTTTTTTTTTTTTTTTTTTTTTCCTTCATCTCTCTCCTTTTTCACTATTGTGGAAAGGGAGGAGGTGGGGAGTCCGCGCTGGAGAGAACAAGTTGAGTGGTGAGCTGATTGTTGGTGCAGATCTGTGGCTAGCTCGCCTCTGTTGAACCAACGAGTGTCCGAGCGACATACCCTTGTGGCTTGACCGTGCGATCAGTTCAATCTTGGGAAAGGGGTTCTCGTCGCATCAATTTGGGCAACAAGAAAGGAGCCTGCTGATTGGCCCCGAGCCCGAGCGAGTTTGATCCGGATACCCAGGATCCTGACCAGCACTCTTTGGATTGGACCCGGGGTTCCTCAGTTGTCTGGAGCGTCTGGTGCCCATCCAAAAGAAGGCGGCCGCCAACGGTGCCAAGCTGGATAGCGATCGGCACGCGCTAGAGCCCCGGGTGAACTGATGGCCGCCTAGCGCGGAGGACCGGTCTGCTTCTGGAGCTGTTAGCGTGTTGCTTGTCTTGTTGCCGACAACACCCGGCGTTCTTAGTGCCGGGCTCTGCCATTACCTGATTCGATCAATTGGCTCTGGCTCTTGGCCCTTGTGCTTCTTTTTCCACTCGAATCAAGAGATGCTATCATGTAGATGTGATGAAGGGGGTTTGAGCTAAGGGAAGGCCGAGCGCGCTGGGCTTGTTGATCTCATTTCGGATCCTTTTGCATCGTTAGTGATTTAAAACATGCTGAGGTGTTCTTTTTCTTGCTTCAAGACCACCCTCTAACTATTTCTTTGGGATATCTTCATTTCAAGGCTAAACTTAGCGAGTCGGATTAGAATGGCTAAGCATCGCGTTACAGAGTTTTAGGATAGACTACCGCCGTTGATCATTTATCCTGCTGTTGGGATCACCATGTGCTAACGGTTTTTGCTGTCTCTCGCGCAGAGTTTGCCTCCCCGCCACCGTACACCGTCAACAAGAACTTGTAGTCCAGAATGGTTGTTGCCGAAAGAAGCAGGCTTTGCCGGCGATATTTCTAATCCATGGAAAGAGAGCACTGCATTGATGCACTACCCTGGGGAAATTTTGAAAATGGTCTGTGTCGCGGGAGAGGTTCGTTCACTGACCTGACCCTGTGCAACTCCCGAACCATGGCCGCCAGTGCAGAAGTTGTGGCGTCGCGCCGTGACACTCGTCAAGCTCTGACATGGTGGCTGGATTGAAATGTCCTGATTCTGGAGAACCATGCCCGGAGGATTTGGTGATATCGGCTGCGAGAAGTGATAGAGACTGGGGTGATGCTGTGGAGGAGATCCCTGAATTATGCCTGGCCCCTGTTTCCTTTTCGTGCCCCCGTCACCGATCCCTTCATTCCTAGCGAGAGGCACGTAATATATCTGGGTTTTACATCTTGCTAGAAGAGAGTCGCAGAGAGTAAAAGGAAAGAAATCGTGGAAGTGGACGTCACTTCTTGGATTTCATCGGGCTACGAGAATGCTGAAGACTTTGCGGGGCGATCTAGGAACGGGAACGAGAGACTTGAGTTATCGTCCAAGGCCAAAATTATACTTATGTTCTTATCTCTATTAGACGAGTATTAGAGCCGAGACTAAGAATGAATAATAAGGTAAGAAAAATGCCGCTCGTTTAGCCTCCACTGGCCGCTAGAGACGGGGTCGTGAGGTCCAAGCCAAGATTTCTTTTCTCGTGTGAACTGGCGACTTCAGTGGCGTTGTGGACCTGTTGACGAGAGTGGCGCCTGCGCGCTTTGGCGTGGGCCAACGGCCCCCAGTCCTGTCATTGTATTGACCATGAGCTCACTGACCTCGCCACCATTGTGATGCAATGGGACGGATAGGAAAGAGCAGGAGGAGAAAGACGATGAGGGCATAATGTACACATGATGGGATAGTGATAGTGAGGCTGGAGAGCGCTTGGATATTGGGCTGACTGGGTGACCTGGCTGGCTGGGATAGGAGATCACGCATCCAGTCTTCCCCTCACTAAAGAAGCCCGAATAGATAATGAATTATTGGAGATCAGGGCTCCCTGCTTCCCCGGTGAGCTTCGCGCATCGTGCGGGGCAAGGAACGAGCGGTCCCGACACTAGTGCAGCATAGGAGAGAAGTCTTGCATTCATGAGGAGGATAAATGAAGAGGATACGACATGAAGAGCGCATCAATTCGTCAACTACGACGGGGAGGGGAAAGAAAAAGCTACGGCTAGGGGTTCATGCACGGATGATCCAAAAGAGAAGACTGGTTCCGTCGTCCGGGCGTCGAATTGATCGTGCTTGCCGGACCTGGGCGCGATCCAGTCATGATCGACGAAGCCGAGACACCCGGGTCGGGGTACGTTGGGCGTTTGGTCTTTTGGGATCCCAACGACGAGTCCCGAGTCATGGGCCTCGAGGTGGGTGGGTGGATGGTGGCGAAGGGCCAGCAGACTGCTGGTTGTTTTTGTTCCATCGACGTACTTTGGCGTCTGTGTGGAGAAGACAAACCCGGGCTTGGGTCTTTGGGAAGAAGATGGAGGAGCGAGGCTCTGCGCTAAAGTGTTACGCGAGGTGCGCTAGGCACGTTAGACCGCCGCTCCCGATACCGTATCCGTCGAACGCGCCCAACCCAACTTGAACTCGCCATTTTCTTTGGACCGCTGTCAAGCATTGGCGCTGAAGTCTCGACTGGCGTTAGTCTGGAGGGGCTAATGCACGTAGACACTTCTTTGTCAGGCTTCTTTCCTTCCAATTTCTCTTGGAAATCGACGTCGAAGAACTCTACACTTGAAATGTTGTGCCACACACACACACGCAAGCAGAGGCAGACGGGGGTCCCCTGAGAAGGATTCTTTGTCAAAAATTTATAGGATCTTCGAAAATGGCGCTTGGAGGAAGGATGGGTGGGTCGAGTGTGCTTGTAACCCTCTAGCTCCCCTTTTGCACAAGGCCCAGCACACGAAACTTGCGCCGGACTAGGATCAACTTTTCTGCAGCGCCTCTTTTCCTCTATTCGTGTCGTCATGTCATCCTATTAGTTTCGAGGGTGGAGTGCGGATAAGGGAGGGTGAGATGGATGGTTTGAAGAATCTCCAATGAAAAAGGGGGGCTTGCTCCATGATGGTTTTGTGTGTGTCTTGGTTGTGCAGAGGACGTGACGCACGTACATTCCCATCGACCCTGACCATCCGAGCGCAAGACAGGTTGGCACATCGCGAATACGCAGCGGCGCATGGTTCTTCCCAGCAGGATAACAGTTGGAATGGGCAAGGGTGAAATGAGTGAGAAAAGGAATCAATAATCTCTGCTGCATTTTTTCAAATACTGGATCGAGAGAATCCGTGGTGTAGTGTAAAGGATTGCCTGAGGTTCCGGAACTGCGGTTCTTTGTGATCCTTGGCTCCATTGTTGGGTGGATCTAGTATTGTTGGTTCGGGCGCGGAAGTCGGGAAAGCGGAACACAATGTGAGGTACGATGTAGCATCGCTGATACGGCGACGATGGAATGGAAGCTGGAGGAGCCAAGGATGATTGATAATAGTACAGGCTCGAATTCAAATGTGTAACATGTTCGATGGATATTGCGGAAAGTATCTGGTCTAGTTCCCTGTGCCCAGCCGGGCGATGGGGGCCAAGCTTTCGGGGCGTTGAGTTTGGTGCAGCCACGATGTTCTTCTGGCGCCTTTACCCAGCCAGCTTTTTCCTCTAGCCAGCCCCCTTCTCGCCCCATTCAATGATGTACCAACTGGAAGAAAAAAGGGCACGAACTTGAACGTGCAAAAGGAAACAGGAACTGCACCAAGACCCAAGAACCAGGATCCGGCGTGGTGGGACAGCGCCGAGACGGGACGAGACACGGCACGGGAGTGTAGTGCTGTGCGGGCGCTCACTCAGGCACCGCCCACCAGTTCGTCTCGAAATGATCCGCATTGAAGAAAAAGATTTTCATTCGATCAAAGTCCGATGTGAACCATGGACACACGTTCTCGATGGCCGTGGTTGTTTTTTTCTTGTGTTCAATCATTTCATTTTGTGCAAAATTACATCTCTTCCTTCCATCCTTCCCGCTGCTTTCCCTGCATGAAGAGCGATTCTATCGAACGTTCATGGTACGTCCCTTGGCAGGCTAGAATCAGGGCGCAGGAATCCTAGCGGACCTGGGCACAAGGCATCGCCCGAGTCCACCAATGGAAAATCATGGGTGGTGGGGGGCAAGAGGTGAAGGATGCAGGCATTGATGACTACGACTTCGTGATGGTTGCGATCGAGATCTCTTCTCTCTGCGCGCTGTCGGGGCTTCGCGCAAGAGGGCGGGCTGCACACCAGCACTGACTGTACTTCGTATCTACAGCCGGTATCTGGCCAGCGAGATGTCGAGCTGTTTTTTTCTTTTGGCCTCTGGTGCAAGTCATCAAACGTGAGGCCATTCTGCACTGCAAAACCATGCGGGCTTCTTTCTCAATCACTATTCCCCCGCCTCCACACACACCACAGTCCCCTGCATCGCCCTTGCGAACTGGTCCAGGCCCGGTTCGGTATAGTGCCTGCTGCTCCGATTAACGAAACCAGGAAAGGACCCTCTCCACCGTTCCCCACAAACACCCCTGCGGCGAAGAGGAAGATCCACATCATACCAGCAAAGAAGTCGAGGGTATCCGTGCGCTTGAGTGTTTGGGTGTGCCCAAGTGCAGCCTGTTAGTTTTAAAGCAAGTCGAAGAGCAGAGCGGCCGTGGATTTGACTCGGGTTTAGTTCGTGAGGAGAAAGAACAAGGAAAGGCAAAATGTCCTCCCTCCCTGCCTCAAAACAGAGTCCCAAAAGGGTGAGGAGCGGAGGGTGCGACAAAGAAGGCTTTTCCTAAAACGGTGTTGGTCGAGACGATGGAATCGAGTGACAGAAAGGAAGGGCAAAAGGAAGGAAAAGGGAAAAAATATCAAAGCTTGGCGCTCGGGGTTCGATGGACCTGGTTTTTCCCTTTCCCCTGGCCCTCCTTCTCGAGGCCCGAGTCCCTCCTCTCCGTTTCGGTCCAAGCCTGTTCCTTCCTTTTTTACCAGTGAGATTGGGCAAGGCCAGCCGTCCTAGAATCCCCCAGCTGGAGAGAGATGCGTTGGATTCAGACTATTGTCCCAGCGCTCGATGAGCTCGCCACCCGACCATCTCGCTTAATGACAAGAAACTCCCCGATGGGAAAAGCCTTGAGTGCGGACGGTCTTTTTCTTCTTCTTCTTTTTCGCCTAATAGCCTTTTGTACTTCTCCGCAGAGACTAACGAGAAAACCCTTGTCTTCGCTGGTGATCAGTCCTTCGACTAGCCAGTCCCTTTTCCTCCCCATCTGAGAGACGCAAGGATCGTTTCCCGGAATATATAGTCTGCAGGCCCTCTCGTCCCTGCGTCTCGGTTCAGGAAGCTTGGTTCCTTGTGGATCCAGTGGAGCCATACTACCCGTTCCTTATATTCCCCAGGGTCTCCTCTTGATTCTTGCGATCTATCACTCCTCCCTCTCCTCTTTCTTGCTTCTTCTCCAGTGATCGACATCGTCGAGGTGAGATAAGGTTGCTTCCTCTTTTGCGACCCTGCTGCCGAATCCCTTCCTCTTGGGACAAATCCTTTCTCTCTCTCCCTCTTCCAACAACGCCAGTAGCCATTACCGCGGGCAGGCCGCTTCAAATAAATCCCTACCTACTTGTTGACGACGAGTCACTCTACTCACCATGGCTTCGACTACGATTGAGGAGATCGTGGCGTCCACCACTGCCGCGGCTCCCGCTGCTACCACTACCGCCTGGGAGGACCTTCCCCATGATAACATGATTGCTACCTTCAACGGCAGCATTTGGATGTTGGCCGGTCTTTCCGGTTTCTTCTTCTTCCTGAGGTTGTACTGCAAGATCACGAGACATCGTGGCTTGTGGTGGGACGACTACCTTATGGGTGCTTCTTGGGTATGAACACCGCCGCTTTCCTCGTCTTTGTTCTCCTTGTTGGACATGTGTATATAACTTTGTTTTGGAACATCTCGCGTGACTAACCAACACGAGTAGGTTACCATCGTCATCTCCTGCATCTTCGGTTCCATCTCCACCACCATGGGTTTCGGAAAGCACAGCTGGGATATCGACATGACCGGCGACGAGTGGCCCAAGACGCTCTTCATCATGAACATGACGGGTTTCTGGTCCATCTGGGCCGCCGCCTGGAGCAAGACCAGCTTCGCCATGACTCTTCTCCGCCTGTCCTCCGCCGCCTCCACCAAGATCAAGTGGTTCATCTGGTTCTGGGTCGTCACCGTCAACGTTGGCCTGACCCTCGCTGCCATCTTCATGTGGACACAGTGCACGCCCACCAAGAAGGTGTGGGACTCTCGCATCGAGGGAACTTGCTGGTCTGGCGCTGTCATTGTCGCATATAACAGCTGGATTTCAGGTATGGCCTCTCTTGTTGTTTCTTCGTGATACAGGCCGAGATGAAAGTGCCTTTCGATCCTTGCCTACTAACACGAACATTAGTCTGGTCCGGCATGGCCGACATCGTCCTCGCCGTCGTCCCCTGGTGGGTCATCTCGCGCCAGTCCATGAACTTCAAGGAACAGATTGGTCTGTTGATCTGCATGAGCTTGGGTATCTTGTAAGTTGAAAACTTTCCCCGCTTGCCATTCTTGTTGAACCGCATCATACTAACACCCACACCCTCAGTGCCGGCCTCACTTCCATCGTCAAGGTCATCACCATGCGCGCCATCACCAGCAACGACCTGAGTAAGTTTTCCATGTCTCCAAGCCCTCTCTGTTTCCACCAAGTCAGGAACCATCGGCTAACATGTGTCGAAACGCAAAACAGTCAACACCCCTCCTCAACATCCTCGGCATCGCCGAAGGAGCCGTATGCATCATGGCCGCCTCCATCCCCGTCCTGCGCGCCCTCCTCAGCAGCCCCAACCTCACCAAGGCCCGGTCCCAGGGCGGCTACCTCAGCCACGCCACCGGCAACCGGACCAACATCTCCCAGGCCCGGCGCGACCCCCACGAGGTGCTCTCCGACGTCGACAGCGACAAGATAAAGCTCACCCGCATGGTGCAGGTCACGAGCGAGATCAAGGATCCCAACGGGTCCTCGACCAAGATCCACGACGAGAGGAGGGACCCCGAGTGGTAGGCGATTCTTGCTTCCGTGTAAAGGCTCTGGCGAGGGTCTCTTGGGGCTTTAAGTGGTTTGTGCTCGCGGCCCTATGCAAACAAGGGCGGGGCCGTCGTACACGTGCGGTGTCGTTGCTATTTTGTGTTGTCTTCTGTCCGCTTCGGTATATGATGTGGGTGGGGCGGAGGCGAGCAAACCATGACTCTTGATTCCTCGGCCAGTAAACGATTTCTTGTGCACACAACCCGTATATAATTCTATCCTACATAATACCAATTCCGATACCCATGGTCGCGTGGTCTCCAGTTGTAGTTGTTTCGAGTTGTGACTGTCATCTCTCCTTACCCAGGCCCGGAAACCGTGGCTCGCCGAAGGTGCTCTTTCTTTATACCGTCTCGCGCTCCATGGCTGCAGAGTCCCTAGCTTCATTCTTATAGGTTTGTGCTTGTATATATGTCACAAATTCAAGTTAGGCTGAAAGCGCATGTTCTTACTATGGTCCACGATGGCCCAGCTTACTTGGCTGTGAGCAACGGGAAGGCTGCGAATTTCACCATACTCACTGAAATAGCCGGATAAGACCTCCCAGCATACACGAGTCTATAGGCGAAATAAGGGAACAATAAAAAAATGATAAGCATTTCTTCTATGGTATATTTCATGCTTGGGATGGAACGGTAACACGCGAGCAAAGACCAAATTCTGATACGACGCCGAAAGCTCCAGTGGTCTGCAACGTGCCAACCCTTGGAAGCGCCCGCCTTACAACGCGATTCAATGTATCAATACTGCAAACAGCCAAGGTGATAATCCAGGACAACTCCGGATAAGCTACTTGACACGCGCTCACACACACTCAACCTGCCTACTCCTCACATCTGTTGAATCTTCTTGCTATACCAAGACTATTATAGGGTGTCAGTATCGTCCAAAACATCCACGGATATCTAAATGTTCAGAGACTGTTGTACTTACACTCTCAACGCCCGCTCCGACCGGCTTAGGAGCCAGCTTCTTGATGATCCAAGGCGCTTCAATGCGTTTAGCGTCCACTCTCGCGTCCTCGTCGCTGATTTCCGAGTTGAGGATGACCTCCTTGGGAAGCGCTGGCTTGAGCACCGCGGGCCTAGCGATGCCGATGAGGTCGCAGGCGTTTTGGGCGAGGGCCGCCTCCATACCTACGCGCGAGCGGAATCCACCCGTGACCATGAGGATAGTGTTGGGCACCCTGATCCTTAGCTCTCTGGCAAAGTCGAGGAAGAAGGACTCCCGGGCGGATGTTGTTGATTTGGACTCCTTTTCGGTGACTTCCTTATCGGCACCCATCATCTTTTCACGCGTGAGCTTTATGGTCTGAGGAAGGGCGTGCCATGCATGGATTCATTGCTTACCAAAGGGTTCTCGTAAGTTCCTCCGCTGATTTCCAAAAGTCCAATCCTTCCGCCGCGATCAGCGTCGTCTGCTCAAGGCAATCTTCCAGCTCCGACGAGGCACCCGTGGCAGACCTATCCTGGTGATCCGCGGAGTTGAGCTTCAAGCCGACGCAGAAGCTCGGCGGCACGACCTCCCGGATCGCCCTGGCGATGTCGACGACGATCTTGGCCCTGCCGGCGGGAGAACCGCCATAGGCGTCGGTGCGGTGATTTGCCCTCGGCGACAGGAACTGGGAGAGGAGGTAGCCGTGCGCGGCGTGGATCTGAATACCGTCGAAGCCGGCGTCCGCGCAGAAGCGCGCGGCCTCGGCGAAGCGGCGCACCACGTCTTCGATATCCTGCATGGACATCTCGCGCGGCGTGCCAAAGGCGAACTTGGACGCGAAGCTGTTGAGCAAGCCGGGGCCAAAGTCGAGCGGCAGGGGCTCGGGGCGATGTTTTTGGCGAAGAAGCCCCTCTTGCCGGCGCCGGCAGGGCTCTGGCGGCCCGGGTGGTTGATCTGCACGATGGTGGGGTCCCCGCGCGCTTGCACGTCTGGGCGAGGGTCTTGTACAGGGCGAGGAGCTGGTCCTGCGGTAAGGCGGAATCCATGGTGAGGTCGTAGGGGCCGCCGAGGTAGCGCACGTCGACTTGCACGTTGCCGGTGAGGACGAGGCCCCAGCCGCCGTCGGCCCATGCGCCGTACGCGGATTGGAAGGCGGGCCGGGTGGGCCGTTGGGCGGAGTCGGACATGTGTTCGGCCATGGCGGCCTTGGCGAGCCGGTTGGGGAGGATGATGCCGCAGGGCAGGGTTAGGGGTTTGGAGAGGAGTGAGTCAGCCATTGTGATCCTTCGTTCCTTTTCTCTCTCTTTTTTGGAGGCGATTTGAGTCTCGGCGTGCTAATTGGGTTTCTCGTAGGATTTGACTAAGATGACTCCAAGGCGGAATTTGAGGATTGATTGATATGAACACGATCCACTATAGAATTTCTTTTGAAGAGGCTCAAGAGACGATCAAACGCGTCGACCTTTTTTGCACAGCAAATGCGAATGGAAAAAGATTGTCACGACGAAGAACGGGAAGAATGAAACAACAAAAATATTGAAAAGATTGCAGGGGCCCCGGCCCGTACATAAATTGCTCTTCAGCCCCCAAAACCCTTCTTCGCCTGTCGTGCGTGGTTCGGCCTATCGATTCGCCGGCTCAACTGAGCAACCATCAAACTTTTCCTCCGACGGAGAGTCGCCGGCAGCGGAGCCCCCTGGCGTCTTGGGTGCTGGGCGACCGAGGTAACCAAGCAATTTGGATCTTGGCGTGTTCGGCCCCTTCCGCTAGCCTCGCACGATTGAAGCTAGCGAAAGCAATGAAATCTTTTTTCCGCCCCTCCCATCTCCGATTAGGAATTGGGGCCGCACGTCTAGTGAATGATGGAAATTCCGCAGCGTGGCGGAGATCCGCCGCTATATACCGCAGCGAGCTGGCAATTGCGGAGTCTTTGTTGGTGATTGCGTCTTTGACTCTTTCAGGTTATTTCATCTTTTGACTTTTGGTCGGAGCAACTTGAAACTCCGACTTAGTGACCCTCTCTAGATTTCACTGCAAGACAAGCTGCTCGAGCGGGTGGGCGGGTCTGCCGATATCGAGTGTCGGCCGACAAGGTGATGTGCCTTGGTTTAGGCAGGCATGCTGTCTCGACGCGTCAGTCGTGGAGAACATTGAAGTGAAAGCTGAGCCCATTATCAATCGAAAAGCCCCGCTAACGCTAGCCTGGCGTCAATGATTAGAAATGACATGCCGTGGCGGGCAAGGTGGGAATTCATAGCTCCCGGAACCATTGCATTATTTTCAAGCCGCCAGCTCTTCCATGACCGGCCAAGAGAGGATCTAAAAGCGCATATGCACCACCCTGTACAATGCGTGATTGCGGTGTAACATCAAGCCGAAATGATAGCAGAGAGGCTCTTATGGTTTTTAGCGGGTGATATATGTTCTCGTGTTATATAGCCACTCGTCTAATCATATTCTACCTTGCGCGCGCTATACTAAGGGATGATGCGGGCTTTGAGGCCCATGATCATCGCATCTGGAGCGGCATCTAAGCGACAAAAGAGGAATCAACGAGAAACGAAAGGCCTTAACAAACGAAACGGAAACCTAATAAAGAAGATACGTGCATGCATGACTCAAAAATAACCCAAACACCGTAGAAAGATGCTGGAGCCCTACGCAGATGCTTTCTCATCGCGCGCTTTCTGCACGTCGAGGAGATGGAGTAGAGGTCCCTTGGGCGCATCTTCCTTCTCCACGAACAGCTCCACCATCTTGAGCCCCCTACCGTCATTGAGCTTCTCATCCACCAAGAGGGCGCCGAGCTCCCCACGTCCTCGCCGCCGCGGTATACGTGCCCTCCTTGGCGCCGAAGAAGGACGGGGCCTCGAGGTACCGCCACCGCGACACGTCGTTGTAGCCCTGGGCGCGGCCGTGGATGCACCGCTCGATGGTGTAGCCGTCGTTGTTGATGAGGAAGACGACGACGTCGAGGTCGTGGCGGATCATGGTGGCGAGCTCCTGGGCCGTCATCTGGAAGCTGCCGTCGCCGATGAAGAGGACGGTGCGCGGCTTTTCGCCACCGAGCCAGGACGAGGCTTCGCTCAGCTCTCGCTGGGCGAGGGCGGCGCCCTGGGCGCCGGGTAGCATGTAGCCGATGGAGAGCCAGGTGACGGCGGTGAAGAAGCGGGTGTGTTTGGGGAGGGGCATCTCGCGGACGCCGTAGGCGGCGGTGCCGGTCTCGCCCATGACGATGTCGCCTGGGCGGATGAAGTTGGCGAGGGTGCGCCATAGGCGGTCTTGCGTGAGGGCTCGTCGCCGACGGCGTCGGAGAGAGGTAGCTTGTAGTCGTGGGGTAGGTCCGAAGGGTACGGGTCGTAGCGCGTGGTCTTGGTCAGGTCTAGGTCGTGGACGAGGCGGGAGACGATGAGCTTGGCGGGGATGTCGCGGTAGAGCTCGTCGCCCACGCGCACGTTGGTATCGGAGAAGGAGATGGTGATTTCGGGTTTCGGGATGCTGGTGTACGCGAACGAGTTGGTTGAGCTGTAGTGGGGCCCGAAGCACAGTACGACGTCGGCGCCGTCGATGAAGGACTTGACGGCGGGTTCGCCGAACTGGCCCTTGTATACGCCGTGGAAATTGGGTAGGGTTTCGTCGAGGAGGCCCTTGCCGAACGCCGAGACAAAGGTGGGCCACTTTGAGGTTTCAGAGAGCCTCTGTACCTCCTCTAGTATTCCTAGCGGGCGAGTCTCGCCGTCGACCAGGATCACGGGCTGCTTGGCGGTGTATAGCCTATCGAGAATCTTTCCGAGCACCTCTTCGAGCGCGGGGACCGGGGTCGTGTAAGAAAGGTCAAGGGGCCGGTCGAGCCTCTCCGCGCTCACGGGGACGGGAACGAGGTCGACGGGAATCTCGAGATAGACGGGCCGGCTGTGCAAGAGGCACTGGCGCAGGACCTCGTCGATCTGGTCCTGACTCGTGCGGGGATCCCACAGCCGGGTCTGCGCGACGGTGACGTGCTCGTGCATGCGCGCGAAGCGGCCGTACTCGCCGTCGTTGAAGGTATGGTGAATCAGCAGGCGGCCGTCATGCGAGGCGCGCGCGGGGATGCCGACAATGTGCACGAGGGGCGCGCGCTCGGTGTAGGCGCCGGCGATGGCGTTGATGGCGGAGAGCTCGCCGACGCCAAAGGTGGTGACGAGGGCGCCGATGCCCTTGATGCGGGCGTAGGCGTCGGTGGCGTAGGCGGCGTTGAGCTCGTTGGCGTTGCCGACCCACAGGAGGCCGGCGGGCTCTACGTAGTCGAGGAGGGTGAGGTTGTAGTCGCCCGGTACGCCGTGGACGGCGCCGACGCCGAGCTGGCGTAGGCGGCGGAAGAGGTAGTCTGCGAGGGTGATGTGGGGGACATGGTTGCGGAGGGAGGGAGGGGGTCAATTGGCAGGTGAAGTGGGGTCGTAAAGGGAGGAGGAGGAGGGAGGGTGGAAAGGAAGGATTGGGTTCTAGGACGCTCAATTTACGAAATCATTCAAGATTGTTGCACGGCGCGAGGTACGTGTCTCTACCCGGTCCAATGTGTCACGGTGATGCGAGGAGGAGGAAGCTTCTGTTTCGCAATGCTGGAGCTCCCTGGCGGGCGACGTTTGGTCTTTATGGGAGGGTGGCCGCATAGCGCCGGCTCATGGTCCGCGTGCCGAGGTCGTGGGGCCAAGGCCGAGTCCGTGGTTGCAGCTGGCCAGCGGGGGCTGTCGGCCCTAGGCGTGATTGGCCCTGAATGTGGCGGGAAATCGCCTCAGCGCGGTCAGCGAGGGGCTTCGGTCTTGAGACAGCCCCAAAATCCATTGATCCTGCAGGAGTTGGTTCACGGATTGACCACTGAAATCGAGGATGTACCCCTGCGCTAAAGCCACTGGCTGACGGCGATTTTCGCACGACGCGTGACTTCCAGCTGGAATCGACTCGCTCGCTTTTGTTCTTTGTCTCCAAGGAGCACCATCTACATTGGTCAGAGTGATGTGAAGCCCGCTTTAACAGGCAAGAACGCATTAAAAGTTTCATTAGATTACTTAACATACAATAAACACCTCCCACTCCAGGGCCAATATCTTGTGACCCCACCTCGACCAGCATCAACAGACTCAAATGTACATCAAATCCGTCTCGATGCTCGCGAATTTCGAAGCCCAAAAGTCCACCATGTAGTCGTTGCGCGGCTTCCACGGACCCCGGTCGCCTGTCGCGGGAAGAACGGTGCTCGCGCGGTGAATGTACGTGCTATTGAGGTTGAGCAGCGGTTGCCTCGGCATATCGGCCTCGGTGACGGGCAGGACGGCCCTCGCGCCCTTGGCGTCCATGTTCTTGATGATGCGCGCGATTATCGTGGCGTTGACGTCGGCGCCGAGGGTCCAGCTCGCGTTGGTGTAGCCGATGATGTACGCCAGGTTGGGGAGGTTCTGCAGCATGACGCCGCGCCAGATGAAGTGCTCGGACGGGTTGAACGGGTCGCCGTCGACGGAGAAGCGGATCCCGCCCGCGATCTGGATCTTGAGCCCCGTGGCCGTGATGATGATGTCGGGACGTAATATCTCGTCCCCGTCGTCGTGCTTCTTTACGCGGATGCTCCCCTCGTCCACGGCCTCGATGTGGCCGGTGACGACGCCGCCTCTGCCGTCCGACAGCGCCTTGTAGAAGTCGCCGGCCGGACAGGTGCAGAGGCGCTGCTCCCAGGGGTTGTAAGGTGGGGTAAAGTGGGGGTCCACGGGGATGTTTGGAGGTAGTTGCTTCTCCGTCTGGCCGAGCAGATACCGGCGCACGACACCGGGGAACTGGCGCGACAGCTTAAAGAGGAGCATGGCCACCGTGATGAACTTGAGCCGCACGAGGGAGGCCGCCAGTCTGCCGGGAGCAGCCAGCGCAGCACGTCGCCAAAAGTGTCGCTCGTGGGCAGGAGAGCACGTAGCTGGGTGTCCGCTGCAGCATGGTGACGTGGGCGGCTTTTTCGGCGAGCGCGGGAAGCAACGTCACGGCGGTGGCGCCGGAGCCGATGATGACGATGTTCTTGTCGGCGTAGTCGAGGTCCTCGGGCCAGAACTGAGGGTGTATGAGGGTGCCTTGGAACTTGTCGATGCCGGGGATGTCGGCGGGGAGGGCCTCTTCGTAGTTGTAGTAGCCCGTGCCTAGGATGATCCAGCGACACGTGATGGTTTCGGCGGGGACCGTCTTGCCTCCGGCGCCGGAGACGACGGTGAGGTGCCACAGGGCCTGGTCGGAGTTCCAGTTGGCTTCCGTTACACGCCGCCCGTACTGGATGTGCTTGTCGATGCCGGCCTCCTTGGCGCTCTCTTCGAGGTACTCTAGGATGGCCTCCGCCTTGGCGATGGGCTCCTTGGATTCCCACGGCCGCCACGAGAAGCCGAAGGAATACAGGTCGCTGTCGCTGCGGATGCCCGGGTAGCGGAATAGGTCCCACGTGCCGCCTAGGTTGTCCCGGCCTTCGAGGATGGTGTACGACTTGCCGGGAAGGTCGGTCTGTAGCCGGTAGGCCGTGTTGATGCCGGAGAGGCCGGCGCCGACGATGACTACATCGTGGTTGACTTTGGTGGGTGAAGTCATGTTTTCCCGTAAGAAAGTACGGTGCGCTTTCAAAAGGATTGTACGGTAATACTGTAACCTTTTGAGAGATGTGGAGACACCACCCGAAATGGCACGTCTTTTTTTTTTTTTTTTTTTTTTTTTTTTTTTTTTCGGTTAATACCAAAGTGAATATTGTAAAGAGGGGAAACCCCAGCGATTTGTGCAGGAATGATTGGACTTCACGAGGATAATGACGTACCTCTTGTTTTGTTGCTAAATCGACGACAAGGACTCTTGTTACCGTCGAGACAGCCTCAGAACACCTGCGAAACGTAGTGACAGCTCTACAAACCCGCAAATGGCAAGAATTAAGAGCTCTGGCCGTGTCCCTATCGTTGCGGAAGAACGAGAGCGACGACGGCAACAGGCGGAGGCCGTAGGCCAAATGATGCACCGAAGCCGGGTCGAAAGAAGCCAAGTGCTCCCCGCAAACCCAAGGACGCTAGAGGAAGGTGCGACGTTGCGACTGTACGACTTTGCGCTTTGCTGCTTCAGGCTTGTCACAGAAGGAGTGGAGACAGTTGCTCTCGTTCAAAGGCGTGCGACTCAGGCGTGCAACTTGGGGCGGGTTCAGGGCGGTGTGGCCCGGAGAAATGAAACAACCCAAGAAAAAGGGGAAATACTTCAACCTCGGCTGAGGACGAGATGGGATTCGGTCTTTTAGAGAGCTTGGTGGGATGAAGAAAGGACGGCAAGCTGGGCTAGGCAACCTATGCTCTTCGTTCGACCCATATACCCAATTCAATCGACCAATTTGCCCTGCGATTGATAGCTTAAAAAGAGTGTTTGTCGCGGTCATCAATGATGCAGGGCGCAATAAGACCACCGTCTTGGTCGCGGCGATTTTTTCTTCATTCCACTTTTCCGAGGAGAGCCAGAGCTGGAAAACCCAGGTTTGGAAGAAACGGAACTACCCCAAATTCTAGAATTTGGCTGACGGATTTAGTTTTAGTCTAGATACGGAGATTACGGTGTGGCTTTTGGATGGGCTAGACCTATTCCGGATGATGACATGATTATTCCCCATGAAGAGGCGACCTTTCCGTGCATTACTCAACAAATTTTGGTGGGTCGGCCTCGAATCAATGCTGGTAAACGGAGCTAATTTCCGGACACAGTTTACACTTGACGGCTAAAATTTATTTTTCAATACACTGTTCCCAGACCTTTTTTGTTGAAAGGGGACCCACCCTATAAGATGCCTTCATCGATCAGCAGCGGGGTCATCTGCCTTCCAGCGAAGATATCCAACGATGGCACGACCGTCTTAGGCATCCAGGTATGGAAGTGCTGGAACATGCCATGGAACGGAAGGCATCAGGACCATAGACTACCAGACATGCAGCCTATCCAAGGCCCAGCGGATCGTATCCCGTCAGCCACAGCAGATCTGGGCCACGGGCCCATTTAGACATGTATCCTTCGATATATTCACCTATAACGAAGGAGGCCTTACTAGAAGGCAGGTGACCCAGCTGCTGACGGATGAAGGCATAGAACTCATCACTTCTAGCCCTGATATGCCCGCCCATAATGGCAAGGCAGAAAAGACAGGAGGGATCATAATGACCAAGGCACGATCGTTATACATCGCAGCCGGATTATCAGAAGACCTATGGCCTATGTCAGTCCAGGCAGCCATGCATATAAGCAACAGGACATCCAAGAAGTCACTGGAATGGCTGTCACCATTGGAAGCGACCATGGCATACCTTCGAAAAACGAACCCGTCGATATTTGCCCACATACCAGAAGACATCCGGCAGGACCTCTTACCTTCGGATCTATGGATGTGTGGCGTATCCAGTAGTCAAGGAACGTCTCCAAGGCATCGACCCGCGATGGTTGAAAATTACGGCCCGCGCCCACATCGGCTACCTTGTAGGATACAAGTCATCCACGCAGTACCACATATGGATACCACAGCTGGGAAAGGTCATCGACACATCGAACGTGACGTTCGATGAAAGGAACACTTACAAGACCATGAAACCCATAGCTGAAAAGGAAGCCATAGAGGCAACAGTGCAAGAACTGCAGCAGACTTACCGGACTATCGATACTAGCGACGACGATATACTAGCTGACTTGTTCAGCGTTTCGAGGACAACAGATCTGTCACTACTAATGTCAGATCTAGGGGTGGAAAGGCTACAGATACTGAAAAAACAGTTGAAAGCCAGCCTAAGCGAACCACTACCCATCGCTCACGCTGTCACTGGAACCATCACCCACACCATCACTACTACCGATCGACGCAGACATTCCGATCGATGCAGACATACCGACCGCTGACATGCCGTCACCGATCGACGCTATTCCGTCGCCCACTACCGACGACGACGAACTGCCGACGCTACCAGAGATCGTCGTGCGACCACTTCCCACTTCCAACGTTCCCACTTCCGTCGTTCCTTCAGCTGCATCAAGTCGCCCACGGCGTACGCAGCAATTATCCCACAAGGCACAGGACAATGAGGAACAGGCGAAGTAGGGTCTATATAAATACACGTTCGCAATGGCACATATCACCGATCGCAGACATCGCCGCGACATGGCGTCACCGCCAAGAAGCCACAGGGAGGCAATGAAGTGTCCTTACCACCATGAATGGAAACAGGCAGAAATGTCAGAACTGTCTAAGCTGAAACAGCTGGGTACTTACATGGAAGTCGGAAAGGATACCGTTCCGAAAACAGGCCAAATACTAGATGTCATTTGGGTGTACACATACAAGTTCAACAAAGGTGGATTCGTCACCGAATTCAAGGCACGGCTATGTGTCAGAAGTGACCAGCAGCAGGACCATGGATATGAGACCTACGCAGCAACGCTAGTAGGGAGATCATTCAGAATTATGATGGCGATAGCAGCCAAGTTCGACTTACATATCTACCAGTACGATGTGGCATCAGCATTCCTACATGCAGATCTAGATGACCAATCGGCATGGATCCGATGCCCACCAGGATACGGAAACGACATGGTATGCTGGCGGCTACTGAAAAGTCTATATGGACTACGAACCGCACCTCTCCTATGGTATCGACACCTACAGGATACCCTGGTATCCATGGATATGGGCTTGGAAGCATCCATGGAAGATCCATGTGTATACCGCAACGGCAAAGTCACCATCGTCATCTTCGTAGATGATCTTCTAATGCTGTTCAGACCAGAAGACACACACTGCTGGCAGAAAATAGTCCAGCGGCTACAGAAGAAGGTCAAACTGACAGGTGGTGACCCAGGCCAATGGTTCCTGAAGATCCGTATCACCCGCGATCGATACCATCGCCTACTATGGCGGATTACATCGATAACATGGCTGCGAAATATGGTATCACATCAGCAGACATGAAAGTCACGAAAATTCCAATGAAAACAAGGGATGTGGATGATAGAAAGTCCAGCTAAGGATATATAATGAAACTCTTTGGCGGACCGATCATGTGGAAGTCAGGACGACAAGACACTGTTACCACATCGTCTACAGACGTAGAACATCTTGCGATATCTTCTATAGTAAAGAAATAGATCGGCATGGAATGGCTTTTTGAAGATATCGGCCTATTATTAGATAATGGTCTACAAATACTTTGTGATAACCTACAGACCATCAGCGGCCTTCTGGTTTGTACCATATCCATCCTTACATGCCTTGGCTCTTGAACATGAGATAAATGGCACAGCTTGAGAGAGAAAAGAAATCGGAATCCCTACATTTCTGCTAAGTTATGCATGTATGATGCCGCTGATCAATGCGCTTAAAGGATGAGAAGGAGGCCATGTAGAATAAAAGAAGAAAAAAGGTCGCGGGTTCCCATTCCAACCATCCTGCTCTATGGCATGCTTCTGATGCAGGTTTCACCTCGACGTACTGCCTCACACCAATATCTGCGGGTGCCTCGCAATGAGGTGGGACTCGCCGAGAACATCCTTCAGCACGAGGACCAGCTCGTCAATATCCCCGAGGAACTTCATATACGTACTCAGCGCGACGCAAAATCTTCTATAGTCGTCGTCGCGCATGAGTTCGGGATCCAAGGCAGGATCAATGTTGGGATGGTGCGACTGCCAGTGCTCAAAGGCCTTGGTGACCAAGGGCGCCGGCAGCGCCTCGGGCAGCGCGTCCGCCGTCTTGAGAGACTGCTCGCACACGCTGAGGACGGACATGACCTCGCCGATGTTGCGCTCCTCGAGAGCGCCCGTTACCGCGGCCAGGCGATCTTGGTACTGGATAGGTAGGGTGCCGGAGAGGGCTAGCAGCCTCGCGAGATTGCGGTTCATGGCCTCGCAGTGGCCCTTGATGAGGCGTAGGCTTTGGCTATCGAAAGGCGAGCTGGAGATCTCGTAGCGAAGGACGCCGATCAGGCCGTCCAGCATGGAGAGGGACGTGGACATGGAGGGAAAGGGGCCCCGCGAGCAGGGCTCCGTCGGAGTTGGGTCGGCCCCATGAGGAGAGAAGCAGGGCGTAGTGGTCGGAAAGGGAGCGGATAGAGTGAGAGAGTGTCCTTGTGATGTGCTTGGCTGCCGATGGCGGGCGGGGAAGATTTGGACGACAGTTGCAGCGGCGATGCCGATGAGGGCGAGAAGGAGGCGTCGCCAGAAGACGTTGTAACCAACGCCAGGATTTCCATACGATGGGTTTTGACTGGAGAATAAGTTAGTGGGTGTGGATGAAATTGGGGTTTTCTTTCGTGTTTGCGCCACACGAATGCAGTGGGTTTACTTACACATCAGCATAACTGTACCCGATGACGAGAAGGAACGTAACGGCGCACATGATACCCCTTGAAGGAACTGAACGGGGAGGTATAACCGACACCATACGAGCACAACTAGAGCCACAGCCATAGCACCCGAGAGCCCGTATGGATTTCCAGGGCCATTGCCGGAGCCGATATACCACACAGCTAGCCCAAGGACCCCGCCATTCACGCTGCCGAGAATGCGCGACATGACGGAAAAGGTAAAGTCGGCCATGTACAAGACCAAACCCGTCTGCGCCATGATTAAAGCCCAGATGCCCTTCTCTCGGTAGAAGAATCCCGCAGTTTGGGGGAGGAGGCCCGGGATGGAGGTGGCGATGGTGACGATGACCATGCGCAGGGCGTACAGGCCTTCGGGATTCGTGAGCCAGTCAAACGTTGCTGATATCGCCTGACCCACCGGGTTCCGTCGAACAGAGTAGTGCCCGCGCCTCACGCGGAGGCGTTCTTCGGCCTTTTTGGTTCGGCTGGCCAGGACTTTGTCCGGGTCTTCTTCCGAGGCGGGTGCCATGTCCGGTGCCCGGGCGTTCTTGTCGAATGCCCAGGCGCTGGCTTTGTGGAAGTTGGCTGGACTCCAGAGGCGCGTGCGAGGAGACGCGTCAAACGTCGTGACGACACGATCGATGAAACCTTCGACGCCGGCCATGGCTACGACGACATGCTCCTCGTATACCATACCGATGACTAGGCTGCGCAGTCGGCCGGCTGCCCACGCATGCGGATCCTTGGCCGTGCCGGGCTCCGCGGTCCGCAAGTACGCATCGAGCACGGTATCCGTGGACTCGCGAATGTAGGCCGGTCGAGCTTTGCGCAACCACAGGAGCGCGGCATGGCAGCGTGCCGATACTTGCTGCCGCTCCGCCGGGGAGGGTTTTCCGAACCATCGGCATCGGTTAACCATGGCGATGCATTCTCCCGCCGCCTCTATGCCCTCGAGACAGGCGCCCATGGCATCTTCGCTCGCGGTGATTAGCTTGCGCACTGTTTCTTCCCGTAAGGGTTGATTATCCGACCAGCGAAGTCCGCGGATGAAGGCGCCGAGCTGTAGTTTTTGCTGGCCGCCAATCTCATGCGGCTTCGCCTCCGCGGCGGCGTAGGCCTCGAGGCTGTCAGTTTCGAGGGCGTGCGTGCGCAGTGCCTCTAAAGCGGATGCCTCGTTGGCGATCCGACCGGTGTGAAAGTCGAGAAGCGACACGGCGGCCGTCATGACGGTCTTCAGCCCCTCGGTGATATCCTTGACGTCTCGCGGACCCCACCGCCCGACGGAAAAGTCGAGGGGCAGAAACGCGAGGCAGGCTTCCATCTGGCCGGACGCGGCGATGATCTTAGCCCGCGTCTGGCGGAGGTGCGCGAGATTTTCCTCGTCCTCCCGCTGCGCCGCGGCGCCGCCGAGGGTGGACGAGGCGAACCGGAGAGGCACGTGCAGGAGCTGCAGGATGTCGCCGGCGGTGTCGAGGACGACGTGGGAGGTGGAGCGGGGAAGAGGAAGATGGAGCAGGCGAGGCCGATGCCGATGCCGATGGCGGCGGGCTTGATGATCATGAGGGGGATCGTGCCGGAGTAGGTGGGGAGGCCGGGGCCGAAGAGGAGGTAGATGTCGGCGATGATGGTGGCGAAGAGTTGGGTGAGGGCGAGTTTTTGGTTACCACCGCGAAGGCGGGCCTGCGTAGCGTCGTCGAGAGATGTGATTAGCAATCTTGCTTCTAACTCATGTTTGGAAAAGGGAGGTGGATACCAAAACGTAGATAAAGATGCAGATGAGGCAATACGTCACAACCGTCACCCGCACGTCGAGCATGAAGCCCTCGTGCACGAGCATCTGCGAAGCGGTCGCCACATCGGTCGACGACTCTTCGGCCCTCTGCGCTGCCGCTCGTCGGAGCGCTATTACGCGCGCTGCGGTTTCGGGGGCCGGCCTAGCGAGTGACGCCACTTTCATCACTAGAGCGCCCCAGCCCCAGCCGAGGAGGACGCCGATGAGTAGGGTGACGGACCCGAGGATATAGACGAAGACGATGCCGCTTGGTGGAATAATGACTACGACAAGACTAGTTTAACCCCCAACGGAATACAAGTTAGCTATGATGATCAACTTCCAAAGGCGGAAGCAAGAAGCAACCGAGGATGAGGACAGGTTGAATCAAAACGGCAGCACTCACCCCGCGAAAAAGGTGGCCGTTCCAATGGTGCGCAGCGTGGGGCCGATAAACATGAGGATGCTTCCGCTCCATGCCGCGGCCCAGCATCGGAAAAATACCTTGAGCTCTCGCTTGCTAAAGTGGTCGAGGAAGGCCGGGAGCCTGCTCTTGGGCGGCGGGGGCGCGTTGGTGAGGAGCCGAGCCGGCGCGGTGAGTATCGGGAGGCTGTCCTCCTCTGGACGGAGAGTATCGCTGCTGAAAGTCATTGTATATGCTCGAGGACGCCTTGGTGGTTTTCGCAACTTGGCATTCTCGGATGGCGCCGAGGGTGGATGAACCAATGAACTAGGATGGAGATGGAGATTCGAGGTCGAGTTCTCGCTCGATACATGTAAGCGATAGGCGTCGCCAAGAGGGGGCCGCCTTGATCATTAAGAGGGCCTCCATGATGCGTGAGAGGGAAGTGGAGAAGACAAAAATTGGACGTATAAGCCCTCAAACATGTAAGACGCGGCACGGAGAGAAGGATAGCGGGTCTTGAGCGTGATAACTGGTAATTCTTGGATGAATCCCTCATATTCTCCATCGCAGTGGGTATTCGGATCTGTGATGAGTGCGATTAGAGTTTGGCGTTAGTGCGATGGGATTTATGCGCGACCAGGAGAGGGCGGAGCATTCTCCTGCCAGAGTTCCGCGCCACCAACCCCCGGTGACGAGTTTCAAACGACTCAGAAACTCCCCGCCATAAAAGTTTACTTGTTCCTATTCGTCGTAGGTGGAGAGCACCTGGGGCGCAATATTAAAAATGGGTGCGGTGGTCAGACTGCGTTAAGGACCGGCAGAGAGATGAAAAGAGATAAAAGGAAGCATCCCGTGATATTCCTGGCCGCCTGCCAGGCCGTAGAAAGAAAGATATCATGATCCACCATATCCACGCTACTCTGTGCTGCACCTACCCACAACTGACCCATGAGTCTGTAGGCTAGAGCCCGCAGCTCTGACGGTTGTCCCTCACGGCCACAAGACCGGTTTTCCCACCCTCCAGATCTTCGGGGAGGATTGACCGCCGTATTCTATCTCCGAGGGTTGTAAAGGGAACAAGTGGAATTCGTGTTTTCTCGATGAATACTTCGGTCGAAGTGGGTGGAGCATAGAGGGGGTCTGTGAAGCACCGGAGCACGCTGCACGAGATGCTTCCTTGATAGAGGTAGACTGCATCCCTGTCACATTGACTCGTAAAGAGGATCTGGGACTTTAGGCCACGAGATCTAGTTAGCACTCTTGGTCAAGGAAGAAGATTCTCTTGCTGCACGTTGACTTTCTTACAGCGTGTTTGAAGTTTGTATAGCGACTGCCCATCAGTAACGCCTGTTCCGAGATGCCCTTCCTACGGACCGCTTTGGGCCATGGCCACCAGCGCGGCCAGGATAAACGGATCTTCGGACGAGTTACGCGGTGTCATGGTCCTCAATCTCTTCTCGGCGATGTGAAAGGCTGGTTCGTTGACGGTCCCATCGGCGGCGTCGCGGGGGCGAAGAGCGTTCCACCGGAGGCTGCGGAGGAATTCTTGATCGAAAAATAAGGCGACCGGTTCGTAGGGGCCGCGGGGAACACGGCGGAGTAGGTCGGGCACGAAAAGGAAGCGACGGGGGCTCGATTGAATCGAAAGCTAAAATTCTCCCTGCCGACGGCGATGTCCTGGTTATTTTGGCTTTTCAAGACACGATTCCGTAACCATTCTTCGGGGCCACAGGTTCGCTGCGGGGTGATTTGAAGCGAACAAGAAAAAAAGAGAAAGTGCACGGAACCTACTGGCTGGCAATGATTAGATTCGTTCCTCCTGTAATCACCAACGAGGTGATGGCCTCCTGCCGCAAACGAAAGTTGTCGCACGCGAGGAGATGCTGGAAGCGGGCGATCTCGAGCTCGTCGTGGCTCGAGATGGGTTGGGCGTCGGAGCTCTCCTCCGCGTCGAGCGTGACAAAGGCGCAGTTCAAGAGCTCGAGATGGCGATGGGTCCAGCAAAGGGGGCTGACGAGAAGCTTTTCCCCGGATGCTGTTTGAGTCTGTCCTGGATGGACATGTTTGGGGAGAATGGGCGGTCGCTGGTGGGAGGGGCGAGGGAGTGTGGAGGAAAAGCGATGCCCCTCGCGCGAAGGGGAGCTGGGAAGTACTTGATCCAGTATGCTCTGAGGCCCAGGTAGGGTTTCCAATCGAATGCATGATGTGAAGTAAGACGACTAGCTCATATAATGCTAGCTCCATCTCAGAGGTTCAATAGAGAGAGACGTACAAAGCTAAAAAGTGCGGCTAGTTCATGGGCTTATATAATGGAGGAACCTTGGTGTTGCTCTTTGGTTTGCAACATCGAAGGTTCCTGAGCGTCTGTCAGATCTAGGTGAATATTACACCATATCGCGAGGGCAAGGGAGAGTGGACAAGACCGATGCTTGAGTTAATCGATCAAGCACGCACGTGGAAGCTGCAGGGACAAGCGACGAGTGGAGAGAGCATTCAACGACATATAACAAGGGACGAAACGACAAGACCGCACATAGCCAAATGCTAGGTTTGCCAATGAATTGGTATTGCCAATTGATGTACGCAAATATCTCTGTTCGCACTTGCTCAGCCATAGATTTTCAGCATCTTGTTCTACATCTAACTTTTTTTTTACGTTCATCGTCGTTTAATTATCCAGTGGCAGCCGATGAGGTGCGCACCACGTCCAGTCGGGTGCTCTCCCTCAGGGTTCCATTATCTGATCGTCATGATCAGTGATCGACTTAAGGCCATTGACGCAGTGTTGCTCCAAACGGAACTAGCTCGTTGGCCCTCGATTGTCCGACACCAGCTGCACAACGGCCACCCCGGATATCCCGTGTCTAGCCGGCCTTTGCGGATCCCGTGAACACAACCGCGTTAGCCCGATAAGCCCTTCGTGTCTCGGGCAGCGGCTTCCTCTCGAGACAAATAGTGTATTGCCTCTTTTCGAACACCACTCTCCTGTGTATTTAGACTGTTAGCTTACGAGGATAATTCGCAGTTCCGTTACAAGGAACGGCACTGACTAGTTTGGGAGTACACATCACCAAAGACTACTCGCCATAACCAAATCAATCAATTACAGCGGCATAATGGCCCCCTTCGCGGCTTCGCTGGACGACCCCGCCCTGTTCGTCGAAAGGGCCTACATTGACGGGGCTTGGACACACTCCAAGTCCGGCGAGACGTTTACTATCCGCAACCCCGCCACCGACGAACTGCTCGGCTCCTGCCCAGAATGCAACGTCGACGACCTCGAAGCCGCCGTACGCGCAGCCGCCACCGCCTTCAACACATGGCGAGCGGAATCCGGCCGCGCGAGAGCCCGCATCCTCAAGAAGTGGTTCGACCTCATCACGCAGCACCGCGTCGACATTGGCCGCATCATCACCGCCGAGAACGGGAAAGCCCGGCCCGACGCCGAGGGCGAGGCGCTCTTCTCCGCGAGCTTCTTCGAGTGGTTCGCCGAGGAGGCGCCCCGGCTGTACGGCGATGTCATCCCCACAGTAACCCCTCGGCGAGGGCGCAGGTGCTCCGCCAGCCCGTGGGTGTGTGTGGGCTCATCACCCCGTGGAATTTCCCCATGGCCATGGCCGCGCGTAAAGTCGCCGCCGCGCTGGCCGCCGGCTGCACCGTCGTGCTCAAGTCGGACGGCCTGACGCCCTTTGCCGCCAACGCCCTCGCTGTCCTGGGCGAGCGCGCGGGGCTCCCGGGGGCGTCTTCAACGTCGTGACGGCGCTGAAAAATACGCCCGAGCTGGGCGTGGCCATGTGCGAGTCCCCGACCATTAAAAAATTTCTTTCACGGGCTCGACCCGCGTCGGAAAGCTGCTCATGCGGCAGTCGAGCGGGTCCCTGAAGAAGCTCAGCCTCGAGCTCGGGGGCAATGCGCCCTTTATCGTGTTCGACGACGCCGACGTGGAGGTTGCCGTCCAGAGCGCCATCGCTAGCAAGTTCAAGGTCACGGGCCAGACTTGCGTGTGCGCCAACCGCATCTTTGTGCAGGAAGGCATCTACGAGCGGTTTGCGGAGCGCCTCGTCGCCGAGGTGGCCAAGTTCCGCGTCGGCAACGGCGCAGATGAAGGTGTCACGCATGGACCTCTGACGACCAGCGTCGCAAAGGTGGAGGAGCACGTCCAGGACGCCGTGAGCAAGAAAGCTACTGTCCTGCTGGGCGGGAACTGTCTGCCTCAGCTGGGGAGCAACTTTTCGAGCTCACCGTTCTCGGGGACGTTGATGATTCGATGAAGGTCATGAGCGAGGAAACGTTTGGCCCCTTGGCAGCCCTTACCAAATTTACCACCGAGGACGAAGTTGTTGCTAGGGCGAACAGCGTCGATGTCGGGCTCGCGGCGTACCTAGTAACCTCCGACCTCGGCCGGTATTACCGCGTCACTGAGCGACTCGATTACGGCATGGTTGCTGTCAACACCGGAGTCATATCCGACTCTGCGGCTCCGTTAGTTCCCCACTTCCTACCCGTTCTCCCTACGTTATTCGTACCCCACGGGGATCTCTAATCCCCTCCCTTACCTGATAAACCAAGCTAACATGCGTGTTTGTCCAGGTTTGGCGGCATCAAGCAGTCCGGATTCGGTCGTGAAGGGAGCAAGTACGGTTGCGACGATTACATGGTATACAAGACTGTTATCACGGGTGGTATCAATACTGTTTATAAAAGCGGACCATAGATACCCGGTCTTGAAGAGGCCGCATCTAGGCGGTGAGCCCGCTGGCTTCGTCGACTAGCGAAGTAGGGAAACGGGAGTGAGATGTCTTTAGTCGTAAAATCCATCCCTTGTGAGACTATTCATCGTTTGTTGCACATCTAGTTTGTCTGGTTGAGGATCGGTGTGTTCCATCGAGTCTGTCATGCATGCTCATGCCAAAGCCCACCGCCAGCCATTGATCGGAAGTGATGACAAGATGATGAGGCCAGCCGCAGGCCGTGATACCTATATTCGGAAAGAGCTATGCCAATATTCATCCAAACTGGGTGTGAACGTGAGTCTCCCCGGTGAATAGGGTGCAATCCCTCTCGATGCTTTCATGAGAAAGCGGAGAAGAAGCGCAGGGAGAACTGTTCGAACAGCAAGGGACATGGAGTGAAGCGAAGCACGCAGAGTTGATGCGCTCTAAATCATCCAAATGGCGAAAAGCAAGAGAAGAAACAAACAAGACCGGACAACGATCCCGGCACCGGCGATATCAAAAGGTCCCCGGCCAAAAGAAAATCACAAAAATCGAAATCGTCGACTCTCCTCGCACAGCAACATGTCCCATACTCTCACAAACCTCGCAAGGTGCAGCGACGCTAGCTAAAAACAGGAAATCTTGCGATCGAGCTGCCGCCGGCCGGTGGGGCGTGCTCCTATTCACGACGTCACATCGCCTCGCGCTCCGCTGCAAGGGGCGGATTACACCGCGCTAGTCCCTCTGGTGGAATTTCCATCGCGTCTTCCATCGCGACCTATTGCTCGCAACCTGAACCCTTTTCATGCCAAATACGCGCCTAGTTCCTCCCATGGTTCTTTTATAATTCAATAAATACTTCTTGTTCTGGGGTAAAATAGATCTGTTCCCCCAGCATTCCAAAGCGAGACGCCTCGCGAAGCTCATTTTAAGTTGTTTTCTCGCGTGGGAGCTAGCCTGCATCTTCTAAACCCTGGGCCGGTCCATGCGCTTTGCGTGCTGTTTGTGCCCCAATGTTCGGATGACATCAAACCCCACGAACCTTGCGGTAGGGAGCTGGGGAGCACAGCTTTTTCTCGCAAGTGTTTCCCCTCCTCGTCCTCTCATAGGGGTCACTGTGGCCATTAAATGAACAGACGAGGCGGATCAAAGATAGACAGACCAGCCTTTGTCCAATCGGGAAAGGAGGCGAGGGAAGCACCACCATAAAACGGTGATTAATCTCCGGACCATCTGATATTCTCACTGCGATGCACAACAAAAGAAAAGTCACACAGGCTCCTCGTGGGCTAAACCGAGGTTTGAATAACAAATCACTTTATCGCCGTCCCTCTCCCATACCATCCCATCCCATTGATCTGCTTCGGCATACAGCAGCTTATATGCCTTGCATCCCGGCTTCTCGCCGAGAGGCGCGAGAGCCGCTAATCCCTGGGCCCCCGCCAGCAAGCTCCTTCCTTCTCTCATCCCCACTTTTAGCTAGATCCTCCTGGGTCAACCTTGCGATATCGACATGCATGGCCCGCTCCCGCCGGGATGTAGGGAGAGAGCTCGAGTTGTGTTGCCCATCCATTAGCTTGTAGCATCCTCACATCCCCACACGGAGCTGTGTATATTTAAGTCTAAAGCCCGCCCTCCGAGTCCCAGCCTGATCACTCCTCTGTGCTCTCCACCGGCCTTGATCTACCCTCCTGTCCGCCAGTCCAACGTTGCGCACGCAGCCATCCCCTTTGCTCGCCCTCCCACCGCCACCCGACCCCCAGCTCTTTGAACAAGGAAAAGAAAAAATGCGCGCCTTCACCGCCGTCGCCTTCTTGGCCGCCCTGGCCAGCGCCCAGCAGCCCGTCTGCGCCGAGGGGCTCCAGATTTTCATCGCTCGCGGTACCGGCGAGGCTCCCGGGCCGGGCGTGACGGGCAACTTGGGACAGGCCGTCGCGGGCCTGATCCCCGGCTCTCGCGTGCAGGGCGTGGACTACCCCGCCAGCTTGGACAACCCGGGATACTTTGACTCGGTCAAGAATGGTACCAAGACCCTAAGGGATAACTTGGTCGAGTACGCGGCCGCGTGCCCGAACGGTAAAGTAGCTGTCATGGGTTACTCTCAGGTAAGACATGGCGGAGACAACTCTTCCTGTGCGAGGTGGATGCTAAACAAGGTGTGTTATACAGGGAGCCCAGATTACGGCCAACGCCATCTGCGGCACAAACATTGCGTGGTCGCCGTTCCCTGATTCTGGAGAGAACCTGGCAGCGTTGGGCCAAGACGTGACTAAAAACAGTACGTTGTTATATACTCCGCGATCACAGAGAGATGATAAGTACAGAAGGCACTAATCTTGATAACTTATAGTCGTTGGTGTTGTCTTGTTTGGTGACCCGACCAACCCTCCCCAAGCTTCCTTCCGCAAGGGGTCGGCCAAGGGCCATGGTGTAAGTCAAATTCCTTCATGCGAACCACCCAGGTATTCCGTCTAGTCACAGCACCTAACAGTGGGCTCTCCTCCTTCTCTACTAGATGTTCAACCGGCCCGATATCAGCGCATGCGAAGCGTTGGGCGACCGCATCGTGTCCTACTGCGACGAGGGAGATGTATTTTGCGACGCCGGATCCCCGCCCGTCACCTTGGTGCACCTTGTTTACGTCCAGGTGTACGGCCAGGAAGTCGTTCAGTACCTTGTGCGCCAGTTCCAGTCTGCCAATCTACCCCCACGAGCACTACCTCGGTAACGCCCACCTCGACATCCTGCCCAGTCTCGACGAGGCGGGTGCGCAGGCCTTCTCACTAAGCCACTGAGCGGACGATGCCGATGAATGAATCGCGCTATATTCACCAGAAGCTAGTAGACAATCATGCAATAAATAATACCTTCTAAAGAAACAAAACCCATGATCAACCATGTCTCTCCAGCGCCGTGCTTTAATCATTAGTGATACCCGGTGTAAACTGCAAACGACTATCTAAAATCCAGTCTCCATTGATCTGACCGTACTCCAATTCGTTATCAATCACCCCCTTCGCGCAAAAGCGTAGAAAGCCTTAGTTCCATATCCTCCTCTCTCTCTCCCCGATAATGCGCAATGACGGGGTGATTCGCCTCCTCGGTTAGAAACCCGTGATCCAGGGGCTGAAAGTCCGTCGAGTCCCACCACCGAAAACAGAGCCACTCTTGAGCAAGCTCTTTGTCCCGCAGCCACGCCGGCGGCACCCATTGACGAAACCTAGTGAGGAACCCACATGCCCAGTGCCTCGAAATCGGTGACGGTGGAAGTAGGTCATTCCCAACTTCGCTCTCTTGTTTGTAGGCCATCCCATGCTCTGTCAAGGCGAACACGGTAGAGTTGGCAAAGTCAACGAGGATTATGCGCTCAGGCCGCGAAGCACTAGGCGAGATGATCACGTTGCGGGCCGAGATATCGCGGTGCGTAACGCCAGCATGAGAAAGGCGGGTTTCTGCTTCCAAGAGTTGTGCTAGAAGCTTCAGCCTATCGCTTTCCGAGGGGAATAGACGGTAGTCGAGAGGAGCGTCGTCGGGGCTCTTGAACATGGCTTTGTACGTTGCCCTGTTCATGGCCAAGGCGCGTGAGATGACGGTCTGCATGCAGTCTCCCTTGATGTACTCCAGCAAGATCATGCGCACCTGACGCTTCTTTCCCTGGTCCTCATCCCACCAAAATGTCCAGCTACCAAAGTATCGAGGGACGGTGGAGCCTTGGAGATGAGGAGGCATATGCTCGTAGGCGGCGGCCTCGCGACTGTAATCGCTGTCGGCCTTGGACATGCAGTCGTACCCTCGCAAGTCGCATAGCGGGTACTCGGCGCCATCGTAGATCTTAGCCACGTACGTGGCGGAATCGTTTGCGCTCGGGCTAAGGCGACATTTTACAACGCGAGCGTGGCCAAAGGACTCGCGGTGGTGGTCCAGGCGGGAGACGATGGTGAGCGTGGCGGGCGACCTGGTCCCAGCACCACCGCCATCGCTGGACGGCGCGGGATATGTGGCGGTCGGAGGATTTGCAAGAGCGAACTCGACTCGATCGACGACGTCGTCGGCGGTTAGGCCGCGGATAATATCCCTAATCTCGTCGCCGTTCTGGTAGCCACCCGCGCCGTAAGGAAGCGGGGCCGTGTGTGGGCGGATAACGAACTTGACGCCGGTCTGATAGCGCGATAGGCTCTCTATTGAAGGAGAGGAAGGCATCGAGGCGACCGGATCTTTGTGCTTGGGAGCAGGATCTACCGATGCGAGGAGCGACCGAAGTTTTGTTTAAAAACAAGGTTTGTTCATCGTGCTCGATACTCTGAGGTGGCAAAAGTAAACCTTGGTGGTTCAGCTGAGGGCGGAATGCGGGCGCGATTGCGCGATAAGCCATAAGGCAGCAAGCCAGCGCCCTGATCGATTAGCGCTTACGGGTGTGGCACGAATCACGACGAATGCCACGAACATGAGCTTTCCATTCGCGGGAAGGTAGTTCCGGTCGCATGGCTGCCTCTGACGCAGCCCGCCGAGGGCCTCCCACCATGCTTGGTAGAGATTTGAGCATTGAGATCTAGACCCTTTACTTAGGTTTCCTTGGAGTCGCAGCGCCACGTGAGTGAGCGAAAGGGGAATTATCTCGCGACACCGAACTGAACTCGATTCTGGCACCACGATGCCTTCATCAATTCGATCTCGGAAAGTGACCAATCAGAGAAGCATTTATCGAGATTGAGAACAGTCCATTTCTCGGCGAACTGCAGAATTCGCCACTCCCTGACCCCGTAAAGTGCCGTGAATTCATCATGGAGATCCTTCCGTTATATTGTCCTGTTTATCTTCTTGGCGACGTTCATGATTGTGTTTACAGTCGTTCAACGTGCGGTCGTGACATTGCCGGCGAGCTTGTTCAGAGTCGACCCAAGTTTCAGCTTGAGAGCGAGGCATCCTGTTAAAAGCGGCGCCTCCTCCCCTCGTATGTTCTGTCCAGTGCGCACGATATCTCTAGCTGCAGAGTCGGTCGCCCTATCTACATGATCATTCAGCAGCGGCACAAAGCCGATTGATTAACAGAACACCATTACCAGTTTTTGCTATCCGGCAAATATTGTGCATTGAAACCACTTGAAGATCCGCCAACCCAGCCTCTGGGCCAAGACAGGCGCCGCGCCATCATCTAATCTAATCAACCTTGACGGCGGCGGGGCCGAACCAACGCACCTGGCGTGGGGGTACCGACCATGCGGTTCTGTGGCAAAGCAGAAGGATGCCGACGTCGGGCACCAGGCGAGACCTTTTGTCCGCGGCGGTGCTCGTCTCGGGACCGGGACGGCACGCGAAGGGTGAACACCCCCGCGAGCCCGCGCAATTACTCCGCTCCCGCCAAGGAACTCCCGCCAAGGCGGTGGACTTGGCGGGAGTTTGTAGCCCTCCGTGACACAAACGCGACTATTCCGTGACGTTCCCCTTCTGGGATGTGTTGAAGGCGAGTTAAGACTGTTACACCAATAAAGACCATTTTGTGCTGTACCAGGCCAAGGACCTCGCGGAGATGGAGCCTAGTCAACAAGACCAATAAAGAGTTTTCGATGTCATTCCAAGGCATACTATCGATAAGAACCAAGGCTATTTTGGTTCCCATCACGAATCCTTCCAATATCAAGAACTCTAGATGGCGTGGTAGATGTGGTTTCCGACTGATGAGACGAGGATCGAGCATCGAGCAGACCATCAGGCGAGGACGGCAGTTGTAGAAGATTCCCAAGACAAGCAGTTGAGGGATATCAAAGGACAGAGAAAGATCAGAAGACAGAAGAGGGTTGCGGAGAGAATACCGCAGGCAAGTGCTTTGCTTGGGCGCCGTTTCGTGCGTATATAAACTGGCTTGTCTTGACACCTTTTCGCCGATGCATATTCTGTTCAACATCTGCTTCGCAGTACAAGGTTTTACATCAGCATAAACTTTACATCTTCCCTTGAAACACTCCATTTCCCCTTTACCTTTCATCCAAAATGAATTCCTGGTCATTCAAAGCCTTGCTTGCATCTTGCTGGTTCTCCGTGACCATGGCACAGTCATTCTCCATCCCGCCTGGTCTCACAGGCGTCAGCTGTGACGGGACTATCCGCCCAGACTATCAAGAGTGCTATGACCACGTCCTCGACCAAATGTCAGCCGGGCCCATCATCATCGGCCCTAACATGTTTGAAGGGTCATCGTACCAGTCCGGAAACTGCAAGATTCGGGCGATCCGTTGCGGTGGCCCCACGGACCGCACGTTTGATCTCGGTTCCATGGCGGGCTCGCTTTTCACCATCCTCCGAAACGAGTGCGGAGCGTTTCCGGCAGGCGGCGTCAACCGCCAGGGCGACGCCTGTCTCGTCGTCGAAACCCCGAGCAATCCCTTCCCCGGTCGTAAACGGGACCTCGAAAGCCACGCATCCCCGCTCCCGAGAGCCGATAAGCCGGTGCCCTCCCGAGAAACAAAGCTCGCGCGCCGCGAGGCCACCGCAGCCGCCCGCTCTTTGGACCTGGAAGCGCGTCAGTGCCAGGGCGGCACATGTTACAACTACCAAGAAGTAACCTTCATCACGGGCGTCCGAGGGCTCGAGGTGCGCGTGTGCGACAACATCCTCCCCAACGGCGCCACGTGCACGCGGTCGTGGGCCACGACGACGACGGAGACGTTCACGGTCGGTTTCGAGGTGAGCGCCGGGCTCAAGGATATCGTGGCGGCCTCGGGATCCTTTAGCGCCTCGACGGCCTCGTCCAGCACGGAGACCTTGGCCACGGCCATCGAGGTGCAGTGTGACAGCGGCAGCGGTTACATCGTGTGGTACCCGCTCCTGGCGGTTTCGAGGGGGATTGCGGCGTGGGTCAGGATACTTGCGGGGAGGATGTCTCGCGGAGAGGATTAGCAGCTGCGAGATGCGCAGGCCGATTGTTCCTGGGGAGGGGTTTTGTCTGGGGAATATGGTGTTCGATGCATTTGATGGGGCTCTGTTGAGGAGGTGGCGGATGGCTGCAGAAATTACCCTCTACGCACTTGTGTGAAGGGGAGGGGAGGGGTTGTGCGGCGAACGTTGGAAAGGGGCTCTATTTCAAGGCTATGATGCTACAGAGAGCCCCTGCTCTCGTGGTGTTCTCTGTACTGGCTTATCTATATATATGAATCTTAGGCTACCTACATAGGGAGAAGAGTAGTAAACACCTTTCCCTAGCCAGTTTAGGCATTTTCCCCGATCATAGATCAACTCACGAGTATCTGTTCACTTCGCTTCCGGCTCTGCCACATCGCCTCGATCTCCTCTTCTGAGGCCAGTTGTGCCCCACTCTCGACAAACCCCGGAGCGACTATATCGTTTAGAGGGAAGATGTGAGAATCTGTGTCATGTGTATGAATCGAGATGCTCCCTGGTGGAGTAACTTACCAGTCGTTCCCGTCAAAGTCCAGTCGCCGAGGCTTTTGGCTCGCTGCCACACCCCTTCTCAACCGCCACCTGGTGTTCCTCTCCCGCAAGGATGTTAGGACCCAGAATAGAGTCCCTCACAGGTTTATCATCGCCGTCCCAGACCGAAATCACCAAGGGTGCTCCGGCATAATAGTGCCATACTTCCGCCGCGTCAACTCGGTGCCACTCGCCGTAGCCAACAGAACCCTCGAGGAGGTAGTAGATGGCCGTACTGGGAGCGCGATCGTCGGGTGACTTGGAGCCGCGGTCCCTGAACTTTTCGATGAAATATCCCTTCTCCGGGTGAGGGGAAAGGTTAAGATGCTTTATGACTTGTTCGGCCGAGAGATGATTCATGAGGGGCGATTTCCAGTAGAGCCAAGATGTGAAAACAAGGAATAAGAAGTAACTCAAAAGGAAGGTATTGTGGGGAAAATGCACATAAAATAGATATATACGCAAGAATTTACATGTAAAGGAAGAGACTATCAAGGGGTATTAATATTGAGGAGCCCCCAGTTGCCTACCTCAGTTGTGGCACGCATAAGCAGCGGCTTACATCCACGCCGCCCACTCGCATGCCTGCCGTCAGATTGCCGGCCTGGAGAGAGAGCATGAACCACTAGTAACAGGCTTTCCTTAGTGTAGGTATCTTGCGTCTCGAAATGTGGGAATGGGACATTTCTACAATCTGCCAGCGAAGAAAAAAGAAGAAAAAAAGAAGTGATCTACGAACCGAATTAGGTACGATCGATCACAGCGATTCCCCATATGCGAGTCATAGCTAGACATGACTGACGTGGAGGCATTTCCAAAAGGAGCGCGGCCGACAGTTCATTGGGCCGAACGGGCAAAAGACTCTCCCAGCTCTCGGGTTGGCCAACCGGTGTTGCGCCTCCACAAACGCTCCAGTGACCGCATCGAGTGCGTGCCCCACCGTGGAGAGGATGGAGCACTGATTCCCGAAGGCTTACGCGCAACGGATAGTCCCTCGCCAGGTTCCACAAAGCTCCCCGACGACGAGGACACTGAAAAGAACCAAAAACCTTGCATGGGGGTCGTAGTACCCAAGGTACCCTAACCTAGCAACCCTCGCCGAATCAAGCTTAAATTGAGACTTTTGGACGATTAGGAAGAATACTCCCGTCGCACTCGGGTCTTGGAGAGTGTACGGCTTGATAAGACTATCCGTTGGCTATGACGATTTGTAATTCGGTGTAGAGCACAGGCACTGATTTTCGATTTCAAATCCTAAAGGACGGCGGGGAGGATGCACGGGAGGCCGACTCCGCGCGCGCCCAACTAAAATTGCGCCATCTGCCATTTGTAATGGGGGATTGGTAAACAGCTAGAACACATCTCCTCCCTTTGTGCTTCTCTAGATAAAAAGAACAGAAGCCAGTTCGACTGTGCCTCACGCTAAAATCTAACTGCGTCTGACAATTTCATCCCTGCCATTATCTCGCGTCTTTCGCTTCTTTCGCCTCTTTTTCTTATACCCGCTAGCACACAATGGCTTCCCACGCATCCGCGTTGCCCTCATCGGCCTGTCCAAATCGGCTGCCACGTCCTGGGCCGCCGCCGCCCATCTTCCCTACCTACAGTCACCGCGAGGAAAGGCCAAGTACGAAATCGTGGCCCTGCTCAACTCGTCCGTCGAGAAAGCAAAGGCCGCCATTTCCGCATTCGGCCTGGCGCCCGAGACCCGCGCGTACGGCGACCCCAAAGATCTCGCCGCCGATCCGGACGTCGACCTCGTCGTCGTCAACACCCGCGTCGACAGCCACTACGCAACCGCCCGCCCGAGCCTGGAAGCCGCCAAGGCTGTGTTTTCCGAGTGGCCGCTGGCGCAGGACACGCAGCATGCGCGGGACCTAGTCGACGTGGCGCGGCGCACGGGGGCCCGGACGCTGATCGGTACGCAGGGGAGACTAGCGCCGTTTAGCGTCAAGATCAAGGAACTTCTGGAACAGGGCCGCATTGGGAGGGTGCTGGGTACCGAAGTCACGGCGTCTGGTGGAGTCAACGACCGAAGTTTCCTACCCGACTTCCTAGCATACTTTGTTGATAGGAAGATTGGTGGCAATATTCTGACTATCGGATTTGGTCACGGTAAGCCAGTGTCCCCGTAGCTCCTGACTCGCTCGTAGCTCGCGGCCCACAAACTTGTGCTCGATTTTATCTAACGCTGTGCGCAGTCTACGACACCTTGCAAGATGCGATCGGCGAACTGACAGAGGTGCAATCCACCGTGCAGCTCCGGCGCCCTACCGTCGAGATCCGAGATCCCGGAACGGGTAAAACTATCAACACAGTGACATCCGACGTCCCGGACTACATCGTCGTCACCGGCGTACTCGAGGAGTCCAAAGTCACCCGCGCAGGCGCAACTGCTCTCCTGCGATTCCGCCGCGGCCAGCCGTTCCCCGGCGACGCACCCCTCGTCTGGACCATCCACGGCGAGAAGGGGAGATCAGGGTCGTTTCCCGGGAAGCACGGCGATCCAAGCCAACGCGTTTGACGCGCCGGTGCCCATCGAGGTCCACGATTTCGAGACGGACAAGGTCGACAAGGTGGAGTGGGCGTGGGCGGATTGGCAGGCCGAGCTGCCCGTCGCGGCGAGGAACGTGGCCAGCCTGTATGAAGCGTACGCGGAGGGGAAGCCGTATCCGACCTTTGAGAATGCGCTGAGGCGGCATGAGCAGCTGGACGAAATTTTGTCCGGATGGCAGCCCACTAGCAGTTGAAAAACGGAACCCCTCTCCCGGATTACGTAGTGGGTGAGAGTGTCGGCTGAGCAGGAGGAGGATCTGGAGAGTACGAGTTAGTGGTGGAATTGAAGCCGCGTTGGAGGGCTTACTCAGGGATGACCTGACCATTTCGTTGTGTTCGGTTCCGTTTGGAGTCGTATTGTGGTTCCTCGATTGGTGGGGAATCACGGTTATCGGCGCTTTGGGGGTGGAGGCTATCTGGCAATGTAACCCCACGATAATGATACTTTTGATGCGAGCAAATCGGACTGAATGACCGTGAGTGAGATATACCGTGCACAATGCCTCGACACATACCTCGGTACCAGCTCGTCGATTCCTCTATAAAGCATCCGTAGTCGGCCAGGCCAAGGTGTAAACCAGAATCAACCCAATGTGCCCAAGTTCACCAGCAACCTGTGCCTCCGCCAGGCTTCCCCTCCGAATCGACAAGATGAAGCTATCCCTCGCCATCTGCGGCATCCTCGCCTCCGTGGCGTGGGCCTCCCCGCCAAGCTAGACATCCGCCAGTCCACCAGCTACAGCGACTACCTATTCGTGTACTTCACGGGCGAGGGCAAAGCCGACGGCGAGCAAATCTACATGTCGGTCTCGAACAACAACAACCCCGGCTCGTGGACGCAGCTCAACGGCGGGCAAAAAGTGCTCACCTCGACGGTGGGCACGGCCGGGGTGCGGGATCCGTCCATCATCCGGAGCACGGACGGCAAGAAGTTTTGGATCGTCGCGACCGACTTGCGCGTCTACCCGCAGGGCTGGGGCGTCGACTACACCAAGAACGGGTCCAAGGGCATCGTGGTGTGGGAGTCGACCAACTTGAGGGACTGGGATGGGCCGTACTTGCGGAACGTGAGCCCTTCGAACGCGGGTATGACGTGGGCGCCCGATGCCATCTACGACCCGGCGACGGGGAAATGTAGGTTCAAGACTACACTGAGCGGCAGACCACCTCTCGCTTCCTTATATCTTGGTATTTTTGTTGCATCTAACCCTAGCTAACAACTCATGGTAAAGACCTCGTGTTCTGGACCACGTCTCTCGCCGGCGACGGCTGGTACATCATGAAATCGTACACATCCGACTTCAAGACCTTTTCCACCGCCGAAAAGTTCCTCGCCGGCGCCGGCATGGACGCCACCATCGCGCTCGACAAGTCCACCAACATGTTTTACCGCATCAGCAAGAACGGTCCCGGCGAGCTCATCGAGGAGGCCAAGGCGACGAGCCTAAGCGGGCAGTGGACGGTGGTGAAGCAGCAGATTGGCGCGGGGCTCCCTGCCGGCGAAGGGCCCTTGATCTTCCAGAATAATGCGAACCCGTCCAAGGTGAGTGATTCCTACGCTTCTTGAACGGCTAGCCCTCGGCGCGCGGTGTTTCACCGAGTCGGGTTGTGGGAGGCAGCCTCTACCTATCCGAGAACCCAATATTAACCCTAGACAAAATCGTTACTAGTGGCATCTCTTCATCGACGACTATACCCGCGGCAAAGGTTACGCCCCTTATGAAACGACGAACATTGCTTCCGGAAATTGGGTTGCGTCTTCAGGATACACGCTTCCTCCAGGCAACCGACACGGCTACGTGATTGGAATGTAAGTTTTGCGCCCATATTCTCTGCTCTTTCTCCCCTTTCGGAGCCGGACCTTGTTGACACGGATACCCCTAGCACTTCTGCCGAGCGGGCTTGCCTAGTCGGCACAGGTGCGTGCGGGTCCGGTACGGGGACTACCACTACGGCGGCTCCACAGCCGACCAACACGGCCAGCTGCGCGGCGATGTGGGGCCAGTGCGGTGGGACCGGGTGGACGGGGGCAACTTGCTGCGTTCAAGGAAAGTGCACGTACTCCAACGCCTGGTACTCCCAGTGCTTGTAAATCAAAGAGGTGAACGTTTAAAAACCCTAACAAAATAATCAATTCTATTATGTGACTGCAATCATAACTCGAAACGATGAGATTCTCTTTTTGCCAGTACCCTCGCCAAGTAGGAACATCACTACAAGGCTAAACCATCTATCACATCCATCAATATTAGCAGTATCGGGACAGGGAAAACCAAAGACATCTCTCAGCACTTGAATTCCCACGCCACGTCTTCCCAGCCAGGCCTCCTCTTCAAGTGGATGGGAGGGCCCACATCACCCCACTCCGGCCTCTTCACAGCGGTCCCCATGTAGGCGTTGACCGCCCCAGGCACCTCCATGCCCTCGACATCGAAGCCAAGGGCGACGGCGCTGACGAGGCCCAAGTTCTCCGCCTGCGCAAAATTGCGACCGGGGCAGAGATTACGGCCGCCGCCAAAGGGAATCATGGCACCGCGGCGCTTCTTCTCGTCCACAGCGGACGTCTCGACAAAGCGATCCGGGTCGAAAGCGTCATTGCCCTCGCCCCAGACGTCGTCGAGGCCGTGGGTAACCTGGGCAGCCCACTGGACATTAACGCCCTTTTTCAGCAGGTACTCGCGGCCGGTAACGGGGTGGCGCAGGGTCGTGTCGGCCATGACGCGGCGGTTCCCGAGCACGTCCGAGTACTTGCGCAGGGTCTCGCGGTAGGTCGCGTGCAGCGTGGGGCAGGCCTTTTCGAGGCGGCTCAGATCGATGGAAGCGGTCGTGCGGCGGCCCGTGTCCGGATCGGTGGCGACGGTGGCGACGAGGGCGACCTCGGCGCGGATGCGGGCGGCGAGGTCCTTGTGGGCGAAGACATGAATAAAAAACCAGATGAGGGTGGGGATGGTGTTGGTGGTGCTGACGAAGAGCATGGAGTATTCGATGAGGGCGAGCTCGCGGTCGGGGATGCCGTGGCGGCGCTCGAGGGCGGCGCGGTCGCGGATGATGGCGGCGACGTCGTCGGCTTGGTCGTGGTGGGCTTCGTAGTAGGCGGTGAGCTTGGCTTGGGAGCGGGCGCGGGCGGCGAGGGATTTGGGGGCGAGGAGGGTGGGGGCGATGCCGAGGGCGAGGAGGCCGACGCCTTTGTCGAATTCCCTGTGGTAGGTTCGGAACGGGTTAGAGGAAGGATTCGGACGAGAGAGAGGGGAAGCGCAGAAAAAAACAAGCAAAAGAAGATAGGCTTACCAGAAATCAGGCACATCGTCGGCGGTAAAAGGGCTATTCTTGCCAAACATGGCCGTCATGGTCGCCAAAGCAATCACGTTGCGCAACCAGGTCGCGCAATCGGGCACGCGCAGACCCTCGTTGCCCGAAGGGACATTGCTCAGCTCGGCGGCGATGTCCTTGAGGGCGCGGACGTTCATGCGAAAGACGTTGTCGCCGGAGAGGGCGGCGTGGATGACGCGGCTCACCTCTTCCATGTTGCCGGGGCGGGAGAAGATTTCGACGTGTTCCTTGGTCATGCCCATGGCGCCGCTGGCGAACTCGAGGCTAAAAGGGTCGAAGGAGAGGTTGCGGTTGCGCATGGCGGCGCTGATGAGGACGGGGTCGTTGATGACGTAGACGTAGCCGTGGAGCATGGGGAGGGAGCAGATGGGCATGGCATAATCCTTGCTGCGAGGGAGAGCGGTGATTCATTAGCTACTGGCAATCGAGTATGGGATTTCCTAGAACAAGGCATCCGCTGGACGGGGAAGAGGGGGTGGGGGAAGAAATGGAACTTACTACAAGCGGTCGTACATGGAGTTTTTCTCCCGGGCAAGGGAAACAAGGTGGCCGATGAAGGGCATCTTGGGCCGCAGGACGGGGGCTCGCGCGGGTCGACGGTCGGGAAGACGACGATTTTGACCAGGTATAATACGAGAGGCACCGCGAGGGCGGTCGCGACCTCACCGGGTGTCCATTCGCCCTGGGTCAAGGAGGCGAGCAAGCCGCCGAGATTAGGTGACGACAGCATCAGGGGCGATTCTCGCGTTGTTGGGTATTAGACACCACACAATACGGCCGGTGGTGGTCTCTTGGGGAGAAAAGAGAGGACAAAAGGGCAAGAGAGAGAGAGAGGTCTTGTAGGACCTAGCTGGAAGCTAGATAATGAGAGATGATGGGATTATGAGGAGCAACCATTGCGTTCAATGGTTCCTCGCTCCCCGCCTCCTTCTATTCAGCTCCACAGCGTGCTCCGTCACCTCCGAAAGGGCCACCCATGGGATGGATTGATTGGAGCTCATCCAGGCAGGACAGCAGCGCTGACGGGCTTGTCCCTGCGACAAGCCATCACGTGACGTAAGCACGTCGCGGCGGCCGCCCGATAGGAAGATGATTTTCGGTGATTGTGAACCGGAGGGCTTCGATTGGAGGGAAGCTTGAGGACGTGGATTCAAACGTTTTGGCAAGCCCGCTGCGGTGGATTCGAGAGGATGCGCCAAAGGTGGAATTTGGTGCCCGCCAGACAGGGATCGGACGCAGGGGCAGGGCTCCCCTCGGGAGAGGCATTGGAATGGAGGAGGAGTTTCTCCGGGTTTGGGTTTAGCTGGTGCTAAAATTGTAGTCAGCGGCACGTTTTCCCTTTGCGAGTGGCGCCTGCCTTGGCTGTCACGCCGACGCCGACATTTTGGGCTTCAATCAAGACGCGCGCAATGAATGATGCAGTGAGATCGCGAGCTAGATCTGGGGGCAGCCAGGCCAAGAAAATAAAAATAGATAAATGGACATAAAGAAGCCACGCCGCCGGTCCTGTCCATTCTCCCATCTAGCTACTGTGGGCGTAGTGTTCGTTTCCGCCATCAATTGCTCAAATGAAGCCGACACTTTCGTGAGTTCAGCGGGCCCATAGCTGGCCCATGACCGCAACGTCTTGCGTCGCAGTGAGTGTGACACAAAACATCCAAAGCTTCAAATCGATAGATTGATTTGAAGCTTCTCTGCTCCTGGTGGGCAATTTCTCAAGCAGCCCTATGACTGACGAAACAGACAAGAGGCAGCTTCGACGAACCTCGCTCGAAACCAGCTTGGCACCATCAATGGGAATGGATCAATTGGCAGTGCTCTCCCACGAGGTCTGTCCATGTCGGTTCGAGACCCCAGTCGTCAACATCCCCTCGACTCGGAGAATTCATGCTGCCTTTCTCTTCTTTTGAGAGAGCATGGGTCCTCTTTATACAACAATTGACGTAATAGCTACTGTTTGGCAGTCGCAAGGAAGAAATCCCCCATCAACAGGCCAATCTTGATGTCATACCCAGCCACTCCCAACAAGTTTAACAAGTCCCATCACAGGCCAGCGCAACACCCAACAACGGCAACTCTAAATCTCGTATTCTGGCCTCGCTACGAGCATTTTTGAATCTTGGACCCCGTTTTAGGGCCCTTTGTGTATCGGTCTTGTTTTTTTTCTCTGTCTTTCTTTCCCCGCTCAACGGATCCGAAACTTTAATAATCAATTGCTCGGGTCCATTGAATTCTGAATTCCGAATTCTGCCTTGTGCCTTGCCCTGGCCGAACATTGAATTCTCCGATGGAGCCAAGCCTTTGGGCTTTCACCATGTGGAGTCGGATCCCCCGCGATCGCTTTACAGGGCCCACGACCCCTCAACTCCAAGAATCATCAGAACCCACTCAATTGGGCACTCAACTTGCTCTCCCCGCCCTCGCACGTGGGAAATACGAACAAAAATGATCGCCCGTCGTCTCCAAGACTGACAGTCCGAGCAAAAGTCGGGCGGAAAGAAGGATGGCCCCAAGTGTCATCCATAGATCAATGGATGTCTCATGTCCCTCGCTCTGCAGTGCCGCGTCGTGTTCTGGGCCGTCTCTCCCGAGGCCGCAAGGTGGTTGCGACCAAGGGGACGTGTCGTCGGATTGCTCTTTCCAGGAAGAAGGGAGAGGGCAAAAGGCAAAAACAAAACGCGGGGCTGCCCCTTCCCTTCCAACTCTTTCGCTGGGTATTTTAGGCATATTTTAGGCGGGTCGGTTTAGAAATTTCCGAACGAGTAGCGCTAAGATTGGGCGAGTGAGGAGTGTGGCACATAGTCCAGTGTTCTTGCAGGCACCATGTCTGAGAATTCACTCTCAAACCCCACTGAGTGACACAAGGGAAGCGACCAATTCAGTGACGAGCTCCACCGAGCCCAGCTTGACCGGGCCAAATACACACACAAAAGAATCCTCAAGCCATCCCAGGAACCATCTGCCAGTCGGCGTGGAAACAAGTGGGGACGAGAGAGGGGGAAAAACAAACAATTGGTCTTGGGCAACAGTGCGCCTCTGAGGCTGAGTCGGACGAGGGCATTGATCAATGAGGTGGTGAGAAATCCGCCTCGCGACAGGGCCCTTTGCTGCGTTCCTGCCTCGTGGTTTCAATCCAACTTGTCGATGCCGGCCTTTGAAACCCGCCTGCCAAGAAGCGCGCTGGACCTCTTGGAAGGCGACGCCAATGGAACGGATGTTGCTCTCAGTGATGTGATGGTTCCAAGTGGAGAAGCACTTTTTGAAGAGCATATCAAGGCACACACACATCATTCGAGAGCTCCGAGCACTATCCATTGCACGGTAGCATACCGTCAGGATTTTGGAAGGAAGGATCACATTGTATATGCGGCACGAATCAAAAGGTGGTTTTCCCCGGCTCTTCTTGCCAATCGATGGTTTTTCGCGAAACGTGGTGGCTGAGTCGCAAAAAGGCAGACTGGCGGAAATCGGCCTGGAGAAATCAGTCGAGCCAAGGAATAAGGATTTTATGTGCTCTCCTCGTTCACGGTCCAGAGATGGTCCAGAGATGGCCGGGAGATGCACGTCAAGCTCGCCAACCCCACCGCCGCACAATCAATGCTAGATGTATCAAACATGGTTGCCCTGAATGGATTGATATCTGCTTCGGGATGCAACGCGCCAAGCGGGAACAAAAGAACCGACACGGCGGGATAGGCAGATTCGCCCAGTCCAGTCCACCAAAACGAATTGACCCCAACTTTACTTTCTCGTGCCTCTCCCCCAAACTCCAACGCCAACCCCAAATTCCGACCTTGTGCCTGTGCCTGGCTGCTTGATTTGACTCTGGACCAACTACGACTCTGCTAGCTCCCAGACTTCAATCGGATCGCCAGCCTAGCTCCGAAATTCGTCTCATCCCATTTTCTTTGTCCCTTGCGTATTTTTTTGGTCCATCTTTATACATGTAGCCCCCAATTCCCTTGTTCCCCTTTCTTTTTTTCTCTTCTTTCCTTCTTAAGCCACCTTTCACCCTTCACTCCATCACGCCTTCCTCTTGTTTTATTTCCCCATCGACATTCGCTCAGTTATTGTCCTTGTCAATATAGAATTGCAAAGGCCTCGATTCCACGGCCATGCCCCCGCACAATTTTTGGAGCGCCCAGATTTCCCTGAGGTCCACTAATTCCACCCACAAAGCCAATTTTTTCTTGGCGCCCAGAGTCGAAGAGCAAAGCACGAGAGACAAAAGCAGCCAAAACTCGCTACTTGTACAGATTCCACGCGGTTTGACGACATCCAGCGCAAGGGGGGACAGAGACAAGACAGCTAACGAAAAGTCTCGCCAAGACACGACAAGACCCCCACCACGTTTTTTCCCTCTTTTTATCTTCTTTCCGCGCATCCACCCACCGCAGGTCGTCGCCCTTTCTTGGCAGCCGGGGGTTTTTTCGTCGACCCGCGCCAAATGGCGCCCGCACCCTCCTCCAGCAACAGCAGCAGCACCGCGCATCGCGACGCTCCCTGCTCCTCGCCTGGCTGCGCAGACACCGCCGCCGCATCGCCGCCCTGGTCGTCGTCGCGCTCTTCTACCACATCTTTTTCTCGGGAAACACTCGGCGTCCTCGCCGCCGGGCAAGCCCCCGCCGCGCAAAGTGACGCCCCGCGCGATCTCGACCCTCATCCGCACTTTCTCTACCACTCCTCGTTTCGCGCGAACCCCGACCTCGAGTACGAGACGCGCCTCGACGATGCCTTGCTGGAGCTGGAGCGCCGGGTTACGCGCGAGGAGTCGCGCGATGTCGCGGACAAGACGCTCTGGCAGATCATGCTGGGGCCCGCGGAGCGGGGCCCGACTCTTATGCCTTTGAGCGCAGGAATAGCGGCTGGAAATACCAGGTATGCGCCTTTTTTTTTTTTTCGTATCAATCCATCACGCCCCAGTTTCTCCCCTCTGCGTTCCCTTTGCCTCCTCCCCTCCGCCGAGGCTCAAGCTAACCACTCGCCTCTCGTCCCACAGGCCGTACGCGACGACTGGGCCAACACCTTCATCAACACCACCTTTTTCGACATCCCCGACCTCGCCCGCCTCTACCACGAATACCCCCACGACGTCCTCCGCGCCGACCTCCTCCGCTACCTAATCCTCTGGTTCTACGGCGGCTACTACGCCGACACCGACATCAAGCCCGCCCGCGCCATCGACGAGTGCCCCCTTGGCCCCCGTCCTCCCCGCAACGCCGCTGAGGCCGACGCTGCCCTCGCCGACACCGCCCTCGACGTCTCCCTCGTCGTGGGCATCGAAATCGACGAACCCTGGGCCTCGGCCCGCCTCATGCGCCGCTGGCACTGGATCCGCACCTACGGCTTCATCCAGTACAACCTCTACGCGCCCCAGCGCTTCAGCCCCATCCTCCGCCGCGCCATCGTGCGCGCCCTCGCCCACACCCGCCGCCACCACGCCGCCTACGCCTGGTGGCCCTCGCCCCCGCTACGACGAGCGCACCATTCTCGAAATCTCCGGGCCTGGCGTCTTCACCGACGCCATCCTCGACGTCCTCTCCGAGACCCTCGCCCCCGCCCACCCTCTCGTGCGCGCCTCCTCGCCGCCGATGCCAACGCCGGCGAGCTCGCTCTCCTCGAGACCGCCGCGCGCCAGGCCAAGATCCCGCGCGTGACCTGGGCCCCTTTCATAAGCTAAGGCAGCCTCTGTGGGTCCCCGCTGAGGATGCTAAGGGAGGCATCGAGGGCAGCGGCGGCAGCGCGGGGGCAAGGGGCGCATGGGCGGGCTCGGGGTCATGCCGATTAGTGTCTGGGGTAATGGGCAGCGGCATAGCGGGGCTGAGGGGTTCAGCAGCCGGCAGGCGTGCGTGAATCACAGGTTTAAAGGGACCTGGAAGCAGGGTTGGTGGCAGCGGTGGAAGGAAGCGTGAGAGCGAAGCGATTCTCCCACGCCGCTGCTTTTTCAAAGGACGCCCATCCATTTTATTACGGGATTCAATGCCACTCAGCACCCGCAGTCGCCGTCACAGATTAGGCACGGGGTGCCCTCTCAGCGGTCTATTTCTATTCTCTTCCCCTCCGTTCTCTTCCCCGCCCCAGTCAACTAAAGAGACTATAGGGCAGGCTACTACGCCTTCATTATGCCCCCCTCGCGCGCAGAGATATTTTTGTTACGATACGATACCCAACTTGATGTTATGTATTTTCCGGAGTTTATAGGGAATACTGTTTGAAGCTTTACATGTATTATGTACTGGCGGAGGGTCGAAACGTGTATACATACGCAATAATGAAGGTCAGAGGGGCAATGAAACAATATTTTTCCATCATCAATCCCGATTAATGTCAAATTAGCCCTGCTAGTGTTCTTTAAGGCGGGATACATAATAAACAGCTGCGCAAGGTATTCACGAAAATCATGTCAAGAGCATATAGAGGTGTGATTATAAGTTGGTGTAAATTAAGATTATGTCGTACTATGTAAGGCAAACGAGAGGAAGCACGGCAATGGCTGCCTCTCTCTCGTTCAAAACTCGTCGCGATTCTCGGTGAATCTCAACGGCGACTTCGCGAGTCCCTCGGTGAAATTATCGCTTCCACTGGCCAGCGTTCTCAACGCCCTTGGCCACGCTGTCGCCGCCGCCCTGAAGGCCGTTGCCCAGGGATCCGAGAGCGTCGCCGACGGGCTTGCCCGCCGAACCGGTAACGTTGGTGACGGTGTCGCCGACTCCGCGGCCCGCGGCGCCCGTCACATCACCGACGGTGCGGACGACGCCGCCGACCGTGTTGCCGACGGTGCTGGTGACGAACTTGGCGGCGCCGGTGACGCCCTTGTTTTGGGGGTCGTTGGTGTTGGTGGAAGTCTGGAAAGGCATGTTGGGCGGGGTTGGGTGGTTGGTATAGAGGTGGGAGAGAAAAGTAGTAGTTGGCTGTTTTGTGGGTTTTGTTTTTGGTTTGCTTGGAGATTTGAATGGTTTGAATTGGTTTTGACAGATCTTCCTAATCCGAATCGGGGATCAGGTCAGGGCCATTTTATAGATGATTTCGACAGGGCGAAAAAGGCCATGAAGGGTTGCTGCGATCGCCAAGCGCATGGCATTCTCTTCGTGATCTTGGGGAAGTTGACGTCAATCGGGGACCCTTGATGTCATTGCCTTCCCTTTACGTCACCCACCAATATAACCGTGCCTTGCTGTTGGCTCACAATTCCACATCCCACACACACCACATATACACCTCAGCTTCAAGGGACCTCCTTACTTTCCGCACTTGGTGGCCAAAGAAAAGACAAAGGAAAGGAAAAACACATTCCGAACCTGCAGCCCAATCACGGCAGATGGACCTGGCACGAGATGGCCACGAGCAGCAGCTCCCCTACCAGGCAGAATTACGTGCATCTCGCTCGATGAGAGCAAAGGGGACCCGTTTCCCAACGCCACCCGACAACGGCAGATCACAGCACAAGGCTCAAATAAAAGCTAGGTCCAATTGATTGATGCATATTAAATTAATTCCGACTCCAACGTCAATCACATCATCGCTCGCTATAAACCCAGCCTGTTTTCCTGCTATGGTTGTTTTCTGGTTTGGCGCCAAGCCCCCGTCCGATCGAAGAACCCCTCTCGTCGCGGGCTTGGCCACCTGTGAATCAAATGCATCATCGGCTATTTCAAGCCTCATCCTTGGGGAATCAAGAGGGAGTCGAAGGAAGAAAGAAGAAGAAAACAAGAAAAAAAAACCGAAAGAATCGCTCATCATCCGCCACTGAACTCGCGCCGGTCCTAGATGCCCTCCGGTTGCGCAACCGGTCTTCACTCTCCATTACAGAAGCTTCCCCAGCCCCTTTTTCGAGATACGAGCTTGACGTAGTCGTTACTCTTCCCGTCATCGGTTCCAATAGCAGCCGCTATATATGTACATTCACACCCCTTCCCGCATGACGCCCTTTCACCGCGCACGACCCACGTGTCCCGGTTTTACGCTTTCACAGGGGCGGAGCCTCGCTCGACAGCTCCGCGGGCGGCGGAGGCTGGGCTGACGTGCCGTCCATCTCGAAATGATGCACGGGAGGCACCTGCTGCTGCTGAACAGGATAGCCACCAGCCACCACGCCGGGCTGAGGAGTCGTTCCCTGGGAGGAGATCATGTCGGGCGAAGCACCATTGGGCGGCACGGCGCCGTACGCCAGTTGCTGGGGTTGCGGGGAGTAGCCGTTGGGGCCGGGCGCGCCCATGTAGCTGTAGCGAGGGTCGGCGTTGGGGTTAGGGAAGCCAGCGGCGCCGGGCATGCCAGGGCTGGCACCGCCCATGTGGGGGTCGGGAGCCGGAGTACACGGACAGGTGCTGCTGGTTGGACACGGGAGTGCCGCCGTAGTGGCCGGGGACCGACGCCGCCGGCCATCTCGGGAATACCGGGGGTGGGGGACCCTGGGGCACGGGGACATGGCCCTGGGCGGACTTGCGCTTGCGCCACCAGACGAAGACGGCGATGCCCACGATGGCGAGCACGCCGGCGAGGGCGCCGACGGCGATACCGGCGATGGCGCCGCTGGACAGGCCGGACTTGCCGCCGTCGTCGCCGCCCGTGTCGCCGCCCGTGTCGCCGCCGTTGTTGTCGCCGCCCGTGACGTCGGACGTGGGACCGGTGACGGCCTCGGCCGAGGTCCAGGGCGTGACGCCGGGGACATGGGGTGGGTTTCTAGGTAGATGAGGTCCGACTCCTCCCACCGGATTTGGAACGCGCGCTCGTACTGGGTGGAGCTTCCGCGGACGGAGATGGCGGTCCACACGTCGTCGTCCCAGCATCGAAAGTTTCTATGGGCGCCAAAAAACGTCAGTCAGGGTTATGGATGGGTGATGGGTGGCAATGTATAGCATAGACAAGGAGGGGTCGGAACTATCTATTTCCTTTCCTCCTCCACCAAAAAAGAATAAAAAAAATAAAAAACTTACGCTGGTACGCAAAGGGCGGCTGTCGTCCCCGAAGCCGGATAGTAATCGGTATCGTCGGGCGTGCCAAACCGGCTCTCCATGCTAGAGCGGCGAACGTCGTTCCACGCATCGCAGCCTACGGTGTAGCCCTGGGGACAGATGGCGGGCGAGTAGTAGCCGAGCCAGTTGAGACCCGCGGGACTCCAGTCGTCGGCGCGCACGACCGCGACGTCGTGTCAAAGTCTTCGCTGATGAGGTCGGGGCATTCCGGCGGAGGGACGAAAATCGTCGTGAGCGGGCGGATGACATAGGAGGAGCTCCCGTCGGGGATCGTTTGCGTGGGAAACGTCGTCGTGGGCCGGGTGCTCATCTTGACGGCGTGTGCTTCCTCGTTTCTCTCTAGTTCGGGTTGGGTCTTTGGGGGTCTTGGGTCTTTGCTCTCCCCTCGATGCCGAGTGTGCGGAGACGCTGCTCCAATAAAAAAGCCCCTTTATTCTTTTCCGCTTGCACTGTCTCTCGCTTCTTATTCCTCGATTGCTTCCTTTTGGTCGATTTGTCTTTTTGTCGCAAAGAACACGATTGAAGAAAAAATCCGAATATTGATCAATTCAAGAGCAGAAAAGGAACAGAAAAAACCAATAAAAATCTTCAAAGATGAAGAGAAAGGAAAAAAGAAATGATCATCTCGCTTGAGATGGACAACCAGCCCATCAAAAGGGGGCATCCATGGGCAAGCACCAAAAGGCGCACGCGTGCGTGCGCCCACCCCGGAAGCCTTGCGACCCACGCGTAGCGTGCTTGCACTAGACGCTTTCAATCCTTTCTTCCGCAGGGCCCCCTGCCCAAACAAAAGCACAAGAGACCCCAAGAACCTGTGCTCAAGTGCATTTCGGGCTGGGGGGCAATGGCAGAGCTGGGAGATTTCGCGAATCCTAATGCCAAGAGCCGCTGCACCGCCACCAATGCGAAAGGAAGCCCTGTCGAGGCCTGATCCTAAGAAGTCTCCAATGCCCCAAGTCCTGAAGGCCTCTGGTTCAGCCAATGGGGCTAGCGACTCCACCTTGGGCGATCCGTCTCTTCCATTCACACTTGGCCTCGAACCCGTGGAATTGCAGGATTGATTCCTCGGGTGGAGGATTGATCAGCATGCATGCATCAACGGAGCTTGCCTCCTCTTTCATTTCTCGCTTTTCCTCTCCTTCTCTCTTTCGCTCTCCTTCCCTCTTTCTCTCTCTCTCTCTCTTTCTCTTTCCTTTAGTTCGCCGAGGGAGACGATGAAGAGTGCTTCAGTCCGTTCATCCATCTCCCCGTCGCCGCGTCAAAGCAAAGACGAGGGCAATGCATCATCCCAAGAAACCCAGGTGTGTTGATCGATTGGAAGAAATCGCGCACGCTTGGCAAACCCGTTGGGGGTCGGGGGCTTGTTGTCGAATTGTGCTGGGCCGGGGGCTTGTGACGGCGAGCAAGGGGGGCGAAGGGTGTCAATGGTGTGAGGCTGCGCTACCCGACAGGGATGCCAGGGTGGTGTGGGAGAGCAAACCTGTGGTCTGCGAGTGAGTGGGTGGGAACATTGATGGACCAAAGGGAATCCCCCAACGTCGCATTGCTGGCTCCTCCCACCTTGACAAGTCAACGCTGTGGAGAAAGGCCAATGTCGTTTGAACCGACCGATTCTTCTTCTCGGCCTAGTCTGGCGAGTCTGGCCTGCTCAGCCTTAGTCCATCCTGGTACAAGTCCCTTTGAGGCGAACAAGCCCCTGAGACAGCGGGACTTCCGCTCTGGCGGCCGCCTCTGCCTCTCTTGTTGACAAGTCCTTTGGGAAAATCACACAAAAATTCTACCACTTCTATTCTTAGCCGTCGTGTCTCGGAGCGGGAAGACTTTCCTCACGCTAAGCTCGGATGGCTCAAACAGGAACCCATTTCTCGCTCGCCCATTTGAAGAAAGTCGACAAGACTATTATTCTAAAGCGGTGATAATTCCGTGTCGATACTCCACTGTTTTCATTGTTTTGGGCGCTCTTCTTCTTCCTCTTCTTCTCATCTTCCTCTTTCGCCAATACTTTCTTTGGCTGCGGTGGCTGATCTCTCTTATCGCGCCTTAGCGTGCCCACATCGGATGAACAGCCCCCTTTGGGCGGCTCCCCTCTGCGCGGGAAATTGTGGCGCGCCAGGGGTTCCTGAGCCGACAGACTTGGATGGCGAGACGCACGGGTCAGGCATGTCACTCGTACGCAAAATTACGATGCACTCTTTGCAATTAATCATCCGTCAAGTGTGTATGTCTGTCACAGCGTGTGTATGTGGTGTGTGTCCCTCTCCCCTTGCGGGGAATTCTGCAAGCCCAAAGCCACAGATTGAATTTCTGCATGCAGTGCAAGAATCAAGAGCGGAAGACAACATTGAAGCAGGCAATGAGGCGAACAGGCGAACAGGCGGCTCGTCCAAGTAGCCTGACCCGGAAACCAACTAGCGTGATAAGATCAATAGATCAACGATCAATCCATTGATAGGAGGCATTTCCAGCTTGGCGTGAACGAACCACCCGTCAGTCGTGGTCCGCTCCGCCGGTACGTCCGGTACCTACTTTGTTACTCACGTGGCGCCGACGATGCTGTTGTTTCCCGGAGTCGCACACCTACCGCCCGCCCGAGCATCATTCATCTATTTTGTGCATATAAAGTTGGCGCATCGCCATCTCACAGCTTACGGCAGGGTGAATCCCTCAAATAATAATCATCTATCGAGGACTCCTTCTCTCGAGAGAGCGCCGCCCCTTTGCCCACTCCAAAGCTTGGCACGGTGCCGGTGGTTTTACCCCGCATTGCAATTTACGCGTGCACGTCAGAGGACCGAGATGATGCGTCGAGATTGCCGTCAGTCGAACACGAGATGAAGTTTTCCGCTGCACACCGGCGGCCGAGTCCACCGGCGGATTTCGGCATGCTATTAGCCGTGAATAAGTGGGATTTTTGTTGGCTTTCCGTTTTTTGTTGTTTGTTCTTTGCTTTACACACATAACGCTGCCTCGAGATGGTGGGAGATGCTGGTGTATATAATCAACCATAGGACTGCTGCTATTCTCTTTGCTATTCCTCATGCCATTCTGTGACCGTCCGCGTCTATTACATTCACTTGTCAATAATCGATAGCTCTCGAGAAACTCAGCTTCGGCTTCTCAGTCCTTCTTGAATCCTTCCCTAACCGTCTTCCTTCTACATCTAAGCCGCCAACATGAAGATTCTAGCTATCGCCCCGCTCCTTCTCTCCGCCGCATCCCTCGTTTCCTCCGCCGCCCTCGCCAGGCGGGACGACCCCCACATGTTGACGGTCTCCTTTCTATCGTTTTGTTTAGCAGCGGAGGGGAGTGTAACGGAGGCGTCGCCATCTCCACCGGAACATGGAGTAACACCGACAACCACTGCTCCACCATCACGGGCCAGGACGGAGTCATCAGCGCCAAGGCAACTTTCCTCGACGCTGGCTGCGAAGGTAAGCCTAATCACCGTAAAAGGGAGAAGAGAAGACATTCATCGATACGGCCAATGTTTGTATCGTTTGAGACGCCTGGGAATAGTTGCTCACTTCTTGAAAACACACAGTTCGCGTATACAGCGGCCAGGATTGCACGGGCACGTCGATGACTCTGGGGCTGGATATATGTACGGGGTATGATGGCGAGCTACAAAGCTTTTCCCTGGCCGGATGCACGGCTTTGAGTTGATCGAGTCCTTGATGTGCAATCCTGTTGCGCCTCTGTGCGGGAAGAACCGATCGAGTTTCAGTCCTTGGTGTGGTGCCCAACTCCGGTATCAAATTTTTGACAACATTTGGCATTGATGTGTTTTTTGGTTAGCATTGCTAAGGTCTGGCTGGTGGGCGAATGCCACTACTAGGCTTTTAATCTTCAAGTTCAATACGAGTTAACTTTTGCAAGCGTTCGATTGGTTCCAAATTTGTAAAACAATGAGATAGACTATAGCCCTTCTCTTCCTTTCTCGGCCATGCCTACTACGGTATTCAATTTGATAGCGACACCCAAACCCCCAAGCGAAATCCCGAACCACATCTGATCCCTCACACGTACACGTAGCAAAACTTGCCGCCGTTACCGCCCAAGGAATCGTTGAGCTCCGTAATGGGCACCGCCGGCGCCGTCCAACCCAAGTCCACAATTGTCGCGGACGACTGCCGACGGTTCATCGGCATGCCGGGATGGTTCATCGCCGGGGCGCCGGTACCCGGAATAAGGTTGACGCGGGCGGCCGGGTCCTGCATCTGCCAGATCCACCACACGCGGTCCAACATGCCGTGGTGGAAGTAGAAGTAGGGGTCGCCGGGGAAGCGTAGAAATCCTAGAAATAGCCCGAGTTAATGTGAAAGAACCGAACATATTGTTGGGGTATTCGCGAGGGTCTCCACTTACACCGCCTGGGTCGCCGCCTACGATATAGTGGCCGGCATTATGGAGCTATTGGAGTACCGTGGTTAGCATCTTCCACAAACTACTGGGCCTTTTCGCCAAGTGATTTATCTCTATTCAAACTGACGTTGACAAAGGCCAAAAAACAGAAAATGAGAAAGAAAAAAACATGAGACCGGATTCACTTACCCCCAAGGATTGGGATCATCCTTCAGCTGCGGCTGCCCGAGGTAGCGGTTATAAAACGCATCAATTCCGGCGTTCTCCGTAATCAGGTTGTACGTGTAGTTGGCCTTGGCGCCGGCCGCCGAAAATTTATTCACGTCCCGACGGAGGCATCGCGGGTTGGAGCCGAGGCCATCGGAGCGCGGGTTCTTGGGGATATCATTGACGATGATTCCCACGGGGCCAAGACTCACGACCATGCTGCAGATCACGGTGTTAGAAAAAGGAGTATCTCGCGTGGTACTAGCTACGGGAGCTAAAGGCGAATGGGGGCTCTGGGGTCATCGAATACGTACTCTTTGAATGGACCCTCGGTCACACAACCACCGCCTCCAGCAGAGGGGATCATGTTGTACGGAGGCCTGAATGGCTGAGGGACACCGGCGTATTGGCTTGAGCTCCGTTGCCTCCTAGGCTGGACGCGTTCCCGTTGAACAAGGGGAGTTGAGGAGGTCATCGGCATAACGGTCGTAATTCATGTACTACGCGTGGTGTCAGCTTGGGGGCCGCGTTTTAGAGGAATCCAGTCCCCCTTTGTGATCTTTTTCATGGGGACACTGACCGGCTGGTAGCCCGTATAGCCGCACTCTTCACGAAGAGCGGTTTCGTAGGCCCAGATATAGTAACGGTGGCTCGCAAACAGATTGGTCTATGGTGTAGGAATAGAATGAGTTAGCCAGACAAGCCCGGGTGCTCTTTCGCAAGCTATTTCGACGCAAGCTATTTCAACTCAAGGAGCGGTAGAGTCTACGTACGGGCGAGTGAAGCATCATGGCCTGTGTCATGTGCGTGGCAACGAAGTCATCGAAGCGGCTGAGTGCACCTGGTGCCTTTCCCTCGGGCGCCTTGGATGGTAACTTCTGGAGACAGAGAACCGCGGCAACGTACTCTTCACGCTCGGCAACGGATAAGTCACCCCTACGCAACGTCGTTAGACAAGTATTAGTTCAAGGTCGGTGGGATGTAGCAGAGGGAGGGGGTGTCCCATCTAGAAAAGAACGAAGAGTGACAAGCCTACCATTCTCTACGGACCGCAGCATTTTCAAGCGTGCAGCCGTTGGCGTTGTCCTTCCCAGCCATCCATGTCTCAACCCCCGGCATGGCTTTGGCCTCGAGCTCGTCGACCACATCCAACGGGAAGTCAGGATTTCGAGATACCCTTTGAGTGTTTTCCAAAGTTAGCGAGAGGAACAAAGGAAGTGAGTCTAAGCCGGGCTCCAGAATCCAAAAAGAAGGTCCCAATAAGACCAGCCTCGGGAACTATAAACCGTAAAAGCAAAGAGAGAGAGTAGAAGGCTGCTTACTGCTGGTACGAAAAGGTGGCCTTCTTGTTAAGCGGCGATGCGCCCACCCCGGCAAGAAGGGGCAGGATCGCCAGCGAAGCGTACACGAGCATCTTGAAAGATCGTCTTCTTTCAGCACGCGCTAGACTACGGAAGAAAGCTTGAAGTGGATGGGGAAAAGAAACGTCGAGGCGACGCCTACGTAAAGATAAAGCCTAGGACTAGACCAGCATGTTATTTAATACCCTTTTCATTAGTGTCCCTCTTTCCACCCCGGTAACAGCGGCACCGCGCGCGCGATCAAACATGAGCAAGAAAAGAAAAAAGAAGAAGAAAATGAACGGGGGCATATCCCAGCCCGGATGCCGGCATTGGCAGCGCACCCTCATTAAGACGGCGGGGTGGGGAACAAGGACAATTGCCGCCCGCTCGGTTTCCACGTTTGCGTGCAGATCCGGCCGGTTCCCCTATAAGAGCACCGCACTATTGCTTGTTTGCGTCGTTGCCCCCTCCCCGCCCTTCAGCAAATCCCCAAACAAATTGGGCCTTTGGTGGAGGAGATGAGCGCGGTGCGTATACAGCCACTATCCGGCGGACCAATGACCTCGCCAAGAGATATTCCTAATGTGGTCGTCTGCCCTTTTGACGTGGAGGTTATTATCCACCCGATGAATTGCGTTTCTATCACATGTATGAGATAGAGCAGCTCGAGAGCATGAAGTGCGAATCCCGTATGTTTTTTTTTCTTCTTTCCTCTTTCAAGTCCTCAAGTTTCTTTCTTCCTACTTCCTGATAGGAGTTGGCATGTAGTCGTTAAACAAGGGAAGATACTTGGTTACATGGACGTGTCGAGGTATGCACGAGGAACAAAGGTAAGGGCAGCTTTGATAATGGATTTGGTTTAGCCAGTTCAATCTAGTAATACACGATTGGTAGAAATATTCAACCTATTCTCGAAATCGTCTCCAGTGTCAAATCGGATACCGCCCAAAGTCCTTGGCGCCCCCGCCGCAGAAGCTAAAGATGGTCCTTATCAGTGGGATCTTGTGATCCAAGATCGAGCTGGCAGAATCTAGTTCTTCCTCGCTTGAATATCTCGTGAAGGAAATTCTGGACCTCACTAATCACATATTTGCCCTTGACCTGCATAATACACCGGCAATTTGAGCAAGAAGCTCGCTGCATCAGGTGGAACCTTTATGAAAGCATAGGTCTTGACAAGGATTCCCCCTGCTCGAGATCCCTCTCTTGATAGTCTTTCGATATAACCCGGACTGAGTAGCAGGGAGACGAGTCGTTGGCACTTCGCTTAATCACGTCTAGTCGTTGCGGAGACGGCACGGCAGTCCATCCCCTTCAGCGAAATCAAGGAACCCGTCAAGTGGTGAACAAAGGGCACTTCTGCAAGACAAGAAGAAGCGGAAAGGTGAAGGAAAGGAATACAATTAGAGGTTTATTTAAACGCTGCATCTCCGCGACATCTATGTAACCGGGATCCTTTCCGTCCATCCCATATCATTTTCATCCGACCTCCGTCGAGACGCAGTCCCGAGGAGCCGGACAAGAAAAGCGGAAAACTACCAGACGAGAGGAAGAAGGAAGAACATTTGTTTTTCGCCGACGTCGTTCCAGCGGCACTGAAACCCAAAGGAAAAGAAAAGAGAGATAGAAAAGCAATTGACGCCCAAATGACATTCCCTTCTATTCCTTTTCCCTTTCTTCCTCTTTTCCTTTGTATTCCCCTCCACAAGAAACCAAGGGGTTTCTTTGGAATGTTTAAAAATACGAGAATAAAAAACAGCCAATACTTTTCTGTTCATCTCCAGCACACGAACCGATTCTTTTTGGGCGGTACCGCCAGCGACCGAAAAAGCTGGTAGCGCGAGCTAGACAGCAAAAACAAAATTAAACGACAAACAAGGACAGCAGGTCATTACGGATAGCTCTCAAGGCGGAGCAGTCGTGAACGTTGCGGGGAAAGGGGTGAGGCACGTCTACTGGGAGAGGACGGCCTTGCCAGCAGCCTTGGCCATGGCGAGGGCGCCGTGGAGGCCGTACTGGGCGGAGACGCCGTCGATACGGTGGGTGGTGTTGAGGTTCTTGACGGCGACGAACTGGAAGCAGGTGGCGCTGCCCTGGCGAGAGGCAATGGTGGACCAGGCAAGGAAGAGCTCCCAAATCTACAATCGAACCATTATTAGCAATCCAAAGATCATAAAAAAAAAAAAAAAAAAACTTACCCTGTACCAGCGGCCACCGTACTTGGCCGTGACCTTCTCGGCATTGCCGACCCAGTTGCGGTACCAGCGCCAGAGAGTGCCGGAGTAGTGGACGCCAATGGTGTCGATGCTCTTGACCTCGAAACCGGCCCTCTCAAGGCAGAAAGTGTAGAACCAGAGGGGAGTGGAGGCATCGGCACCGGGGAAGATGTACTTGTTGAGATAGAGACCCCAGACGAAGTCCTCGTACTGCCAAGCCTGACGGAGACCGGAGAGCTGGACGTACATGGCGCCGTCATCCTCGAGAAGGTCGTAGCACTGGCGGAAGAAACCGGTGAGCTTGCGAACACCGACGTGCTCGCCCATCTCGAGCTGGGTGATCTTGTTGAACTTGCGGCCGGTCATGTCGCGGTAATCCATGCACTCAATCATGCTCTGCTCCTCGGGGACACCGGCGCGGCGGAGGGCGTCGTTACCCCAGGCGGTCTGGTTCTTGGCAATGGTGAGACCGGTGACCTTGGCGCCGTAGTTCAGCGAGGCGAAGCGGGCGAGGGTACCCCAGCCGCAGCCGATGTCGAGCATGGTCTCGCCCTCCTTGAGGCCAATCTTCTCGCAGACAATCGCCATCTTGTTATCCTGGAGCTCCTCGAGGGTCTCCTCGCGGTCGACGTCGGAGATGATACCAGAAGTGTAGATCATGCGTGGGCCGAGGAACCAGGCGTAGTGGTCGTTGCCGGCGTCGTAGGTGGGCTGGATCTGGTCCTCGTCCTCCTGCCTGCTGTGGCCGATGCCGACGTCGTAGAAGAAGTTGAAGATGACAAACTTGAGCAGGTCAACGGTGAAGGCAAAGGTGGCCCAGTCGTGGCGGTACTCGAGGACGTCGAGGCAGTCGCCGTTGAACTCGACCTCGCCGGCAATGTACATGTTGGCAAAGGTCTGGATGGGGATCTTGCGGCGGCCGCTCCACTTGAGGCGGTCGGTCTCATTCTTGAAGGTGATGTACTCCTCGATGGGGCGGCCGGGACACTTGACCTTGTCATTGGTGGCGGGGCTGTAGGCGGAGCTGACGAACCAGTAGATGGTGAGGAGAGGGAAGAAGAAGAGAAGGGCCAAGAAGACGGTGGTCTTGATTCCGCCGCCGAGCTTCCAGGCTACGTAGGTGGGGACACCGAAGATGACGGCGAGGAAGATGCCATTGGAGAAGCTCTCATTGCCGGGGCCGTCGGCGGGGAGGGGGATTGTTGATGGCGGGATACTAGAGAGGAGAGCGAAGAGGATACGTTAGCGATCAATTGAGCGGTTCTCGGGATGAGTTCGGGTTCCGAGTCGTAGGGAGAATAATGATGGGACGGATGACAGCAGGGGAAAGAAAAAGAAAAAGTGAGGATGACGAGCAGTGCGGGTGCAGGGTGCGGGTGGCGAAAAGATGATGTCGGAAGGAGCGGGAATGAGCCCCAATCCATCCGTCAGCTAAGCTACCAACGACCCAGGGGGCGGGCGCCTGGTGATGGATTGCGATTGGAAACGTCCGATTTAGGAAAGGAGCTCGGGAAGCTCTCATCCCGCGATTGTCAAGAAAGCGAGATACGAGCTTGAATGTCTTTAGAGCTTACCGTCGTGACCTTGACGCCGCAGTCCTGGCCGGTCTGGAATTTGGAGGGCACCGCGGGAGGCGTCTTGATGAACTCGATATCGGTTTCGAGCTCCTGGCCCTTGATCGGGTCCTTGGACCCCATGATGGATGAACGGGTGATGACGAAAGCAGGAGATGCACGGGGAGGAAATGGACAGAAGGGAAACAGAGGGCGGAATTCTCTGTTGGGCGGGAAAAAGAGAAGCTTTGGAGGAAGCTGCGATGGACCGATTTTCCGTGAGCAGAGAAGAAAAAGGGATCGAGTAGAAAAAAAGAAAAAGCCAATTTGTTGGCTTCGATGCGGCCTGTGATTGGCAGGATGTAGGCAACAGAATAAGATGTGCCGAGGGATAAATTTTGTGAAGCGTCGTGGAGAATTGTGGAATTCGATAGGGGTCGAGTCGAGCAGCAAATCTCCAGCGCTATCAGGAAAGGGGCTGGTAATGGCGCACCGCTCTCATCAATTGATCGATGGAGCCAGGGGTTTTGGTGGGGATTGAAAGGGGTTGAACGAATTTTGGACTTGGCAATCGATCCATCCCCAACTCCCTCAATCTTCTCTAAACATTGGGAAAAAGACAAATCCATGGGGCTGGGAATACCCTGATTTGCTTGACCGCCACTCTTCTCCGAGTCTTGGACGTCGTTGCCAAAACTGAAACGCCAGGAATTGACAGCATGGAGAGCTCCCCGCGAGCATTTGATCGCAGCTCACCCAAGCTCTCCAAGCTCCTTCCACCCTGTGTGCCCACCGAATTTGCTGAAGCAACGAAATTTTATGCAGAGCACAAAGTTATGCACGTTCATTTGCACGTGTCAGGGCCAGGGCGGCCAGGGGCAGATTGCCCCAAGTGGCCCCTGCCACCCCCGACCCCAACCGAGCTTTCTTTTGAGGGAGCTGAGCTTGCCATTGACGAATTGATCTTCTAGCAAATCTATCCAATCATAGCTCGTCTCTCGTCCACTGCCCCTGAGCTTCCAGATTCGTCGCCTGGCCTACTTCAGTCAGCTCTTTCCCTTTCCTCATAAGAATAAAAATGCAATGATCGATGACATAACGACACGCACGACTGTGGATACTTGCACATTTGAGAAGCTCGAAGCTGTTGGGAAGGTCCCTCTCAGCGAAGTTCATCTAGGCCAAACGATGACGTGCATTAGATCAATGCAACGGATGCAAATCAACATCCATTGAGAATTATGGAAGATCTTGCACGAGCGTAGTCTGATATGGGTGACCACATCCCGGAAATCAAGACAACATCTCCTGCTTCCGGTTCTGAGCGAGCTATCATGTCATCAAAATCATCCAAGGACGATGGAGCACTCGCAGTACTACGAGGCAGTCGCAGCATTGACTGAGCGATTAAGAGCGTAGACCGGGATAGCCCTTTGAAGGGAGCTGAGGGCGTCGGTCTGGTAGTTGAGACGGGCATCATGTCAGGATATCTTGATTTATATGTACTCTACCTAGTTAATCTTTGATGAATAGTTGTGATGTGGTTTGCTTATGCCAGAGGCCACTAGATGCATGTGGCGCTGATATTGCCCCTTAAGTCAGACCTTGAAATCGATACAGTGGTTGACCACCTACTTATAAAAGTATACAGCTCGAGAGACACGCCGCTGACATATCCCTGATAGGCAGCGCGAGGTCATCTACTTGCTAGATCACCCAAGTATTGGAGGTCACAAAGGCCGTCCCGATGTAAAGAGTAGGTGCGCTACGACTACTCAAAGGCCTAGAAAATCACGCCGCCTGCGAGGGCAGTGCCAGCCTTGAGGCCTGACCAGCCATCCAGCAGAGACTTGTTAATGAGCCAGTGGAAAGTCCGCATACCAGTCAGCCCTACAGCTGAAGTGCTGCATCACGCAGACTCCAGCACCCCCGAAACCTCATTAATATAAGCAAGCGCCTTAAAGGAGTGGGCCCTAATAACTAATCTACTCGATCTTCCATGGCCACGAGTAATCAGTACTAAGAGAATAGTATTCACCAAAACCAATCTGGACCATATCGTGCTTCCTCCAACCCCTTGGAACGAGATGAAATGTCAGTGGAGTGGACTTTCTTAAGGTCCTGCAAGGGACGTTTGAAACGGAATATACAGTGCCTCGTTGACTACAGACGAGGCCTACGGGGCTGAGGTAGTAGACAAAATAACTAGCCTTGTAGGGCTGGTTTGCTGTACGTCGTCGCTCATAGGGGAAGCGAAGTGTTTGGAGACGACGGGGTGACAGAAACGAGATGTCCATCTGGTTGACGCAAAGCCGGTTCGCGTGCAGAATTCAAGTTGGCCCAAATGCCAATCATCTGACATATTACGTTCGATCATGGTCCCTCTCTCACTTGAGATTTTAGGTTTAGGCTTTGCTACCGTATGAGGGACCTCTCTGACTTCTAATATCATCAATTGATACTCGGTGCCGGAATGGTGGGATACGGAGCTTTGGGGAGAACCAGGACTACCCTTGTTGTTCTTTGGGCACGATGGGGCGTACCTAGAATCGTAAGTGAGGATCATTGATGCAGAGGTGGGGACAAGAGATGGAAGGCGTGGCCCTGATCATTGGCTCGGCCGGCAATAATACTAATGATTCCTTCTTGCTGATGATCCTTCAATTTTCAACACCAACAATATTTCCCTCCTCCCAAACTGGACACCTTTGCGGAAGTCGTGGATCTATTGACACCTATTGGGACCTGACCGTACTCCGGGCTGAGGAGCTTGTCCCCACATCAATGGATTATCAGACCACCCACCCCCATGGAGGAGCTTCGGTGTCCGAACTAACAGGTGGAACCAGGGCCCTGCTTCGAATCTTCGCCAAATAAAAGAAGAAAAAAAAAGAAAAAGAAGGAAAAAAAAAGGGACGGTCACTCGAAGTTGTGGTGGGAGGATATGATCATAGGGTAAATAGAAATAGCGTGGCTCAGCCCTTTTAAACGTCGAACTCGCTAGCCGTGGGAAGTCCGACCGTTCGCGCGATGTTGACACACTCCCGCTTTGTCAAACCCTTCGGCTTCCCTCCATTTAGGGGATCGCGGCCGATGTAGGGCTACAACCGCGCGCACCCACACGGGGAAGCGGGGGCGGTGCCAACCAGCTTGGCTCAGGCGAAACGTGTAACGGGTTGGATCCTACCGTACACGTCGTGTACTCGGAGTGAAGGGTGGGGGCGGCAAATGGTACTGACTTGGGCATTCTGTACGTTGGTCTCCAATGCTCGCTACCTTCCTGCCAACGTCCCCACTCCAGCATTACTCTTGTGAGCAGCGAGAGATGTTTTCCGGGGACACGAGTCGAAGCCAGACGTGGCCCGTACATTGACCCACTCGTGTCGTCCGCGAAAAGCGATCAATGGGTTCGATCGCCCAAGAAATGGCGATACAAGTGGGGAAATGAGAGCAGAGAGCGGTGGTAGAAGAATTGGAAGGATCAATACAAGTACACCGCAAATGATAGGCCATCACCATTTCAAGTGGGCCGCTGTTTCCTTGGATGTTGTACAGTGGAGGGATTTTCCTTCAATCTATGGAATACCCTCCCTTTTTCGCTTTTCGAAGGATTCCGCGCAGATTGCGCCTACTTGGCAGAAGCCGTTAAAGTGGAGGCGGACACGGGCGCGGCGCACTTTCTTCCCGTTGTTGGACAAGCTTGGCGCTGGTCGCACATGTACCAGGTACTGCCTGAAGCATCCGTGATACGACCAAGCACACGCAAAGTTGCCCTACCCTGGCCTGTCCTTCGAGGGCTAAGGACTTGGAATTAACCTGTGGTTCTTCGCCAAGGACTCATCGGGAGACTCTGACGGCCTGGATCAAGAGCAGACTCGCTTGTCAGACTGAACCCTGCCGCCCCATGGCATCGCCTTACCGCTGACATGAGCGCTGCATCTCCCGTTCCACCTCGCTTTCTTCTAAACTCCCCTCCTTTAGCCAAGTTTTGTTTATTTTTGTATCTTCTTTTCTCTCTCGTTTAGTACACAACCATAATACCTATTGCCACTCGTTTGACCTTGTTTTTTCCGCTCAAGAACACGGTGCAGGTGGCCGAACCAACGGTAACCAGATTTTTTCAAGGGGAAGAAGTCGCCGCCTGGCCGCGATGATGACCGCGGGCCCGCCCGCTCAGCACGGCCACGCCGACGGAGACAAGATCCCCATGGCCAACGCCGTGCCCGAAAGCGGCCTCGAAGTCGTCCCCGAATCGTCGCCCTACTTTCAAAAATCAGCCTCTCTCTCCCCGTACGGCGGAGCGCCCAACTCGGCCGGCCAGGGGAAGGAAGAGAGAAAATTCTGCGGACTGCGACGGACGACGTTTATCCTCTTCGTGCTGCTGGTGCTGGTAACCGTCATCGCGGCGATTGGTGGGGGCGTGGGTGGCTCGCTTGCGGTGAAGAACGCCTATGAGTATGTTCTCCTCCCGTGGACTAAGACATTTGACTGCGAGGTTCGATATATCTGGCGGATTCGTTGGGCTTACTTTTCGATGTGTTTTTTTCTAGCCGAGGACGTGTAGATGCTGCCGCTCAGCTTGACGGCGACTCATCGTCATCTTCCCCTCCCCTTCCTCTTCCTCATCGCCCGGTTCCGATTCCGACTCCGACTCCAACTCCGACCCCGCCGAAGATGGAACGAGCGCCGACCCGGTCACGTCAGGCGAGGGTTTCCTCGACCTCCCGCCAACCATCGGCCGCGTTCCCGTCGATTGCCCGAACCTCGACGCCACCACGCACAAGGTCACGCCCCAATCCAAGACGTACACGTTCAAGACGACGTGCGGGGGCGACTCGGACCCCGGCGAGGGCGACCTGAACATTCTTGCCTTCTTGTCGTACCGCCTCTCCGACTGCCTGCGCGCGTGCGCTTCGTTCAACGAGCGAGGGAATGCGCCCAACACCACGTGCCGCGGGGTGCATTTCCACGCGAATCTGCAATACGTCGACGACAAGGGTGGCAACTGCTGGTTGAAGAAATCGGTGGGTAGGGTGACGAGGGATACGGGTAGCAGCAAGAACGCTCACGTCTTTGCGGAGTTGGTGTAAGGCACACGGTCTTGCCTCGGGACATACTTTGCATTATTCTCTTTCTCTCTAGCTCTTATTCCCCATTTCCTTGTGCTTTTATTTTACTGTATATACTTGGCATGGAGATGACGTGACACGGATACCCGCTTAGATGTATCGTTATCAAAGGGTGAGTTGGGACGGTGTGTGATTTGCGAAATGGCAGCACATGTTTTTCTAAATTTAAAAACGATGGACGTCTGTCAACATTGTACAATTGATCACGGTATTAATTACCCGCTTGTTTCTTCAAGAGCTCCAACCTCTGTGTTATCAGCGACCAAATGAAACTTGAAGTGTCTGAAAGGGATGGATCAATTCAAGGAGGTAGAAGGCGGGCGAAGCTGCCAGTAAAGCCATCGTACATGGAGGGCCGCGATCCTTGACTAAAGTAGGAGATAACTTCTAATATGCTCAAGCCCCACTAAATAGGCAGGGCGGCTCGCCTACCAAGGCATGATCCATCCGCAGGATCGATCCAGAAGGAAGAGGGCTCAAGGCAGATATCGCCATGCGTGTCGCTCTATTTCTAAGCGCGCCCCGAGCCCTTCGGTGATTAATAATAGTGCGAGAGCTTTTGGCGGGGTTTGCCGTAAATCCGGCAAGCTAAACGCCGTCAAGCTCCAGCTAGAGCCTGAGAGTTTGGTTTGGTTCGGCGCTGAGCTCTCAGCTTACCGGTTATATATATATAAGATAGGTCCTTGCCCGCGCCTCTTGGGGTTGGGCATGAATGATTTGCCTGCCAAAGTAGACGAAGCTTGAGGGGAAAGTGTATTCGAAGCATCATCACCAATTTCACATCGCCGCCACATTCTCCCCCGCACACGCAAACCGCCTCATGATGTCTGCCCTTGCTAAAACAGTCGTCGCGACTGGAGTATCGTCTGGTCTGGTCAGTAGCACGTTCCACCAAGAAAAAAAAGAAAAAAAAAAGAGACAAGAAAGAAAAAAAAAAAAGGGGGAGGGGGAGAGATAGGGCTGCTGCTAACACGCCATCTTAGGGATTCGAGGCAATCAAGCATCTCGTCACGCAAACTAAGCAGCCCTACAAGGTCTTGCTCGGAGCTCGCAATGCCGAAGCTGCCAAGAGTGCTTACGACGCTGTCGATTTCGACAAGACAAAGCATAGCATCTCCGTCTTGCCTTTAGAGCTGAGCGACCTCAAGAGCGTCAAGACTTTTGCGGCCCAGGCCTTGGAGGCCCTCGGGGGCGAGTCTTTGGACTACTTGCTCCTCAACGCGGCCCTGGGCCCGGGAGGCGAGAGCTCGAAGCCGACAGGTTCGAAGTGGCGCGAGATTCAAGTTGTGAACGCCATCTGTAAGTTTGACCCACCAGAAGAGGCGTCAACCCCAGTGCTGTCTCCTTCGCCGAAGTGGAAGAAAGGGAACAAAGGAAGCTAACAAGGTTTAAACGCTATGAAGCCCAGCATTATCTAACCCACCTCCTCGAGGATAAACTCGTCTCCTCCAAGTCCCGGATCGTTTTCGTGTCTTCGGGAGGCATTCGAGGGGTCACAGATCCGAGTAAGTGAACGCCACATTCGAGTTGGTGCACAGACTATTATGTTCATCTTTGCTGACTTGGGATACCCAGGCGTGCTCGACGAACACCTCAAAGCTGGAACTACAGATAAAACCATCACGATCTACTCTGAAACCAAATTCGTGGGCCTTCTCAACGCTCACTGGTGGCGCCGCAGACTCCAGGGGAAGTGCGTAGTTGTGGCCGTCTCCCCGGGCCTGATCCCCGGCACGGGTCTGGGCCGGGGGTCGGACTGGGGGTGCCCGCCAGCATGATGGCTGATGCCAAGAGCGTCCCTGAAGGTACAATCCCGGCCCCTAGATTCTTTTCTTTGTTATTGTGCAGTCTCTTCGATTTGTGGTCTGCCCCACGTTCTATCCAAGTGCTAACTGCTGTGATTTACTACAGGAGGGGAGAATGTTGTTCGGGCTCTGTTCCGCGACGACCTACCCGAAGACCCGGATCAGATCTTCTTGACGAGTTGGGGCGAGTGGTGGTCAAAGGATGTGTTTGCGCTTTCGCTCGACAAGGACCTGCAGGATAAGTGGTCGCCAAGTAAGGAGCAAATCGAACAAGAGGAAGGAGTGGCGTAAGGTTTACAAGAGATTCTACGTTGTGTGTCAGAGAAGAAAACTGTGATTCTTGCTTCTCGGGAACGATAATCGTGTTTAATGCGGGGAGAGATATGTTAATTGTGTTGATACAATTTATTAGCCTTTCTCAAACAAGTACTACTCCCGGTTACATATCCGATTATAGGTCTTTTCCGTTTAATTCGTGACCTTGCTCCCCTAAAATGGCAACTAATACATTTTAAAAGGACCCAGCCCGTACAATATCAGAGGGTAGCTTGGGGCCCGTTCACCAAATCCGGCTCGCGTGCTAGGGCTACACACTTCAACGATTCCAGGCAGAGAATTAAAGAGACTCGGGTGGTTTGGTAACAAATATAAGTTTGTCGCTGTATCAACAGTTAGCGTGGTATCCTTGGGAACAGTGATTTTCTCGAGGCTAGGAACTGATATACCCATTGAGCTTTTTCATAGTCATTCCGAACCCCTCATGCGAATAGTCCTTCTCGTTCCACATATCCTTATGATACACCACTTCTTCGTTGGGTTCTCGCCCTTGCAGAGTGAGGCTCACCAAGCTATTGACCGTTTTGGGGACGCGGATTCCGGCAAACGTGTACCTTTGACTGAGTTTCCATACAAGCTCGTGCTCCTTGGAGGCCACGACCTCGGTCGCGAGAGTTTCGGACTTGGAGAATAGTTTGGGGATCCCGTACCATTGACCAGCGATCTTGTGTCTTTTGTGCACGGCGCAGAGAGGGAGCTATAATTAGTTCACGGGAAACAAACTTAGCTTCTGGCCATAAGATCTCACCTCGTGTCGCAGTAGCTAAGTGGATCATCATATACAGCTTGCTCAGCGTACGCCATCATGTCGGACTCCGAGGCACTTCCACAGTAAAGATTCAAAATGTGCTGCATGATGCGCTGGCGGCCGGGCGACAGCGATAGGGAACGTTCAGGGATAGGTGTGTAGTCCACCTCGCCGGCCTCGTTCGTTGGTAGCTCGGGGTGAGGCTCCACGCCGCGTTGGTCGGGTGCGGCTGCGTGTCGGATGGCATTGTTTCTTCTTCACTTGTCGGTTTTTGTTTCCTACCCTAGATATCAGCACCCGATTCTCGATAGGGAAAAGGCCTAAAAAGAGGTGAGCGAGATATGGGCAGTGTAGTAAGTGGCTGGGATCGAAGAAGGGCTTTGCGTTTGCTTATAATCAACGGCCCTGGAGCTGCCGTCATTATTGTCTCATGCGGCTATAGTTGACGGACAATAAGGTTTGCTCTTGAAGGATGACATGTGCTCTCTATACATGTTTGATTGCACAAGGTGCCACGTGCGGGAAAGACGGGCAGTGGCACTTTACAGTTTTTGGCCACCGAGCGGGAAGGTTGCCGAGATGGCCCCACATAAGCCCCGATCTCCACGCCCAGCGGGATTGCACCCATCGAGGTCCAGGCAAGAATTTAGCGTTTGCGGGTCATCCCTCTCTACCTGCGGGGAGAAGAAGCTCTAGTGAGCTTGTGCAGGAAAATGGTGCGATCCACATCATCGTGTCCTGGAGCACGAGATGTATGTAATAACGGAAAGATGTTCAGAAGCCTATTTCCGTGCTTGTCGGATGGAATGTCGAGGATTTATGATATCAGCTACATCTCTAGATTTAGACAGCAATCTCTTTTTTATCTCGCGGCAATGGTTTATGCTGCTAGAGCTAATCTAATAACTACCTCCGTCATGAGGCCGATCAAACCGTATATCCGTCCTAGTAGCATCCACCGGGTCCCGATGATTCCGGTACTCGACCTTTTCGCATCCGTCAGATCCCTCATCTCGAAACCCTGGCCCTGGTCGATAGAGTGCGCATTCACGCTCAAGTACGTCAACACGCTCGCATCGTTCCACATCTTGGGCTCCGGGCGCCACGCCGGCACGCGGCGTCCGGGTTCCGCGCCGGGGACGCCCAGGGCCGCAAGATCCACGCCGTCGGGGACGAGCTCGCCGTCGCCGATGATGCTGAAGCAGCGGCCGCCGCACGTCTTGCAAAGAGCCAGTGGATGCGCTTTTGCCCGCACGTGTAGTCGCCGAGGGAGGTGGTGGGGTCGAGGGGGAGAGCAGGAAAAAGTCGTCGGGCGGGGAGGCGGGGCGGAAGTGGGCGATGCCGAGCTTGTGGCAGGTGCTGCAGTTGCAGCGGTAGAAGCGCTGGACGCCCCGTTGCGAGACGGGGGCGGGGCCGGAGGCGGGGAGGGTGAGGAAGGCGATGTATTTTATGGCGCCGCAGTGGCAGGAGCCCGTGTAGGGCTTGCGCTGGGGGAGCGTCGGACGCCATGGGGATTTGGTGCGGGATGGGGGAGGAATGAAGGACTGGTAATTTTTGGTATGGATTTTCGACGGTGTTGCGATGTTGGTTGCAATGCTTTATAAAGGTCGAAATTAGATCATGGATTAAAGAGTAAGGTGGAGAAAATGGGAGCTTTATAGGCAAGTCAACGGCTGGAGGATACCCTGGGTACACGTATTACATCTGCATATACGTTTTGATGGAGGATTATGGGGGAGGGCGCGGGTTACATGGATGGTATCTTGAGCTTGCAGAGTTGTACCCCGCGTTAAAAATCGGCATGTTGGTGCGGGCAACCTGGTAACGAATGTACCTGCCGACGTTGAGGGGTCGTGAACGGCTTCAAAGAGCCGGACTACGTCACGAAATCCCCGATCTCCCGAAGCGCGACGATTCATGGAGGGGCTCTGGCGGATTTGTTTCGTCAAAGGGGGTATCCATTATTCGGCTTATCCAAAATCTAACCTAACCAAGCGCATCCATCCAATCCATGATTATAAATTGAAACAAATTCCCAAAAATCCCATGTTTAATCGTAGCACGCTTAGATCCAAAATCCAGATTCCATCCGATCCATTCCCCGGCCGCATTTATTTTTTTCCTTTCTTTTTCTTTTTACCAGACCACACCGTGACTTCTGTTCCCGGCATCGGGGTCCCCGTTTCTCTTCTTCCTCCTCGTCGTCTTGGCCCAGTACAGGTCCCCGCCGGCCATGACGGCCACGCCGATGAGCGACAGGGCCAAGATGCTGGCGATGGTGACGATGATGACGACGGGGAAGTAGAGCGAGACGCGGGTAAAGTAGGACCATTGCGGGCCGAGGTCAAAGGCCTCGCTGGGTTCGCCGAGCATCTCCTGGGCGTTGAGGGTGACCTGCATGGCGTTGAGGACGACGGAGAAGCCACCGAGAATCATGATGATGGGGGCGAGGAAATGGCGGAGGTAGGACCCCACTGGGGGTAGATGTGGAAGTAGGCGAGGCGGCCCTTGCGGAACAGCGAGGTGCGGTTGATGCGGGTGAGGCGCAGCTCGCCGTAGTGGTAGCGGCGACAGGTGTCGGCGTCGCTGATGTCGTTGAACTGCTCGATGAAGCGGCAGAACTCGGCGTAGGTGGGGTGCTTGTCCTCGCCGGGCAGCTTGGGACGAGCTTGCGCTCGCAGGCCAGGTCGAAGTCGACCTCGAACTGGATGAGGAAGTAGTAGCTGCGCATGAAGCCGATGGCGGCGGCGTACGGGTCGTTGAACTTTCGGTTGTCGGCCGGGTTCGGCGCGGGGCTTAGGCCCTGCAGGTAGGTCCAGAACTGGGAGGAGTAGAAGTAGGCGGGGATGGGTTTGATGAAGATGCGGTCGTAGTGCCAGACGAGGTGGAGCCCGGCGGCTTCGTCGACGATGATGTTGCGCGCGTGGGCTTGTTGGTGGTGGAGGGGCATGATGTGTCGGAATGAGGGGGTTTGGACCTAGACGGGAGAAAGAAAAGAGCGACTGTTAGTCAATCGGTCATGATGCTAGTCGTATCTGGAGAGTCTGGCCTGGGTGGGGGTTTCGCATCTCCAGAGAGGGAGGATGGATTGAGGAAGTAGAAAGAAAAGAAATAAACATACGAATACATAGCTCATAAACGGGAGAAGCTCGTCGAGCTCGTTGGTGAGGTGCGCTTCGCGCAGATAATCGGCGACCGTATCCCTGGCCGGGGCGCGCTTGGCGCGCCAGCGGTGGCATGGAGGCGGATGCGAGGTTGGCCGGGGAGGTAGGCATCCCCAGACACTGTTCGGAGAAGGGTGCGGGTGCCAGTGCTGCCGGTCGATACGGGAAAGGCGACGAGGGTTTCTTTTCCGAGGCTGCAAAACTGATGGCTTGGTTTGCTTGCGACAGCACCTTTTGCCGCGACGGAAGGAGCCGTCGCTGTCCCGGGAGGAGACGGGCTGCTGCTTGGCGTCGTTCCGGTGCTGGCCATTTTCCAATCTCAATGGCGGCGCTGATTAGCTGATTAGGCTCGACTGCGTTGCGCTAGCTACGGCGACGGAAGGGAAGGATAGGAGCCCCCAAGGGCATGCGGGGATAGCCTGACGATGGAGAATGTCGAGGGCGCGAGGAAGGGAGCTTGGACGCGGGTGTCGGGAAGAGGAGGCAAGAAGGGAAAGAAAAAGAGGGATCTCTCGCGGATTTATTGACCCCCTCTCCCCTTCTCACGAAGCTGGGGCGCTTGCTGGTGGGCGCACAGGCGAGCCCTTCACAGGCCAATTGGAGCCGCCCGAGCTTTTAGCTTGAAGGGGGCCAAGTCTGTTTCTGGCGCTGAGCCTGGTGCGTCGCACGCCTCCAGCTGCAGTTTTTTTGCCCCTCCTTTCCGACTGGCTGCTCAAGGACCAACTCGCCTTGACCCCTGCACGTTTATGTTGGGTCATGCACAGCCACCGGGGCCTGCCCATCGGCGACACGCCTAATTGATGACCTCATTCTCTCTTTTGGCTCGTTTTCAATTCTTGATTGTTGGAACCAAGCCCTTCGGTTCCAGCCGATTCCGTGGCGAAAAAGAAAATGAGGGTTTTTGCGATGCCATGAGTCGGGGAGTTGCGATAAGGAAGAAGTGGAGCGCGACGGAGCCACGAAAGAACGCGCACTCCTTCTCCGACGTGCTTGGGCCACATGCTCGGTGGCGTGCGGATTGTGGACTGTGGACTGTGGACTGTTGCCAGGCTAGAACTATTGCTCACTAACGCCAATGAGGGCGGGCAAAGAGGACACCGGCACATTTGACACCCACCTCAAGCTGTGCCTCTTTCTGTGGCGAAAACCAAGAAAAAAAGGGACTGCAGTTTCTGGAACCAACAGCGCCAGAGACAATCCTGCCTGAAAAGGGGCCAAATGGCGGCGGCAGCTAACGCGTTCCAGCTGCGACCTTCCCGTCCCACCCCGTTTCACACGTGCGAATGGATCCCCTGTTAGGCGCGAAGACATGGGGAGGGCCAAACTGGCTCACGATTTTCCACGACGAAGGAGGGGGCCTATGGGCATGGATGGGGTCGCCGTGCATCAAATATTTTGGAAAGCGGCGGATGGATGAGAAAACAAACCAATCACTATCTTTCAGGGGCGCAACTAGGAGTGACTGTTTGTTCAATGGGATCTCGAGCCGGTGGCTTCGTCAAGGGTGTATTTCTGAAGTTTGACCAGGCTGCAGGGGGATAACACCGGGGGAATGAAGCGAGCATTGCTTGCCGCCCTGGTCGACAAGAAAGATGGCAGATCTGTGGCACACTGTGTCGTTGCACTTTGCTGTGCCATTGAGATGTTTTCCCTTTTCGTTCTTGTTTCCTAACCTCATTCTAGTTCCATTTGACACTATTACACTAGATCTTTGTGCTGAATGGGTTAAAAAGAAAAAAAGGAAAAAGAATCCGGCCGAGTAATGGCATGCGGACTTTTCGACAGGTCAGATATAGACCCGTCGAGCATGATTCTAGAACCGGGGTAAGACCCGCCTACCCGTCACTGCCGCCGGCGCAACAGCAGGTCTCTCCTTCACCAACCTCTATTCGTCCACTCTGCTCTGCGTTTCTGGCGTAGATTATCGCTCCCGCACTCGCACCCGCACCACGACCTCTTACTAGAGCAATCTCAACACCTCACCGTTCTCTAGACTCCTGCTCGGGTGTCTCGGGAGAGTCAAGAGGGGAGCATCGCGGGGTTATTGAAGTCGATAGTTGCGCCGCTGCATCGAGCTAGCTAGTAGAAAGCCTCATTGCGCACATTGAATCCATCTGTGCCGTCGCCAGAGAGCCGAGTTAATGGCCGACGTTGAGATGCGAGACACGGCGCCGTTTGACTTTTTTCTTACTTTTCTTGTGATTCATCTATTTTCAAAGGAAGGCGGGGCACGGCTTGAAGGGCTCGTGAGTGATCTCTCCATGTTTTGTAGCTTATCAACGGAGACTCTGGTCCGAGATGGCTTTTCATTCTATCCGCTAGCCTCCAGGAGCGCGGGGGTACGTGTAAGACATCATGGATCGAATCTATGCATCATGATACCAATATCTCATTTCATTACGTTACTATACTAAGGATCTGCCTCGGCGCATGGCTCTCGAATTGAGGCGAAGCATAGCAAAGGCATGTAGACTCCGTTGGTTCCTCCCTTGACCAAATTTATATTAGCAGGCATCCATTGATTTTGAGGCCCTCGGTAATCTTTATGCTTGGTGGCTCAGGAACCACACACGTGAACGCACATTGCTTCCGTAAGCCCACGCACCACCGCACCTCCCCGCATCACAGCCCTCTTTCCATCCCCCAGCCTACCGTACCTCTCGTAGACTATACCGCAGACTTGTGCCCCCCTTCAGGACGAAGCTGCCAAGCGAAAGACCTCTACGCCAAACTTCCCGACCAAATCCCCGCACAGCGCGTCCCCGGGAGGAATCACCTGCGTCGCAAAGAAACCCCCAACACCCTTCCCCTGTTCGCGAACCACACAATGTTCGGGAGGCCTCCCCAGCACAGGGAGCCCTCGGGCAGCACGCCAACGTCGGCTTCGGCGTAGACCCCGCCCAGCCCCCAGTTGAGCCCGTCCATGACGGTCGTCTTGGTCATGGCCGCCACCATGCCCGCGCCGTTGACGAGCCCCCGGATGTTGCCGCTGCCGTGCGCGAACTGCGGCCGGTACATCTCGCCCTCGATGGTCTCTTTTGTGAGGAGCGTGGGCTCGTCGCGTACCAGATCGTGCAGGAGCTTGAGGAAGTCGGATACGCTCGTGTACAGGCCCGCGCCCGCGCAGTCCTCGGCGCGTGCGCGGGCCAGGGGACGGCGGCGTCCTTGAGCGCGCCGCCCTCGACGCGCTCGGCGGTCTTGAGGAGCCGCTTGGCGACGTCGGGGTGCTTTCGAGGCGGAAGGTGGTGGAGGTCATGCCGAGGGGCTTGAATACGTTTTCTTGTAGATACTCCTCGAGCGTGGTTTTGTGTAGCCTTGCCACGAGCTCTCCGGCCCACTGGTCATGTGTCGTCCGCGATTAGTTCAAAAAGCGTGGGTCTCGGTAAACTAAGGGGTTTTTTTGGGAAGGGTTTCCCCACGTACATCTATATTGCCTCCGTAAGACCAGCTCTCTCCCGGCTCGTACATGAGCGGCACAGAGTGGCCCTGCACCACGGTGCCGTTGAGACCCATGGGCGCCTCTCCGCGCGATTGCCGCCAGGCCTGCAAGACCGGGTTGAACGCGTCGTACGATAGTCCGGCAGTGTGGCAGAGGAGGTGGCGGAGGGTGATCTTCTTGGTGGCGGGGGCCAGCGTAAAGCTCGTGCCGTCCGGTCCGGGCGTAATGATGTCCGGGTTAGCGAGCTCAGGAGGACTTTGTCGACGGGGTCATCGAGGCCGATTAGGCCCTTTTCGACGCATTGGAGGGCGGCAATGGTTCCTACGACTTTGGAGCACGAGGCGGTCCAGTACGTGGCGTCTGCGCTGACGGGGGCTGCGTCGGGTGCGACGCCGTTGAAGCCGAGGGCGTTGGAGCAGAATTCGCGGCCTACGAGAAGCGTGGATTTTACGAGTCAGCGGATGTTTCCCCCTTAGAGATTTCTGGGTTAAAGAGCCAGGATAAGACTTGCCGTTCTTATCAATCGCGCCGTAGACGCAGCCGTGAATGGTTTGAGAGCCGCGCACGGTGGCCTGGGCCATGAGCTCCTCGAAGTTGGACATGATGAACGGGTCGTAACTCGATAGAAAGACGCTTACGGGGAATTGAGCCGAGACCAGGTATGAGAAACAATCGTCAAGCAGGAGTGACGGAGAGATGAGAGATTAAGTAACCAAAAAAGGCGGAGGTGGTTGTCGTGCACCTTTATAGACTGCCCCTCATCCTCCTGTCCCCTCTTCGGCTCCAAGTCGCCGAAGTTTTTATTCCGACAAAGTAGCGCCAGACAAATCGTTTAGCGCGATGCGCACATACAACATTGAACTCCACAACGCGCTAAGGCGACCCTGGCAATGACACTAAACCCACTAACCTCCGCACGACCGGCACTCGAATCGGACGGAGGTGAGGGGCTGGACTCCCTCTCCCACGGGCCGTCGCACCCGGGTCGCAGTCTCGAGTTTTTTGTTGAATGGGATCCATTGTTGATCTCGTCACCGGCGAGGTTCCATCCACACCCTTACAATCATGATGAGTGGTGGGCAATACATCAACTATTGTCGGATGGGCACCAATGATGAACGAGGATTCAGATCTAGCTGCTGCGTTTGGCTCCCGGTCTCCACGTGTGGAGAGGGCAAGTTGCCCGTGCGATTTTAGGCAGCCTTATAAAATCCCGTGTAGGATCCAGGCAGCAGAATTCCAGAGGTGGTGGATGGCTAGAGCCGCAGATTGCAGGATATTGGTACACGTCGTGGTGACGGGCTGGATGAGGTTTCGTGGGGGCTTATGGATGGATTACTTGCGGCGCGGAAGTAGATGCGAGCGTGTTTGTTGGCAAAACTCTAAACATTCCTCATCCCTCGGCAAACTGTTGAGTGCCACTTTTACATGTTTGGGTAGTTATAAGTCCGTTTTTCGGTTTAGCAAAGACCGAGGCTAAGCTTAGGGATTCAATATCGAGGATAGGAGGGGAGAGACATCGAGGGAGCCGTGGATGTATAATTAAGGAGCGTGTATTTAATAAAGTATATTTATAGTTCTTTGTAGGGACAGTGATTGAAGTTGACACGACGAGGTCGTACTTTCAGAAAGCAAACAAGAGACTTTGAAATTCAAATAGAAGAAAAATACCCTTCCAATTTGCGAAGAGAAAAAGTGCCAGTGAGACCAACCAACCAATCTAAATCCTGAAAAAGCCAAAAAGAGTAAAACAGAAAACCAAAAGCTCCCTTGCCTTCTATAGTTCTATGGACCCCGAAACCTAGCCCCCGAATATGCTCTAGATGATCCCCGAATGAAAAGAAAAAAAAAGAGAAGAGAAGAAGAAGGCCATGCCTCGATGCTCGTTTAAGCGGTACCCTGCTTGAAGGCGGGGTCGCAGACGATCTTGGCAATAGCGTCAGACTCGAAAGCCCAGGCGCCCTTGCCGCCGTCAGCAAAGGTGACGTCGACGTTCTCGCCGCGGGTGACGGTGACGGGCTTCTCCTCGGCTGGTCGCCGCCGACAACCTGGGTGGTGAAGACGACGGGGATGAGCTGGCAGCGGAGAGTGGGGTCGACGAGATCGCCGGTGACGGAGAGGGTGACCTGGTCATACTCGAGACCGTCGGTGACCTGGACGAAGTTGTTGACGGCACCGCTGAGGCGGAAGTCGTTGGAGCCGCCCTGGCCGTTGAGGTTGACGGTGACCTGGAGGCGGTCATCGGTGGGGTCGATCTGCTGGAAGGCCGGGTTGCAGGTGACCTTCTTGACCTTGGCCGGGGTGCGGATGGTCCAGGCGCCCTTGCCGCCGTCGGCAAAGGTCTCGTCGGTGTTGGCACCGCGGAGGATGACGAGGGGCTTGTCGTCCTCGCCGATGATCTGGCAGCGGAGCGCGGGGTCGACGAACTCGCCGGTGACCATGAGGGTGACGGTGTCAAAGACCTCGTCCTGGGCCACGTCGACGGTGTTGTCGACGACGCCGCTGAGACGGCGGGGAGACCGGTGCTGTCGTTCTGGAGGAGCACGGTGACGGCGAGGCGGTCGTCTTGGGGATCAATCTTCTCAAAGTCCTGGCTGCAGACGACCTTGTGGACGTTGGTGGGGGCGCGGAACTTCCAGGCACCCTTGTCGCCGTCGGCAAAGGTGTTGTCGGTGTTGTTGCCGCGGAGGACGACGATGGGGTTGCGGTCCTGGTCGAGGACCTGGCAGCGGAGCTCGTCGTTTTGCACGTCGTCGCCGAGGGTGAGCTCGACCTCCTCAAAGGGGCCGTTGTTGTCGGGGCGGCCGGCGAAGGGGCGGTCGCCGGGCTCGCGGCGGAAGACGACCTCGGACTCGGCCGCCGCACCGCGGAGGGAGATGGTGACGGACTTGTCGGAGCGGTGGTAGCTGGAGCCGGGGCGGGCGCCGGCCATGGCGCCGGAAGCGGCGAAGAGGGCGAGGAAAGCGGCGGAGTACTGCATTTTCTTGGTGATTTTCTTTTGGGTGTGGGATTTATTTGTAGGTGGGATTTGGTTGATTATGTAGGATGGGGTGTGGTCTCTCTAAACAACTTTGAAGAAGCGAAGATAGGAAAATCGACGAGATATAGGAAATAAGGAAAAAGAGAAGACAACAAAGGAGATAAGAAAATGATATAGGAAAAGACGATAGGAAAGCTGTTGATTGTTTGGATGGTGATGAGGATCGAAAAAAGATGATATTGGACGGAGCCTCAAGAACATTATATACTTTTTTTTTTTCTTTCTTCTTCCCGAGCTAGCCTTCCCTCTGGGACTCCTCTTCCATATTGCCGACAGCGGGAAACCATGTCCTGCCCTCGTGGGTTACCACCGGGCTGGTGGTGTGCTGGTGAGATGGATGCGGTGGTATCGTGACAGCGCCCCTCGTCTAACGGTTGCGGTGCGCAGTTTTGTCAGCGTCGGCCGTCAGCCTACCCGATAATTTGGGATCTCACCTGCATGCAAAGTTGGGCCCTATGGAATTGGAAATGCGTGAATAGGCGAAAAAGGTAAAAATTTGGTACGTGAGAATGCGTGCACAATGCCTGTACGCAAGACGTACCTGGGCGAATCGGCGTCTAAAGGCACAGCCTGCGGGGTTGACCCCCAATCCCTCGAGGGCACAATAGCCGGCGGCGGGCTGGCGCGGGAACAAACAAAAAAGGCATGGCAAAGGCCGGATTGTTTATTCTAGGGTCCCCTTCCTTTTCCTTTTGGGTTGGGGCGCAGTCAGACAACATTGCCCCCGCACACAAACTACATGTACCACTTGGCTGTGAGTGGTGCAAGAAACGACGGGTGAAGAAACAAAAGGGACGATAAGCACTAAGCTTCTTAGCCCTACGTCAAATATTGTAACCATTGTTTGCACGCTATACCTGCTCTTCTGCTCCCCGGATCACCGGGGCGAGGGATTGCACAGGATCTTCGGAACTCCAGGGTCCCGATCGCCCTAACTGCCGCAGTCTGCTCCCTTTCCCTTCCCACCCACATCCTTCTCAGGGTCGGACAGGTAAGTAAGTATAGTACAGCGCAGCACTGGGACTTGTTGCTCCATCCATCGGCCGAAAATAAATCTATTTTGTGTTTCCCCGCCGCGCCGGACTGCCCGGCACAGCCCCAACTTTTGTCAGCACCCAAACTGGCAGTCTTGGCCGTTTTGTTTCTCTCTAAAATCTGATTAAGAATTTTATTATCCATTCCTATTGGTACGCTCGCGATGCGACAAGTGGGAATTTTTTCTTTTGGTGGTTTCCCTCGTTGGGGGCCGAAGAGGTTGGGCACGCCGAGCGCGCCGGACATCACCTGCTCGTAGCTTCGGCTGCCGCGGCTCACGCTTATGGAATTTGTTATCGTGACAGCCATGGGTCTCCCTCGAATAGGGAGCTCCCTTGACTTTCTTCTTCATTTCTCTTCGCTTTTCCATTTCCCTCCCCGTCTGTTTGGTTGGATGCGCTTGTTTTCCCCTGTCATCATTTGTGAGCATGCTTGGGGGCCGGATGTAAGGCTCGATAGCCCGTGGTTGTCATCTTTGTTAAACCCCTCAGTTATCTTCAGCCGAAGTCTGACATGCATCGGAGGGGTTTTCTAGTGGTGCCGTCACCCTATAGACAGGTAGTCAAGACCCTCTGACGAACTTTTGTTTCGGGGCTGAATGGGGATAGAGCGCGACACAACATGAGCTAAAAAGAAATTTCACCTTTTTGGCCCCTTTCAGTTACACTACGTTGGCCCTATCAGAATCTCTTTTAGGATTACGTCGTCTGTTGTGATCGAGGCCTCACCGGGGCCAAGATATTGGAGCCCGTATACAAGCGAGTAGGCAACTTTGATTGATATTGCCCAAGCTCACTCAACCAAGTGCTTTTCTTACTGAATCACACCGCGAGCTTCATGTCGTAGAGGTTAATCTGATAACCCCCTGAGCTGTGAACTTTTCCATTACTCCGGGAACTTGTCGTCACCAGTGACTTCCCGACCAAGACCGCGGGTACCCGCGTGTCGGGGTCTTGATAGCCGCGATTTGTCGCGAACGCTGAGCAACGGACCAAGCCCTCGGGCTGCAAGTCCAGGTTCCTCGCTTCGCCTTCTGCTACCCAATGCAGGGCAACCCGGGGCTCAGCTGATGGAGGTGTGGGATTCGCACCGAACCAAGGAAGGTGATCAAAGTATACACCTGCACATATCGCAGCGACGCATCACGGCGTACGGGCAGGCTGCTCCGGGCGGGGACAAGGGGCCAATCCAAATGGTCTAGAATTAGAATTTTACGAGAGCCCGCCATCCATGGCTCACAAGCGGGGTACCTGCACACGGCGGCGGTATAGATGGCTGGTTTGGATGGAAGGATGCAGGCGATGGCGTTAGGGCCTTCCTGCGCTCCATCTCCGGAATATTGGATGTACCAAGTTAGCGGTGTAAGCATTTCATTCTGGGGTTTTTTCATAGATGATCAGATGTAACCCGGTGATTACAAATAAAGGTTGCAAGCTATACCAGTCTTCTTTTTCTTTGGTGAGGTGACGTGTTACTGTATCAAAGATATATAGCTCCTTAGAAAAGGCAGCAACCTCCCCCAACAATTATACCCGGGGCGGACTCTATTGGCCTTTAATCAAGGCGCTCAGCTTCCTCTCGTTCAAAATCTCCCCTTCTACCAAGCGTCCAGTTTCCTGAATCTTGCCATCGACACGCTGGTAGCGCACCACGGTAGGGATATTGTGGACGTTCCACTTTGTGCGGACCGGGTTGGTGTTTTGCCTCCACCTACAGACGACAACGTCTTCAGTCAAACGTACAGCTTCACGCGCAGGGAACACGGCAAGAAAAAGGGCCCAAACATACTCGTCACGCTGGCCGACTGACCAGAGAGCGGCCTCTGGCGCGCCATCGGCGGAGAAGGCTGCCTTTACGTGCGGAAGCGCGGCTCTCACGTCGGGGCACCACGGTTGCTTTGTGTTGACGTCGTCGCCTGAGATGAATGCGACGAACAAGGCGTCGCTCTGCCCCTCTCCTGGCGACAGGGCGAGGTTTTGGGGAGATGCGGGGAGCTTGAAGTCGGTCGTGATTGGCATGACTGTGGTGGAGAAGGGATCTTGGGTTGCTTGAGGTAGGGGGTTGATGCGATGCGAACATACGGCTTCGAATAGCGATAGTTATTCTTCCAGGTTGAGCCCAAACTCCAATATCTCGAGACCCAACGAGAAAGCTCAGGAAGCTTGATGCTTATAAATAGATAAAAAACGCTGTGTGACGAATAATCTACAGTGTCTCCGGTTACCGCACGCACTGTCCGTCTTGCGCGCAGCGTCAACGCTCGTCATTGTGCGGATGCTTCGCGTGCTTGGTGCTCTACGGTTGGGAGTCTCTATCATTTAGATCTTCTTTAGTAAAATCACTCACGCAGTCTCTATTATGGAAGAATAATCATAGGTCCTCCCACCTCTGATACCCGCCGCTATCGCTGCCCCGCCATTTCAGTTGGAACTGCGTCCATAAGGGGAGAACCCCGCACGTAGAGCCGTTGAGACAAGAGATTAAACACACAGTCGCTGTTGCGGTTGTATTGTGAACACGGAGATTTTCGTCGGGGAGGCTAACTTGACCACACATGACAAAATATACTGTGATTGCCGAGAAGCAATTGGGGAGGTTCAGCTATAATGGCCGCGCACCACGGTGTTCCTCTCTTAACTCGTAACTTGTGGGACAAAAATCCGATATATTTGGTTGGAATCTCCAGCTTTGAGGGGATCTGGAGTAAGTAGCAGAGTTGTTACAAGATGTGTAATTCTGGGTGATTCCGTCAAGATGGAAGATATATAATGTTGCACGGTGTTTAAGCGATAAAGAGTTGACAAGGATCTTCAGAGGATCACCGCTCGACACTATCCTTGAAAGGTGTGCATGGGGTGCTTTCCGCCATAACTGTGTCACGGCAAGAGGGCTAGTCGAACTGCGATGGGACAAGCTAAAATTATTATTCTGGAAGGCATAGAATCGGCCGTTTTTATTATCCGGGGAATCTGGATCACAACTTCCGGGTCTCGGGCATCCAAGAATTCCTGCTTCCTGGGTCCATCAAGGTCGACACGTGCGTAGCCGCCCGCGGTAGTTAACAATCTATGGATCTCCCTCCCATCATCTTCCATCTTCTTCCTGGGGGACTTTACTACATGGTCAGTAGTTCTATGCATATCTCGGCTGGGGTAAAGATTATCCTAGCCAAAGCCCAAGCCGATTCTACGGTAATACAATGTCAGCGAGCACTTACAGCTGATTAGTGGCGGTGTCTTGATGCCAAAAAGTCCCCATGGGCCACATGTAGAAGAGATATCATCTTACTAGTCAGGCCTAATATAGGTTGAGTTGAGCACGAATAGGGAATGACTAACGCCAACTCTGAAGACTGTGGTGAGAATATCTTTGTCGCAATGCGTGGGCCTTTAGAATATGGATGCCTAACATGCGCGATCGACATGAACGCCATCATGAGCACGACTTACTTCAACCTTGGAGCTACTATAAACCTGCACTGCAAAATTTCGGGTAGATTTGTAGGTGGCTGGCTCTCTCTTGGCGGGGGCTCAGCATACATCAATTGTAGATCCATTGAGTCCATCTGCCTCACCGTGGTGTCTTTCAATGTTGTTGGCTCAATGGCTTCAACGTTCTGTAAATGAAATGTCCATTTACTTTTCGAACAAGTCAGAATTCTCAGCCACGGAGATATGATCGAATTATTTATCTCGACTATGTCACCAGAGGTCGCGGAAAGCATACCCATCCTGGTGACAAAATAAGCTTGCTTGGTCCAATGTTTGTGCAACTCGGAGAGATGAGGGGCAGTGCACAGATTTAAGCCAACGACTTCATTGGCGTGAAGATTTTCGGCTTCCGCGGGGCGCGCCCGTGGGCGCCGCCGATTGTGAAATCCTTCCCGCCAAGTGAAACCTGAAGGCACTGACGTATCGTTGATTCGTCACGGACCTGCGAATTTCGTGTTTTTTTTGCTCGCAACGTCTGGGATGCCTCTGGATCGTCTTGGACATATTCATTATAGTTCTGTGGCTGTGTTGGACTATCCTGGAGTATAATAACGCGGTCTCCGTCATGGCTTTTTTGTCTGGCCGGTCAACATTCACATACCATATATCATCAGCTTCACAAATTTAGGAAAGCGTCACCATCGATACCCACGATAGAATCAGGCCTCACTACATTTCAGGAAGCCTAGTGTGGAATTAGTTACTCGTCGCTTTGTGCTCGCCGCCGAGGAAAGAAAAGAAAATGGCTTCCACGCTATTAACCAAGGCTAAGCAGGAGCTCCTCCGGGAACGCGACCATCATATGCACAAGTCCCCAGGTACAATTAAACGGAGAGACAGCGACGACCCCATCGACTGGCTTGTACAGGCAGCCGCAACTGGAGTCGGCTTCGTGTCGGAGGTGTACCGATACCGACAGGATAAGAAAGCCGCGACGCGCGATGCAGAGGCGACGACTGCCACCGAGGACCGCGAGGCCCCGGCACCCGGTAGCGATAAGGAGGAAAAGCCAGCCGCCAAGCCAAAACGGATCCCATCGGATTAGCCCAGGAGTTCATCGACAGGCATCCCGTGTCTGCCTCGCTTCCCGAGACGAGGCTCTCGCTACCCGTCATCATCCCACAGAGGCGGCCCAAGACGCGAGCCCGCGGCTTTATGAGAGTCCATGCCCCAATCCTAGCTGACAAGGGGATCAGCGAGGATACTTTTTAGATTTTGTCGACACCTTCAACACGTCGCTCGTTCCCAACCCATATATTTTCGCCATCAACCTCGCGGGGTTTGCCGGTTTAGCGTATCCGGAGCCTATAATGATGTTGCTCGACGCGACCCTCGGTCTCGCCGTGGACGCCGCCATGGAGGCCCAGAGCCGTTTCAGGTCAAACACGTTCTTAGACCGCGCCAACGCCGGCTTCTTCCGCCCCCGCGGGCTCATCTGCCTCGTTGTAACTTACAGGCCCGATGCCGTGGGCGAAGGCCTGATCACGGGCGTCGACTTTGACGGAACGCCGTAGCCATGGGTCCAGAGATGGGGAGGGAAGCTCCCAGCAGGCTACGGCGGCAGAAGTGACGAACAAGGTGTGGACCCCCGAGGGGCTGAAGGAGAGGAGGGCGAAAATGGAGCGGTTGATAAAGTTCTCTGACGGTACCTTTTCGACTCTCGAACTTGCGCCTCTCCTGTACGTTCCGGCCGAGCAAACCGCGTCGGCGACGCGCACGCTCAAGGACGGCAAGAAGACCAAGAATAAGAACGCGTTTGATCGCGCCGAGGTCTGGCTCGATGATTACATGGACAGGAGGAGTCAGGCGGAGTGGATCGAGCAGAATCCCGCCCTGCCGATGGCTCAACAGATACCGAAGCCGGAGTTTCGGTCCAAGTTTGCGGATCCGAGCCACATTGCCGCCAACGGGGATATTGTGTCTCTCATCACGGGAGGCAAGTTCCAGTCCGGGTCGGAGAAGGAGGCTCGGAGGCGGGCCGCGAAGGAGCAGGCCAGGCTGGAAAACGGGAGCGCCGTGCTGAGGAAAAGGCGGAAAGGGAAAAGTCAAAGCAGAAAGGACGTGAATCGGACGATATAGAGTGGAAAAGAACGGCAGAGAAGCAGTCTATTGAAGGGTTATTGTCGGGATTGTTCCAGAAGGTATGCTCCATCACTATGCTATGTCTCGGCCGGCGACTGTGTACTAACCAACCTAGGATGTTCTATATCTCATGATTGTCAACCTTCCGAAAAAGGATTCGCTTGATCCTTCCCCGGGTCCGGTTGACCCTCGTCAGAATAGAGCTTAAGGGCGCAGTCATGTCTTATGAAACGGTGTCTCATTTATGGCGTTGGAGGGATTCTGGCGCGATGTTCTGCTTCAAAGGGTATAGAGATAGTTGGAACAACCCCAAACTGCTAATACGTACACTTGTTTTCTATATCGATTGAATGACTTATTTTTCTCCTTTTGAGTGAGATGCTATTTGAAGCTGTCGACTGCACGCAGCCGTGACACTAGTATCTTCTTCAAGGCTGCCGGATGAGCTATGTTTGTAAGCTGGCGATAATGCGAACACGACATACTAGGACTCAGAGCCTCGCAAGCCATATCCCACATCCAGGACCTTCTCATGGCGGTCGTATTTCACTCGGCCGCTATGCTAGTTAATCCTAAGGCCTTCTTCAGAGGATAAGTGCCCAATTCTTGGAGAGATGATGCGTGGGGTACCGAACCTCGAGCTTGACTAAGCCCGTTCCCATGCGTCAACCCACCACAACCACTGCATCGGCTAATCGGTCAGCGTATGCGCTCGTATTTCACCTTGGGAGGGAGCCTCGGCGTGATAGGGCGCTGGGGAGCACATGGGGATATCTTAGGCCGTCGCTTGATCGGGCTTCTCTGAACACCGGGTTCTTCCCACCGCCCTATGTATATCCCGAGGACGCGCATCGCATGCTCCTGCCGTACACACACCACAGAGAGACGCAATTTTATTCGAAATGCCCGTCCCGGGCGGAGGACTTCTCTCCAAGTGCTGTGCCTTCTCAATGGCCTTCTAGATCAACACTAGCACTGAGCCGTTTCTTTTGCCAGACGGGACGGAACATACGGCCCCCAGCTTGATCCCGAGAGCAAAGGCTTGCATCGGCTGCCACACTCGACAATCGGGTCATTGGTACGTAATTGCACAGAGCGAGCGTCTTGGTCGGGCTCGCGAAGCTTGCCGATCTGCGCCAGTCTGGCCAACTTGGCAGAGCTGGAGTGGTTTTTCGTTTCCGACGCCAATTCCCGGCCACGTCCATTTTCCTTGCTCCTCTCGACAGCATAGTCTAGCTAAAAATATCCTTGGCGGCAGGTTCCCCTCCCAACTCGGTCGCGCGTTCTAACCCGCCCGCCGTAAATGGGGCTTAGCCGGGACCGAGGACGGTACTTGCGGAGTATTTCGAATCGATGGGAAGAAAGGGGGAGGGGCTTCGCTGATCATCAGCACCCGGCCGCCATATTTCCCTCCCTATCCGTCGCGGGGTAGGTAATTCAGGCCCGGAAGGCCATTGGGGCAGATCGTGGCCTCCGCAATTTGGGGGAGACTCTACTATTCAACCCATGTCCTGGCCTATCTCGTCTGAAGGACGGCAGGAGAAAGGAGCGTTTCTCGTCTGGGAGCCGCTCTAGGTCAGATGAGCTTGAGAATCCCCTCTTTCAAACGGACAAGATAGAGAGATGCAGAGACAGCGAGATAGCCAGGGTCAGGGATAGTGTGTCTTTTGTTTAACGGGTTTATAAATAGAAGACGCCATGCCTGTCTAAACTCAATTACTTTGACAATGGTTGGACATCTTGGCAGGGTTTTGATGTGGGCTCGGCCGGGTTGGGGTCGTGGGTGGACACTGGCATTCAGCAGGGTTTCCGACAGAGAGGAAGATATACCAGGCAACAATTTGTCCTGTAGAAACGCAAGGAAATACCTATTTCCTTGGACTATAAGTAGGCCCGGGGCATGCATGGGGCACGACGCGCCATGATCTGTTTCAATTGATGAAATTCGGATGACAGCCTCCTAGGACCTGTCTCTCCGCACACTCTTTCTTTTTCCCTTTCGCTCTCTCTCTGTCTCTCCTTCCCGTCTCCACTGCCATCTTGCGGGTACTTGGGACACGGTGGCGGCCGGAAGAGAAAGTCTGGAAATTTTTTTATCTTTCATTTTTTTGGGAAGCAAATTAGCCTCTTTTCCAGGGCCACGCGGGCTTTTGAGCAATGGTGGCCGCGCTCGTCGGTATGAACCGATTCAGCCAGATTGCGGATTACATCTCTTACAGAAATTAATATCAACGGTGGCCATCATGATTGGCATTGATGGCTTGCCGACGCCTCCACTTGCGCATAACCTACCTCTCACACAGGAGACTTCCCACACTCTCTCTCACTAGGAGTGACACACGCACTGATACCAGACGCATACACGATAACCATCTGAAGCTGTAGACAAATAGACAAAGGCTTACGTTCGCTTCCTAGGAACCCCCTCCCTCGCTTTATAGTTCAATCTGCACATCTTTTCGTCTCTAATTTCCCCTGTCGGCCCAAGGGGGCCTGCATGGACCGGGGCTTACCCAGAGCGCGGTGTCTGTTTAGGCGACTTGGAAGCTGGGGGTTGGGGGAGGACCGGGAATCGGGAAGCGGTAGGGAGAGCGAAGTGACTGAACTGTTGTCGCGGGTGAGGGCAGAAAGGGGGCGAGTTGGGTGTTTCCGATATCCAGGAATTGGGCCTTGACCATTTAATTAACCAGTAAATCTGATGCACATGTTTAATAGAAAGAGAACATGAATATATACGAGCTGAAATATGCCTACGTATATGTGCCTGTCTATATTTATCCCACCCAATTCCGTCCGGGCACTATGGAATTCCGCTTGCGAGCTCCACGGCACGGGGAGAAATCCTTCGTCACAAGGATGTTGATGTGCTCTGCGATGGAAATTTAGTTTATTAGAGCCCGCTGGGGTGCAGCCCTGGGGCAAAGGTTTTTTTCCCCGTTGACTCTTCCCGATCTTAATTGTCGCCTTGCTCTCCTCCGCCCTTCTTCTGTGCTCTCCGACTCGTAGCCAAGCCAAGATCTCTCCGGTGCCGTGGGCCTTGCCAAAAATGCGATTCCATGTGACTTTGGCCTTGGCGGCCCTTACTAGGTGAGCGTTAATTCATGGTGAACCCGGATAGCGAAGAATTCTAGCCAATTCGTGCTACTATCCTCTTGACTCGCTCGATCACCTTTGCTGATACCCCTCTCCTCCGACAGCGCCGTATCAGCTCAGATTACGCTCACGCCGACAACCGTGTGCCGCGGCGCGACGTGCATCACGACGACGACGACAGGAGACGGCAGCATCCCCACAGGGCCCGGCCACGATGATCCGTGGCCTGGAACGGAGCCCACCAACGACACCGGCGGCGGCATCGACACCGGCAATGGAAACGGAAACGGAGAAACCACCGCCCCGACAGGAGAGCGGGTTACCGTGACGGAAACGCTACGGGAAACGTCCACCATCACCGCGGTTCAGGAGGTGACTCGCCTGGTCACGCTGACCAACGAGAGGACCGTCGTGAGCACCACGACCCAAGTGCAGGTCGTGACCAGCACAGTCACGTCGACGGTCGTCACGACCGCTCCCTGCGGAGCCCCGCCCGCCGCTGCATGCCCTACCGTTACTTCCACGGGTACGGCCTGCAGGACGTGCCTGCTGCCCGGCTGCAACACCACCGTGAAGCTGACCAAGCCCTGCGGCTGCACGGGCGCGCTTCCTACTACGACTGTCGACTTCCCTGCACCGCGGCAGGCATCTGCAACAAGATCGGATGTGCGACCGTGTATAGCACTGTGACGGCGGCGTGCTGAGAGTGAGGGGAGGGCTGTGGGAAAGAATCCGGACCGGGGGTTGGGGCAACGTTTTTCTTCCATTCATCATTTTTTTCTAGGGTTCACCATGTGTATCATCCAAAGGAACGTGATGAGTTCCTACAACATTGTAGATATCTATCGCGGGTGCATTGAAGGGGCCATTTGACATTCAAGCACGCAATCAGGGAAACTGGGAAGTTATGAAAAATCAACAATACATTCATGTGCAAGCACGTTGGGTTGCGCGAAATGGGTGCATATCGACGCGGTCTTGTTGCTACGTGTAATCGTGGATGATAGCACGACTGTATATGTGATGAAACTTCGCCCCGACACCAACCAGTCCCATCCGCATTGTTTATGTTTAAAGTTCTCTGTCGAGACGATGGTGATTGATTATCAATTAGTTTTTCTTTTCATTAAGCCACATAAAGGCTATCACTAACATGCCCGCGACAAACCGTAGACCCTCTCTACAAAGCGCTGTCGGGGAGAACATTATCAATAATATAATTGATACCCTCTTCCCGGTAGGTATCCGTCTCGGTCCAGGAGCCGAATCCGGTAAGCACAATGCCGTTTCCCTCTGAACCATACTCGGGCCATTGAGGCAGCGCAATTTCTGTGTGGATCATCGTCAGTTTCCGGTCGCTCCGTGTCCTCAAGGTTATTTTCACTGACCTTCTTCGGGGTTGGGGTTCAAGTCATGCACAAAACTAGCCCACGCCGCAGACATCTGGTAGGCCAAGTTCACGTCCCACGGGTACTCGGGCAACTGGTTCGAGAAGACAAAGTGCTGCTCGAAGCCGGTGCGAATGCCATCGGAGAGGATCGTGGCATTCGAAACTACTTGGTTGAATCGATACCGGTAGACGGGCACGTCGTCGGCGGCGATGGACCGGGCAATCATACGGGCGGGGCCAACTTGCACAATGTCACCAAAGATGGAGCAAGCCTTCTTGTCGAGCGTACCCGGTGTGAACTTGTGTGTTCCCGTGTTGTAGGGACAGCCGAGACGAGGGTTGTCGGGGTAGATGCCGATGAGGGAAGAAACGGTCTCGTTGGGGAGGAGCGCAGGGCGGAAGAAGCCCTCGGCTGGGACCATGTGGTTAGTCTAGTGTACGCGACTGTATGACTGAATCAAATGTTACTCACCAACGAAACCTGCGAGTTGTTCTGTTGTGTTCACGCTCGTAGGGGCCGAGGTTACGCCCTCGTCGGTATTAGCTAATATCACCAGTTAGCCTTGGAAGATCCTTCTTGCTTGCAGGAGCCTGGTGTCCACATGATTCACTCACTTCCGACAATCGTGGGAACTTTGACATATTCGCCCTTTGCAAGTGCAAACTGGATCGAGGTTCGGCTGAAGTCCCCATCGATTGACTGACCAGTCACCGATCCGACCTTAGCTCGGAATTCTGCAACGGGTAGTTGGCGAAGACACGCCAGTTTTTCCTCGGCAGGCGACGACGCCGCATGCTCGCAGGACGAATTTGTAAAGAGCTTGTCAAAGGTAGCCTGGAAGGCGGTGGTGTTGGGGAGGGTGAGGGGAACGCGCCGCCGCTTTGGAGGATGGCGCCGCGGAAGAGACCGTCGTCGCGACCGCCGTAGGCCATCATGTGAGAGTACGTCGATACAGCACCGGCTCTATAAGTGGGGGTGTTTTGAGGCTCGATTAGTAAAATGCTCGCTACATACCTGGGTGGACATTGGGAGATTTGGGCTATATTTTGCTTACGATTCGCCTCCAAGAGTGACCTTGGTAGGGTCGCCGCCAAAGGCTGCGATGTTATCCTGCACCCAATGAAGAGCGAGGCGCTGATCAAGCATACCGAGATTGAGGAGACCCAAGTCGGTCATCTCCTGACCGTTAAGGAAGCCAAAGGCGCCGACACGGTAGTTCTATAGCCAAATTCGTCAGTACTGTGTTTTATTTGTGAGTGCGGATAGCTAGTCGGCTCACAAGAGATATGACGATGATGGGGATATCGAGCTCCTCCGAGATGCGGGCCATTTGCGTGCCATCCGTTCGAGGGTCAGACTAAACAAATTCAATAGTTAGTGGATACGCTCGAGACTAATAACGACCTCCCTGATGAAACTAGACCTACCGCATCGCCGCCTGTCAAGCCACCTCCGAAGAGCCACACAAAAACTGGGAGGTTATCTCCTTGCGCAGTGCCAGCAGGCCTCCAGATATTGAGGGTGAGGCAATCCTCGCTCTGGGGGCCGATGTCCTTCTTTCCGTAGCAGGCGGGACCGAATGCGGTAGCATTTAGAGACCCGAAAGGGCTTCGAAGAGGCTCCGGCAGCGCCAGTCTGAGATCACCGACCGGTGGCTCCGCGTAGGGAATGCCGAGGAACTTGTCTACGGCACTGGATCTATCCGTGAAGCCGATGACGGTGCCATTGGAAATGGTGGCGGTGGGAGAGCACCCGGACCCGGCGAGGGCCGGGGCCGACAGCGCCAGCAGAGAGAGGACGGACGCCACGGAAATCATGGTTTGGCGATGGCAATGGCCTGGTTTCTGCGATTTGCGGAAGGTGCTGCAAGGGCAATTGAAGGATTTGGAGAGCGACCTGGGCAGCTTCTTGTCTTTGGTATTTGGGGATCCTTTTGAACTTATAGTCGCACGCGTCGAACCTGCCCTGGCGAGGTAAATGGCATGAACCTTGCCGGCTATGATTTCCGGCAGATGGCATCGGATGTGGTTATAGAAAAATTCGAGCGGCTCCCCCTCTTGAACCATGCAAGGTAGCTTCTTGATCGAAGATTAGCTTATTTCCGAATTGCAAGAGTCGTAGCTATCCCGGGATTACCATCGTCATGGGGGAGATGGCTCTAAAATCCTGCCTTGTGGCTTCCCCATACTTTTTCCCCACGTCGGGGTAGCAGAGGTCTTGCCGGAAGTGGTGTAGACGTCGAAGGGATCCTGGCCATTTCCCCACGACGCCCGCTTTTTCTCCACATCGCGTCGCGCCCCCAGCGTCGGTTCCCCACGATGAATATTGCGCTTTCCCGCGACAAGGGCGCGGCATTGCGAACCAGGCTGTTCTTCGATGGGGCAAATCGCCGCATCTGCAGTCTGGGGCCGACGTGGTTAACGTGAGGGTGGTGGTGGAGACTGGATGCCAAGGATTGCGGAAAGGCATTTGTGGATTGTTAGCTGCGGGGAGAAGTGTGATTCAATGTGCACTTATAGCGAAGGGCCTTTGCCATGTGGCGTGTTTCTCAATCTTTCTTTACTCTTTCCGTGGTGAATATGGTATTAATGGTACAGCAAAATTTGGTATTATCCAGTAACCTGTCTATGGAAACAATCATGACCGCTCGTTGTAAATGGACAATATCCTCCGGCAAAATATACATGTAGTGACAGTGTGCGTATCAGGCAAGACACGAAAGAGAAAGAAAAGATATGTAAAGATAGGGGGTGTGGTAGTAGTTTGAGTGTTTGACCATTACCTCTTTCGCAGCTCGCACTCATCAGCCTCCTTCCTTCTCTTCCACGACTTCATCCCGATGGTGATGAAGACCAAGCCATTCCAAAACCCCCTCAAGGAGCCAGAGATACCGACAGCTACCATCAGGGGGTACGAGAAGAAGGTGGGATCGATAAAGGAGGCTACACGATTGGTCGACGGGGCGACCCAGACGGAAAGGAGAGCGAGGAAGAAGAAGAGCGGCATCAAGACGTATTGGCGGAAGGAGAGGGCAGGGCGGGGCGGCTTGGAGGTTGGGGTAATGGCGTGGCGGGACGTGGTGATGGAGCACACCGAGGTCGGCTGCAGCGACCCGTCAAAGGAGGATTGGCCGGTATAAGGCCGGTACGTGCTCTGGTGCTGGTAGTCGACGTCGACATCGACGGTGACGGCGACTCCGACGCTCGAGTCTTCCCATGTAGGGTCTTGCTTTGGGGAGACAGTATCGTCGAGGGCGACGGTGTCGCTGGAGACGGAGCGTAGGGCGAGTCGACGTCTGGCGATTTCTATGCCTACGAGGGCATACAGCGTGATGATGACGAGAATGGATGACCTAGAGGCGTGGAGTTAGAACACTGATACTGTCCGTTGGTTCGGCAAGCAGGAAGGGAGTAGGGTAAATTTGAAGACATACCAGATCGTTCCGTAGTATACGACGATGCGGAACAACACCCACTTTGGCGCGATGGCACACCAGAGCTGTACGATACCATGTTCGTTAGTCTTAGCCCACACGGCACGCTAGACAAGAGTCTAGTCGGGTAATGCTTTGGGGAGGAAACATACCGTTACGCTTCCGTACATGGGCCCCTTTTCTTCGGTATTGATGAAGAGGAACACGAGGGCAGGGATGAAAGTGAACACAACAATTCCTGCAAAGTATTTCCATTCAAGTTTGCGTAGTGATTCGGCGTCGTATCGGCGGAAGACGATGAGGTAGACGTTGATGGCCATGACCAATGTCCAGAGCACGTCAGCGACGGGGAACCTGGAGATGACGACATGGTTAGTTTACGCTGTGAGCTTATATAAAAATGGATGATGGTAAAACGCAAAAATTTCCTCGTTGTTTTACAATATTCCAATATCCTCTTTTTTGCGTTGTTCTTCATTGTTAGATAGGAGAGCCACTTACATTTGATTCAGAAATCCCTGGAACTGGCAGAGCGCGGATGGGTTCCCACCCTTTGGCCCGCTCGTGGCAATCATGGTGCAAGTCACATCAAAGGCGTTGAAGAAGGCGTTGATAAAGATGAGGCGATGCATCGGGTTGCGGAAGTGTCGGGAGAGGCAGAAGACGGTGATGATGGCGATGACGCCGAGGCCCGACAGGGTCGAAGCGACGCGCATCACGATGGTGAGGTCCCGTAGTTGCTTTTCGGTGAGCACGGCCGCCCCGCGCGGCTCTAGGATGGCGTCCATTGTGGTATGGATTCTTTTTCTTTTATTGGGTTTCTTCGATCTTGCTGGCGCGCTTTTGCGTATCAAAATGGGCGGTCGGGGATTTTCTTTTTTCGAGGGCGCGCGCAGTTCCGATCTTGTTGTCCCGGTCCGTGTAGGCCCCTTGCGGCTCGCGGGTCGAAACGAGAATCAACTTCTCATTGCTTTGGACAATCCAGACAATTCAAAGGAGAAGAGGAAAAAGGATCTTTCAAGAATCTCGACTCGAAGGTCGGCATGTCGAAATGAAGCATATTTCAAAGATTTCCCTTTGCATTCTTCGCCGGGTTCTGCTCCACCGTGTTCTACCCAATCCTGGGCAGATTCGCACACTTGGGTTGCGGATTGCGTGCTGCCTCCTGGAGTCGTGGGGAGGCATCGGAAGCCGGGGATGTGGTGCGCCACCAGCGAACCAACGGCGTGGGGGTTCAGCTATTAAGGGTCGGAGAGAAAAAGAGGAGGGCGAAACGATGACGGGGTACAAACCACCAGCATTGAGGCAGGGGGTATGTAGACCAGCCCAATGAGCATGGTCAAAAAGGCTTTCGAAACGAAAAAGAAAAGAAAGAGAAAGAATACAGATTGGAGGAAGCAGGGAAATGGAGGATGTCTTGGGATACGATCAGACTTGCGTTCGCGCGACTTTCCCCATGTGGCGATGCCAGAAATCGCAACAATGTTCCCGGCTGGATGGATTGAAGTCGTTGATGTACTTGGCCACGTTTAACGGCATGCAGGTCCAGCATCGTCCGTGACCCTCGAGGCCATGTTGTGTCTGAGCCGAGAATTTTCATTTCTCGCAGATCACGGTGGAGATCACCACGTATCTCACCACATCTACTTTGTCATGGGCACAAAATTTTCGTTGCCCGCTCTTGCCCCGCTGTGCCCTCATGTTTTCTCTTCCCTTCTCCCTCTTCCCTTCTTCCCCTCAGTGGTCTAGCATTTCAGCTCGGTGATTGTCATCCGACAAGATTCTTCCCCGCATCACGCAACCTCTCTGGATCTTCTCCTCCTCCTCCACCTGCCCCCACCGAGCCGAACCCTGATGGATTTGGCTAGGATGGGCGGTTTAGGTGAGGGAGGGCTATACTTGTAGAAACCGGGGCATGATTCTCCCATCGCGTTATGGCCCGTGATACCCACCACCCCCAAAGACTAGCAGCGCCCAAAGAAAACCCAGGATATACAAGCATTATTGATGTGCTACTTGATACTCTTGTCGTCCCCTTTTTTGCAACGTGCATGAGGACGTCCACCGCCTTCATTAATAACGTCCCATGGCCGCGGATCCGAACGGCATGTTTAGGTGGGGGAGCTAAAACCAATGAGGTGGACGGGAGGACTATGCCCCATGCGGGTGCATGGGGCTGAGGAGAAGAGGAGGGTGACCACATCTTAAGATTCTCATGCTTGTTGGCAGGGATCGGATTTCTGGGGATCTTGGCACCGTCACCCTCCACACTTGCCTGCGGCGTCGAGGGATTTAAGCTGTGCTTGGCTTCAATAATCGTCCAACTTGTTTCCCCGGTTCATTAAATCTTGGCTTTTTTGTGTTGTCTCTCGTAGTTTTTTTGTGTTAGTGGCCGCTGCTCTTGGCATCATCTAGCTCGTGGAGATTTTTTAAAGTAATGGGATAGAGTCGCACAAGTCCGTTTCCACTCTTCCCCCGTCAAGGAAAAGAGGGGACTGGCATGGCAGACACCTTCAGCTTCGAGCCAAGATCCGATCAAGGTAACATTGAATGCTTCTTTCCAGTAGCCTCGAATCCTTCAAAGTTTCGGGAGGGGCGAACGGCTCGAGATGTGTGGCCCTTTTACCCCGAACCTGGGCGAGAACATCGACCATCCAGACCAAGTCAAGTATCCCTCCCCCTTTGATCAATCTGGCCTGGCTTGACCCCCGTGGATCCCGCACTGGTCCGAGGGGACGGTGTCGACCTGCAAGCCAGCGGCTGGGTGGTTGCTCGCAAAACCAGCCCCACGGATATTGGAAACTCGATTCATTCCCAACGTGGACCACCCTGTTGAAGCCAAGAACTATTTCCAATCCGGGTCTCTCGATGAAATTTCTGGGGGTCTTTTTTTTTTTTTGACAAGTCGGTTTGGCGAGGAAATAAGCAATTTCCCCTTTTCATCACGTCAGTCTGCACGACGCACTAGAGGTGAGACGATTGAGTGAGGGGGATGTCAAGGGCAAGCGGATGCCAAGAGCCAAATATTATACGGCTGGTCTGCCACCCTCATTAGATCGTTTCTGTTTTGAGGCATCGATGGGGGCACGACCAACACGAAGCTGCGGAAACGCCGAGATCGAGTGTTGGGAGAAGGTTGATGGGACAAAACGGGAAATGGATCACGCGAGTGTATCGGAGGAGGCCAACGTTGCGTTGACTCGAGGAGTCAGGGGAAAAATAATGTACTTTCTATTGGAGTTTGGGAAGAAAAATAAAAGTATGTACTAGAAGCTTGTTTAAAGTTGTCTCTTGTTCCTGCGCTCCCCCACATCATCGCATCATCACAGCCCCCCTTTGATTTTCCGTCTCCTCCGTCTCGCTTACGGGAGGCACTGGCTGTACCAGTCGTTGGACTTGGTGCACTTGCCCTGCGCGCACGTCGTGGGACCGCTCCAGCCCATTCCGCCGCACTGGGCGTACAGGGCCGCGCCGCCGGTGTTGCCGCCTCCGCTGGTCTGGGTAGGGGTGGTGGGGGCGGTGGTGCTGGTGCTGGTGGCGAGGGTGGTGGGGTGGAGCCGCCGCCGGTGTTGCTGCCGCCGGAGCAGGTGATGGGCCGGGGGCCGGGGATGGTGTAGGGGCGGCCGCCCATGTTGGGCTGGCCGGTGGGGCCGTAGATGCTCACGAGGATACCGGGGTCGCTGGAGGAGTAGGCGCCGGGGAAGCTGACGGTGCTGCCGGAGCCATCGTTGGTGCCGGAGCCGGTGACGCGGATCTGGGCGCACTCCATGTAGAACTGGGCGCCGCCGACGCCGGTGGCGCTGTGCAGGGCGAGGAGCTCGACGCGCATGAGGTAGTCGCCGGGGCGACGCAGGTGGGGAGGGTGAAGTAGTGCCAGCCGTCGTTGGCGATGAGGTTGTCGACGGCCCAGGTGGTGCCTGTGATGCCCTCCTCGGCGATCTTGAACCATTTTAGGCCGGTGGTGCCGGTGGTGGCGGCGTTGCTGACCTTGGCGAGGTAGACCATGATGGGACCTGTGGAGGGATTAGAGGTGTTAGCACTTATGAAAGAAAGTGATGAGGGTCGATTCAGGGTCGATTGGGCCTTTGGTTTTGCGGGATGACCAAGACTAGGTTTAGGTACATACCCTTGTGGCTGGAGGCGATGGGGTTATCCGCATCAAAGGCGCCCTGCGGCCCGCCGATAACATGCTGGTAGCGGGCGCCGACCTTGGCGCCGGCGGGCACGGTGATGACGTTGTTGTCCTTGTGCTGGATGCCCTTGTTGCAGGCGAACTCGGCGTCGTTGACGTTCTCGATGGGGTTGTTGGACGAAGGGGCGCGCACGCCGTACAGGAGGCCCTGGTCTACGCCGTTGACGGAGACTTTTGGAAGATGGCGTGCGCCGAGGACAGCGCCGCGAAGCTGAGGATGGTGGCGACCTTCATGGTGGGCGAGGCACTGGAAGAGAACGGAGGGGGTTTAGTGGTTGTGATGAAAAGAATAAAAAGGGCGGAGAGGATGAAGGGTGAGGAGCTCGGAAAGGGAGGATATTCTCGAGGAGAGACGAGAAAGATGGTGGATTCCTTTTATAGAGGGACGGGGAGGCGAGGATGCCCACGATGCTTGAAGAGAGGCAAGGCCCATTTTTCGGATTCTGGAATTCCTTAAGATTGAAAGGGCGCGCCAGGAAGAAAACGCCCGGGACGGTGCGCCGTCGCCCTGCTGTCTCCCCACACCAATTCCACCAATAGCTCCCGCGTTGAGGCTGTCATTCGAGGTCGTCCCAAGGTCACGTCCGATGCGGTCACACGGCTCACGTTCCACCCCCTTGGAGGGTAGGCTTGATCGGACGGAATCCGGGCTCGAAAGCCAAACCTTGTTTTCCCCTTTCTTCTCTTTTCTCTTTGGTATCCTAAGCTTTTCTTCTTCTTTTCTCACATTCCCAAAATCGGCCTACACTCGAAAGGGGGAGAGTAGCACCGGGGTCCGCCCTCGCCCATGGCACTCGCAGATTAAAAGCCGGGTGCGGGGCGCGTCTTCTAGAATCGGGATTGGCGGCTTCGGAAATGTTCCGTGTTTCAAGGCCGTGCCACTCCACAAAATCCCACCTCCCATACGCCACCCCCGGTCCCCCGGTGAGCACCCGCCAAGACGGTCCCATCACCAAGCCTCATTCAGCGAATTCTTTGTTTTTTTCTTGCCTTATTCAGTCGCATGGGGAAGCTTATATTCGCTGGTTTCCCTCTTCGCCCGTTCTTCGACCGTCTCTCCGCTTCCATGATTCGTGGGAGGCGATGGCATTTTGGGGAGGGTGGAGGGGCACCGAGCGGGCGGCGGCCTTGACTGCGCGCTCACGGCCAACCAACGACGGAGTTTTTCTCTCTTCTTTTCCCTTTTCTTGTCTTGGATAAGCCTGGCTTGGCACGTATGATCGGGAAGACCTCCGACTCGCGAGGTGGTGCCCCATGATCAAGTTTAGAGTGCCGTCCATGACGATGCATCGCATCGCAGTGTTGCCTTTGCTTGCCTTGCTATGTGGTAGATCTCGCAGCTGATGAGAAATGCGCATTTCTCCACCGTACAGACTCATCACCATTGCGCTAATCGCGGCGTTCTTAAAATAAACCAGAGCTCAGCAAGAAGCCTTGGTGGGTGATGCACTTGCCAAGAGACCGCAATGGGGGATTGGAGGCGGTTTAGCTAGTATTGGTCCACGATTTCTCCTCACAGCATCAACCAAAGGGCCGAGAGGTGTCAAGAAGAAGCTGGATTCCACCATTCGCTGCCTAGCGCCAACCAAGAAATATCGAATTGTGTAGTCAGCATGGTGTTGCGTTGGTCTGGTAGGTGAAGTGCTTCGGACCCCCATAGATGTGCGTATAGACAAGTGCGCGCGCTGATAGTAAACGTGCACTTCACTTGACTTGGTGTGACGGGCAAATCAAGGGACCCACTGGAAACTCTTTGGGAGGATTGGAGCCATGAGCCTAACAACCAATCAAAACTCCCGATGGTCTAGTTGGTTCATGACATCTGACTGTAATGGCAACAGTTCAATCAGAGGGTCACCTGTTCGATTCAGGTTCGGGAGAGGATTGCTTTCCTTTTTGTCTGCTCCCTCTTTCATCTCCTCGGGCTTTTCTTCGTTTCCTAAATCTCCATCTAGGTTCTTTTGCTCATCGTTTAATCTGATCTGAACAGGTGGTGATCGCCATGGTTGAGACATCGAGGGTCCTCTGGGTCGCCATCTTCTCAGCTTTCAACCTCAAACTAAGACACACACCAATGTCTCAAGATACAGCACTTCTTCAAATGGTGACGTATTCGAGAATTAGTTTATACATCATGAACAGTAACGATGTAGTTCCGAATTGCCCTTAATCATTGTTAAGTCGCCACTCCTCAGGACGTCGCATTCGAGTAGGCGGAAATTAGGCATCAAAGAGGGATTTTCTTGGTTTCTGGCTCGTAGGCTTTTCCTAGTTGAGGCTGGGGCGAAATGCCGCGGGCCCATTACCTGGTTTCGAGGCTATCTACGCCTTGAATGTTCTTAGTCAAATCATGATAGACGCTAGTTGGCCAGTCAGCATCTTGCATTGCAACCCTTTAGAGTTCCCATATGCCTCGGCACTCACACTGCCCGATACCGCATATTAATAGTCCGAGAACGCAAAATAGAAGTAAGTATTAACATATCCATGGATAGAAGTCGAGCAGTTCCAAGACTCGAAATTTACTAGCCAGCCTTGTCGGAAGCTATCCCACCGACATCCAAGCCGAAACGTTGAAGAAGGTAAGATTGAACCACAATCCAGGTAATACTATGGCCTCCTCCGGCCCGGCAGCTGTTTGTATGCTGACTACACCTAAACCTATCGTCTAGGACTATCCGAACGTCGTCTTCGCCCGGCGATGTCAGAGAACCAGTATGGTGCACCACAGGCGGATGATGCCAACGAAACAGAAGCCGAGACCCACGCCTGGGCCTCCCATGTTACCTCCGCGTCCGTTGCCAAGACCTTAGCGGAAGATGAGATCGACGATGTAGGGCTTACAGGCATCGTTAAAGAAGGCTTGGCATAAGAGGAAGTCAAGGTGCGTAGGGAGAAACTATGGGAGTAGCCGATCAGAGATCAGTTATGGAATGTGACAAAACAGAGTCACCGATAACGATGCGAGCATGCTGGGTAATCTTGGCTTAAGTACTAGTTCGGTGGTATAATTGCGGTCTGTCTATCACCGTAGATTTACGCCATTATACGAGGCAGAATTCATAGGATCTAGAGTTAGCTGAGATATATATTTGTGTTGTAATTTTCATGTATCAATCTTAGTTTGCTGCTTTATACCTCGAATATATCCCACCTTTTCCTCATGTTGGCTCCACCATAAATAAGCTTAAAAATTAAAGCATCGTTGATCAGTGTGTATTCCAGATTCAAGACACTTCCTTACTCATATCTTACACGAACGCGATGGGCTATTATAAACTCCGTGTAGTTGGAGTGCCACGAAAGGACTGGATTGGCCTCCTCCACCAAATACTATCTTATTACTCTAGGCTTATTTGCTTGTTCCCCCATGAGACAAAGGATACGCAAATCTATGTTTCGATTAAGGCTTCGTGATAGAAAAAGGCAGGATAGGCGCCTCTTACAAAGGACAGAAACATCATTTTATACACAATGCAGTGGCTAAGAGCTGAGCTTCGGATCTTCGATTGTGGGATCACCCAACCTCAGGAATCGAAGCCATGATGTTTCTAAGGCTGGTAGAAATACACGGCCATGCTGTAATAGTCCCGTTCGCCTCCAAGGCCCTTTCATGGAGGAGGGCAGAAGCCTCATTAACGGTGCGAAACTGGTAGAGAACCACCCACGCTCCACGACCTCCCTTTTTTCACATCACAGCGGCCTACGAGCTACCGAGCCTGCAGTTATCTTTCATAGCCCATTAATGAACCCCAATCTCCCCAATCAGTATCTCGGGTACTGGGCGCAGGCCACATCACTGCATAAGATATGTGTATACACAGCGGAGTGATTGGCCACGAGCCAACTGCTTGCAGAACATGGCGGAATTGATTGGTAGTCTACAAGGAGAACATAATGCGTCGAGTTCGGTGCCACGACTGCACGCCGCCATTGGCTTCTGAAGTGGCTCGCTTGGAAAGATGGCGGGGTTCTGATGACTCTTGGCTATGTATTAGAGACCAGGCTTAGCTGAGACCAGGCTCTCGAAGCATGCTGCACGTTTTCAAGTCTGGTGCCTTATCCAGACCAATTTGTGCATTTCCCCGCTTTAGGCTCGGATGAAGCTTTCATCTCGCCCCAATTTTCATCATTCACGCTCAAAGCTGCACACTCAGATCAAGGCAGCCTCGATTCCACGCGACTTCCGATATAACAAGCGCGCTTCTGTTGATTGACGAAGATTCGGCCAAAATCACAATGGCGGCTCCAGGCAGCCGGAGACGACATGAGGATTATACCGTTGGGTTCGTCTTTGCCATGGAGTTCGAGATGAGTGCCTTTCGTTACATGCTAGATCACGAGCATCCCCGCCTGGCATTCAAGAAAGGTGACCCAAACGTGTACGTATTGGGGGACATTCAAGGTCTCAACGTTGCCTTGGCGTGTCTCCCCGGAACCCAAGGAAAGGTGCTGCTGCGACTGTCGCCGCGAACATGGAACGTACTTTCCCCTCTCTTGAGTGGCGTTTCCTCGTCGGCATCGGAGCGGGTGTGCCCAGCAAAGAACATGACATACGTCTAGGCGATGTAGTGATCAGCATGCCAGAAGGACAATATGGCGGTGTTGTTCAGTACGACCTAGGGAGGGATACCGAGGACTCTTTCGAGCTCAAAGGCTTCCTCACACCTCCACCAACGATTTTGAGGAACGCTGTCACTGTGATGCGGTCCAACAACCTGGCGCCGGGAAACAAAGTGCAACAATTCGTATCTCTTCTGCTAAAAAGAACGAGAATCTGGCCGTTTATCGACGACCGTCCGAAGACGATTTACTCTTCAAAGGAGAATACCAGCACGACAAAAGCTATTCTACTTGCGAGAACTGCAACAAAGAAGAGGTCGTTGAGAGGCCACTCCGACAGCGTCCGGATCCCAAGATACACTATGGCCTCATTGCTTCAGGAGATCGGGTCGTGAAGAGTGCCACCAAGAGACAGATGACTGTCGACAAGATAGGCCAGATACTGTGTTTTGAGATGGAGGCCGCCGGCATCGCAACCGAGTACCCGTACATTGTGATCCGCGGCGTTTCGGACTACGCGGACTCCCACAAGAATGACAAATGGCAGATGTACGCGGCCGCTACCGCGGCTGCATCTGCGAAAGAACTACTCTTAGTTCTTGCCCCAGACACGATGGATGACAACAAATTAGGCTTGCCTATTGAACATGCTGAGCTAGGTACCTAGAATCCTATGAACCCTTTAGCCTAAAGCATTCGGTATTTCATTTGAAGGTTAGGCAGCAGATATGGGTCTAACTTGGGTGGGTTGAAATAGAGCATCAACAACCATTCTCTGCCAATGGCACTACATGTACGTAACCACACATACTGACTTCTAATATGATACATAACATGCATGTATGTATGGTCCCATCTGATGCGGAGACGCAGGCCACTGGGAAAAGAAGTTCCTGGAAGACCTCACTCAAACGGACCCCAACACCGTTATGCGCCGGATACGGGGTAGCGAGAAAAGGCTAATAAAAGACTGCTTCCGGTACATCCTTGATAACGATGAGCTCGCAAATTGGACGCAATCGTCAGACTCTAGGCTACTCTGGATCAAAGGGAAGCAGGAAAAGGAAAGACGATGCTAATGATACATCTTGTTGCTCAACTAAGGGACCAACTACGGGGCCAGAACAGCGCTCTCGCCTTCTTCTTCTGTGAGAACGGGGACCCGCGTCTCAACAACGGCGTTTCCGCTTTGCGAGGAATGATATGGATGCTACTGTGTGAATGGCCCAGTTTGAGTCAATACATACCTCAAGAGTACCGCACAGGATCTGACAACGCAAGAAAGGCCATGTTCGAAGACGAAGGGGACATTTAATTGGGAAGTTGATGATGATGCTGGAAGATATATTAACGAACTCCCCTTTGACACCATCTATTTGTTGATTGACGCACTGGACGAATGCAAGGGCCACGACTTACTCGCCGAGTGGATGGCCGATGTTGCGAGCAAGCCTGGCTCCAAAGCCAAGTTCATTGTATCCAGCCGCCCTTCGATGGGGCTTCGCCGAGCTTTGCACCCAAGCCAATGCCCGCACAAATTCGATTTAGAGTTGAGTGGCAGCCGCTTTGAACATGTGGTGGCTACATTCATCGAGAAAAAGGTAGATGTGCTGGCAAAGAGGTGCGAATATAGCGAGCGGCTCAAAATTTCAATCAAACAAAACTAGAGAAAAAAGCAGAGTCGACGCTTCTCTGGGTCGCGCTGGTATGCGAACGCCTGGAAGGAGTCCCTCGCATGGAAGCTGAGGCGGAGGTAGACAAAACCCCAGTCGGGTTAACGATGCTGTACGACAGAATGATGGACTTGATCGAAGACAACGAGTATGGAGACAGGTGCAGGAAGATTCTCAGTGTACTTGCGCTTGTCTGCCGCCCCATCACGCTAAATGAGCTGATAGTCCTAGGGGCAGTTTCTACGATGGCCGAGCCAAATGACCTTGTCGAATATCTTAGCGTGTGTAGCCCATTCTTGGTTACCCGCGAAGATATAATCCGGCCTGTGCACCAGTCAGCTCAGGAATACTTACAAAGCCACTACACATCGAAGCTAGCGAGAGGTGATGTTGGCGGCGGTCATGCGGACCTTGGCAAACGCTCGATCGAAGCAATGTCGTCTGTTCTGAGAAAAATATGTACGGCCTTGACTACGGCTTCAGGTCAGAGGACATGAAACCCCCGTACCGGACCCCTGACTTCTCTCGGATACTCGTGCGTCTACTGGGCCGACCATTTCTGCTTCAAGGATCCCGAGTGCAAGAAGGAACTGACGGACAATGGTTCTGTCCTAGAGTTTCTCCAAACACACTTTCTTCATTGGGTTGAGAGTTTATCCCTCCTACGACAACTCTCTGAAGGGGTCCTGGCCCTGAAAGGTTGTTGGAAGTGGTCCAAGTTTGTCTCCCACATCAGTATACATGTATCACTTGATATGATGAAGCACAGTCACTAATAGTTTCCAGTCACAACCGGATACGAGCGCCAATACCGTAAACATCCTTCAAGACGCAGCGAAATTCGTATTGTACCACAGATCAGTCATCGAGCAAGCTCCATTACAAACCTATAGTTCCGCACTGGTATTTAGTCCCACAAAGAGCATAATCAGAAGAATGTACTGGAAAGAGCGGCTGTCACTCATCAAGAATACTGCAGGTATTAGGGATGATTGGAGCCCACTACTGCACACCCTGGAGTGGAGTCAACGTAGGGTTGAGACTGTCACCTTCTCGCCTGATGGGAAGGTGCTTGCTGTAGCGTTATCAAATGGCGCTGTGAACCTCTGGGATAGGACAACAGGCGCCTGCCACCAGATACAGAAACATAAAAGCCGTGTTACCGTTATCATCTTTTCACCTGATGGGAAGCTCCTTGCTTCGGGCTCATCAGATGGTACTGTGGAGCTCTGGAATATGGTTCAGGGCCACAAACACCAAACGCTGAGGCATAGTGTTCATATTGAAGCCATCGCCTTTTCACCCGATGGGAAGATGCTCGCTTCTGTGTTAAAGGTGGCATTGTGAAGACCTGGACTACGATTTCAAAGACCTATCGCCACACACCAACTCATGATGACTCGGAAGCCACGGCTATTACCTTTTCACCTGACGGCAAGGTCTTTGCTTTAGTGTTACAAGATGGCACTGTGAAGCTACGGGATGCGGCAACAGGTGCCCACTCCCAGACGGTGAGCCATCATAGCAAGACGGTTACCGTTATCAGTTTTCACCTAGTGGAGGTGTACTTGCTCTAGGGTTATCAGATGGCACCATAGAGCTCCGGGATATGGGGACAGGCGACCACCGCCAGATACTGAGGCATGATGAGCCTGTCGCAGAGATCATCTTTTCATCCGGTGGGAAGATACTTACTTCAGTAACCAAAGATTTCACTATGCAGTGCTGGGATATGGTGGCAGGCAATGGCCGCCGAATACTGAAGCCTAATAGTATACCTATGGCTTTCGCGGTGTCGCCTAGTGGCAAGATTATACTGGGTGTGGCGGTAGATTTTGAGGATGCGGCTCTTTGGGAGATGACAGCGGACGCCTACTATCAAAGGCTAAGGACGAATGGCTGGGTTAATACTCTTACCTTTTCGCCTGATGAAAAGATACTTGCTTTAGCGTCAAGTGCTGGCACTGTTCAGGTTTGGGATATTTCGACAGACGCCAACCATGGCACGCCGACTCATGATGATCATCGGGATGCTGCTCTTACAATTTCACCTAATGGGGAGATCCTTGCTTCAAGTGACGGTGACACTACAGAACTCTGGGATATTGCGACAGGCACCCGCCAGCATAGACTGGTACATGATGGGAGGCTCTTTTGCGTTGCCTTTTCGCCAGATGCAAAGACGTTCGCTTCAGGGTCATTCAATAAACTTGTGAAGGTGTGGGATGTTGTGAGTGGCACCTGCTACCGCACGCTTTTCTGCACGCTGAGTTATGGTGTCAAGACTCTTGCCTTTTCTCCTGATGGACACCGACTTGCCGGAGCGTCACTCGGAGGCCCTGTGCAGATCTGGGATGTGGTGACAGGCGCCTGCCTTGGGGAGATGAAGTGGGGCGCATGGTCTGCAGCTCTCTGCTTCTTGCCTGACGGGAAAATCATTGCATTAGGGTCGGTGAATGGCACCGTGCAGCTCTGGGATACGGCAACAAACGCTACTGGCCCGCAGCTACAGACTGGCGGAAGCCATTTTATGTCTTGTGGAATTACGGCTCTTGCGGTTTCTCGTGATGGAAAGATATTGGCTTTCGGGTTGCGGGATGGCAGTGTGGGGGTTTGGGACATGGTGGGAGACGCATACCAGAGCAGAATGATGGTAACCACCGGTCGACGTCTTACCGCATTGTCCTTCTCGGAGAATAACCGATATCTCGAGACAAACTCGGGACTTTTGGATATAAACCCGCAAGCTGAACTTCCGGTTGCCTCAGAAAGGGGAACCCGGCCAAATACATTTTGCGCATCGAAGGAAGATGGATAACCCAGAATGGGAAGAAAATTCTTTGGATCCCCGCAACATACGAAGCGCGATCGGTCGCATTTCGTAACAACACTTTTGTGTTATCGCATAGGTACGGGATGCCAACCTTTCTATATTTCTGATATATCTTAGGATCCAATAGGCGGTTGTGGGAGGTTTACCAAGGCAGTCCTTTTACAATCCGAATATATAGCCCATAATACTAAGACTCAGTCTCCATCACCCCAGCGTGCCGTACCTATCCTAAGAGGTGATATTACACTAAGCTCATCAATATTCTAGAAGTGACCAAGCTCAGAGATGTTGATACCATTCTCCCTATTATAGAGATTGTAGGGCACACCAACAACCTGTCATTATCACAAAAGGAGAAAGAAACACTATCTATAAAGTTGTGACGACATGTATTACTGATAAGAAATGATACGTTTATTAACAGATAGCATAGATGTACATATAGGTATAGAAGATTATAAGAGTATATATACGCATTTCACTTCAGTGATGCACATCTTTACTAGTTGATATCATGAGTATCGTCAGGGAAGCATAATAATAAAAGAACAATTAAGCTAACTGCCTCAATCATGAACCACTCCAAACGCCTCGCTAGAACAAAGGAAATTAGAGAGGATATCATTATCAACAAAGGAAATGAGATAAAGAGTGTGAGGCAGTGTCTTCGCAAGGCGAAGGGACATCAAAACCATGAAGATGACAAGACACAACACAAATACAATTCCCAGAAGCAAAACCCATAAAAAGCTCTTAGAAGAAACGACTTGGAAAAGGCAAGTTTTCGGGCCAAGTCGCCTTGGCTACTTTCCGCTCGGAGTCCCCATAACCCTCTGTAGACTGTAACCAAGGCGACAGAGTCACCTGGGTTGCCTGTCCAAGATGTAGAAAAAAGGATGAAACGAAAGGAAGTCCTTCAAGAGAATGGTCCCATATTACCAGTCCCTTGAGGTCCACTTCCTTCAATTTTGGGCCTGGCTGTAGTGAGACCGTACTCTGCGATACTTGCTGCATGTCTGTGGCCAGAGGACGACCTAGAGGACGTGCTCATGCTGGCGGTAGATGGTTTATATTCGGAGAGAAGGGGGAAGGGAGATCCCAATCGCGCTGAGTGCGGCCACCCGAGCCTGCAAAGTGCGCCGTGCTCGCCCTGGCGGGCGGGTTGAACGGCTTGTGTCGTTTGAGAGGGGCGCCAACACCAGGAGACCCAACACGAGGTGAATTGATGACGGACCCTCTGCGACTGGCTCCGGATGTCGAAGCTGGTGCGGCGTTGGAGTCTAGTGCCCAAAAGCTCTGACTGCGTGGCGTAGAGGTTGTTTCCCTTGAAGCGGCCTTTCGATCGGCTAGGACACGAGCAGTCAGAAGCATCTGCGCCTGCTTTGTGGGGTTCTCAAGGATGTCCTCCATATCAAGAATAATTCCATGGTAAGCATATTCTTGAAGAAAACGAACGGGGGCGATCTCGTCACCCCAGAGCTCGAAGTAGGGAGCGTCCCAGGGAACAGATTCCTCGATATGCGGAAGAACGTCGCTCCACACTTGCTCGACAAGGGAGGACTTGATCGGGATGAGTGGCTCGTGGTCGCGAGCGAGGAGCTCCCACAGGTGGCGGTTGCTAGCGGAATCCGCCTGACCGAAGACGTTGAGGACGGCGCAGAGGCGGTCGAGCAAGGTCTCGGCAATGTCGGGAGAGACGACCGAGCTGCACGAGCCAATCTCTACCTTGAAGCAGTCCTCGAGCGGGGTGGTCTGAACCCAGAGGTCAGAGGAGTCGTAGGCGGGGCCTAGAACACCCATCTCGCACTTGAGGTCGCTGCCAAGCTGGAACTCTTGGGCGCCGTTGCGGCCGAGGTTTTGGTGCTGGACGACGGAGCTGAAGCGCGTCCAGGAGGGCCAGCTCGTGCAGTCCTTGATGAGACGACGGAAGCCTAGGCTTTCGTGAGGCATAGCCGCAAGCTGTTGCTCCTGGACCAGTGCGAGGAGGTCGAGGATGCTATCCATCTCGTTGAGCTTGACGCGGACGGGAATCATATTGATGCACGGTCCAGCCACATCCTGAATCCCTGCACGGGCACGTTGCGCCCAAAGATCAGGTTGCCGAACACGACGTCGCGCTGGCCCGACATCTTGGCGAGGACGAGCGCCCACGCGGCTTTGACGAGCGTGGCCTGAGACATGCCGGCCACGTTGGAGGGGATGGGAGGGATGGTCCGCGTGCGGATGGTGTCGACATTGTGCTTGTAGGCCGGGCCCGGGTGCTGCACGATTTCGGTCATGGACGAGCCGTTGAGGAGATTGCGCCAGAAGGCCGTGGCGGCGCCCGCGCGCTGCGTGGACGCCATGATGAACTTGCCGAATTCGGGCCGCTCGAGCGGCTCGAGCCCGGTGAAGCATTTCTCGAGATCCTGGTAGAGGAGAGGAAGGCTCATGCCGTCGTACTGGGCATGGGAGGCGCGCATGACAAGGACGTAGTGGCCGTCGGTGTGCAGGAGGAGCTTGAAGCGCACGATGGACTGGCTGAGGTAGGTGGTGCGGTGGGTGTCCTCCTCGACGAGCCAGCGGATGAAGGCGTCGTCGGCGCGGTGCTCGCGGCCGTAGCGCTGGAACTCGATTTGGTAGGATCGCAGGACGACCTGCATGACCTGGCTGCCGATGGTGGTGAAGAGGGTGCGCAGGATCGGGTTGGCGGCGACCATCTTTCGGCAGGCCTGCTCGAGGCGGAAGGTGTCGAGGTTGCCGTGGAGGCGGAAGAGGAAGTAGTTGGTGTTGCCGCGGCTCCGCATGAGGCCGTGGCTGACGGCCCAGGCCTGGTAGTCGGTGGCGGGGTAGACGTCCTCGACGTCGCCGGGGAAGACGGAGAGTTGTCGGCACACGGAGTCGACCACGTCTTCGCGGTCGAGGTGGAGGTGGTCGAGCACGGCGAAGGGCTCGTAGGCGATGGCGGCGGCGGCGGAGGCGTCGTTGAGCGCGCCCGTGGTTGGGTCGGAGACGATGGCGTTGGTCTTGGAGGCGAACTCGGAGAAGGCGGCGAGGGTCGGGTGGTGGAAGATGTCGGCGACGGTGATCTTGATCTGTTTCTGGTCGGCGGCGGTCACCATGCGCATGGCGCCGATGGAGTCGCCGCCGAGCTGGAAGAAGTTGTCCTCGGGCTGGAAGTCCTGGGGGTCGAGGTTGAGGATCTCGCCCCAGAGCGCGCGGATCTCGTTCTCGAGGTTGGCGGGGGCAGGACCATGTCTTCCGAGTCGGTTTCGCTTAGGACCTGAGGCGACATCTCGAGAGGGATGTTGGCGAGTTGCTGGCCCAGCATGTTCATGACGCTGGCCTTGAGCTCTTCTTTGTTGACGACGCCGAGTTCGCCGCCGGCGTTCAATCCGACTTCGCCGACGAGGTTGAATTTGCCGGAGCAGAGCTGCTCGAGGACCAGGGCGAAGTGGTCGAGCATCATGTTCATCTCGCCTCGGCTGATGAGGCGGTCATCGTGGCAAATTGAGGCTTTGAGCTCCTTGTCTCCGATGATGAACTGGATAGAGATCGGATAATCGATGGCGGCTGAGGATGGCCCCTCGATAGGCGTGATGCCAAGGGATGGCTTGGGAAGAGCCTCGGACGCGCGCGCCATGGTGACGAGGCAGGAGAAGCTGCAGGCGGTCTCGGCATCGGCGCTCATGCGACGGATGTTCTGGAGACCCTCCTGCTGGTAAGGAATCATGTCGACCATGCTTTCCTGAACAGCCGAGAGAACGCTGCTGAGGCTGTCGGTATCCTTGAGGCGGAAGTGCACGGGGACGGTGGTGATGAGCGGGCCGTCGACATCGGAGATGCCGTCTTGGGAATCGCTGCGGCCGCTGAGGGTTTCGCCAAAGACCACGCCCGAGCTCGAGGCACGTCGAGCCAAGGCAATAGCCCACGAGGCGCGAATAAGTGTCGATAGCGTGTATCCGTTGGATTGGACGACTGGAAGGGGCAATTCGCCCTCGAAAGTAGAGTCGGCGGAGGGCACGTATGCGGTAGGGACGGACACGCAGGGAGTCAGGTTCTGGGCTCCGGCGAGGTAGCCGGTCCAGAATTGGCGGGAGGCCTCGCCCTTGTTGTCCTCGAGGTACTTGATGAATTCGCGGAAGGGCGTGACGGAGGGCATGGCGCCGCCTGTGTAGGCTGCCTCGACGCGGTCGAGGAGAAGACGGAGGGAAACCGCGTCGTAGGCGGCGTGATGCATGGTGAGGACGAGATACCGGGAGGTATCGCATTCCTCGATTAGGGTAAATTGCGCAAGTGGCCCACCGAGGCGAGGAACAGGGTGGTTTGCGAGATACTTGTCGAGCGAGTTGCCGTGGGTCCAGGCCAAGGGCTGGCTGACAACGGCTTGGTAGAGTCCAGACCTCTTGCCCTCGGACTTTGTGACGAGAGAGAGCTGCAGGACGCGAGTCCTCAGGATGGCGCTGGATCCATAGACAGCCTCCCAGGCCTTTTGGTACTTGGGCAAGTTAAGCTCGGGAGACAATTTGTAGCAGTGGCGTGCGATGTACGAGCCGGGCTGCTTCATGGAGAGGACGAAGAGACCCTCTTGGAGGGGGTGCAAGGGTAGACATCCTCGATTTCGTTGGCGGCGATGGCGCACTGGCGGGACACCTCGGCACGTGCCGCGGCAGTCCATTCGACCATGCTGAAGGCAGCGGTTGACTGAGTCTTCAGGTTGGTTTGGGCGTTGCTACCGCTTGTGGTGGAGGAGGCGATCTTGCTTGCCATGTCACATAACTTGGGTGACTTCATGACGGTGGCGACGTTGAGGGCGACGCCCGCAGACCTCGCCTCGGTCACCAACTTCATGGCGGTGTAGGAGTCGCCGCCGATATTGAAGAAGCTATCCTCGGCGAGGACCTGCTCGATGTCGGACCTCAGAACCTTCTTCCACAGAGAAGCGAGGAGAATCTCCGTCTCGGTTTCTGGCGTGCGTCCGGCTCGCTTCTCGCGCCTGGTCTGGAGGTTGGCGCCGAGGGACTTGATCTTCTTGCGGTCAACCTTTCCAGAGGGCATGAGAGGCATCTCTTCCAGGTGAACGATGCTGGTCGGGACCATGTAGGCGGGGATCTTTTGACCCATCATCTTCTGGATCTCGGACACGTCGAGCTTGGCGCGGGTCGGGTCCTCGCCGGCGAAGAACAGGGCCACCCTGGGGCCTAGACCCTTGGGTTGGATAATTTCGGCCACGGAGGATTGGCTCCAGGGGACGACGTCCTTGAAGGCTTGCTCAATGTCGCCTAGTTCAAGTCGCTGACCCCTGATCTTGGCCTGCGTATCCTTGCGTCCGATGTACTGGAAAGTGCCGTCGGCATTCTGGTAGACAAGGTCACCAGTCTTGTACAGGCGCCTGCCGCGACCAGGCGAGGCCCACTCGGGGTTAGAAATGAAAGCCTCCCGGGTCTTGACCTCTTCGTCGAGGTAGTGACGTGCGAGGATATGTCCCTCGATGAGAAGCTCGCCGACAGCGCCGACGCGGGAAAGGCGGTGGTGGTTGCGGGGATGCACGACCCAGTAGCAGCAGGACACAGCGCGTCCGATGCACTTGGGGCTCGACTGCAAGTTGAGTCGGGGGTTGGCGGCGCTGCCCACACAGCACTCGCTGGGACCGAAGGCATTGACAAGGCGGACCTTTTCGGCCCATTTGCTGATGTGGGATACTGTCATGGGCTCACCGCAAAGAGCGAGCGTTGACAGGGTGGGAACGTCATCGGGGCTCATGAGAGAGGCAACCGTAGGTGTGATGACGGCGAATGAGACGCGGGCTCTGTTGATGAAGGACGCGATCTGGTTGGATCGCTCCTTGTCGGTGGGCACGCACACTGTGGCGCCGACCATGAGAGAGCCGAGGATCTCGAGGATGCTGGCGTCGAAGCTGTAAGATGCGAACTGCAGGACCCTGCTGCCGGGAAGCTGGCCGATTTCTTGATGGTAGCCCTGGGTCGCGGTGCAGAAAGACCTGTGCTCGGTGACGGAGCCCTTGGGAGTTCCGGTGGAGCCGCTGGTGAAAACGATGTAGGCGGCGTCGCAAGGGGATCGGACCCTGGGCCTCATCATAGCGGAGGTAGGCGTGACGGGGTTGGAGAATCGGTGGTTGAACATGTCCTTGGATACCGCGACCGTCTTGATGCCGAGGGAAGTCGAGCACATGTCGGCCTGGGTAGGCGAGGCAAGGATGAGCCTCGCCTTGACGGTGCCGACAATTTGACGGAGGCGTTCGACGGGATGAGAAGGATCGATGAGCACGAGAGTTCCGCCGGCCTTGAGGACAGCGATCATGGCAACGGCGACCCAGATGGACTTTTCGAAGCAGAGGGGACAATCTCTTCTCGCTGGACGTTCTTCAGGAACTCGTTGGCGAGTTTGGTGGAGAAGAGATCGAGCTCTCGGAAAGTCATGATTTCCTCCGTTGACCATAGAGCTTCACGGTTGGGGTTCTTGGCAACCTGGCTGGCAATCATATCCTCCATTCTCATCTCCAAAGCGGGAGGGAGCTGAGCGTTCCAGGACCACAGAGTAGAGAGATCCTTTTCTGAGACCATGTGTAGCTCGACAGGAAGGATGTGCGGTTGATCGAGGATCTGGGAAAGGACCGAGGCAAAGGTAGCAGCGATCTCACTAGCGCGGGTCTCAGATACCTTGTTGGCCCAGTAGTTCATGTGGACATGCATAACTTGACCGTCGTCAATGGCGTGGACGACGATATCGAACTCGGTGGGGTCTTCGCCTCCGAGAGCGCGGAAAGCCACTGGAGCCGATGGCTGGGGCCCGCTGCTGACGATCTTTGCATCGTCATACCAGTATTGAAAAGAGTGCTGGTGCCCAGCTCGTGCATCACCTCGGCGAGAGATGCTGTCTGGTGGGCAATGTTATCGACGAAGCTATTGTGAACGGCGGTAGCAATGTCCGCGATTGTCTTGTCGTGAGGGAGATCGACCTTGGAGGTAAGGATGTTGACAAATGGACCAACAATGTCCTGGATGTTGCTGACGGGGAGATCCCTGCCGGATGTGACGACGCCAAAGCAGCAGTCATCCCGGTCTGGGTTGATGTATTCGCGTAGGGTCAAGGCCCAAGTGACCTGGAGAAGCGTGAAAGCAGACACCCCAAGCTCGCGAGCGACACTGATAAGGCGGGGGTGAGTTCCGAAATCCAGGGGGACGTCGGCCTTCAAGAGAGACTTGGGAACATCAGCGGACTCATCGCTCGGTAGGAAGCATGAGTCGATGCCTTCCAGGGATTTCTTCCAGTAATCGATGTCCGAGGGCCCATCCCGCGATTTGAGATAGGTAATGTAGTCTCCATAGCGCGGCTCCTGCGTATCAACCAGGCGTGACTCGCAAGCAAGGGCAAAGTCCCGGAGGATGATGCCCATTGAGCTTCCATCGACGATTGCGTGGCTCAAGAGGAAGCTGCAGAAGACGCGTCCGGTTTGCGCTTGTGTAGCGATGAGCAGCTGGTGCTGGGGCTTCTGGAAGGATTGAAGCTCTTGGGAGACCGCGGCGATCTTGACCTGCTGAAGGAGTTCTGTCTCAGAACCATGGGCGGGGACGGTGGTTTCAAGGATCTCGGGCTCGTAGACGCGAAGAACGAGTTGATCATAGAGACCATCGGTAGAGTTTTGCTCAATGAAGATGGTCCTGAGCGCGGGGTGGCGCTTCACTACGGCGTTCCATGAGCTCACAAGCTGTTGGGTCGAGATGGTCTGAGCGGCGGAGTTGGAGCAAACTTCGTAGACCGACCTGAACCAGTACATTTCCGGATCCTTGGTTTGGGTGAGAAGCATCCCCTGCTGAGAGGGCGAGCAAGGGTAGATGTCAAAGATATTGGCTTCAGAAATGTCTAGCTCCTTCAAGGTAGTGGTCGGAGAGCGGCCAAGTCGTAGGTTTCGGGAAGGTGCTCGAAGTCGCCAACAGTTCGCTCGGCCTCGCGGGAGCTGAGAGCCTGCGCCGCCTGCTCGAGCGAAGCCTGGCAGTGGACGACCCAGGCCTCGAGTTCGGTGGAGCGGCTAATCTTGCTGTTGTAGCTAAAGGTGAAGACGAGCTGCTCGTTCTCAATCTCGGCTGCGATGTCGATGAGCGAGAACTTCTTTTGGACCTCGCTCACTTCGCAAGGGTCGACGTTGATGTTTCGCCATTGAACCTGGTTGAGAAGAGCACCAGGCTTCTCCAGTTGCTGGAAGGAGCCGAAGTAATTGAAAGACACATCGACTTGGAAAGGTCGACGCTCAAAGTCAAGTGAAGTGAAGTAAGGGAAGCCCTTTTGGGGAATCTTCCTTCGGACATCCTTCACACGCTTGACAAAGCTGACGACATCACCATCACACTGCTGTTGGCTCACCCAGACGGGGCTAATGGTGGTGAACCAGCCTACCGTTCGAGACAGATCGATGGAGTCATCCCAAGGCTCGCGGCCGTGGCCCTCGTTGTAGATCGCGGGGATCTCGCGGCTAGGGAATGCCTTGGTGAATGAGTGCATGACAGCGGAGATGAAAAGGTCGATTGCCTCAGTTCCGAAAGCGACGTTGCAAGGGCCTACAAGAGACTGCGACACGGACTTTTCCATGGTGAAGCTGCGGTGCACGAAGTCGGTCGCGAGGTTGGGCTTGCCGGCCATACCCCAGAAGTCGTAATCGGCTGCGGGAGGGTTGAAAGGAAGGAGTTCGTCCTTCAGCGACTTGCGGTAGGAGGTTAGGGCATTGCACCATTTCTGGAAAGAAAGGCTGCGGTAGCTTGAAAGCGAACCCTGTACGAGGAAGTCCTCGAGATCCTTCAATACAATTCTCCAGGAGACGAGATCAATGACCATGTGGTGCGCGGTGAGGAAAATGTACTGCTCTTGGCCAATCTCGAGGAGGTCACCAGCGAATACGGGCCCGTCGACCAGATCGAGAGACTTTTGCGTCTCCTCAATGCGAGAGGTAGCGTCCGCAAAACCGGAGGCCGAAGAGGCGTTGAAGATATAGGAATCAGCCACCTCAGGTTCGATCCACTGCTTGTAGGTCCTGCCAAGCTTTTGGAAGCGGGCCCTGAGCATTGCGTGGCGTCGAACGATGGCATCGAGGGCTGCACTAATTTCTCCGAGAGCAAGTCGCTTCTTGTCAGTCGAAACCTTGAGGAGGAAGCTCTGGTTGAAATGGTTCTCTCCGGGAGCCAGCTTGGCGAACATGCGCTGGATAGGAGATAGTCCAAAGAGGACGATGTCCTCGGAACCGTCGTCGTCATTTTCCGAAGGCGAGGCGCCACCGGAGCCGGCGATCGGCATGGCGCTATCGAAAGCGGCGGCAAGTGCAACGACTGATGTGGCCTTGAGGAGGTTCTCGATAGCGAGAGGGATGCCCTTGCTGCGGCTTTGAGCGACCACCTCCATGGCGCTGATGGAGTCGCCGCCGACGCGGATGAATGAGCCCGAGTTGGGGTTGATGCGCGATTCAGGGACATTGAGAACCGAACTCCAGATGGCTAGGAGGGTGGTGGCGACAGGCGTGAGACTTTCTCGAGTGGCGGTATTCGCAGCACCAGACGTGCTAATGTCGGTCGATCGCTGATAGGTCTCGTCATTCATCGCGTGGATACAGCTGGTGATGAAGCGACGATCAGCCTTTCCAGAGGGCATGAGAGGGAGCTCATCCGTGACAAGCCAAGACGAGGGAACCATGTAGGATGGAAGGTTCTCTGCCACAGCCTGGCAGATAGAGACTACCTTGGCCATCACTTCCTCGCCAGCGATAATCCGAAGACCCTTGGCGGCGCCGGCAGTGGGAAGGATGGTGGAGGTAGCGGCGGTCTGCGATGCCTCAAGGTTCTTGAGCGTAATCACAGCAACAAGCTTCTTCACACAAAGCCCCTCCTTGGGCAGGAATACGGCGCACTGTTGAACATCGGGGCACCTGGTAACTTGCTGCTCGATATCTCCGAGCTCCAGACGCTGGCCACGAAGCTTAACTTGATTGTCGCGGCGACCCATGTATTCAAGGGAGCCGTCTTCTTGGTACCTCACAAGATCGCCAGTTCGGTACACCATGGCGTTGTTGCTTGCCCAAGTAGGCTTGACAAATGATGCGGCGGTCTTTGCTTCGTCGTCGAGATAGCCCTGGGAAACGATTGGGCCCTGGATAAGGAGCTCGCCAATGGCGCCAATAGGCACAAGGTTGTTGGGATCGCTCGGATCCGTGACCCATGAGACGCTACCCACCGTCTTCCCAATGAGGTTCTTTCCGGGAACAAGGTCACGCGAGTCAATGCCGCTGCAGTAGACGCAGCACTCGGTGGGACCGTAGACGACATCGACGCGGCGGGTGTCGGACCTCCATCTTTGCAGAAGCTGCTGAGGCACGACCTCCCCACCGACAAGCAAGCGCTGTAGGGAGGGAACCCTTGCTGGGTCGAGAAGAGTAAGGAAAGAAGGCGTCAGGAAAATATGATTAACCTGTTCAACCTGGATGAACTGCATGAGCTGCTCAGGATCCATCTTCTGGGCATCCGATGGGACGCACACGCATCCTCCCAGAATAAGGGTAGTGAGGATCTCCGCAATACAGGCATCAAAGGCGTAGGAGGCAAACTGCAGAGATCGGCACTCGGTGTAGCCAAATGCTTTACCATGCTTGGTTGTGCTGGTGCAAAGCGCCTCGTGGTGGATCAAAACACCCTTGGGCGTGCCCGTGCTGCCACTGGTGAACAGGCAGTATGCGAGATTGCTGGGATCGCGGGCTCGGCGCTGGCGACCTAGGCGAGATCCAGACGTGTTCTTCATCCTTTGCATAGATTCGGATCCAACCTCAAGATGCTCGAGGCCGAGATCGATGGCCAGGGCCTTGGAGGTCGCGGCATGCTTGACGGAGGAAATGATGAGGGGGCGCGCACGGATTTAGAGATGTGTGCCTTGCGCTCAGTGGGGTGGTCGGGGTCAAGGGGGACGAAAGCTGCTCCGGACTTCATGATACCGAGCATGACCACAATTGTCCAAGCACTCTTCTCAAAACAGAAGGGAATAAGCGTGTTGGGAGCGAGGGCATAGTTCGATGTTAGGTAGTGGGCGAGGTCGTCAGAGTATCTGCTGAGCTCTGCGTAGGTCAGAGAGAGGTCCCAGCCGGAAACCGCAATGGAGTTGGCCTTTGTGTGGACGTTTAGGTCAATCAACTCATCGCAGATGGCAACGACGGGCTCCGCGTCTGCCATGCTGTTCCAGTTTACTACCTGCTGGTAGTCCGCAGGAGTAATGAGACTGATGGATCCAGTACTCTGCGAGAGAGAGTCGAGGATTCGGTCGATCGCATGGTTAAAGGCTTCGCTCAGGCGGTTTGCCTGCTGCTGGTTGATGACCTGGGTGTTGTACGTGAGGCTAATATCGACAAATGTGCTAGCGTCTCCAATGTTTAGGACAATGTCGAACTAGATAAGGTTAGATTGTACATCAGACTTTCGGGGTGTTAGGCGTGCAGCTTACCTCGCTGGGGTCTTGGACGTGAACAGGCTCAAAGTCGACAGTGGCGGTGCTGGCGCCGGGGGAAGAAGTCGCTGGACAGACATTACGGTGTTGAAAAGGCGGCTGTCTCCGAGCTGGAGGCTGCGAAGCATCTCAGAGAGAGAGCAAATCTGGTGGGAAAGGCAGTTGGCATAGTCCAGGTTAGCAGTCTTTAGAGCGGAAGCCACATTATCGGCACGGTTTTCCAGGGACACTTTGCAAATGAGCATGTTGATGTAGGGTCCAATGGAGTCTTCAATCCCTTGGATGGGAAGGTCACGACCGGAGGCGAGATACCCAAAGCTGGGCGTGTTGTTGCCGGTATAAGCCTGCAGAAGCAAAGCCCATGCAAGCTTGAACACGCTGGCGGCGGTGATCTCGAACTCGGCGCAGGCGGTGTGAAGACGGTCGGGGTCGGGTACTTGAAGTCAAGGTAGGCGAGCTTTTCAGAAGCAGACTTGCCAGCAGCGCTGGGGTCGGAATGCACGGACGGGAAGATGCAAGGCTCGCATTCGCCCAAGTATGTCGTCCAGAAGCTACGGGCCTCTTCCAGATCCTGGGATTGAAGATAGGAAATGTAATCGGCATAGCAATCCGTCTTCAACGAAGAGGGTGAGGCGCTGTCATAGGCTGAAATCAAGCTGCTCAAGAGGAGGTTGACAGAAGTGCCATCGATGAGAGTATGGCTGATGTCAAGCTGGACCATCAACTTTCCTGAAGGTGTTTGATGAAGGGTGACATGGTGGGGAGGGCCACTCCTGATATGATCCGAAGGCTGTCCGGCAGGGAAGGCCGCGCTATCTGTGCAGATAGAAATCGAAGGAGTAAACTCCTTGAGAACTACCTGGTTAAAAATAGTCTTTTGGGCCCCGGAAGAGCCATATCCCTGGATAAACGACGTGCGTAGCATTGGGTGCTGCTGAACAATTTGCTTCCACGCCGCAGCCATCCGCTCCACCGAGGGTGTTTGGGTGGCGGATTTCGGAATAACTTCCCAAACGTACCGCACCGCATAGAGGGTGGGGTCTACCGCCTGGCTGACGAGTAGGGCGGTTTGCATGGGAGAGCAAGGATAAATATTCTGTACGTTGTTAACGGTGATGCCGGCGTCGCGAAGGCCAACGTTGAGAAGAAGCTCAAGATCGGCGTGGGAAAGAGACAGCTGTGGGAAGTCGCAGAGAGTAAAGAGGATTCCTTCTTCTCAGAGGTTGTCCTGATCAAGCTGTTGAGGACCTCCTGGCAAGAATCAATCCACTGGTTGACGAGATTCTTGTGGTTGATCTTGTCGCAGTAAGCAAAGTTGACAGTCATAGTACCATTTTCGATGCCGGCAGAGACATCAAAGACGGAGAATCGAGGAACATCGGCGCCGGAGTCTAGGGGCTGCGACACAGGCGACCAGCTCATCCAGTTGAAGAGGGCGTCTTCTTTCTCAAGCTGCTGATAGAGACCGAAGTAGTTGAAGGTGACCTCGACGGGAGAGGCAGTGTTCTGGGCGAATGAGGAAAAGAATTGCAAGCCGTTCCCGGGAATCTGACGGCGCGAGTCCTTTACGTGAGCCAAGCAGCGGAGAATGTCGCCAGTGACTTCGTCCTTTTCCATGAGAATCGGACACATGGAAGTGAACCAGCCAACGGTAGAGGACAGGTCAATATCGGCTCGCCAGGGCTCTCGTCCGTGGCCCTCATTGAAGACGGCGATGGGCGATCGAAGAGTAGCAAAAACGGTGTTGAGCGATCGCGTAACCGCGGTAAGTAGGATATCAAGCGGTTCCGTGTTGAAAGCGTCGTTGCACTGGTTCAGAAGGAGCTGGGTCGCAACCGAGTCCAAGGTGAAACTGTGTTCCACAACGTTGGCCGCAATATTATCCTTGCTAGTGATACCCCAGAAGTCGATATCAGACTGGACAGTAGTCTCCTTGCCATGAGAGGTGGAATGTTCGGCGAGAAGTTTTGTCCATGTTCGGAAAGATAGCGGGGCACGGTTGCTCACCAGCTGCCCTTGCAGGAGGACCTCCTCGAGCTCCTGGAGAATAATCCTCCAAGAGACAAGATCGACAGCAAGATGGTGGCACGTGATAAACAAAGCGGAGGAACCATCTACCATCTCGTACAAGTCGGCGGCCACAAGCGGCCCGTTGACAATGTCGAGGCTAGCCTGCGCGTTAAACCCGTAGGAAGAAGCCTTCTTCATGGTGACGGAAGAGAACTTGCGGCATTGAAGCGACCCCTTGGCGTCGGCGCTGCAATATTGTTGCCACTTGCCGTTGGTCTTGCTGAACCTGGAACGAAGCATCGGGTGGCGCTCAATGATTTTCAGAAGTGCGTTCGTAAGGTCCTGGACCTTGATGCTGCGGGTGAGTTGGAGCAGATGGCTCTGGTTGAAGTGGTTTTCTCCCTCAGGGCAGAGAGCCATAAACCAGGATTGAATCGGGGAAAGGTCGAAAGGCTCTTCAGTGTCCTTGTCATCCAGGAGAGGGCTCGATGCCGCCTGGGAAGTTGAGGCACTTGCGCGATGGCAGAAATCTGCCAAGGTCCTGGACTTGAGAAGGTCTTGGACCGTGACATGGATGCCATTGTCGCGGCAGCGAGAGACAATCTGCATGGCGGAAATAGAATCGCCACCAAGTCGAAGGAACGAAGAATTCGAGCCGATAATGGTCATGCTGACGTTGAGAACGGTGCTCCAGAGAGAGCGAACCTTCTCTTCTAGCGAGTTACTAACGACCTGGGAAACCTCAGTGACCTGGCCGGTTGATAGGCTCGCGATGCAGTCGTAGGTTGACCTATCCAATTGCTTCACCCACTCCGTGACCTGCTTCCTGTTGACCTTTTGGGAGGCAGGCATCAAAGGAATGGACTCGAGAACAATCCACAGCGAGGGAACCATGTAGGTTGGGACCTTGTCTGCAAGGCGGTCCTGGACCTCGGCGGTGGATGTCCAGACGGCGGAAGGTGCAAGGTTGATGTCGGTGGAGGAAGCGGGTTTGGAGCCTTCGACAGCAGCGCTGTTCTTCATGGCCAGGATACCCACGAGGTGATCCGCACAGGGGCCGGTGCGGGGATACAGGACGAGGGCCTGATGAACACCCTCATCTTTTCGAAGGTGATACTCGATGTCGGGGAGTTCGACTCGTTGGCCACGGATCTTGACCTGATCATCTCGTCGCCCGAGGCAGCTGATTGTTCCGTCCGTGTTCACACAGCCGAGGTCACCGGTATAGTAGATCCTCTGGCTGCGTCCGGCTGCCCAATCTGCGGGCATGGGGCGGAAGGAATTCTTGGTCTTTTCAGGATCCTTGAGGTACCCGCGGGCCAAGATGCTTCCTTCAACCACGATCTCACCGACGGCACCAATCGGGGCAAGACGGTCTGGTCGACCCAGATCAGCTACCCACATCATGCCACCAATGGAATGGCCGATGCTTCCATCGATCTGGGGGCCCTGCACACTGTTCTTGGCGCAGTAGATGCAGCTTTCGGCGGGACCATACGTGACGATGAGCTCAAGGCCCGGTCGCCCGGACCAGCGCTCGATGTTGTCCTTTCCAGGAGCCTCGCCACCAAGCACGATAGTTTGGAGGCCAGGAATTGTGGCGGGGTCGAGCAGGCGGGCGAAGGATGGGGCGAAGAAGGCCCAGTTGACCTTCTTGTCGTTGATGAAGCCCGTGATCCCATTCATGCGCGTAAAATCGTCGGGGATGCACATACAGCCGCCGTACATGAGAGTGGTGAGGAGCTCCGACACACTCACGTCGAATGTGTGCGAAGAAAATTGGAGAACGCGTGTGGTGGTGGAGTAATTGAAGGCCACGCCATGTTCCCTCATGCTAGAGCATAGAGCGGCGTGTTCCCACACAACGCCCTTGGGTGTGCCAGTGCTGCCGCTTGTGAAGATTGCGTAGCAGGCGGAGGCAGGAGTGGGCTTGGGAGCCTTTGTCGAACGCGAATGGAAACGCTCCATGGCGTTCTGGGAGACTTCCACGAATTGCGACACACCCGGGATGCTCTCGAGGAGGCGGGAGTGAGTAGCGGAGGTGAGGATGATCTTGGCCTCGAGCGTATCGATGATGCTCTGCAATCTGTCGAGGGGTTGAGCAGGGTCTAGGGGAACGCAAGCTCCACCAGCTTTGAGAATGCCGAGAAGAGATACCGGTACCCACTTGGACTTTTCGAAGCAGAAAGGCACAAATGTGTCAGGTCGAAGGCCCAGTGAGCTGAGGTGGTATGAGACCCTAGTGGAAAGCTGGTCGAGCTGCTGATAAGTGAGATCCCCATCCCAGGCCGAAACCGCGATTGCGTGAGGGGTCGCGCGAGCTTGGCGAGTGAACATGTCGTGCACCAACTCGCTAACCTTGGGTGGAAGGTCGCGCGTGATGGTAGAGAGCTCAGCTTTGTCACCCGGGCTCATGGTGTCGATGTCGCCGACGCGAGCGCCCTGGCGGCTGATGCAGAGTTGGTTAAGGATGTGCTCAAAGGTAGACAAGATCCGATGGACCTGGGTCTTGTCCATGAGAGACGAGTCGTAGGAAGCTGTGAGGCGCATCTCAGACCCGGCAGGCTGGCATTCGAGAGTGAGGGCGGTGGTGAGGAAGTCGGAGTCAAATCTCTCGTTGCTCCAGGCGAATGGAGAAGAAGAGTCGCTTGTTGGGCCGGATTCGGCGTGGATGACTAGGAGACTTTGGAAGTTGCAGGCTGCGGGAGCGGAGGGAGCGGCTTTGCGGATGTTCTGAAGACCGTACTGCTCAAACTCAAGCATGGACATGGCCTGGAGTTGGACTTTGGAGAGAAGTTGGTCAATCTTCAGTTCATGGTCGAGAACGATGCGGAAAGGAACCGTGGCCAGAGTCGGCCCGACGAGGCCAAAAACGCCATCCACAGGCACACTGCGACCTGTACCGGCCGATCCGAAGACGACGTCAGTATGGGAGCCAGTGTAGGCGGAGATGAGGAGTGCCCACGCTGTTCGGATGAGTGTGGCTGAGGTGGCGGTAGACCGGGCGTTGCGACGGAAGAAGATGGACTTTTCCACCATCGCGTCAGCCAATCCCTCATATGACGTCGGCTGGCGCGGGGAAACTGAGCAGGATCAACGCCTTCAAGCTGCTCGCGCCAGAACTTGAGGGCTTCTTCCTTGTCGACGCTCGAGGTGTAGTCCACAAAGTCTCGGAAGGTGACCTGCTGGGGAGCGGCCGCGGACCCAGACTGAGCGCCCTTTCTCACAGACACATATGCCTTGTGAATAGCGTCCGCCAACAGTGCCATGGACCAACCGTCGTATACGGAGTGGTGAGCTGTGAAAACAAAGCGCGTGGGGCCAGTAAGGATGGCTTGTCGGTTGAGCGCAGTTCCAAAGCCCATCCGCTGTGTCTGGGTTTCCTTGACATAGACCTGGAGGTCTTTGGTCGATGGCTCGGCCCAAGACAAGGTAGAAGGCCTGAAGACGATCTGCTTGCCGGACGGGACAATGCGAGTGCGAAGGATAGTGTTCTCCCTCACAACTATCTCCCAAGCTCGTCGGAACATGGCAACGTCGATGCGAGGCGATAGCTCCATGACATGGTGAGCGATATAGGCGGTGGGGTTCTTTTCCGTCAACATCAGCATGCCCTCCTGAAGAGCTGTGCAAGGGTAGATATCCTCGATCTGTTCCACAGCGATGCCACACTGGGTAGCAATGTCGGAAAGTTCGGCCGGGGGCATAGCAGCGACGCTGGCGCTCACCGGGCCCATGGGAGCTACCTCAACCACCGGCTCGGGGTCGGCGGCCTTGAAACAGGCAGCGCACAAGCGAGCAATGGTAGGGTTCTCGAAAATGTTGGCAACTCGCATCTCCATGCCGCGCGACCTCGCATTAGCAACGAGCTTGATGGCACTGATGGAGTCGCCGCCAAGAGTAACAAAGTGGTCATCGATGCCAATCTCGGAGGACGAAAGGCCCAGAACAGAGGTCCAGATCTCAAGCATCGTCACCTCGGTAGCGTTTGTGGGCGCCCTCTTCTCCGTGGCTTGGTTGACCTTGAATCGATTGAGTTGTTCATGCGTGAGCTCCGAGACGGCGAGCCTCAGGGCCTTGCGGGCAATCTTTCCAGAGACCAGCTTGGGCACGCGCTGAAGAGGGATGAAGAGGGTGGGAATCATGTGGGTGGGCAGAGAACCGGATACCTGCGAACGAAGGTTAGCGCTGAAGCTTGAAATGTCAAGAGAGCTGAAAATTCCAGCAACGTCAGTAGAAGTAGCCTGAGTTAGCCTATCAGGGAGGAAAAGGAAAGCCGCGAGGGTGGCATCGCGGTTGGTGGAGGAGGCGGGAAGGATGTCTACGGCGAGTTCGGCCGGCTCCTGGATGGCAGCCCTCAGAGCACTCTCGACCGCCGTTACCTCGATCCTTTGACCGCGGAGTTTGATTTGTGTGTCTCGCCTGCCCATGAAGTCGATGGACCCGTCAACACTGAGACGGGCAAGGTCACCAGTCCTATACATGCGTACGGGCTGCTTGCTAGAGTCTCCTCCATTGGCGCCCCAAGGGACGATGTCGGGGAAGGCCTTCTTGGTTAGTTCGGCGTTGCCGAGATATCCTCTGGCCACGTTGGGGCCCTCGAAGACAATCTCGCCAATGCATCCGGTCGGGGCGAGCTTGTGGGGTTATTGGGCTCGCAAACCCAGATGCGCGCGCCGTTTCCGCGGCCCAGGTTGGTGAGAGGGAGGCTCGCGGACACGGGAACGGCGGTGCCAAGGTTGGAAACCTCGGCCGGGCCGTAAACATTCACAAGAGGAACGCCCGCCCAGATGTCCTTGCACACCTGGCTCAACTGCTCACCGCCGACAGAGAGCCATGTCATGCTGGGGCACTCAGCAGGGAGATGAGAGCGGCAACTGTGGGGGTAAGCCACGCTCGGTTGGCGCCGAGGGCGTTGATGGCACGAGCAAGATTGTTCATGCGGTCGTCATCAGACGGAACGCAGAGACAAGCGCCATGGTAGATTGAGATGGCGAGATCACCAATGCTTACGTCAAAGACGTGGGCGGCGAATTGGAGTATTCTCGAGGACTTGTCAATGTTCATGGCCTCGCCGTGCTGCTTCGCCATGATGCATACACCGTTGTGCTGAAGGGGATACCCTTGGGCTCACCGGTGGAACCTGACGTGAAGACGACAAAGGCGTCATCCGCGGGCTGCACCATGTACTTCCTCTGCACCGATCCGGCAGCCGCCTTGATGAGGCCGATGACGGACTCTTCGTTGATGACCATGGGTTCTTGGCCCAGGCTCCGAAGTCTAGCGGCGTCGGTGGTCGACGCGCAGAGAACCAACGCCGGGCGCACCTTGTCCAACACCTTTGCGATGCTAGCATCGGGGTGAGAAGGCTCCAGCGCGACGCTGATTCCGCCAAGCTTGAGAGCACCAACAATGGCAACGGTCGTCCACATGGACTTTGGAAAATAGTAGGGGACAAAGTCACCCTTGCGTAGGCCACGGGAGCTGAGATAGTTGGCGAGAACGGTGGAGGCGAAGTTCAGCTCGTGGTACGTCATCTGACCATCCCAGGAGTAGACAGCGGGAGAGTTGGGCTGCTCCACGGCGTTCTTCTCCAAAACGTGTACGAGGGTAGTCTGCTCGTAGTCAACCTTTTGCGCCGCGTTGGTCTCAACCTGGAGCTCAACATCCATGGCAGAGGCGTAGTCGATGTCGGCAACCTTGACCTTGGACAAATCACCCGCGCCGCCAATCATATCCAGTACATGCGCGAACTGGGCGTGAAGGTGCTCAATCTCCTCTCGCCGAAGGCAGAGGAGTCGAAAGTAGCAGTCGCCGTCACGCCGTCATCGTCAATGGTGAAATCCATGTTCAACGCGTAGCTGTGGAAGTTCTGGAGATCCAGAGCGGCGTCCTCTAGCCCGATGCGCTTGACCGCGCAGGTTCTCTCGTCGTTTAGCGACGAGTCGGCGAGGACGATCTCTTGGGCTGGATGACGATGATGTGCTGGAATTGGCAGGCGGCGTGGGCCGATGCGCTAAGGCGCGAAATTGTCTGCAGGCCAATGTTGCCGGCATTGGAAATCTCTATGGCACTGCTTTGGATGCTGCTCAGGATGGACTCGAGAGAGGTCTGTTCATCCCAGGTGACGCGAACGGGTACGGTCGAGATAGTAGGACCGGAAACGGCCTCTATCCCTTCAAGATTAAAGGTGCGACCGGAAAGCGTCTCGCCAAAGATGACATCGGTGGAGTCAATGTAGCGGCCCACCAGAAGCGACCAGGCAGCTCGAATGCGGGTTGGCAATGTGAAGCTGGACTTGGCATATTTCGCCGTCGAGATTCTCGTCCTGAGGGATGAATCTGGAACAGGGATGAAAGACGAAGCGAGGTTCTGGGGGAAGTGGCAAGATGCAAGGCCAGAGTCGGACTCGAGCCTGTTCATCCAGAAGCCCTTGTGGCCCTCGGTGTTGAGGTCGTGCTGGAACTTGATAAACATGTTGTATGGCTGCATCTCGAGAAGAGCCTGGCCGGCGTAGTATCTCTCCACATCCTCAAACAGACGGGTGATGGACCACCCGTCGAAAAAGAGTGGTGGATAGTAAAGACAAACGTGCGACCGACAAGCCCAAACCGCACCAACCTGTCGCCGAAGCCCATAGGCGCAGCCTTGTCGGCCTTGCAATAGGCGCTCGGGTTCGTGCCGCCAAGCCATTCAATCTCGGAGTCGTAGACTGCCTGGACGACACCATGCGGGGTATTGATAATACGGCTCCGCAGGATATCGTGTCGGCGGAAAACAACGTCCCACGATTGCCTAAACACGACGAGGTCGACGTAGGCCGAGAGGTCGAGGACGTGCTGAGCGACGTAAGCACCAGGTCGCGCCGCCGAAAGAGCGACCAGGGCCTCTTGCAGGGAGAGCAGGGATAGATGTCGACAACTTGCTCCCCAGCAAGGCAGAGGCATGGGCGGCATCCATCAAGTCGTCAGCCTGGGTGGGGGCAAGCATGGAGAAAGGCGCCGGGGAGAGATGCACATGGTTGCCTCACAGCCCGACGCGAACGTGGCAAGCTCTCGAAGAGACGAGGTCTTGAAGATGTCGTTCACGCTAATGTCCACACCCCGAGCGCGGACCGACGCCACGACTTTAATGGCGGAGATGGAGTCCCCGCCGGCAACGAAGAAGTTGTCGCTCATGCTCAAGGAAGGGAGCTTGAGGATCTCCTTGCAGCTAGCGGCGATCTTTTCCTCGACCTCGTTGCTGGGGAGGACGACATCGACGGTGGTAGCGGACATGAAACCCGCATTGCAGGCCGCCAACTGCTCGGCCGTGGCTTCCGCCGCAAAGCCCAACAGGGCGCGGCGATCGACCTTGCCAGAGACCAAGTAGGGGAACTCGGTGACGGGGATGAAGAAGGTAGGGACAGCCGCCGGCGGGAGGCTAGCGCGGATGGAGTTGACCATGGCCCTGAGAGCCTCAGCCTCGGCGCCCTTGGGCGCGTGCACCTGCACCAGCCCCCGAGGGCTCTGCGACGCGTGGCCGAGGGAAAGGAAGGCTGCGAGGGCCTTGTCCCCTTCAACGGTGACGACGTCGACGTGGACGTCGCGGGCCTCGCTCAGGGCGTTGACGATGTGTGACCGGATCTCGCCAAGCTCGAGACGCTGACCACGCACCTTGACCTGGAAGTCGGCGCGCCCGACAAAAGTGATGCCACCGTGCATGTCCTGGAAGCCGAGGTCGCCGGTGCGGTAGAACCGGCGGCGGGGCTTGGCGGGCCAAAAGTGGGTCTTGCGGATCCAGGCCGGGTTCTCGACATAGGCCCGGGCGGTCTTGGCCTCGTCGTTGAGGTAGCCCTCGGCGAGGATGGGTCCCTCCACGACGATTTCGCCAATGGCGCCGACGGGTACGAGCTTGTCGATGTCGGAGCGGTCGGCGATGAGCATGCGGCCACCAGCGGCGTGGCCGAGGCTCTCGCGCCAGGGCTTCTTGGCCGCCGTCTGCACGGAGAACTCGTTCTTGGCGCAGTTGATGCAGGTCTCGGCGGTGCCGTAGCCGATGATGAGCCTATCCAGGGTCGGGGTCCACCGGTCGAGGTTGTCCTGGCCAATGGACTCGCCCCCGAGGACGAGGGTCCGCAGCGAAGGGACGGCCTCGGGCCGGATGAGACGCGCATAGGAGGCGACGAACATGGCGCAGTTGACCTGCTTGGCCTGCATGAAGGCTGCCATCTTCTCCGGGTCGGTGCGGTCGCCGTCGGAGGGGACGACGACGCAGGCGCCGTGGAAAAGCGGGGTGATGAGCTCCGCGACGGACACGTCAAAGACGTGGGAGGCGAACTGTAGGATGCGGGTGTTCTCGCCCATGTGGAACGCGCGGCCGTGCTCCGACATGCTGGTCGACAGGGCTGCATGCTGCCACTTGACACCCTTGGGGTGCCTGAGCTGCCGCTCGTGAAGATGACGTAGCAGAGCGCGTCGGCACGCACGGCGGGGAGGGCGGCGGGGTTGGTGGGCATGTTGGAGTCCTCCTCCTGGTCGACGCACAGGATGTGGCGCACGGGAGTGTCGGCAGCGAGGCTGCCGGCCACGTCGGGCAGGAGGGTGGTGGTGGTCAGGACGATGGCCGCGCTGGTTTGGGAAATGAGCTCGTTCCTGCGGGCGGCGGGATGGCTGGGCTCCAGCGGGACGCAGGCCCCGCCGGCAGCCATGGTAGCGAGGATGGCCACGGGGGTCCACTTTGACTTGGGCAGGCAAAGGGAACGAAGAAGTTGTCCCCCCGGTGTCGGTAGCGCCGCTCGCAGGCTGGGACTGGCGGTACTTGTTGGCGGCCTCGGCGATGATGGTGGCGAGCTTCTGCGCGTACTTGGCGACGTCGCTGTACGTCAGGGTGCCATCCCACGAGTCGACGGCGACGCGGCCGGCGAAGCGGGGGTCCATGCAGCGGGCAAATATCATCTCGTGCACGCACATGTCCAACCGTGGGGGCAAACGAGCGCTGAACTCGACGATGCGACGGTAGTCGTTCTTGCTGACCGTCTCAATGTCCTTGACCAGCAGGGCGTCCACCTCGAGCTTGCTCACCGACTGCATGCGCTTGGTCATGGTGGCGAGCACGTGGCCGAAATTGTCCACGAGACTCTGGGCGCGCTCGGTGGAGAGGACGTCCCGGCGGTAGTCGAGGTGGACCTGGACCAGGGCCCCCTCGGCTATGCAGACCACCAGGGTTGCTTTGGCCTAGAAATTAGGAAAACATCACTTGTCAGTAACGGTGTCTCGGAAGGTAAAACAGAAAGGAGAGCGAAGGAAATCTGTAAAGGGGGTAGGCAAAAAGAAGTGAGGGGTGTGAGCAGGGACCTGCTCCACCCAAGTGAGAGGAGGTGGACCAAGGATTGATGTCAGTGAGGGAGTGTGCCTTACAGGAAAGTACATGTGAGGAGAGATGATGTTTCCGGAATGGACATAAACCGCGGTAGCAATGTCATGGTATCCAGTTTCCTGGACAAAGGAACCAAGCGACCGAAAGGTGAGACCATAGTCCAGCATCAAGCGCTTCTCCTGCTCCGCGCTTCGCATGGCACTAAGCAGCTGCTCGTCGGACGAGACCGGCATGGTGAAGAGCCACGCGGCCTGCTCGCGATCGAGGCAGGCGCCAAAGTTGACGGGGCCGTCCTCCCCTGCGTAAGAGCGGAGGAGCAGGGCCCAGGCCACCATGACGATGGACTCGGGAGAGACGTGATGCATCACGGCGGCCACCTGCAGGTCGCGCGGGTTGACGGTGACGGGTACCGCGGTGCGTCCGTAGACGTCCCCCTTGCCCGAGCGGATCGAGTCCGCGCCAGGGGCGGGGGCGCGATGGCCTTGTCGAAGAACATGGGGGTGGAAACGTTGCTCTCGACGGCCTGGAGGCGCTGGGACCAAAGGACTTCTTGGTGATTTCGGTGGAGGTGGTGCGAGCGTGCATCGTAGGTGTGTCTTTCCCGAACTTTCGGGGTGTGCCTAGCTTTGCTCTAGAGTGTGGCTCGCTGTTTCTTTGGGAGGAGGGAAGGGGGCTTGGGGCCTTTGGAGTTAGGGTGTAGCTGGGCTATGGGAAGATAGCTGGAGCGAGTAGCGCACGGTGTTGATGGTGATACTCGGCCCTCGCTCGGGAAACTTGTGAAATTGGGTAGAGGCGTGGAAGAACTCTTTGGGGGAGGAATGAGAAGTGAGTAGACCAGGATCTTGGGGTGAAATGTGTGAAGTTTGGGAGCTAGGAAACAAGGGGGCGTGTGCTTCCAAGTGACAAGGCGAGGTATGGAGGTGGCACGCGCAGGATCTACGATCTTTTTGATGAGCCGTGTAGGTTTGTGCTAGGCTAGGAAGGAAGAAAGGTTTCTTGTCAGAGGGAGACAGAAAACCTGGTACGAGATACTAAATCTTGGGGAGATGCGGTGAAGTTGGTAAGACAAGCGGTGGTAATATGGGGTTACCAAAGCTGAATCTTGTGTCAATGTTCAAAGATTGGATATGGGGGATCCAAGTTGAACATGAAGATGGGGAAGGATATGGGGAATGATAGCGTGTAAGTTGATGGGTCAGAGAGAGAGAGAGAGAGAGAGAGATGGAAAGGGAGGAAGAATGGTGGAGATATGGAGTCAGTAACTTGATGGGGGCAAGTTCTTTGGGGTATGGGGAATGGAACCACGAACGGTCTTGGTAAACTGTGAAAGTGTTCAAGATGTCTGAGGCGGAAGTGGCATGCTCTTAAAGATTACAAGAAAAGACAAGAAAAGTTTAAGTCTATTTAGGGCACAGGTAGTTATGAGTGGGATGAACGAACTCGGGTGGCCGGCAAAGGCCAAGTGGTGATTGGAAGGCCGAGGGCTGGAACAAACCAGCCTCCGCCCTTCCGTGAGCGCGGAACGGAGGTAGAGGTGGCATGTAAGTGGCCCCTTGGCGACTGTGGCGAATGAAGTGGGCGCGATGCCATGTAACCCATGCCCGTATTCACCGCGAACGTTGCCTCAAAGGGGCAAGCAGCCCCAGAGGGCGGCTAACCTTTCTATCTGTCTTGGGTACTCTGGCCGCCAGCTGGACATCTTGGGTACGTGCTGTCCTGTTGAGCTGCTAAGGGGGTAGGCTACGGTGGTAGCAGGCGCAGTCGAGTGATGGGAGGCATTGATTATGGTGGTCGCAGCGGTAGTATTCTGCCGTCTTATGACCGGGCCAGACTATTTTCAGGATGACATGACATGGACAAGGATGTAAATGGATATAGACGGATACCATGCGGCTCCATTGCTTTATTTTTTGTTTGGTTTTGTTGTGAGTGTAACACTGGGCTGGTCCTTGCCGGCTAGTGTGCGGATGGAGGAATGAGATAAAGTCAACATGCATGACAATGATTGGAGGAAGACTTGGCTGGACGTTGTTCGGGAAGTTGGCCGGGGCTTGGCGAGGGGAAAGGGAAAAGGCAAGGGAAGGGAGGGGGCAAGGATGTGGCATGGGCTGACTGAGGTTGGGCCGATCGGACTTCAGCTCCGGCGGGGAGGGGAACAGCGGTGCGGCTGTTTGGGGACATGGACACCTCAGATCTCATCTATTTTATTTTTTCGTCTCTTTTCACCTCCCCATAGTATAGAGATGTACCATGTTGGTGTTTGGAGGGGGTGTTCGTTTAATGGGCGCTCGGGAGGATGAAGGGGAGTCTGCATGATGACATGACAACTGATCTGCCTGTTCCCACTTGGCAGACAGACACCATCGCTTGTGACTTTGACTGGGTCTAATTTGGGTTCGGCTACCCATCCAATCCCGTCGCTGCCCAGGCCTGCGGCCGGTTCGAAGCACACCATGATACCCAGTGCTCCATTTCTTTTCTCTTGGGGTGTTCTCCCAATTCCTTTTAGCTGCCTAGATGGAGGCTTAGAAATGTAGCTTGAAAGGGACCCGAACGGCGGACGACAAAAAAAAAAAAAGAAAAGAAAAGCAGAGGTGTCATGCAAGATGATGATGGCGAGTGATGGCGCATGCTTGGCTTGGTCTCACCCCAGCTCGAGGTCGACAAGTGCAAGACGACAGAGAAAAAAATGGCCATCGCTCACGGTACGATAAAAGCAAAGAAAATGCAGCGCCCAAGATGGTAAAAATCCGAAGAAGCGAAGACTGCGATTCGCCATTTCCACGAGGAAAGTAAAGAGAGAAGGAAAAAATCCTTCTCAAAAAGAACAAAAAAGGAATGAGGCGCCTTCAGCCCATCTCGGGTGCCCGTCCGTCCGAATGGATGATGGAAAGAAAAGCAAGGATTGAGCAAAGGCGAAAAAGAAAACGCGGGATGTAGAAAGACGGAACGCGAGGACGAGGGTTGGAGGCGTTCGATTCCAAGTTCACCAAGTTCGATACTAAATCGGGAACCAGGTTCGAGTTGCAATCGAGATCAATGTCGCAACCAAAACATATCCCCGAACCCACAGTAGCATGGAGGGTGCCCCAAAACAAAAAATAAAGCAATGAACCACGATGAACCAAGATGGCAATCAATTACAGGTCTGACAGCCCATGAATTTCCTTTCTTGGGGTGAAGGGAATGGTTTATCCGAATGCAGATCCACTTCCACGTGGACTAAGAGTTCAGAATAGCAACTTTGGTGGGGAAGGACCCTAAACATAGAAATACTGAAGAAAGCAGGGCCAAGGGCCAAGAGGAAGAAACGCGCGGGTGAAGATCAGATCAGATTAGGCAGGCAATGAGAGCACAGAACGAGCACATAACGAGCGAAGGGGGATTGATCCATGCTAGCGGCACACAGGGATCGCGATCTGCGAGCCGTTGCGACAATGATGATTGGAATAGATAGACGACATCCATGGATGGGTGCGCTAATTGACGCAACAAATCGACAGACAGTCGCGAAGGGTTGGGTGCCATTCGGAGGGTTTTTTCATGCTCGGCTTACTTTTGCAAGTTGGGGAAGAGGAACGGCTCCAGGTTGCGGTTTTAGCGTGTGCCCGCACGTCGCGGGAAGAGAAAAGCGAGGGGCAAGTAAGAGGGAAATGGAGGGGGAAGGAGGGATGGGAACAAATGGTGGAGCTTGGCAGGAACGACGGTTTTTTTGGGGGCCCTCGGAAGGGAAGCCAAACCGAGAAGGGGCTAGCGCTGACTCTCTCCTTCTCTCTTTCCTTTTTCTTTTCCCCCGTTTTCTTTTCTTTTTTTCTCTTTTCTGTTGGGGGTGCGAAAGAATGGAAGGGGCGACCAGTGGATGCCGACATACGCCAAAGCTGGGGCCAGCACGCCCGCGGGAGTGTGTAAGCCACCGAGACCTACCGCCATCTCATCTCGCTCGCCCCGGCCGATCAACGAGAAGCGGAGAAAGGGCGACGCCGAACAAAGAGAAACAAAAAAAAAAAAAAAAAAAAAAAAAAAGAAAGAAAAAAAGAAAGAAAGAAACTGGGTGGGGATGCAGCTATGGCAATTGATGAGAATGCAGGCAGGAGACTGGTCGGATCGCAAGCCTCATCGCCCCCTTCCCTTTCGACCCCGGCTGAAGGTACTGAAACAAAAAACACACGCCGGGTCGATGCAACCGAGTCTAGTCTTCTCTGATACTTCTTGGCAGTTTTTTGCTTTCTTTTCTTTTTCTTTTTTTTTTCCTTTCCCACTACTGCTTCTACTAAGGCAAAAACCCTTGCAACCATGAGGAACAGCTCCGAGTGGCGTCTCCGCGTGTGCATGTCACCCACATAACTTTTTTGGAAGGTGCCGCCCGTGGCTGTGTCCACAGATCACCGTCAATCGTCAATTCTAGCCCATACTATGGGACGAAATGATGACATCTCCAATGTCTACACTCTCACATACACCGCGCCTCTCCATCTCTTCTCTGCCGCGCCGTGCCGACCGACCACTTAGAAATTCCCTTTTAAGCTCGTTTCAAGCGAATACCACGGTTTGTGAGGATTTGGCGCAGGCATAGAACAGGTCATCGTCCCCTCAGTGTCACACTGCGATGCAGTCAATTCATCTGCTAAGCTCCTCTTCACCTTGGTTCGCTTCTTCTTCTTTCTGCTCTTCGAGAGCTTGTACCGCGTCTTGCTCGATGTCTGCCTATTTCCGAACGACATCCCTCCATTCCGCCCGTTTCTTTTCTTTTCTCGTACCATGCCCTCGCTCTGCCTTCTTTTTCTTCTTCGTTCTTACTCTTCCTTTTCCCCACCAGGGTATCCATTCCTGGTTCCCGCATCACTCCCAAAATAGCAACTACCGTGGATCGGTGCCCAAGCCTCGTTTCCTCCTGCTTCTGGACAGCTCCCTTCAATGAATGTCCTCTTTACCCCATCCGCCGCACCACCGCGATTGGGGAATATGACTTGATGCCATGCAGTGCTGATCACTGTAGCGTAGGGTCCCAGTTTTGCTTCTTCGGTTCTCGCCCTCCCTCACGTAGTATTGCGGTGTAGCAGCATGGGTCACATTGAGTCTATTCTTTACATTATTTCCTTGACCTTATTCTTCCCTTTGCTGGGACCCCACCCTGACCATTCGGGTGGCGGAAATCGTCCACCTTTTTCATTCCGCCCATCCGCACCCTCAACTTACACGCGACTCGGTCTTCCAATGAGCGGCGATGACCGGACACCAACGCCACTACTCTATGTACATATAGTATTAAAAAAAGAAAACCAAAAAAGCTGGACCTGCCGGACGGCAAGCCGACGCGGAGCAAAGACAAGAAACAACAAAAGTGGACGCCTTGATACCTAAAAAGAGCACACCGAGGAAATCCTCCCAAAAGAAACCACCATCCCCAAGTCCCATGCCCCATGTCACTCCGAGTCTTACATGCAACGGATGGTCATCAACCGCACCCACGGAAGTTCAGCTCTTGGCTCATCACCATGTGCACCATGTGCACCATGTGTCAGACGCCTCTCCGATGCCAACACGGCCCTTTACCTTCAGCTCCTGGATACGACTCTGGCGGCCTGAGCCTGAGCCTGTTCCTCCGCCTTCGTTCGGGATGAGTTTCCCCCTTTGCCTAGCCTCTATGGACCATCGCCGATATATGATGCCATGCCACCTGGTCTCGACTGGTTTGTCCGTCAGCCCCTCCAGGAAGGAAGGCAGGCATCCCCCGGCCCTCTTCTCCCTATTGATCTCGTCTCTTTTCTTTTTTATATCTTCTCGCGGTCTTCCTTATATTCATCTACAAGTACCTACTCCCCAACACTTCTGTTGCCTTGATGTCTCTAGTCGTTTTCCATTCTCTTTCCCTTTTCCCTTCTTCCCTTTCCTTACCCTCTCCTCTCCATATCTTCCTTGTCACACTCCCTTGAGGAATAGCCATGGAAGTCGACTGTGTTGCCCTCGATAGCACATGGGGCCCTGGGCGGGGCCCTGTCGTGGAGGACTAGACTTTACCCTCTTGTTCGAAGAGTCCATCTTCTCTATACTACCCAGCGCACTCTTATTCCTCGCTGCTCCCATCCAGCTCATATGGGTGAGAGGAAAAACCAAAACAACACGGGGTGGGCCCCTTCTCCCCTCCAAACTGGTAAAGCCATGCCCTGCCGTTTCCATGCTCCCCATTATTCTATCCTCGAAAACGAGTTACTAACCCAGGAGAAACTAGGCTCTCATCATCATCATGGGCCTCTTGAAACTCTCCCTCGTTCTCCTCTGGGCTCTCCAAAGCCCCCAAGAAAAGACCCGCACCACGTTGCCGGCGTCTGTTCTCAACTTCCTGGTCATTGGGCCGCTCTTTGTCTTTTCTTGCACTGAGCACGTCTTTCGTATCCGGCCCAGCGTCGTCATCCAGATTTTCCTCCTCCTCACCACCATCTTTGATGTAGCGAGGATCAGGACCCTCTGGCTGATGCCCGGCGCCATGGCCTTTGCCGCCACCGAGTGCGGCGCCTTGGCCGTCAAGATCGGCCTCGTCATTGCCGAGGCCTGGCCAAAGCACAAACTCGTGGTCGACGATCTTCAGCTTTACAGCGGAGAACAGCTGTCTGGATTCTACAGCAAGACTCTATTCCTATGGCTTATGAAGACCCTCTGGAACGGTACGTTTCCCTCTCCTACCATCTCAATGTATTTCAAACGAATAAAGAAAAGTGATTACTAACACCGTTTCACGCCCCTCCCTCTCCAGGATTCCACCGATTCCTGACCCCGCAGACCTCGCCGGCCCTCAAAACGAGGAAACCGCCGAGCGCCGGCGCACCACTTTCCGCACGCACTGGGCCCGCCGCCCGGACAAGCAAGGCAAGACCGCCCTCTTCGCCACGCTCGTCAAGGCCATGCCCGGTCACTTCCTGCTCCCCTTTGTGCCCCGCGTCATCATCGTCGGCGTCACGCTCACCCAGCCCATGCTGCTCCGCCGCATGCTCGAGTTTGTGCAGGAAGACCCCGAGACCAAGGACATCAACGTCGGCTACACCCTCATCGGCGCCTTTGCCCTCGTGTACGGCCTCGCCGCCGTCTTCAACGGCTGGTTCCACCACGCGTGTAACAAGCTGGCTCTCGAGCTGCGCAGCCAGCTCGTCGACGCCACGTACAACCACCTCTTGAGGCTGAGGCTTTCCGCCCTGGACACGGGCAAGGCCACCACGCTGATTAATGTCGACATGCAGCACATCATGGATGGTTCCCTCATCCTGCACGACATTTGGGCTAGCGTGCTGACCCTGGCGATCGCGACCTACATGTTGTACAAGCAGATTCAGCTCGCGTACGTTGCACTACTTGGCGCCATTTCCCCTTTTTCGGTCAAATTGAACCTCAGACTAATTGTTTCTTCATCTTCATCCCGTTTTTAGGTTCATCGCGCCACTTTTGTGCACTTTGGGTAAGCTTCCTCCGTTCCCATCGAGATTAATCATTTACAAATATTGTTGCACTGCTTCTAACACTTCATCTGCACTGCAGTCCTAACTATTGTCGGTGGCGCATTCGGCGGCCCGCTCGGCAACCGGCAAGTGGCTTGGCTCGCGTCCACGGAAAGTCGAGTCAAGTCCACCATGAACATGATTTCCAGCTTCAAAGAGGTCAAGATGCTTGGCTTGGCACCCGCATATTTCAAGAGCCTCAAGAAATTGCGGTTTGACGAAGTTCAACTCGGAAGGTGAGATCGGGGTTCCCTGCCTTGTTCTGTGCAACGTCGGATCGGCTTCTAACCAGTGCCAATAGGAAATTCCGCCGCGTCGTGTCCGTTCTCATCACACTGTGTACGTACTCCTCCTTCCCTTCCCGTCTCTCGCTGCTTGATCCCGGTGGACTAACACCGAAATATGCTCAGCTGCCGCCTCAACCCAAGTTTCCATTCTCGTGGCCTACGGTGGCTTCGCCATCATCAGCAAGCTTCACGGCGTGCCCCTCACCACCGAGACCCTTTTCGCTTCCCTGGCCCTCTTGCGCATCTCCCTTGATCCCCTCTTCCTGCTGATCCAAGGCACCCCGCATCTCGTGTCCCTCTTCAAATGTCTCGGTCGTATCCAGGACCTGCTCAATGACGAGCGGAGGCTCACCGAGAGCTACCAGGATCCGGCCGTGGGTTCGGGCATCTACAGCATGTCGTCCAAGACTTTGACCGCCTCCAGCGCGGATTCCAGCCCCGATCCTAATAACCCCTACCCGCTTTACCTTAATCATGTGTCACACCTTGGTTTTGGCGATTTCAGGCCCCCTCGTACCTCGTCGAGGTGCAGGATGCTACGTTTTGCTGGAAGGACAAAGAGACCCCTGCTCTGCACATTGCCCAGTTCTCGCTTCAGCCGTCCTCCTTCGTCGCTGTTATCGGCCCGTGAGTCCTTTGCCGTTGTCCTTTCGAAATTGCGAAGAACAACTTTGACTAACTGCTCTATAGTGTCGGGTCTGGAAAGTCCACCCTCCTCAAGTCCCTTCTCGGTGAGCTGGAGCAAGTTTCAGGCGTCCGAGTCATCCAACCCAACCTCAAGATTGCGTACTGTGACCAGGAACCCTGGCTCCTTGACCAGACTGTCCAGAAGAATATCACTGGTGATCTTGAATATGACCCTGAGTGGTACTCGACAGTCGTTGAGGCTTGTGCGCTCCAACAAGACATTGCTCAGTTTGGTCGCGGCAGCGAGACAAGGGTGGGCAGCGGCGGTTCAGCCATGAGCGGTGGTCAAAGAGCCGAATTGTGAGTTTTATCTTCCGGGCATTACCGGAAAACCGTTTACTGACAATTGCGCCAGGCCCTCGCCCGTGCCGTTTACTGCCGGCCTGACCTACTTCTTCTTGATGATATCTTTAGTGGTCTGGATCGCAAGTCGACTCAACATATCTTCTCCTCCCTCTTTTCCCACTCTGGTCTCCTAAACACGATCCATTGTGCCGTTGTCCTGACTACTCACTCTAGTAAGTGCCTGGCATATTCTAACGGTGATCACAGAGGGCCGTACGGATTTATTCGGTGCGTTTTGCTAACTACGTTTACCATAGCCCAACTTCTGCCCCGATTCGAGACAATTGTCGTCCTCGACAATGGCAAGGTCACCCACCAAGACGGCTACTATGAGCTTCTTGCAGAGGGTGTCCTCAACGAGGACGCGCTGTCTAGCGCCCAGGAGGCGGCCGGTGATGGTCCTGTAGAGGGCCGGCTCGCGGCCGACATTGAGTCCAAGCCTTACCTTGCTGAGGACGAAGATGCCATGAAGAACCAGGCCCCTTCGGACTCTAGCGTCTACAAGTACTTCTTCAAGGCTTGTGGATCCGCTGGTATGGCCTTGTTCTTCGTCCTTGCCGCTGTCCTCGCGGCAGAGAGGTCGTTTGAGAGTAAGTGGCATACCCATCACGAAATCCGCTACATGATAGTAGCTAACCCTTGGTGACAGATGTTTGGCTCAAGATGTGGGCCGAGTCCACGGAAGATTCCTTGACCTACTACATCTGTGTCTTTACAGGTTTGATCATGGGAGGCTTGGTACTTCTTTACGGCATCTGCTTGTGAGTTATAATCCGGACCCTTTTGTCAACGTGTATATACTGACAACCATAGCTTCTTCTTCGACGTCCTTCTTGTGTCTTCTTCCCTCAAGTTGTACTTTGGTCAGCTCGAAACACTCATTCAGTGCGTACCACATGATTCTTTTGCCCGATGAAGCCACCTTGCTAATACTTTTCAAGATCACCCATTTCCTATGTTGTGACGGTTGGTTCAACCACTATCGCCAATAGGTATGTTTTCTCCGAGACTTACGTACACCGGCCCTATTTTTAACACAATCAATTAGGTTTATACAGGATATTATGCTAGTTGACGACGAGCTCCCCATGGCTCTTGTCAACGTGACAACTGGTGCGCTACCCTACCCTTTGCCACACATAAGCCAAAATCGAGAGATTGCTAACTTCACCACGCAGCTTTCTTCGGTGCCTTTGCGGAATCCATCATCATCTTCATCTCCTCCAAATACGTCTCCGTTTCCGTGCCTCTCCTTCTTCTCGTCCTCTGGGTCATCCAAAGGTTTTACCTCCGCACCTCCAAGCAGCTCCGTCTCATGGATATCGAGGCCAAGGCACCCCTATCCGCGTTTATGTTGGAAACCATCAAGGGCATCGCGTCCATCCGCGCCTTTGGACGTTCCACCGAGTTCACGCGCAGGAACAGGGGTCACCTCGAGGACTCGCAAAAGGCCCTCTTCATGCTACTCTCCGTGCAGGTCTGGCTCAAGATGGTGCTGGACTTTGTCGTCTGCTTCTTGGCCATCTTGGTCACTACGTTGGCGGTCGTCTTCCAGTCCTCGCAATCGCCCGGATTCCTAGGTCTCGCTCTTGTCAACTTGGTATGACTTTTAACAACCACACCTTTCGTTCCCCAGAATCCTCATGCTAACAACACTCATAGATTTCTCTAAGCTCCAGCTTCAAGTACTTGATCACCTTCTGGGCCAACCTTGAATCCTCGATTGGTGCTGTTGGTAGGATCAAGCGCTTCAACGAGGAAGCAAAGCCTGAGGAGCCCATGCAGCTCCCAGAGCCATACCCCTCGTGGCCGAATCGTGGTCACATTGAGCTGTCTCATGTGTCCGCCACGTATTGGTATCTTCACCCTCCCCACCACCGCATACCACTTCTTTGGATTCGGCGAAGGCTTGCTAACACAAAGATAATAGTCCTAAACTACCCTTGGCTCTCGAGAATGTGAACCTATCCATAGACCCGGGCAGCAAGGTCGCCATCTGCGGCCGCAGCGGAAGGTACGATCCACCCCGCCATCCCTATGTCAACATGAGAGAGAAGCCCGACTAACTTGCTGAATAGTGGAAAATCATCGCTTTTGGGCACGCTTCTGCGATGCCTTGATCTTACCTCGGGAAGCATTGTCATTGACGGACAGGATATTACCCGCATTGATCGTGACGCGCTACGTGGACGGATCATGACCCTTCCGCAAAAGTCTTTGTTCATTGATGATTCGATCCGTCAAAACATGTTGCTTTGGGAGGAGGATCCGTCTCTCACTAGCGACGAGGTTGACAGGCGGATTGAGGCCGCCCTAAGGAGGGTGGGTCTCTGGGACGTTCTCTTCGAGCGCAAGCCCATCAGTGCATCAAGCAGTGAGGCGCCCATGTCTTCCCGGACATCTCTGAAGTCATCTTCATCCGCTACGGCTTGTCCTACGGAGGATGGAAAGAGCAAGGACGAGAAGAAGAGTGACAAGTCGGAAGAAAAGGAGAAGAAGATTGAGGAGGTGGTGAGCCTCGACAGCAGCCTTGATGCGGAAGAACGTCTCAGCATCGGTCAGCAACAGTTGTTCTGCCTGGCCCGAGCCCTCTTCCAGCGCAGCGAATCTCACATCGTCCTTATGGACGAGTTTACAAGCAGCATGGACCACGAGACGGAGTCCCTCGTCAGGAGATTATCAAGAGGGATTTGAAGGGCAAGACGGTCATCGAAGTCATCCACAGACTCGAGCACATTATGGAGTTTGACACCGTTGTCGTTGTCGACAGGGGACGAGTTGTCGAGATCGGCAACCCTGGAGAGCTGTTGCAGATGAGCGACGGTTACCTGAGGGAGTTGTATCAGACTTCCAACATGTAATTGACGCCTCACAACCGCTTTTATTCGTCTTACACATTACGAGTTTACTGCCTTTATGGAGTTTAAGGTTTATTGTTTTCAATGTTGTTTTTGATTATTTAATGTAGCGATGGTTAAATATTTGCGCACATACATAGACCGAAAAGAGACTTTCCTTTCTCATCAATCGGGATTCATATCCTCTTCTCAAGTCTACTTCTTCAGAACACATAGTGAATATGGTAGATAGTAAACCAAGAGAATAAAACCCCATGAGGGAACCCTCTGACAAAATAACAGGTTAGAAGAAGAGGCTGGCCCATGATGGGAAGCCATCAAATGGCTGCTCCGAAATTGGCCATCCGCAGAGCCAATCCTCCATTCAAGCAATATTGGACTTTATCTTCACAACGCGTTAATCCTGCACTATCCATCTCGACCTTTGCCCAAAGTGAGCATTAGGCCCGCCGGCCAAGGTCGGTCGACGTTCTTCGCTTCCCGTGCCGTTGCATCATCGCACGCCAAGCCTGTGGGGAAACTGTTTTTTCTATTTTTGTCGCGCCTGATTTTCCACGCGACAGAATTAGATGTAAGCGCTGCAGAACCACGTTTGGCGCTACTGCGACTCAGCCACACACCCACACCCGCACCACGTATCATGTAGACGCACACATTCGCGGCACTTGGATTGGGGGCGCGATCTTCCCGATCTCGATCTGGCCCACCCGAGTCGGGGCATATTTCGCCGGATTACTCTTAAAAAGCGAGATTACACTGCTAGCGCCGCAGAATCGTGCGGATTCTGCTACCAATTTCTGCGGCAAAAGCAGCGAGGGGCACAAGTGCACGGCTCTTAAGGTGACAAGCTGGCTTATAAGCACTAACAACTTCTTCCGTTGCGCTCCCGATCAAATCCTCGATTCCGACAAGCTACTGGCCTCGATCGCACGAAACCACGGGTCACACAGGATTTCCGAAGGTGAGGGTCTCTTCGTAGCATCGTACTGCAGAATCCATCGAATGAGTGCCTTCACCTGGCGGGCTTCCTCTTCATCAATAGCTACGCCCGCCCCATCAAACGCCTCTTCCATAGTTGTTTGCTCTAGCATTAGCGGTTCTTGTCCATCCGGGACACCCCCAATCTGGCAGTTGTAAAGCTTTTTCTCGGGCGTAAAGTAAACTGCAGATGTCTTCCAATGCTTGAAAAGCTCGTCAGGAAGAGCACCAAGGCGAGCAGTGAGGGTGAGAAGATGGTCGTCGTCTTCATCTCCATCGGACCACGGTACACAGAAGAGGGGCTGTCCAGTAATTAGCTCAAAGACTAGACAGCCAAAGCTCCACACATCAAGGCTTTTATTAACGTCTCCAGTGAGAACTAATTCAGGGGCTCGAAGGCCTAGTAGGGTAATTGGTTTCTTTGGCGGATCTGTGAAAAAGTATGCTTTTCGAGCTAGTTAGTTGTATATAAGGAGGAAAGAAGAATAAAAGGACAACTGTAATATAGAGGGAATACTAACCACCACCCATATCAGATAACTTGATTTTAAAGCCCTCACCGTAGTATGTAAAAGGTACCAGGGGCTGTGCGACACAAAGATACCGAGGGGCCCATCGATCTTGTTTTCTATCTAGTCTTTGTACTGGGGGTGAGATTGATGGAGCTTCTACATCCTCCTTCTGCTGCAATGCATCCTCATGCTCAGAGTCGATATTATTAAGAGTGAAGAGCATATTCCCAGGATGGAAATCTCCATGAGCGATACCGTTTTCGTGGAGGAATGATAAGGCTTGCAAGGACTGCTTAAGGATGCTCTTTGCCATCGGAATCGGATAGCGAACCTTCATTCCCCAAGTGCGAGGTTTAAATTGGGGCAGCTCCTCGACCATGGTGTTCACACTAGGACCCATGGGCTCGAATACCAGGCATTTGTGGATGCCATTGGGTCCATGGTGCTCAAACTCATCTAGGAGCTGCGTGATATGACGGGCACCCTCTTCTGGCGATGTTTGCTTGATGTAGTGTAGGATTCGTAGCTCGTTTATCAACTCCGAATCGTCCGAAACAAGGATTTTGAGGGCAATATATCTATTATTTCTTGATGAACATGAGTAATGACACAGCATAGCTAGCAAAATAAATACAGACTTACTTCAGGTCATGCGCTAGCCAAACTGTCGAGTATGAGCCCTCGCCGAGCTTCCTGAGGACCTTGTACTGGCTGTTGTTGAAGACGTCGCCTAGATGGACGGGATGGAAACTACCTGGACGGTAATCTTCCACCCATTCACAGGGCAAGGTAATAGATTTGAATCTCCATTCGTCCTTCTTTGGAGCCCTGGCAGGCGGGGTGGGAGGAGGGGAGGCGCTCATAACGGTGATGTAGAGGGGACTATTCAGAATTTCGGGGGTTACTTTCGAGATGCGAGATTGTAATGCGAGAGACCAAAACCTTGGAGGAAACGGGACGAGTGAATTCGCAGGGCGCAAGGCGGTATTCCAGGCAAATATATATGCTCGTAAGGCTCGCATTCGAACTCAGGAAGGGTGCGCTGCGCGGAGTGCATGTGGTGTTCCAAACCAAGACCTGGGGAGCTGGAAAAAGAGGATTACTAATGGAGGGTGGGAAATTAGAATTGACACCGAATACATCAGCGTTTCCTCGCCCGGTTTTGGTGGCAGAATCTTTGTGGTGGCCGTTTTCGTGTTGCGGAAAGTTTCAATCATTTCCATTTCCATCTTCTAGACTTCAAATGGGTGCATGAGCTTTTGGGGACCAACGAAAGATCTGCTCGGGGCCGAGGAGCTCAAGGCGGCAGTGCGTGTGTATGCCCCGGGGACAGGGTGCGAAAACCCCGCGGCAGCAACGATAGTTATCCAGGCTCCTGCGTAAACCTTATCCATGGCATCAACGTTGGCCCGCAAGTGCATAGGGCCGTCTTGAATAATGCACAGCGCATCAATCCAGAGGTACGAGCAGTCTGGTTTCTTGGTAGCAAGCAAGGAATCTCGTACCGTTCTGGATAGCGCAAGGTCCTTCCGCCCGAGAGACCCTTTCGTCGCAAGAACGCTGTAGTTGTCTCGTATGAGCTTGACGGCTTGGTCTTTCTCCCACATGCAGCTGAGCGCAATATATCAAACGGGGCTTTGGGGCATTAGCACAATCCGAATCTTATCGATGTTGATGATGAGTAGCGGAAGGGATGTGAAATCCGCGCTGCTACCTGGTGCGTGCGTCTTGTTACAGGCACGTATCCAGTCACGTATATGGTGCCAATCCATAGCATCCTGCAGGGTTACCTTCCCATAGGCGCGTGCTGGACCTGTCACCTCGAGTTCTTTATCAGGGCGACAGAGTTGAATTTGAGGCAGGAGCCATGACTCGTTGAACTCGTCATCCGTCTTCTTCGCAACACGTTCCAGAGATTTGGCCTTGGGACCCCTTGTATGAAACGAAACTCTATATAGAACGCAGCAGTGCTATTCCCGCGGTGAAGGGCGTTCCAGTCCTGTCGCGGGTCGACAGGGGTTGGCTCGCGTAGAGGCGCAGCTCCGGGTCGCTACTACTCATGCCTTCGGCGTATTCTGTTCCGTAGCAGTTCGCGATGGCGTGTCGGAAAAGGTGACAAACGCTGCATCCGGTTTGGGACCAGAGCTGTCCCAGCTTCCGGAGGGGTACATCACGTTGCGGAGTGTAAAAAGCGAGGCGAGAGGGGTTGCGAGACATGATGGACAAATGGAGGCATGTGCCATGGCCTCGTCGTAGCAAGTTGCTGTGTAGAGACGATAAATGCGCTTGGTTTAAGACGAGCTGAACTATGTCTCTGTGCACTGCGGCCTATGCTGTTCCCCTCTTCGCCGGCACACGCAAGATGAAGGCGAGACAGGCAACCGAGCGAAGTGGAAGCCACCTGCACGGTAAGGACCACGGATTGGCCGCATTTAACCTGGTACTAACATTTACATAGACACCACCGCAACATGGAAGAACGTGCATTTGACCATAATATTTCTTTACAGCCTCACAGAAGACCGGTGATAGGTAGATGGATCTCTTTGAACAAATGAGCGTTCTCTATTCCATCAGCAAACATCACCAAACCGAGATACCTTGATCCAGAGAAAATAAACCGTGGCAAGCAAAACGGTTCGTTTCTAACAAAATAACTGTTCAGCTCGCCTCAACATCACCCACAGAGATATGCTTGAAGAAATGATGTCCGACATCGTGTGCTCGTGTGCTCGTTTGCCACTCCCCTCCATCCACAATTGATCTTCGCTTCCTCCTTTGTTCCTACCCTCTCGTGACAAGTACCATATCAAATCATGCTGAGATGATGGGATAGGGAGACATAGCATTCTTAAGATAACCCTTGTACAACTTGAGCGCGCAAGCCCCTCATTATACCAATGTGCAGATGAATCACAAGGTGGACAAGCCTTCAATTAAACTAGGTTATCACTCCTACACATAGTCGTACACGGCAACAATAATCCGAAAAGAAAAGAGATGCTTCAGAGTGAAGGAGAAGCTCGTATCAAATATAAAATATCAAAGATTATCCAGAGTACCCCACAAACGCCTCTTGCCTCGTACTGAATAGTTGCCGGACTCGCCTGGCTACTCAAGGTTCCGGTCCATGGTGATGGAAACCGCCTGTGTGAAATCATCGATGAGTATTTAGCTGGTTTTGGTCGTATTAAACAACAGAGAACAATGAACGTACCGATGCTGAATTGCTGCCCCGAAAAGTTTTGGTTCCCGTAAAATGCGACTCCTCCCGTTGCAACATTGCCGCTGTGCTGAACGCTCCCGTTGGCGGTGTTTGTCATTGTGCCCTGCTGCGTCTACGATCCTCTCGTCATTAGTCTACACGTCACCCAGATCGAAGACAACGGAGGGGAAGACGGGCCTTGCATACCTTGACAACTTCTGATTGCTGCTTCAGAGCGTCTATCCACCGTCGTAGTTCGCCTACGACTTTGATGTAACCGGGACTATCATCCCCACCGAATCTCACCAGATCCATGTGGTTGGCGTGGATGCCGATGGAATTGTATGGATCCATCTTGGCAGAGGCGGCAGGTACGATCTGTGTCACCACGGCAGGTCAGAAGTCAGAAAACTGATGGTCTTAGGAAGACCCGCAGCCCGTAGCGGTAAGAAAGAGCGACCAGCGATGGCATCAATCCAACTGCCATTTGTCTACCGTGCCCTACCCCATCCAGAACGCACAGAAAGCAGAAAAAGAAAACCACAAACAGAGGAGAGGAAAACTCACTGTTCCTATGACTGGGAGTGGCAGCTCCTCATAAAAGGTTGTAATCTCAATTGGCCGATCTTGTTCCTTGCGAAGCTCCAGGAATCTCATGAAACGTTCCTGCAAAGGTCCAGCCGCGGCTCCGCCTTGTTCAGCCTCCCGACCAAATCAGCGTTGCCCTGTTTGACGTGACTGAGGGCCGAGGCGAGTATGCTACCCCACTGAGCTTGTTCCGACCCTCGGTGCGGCGTACCCATGAAGGCGATGGCCGCGGTGGCATCGACGACTGCGGCAATCGACGCCGTGGTGCTGGCGCGCGACTCATTGGCGTGGAGAAGGGCAGACTTGAGGACGAGCCCGCCGAGGCTGTGGACCACGAAGATGATGGGCCTCTGGCTGGTGTCAGCGTTGCTGCTGACCTCGCTACGTCTCAGGGCGGCTAGGTCCGCGCATAGGTTCGCCGCGTGCTGCTCGATCGAGTTGGTGGATACGGCGGAGAAGGGCCGCTTGTCGACGACGTTTGCGTCGTAGCCCCACGATGCGATGCGGGCCTCGGGGATTCCGTGCCCTTCTTCCGGGAGGAGATCCTTGGGCCAGAAGCAGGCCGACTTTTTCCGGCGTTGCGGGTCCAGGTGATGTCTCGGGTCCCTGTTAGCCCGTGGATAAAGATGATGCTAACTCGGGTTAGTGAATGGCCATCGTAAGGCGAAATAACTTGGAAATTGCTCGCGACTTGCACAGTTTATTGTTCTAACAAACGACAGACTTACTCTGCGACAGGGCCTGGGGGTTGGTGAAGGATATCAAACCCGTAGGCCCCTGCCGTGGACTTGACGAGAGAGCCGTGAACTTTGGGCGCGGGTCTGGGCTGGTCAGCGAGGTTTGGCGGAAGAAGCCGCTGCGATCAATACTAATTCAACGGTCGACGATGCATACGTACATGCGGGATGGAATTTCAATTTCTTGGCCCGGATCGCCGGCGGGGGCGGCGAGCACAACCTCCTGCGGCCCGACAGGCACGACTTCTTGGCATCCCACCGGGACGACGGCCTGCGACAGGGATTCTTCTGGCGGCAGCGTCTCTTCCGCCTTCTTGGTCTTGCTCTTCTTGTGCTTCCACAGCGGCATGTTGTAATTCCGCAGGCAAGCAAAAACGTGACTGTGGTGAAACCACTCAAGGCAGCCCCGTCAATGGAGGGCACTAAGGCGTTTTTAACCTTTCTTACTGCTTCAACACAGTCTGCCTCTAGATTTCTTTTTCGGGGAGGGATGATATCGAACTTCGTCGCAAGTGTTTGGAATTATCAATTCGGTTCCAGTGTACGCCGCACCCGCGCCACGAATCCGACGTTTCAAGATGGCCGACCGACCTTGACAAGTGTTTGTGGCGCAGCCGAGATGACGGTAGGCAGAGGCAGAGGCGGCGGAGAAGCGCTCGTTTGTCTACTTTGTACTTTGCTCGAGTTCACTTGTAGTCACATGCCATATGATGTCTCTCCTCTGAGCGTTTTCTTTCTTTCTGTCTCTTTTCGCCCCTCCATTTGTCTCTCTTTGAGAGGAGGGGAGGGAAGAGGGCGACCTGGGCGTTTTTATCACCGGCAAGACGGCACCCGTCGCACCTTTCCTAGTTTGGTCGGGCGCAGCATGTGCCAACCAATATTGATCTCCTCGCGCAGCCTGGCAGGCTTTGATTGGCATCAGCGACGAACTAGTGTGCACTGATTGGGTCAATGGCTCGCTCGCCAACCAAATATTTGATGTAGTTAGGGGTCACGGTAGGTGGGGTTCATGGGGAGGGGCAAAAGACAGTCCTGCAGTTGCGCAGACAGCGAAGAGCGGGGGATTCGCTGCAGTTGGAAACGGAAAACGCAGGCGAGTGCGCTCATGCTCAGACAGGGGGATTGACTGCGACGATGCGCGCGTGCAAGGGTTTTGCGGCTGTGGGTTACGCAACAGACACCCAAAACCCAAACTGCTGCACGCACGCAGCACGCACCGCCACACTCGTCGACTTTCAACCACGGTGGCGGGCCCGAGACCGCATACGTCCAAATATCGATTTCGAGAGCTGAAAAGAATACAACAAAAAGTCAGACCTCTACCCGATCGCTGACGGCCTGCCTGTATCTTAACAAAATTCTCCTCCTCCCCGCACGAGAGTTGAATTCTCTCCGCCGTGAGCGAGTGACGCCATGCCGTATCCAGACACCACGCTCCCTCAGCGGCCCCGCGTTGCTCCATCGCAGCAGGGGCAGGAGCAGAACCAGCAGCAGCAGCAGCAGCAGTACATGATTCAACCGCCCCAACAACTCCGACAGCTTCACCAACCACAGCAGCCCCAACAACCCGGGCAGCTCCAGCAGCTCCAGCAGCTCCAGCAGTTCCAGCAGGCACAGGCCGGCATAGGGCCGCCTACTGTACCCTTCAACTCGGCCCAGGGTCCTCACCATGCAGGGCACATACAGACCGGGGCCGTTGGCTTCTACGGCACCCCTCACTAGGAGAAGTCCAGTACCTTGGTAAGTACAGTTCTCGATTTCCATTCTCGTCGGTTTTGTTTTGGCTGAAGGAGGAAAATCAAAGAGGTAGAAGGAAGCTGGGTTTTACTGACACATGATATGCTTCAGGCGGCGTCCATCACCACCACCATGGCCAAGGAGGCACCCCGAAGCCCCAGTCGACATTTCAACTCAACTAGATGCCCCGGACCTAGACCTAGACCTCGATCAGATGGACTACGACCGTTGCCCCAATACCGGGACATGGCTCCTCGAAAACCAAGCCTTTGAAGATTTTGTCGAGTCTTCTGTGTCCGCCTGCTTCCACCTCTCCGGCAACCCGGGCTCGGGTAAGAGCTTCCTCACTTCCAAGGTCATCGAGGAGCTGCGGGACCGCTGCGCCCTCGAACCCGATACCGCCATGATCTACTTCCTCTGCGACACCAAGACGGGCGCCGCCAACCGCCGCACGTCCCAGGCTGTCTTATCCACCTGACGGCGCAGTTGCTGGAGCAAATCTCCGCCATCGACCCCGTCTTTGTGCGCAAGAGCGCCGAGGCGTTTGGCATCGTGCGCAAGAAGACCAACCAGATCCCCGAGGGCCAGCTGTTCCGCGTGCTGCACAAGTGCCTCCAGCGCATGCAGGAGTGCGTCATCGTCGTGGACGCCGTGGACGAGTGCGATGACTGGAACAACCTGATGCAGATCGTCACCCGCATGCTCGACACCAAGGCGTGCGTGCTCAAGTTCTTCTTCTCTTCCCAAAGGCCATGGGTATCCCCTACGTCATCTCCCGCCTTCCCGTGGAGAGCAAGTTCCGGCTCGACGTGACGGCTGATCAGATGGAGTCCGACATTTCGCGCTACGTCGAGTCGCGCACCCGGACGCTGGATCTCCGTAGTTTGGGGTCTCCCGAGCAAGCGATGGATGCCCTGATCCGGGGCTGCGACGGCCTGTTCCTGCTTGTGCGTCTGCGCCTCGACATTTTGACGCGGGATATCCTGCCGCTCGGAGGGGAAATCAAGACGGCCCTGAGCGAACTACCCGAAGACATCTTCCCCTCTACGAACGCCTGCTGAACCGCCTCGACGACAGGCACAAGTCGCTCGCCCAGCTGCTCTTCCTCTGGGTCGTGCACGCGCAGCGCGTCCTCACCGTCGCGGAGCTGGCCGAAGCCTACCGCGCCGAGATCCTCGCCAACGACCCGACCCAGACGCCCACGCTCTCCGAGTCCGAGATCGAAGGCCTAAGCGGCGGGCTCATCGAGATCAACGACGGGCGTGTGCGCCTCGCCCACACCACCGTGCGTCATTTCGTCACCGTCTACGACTGGGGCGCCCAGGCGAGGGCCAACGCCGCGGACGCCCGGGCCATGAACGAGCGCCTCCTGCTGCGCTGCCTCGGCTACATCATGACCCCGGCCCTGGTCTCCTGCATCTTGTCGTCGTTTGAGCTGACGGCGCAGACGCAGTGCGACTGGCCGCTGGCGGACTACGCGCAGCGCACCTGGTTCGACCACCTGCAGCTCTGCTCCGGCAGTAACCCCGACCTGGTGCGGCTGGTGGGCGAGTTTATCCAGTCGGACGCGTGCCTGGCGTGGTGGATGTGCTACACGACGCACCTGGAGATGCACAACTGGTGGAGCATACCCGAAATCACGGCGGACCTGGCCATCTGGCTGCGCAACAACTGCAAGAGCTACATCCCCGAGGAAGACGCCGCCGACGTGGTCTCGGGCTTGTGCCAGCGGCATTTCGAGATGATGAAGGCCGCCAAGGAGACGCCGAGGGTCGACCTCTACGTCCCCACCCTCCTCCGGCTCGCCAACCAGAAATTCGAGTACGGGTTCCCCGAGATTGCGGAGACGTGTCTGCAGGAAGCCATGGAGATCTCGCGCGGGCACAACATAGCCAACGCGACCCTGATCAGGATCCAGGTCCTCCAGGACCGCGCTGAGCTGATGCGCATCCTGGCCCGGCACGACGAGGCCCTCGCCATCTCGGACGAGCTCGACGCGGAGCTCGCGCGCGCGACCGAGAGCGACTTGGACCGTCAGGTCATCTCGGTGGCCATGAGCAGGGCCATCACCGAGCTCGAGTCGCGCAATTTGGAAGCGGCGGAGCGCATCTTCCGCGGCCTCGTCGACACGGCGAGGTCGACCCTGGACCGTAACGACCCGGATACGCTCTCGGTAATCCACTGGCTCGCCATGACGTGTTTCGAGCTGGGCCACTACGTGGAAGCGGGCGAACTGTGGGACATCCAACTATTCAGGGCCGTTTTGGGGAGGACGCACCCTAGCACGCTCTCGGTGATGGACTGCCTGTCGAGCCTCCTCTCGGCCCGGGGCAAGTGCTTCGAGGCCACGGCCTTGCGTCGCGAGGTGGATACGCTGCGGCGGGAGCGGCTGAGCAACAAGACGGTGGCCGTGTTCAAGGGCGAGCTGGGACTGGCGTACGGCTACCACAACGAAAAGAACCCGGACGCCGCCCTCAGCATCGCGAAGAGGCTGCTTGACAGAGCCCGGGGATCTGGTCCGAGGATCACTACCTGGTCCTGGAAATTAAAGCGGCCCTGTGCGAGTTTATGCGGGGTGCGGGGCTCCACGCGGAAGCCATGGCGTTGCAAGAGTCGGTCGTGCAGGGGCGGGTGAATACGTTAGGCCCGAACCACTCGTGGACGCTGCAGGACAAGATGCGCCTCGCCCTGATCCAGCTAGGGCTCAGCCAGTACGACAAGGCCGCGGACCTGCTGAGCGACATTGTCGAGATACGGCGGAAGGACCACGCTTCCGACCACGTGAGCATGCACCAAGTGCTGGACCAGCTCGCGAGAGCCTACCGCGGCGTGGGTCGCTACAAGAAGGCGCTAGAAATTGGGCTGGAGGCGCTGGAGCTTGCCAAAAGGGCGCGGACGAAGAGAGCGTGCTGGTGCTCAACATCTTGGCCGGCATCTGCCTCACGCGGGAATCCATGGGCGACCGAAACGAGGCGGAGCGGGTGCAGCGCGAGCTGCTGGAAAGCTGGAAGCGGATCGGCGGCGAGGAAAACCCGTCCACGCTCGTCACGGCGGCGAACCTGAGCATCACCCTCCGCAATAACGGCAAGGCGGAGGAGGCGGCGGAGCTGGGCAACTGGGTGCTGGAAAAGCGGCAAAGATCTTTGGCCCCGACCACCCCGACGTGCTGACGGCGATGGCGGGGTTGCGCTGTCCCGCAGGCACGCGGGCCGCGGGGAGGAGGCCGAGGCGATGGAGCAAACAGTGTACGAGAAGCGGGCGGCCAAGGGGGCGCACCGCGAGGAGACGTACTCGGCCATGACGAACTTGGCGGTGACGAAGCGGCACCTCAAGAAATGGGACGAGGCGGAGAGGATGGAGCGGGAGGTGGTGGAGGGGCGCAAGAAGATCCACGGCACCGAGGACCATCCCGAGGTGGCCACGGCACTGGGGAACCTCGCGCTCACTCTTTCGGAGCTCGGGAGGTACGAGGAGGCCGAGGTGCTGGAGGAAAAAGTCATCGAGATTCGCATGAAGAGCAGCCCAACGGACCAGGACTCGGACATTGCGGTCGGCAACATCATCATCACCAAGCAGAAGCTCAACAAGACGGAGGAAACGGAAACGCTACAGCAACAGCTCGTGGATATCCGCAAGGCGATGCTGGCGTCCGACGACCCGAAGCTCACGGCGGCGATGGCGAGCCTGGCGACGACGAAGCGGAAACTGCGCAAGTTCGAGGAAGCAGAGGCCCTCGAGCTGGTCGTGCTCGAGGTCCGGAAGCGGACGCTGGGCCCTGAGGACACGACCCTCCTCGACGCCATGGGCAACCTCGCGGTGACACAGGTGCAGCTCGGCAAGTACGATGAGGCGGCCGCGCTCGAGGAGTTTATCCTTGAAACGCGGGAAAAAGCCGAGCCCGACAGCAACGCCACGCTCATCGCGCGGAGCAACCTCGCCTTCACCCGGGTACGGCTCGGGCGTCTCGAGGAAGCGCTGGAGATGCAGGAGCAAGTGCTCGCGGCGCGGCAGCGGCAGGCGCGGGAAGCGGGCGACGAGGAGTTCACGACCGAGGTGATCACGGCCATGGGGAACCTGGTCAGCGTGAAGCTCGACGCGGCGCAGTACGCCGAGGGGATCGCGATGCAGGAAAAAGTCGTGGCGCTACACGAGGAGCGTAAAGGCCGCAGCGACGAGGCGACGGTGTCGGCGCTGGCGGTGCTGGCCATGGCGTACCTATGGGTGGACCGCAACGCCGAAGCCGAGGCGCTGTGCCTCGAGGTGCTGGCGACGCGCACGGAGAAGCTGGGCCCGGAGCACAAGGACACGGTGGACGCGCAGGTGATGCTGGGCGACTGCTACGACATGATTGGCGAGGCGGACAAGTCGCTGGAGTGGTTCCGGAAAGCGCTGGACGCGCGCGAGAGGATGTACGGCCGGCACCACGTGTACACGCTCGCGGCGCTCGAGGCCGTGGCCATGGCGGACCTCTCGGGCGGGTCCTCGCCCTCATGGAAGAGGTGCTGCAGTGGCGGAAAGACAACCTCGGCGAGCGGCACCCGGACACGATGCGCGCGTACCACAAGCAGGCCATGATCCTCATGACCATCGGGCGCTTCCCCGAGGCGCGTGAGCTCCTCGCCATCGCGCTCGAGTACCGCATTGCCACGTTTGGTCTCCGCAACCTGGATACCCTCGATTCCAAGGAGATGCTGGCGCTGGGGTACTGCCTCGACGGGCAGATGGGGCCCGGGCAGGAGTTGATGACCGAGGTGGCGGATGGGATGGCGGAGTTGTTGGGGCCGGACCATTCCCGCACCAAGGCGGCATTAAAGGCAGCCTTGTTGTAGAGTGACTCGGGGTTGTCCGGGGCCATGGCGGCACCTTGCACCTATTTCCTTTCCTTTCCTCTTTGAATTTCTTTTGTTTTTATTTTCTTTGGACGCACATCACGGACACATGGGAGCGTGGCATACTTAGACTATTTTTGGTTTTCTTTATTGTGTTGTTCGCTTTTCTTTTTAGTTTTCCTTATCTTGTCTTGTTTCGTCACAGTTTCAACTCTTCTTTCACGCATTTATCTTGTCAAGTTGGCGTTTCCGAGATTGTATACGTATTGTCCATACACAAATAAACTTGATTCCCAAACCGGCGCTCTTTAATGTGGTGAGGTGCATTTTCTAAATGTCCATAGCTGTGAATATACGGTAGAGGTACCTGGCAGTCTGTACTCAATGGATCGGTAACCCTGAGCTTAGCTATTGTCCGCTCTCCAATCGGAACCGGCTTCGACGACACGATTAAGAGAGCTAAGAAAAGGGCGACCGGACTATTATTCGGACTATGGGCATTTGGCTCGTGGAATTTACCCAAGATTCTACCAGCATGACATGCCAAGGTATCGCTCTCCTCAATATTTTCTCCACCGCAGGACCCTGGAAGGATATGGCGTGAGGACACGTTCTATCACTACTATATTGACGTATGTGCTCTAACAAGATGTGTTGATGTATATATATCGCATGAGATAACCCGATGAAGAGGCAGTTGTGACGACCGAAGAAAGCACAGTACCTAGGTTAGTACGCAAGTATTGGAGGAACTCGGTCCTTCGATAGATTAGATCCATGGATGGATCCAGCCAAGAACCCGAGATCCACAAGTTGACACGATGGGGGAAGGACGTTTGCTCCATGTACTGATACCGGCAAAGCCACGAATAAACGCAGATAGTCTGAGGCGTCAAACCTGCATCGTGCCCCCAAAAATGGGTCTCGGACGCCGTCTTCCTCGCCAATTCGCTGCAAGACTAGTCACCAAGCATGGCCACCGCCGCAACCCACCGATACGCCTGACCACGCGCAGGGTTCTGACGGCCCGACTCATCTTTTTGCTTTTCTCATGGGCCCCTCCTCGCTGTATTAATAATGGAAGACGTGCGAGATAGTCCCGATTCGGTAATTCTCAGGGCTTGTGGTCTGGGGATGTCCGGACCCAGCACCAGACGAGTTGATGTAGACTTGCCAAAATCGGTCGATGTACCGAGGTAGACCCAGCATCTTGACAAGAAGAAAAATTTAAGAATTCCCTAAAAGGGAAATTTCCTAATCTGGTCAGCGCTCTTTGGAAATCTGGGCTCCCCCGGTTCAGCACAGATATAACCGGGTGGAGAGCCAACACGAGCGAATGAAGAAACTCTTCCGTCAGCACGGCGAGCCGGAAGAGCTTTCCATGGCTCCGGCCTCACGAGAACCGGGGGCCCAACGCTGACAAAGAGCGTCGGGGTGACGAGGGTATATCACCCTTCCTCTCTCTCTCTCTCTCTCTCTCTCTCTTGGACTTGGTCCGCTGTTCTCGTATCCAGCCCTCTTTGCTCCCATTTTTGTAATATTTCTCACGAGAATTTGCACCGTGGGTCATAGTAATAGGTGGCGTTCTTCTTAAAAGCTCTCCCACAGCCCACCTTTGAGAGAAGAAACCCACCGTGAACAATTCCGGTCGCCTTTATTCTTGTTTGAATTTTTAATCATTCCCGCCCCTCTTCTCCCACTTAACCTATATTGAGAACTACACAATAATTGAAAAAGGGAGAAGAACCCTGTGTGCGTACTTCTCACCATGGCTTATCAAAGCCAACAGACTCTCGTCGAGGTGCCGCTGGTGCCCATGGTGCCGCTTCCGCCTGCCACTCGCAGTCTTTCGCGAGCGACCGAGGACGTGCCATATCTTCATCGCACCATCTCATCCTCCCGGGGCCATGAACTCCACTCCCAAACGCCCCCGGAGGATCAAGAGTCCGGATCTCAGGACCAGGGCGTCTACTCCTGCCTGTCTTGAAGATTGTAGCCAGCAGTTTTGCCTTGATTGTGGCTGGAATGAATGGTACCGTTCCCTCTCTCGTTTTTCCTGTCGTCTGCTGTCTCCGCCATCATCATGCTTGAAACGCCAATATCACACACAACGCACACTCAAATACGAGACCATCAAACCGCCACTTTTTGATTTTTCTTTGTGAAAACTGACCATGATTTTGTCCCGCCCTTGCACAACAGATGCCACCACCGGGGCCTTGATCCCCTACATACAGCCAGCCTACAACATCGGCACCCTCTTCGTAGCCCTCGTGTACCTGGTAAACTTTGCCGGCTGGCTCACCGCCGCCTTCACCGTCGCGCACGTCACCTCCTTCCTCGGCATGGGCGCGACCTTTATGGTGGGCGTGGCCTTTCAAATCGTCGGGTACTCCCTCATGAGCTGGAAACCCCCTTCCCGCTCTTCGTGTGCTCCTTCTTCTTCACCGGGCTTGGCGTGGCCTACCAGGGCGCCCAGGTCAACACTTTTGCCGCGGGGCTGCAAAACGCCCACCGCTGGCTCGGCGTCGTGCACGCCGCCTACGGCTTCGGCGCCTTCATCACGCCCATGGTGGCCACGACGCTCGCTTCGAAAACGACGTACTGGCACTACTACTACCTCGTCTTGCTCGGCGCCTCCGTGGCGAACATGGGCCTCCTGTTCTTTGCGTTCCGCCGCGAGCTGTTGAAGAGGCCGACGGCGCGTAATGCCGGGGAGCAGATGAAGAAGGCGCTCTCGCAGAGGAGTGTTTGGATTTTGAGCATGTTTTGGTTTTTGTACGTTGGGGCCGAGGTCACCGTAGGAGGTAAGTAATTGTCCCTCTTCCAATTGCCTTGATCCCTACATGTACTCATAGGTAATTGGGTTATTATTGTTGGCTGCTAATCAAGCTCGGGGCTTTTAGGTTGGGTCGTCGAGTTCCTTATCCGGGTCCGAAACGGCGTCCCCAGCAAAGTCGGCTACGTCGCGTCTGGCTTCTGGGCCGGCCTCTTTCTCGGCCGCATCCTCTTGGCCGACATCACGAACAAGCTCGGAGAGCGCGCCATGATTTTCGCCTACATCATCATCGGGCTCATTCTGCAGCTCATGTTTTGGTTTATCCCCGACATCATCGCCAACGCTGTCGTGGTGAGCATCTTGGGGTTCGTCATCGGGCCATTCTACCCGGCGGGCGTATCCGTCATTACGAGGCTGCTGCCCAAGGACATGCACGTAGCAACTCTCGGTAAGTTTGCCATCTTATGCTAGATAGTAGAGTTGTCAATCACATCGATGGCAGTGTGCTCATCACAGTGGATCCTTCAGCTAACGTTGTTTTTGATGTACGTGCAGGCTTCTCGTCCAGCATCGGCCAAGCTGGCTCGGCTGCTTTTCCCTTCCTAACTGGGGCCATTGCTTCCAAGGCGGGCGTTGCGGTGTTGCAGCCCATCATTGTGGCGCTGTTGGTCGGAATGTTTATCCTCTGGGCAATGATGCCTGGTGTCTGGAGGCCAGTCAAATAGAGTGAATAAAATTATGCGCCGAGGGGAGTATTTTGACGAGTATTCTTTCAATTAAACTGGCTACTCGATGATACATGTATTGAGGAATACTGGATGTAATCATTGTCACTTTTCCCGAAGAATGATTGAGACTGCGGTAAATTATGAGTATAGAAAGAGCTCAATCTCTACATCTATCAATGATGACAATAACAATCCCCACCACAATAGAAATTATGTTATCCTTGCACTACATGTGCGCTCAGAAGGACAAGAAACAGAGCAAGACATGGAAAGAACAAAACGAAAAAAATAATAGACTGCGATCTAATCATAATGCATCATGACCTTTGGTCGGATCTAAATCTCCGGGTCCTCGGCAAACAGGGGCAAGTTGGGCTCACAGACGGTGTCGGCCTCGGGCAGCTCACCGCTAGCGAAATACTTCTGAATAGCCTTGATGGTGCAGTTGGAGGGCTGGGTGAAGGAGAGATGCTACTCTGGTTGTCAGCACGGGCGAATAAGGAGTGAAAAAGAAAAATCGGAAGGGATTAAGAAGGTGTAAGAAACTTACTCCGAAACCGTTGTGCTGAAGAACAACGCTTCCCTCGAAGCCAGCGCTCATGTTCTTGGCCGAAGCCAAGGGCGTGACGGGATCGTAGGTGTTTCCGATAAAGAGAAGAGGGTTCTTGGTCTTGACGTGGAAGTCGCCCTCGTACCGCTCCTTGGCCTCAAACGGCCACAACGCGCAGGCGTAGACGTAGTAGCCGCGGGCGAAACCGGGGAACAGCTTGCTCTCCTGGCGGAACTCCTCCTCGATGGCGTCGAGGTCGGATAGCTTGTCGGTGCGGGGATCTTGTCGCCGCAACGGATGCCGAGGATGGCCTCGGCCTGCTTGGGGACGGCGGCGGCGCCGGGTCCGAAGAAGACGTCGGCGACGGGCGAGGTATCGCCGTCGAGGAGGCCGTCGATGACCCTGGACAGGTTCTGGTAGGAGTTGGGGCGGTAGAGGGTGCTGAGGGTGAGGGTGTTGGCGATGCTGTAGTCGAGCACCATGGGGGCGTGCCGTTGACGAACAAGGGGATGGGGTTGTACTTGAGGTCCTCGAAGAAGTCGGCGATGGCGGACTTGAGCTCGTCGGCGGTGTCGAAGCGGGTGCCGAGGGGCACTTGTTGGGGGTGGCGACGCAGGCGTCGAGGAAGGCGTCGAAGGTCTCGTCGCTGGAGTCGAGGAGCTGGGTTTCTCTGTGGTGGCGGGGTTCAAAGTCAGCGGGTGTTGCTGGAAAAGACCAGTGTGACATGGACACTTTGGTAGCTTAGAGGTGTTGGGATGGGACGAAAAGGCTTACCCGAAAGAGTGGTAGTACTGGTGAGAGTTCATGACACCGTCGAGAATGATCTTGTCAACTCTCTCGGGGAACATGGCTGCCACGGTCGCGCCGAGAGCCGTACCGCCAGAGAGGCCTTGAGTGACAAAAAGAAACAAGGTTAGTAAAGGTGATCTTCCGGCAAGATGTCCTCGACAATTAGTGCCAAGTGATCATTCACGTACCCCAGTATCGAAGAAGGCCGTCCTCTTCGAGCGCATCCACAATCTCAATCATGTCCCTCGACGTGAAGGCCATGCCGACAAGGCCGCCGTTGGCCTTTTGCGTCTCTCCGCAGGTCTTGGCGAGGATCTGGGCCTCTGCCCAGACCTGCCCGGGAGCCGTGTCGGAAGCGTCGGGCACGCCTTGAGCGTACTGCGTGCCAATCTCTTCGGGTTCGAAGCATGCGAATCGAAGAGTGTTGCCGGTGCCCCTGCAAGTGTGCTCACATTAGTCACGGGCCGTATGGGAGGATGATGGAATCCCGGAGGGAGTGGGAATTGTCGCTTACCTAGGGTCCCAGCTGATGAGATCAAATTGTCCGCCAGTGATGCTAGATGGATGAATTCAGTTAGTACGACCAGAAAAGACAAAGGGGTCAAAATTGACCATCTATGCATGCACGATGCATCGTTTGATGAGTAGGGTTAGAGAGGAGGGAAAATAAACATACGGGGCCTGGATGGGCGCATAAGCGACCATGCTGTTGAGGCCATCCTGGCCGGGACCTCCAAAGTTGAGCAAGATGGACCCTTGGGAGGGGCCGTTCTGGGCGGGATACTTGATGAGGTCGAGTTCGAGGGTCTTGTTCGACGACTTGTCCGTGTAGTCGAGCGGGACGTTCAACTTGCTGCACTGGACGGGAGGCCGCGGGTCTCATGCTCGCAAGGTCCCCACTCGAGCTTGCCGCCGCGCCGGACGGGAGTGGCGTCGACGCTGGCCAGGGTCGAGAGACCGACCAAGAGCGATGCTCTGCCTAGGTTCTTCATGGTGGAATTGGTGAATCCTCGAGATGAGGAAGTTGAGGCGAATTGAGTCTTGGAAAGAAAAAAGAAAAAAAGTTCTGGTGAGAAGAACCCTTGAGTGGAGTATCTATGTGCTGCAGATAGATTGAAGGCGTGAGATGAATTGATATACGAGACAAAAACACGAGATGATGGATTCCAAAGGGAATGCGGACGTCTTTATAGATGTTGGAGATGTTCAAGCGTCGGACAATTTCTACGCCGCGCTTGACAGCTCCGAGAGAATGTGAGCAGCAAGCCTCCCCTTGTTGTCGACGAAGACGGATGAGATCATGGCTGTTCTTGGCCATCCCCCGGCCCTACCGCTAGTTCAGAGAGGCTCCGATTACACTGCCAAGACCCGACGCGGTCTGCCCAACGAGAAGGGGGCCGATGAGCCTATTCCCCGCCTCCTTCGGGGGCGTCAAGGATTCCAATGTTGGACCAAAAAAAAAAGAGAGGAACAACATTGAAGGCAAAGGCCCACCCAAAGCTGCCCGAAACGGGAGTGATGTGCCGCTTGGGTTTAGTGAACAGAGCATCGGGAAGCCAACGACCAACAAAACATTGCACATGCACGTCCATGTAGACTGAAAGAGGAAAAAGGAACAAAAAACAAGGGCGACATGTGGGTAAAAAGAAAAATAACACTGCCTTGATTATCCCTTATCCTTTCCCTACATGTGGTGTTCCACAGCCCGTATACGAGCCTGGACCATGTCATTGTGCTTTTGCCCGGGGAGGAGGGGGTGCGTTGCGCGTTGCGTTGTACACTATGTACGTGCTGCCCGTCGTTTGTCCTGTCCGATCTGTGTCCGTCCCGCTCATCCTGCGCGTTCTGCTTTTCTCCAAAAATAACTCCCCCAGGTTGCTGTCCGAAACGAACAAGCGAACATCCAAATTTGAGGCCCTAACCAATAACGCTAAACGCAGCGCTGGAAGGATTTGGGCATTGCGTAGGTTGGTCCAGCCTTTGTTCTTCCCGGGGCGGGTTATAGCCAGGGCTACATCCAGATAGCTCCATAGAACGTAGGCGGTTTCCTCTGAAGGATCGGTTCTTGGCGAGTCGATCTTCCCGGAAGACCAGCCGCTGATCGCATCATTACACCACAAGTGGCTCTCTCCACAGGGCTTGGGCTGAGAAAAGGAACATGGATGGAGAACATCCACACTGGTTCGATCTGCAGAAAAACGTGCCGTTTCCCGGAAAGGGAAGAAGAACAAAAGAGAACGCCACACCAACTGTCGTCAGCAATCGCCTCCCGCCCATCCTTTTGCTATTCTTCATTGAGGCATTGGGGCGCCGTTCTTTCTCGAAGACGCTTGTCCTAATTGGGAAAAACGCAGCGCTCTTCCCCAGCACAGCCGGGGGAGCACACCTCGCCCTTGCAGGTTCCCACGGACAACAAGCGTGGGGAGAGAGAGCAGTGTCTCAATATCTCGATCAAATGTCTCGCTCCAGTCAATGGGCGGATGAATGAGTGCATCCCGTGGATGCATCCGTGGATGGATCTATGGACGCGACGACTGGTCGGTATCACAATCTCGACGAAATAATCAATTTCGTACAATCTGACAGGGCCTCGTCTACATTTACGATGGATTGCGAAATGGATTTTATCCATTTCTTACTCCCAAGAAAATATTCATACACATTACACGTACATTTACGCTTCGTTGGTATTTCCGGTGACCTTTCAACCCGTCACTCGTAATTCCAACAAGTAATGGAGATCACCCTCGCTGCCATGCCCGTCTCCACCTGTCAATTTCTCATGTGCCCTCTAAGTATTAGGATGCGTGTTCACGGCGGGTCCCCCATGGACCGCCGATCCAACAAGTTCCGACCGCACGTGCTCCGGCACCCCGGAAAGCTGCTGACCATGAAGCGGCGCCTGCTGCTGCTGCTGCTGCTGCTGCTGATACTGCTGCGCCACCCCTCCGCCATCCCCGCTGCTCGACGGCGTCGACGACTGTGGCGGGTACATTTGCGGGGGCAACGGCTGCTGCCCGGCTAGCGCCGTATTGCCCAGCTCTGCCTTGTGGTACATGGTGCCGTGCGGGCCCGTCGGCACCACTCGGGGTACCTTCTAGCTCCGGTTTGGCGGCGACAACCCCGCCAGGCACGGGGACGGGGACGCCGGGTCCACCCACGTAATAATACCCCGACTGCCCCGGCTGAGGGTAGTTGGGGATCTGGGCGAGATGCGCCGCGCGCGCTTTCCGCCTGCGCTTGAATATGCACGTGAGGGTGATGACGGCCGTCGCGACGAAGAGTAAAGGGATGGTCACGCCGAGCGCGATGGCCACCTTGGCTCCCGTTGTCAGCCCGCCGGAGGGTGTGGGAAGCGAGGACGCCCGGCCGGTTACGGAAGCCGACGCCCGGCCGGTTTCAGAGCCCCCGCGGCGGTTGGCCTCGTGGGGTCGTCGCTGCCCACGACGAGGAGCACTCGCGTCGCGTAGGCTGCGGGTCCGTCCTGATCGCTCGCTACGGTCAGGGTGGTGGGTTTGGTTTCGCACTCGTCTTCGTACATGATTCCTGATACTCTGGCGCCGCGGGATCCGGTGAATGTGCACTTGAGGGCGTCGTCCTCTGCGCAGCCGAAGCTCCTATAGCCGGGAACATCAAATGATGAGCGCCAGTCTTTTAATCAAGGGGACACATGCGTGTGGAATGAAAGAACCAAGGTGAAAGGGGAAATAGGCAAGGGGGAAATGCATCATCATACCTGGGGCAACAGTTGAAAGCCGTCTCGCCCTCGTCCAGCATATTCCAAATCGCCCAGCTCGCCGTCGTCAGTATCCCGTCCGTCGTCGGCTCCGGATCCCCGCGCACGACGCTACACGCCGTCGTGAACCCGATGGGACAAAGGTTGCCGGGCGAGAAGACGGCCATGGTTTCGAGATAGTCATCGCCCATCAGGTAGGACCCCAGCGCGGTGGGGAAACACGACGACGCGGCGCCGAGGATGAGCGTGTTTCCCCGTCGCCGACCGCGCGGCACGATTTGCCCCAGTCCCCGCGGAAACCGCCGGAGGTGCGGATGTTGAAGTTGATGCCGCAGTCGCTCGGGGGTTGGAAGACCGTGGTTAGGGGCCCTAGGTTCGTCGTCGGGGAGGCCATGGTGCTCGGAGGGTATTTTGGGGTGGAAGGCCTCGCTTGCCAGCTCGGGATGTTTGTTTTCGAAGCCTTGGCGCACGGATTCTCTGCCGTGTTCCGTCTCGATTCGCTGTCGCCTCGTTCTCTTCGGTAAACTATCGTCCGTTGCTGTCGTCGTGTGTCGCGCCGGGAATGTGGGTTTCGTGACTGAGTAATTCGTTAATCGAGATGCACGGATTCAACAAAGTGTGAGGCATCTGTAGATCAAAGTCGTGTAGCCTAGCCGAAGGATTCATGCATTTCGTCAGAGGAAGCTCCCCAACTGGTTTTGATCTCGATCCGTTCCTTGAAAAAAATAAAAGTGAAGGATTCGGCAAGGGATCGAACAAAAGAAGAAAATCGACCAGGGCAGCGCCGGCGTTTGAAGACCACACAAAACCTCTGTTTCTCCCCTAAAAACCCCCTCCTTAAAAACGCTGGGCATACTGCGACGTGGCGGTGCAATGTTGATCCGTCCTCACGAGTTCTTGACTTGGTGATGGCGATCTGCGCATCGACTTTCTCGATGGAACCCGCCAATCTCTCCCGCCCAGCGAAATCAAGCCACCGGGAGCTGCCATTTTCCACCCCCAGCGGCAAGGATCAACTGGTGCCAAGCCGCCAACACTGGCGCAGCGTCCTCATACTGCATATATCCACTCTCCCGCTGTCCGAGGCCCGTTGGGACTGGTTCGCGCACAAAGGCCGACTGGATGTGACGCGACTCGACCCCAGCGGGGGAACCGAGCCCGGGAAAACGTCTATCACGGTGCCATTGAACAAGAAATAAAAGGTTATTTTTAAAGTTGATGTTCCTGGAGTCAATCCAAAATATCACCCTGGATTATGGCGTCAATATCTTGGGGGTATCTTCGAATGGTTCAATGTTGTGGTGCCAAGTATCAGAAACATCCACCCCGGATTTGCGTGCGCTGCTGTTCAACAAGGATTGCACCACGCTTTTCAGCGCATCATCCTGTCCATGGCTTCCAGGCCATGTATACTGCACTTGCATCATTTTGACTCCAAGAGAGTGGAGGCGTTTATAGTCAGTCCCGGCAACTCGGGCGTGGCGGCCAAGAAGCGGTGCCTTGGCCCCAAGACCTGCTTGACGAGTCGCGATGGCCAAGGTCTGGGCCAAGCGGCGGAGATGGTGGCGGTTCTGCTTTGGCTTGCATCCCTGCAAGTTGGCAGTTTCCGAAAGCGTTGCGATTCTTACATCAGTGCTGGCCTTTGCCATTCGCAATTGAATAATACAGATCCATCAATTGGTCCATCTTCAATCGCGCCACTTACCCGTGGTATGAGGTGGATCAACACATGAGCTTCTCCAAGTACATGTTGAGCATTGAGCTGTCCGTTGCCTGTCTTGCCTGTCCTTCACCCCCAATCCAATCATGATCGATTGTATCTCGACTATTTCAGGTTTACCGGAAACCATTTGAATTCTTGCAAAGAATTGCTTTTGCACTTGTCCAGTTCTGCTCTTTTACCCGAGGCCAAACGAAAGGGTTGGAGACTGAGGAAGTCAGACTGGATCTCGTGCAAAGGTAACTCGATTCAAGGCGAGAGGATTTAAGCAGCAAAACGGCCAACGATGGATGCCCACCCTGGGCGTCTACGCGCATCGTGACAGGTGGATTCTTGGGGATTCCTCGCCGTTTAAAGATTAAGGGATGAGGTTTGGGGTCTTCTGCGGAGAACAAGTGTGGGGGATAGAGTAGACCACCTCGGCCGCACAGCATCTATCCGGCCTAGCCCGAAGAATTCCGCCCCAGTATGCATCGGGCGCTAACCGTTCGAGACGCCGGACTCTCTGCGTGCTGGGTTTGTCCAGGTGGTTTTGAAACAAACCACCCTTGTACGCCTTGTGCCCGCGCTAATGACAGGAGAGCAGAGTGGAGAATCTCGAAAGGAATTTGTCGAGGTCAACGTTGGAAGATGCAGTGAAGCAATCATTTATATCTCAAGTTTTCAAGATCGTCATGTTTTGGCCATTCTTGCTTCTTTTCTAGGATCGAGGTGTGCCTGCCAGCCGTTCTTTAAACAAATTTCCATTCATTTTTGTGATTTTTACATTTGGTTATTTGGGTTGAGTTCGACACGTTCTCTTTCAGCATCAGTTTCTAAAAGGCAGGTACTATCAAAAATCAATTCGCAGGATGAAGTCGGTCATCCCCTCCTCGTTGGCGCTGGTTTCGCCAGCGCTTACACCGTGACCAACGTCGGAAAGTTTATGGAAAAGAACATTGATCCCATCGTCACGCCCGGCGAATATCGGAGCCACCTGCACACCTTTTTCGGTTCCGACGCCGTCAACGTGAACACCACCACCTCGGCGGAACTCCAGGCGGGCTGCTCCACGGCCGAGAATCCCAACGATTTCTCCTCCTACTGTACGCGTGATGTGCCCCCGGGTACCCTTTCTCGTTTTATTCGCTAACTCGCTCTGCTAAGGGATCCCCAGCCTCGTCATCCGCAACGACGACGGCTCGACAACACCCGTGCCCATCTTCCGCTTCAGCGCCTACTACGTCGACATCAACGCCGCCGAAGTCCCCATCCCCCAAAACTACCGCGCCGTCGTCGGCAACGCCGCCGCCACCGCGCAGGCCGACGTGCCCAGCCTCGCGGGCCACTCGTGGTTCTGCGAGGGCGACCCGTCCGACCAAGACAAAGACCCCGCCGCGTTCCCGCGCCAGACGTGCAGCACCCACCTGCAGACCCTCCTCCTCTTCCACGACTGCGTCGACGAGACGACCTCGCGTCGGCCTACTCGGGCGTGCAGAACTGGAACGCCACGTTTCGCCCCGCGAACCGCTGCCCCGAGGGCATGAAGCGCATGCCGCGCCTGCGCTTCAGTATCCGCTACGACTTGCGCAAGGCCCTCCCCGGCGGCTGGGAGGGTGCGCCGCCCTTCGAGTTGGCGTGCGGGAGCCAGTACTGCTTCCATGGCGATTTTATCAACGGCTGGCTTCCTGAGGCGGCGGAGAATATGCTGCTGGCGAACAGTAAGAGGGATTTTGCTGGCGTGGATGGGCCGAATGGTGTTTATAATGCTGGGAGTGTTTGTACGCGCGCGGCTGTGGATGTGGATCCGGATCATGGTACGAGCGACTTTCTCGAGGCGCGGGATGTTGCTGAAAAGCTTGCCAACGTTCCCGTCACTGCTGATGATGAAGCATCTACACCTACGACGTCAAGTGAAACCCCTACCGCGATCCCGGTCGATGAAACCGAGGAGACTGATGCTGAAGAGCCATCGGTGCCTGAAGATGTCCATGAAGATGTGGTGGTCTCGACTAGCACCCAAGCAGTGGACGTTGCCGAGCCTACTGCTCCCGTTATCGACGTACCCATCCGGGCTAATGCGGGATGCTCCTCGAGAAAGGCTCGCCGAAGTCACCGAGCGAGGCGCGCTAGTATGCTTTAGACGCGCGGGTAGGTTCATTAGAACAGGAATATCAATGGAGGTTTGTCTGAAGATTTATCATCAGGAAGTCTGCCGGGTGCCGAGCCCATCTACGCCGGAAATACTCGATACTCTTCAACGTTCTATCAGTTACATACGTTTAGCTTTATCTTATCCATCCTCCTTTTTAATCATCGAGACTGGTCTCTAGGGCTCGAAGGACGATCTACTCGTCTACATTTCAATTCAGCTTCGAATATTCATGTTTCTTCTGTTGCGTGACTTGAGTGAACTGCGTGTCCGACGACGGTTACCGCATGTGTGGGGTGGGGCCTGTCTCCGCTCCAAATCCCACTCACCACATGCAGCTCTCAAGCACCGTCAACCTGGTGGGTGTCCTTGAACATCATCAATCATTAATCCAACCTTTACCTGTATAAAACAACTTCTGATCCTCTGATCCTTTGATCCCCCGATTCTACACTATGACCGTCTCCTCTTTTCCAGTTTACGCCAAAAAGTAAGAAAAAAGAAGCAAAAACAGCCTCAAATGTCTGCACACTTTGTTGGCTGTTGAGCCATTCTCGAGCTAGTGAAGCCGAATGCGGAAATTGGCGTCGCCCGTTTCGCCATTTGCCCAGAGAATAGCGCAATACGCATTACCTAAAACAAAGCTAAGCTCCCACGGAGCCTAGTGCATCGTTGAGAGGTCCTCCTATATAATAAGCTCGAGGAAGAGCGCAGTGGAAATCGCGGGCGTCAAGAAAAATCACTCAGCACACCGAGCCACTCCCACGTTGCATCCGCCGTCCCCCTTTCTTCCCTCCCGCCGTATAATAGACCCGACGCCGTGTTGACGGATTCGCCAATATGCTCCCCGCCCGCATCGCTCAATTCACCCGCGGCTGCATCGCCACTCAGCGACCTCGCTGCGCTGCGGCAGCAGTCCGCATCAACCCCCGCTTCTTCTCCGGTTCTTCGGCCCAGCTCCAGAGCATTACGCTCCAGGTCCAAGGTACCGGCACCGGCACGAAGCAGACCGTCTCGGTCAAGGGAAAGCCCTATACTTTCCCGACGGACACGTACACCGTTCTCGGCGGGTCCGACTCAGCGCCTTCACCCGTTGCGTACTCCCTTGCGAGCCTGGGCTCTTGTAACCAGGTCACCGGCTTTGTGGTCGCGCGGGATCACGGCATCACGCTTGGGGAATGGCAGGTGACGGTCGAGGGCGTGCTGCCCACGGCCGTGCTGGTGCAGGGAGAGCAGGGTAACCCCAACTGGGAGAGTGTTGTACTTAGCGTGCAGGTGCAGACGGACATCAAGGGTGGGAGCGAGAGCGCCGAGTTCCAGCACTTCATCTCCGAGGTTGATCGCCGCTGCCCGATCACACAGCTTTTCAAACGAAGCGGTGTCGTGGTGACAAGCGAGTGGACAAACCTCCCTCTTTAAAACTATGACTCCATGGCTCGGTTACCTGTGTAAGACAGACGGATGAGACGGCACGGCCCATGCATGCAATATTGCTGCAGATAATGTATATAGCAACCCTTTTTTGTGTTCCCAGCTTGTTGACAGGGGTGGTGGAAGGCGGGGAAGGTGGGATGGTTAGACATGGACCAATAACACTATTCCGGCATCAGTGCTTGCGATGCCGCGTTCTTAACTTGCGAGTTTACCTGGAGGCATGAGTGATCTGCTGGATACATGTACGCCTGCCTCGTTTGTTTGACTTATTCGGGTAAACACGGTTACTAGATTGTGGGAGTTGGAGTGAAGAGGAAAGTGCGCAATCAAAGGACTGGGGAGGGCGGGTTGCCTGTTTTATTTGGGTTGCACCAACCTAGTGTCAGAACCAAATCGAGGAATGATCTCATGGCGCAGCTTGTCAATCCATCGCTCCCGAAACTGAATACCCGCTAGACTAAACAACTTGAGCCCAGAGCTAACCTGTGAGCTTATCTATTGGCTATGAGTTGAAGGAGAGGGGTTAAGCGGGTTCATGGGGGTTTTTTTCCTGCCGCCCCGCCGTTGATAACTCTGTCGCTTGGACTGCGACGAGGAGAGCAGAAGAGTTTTCGACTTGCCTAACAATACCGTGTCGTTGGATGGCAAAGAGAAACGGCAACTACATGTAGTGCCCGTGCACCTTACTTAGCATCCGAGGCAACAGACGCATCCCGGTTGGGAATCTTGAATTCTGGTAATCGCTGGGTGAGCCTTCGACGTGGACCGGCCGCGGTTCGTTCTCGTCTTGGGGAGTTAAGTCCCGCTCTGCTTATCGTCCATCTTGAACAGGTTGCGGGGACCGCAAGCAAAGAAACAGGCGGTGGAGACGAGACGCAGATGCGGAATTTTCACCCGTCCACCGTTCCGCCTACCCACTTTGCCCTTCCACCTTGATTCCCACCTGTGTAGAGATCAATTGATTTGTTTGGTTTGACCAAGTGTAGGTGAGCATATGCTGGCAACTCTCTTGCGGTTCTTATCTTTGTTCACAACTAGCTTGGCCGCCTAACCCCAAAAGTCTGCGGACCCGGCAAAGTGAGAGGCTAACTAGTTTTCTAGTTTCCAGAGCGGGATGCTGCGGAGGTAGGACAGACGAAAACAAAACAAGAAGAAAAAAAGAAGCGCCTTTAGAGCCGAAAAAAATCCCTCGCAGGATAAGACTTGATTCTATTCGGAATGCTTTATCGGACAAGAAGCCGGTCCTCCCCCACCCCGCTTGCCTGTTGCCCCCCGCTTCCCTCCAGCCACGGAACTCAACGGGTTCACCAAACGTGTTGAAGAAGCCCGAGTCCACGGGTTGTGGGTTACACTAGAATCGGTTTTTGGGGTTGGGCGAAGAAACCCAAGATAAGCCAGGCGGGGCGAGGGCGAGGCGGGGGTCTGTTTGTTTTACGAACTCCCGGGCCGGGTTTGGCTTAGTGCAGTCCCGCACGTGGTTGGGCGCTCCGGGTCTGGCGGGGACCCCTTATCTTTCGCATCCAAGTGCGGTCTTCCCGGAAACAGAACGCCGTTCCAAAGTCTTGGCCATGTCGGTGTCCGATCTCGGTTGATAGTGCCAATGGATGGCTTGTGTTGCCCTTCTCACTCACTCCCCGTGCCCTCAACTTCCCGTCCCTTTTCAGCTAGTCCAGCTGTGTCAGCCTGCGGATGACGTGGGGTTCGTGGTTTGGCTGTGTTTGGTTTCGGTACCTATTCTTTTCGCGCTGACGACTATATGCAGCTGGCACACACCTTCTTCGACGACAAACGTCTTGTCTGCCAACGGCTAACAGCCAACACCCCATCTTCGCCCCCGAGCACCTAGAGTGATAATTGCGGGGAGGAAAAACATGGGAGGTTCGGCGGCCCTTAGTTGGTGGAGTCTAGACTCTAAATTCAACATGGAAAGCTTTTGGTCCCTCGAATGTCCAGTATCACCTTTTCGCTTTCTTGTAGTTGGATGGTGATACCGACTGGGGCAGATCATCATTTCACTGCCTGTTTTCTCTGATATGGCCTTGGCAACCTAGCCTATCGGAGGATAAGGACTTTTCTACAGAAATCCAGGAGCTCGGCTCTGGATGGCAGCATAGCTTTTCTTGGCGTACATGAATCGGTACCAACGACTCTTCTTTCCATTCTTCTCTTGGACCCGGCTTACCACTCCAGCACGTCAACGAAAACGGGCTTATCTGACAACCCCCGACAACCAACCAACCCCCGGCCCAGCAGTTTGGAAAAGCCGTGAGGATCCTGGTCACTACAAGTATGGGAAACCAAGCAATGGCCGTGCATTTTTGGACGAGTTGCCTCTCCTCACAACTCACACCCCGGTCACATAGCTCCAGCATAACGGCCCGCTTTTCTTCCCAAGCCACCCGGCGGCAACGTCAACGCCATCCGTCGGCCACCGGGGAGGGAGAGATTGTGATAAGATCGGTCTCTTGGAGGCGAACAGCAGAGTAACTAAAGGCTCGATCGAGTACTCGAGTAATCATGGGTGCACCCATCCACACACCTGTGGGGACCTTTTGTTTCTCACTTGAGAATTTGCTTATCAACTGCTCGTTGCTTTGCAACTTGGAAAAAAGCCAAGACCGACCAAAATCCAATAGTCCGCTAACGATTTCGACTATCAGGCATTGTGTCGATGGAGGGGCCCTTTTCAAAACTCCTCGGTAACAAAAAGATTGTTCTTGCAGCATCGACTTTATCCGGCCGCAAACCGGGGGCGGAGGGGAGGAGGGAGAACCAGGATAGATGTCGAGAGACAGAGAGAGAGAGAGGGGTCTCTATACCCTGGGAAATGGCATCGATATGGCAACACGAGCGCGGTGTGACAAGGAACTCGTCACGAATATAAAAACCTGGTTTCGTTCCCGTCCATCTCTCGGAATAATTCCTCTCATCCTCATCGCCATCTCACACATCTTCTCTCTCCTCGGGCAGTCCTTCCGAACTCCCGCCTCCCTCTCCCGGTTTCTCTGTGTCCCCCCAAAGGTTCCCCCTTCTGCCTGTTGTCCAACCCGTTTTATCCCCCGTCATGACTTTCAATCGACTGGCCATGGCCCTCGGGGCCGCGGTCGCGGCTTGGAGCGTGGCCGCCGCGCCCGCCTCCGGCTTCGACCCTCTGACCGACTTCGAGGTGATCCACAAGCGCGTCAACGAGGGCACCTGCGATATCTCGAGCAAGGCCCCTCCGTCAAGGCCCCCGGAAGAACGTCTGGGCGCCCATCACCTCCGAGGACAACCTCGCCGTGTGGAACCTGCTGCACGCCCCCGAGTCCGGCCTCAACCTGACCCTGCCCGGCCAGGCCAAGCTCACCGACAACTACGTCTTCTGGATCGACACCCTGCACACCAACAAGTCCTCCGTCCTGCCCTACCTCGAGGCCACCGACACCTGCGGTACCCCCGCCCCGCCCAAATACGCCCGCGCCATCATCTTCCGCGGCGCCATCGAGGAGCCCGACTCGCAAGAGTTCATGATCGGCCCCTTGCCCGTCAGCGAGGCCACCAAGATCGAGAAGCTCGACTACATCTACAACGGTGGTAGCGGCGGCAGCATCCCCTTCAACGGCCGCTACTTTGACTCGGTCCGCTCGGCGGCCACCGAGCCCCTCCTGCTCTCCGTCATGGCCGAGGTCGCCGACATCACCGAGAAGCTTATTGGTGGTGTCTACTACGGCAGCCGGGATAACCGCACCACCCTCTCCAGCACGGCCGGTACCCCCATGTCGTACGACGGCAGCACCACCTACAGGACCGTCATGTTCCGCTACCCCGGCACCGCCACCTACCTCACCCCGCTCGACTTCTTCGTCATGCTCGACTGCCCCGGCCAGAACCCCGACGACTTCAAGCTCAAGGGCCTCGTCACCAACTCTAGGTTCTTCCCCACCGTCGCTGACCTCCGCGCCGCCTGGGATGCCGGCGAGATCACCGAGGAGTTCCAGCAGACCCGCGACGCTTCGTGGGCCCTGCTCGACTACAAGCCCGAGCTCGGCGTCCGCGACCTCGAGGACCGCATGGCGCCCCAGACCCTCGAGATTGGCGGTAAGCGCTACAAGCTCGACGAGGAGCAGCGTTACGTCGAGTACATGGGCTGGTCGTTCTACCTCAGCTTCACCCGCTCCCTCGGCGTCATGCTCTACGACATCAAGTACAAGAACGAGAGCGTCATCTACGAGCTTTCCCTCCAGGAGGCCGCTGCCCAGTATGCTGGTCGCACGCCCAAGGCTGCTTCTACCGTGTACCACGATACCTACTATAGCTTGGGAACTGACGCCGGTACCCTCGTCGAGGGCTTCGACTGCCCCTTTGGCTCCACCATGCTGCCCATCACCTACTTCTCCGGCAACACCTCCGTCACCCAGCCCGATGCCATCTGCATCTTCGAGGCCGATTTGGGAATCCCCATCTCACGTCACCGATCCGGCTCCTCCAACAGCAAGGGCTTCGCCAACCTCGGAACCGTCAAGGGCACTGCGCTTACCGTCCGGTCCATCGCCACCATTGGCAACTACGATTACATGTTCGACTACCAGTTCCACCTTGAGGGCTCTCTCGAGGTCTCCGTCCGCGCTTCCGGTTATCTCCAGTCCTCGTTCTACTACCCCGATCAGAACAAGTGGGGTTCCAGGGTTCAGGGTATGTTTGCGTCTTTCGATTTTCCGCCTATATTTTCATTTTCTTTTCATTCTAGTCTAACACGAGTTTTCTCTTTCTTTCAAAACAGTCGCTACTCAGGGTTCGTACCACGACCACGTCCTAACCTACAAGGCCGACTTCGACGTCGCCGGCACCAGCAACAGCCTGCAGGTCAGCGAGCTCGTCATCGTCAACCAGACCCAGCCCTGGTTCCCCGAGCTCGGCGAGTTCGAGCAGATGGAGCTCAGCATCAGCACCATGAAGGAGGAGCAGCAGTTCAACTGGCCCGCCAACGGCGAGGCCATGTACTGCATCATCAACGAGAACGAGACCAACCAGTGGGGCGAGAAGCGGGGGTACCGCATCATCCCCGGCAAGTCCAACATCCACCTCACCCCCATGAACTCGCCCTTCACCCGCCACCAGACCGCCTTCGCCAAGAGCCACCTCGCCGTCACCGTCCAGCACGATAACGAGCCCTACGCCAACAGCGTCCAGAACGTCAACATGCCCTGGTCCCCCAGCAGGACTTTATGAAGTTCTTTGACGGCGAGAGCGTCGAGAACAGCGACATCGTCCTCTGGTTCAACCTCGGCATGCACCATTTCACCCGCGCCGAGGATATCCCCGTCACTCTGTACACCGAGGCCGTCAGCTCCATCGTCTTCGCGCCCCAGAACTTCAACGACAGGGCTCAGGATGGTGATCTTCTCAACCGCCGCTGGCTCACTACTGACTCTGAGACTGGCGAGATGAACGTCGAGACCTATGGTGTTGCTATTCCCCAGTGCAACATCAACCTTCCCGAGCCCGGTGCCGGTGTCGAGGACATCATCCAGGTTTAAAAATAGGGATAGCCCCGATTTTCAAAAATGTCTTGCATGGATTGCTCACGGAGATATGATATGAGCTATGAGAAAAATGCTTGATGCCGAAAGTAGATGCTGCAAAAGGCCCCCTGTGAGGGGACAAGGTAATGGTTAATCTAGGTTAGAACATGGTGTAGCTGGTCAATGTTGGCGGAGGATGCGTCTGCGCTTCTTGTCTCCCCGCGCCAGCAACATACGGAATAGCCCATTAATGAACATCCCATTTACCTTTGCAAAATTTTTCCTCTACGTTGATGAGTGCGCTCTTGAACTTGTAGTCTTCTAACTCCTCTAATGAAGGTATGCTTTCTTTCTCTATACTCTTCATGGCCACCTTGATAGAGACTATAACATAGAGAAACTTGAGGTGTCATCTCTCAAGTTTCACAATCTCCCTTCTTTCGGGTCATGTAAGAACTTGAATGCGAGTGGTATTGAGACTTCAGTATTGTGAGGCAACTTGGAAGACAACCTATAAGTCTCGAGTAAACAGGACGACAGTCTCTGAACTAGATAGCCCTCTACCACAATCGCACTACCTGATCTGAAGCCACCGATCACCAAGTTTGGATATTCCTTGATTTCCGTCTCAGACATCATCTGATGTGTGTTCGTACGCTGATGTTACACGTTGTGCTCGCTCCCGTTGTAAACTACTCATTAAACCAGCCACTTCTTTCCCTTGTATCAAAATCATTGCATCATCATCCTTTACAGTTTCGGATGACGACGCTCAAGGAGATGGATTGTAGCAAAAAGTGAAGAGTAGAAAGTTGTTCAAATTATGTTCGTATCGATCTAAATACAATAGGAAATGTCGCATCGCGCCCTGCACCTTCTCGTATGCAAGCCCCACCAAAAACCCATCAAAAAACCTATATAGACAAGGAAGAGAAGCTATGCAAAAGAAAACACCAACGTATCCCGCCGCACCGCTCGCTTAGAGGTGGGAATCCCGCTTCTTGGTTCCGTTAGCCGGGCAGCAGGCGCTCTCGGGGGCGGCATAGGTGGAGTTGTCGTCGTGCGCGGGGCCACGCCCTTGGCGTTGGCAGCCACCTGGCTGGGGGTGATGCAATAGCTGGGGGCACGTCCATGACGGGGTTGTTGGTGAAGAAGTTGCGGGGTCGGAGCAGGAGGGTGATGGGCTCGACGGGCATGACGGGGAAATCCTCGGGCGCGGGGAAGTGGACGACGCCAAAGGTGTGCCACAAGACGACGTTGGTGTTGTCGATGGACTCGTCGTTGTTGGCGGCCCATTCGAGGAGGCCGAGGTCCTGGTCACCCGAAGTCTGGGGCACGTGCCTTCCGGCAGGCCAGAGCTGGTCATCTTGGTCTGCGAGGGTTTCGGTCAGAATGAGCCACTGGTTTGATTCGAGGGTTGGTAGATAAAAACTTACACTTGGTGACGTAGACGGCGTGGCGGGCGAAGCCGGCGCGCTTCCAGACAAGGGAGCCGGGCTTGGGCATGAGACCGGGGATTTCGCGGCTCACGAGCTTGTAGCTGCTGGGCTTGCCGCTGTAAGGGTGCAGCTTGTTGGTGTTGCAGAGATCCCAGGACCTCATGGTCGCGCCGTCGTACTCGGTCTTGGCCTGTCCGACGGTGGCCAGCTTGGTACGCTTCGCGTAGAAGCCGTTGCCGTAGAAGTTCTCGGCACTGCCAACGGGGGCCTCGGCCTGGGCGGCATCTGTGGTGAAGACGGTGTTGTTGGCGCCGTCAATGTTGGAGTCGATTCTCAAGCAGAACTAGGGGAAATGGTTAGGCCACGTTCGTTTCGTTTTTTGTCTCAAAAGAGTCGCAACTTACCAAGTGCTGATGGTTGTGAGCGTTGACACCGGGGTACACCTGGGTTCCCCAGCCGTTGGTATCCTCACCGGGAAGCATGGCGTAGGTGTTTAGGATACCGGTGAGCTTAATCTCGGGCTGGATGGTACCATCTTGCTAGGGGTGTGTCAGTAAGAAATTTCTTTTGGGTTGGGGCGTGACCATCGGAATGGAGGGGGCCAAGGGATGGAAGAGAATCACGTACATGGAAGATCCACTGAACGGCGTACTCATAGTTGGCAGCAGTGAAAATTTGCTGGATGATGAGCTTGCGAGCACGGGTGACGATGACAGAGTCGTCACGGAAGTCCGTGTGCTTGAAGAGGATACCGCTGTCCTCTTCGTGGATGCAGATGGCGTTCTTAATGGTCCTGATGTCGCCGGAGCGGGTGGGGAACTCCGCATCCATGTAGTAGATGGATCCTTGCAGTCGCAGCCAAGAGACAGGCTGTTGGTCATGTAGCCGGCGCCATATTCGCCAAGATCGAACGCGTGCTTGCGCTGGTGAGGGCGCTCAGGGTTTCCGCTAAAAACTTGTTAGCGCGATGCGGGATGCGGAAAGGCACAGATTAGAAAGTGCGGGGAAGGTGAGAAAAGGAACGCGCAAGGGCCGATCGATCGATCATGTAAACCAAGTTTTTTTTTCTTGTTTGGTTTCCCCACCACCACTTTCTTTTCCCTCGGACACACTTACTAAGGAACAACCATCTCCACAAGGGACAATCGGTAAAAGATGGGGCGCTCGGTACCCTTGTCGTTAAAGGTGATGTTGTTCAGGACAATACCTTCGCGGTAGTTGAAGCCGATGTGGAACTTCCAGTTTTGCCACTCAATCTGGCGGCCCGTCATCTTGAAGGACACGCCCTCGGGTTGGGTGATGTTGATCGTCTTCAGGTCCTTGCGGAAACCGCCCTGCTTCTCCACGCCCTCGGGGTGGTAGTTGACGGCGGGGGCCTTGCTGAGCGGCCTGCGGATCTTGGGAATGTCGATGCTGATAATCTCCTTCTTGACCGAGTCGAAGACGGGGCAGAAGTCGAGGGGTACTGGTACTGGCAGTCGTCGACATTCGGGCGGTAGTACATGAGCGCCTGCTGGAGGCGGACCTTGCTGCCGTAGCGCTCGTCGTAGCCGATGGTCCAAGGGTCGCAGTAGACCTTGTCCATGTCCTCTTCGGCGATGCCGCTAATCTTGCACTGCTCAATGACCTTGGGGTCCTTGCGCACAATGTGCTCGACGAGCTGGAGCTCTTCTATCGTGATCTAGATGGAATCGTGAGTCGATCCAGTCATCAAGAGATGAGGAGAAATGGTAACGGGAACTTACAATGGGCTGCAAGCCATCGAGGACCTCCCAGCTGACGATGGAGCGGGTCTGGAGGTTGATTAGTCCGTCGTAGACCTTGCCGTCGGGGCCGATGGCCACGGCGTCGGCGATTCTCGAGGGCCGGGGAGCCTTTTCGGGATTCGCGAGCCAAGCAGTCATGTCAGCCTTTCGGGGCTCCTGCAGAGATGACATTGAAGAGGAGGTCATTGCCGTGCGCCTTCTTGACGATGGAGATGGTGGCCTCGATCTCCTCCCTCGAGAGGGGGTCGAAAGGGTGGGGGATAGGAGTGGTGCTAGGCATGATGAAATGCAAAACTACAGATACCCAAAGAGAGAGCCCTTTGGATTGCTGAGAATGGTTGATATGTGATGATTTAGAAAAAGAAAAGGAACGAAATGGTGTCGGCAACATCAGGATTATATATCCAATTCACGAACTGAACGTATCCATGTGGGAGACGTCGTTGTCATGAGGTTTACGTGAACGGGTCGAGTTTCAACGCCCTGAATTATCTCTATCAAAAACGCTAGTCATCGCCCGGAACGGTACATGGCGAGGTCGGAGGGACGGCCTCCCCAGCTACGGTTCCGAGAGGGCGCTATCCCCGCCGCGCGGAAAGGCATTCCTAGTCGAGCCAAGATCAAAAACCGAACAAAAGATAACGGTCCGGAACCAAGGCAGCTGGCGGTGACCGATCAATTGACAACAGAATCAATGGAGTGTACGACTCTGGTGGTGGTGTGGTGTGGTTGGGCGGATGAATTAGACAGGCCGGCCCGGTTGTTCCCGGCATAAGCGCGCTGTGATAAGGGATAGCAAAAGAATCGCCTACCAGTTCGATGGCCAACTCTGGAGCGGATAGGAATCGACTCATGGAGGTATGCTAGAGTCCACTTGGGGGACAAGAAGAAGGCAGTATATTCTTAGATTCCATTTGTCCGCAAAATTGTTTTTCGTTACGGAACCTCGAGCTTCTGGACGGTATGGGTCTGCGATCAACGTATTACGTGAATTGAATTGCTCCCTAAATCGGAACAGTCAGGTACCTCTTGATAGTGAAGGTTTGGTGGCGCCCGTTGCCAGTGTTGGTGGTGGATCGCTCTCGAGGCCCCCACTAGGCTAATCCTCCAGCATGGCTCACGGATCAAGCCAAGCCGTAGGGCAACGGTTTACAGGGTGCGCAGGGTGATCGGTCGAGGACCCCGATCTCATGGGGGGGAGGATGTGTGGGTGTGAACAACTCCGAATTGCGAATAGCGAAACTGCCGGCGAACCTTCAGCCCAATACGACAACCGAGATCCCCTTCCCCCACCAGCTTGCTGAAAGCAGAAGAACAATGAACTCGGAGTGGGAAGGGGAGGACCATTGGATTGATCGAACAACAGAGTCGGGAAAGGGTGGCAGCCCGTCAAACACTCTTCTTTTTCGGGGGTTGTTCGAGATAACGATCCTGACTAACGGTGACATCGCGTTGGCTTCCCCACACGCCGAGCCAATGAAACCTAGTAGCGATGGGTTAGGTCCCGGAATTTCAGCGCATGGGAGTGGATCAAGATAAGGGGAAATCAGTCGAAAAACGGCGCCAAAGCCCTTCAGTGCACTTCGAGATGGTCTTGTCTGCGGCTCTGGCCTATCACATCTAATACCGCTCGTTCCCAATGGGGAGGAAGTGGTGCTGTGGGCCCCAGGGAGGGAGGGAGAGGAAAAGATAACAATTGGAGAGAAATAATCGACGGGCTGGTGGCAAGCGTGAGTGTGCGTGCGTATGTGTGTGTATGCGTGATGGACGGGTAGATAAAACTAAAACATGCCAACTTTCTGCTCCACTGTACCTTTATCGATTGACACTTTGTATTTTTAGTCATTTGCTCCTCACAAATCGCATCGTGTCCAGCATTGCGAGACATCTCATAGGCTTCAGAGGTGCCCACATTTACCTCTTGAACCCCCGCCACCCCCTCGCCTAGAAACCCCGCGGACCCCGAAAGCAACACTCTTTAGCTGATCCACGTAAGCAGCCGTACGTTGTATTAACATACATCTAGATGGTTGGTCGTTTGTGATCAACGCAGACTCTGGGGATCGGGACCCTCGAACGGATGCGGGGCTTAGTTTCCTGCGAGGCGCGTTTGGACGCTGTGGCTTGGCGCATGGCTTCACCTGCCGATTGGGGGACGAACTAACAGAAGAGGATGCGCCTCCGTCAATGGCGGAGGAGGTCCCTTTAACGATCATCAGCCAACATCTCTCTTGGGTTTACAGCAACTCGGGCTTACGGGAGCTTCGATCTGCAAGTATTGTCGAAAGCAAACATCTGCAATGGTTAACGCCTTCTGTTTAGTCCTTTTAGCTCCATGCTTTCCTTGAAAATAAGAGCCCCAAACCATAGGACACCAGCACTAGTGGTCTCGTGAGCAATATCGCTTTGATCAACGCAAATCCTCCGGAAACATGGAAACGAGTTGATACAACCTCGTGATCGTTCCCCTGGGTTCAGTAGAGATCGGTGACCGAAAGAAGAAAACGGAGAAGACATCATGATCTTAGCTTGTTACCAGAAAAGATATCCTAGACTACCGTCTCCGACTTGTGGCATTTGCCGATGGAGGCGTTCGGCGGCCCTACCTATAGACTTGAGCGTGGACGGAGGAGGGGTTGCGAATAGCTTCAACTAAGCGAGTGTGGACCCTCGGCAAAGACGACGTTTCAGATTCGTTGTAACCAAAGGCACACAGAGAAGAATAATTGTTTGTTGATATTGATCGCCTGAGGAATTAAGATTATTTGTCGCAGTTGCTGAATTGTTCCTTCCCATATTAGCACGGTTGTGTTCCAAAGACACGTCATCGATATGTCATGGCTGTCGCCTCAGCACTCGCAGCTTTCTGCCATCGTGGAGCTTTGGTTTTTCCCGCGAGTAGCCGCCCTAGGTGAGCATATTTGGAGGCGACCCTATTATGAAGAAAGACAGGCAAACAGGACGAGACCTGCAAAGTAGCACAACGCAACGCAACGCAACGCAAAACGCGCAGTCATGGCCGTTGGTGCAGAATCCGAAAGACGGCCCATCCCGGCCGATGAGCCGTACTATGACCTTGGTGATTATCGCCGAACCATCACTACACGCAACCGCGATGCCCAAATCTGGTTCAACAGGGGGCTGATCTGGGCCTACGCCTTCAACCACCACGAGTCGGCCGCCTGCTTCGAGCAGGTCGTCGCCCACGATCCCACCTGCGCCATTGGGTACTGGGGAATAGCCTTCGCATCCGGGCCCAACTACAACAAGGGCTGGAGAATATTCGACGCCAAGGACCTCGAGACGACGGTGAGGGTATGCTACGAGATGGCGCAAAAGGCCAAGCAACGTTGCTCCACCGCGAGCCCGGTCGAAAAGGCCTTGATCGACGCCATCCAGCTGCGCTTCCCGACCGCGCAGGTGCCCGCCAAGTTCAAGCCTTCCGTCCGCTCATACGCCGAGTGCATGACGCAAGTATACCGCCGCTTCGGCGCAGACGACCTAGACGTCGTCACGCTCGCCGCCGACGCGCTGATGGCGGTCTCGCCCTGGAAGCTATACAGGGCGCGCACCGGCGAACCTGACCTGTCCACCCCCGTGCTGCAGGTCCGCGATATGCTAGAGCGCGGGCTCACGCGGTCGGACGCGCGGCGGCACCCCGGCATTCTGCACATGTATATCCACCTCGTGGAGATGTCCAAGACGCCCGAGCGTGCCATCGTGGCGGCGGATTACCTCCGGGACCTGGTGCCGGACGGTGGCCACATGCACCACATGCCCAGCCACATCGACGTCCTCGTCGGCGACTACCGGCGGGCGCTCAACACGAATCTCAAGGCGACGTTTGCGGACGACAAGTACGTGGCGCGGGAGGGCGCGCGTAATTTTTACTCCTTTTACCGCATGCACAACTTTCACTCCCTCATCTACGCGGCCATGATGGCTGGCCGGTCCGCCGCGGCGCTGGAGGCGACGGCTCGTATGGAGGCGACGATTACGGAAGATTTATTACGGATGGACTCGCCGCCCATGGCGGATTGGCTCGAGTTCTTCAATTCGGTGCGGGTACACGTCTTCATCCGGTTTGGCCGGTGGAAAGACCTCCAGGTGCTCCCTATTCCCCAAGACGGGCAACTCTACTGTGTAACCACGGCGATGGTGCGGTACGGAAGGGCCATTGCATGGGCTGCAACGGGCAACGTGCCTCGCGCCGAAGAGGAACGTGCTCTCTTCCGAGCCGCTTGCACGCGTGTGCCCCCTACGCGGCTCGATTTCCCCAACAAGGTGGTCGACATCCTCAAAGTCGCCGAAGCCATGCTCGACGGCGAGATCGCTTACAGAAGAGGGGACTACGACCAGGCGTTTGCGCATCTCCGCCTCGCTATCCAGCGCGACGACGACCTCGTCTACGCAGAGCCCTGGGGCTGGATGCTCCCGACACGGCATCCGTACGCCGCCCTTCTCCTCGAGCAAGGCCACGTCGAACAGGCGGCTGCGGTCTACGAGGCGGATCTGGGGCTAGATGACCAGCTGTCCCGCGCGCTGCAGCACCCGAACAACATCTGGGCGCTGCACGGTTATCACGAGTGCCTCGTCCGCTTGGGCCGACGCGGGGAAGCAAGGATGGTGGCCAAGCAGCTGGAAATCGCAGCGGCTGGTTCCGATACCGTGATTCAAGCCTCGTGCTTTTGCAAATCTAGTGTGGGTGGGGATGGGTACTCGGCGGTGGCTCCGGCGCCGGCGTGCGATGGGGATCCGGCCGTGGATTAAAGACTTGACGGTAAGGGGAGGGAGGGAAAAGGGCGGGAAAAGGCGGGCATGCGGCCCCATTTGGATGGGACTGGAAGAGTTAAAAGTTGGCCCGACTCTGCTCGTGGACCCCTAAATCTTCCATTTGGCTTCCGATTGATGAAACAAAGCTAATATCCTAAAAGTTCAATATCGCCTGTGAAGGTCCCTCGTGGCTGTGGGGGTTTTTGTGTTTCCAATCAGTCTCTCCATCCGTCTGTGCTTCACCATTCTTGTCCTTGCTTCTTTTGCTTGGGCCACGGAATTCCCTGTCCTGCCAGCCCCGCAAAGAAGGCGAACTTGAGACCCACACGCTGTCAATCCCTCTTCCTTCTGGGGGCTTGGTCCGCCGACCATGGATCGATTGGATCAAGAATAGAGTCCTACAATGTGAGCAGCTGAACATTCGTTATTTTGGGATTCGTCCAAGCCTTATTGCATTCCTGCGCTATCGATTGCTGGGTAGGCTCGTCTTTTCATCAGAACAGATTCTACATTGATGCCGAAGGGACTTCGCTGCTCGCATTTCTCTCGAGCAATTAGCCGACTGGGCACTCTGGTTTCTCTCCCCTCTGAACAAAAAATGGCACTTGTCCAGGACGTGTTTCAGAAACCAGACAGGATTTCGATGGGCGAACCGCACAAAGATTGAGGAAGACTAAGGAGGCGACATCGACTCTACCCAATCAAGGGGCGGACTCCCCTTCGGGAGCAGGATCGGCCGCCCGTCCAACTTGATCGCCGCAGCGCGAGACTCCGCCTCAATATCCCAATATGCACAAATGGCGCTCCTTCACGTCGGCGTGGCGGCACGCCTCGACTACAGAGGATGCAAGTATTTCGTATATTACATGGGAGGACGAAGGGATCCGGGATATTGACGAGGCCCCACAGTTCCTAATATCTTGTAAACGTTTGAGACGCTGACCTTTTCTCTCTCCCGGCTGTCGATCTCTCGCGACATTTTCCCACCTTTTGCACTCGAAAAAACAACTCGCGGCGAATTTCAATTATCATCGAATCTTTCTTCCCGCCCGAAATCCATCGAACCGAGTCCGGCATTGGCTCCCATCGGCGTCAAACCATCTTTGTTTCTCTTCTCTCGAAAAAGTTGCTGGCAAATTTCTTTTCTTTTTTGCGCGCCGCCGGCCCATCCTGAGGGCCCCCTCCCACAAATCATGGCGGATAAACCAAAGGCGACGCCAACCGTCGTGACCTCGTTCGCGAAGAACCCCCTCGTCACCCCCTTTGTCCGCCCCAACGACTGCTCCAACATCTACCGCTCCGGCTTCCTCTCCGTACTCGACGTCGCGCCGACATGCATGCCCGAGGCCTTCAATAGCGACCCCACCTTTTACTTCTCCCCAGGTCTCGCCTGCCCTCGGGCTACGTGAGCGCCTGCCACGACCACACGGGCGTCGAGTCCATCACAACAGTCACCTGCTGTCCAGTATACAAGGACGACGTCACGTTATCCTGCGTCAAGACTGCGAGTCTGCAGAGCGTCTGGTCCACCCTCTTTTGCACGTGGATCGCGCCCGAGGAGACGTCCCTACCCATCGTCCTGAGCGAAGATGGCGTGACGAGTACCGTGATGAGCGGCTTCACGAGCCCCGGCGGCCTCAACGCGTTTGGCGTGCGCATGGTCTACCAGAGCTCTGACGTGGAATCCAGGACCGGCACCGATGTCCCGTCAACGAATACCAACGACCCGGAACCCGTGGAAGGCGACGATGGAGGGGATGGGGGTGGTTCCGGGAGCTCGGGGCTCTTCAAGGCGCCACCATCGCCATTGGTGTCGTGGTCCCCGTGGTGGCGCTCGCCATCATCGGCGCCCTGATTTTCTACTGGCGGTCGCGCAAGCGCCAGAGGGCTGTCGATGTCCCGCCCGCTGGAGGCAGCACGCAGTACGGCCAAACCCCGTACGGCGAGATGCAGCAGAAGAACGTTGCGCAAGCAGAACTCCCCGCCGCCACGCCTGTTTCGAACTCCCCGCCGCTCCATATCAAGGAGAACCGGCGGAACTGCCTGCGGAAGCGTCCAGAAGAGATGACACGGGGAGATATGCATAGACTCGAAAACTGAGATAAGAAAAAAAAAAAAAACTGCACACGGGGGCAAGCGGGCAACGATCGAGACGGCCTCACGTTGGCCTCGCCATCCAAGGCACCCCTGGCCATTGCGAGGCAGCCGATTAATGGCTACGAGATTCTGTTCGTCATGCAGAAGAGAGGAACGGACATGGAGTCGGGTTTATCTACGTACTACACACGGCAACGTGGCACTGATACACCTGGCTCCGCAAACCAATGGCCCAATCTCTAGACGCCAAACTCGGCTACACATGTGGGATAACATTCCTAGAGGTAGCTTCAAGCGAGAGATTCTCCCAGCCAAAGGCAACAATTCCACCCAAGTGATCGGCTCTCCACTTGAGCCCCCTCAGATGGAACCGTATAGAAGGAAGGAGCGTCATTGAGGAGATAATATCAGCATGTATCAAAAGTTTGGGCGAGGCAAGAGTGGGAATGCTCAATGAAGGTCTCTTGCCAGTGCAATCAATCTTGATAGTTTTTACATGAGGAGAAGGATAAAGGGTTAGGAGCATGAATACCATTCCAAGCATATATTTTCAATTCCTTTAAGCAAGCCAGACTGCATCAATAAAGCAGACGATTCAATCAGTCTGTTGGCGTATTCACTCTAACTTTATTTAAAGCTTTTTGAGATGTTATTGAAGTCATTGAATATTAAGATCATGCCTAATTGACTTGAATATAAATCTGTCTATCCTTTTAGAAGGAGGTAGAGAAGATAAGTTGAATATCCTAGTAGTCTTTATCTTCTATCATGAACCTCCCTAAGGCTGGCTAGTTATTATACTCCTACCTCCAGCAGCAAAGGAGCTTCGTCAATGAAGATGTCATTTCCCTCCAAGGCTTTAGTTTACCAAATCAGCCAATATGGAAGGTGCTTCCAGCCTTTTTGTAGACAGTTATCTGAGGAATGAGCGAACCTCAACTTTGATCGACCTCTAATAGAGAGCACTATGAACTAAGCGTGAATACCATCTTGCCCTTGAACTCTTAACACCTCTAGCTATCTCCTGTTGTTGTACCAGAAAGGGAAAGAGCCTCTAACACTATCCCCTTGCTTTCATCAGGTAGCTCCTCAAGTTTGACATTAAAGAAGGAACGTTCTATCTAGTGGTTACTTGACAGCTAAGTACCTCTAGCCTTTTAGCTAAAACTCTTTTTGTCAATAGAGAAGCTGACGCGTTCTCCTATTGACAAACCCTTTTCTATATCGCGACTTCCTTAAATCTATAAAACCACCTTACTCCAGTAGAGCAAAGACACGATCACCAGGCTCACTCTCCAAGGTATAAATTACATCGTTTCCTCCCTCCTAGGCTCTCTCTTTTCCTCTCCCATCTCTCAACCAAGATAACACACTTCTCTGAAGATTTCCAAACTTTCAACTAAACTTCTGTGAGTAACTCCCTTTCCTTGGCCTTCCCCTCTTCCTCTCCTCAGCCCTTCACCCCTTCACCCCTTCACCCTCTCTTCCTCTCTTCAGCTCTTCAGCTCTTCTCCCCTTCACCCTCTCACCCTTTCACCTTCTCACCCTCTCACCCTCTCACCCTCTCTTCCCCTCTTCCCCTCTTCCCCTCTTCCTCTCTTCCTCTCTTCCTCTCTTCCTCTCGTCCTCTCTTCCCCTCTTCCTCTCTTCCTCTCTTCTTCCCTTCTTCCCTTCTTCCCTTCTTGCCTTCTTCCCTTCTTTCCTTCGCCCTCTCACCCTTTCACCTCCACATCCCCTGAAGACTCCCTGAACCCTCCCTCCTGCTACACTACCTCTACTCCAACATGTTCTCCCCTGATCACCCAAGCTCCTTCACTTGGCATTTGACAATCATCTAACTAGTGAGCTTGTAGACATTGAAAATACCAAGTTCCACGAACAATATCGAAAATGGCCGCCTACAACTCTAATAACGGGTCGCCTGCTAGCCCCGAGCCTAAGCCCCAGCCCAAGCCCGAATCGCCTAGCGGCGGTAAGGGCAACGCCTCGCAGGGCTCCTGGCTTTGCGGTTGTGGTGCCCGCAACCCCGTCGGCACCAAGACCTGTGGTACCTGCGGCAAGCGCTAACTTGATAGCGCTTGCCCGTCGAATGTCCGCGCTCGCGCGAAGGCGGCCCCGGCTGCATTAAGGGCCACTTGTTGGCACGGAGTTTGGCAGGATGGTTAAAAGGTTTTCTTTTCCCTTTGTACATGGCCCAGGAGGCGGGCCACTTAGCATTTGATACCCCATGGTAGAAAGGAACACGGTTAGAAAGCAATAAAAGTGATTTTCACACCAAATATTTGAGTGCTCTTGCCTGGTGAACGATGCTGTCTTCACAAGTGATCTCGACTTTCCATTTCCCCGTGTCTCTGTTGAGCACCTCAGGCTTGAGATGATGAAGACAGCAAAGTGTTTGTAAACATGACGCTCCCTTGAACCCCACTGCCCGTATTTCCCCACGTAACCTTTTGGATGAACTACAGTAACATACGCATGCCCATGATCTTCCCCAGAAACTCGGGACGAGCCCAAACGAAGTATATCTCCCTGCCGCAGACAATCACCATGTTCTTGTGCGTTCGCGACGACTTTTGGGGTTTCCGTATTCTCCTTCAAACATGGCTGAAATTCCTTGGGCACGTCGGCGGCGCCCATTTTGTTTCAATGTTTGTACATAGCCTGTGGACTTGGCGAATACACACAAACACGGAAATTTTCAAACGCGTATCGCGGGGAGATGGGAAGTAGCATCTCTGGCAACTTCCTTAAGAAATGCCTTGCTATCAGTGCACTTTCCGTTTCGAGTCTTACGGTTTATTGGAGTTACGGTCAAGTATTGAGGAAGGAGCTGAGCAGTTTGCAGGTCGCAGAAGCCGGGCCTCTGGCTTACACATGTGCACACAACACAGACAGAAAGTATCGGAGGAGGTGGGGTATATTCAGGCCGCCCAATTGTGCAAGAAAGTCAAATCAAGCAGATTGACTGGTAACTATCGTAGCTCAAAAACAGAAGAGAAATCCTAGCAATGCAAACAAGTGCGGATGCATGGAGGGTATATACAAAAAAGCAAAAAGATAACGTTGCACTATCCCGGAATCGAACCGGGGCTGGTCGAATCCACCGTAGATGAATGGCAACGACCAAGTTTACCACTAACCCAATAGTGCGAATTTCATGAATTTGGTGAAGGTTTCAGGACGAGAGACAGCATAAGAATTGGAAGGAAATCGCGTCAAGATGTAACACGGCGGAATGGGGTTCGGAGGGCATGGGAGGTTGCCCACTATTTCGTTAGCAAGGGATCCATTGAAGCAAAGAGGCGGCAAATGGCTAAGAGGGCGTCGTGCCAGGGACTGGATCTGGGTGAGGGCAGCAAGTAGAACACTCTGCTTCGTAATCGTCAAGCTTCAGACACGCCAAACACCCGAACCAAAGCTTCTTCTCCCCTATCTCCTTGACCGCATCCAGCAAAGGCTGGTTGAGGGACCCCGTCTCCTCCCCACGGCAAGGGCACTCCCCACGCTGAGGCATTTTGCGGGCGCATAGCCCCACCGAGATGGGGGACATCCTCGACGGTGCCTCCAGCAGCCTGCGAAAGGCGTGCTGGCTGAATTCCAGGTCGTAGGTTGCGAGGCCGAGTTTGTAGATCTCCGCCGAGTATTCGCCTAGGGGGCAGCGCCTCGGTTGCAACCCTTGGTCAAACTCCGCCAGCCCCATGTCGCTAGGGGACGCATGAGAGCGGTGTGGTATTGGTTGCAGAGTTGCATTCTCTTCGCATCGAGTTTGCCTGTGTTCTGTCAGCCTCAAGAAGTCTGCTAGTGTTGGTGTCACACGATAAGCTGAGGGCTAACTTACCTCTAATGTGTAGTGGCAGCAGCGGATTGTCGAGCGACTCTGTAGCATCTGAAGTTGATCGTGATAGCGGTCCTTTGTGCAAAAGGAGAAGTGTCCAGGCAATGTCGGCAAACTCCTTTTCCATATCCGCAACATAGGCGAAGACGAGTAGCCGGCAGACATCGACTATGCCTGCATTGTCTTCCTCGCACTTCTTCACCCAGTTCCGTACCCAAATGGTGCCACAGTACCGGAGGATATGCAGGCATAGATACTTGTCGCAAATGGCTGCCAGCCTCTCCAGCAAGTCCGACTTGGGAAGATCGTTGATGTCTGCCGTGGCGAAGTGCAGAATCTTGCACATGAGGGTCACGGCTTCGGCATCATCGTCAGGCAAGGTTACTATCGTCGTGGAACCGTCACCCGCATCCGCGAGCTTGATGGCCTCCACAAACTTGCCGCCAAACAGCATCTTGCGGAACACGGGTGAGGACACCGCGAGTATCTTGGACGATACGAGCAATTCTCTCGTCTCGCTCGACTCCTTCTCGTTATTTGCGTCGTCGTCGATTTTGCCGGTTGCATTGGGAATCTCTTGCAAAGGGCTGCATTGGCCACTTGGGATGATTGGTGAACTTGACCCGATGGCCGAATCCACGGAGTTACGCCGCGTCTCTTTTGAAGGTGTGGGGACGCTAATGGGAATCTGTAAGACAAGGTCCCCTGAAGGATCGATCACAACTCGAGACGACATCTTGAATGAAGAGCGAGCAGTGGCGTTGCTAGGCTTCTTCCTGTAATACAAATGGTGTTGAGGAGCACGATGTTTTGTGGGACAAGACTGAAAAAGGAAGAAGATTGGCCTCAAGATATACGATGAAGACGCTGTTTTAAATTTATCGTCAAGGCTACAGAATTTAAATACTGGAACACAAAAGAGGCGTTCAGGCAGACGTCCCTTGTCTGAGGGGTCTGTAACGCCAGGCGTGTTTTTGGGCCGCCCTCTTTGCACGCCCGCATGTAGTGGACCACGGACCACCGGCGATGCCCTTTTTCCACATTGCATTCTCAGCCCCAGCTCCAAAAACGCCAGCTTCTTGGTCTGTGAGTCGGTCACGCCGATGCCGACGACGCCATTTGAATATTCGAGTTAACGCGACTTACATCTCGTCTTGGACCAATTCAATGATTTTAGTGTTTTCATGGCGTCGCCGGTTGGCTTTCAAGACAGCCAACATTGAAGTTCCGGCAGGGGTATTTTGGAGACTATATCCAGCTAGGGTCTACTCTTCAATGTGATATGCATTTTCTCTATGCTTTATTGCTTTAGCGCTAACAAGGAGGTGGAGGTTCTGTTCTCTTCATGGCGCAAGACCGTGATGTTGCCCTCAGTTCTCGCAACGTTTGGGGGTGGCATAGAGAGACGATTTCTACACTGCATGTGGATTTCGTGTCAAAAATGCTTAGATTTCAATCGCTACATGATAGACACAGCGTACAGCGTCGGGAACAGAAGATCATTGTCTCGGCCCTCCATATGCGATCCAAATCAACCTATCAATAATTTCATCCTCTCCAGGCCGACGACTAGACCTCGTACAGTCGAGACAGGGAGGAAACAAGCGCTAATCGGGAAGGAACCTGAATGCCGCGTCGAAGCCACTTGACTTGGTGAGATTTTGGCAGGCACAACCCCAAATCGGCCGGAGAACCAAAAAAATTCTCGGGAGCAGCTTCCGCGCCGTTCACCGGCCGATTCGAGGGTGGTGCCTGCCAAAATCTTACCATGTCGGAAAATCAAGCAGGCTCTTAGCTCAAAAGGGCAAGTGCCTTCAGTGGTGCCGTGGCTTGCTGCCGAGGGAGTCACAAAACTTAATAGAAGCTGGAGAAACCCCACTTTGATGACAGGTCCGGCGGAGTCAACTGATCGATTGATAACGTAAATAATCCGCGGATTATTAACCTGGATGGGGTTCGACACATCAAGCTGAGAAATCAATCTAATACTTTGCGGAGTGGTGGGAAGCGCATCACGTCATCCGCATGAAGCTCTCGCGGTCGCTAGTCTTTATAACAAGTCAACCCATCCCTTTCGATTTCGAAGGAAGGAACGAGTCCAGCAAGGAATCGAAAGAGGAAAGAGCCTAGGAAACCCCTTCCCCGTGAAGAATACTGCCACTTTGAGCAGCACTGCATTAAGCATGGCGCGACCCGTGAAATACAGCTATCCTTCGCCCCTCGCCGGCTTCGAAAATGCGCCTCCGCTATCGGAAGAGAGGAACGACGATGGGAAAAGTTTCGTGAACCCGCCGCGCGAAGGGCTAAGCGAGGCCTACGAGACCTTTACGGATCCTTTGGACAAGGGTCGTCGGGGTGGATTGTGAGTGAACACCAACCAGATCCAGGGCAGGGAGACGAGGTGGTGCATGCAGCGGGCTAACTAACGGTGCACAGCGATATCCATATTTATTACTTCCAGGAGAACCAAGAACACGCCAAGTATGCACGCGATCTATGGGAGCGTATCAGGAGAGAATGTGAGTGGAAATAAAGATGTTGGATCCGCTGTGCCTGTGGCAAACGGCTTGCTGCTCGCTGAATCAAGAGCTAATAGTGAACCTAGTTCCCGAGTTGAGAATCTACCGCTTTTGGGACCGGCCAATCGGGCCTCATCCCGTCGCCATGTTCGAAGTGAATCTCTTCACGCCCGCGCAGTTCGGAGCCTTTATCGCTTGGCTAGCTGTTTGGCGCGGGCCGCTATCAGCCTTGATTCACCCCAATAACCTTCCCGGCGAGGGCGAGACGAAGCTGGAGGCTGAACTGAGGGACCATTCCGAGAGGGCGATATGGATGGGTGAACGCCTGCCGCTGGACTACAGTCGATTCCTGGCGGCTATTGAGGAGGAGAGGAAATCGAGGATATGAGCGTGGAAGTGCTCAGCCCACACCACGAGGTCATGCAAATGTTACTTTCAGGAAAATAAAATTTTTCAAATGCTACCTGGTGCTTTCAGGCACTCTCTTCTAACCTCAGCTACGGGCCGCAGATATGCTGTCTATAAAGTAGCAGAACTCTGCAAGCTCGACGCTTCGTGAAGATTGTCGAGGCAGGTTCCAGCGAATGACAAAATTATCCTGACCTGCAGGACAGACAGGAATGGCAGGCACAGCGCGCTGTAGAGCTAAATCTTTTCTGTCCGACAGAAAAGAGAACAATTTCATAGAGCTGAAGAATATAAATAACGGTGATTTCTCAAATTCGCTTGCCCGCTGTAGATAAAACTGTTGCTCTCTCGTGTTGTTGACTGGGGATGCTCTCGGACAGGTGCAACGCGAATTAACATGGAGTTTTCGCACAACAGGCGCAAAAGGGTAACGATGACATCATCCGTCGGCCCAAATTGTCTTGGAGCGTTGACCTGATGGACCCTCGACCGAAACACCCCCATACAGAACCTCTTTTCATTTTTTATTGTTTCTTTATTTTCCCCTTGCCAGCCTCAATCCCGGCATGAGGAAGCATCATCAAGTCACGGAACTACCAATAACGTAACACACGAATGACCGCCGGCACCAACCGCGAGATCCTCCTCGTAAGTTTCCCTCCGTCACGGTGCCACCGCGTACGAGTCTAACAGTCTAAAGGCGGGCGCCGCGGCTGCCTTCACGGTTGACCTCCTGGTTTACCCGCTGGATACGATCAAGACTCGAGTTCAGTGCGGGGATTACATTACGAAAGATGCGTCCTCTGTGGCCAAGACGAGCCGGACGGTAGCCCTGCGCGGACTTTACCAGGGCGTGGGAAGCGTCATCTTGGCAACCTTGCCCGCGGGTAAGTAAGCGCCCATCTTTAGCATGTGTCGTGATACTAAGTGTGGCTTGTCACTCTAGCTGGGGTGTTTTTACCGTCTATGAAGGCGGCAAGTCGGTCCTAGGGAGTCATCGTCCTCGCTTCGTGCCCGAGGCTGCTGCACACTCTCTCGCATCAGGGATCGCAGAGCTAGCATCGTGCCTGATCCTTACGCCAGCAGAGGTCATCAAGCAAAATGCCCAGATGCTGAACCAATCCTCCGGCTCATCCGCCCCACGGAGAAGCGCATCCATCGAGGCGTTTCGCATGCTCCGTTCATCCGAGCAGGGCGCTGCCCGCCGCTTGTGGAGCGGCTACACGGCGCTGGCCGCGAGGAACTTGCCATTTACCGTGCTGCAGTTCCCCATCTTCGAGGGGCTGCGTGCGGAAATCATCAAGCGGCGTGGCGCGGGACGCGGAAGTGAAGCGGATAGGGGGTTATGGGAGGTAGGGCTCGTGAATGGCCTGAGTGCGGCGACGGCTGGGTCGATAGCGGCGACTGCGACGACGCCTACGGATGTTGTGAAAACGCGCATGATGGTGCTGGGTGGAGGAGAGGACAAATCTGGTGGAAAAGGTGCTACGACGAAGAATACGGCAGGTAAGCGGCCAAAACAGCTGAGTGGGTACCAAGTTGCGAAACAGGTATATCGCGAGAGGGAGTAAGAGGCTTGTTTCGGGGTGGATTACTGAGGGCCAGTTGGTCGGCCTTGGGTAGTGGGCTGTACTTGGGCACATATGAGACGGCGAAGGTATGGCTGACTGGGAGGTCCCGTGTATGATACTCTGGCGAAAAGAACGAATTTGGATCTTGCAAGTCCACCAGTATTTGCTCTGTCTCAACCCCCTTCTCAACCTTTCTAGTACTTCTTTTACCTAATTATGGGGTCAAACTACAGAAATTCATGAACAGATGCAGGTAGTGATTCAGCATTCTACGTTGAGTTTGAAGCCACCCGGGACCAACTCCTGAAAAACCTGATCTGGGTCATATTTTCCGGCAACCTCTCTTAAAAACTCAAGGTTGTCGGCTCCATAGCCACAGAAGGGCTTCTGAAAGCGCCCAGCAAAGTTGAGATGCACGAAAGGGTCTGCCATGCCCAGTTCGTCCGTGGCCTTGGACACCTCAGTCGTCCATTCTTCCACAATATCCCATACAGCGTCGTCGTACTGAGCATCGAGCCACGTTGGCGTGAAAGTGACCACTGTGTTTAGTGTCAGACATGTTGGTGTTAGGAGATGATGCCGAGATACGTACTGATCAAGTCTTGTGTTCTCCCTTCAAGACCCAACACATTTCCTCCTCTCTTCCCATATGTATTGACTATTTTGGGGAGCGGGTAGTATTGGAATGGGTAGCTCATTTCCGGAACCTCTGGTCTAAATCTGTTGTAGATTGAGGCGGAAATGTTGTTCACCGCATACAAGCTCACAGGGTCGTTGACGAAAGTGACGGTAGCGGATGCGTGCCTACAGGGCACATAGCCACATATTAGCGTATTGATCATCACAATAATTGCCTTGACATGGAACAAACATGAAGACTAACCTAGCTCCGTGAGTCAATCCATCGCCGAACACCCGCACGGTTCGGGCCAATGTTCTTTGAGCTGGCGCCGTAGCAGACACGTGCTCGAGGTTGGCAAAACTCTCCAGTTGGATAGCGTCCTCCACACCATCAATGTTTACAAAGTCGATTCTAGCGGTCGGTGGCGCCCCCGAGGAGAGATTGATCTCGACAGATGCCGTGACTCGGGTGTTATCGTTGTTCTGGACGGTAAAGTTTCGTAGCCGGCCAAGAAGCAGAGGGCCGGCGTCCTCGGGTTGGATGGAGAGCCACTTGATGCCGGCCCAGAGGGTGCCCTGCTCCCACGTCTGCAGGAATACCTTGGTTACGATACCAAAATTGCCGCCGCCACCCTTGAGGGCTTTGAAAAGATCGCTGTTGGCCGCCTGATTCGCGTTGACGATCTCGCCCGACGCGAGAACGACCTCAAAGTTGACGACGGTATCGGCAGCCCAGCCCGCGCTCGCCTGGAAATAGGAGTAGCCGCCCCCAAGCACGAGGCCGCTCACGCCGATGAACCCGACCTGAGATCCGGCGAACCCGATGCCTTCGTTTTCGAACTTGTCGTAGACGTCGCGCCAGAGGGCGCCGGCTCCGAGGCTAATGACTCCTCCGCCATCCGTTCGCAATTCGACTTGATTGAGGAGGTTCAGATCGATGGCGACGCCTGCGTCAATGTTGGCCGCGCCGGCGATGGGGTTGTACCCTCCCGACTTGATGGCAAACTCGCAGCTGTCGTTGGCCAGTTGAGCCACGGCTGCGGCGAGATTCTTTACGGTGGTTGGTTGAAACACGCAGGCTGGGGAGAGGATCGTTGATGCCGACCATACACGCGTGTTTGACTTTTCATACACGGAGCTCCTCAGGGTCGACGTGGAGATTTCATCGGGGAATGTGTCTGCCAAGGCCTGGCACTGGATGTGCGGATGAAAGAAGTCAGCTACAATCCGGCTTGGGAAATCAGGAATGGCCAATAGCTTACACATGAAGTGAGTTCCACGGAATCACTCTGGGCTATCAGACGGGGCGCTCCTGCCAAGAGGATGAGAAGGTTGGATAGTATGTGTCGAAAAGCCATGATCAAGGACGTAGATTATGGGGTGGAGAAGGAAGAGAATGCCCAGACTCCTTCATCGCGATGGTCCTGCTTATGAGAAGAGCTAGGGGTTTTGGCTCCTTTTCTGCGTTGCACGTCTTGGTGACATATTTGATGAGTGACGGCGGGTAAAAGCCGTTGATATTGGCGACCCCTCCCAGGCCCAGGCCCATCTCTGCTCGTCAGCTCGCTTCCAGATTCTTGTAGCACCGCAGACCACTTGATCAGCGACTGCACCGTATTTGTACATGCAATTTCCTCCCTCATTGCGCAGCACATGAACAAGATATTGTATGACGGCCGACTTTGATCCTTCAAGCGGGGTATTCTTTGGTGATCTATCGCTGCACATCATCGGACGAAAGTGATGATTTTCTTTTTCAAATCACTCACTGCTTCCTTGAGCGCAATTCAGCTTCCACCGTGGAGGCACTCACTACATATATACATATAGTCACTAGACTGTGAATCGGTTATTGGAAATTATGGCCACTTAAAATAACTGTGAAGCTCGACAACCAAAAATCATCAGCTATCAATAACTACACATCGCGGGTTATATCAGGAGGAATTGATTGTTTGGTTGCCTTGTCGAACGGATTAAGTTGCTCATTTGATGGATTCATGGATGGCTTTCATGGATCTGTTTGCATTTCTTCCATTTCATGACTGCCAACTGAATTCTATGCTTGGGCAGTAAACCCACATGACAGTGCCACCCGTTTCAGCTAGGAGAGTGTGAATCAAGACAGGCAAGCTTAAAGGGTTGGCGTAAGGATGCCGAGTCAGAGACGTGTCCCGATTCACGCTAGAAAGAGGAAAAGCGTAATAGATTCAGCATCACAGCTAGTACATGTAGACCAAAACTCACTCGCATCAGGCACCCAAACATTTAAAACCAAACCCCAAAATGCGCCAGCCATCCAAATGCAACCCCGCTTCTTCAACGCGCCGCTTCCATCACACCAAGGTGATTCTTTCCACCGCCTCCGGATCCGCCCTTTCCCCATCCATCACCCCGTGCGCGTAGCAGTCGCCGACGAGCTCGAACGCGGGGTCCCCTTGAGCGACACCCCGGCAGGCCGAACGACGTGCGGCGTGCCCGTAGATGGGATCAGCACCAAAACATCCCCCAGCTTTGCCCCGCTCGGCACCACGACCATCAACCCGCTCTCGGTGAAGCCGACACGCCGGGAGTTGCAGTGATACCGCATCGTCGTGATGTAGGTCGAGGCACTGTGGAGCCGGGCCATGGTAGCGGCCTCGCCCGCCAGTGGCCGGTAGCGCGGCGTATCCAGATCGACAATTTCATCGATAAAATCGCGGTAATGCTGCGCGTAGCTCGCCGGCGCCGGGCGATGCAAGCGTTCGCGGCCCTCGACGGGTAGGTCCATGATGAGCGTGCGCCACATCACCTCCTCCCAGGGCTGGCCGCTCGGGTACGGCGTTTTTCCATCTTGGCCGAGGACCGCGCGGGTCCTCTGCTCCACCTCGTTGTACCATTTGACGACCCGCCCTATTCCGCCGTTCAGCTCCAACGTGTTTTCGTCCGTTTCCGGGCGCACGAGGACGCTGCTGAGCCAAATCACGGTGTCGAATCGGATAGCGGAAAGCTGCATCTCCCGGTTCTCGACGGAAACCATGTTGGGCAGCGGACCTGATGCTACATAGATGCATCGGTCATCTTCAGCCTCGATGACGGTCTCGATGACGGAGCGGCCCACCGTGGACCAGTCGGGCACCCAAGACGGGAGATTGGGCAAGTTACGGGGCCAGCCGGTCCCCGCGCAGGAGAGCAAAAACAAAAGGCCGCGAGGCTGCGACGCGAGGTGCAAAGCGGCATAGTGGTACACGTCGGCGGTCGGCGTGGCGTAGTCAGGCCGCAGCCACGCAGAATCTTTTCCGTTCTTGGCGATCCCCGTGAGGGCGTACACCTTGTCGCGGGGATCCGTCGCGTTCATCGTCCAGCAGCTGCGGAGGAGCGAGTGCATCTCCGCGGGGTTGCCGGCGCGCGTGGCGGCGCGGATGGTGGAGAAGACCATGACGTGCATGCCGTTGAGTAGCGAGTAGCGCTTCTGGCCGCGGACGGCGGTGTCCTCGAGCAAAGTGCCAAAGTTGGATGACAGGAAAGCGGTGCTGATGACGCGCAGGAGGGTTTCCCACTGCAGGACGTGGCCGCCGTAGACGACGTGCAGGTTCTTGTTGACGGCTGTTTCCTGCACCATCCAGATGCGCGTGAAGTAGCGGTTGGCGAACAGGTCTGTGAGGGCGAGGAAGCGGGGTGATCTCCGCTCATGCTGGTACCGTTTGTAGAGCTGGTCGTCGGAGGGTTGCTCTGTCTCTATGAGGTAGGAGAGTTCGAGGAGAAGATCTACGGCCAGGTCGGCGTTTGGGTTGTTGCCGAGCCAGCTCGTGACCCTGCCGGCGTCGTGGTAGATGTACCACATCAGCTGGACCTGCTCGCTCTTTTCCGTGACGTTGTCCTGGTCAATGCAGAGAGAATCGATCCAGATTAATCGGGGGTCCAGATGGGGCTCCTGTCGTGCAGCAGCGCGTAGGCGTTTTCCGTCGTCGTGAAGGGAAGCCCGTTTATGAAAATGGTCCTATTCACGTAAGAAGGGTGGTTAGTGATTTAGCAACAGAGTAACTTGTAATCCTTTTTCTTCATCACTCGAGTAGTGATTAAGGATGGGGGATGCATCACTCGAGTAGTGATTAAGGGTGAGGGGAATGCATCGTCTGCCAGACTCTAGGGACCCTCTTACCTCGTTCTTTCCGGCTTGCCCCAAAAGTAAGACATGGCTTCGAAAGCGACGTTGTTCTCAGCTAGATTAATGTGAACCATTTCACACCGCACCACGTCCGAGTTACCACGGGGAAGAAGTCGAATCAGGCGAATATCCCACGGGCCTTCCAACGGCGCGTGGCGATACTCGGCGCCCCCTTCTCCACGCAAGACATCAACCAGCTTCTCCCCTCTCCAAGACCACGCTCTACGCATCAGACTTGTCTGGGCTACAAACTGCCAGGCACCGTACGTGACCTCGCCAACGGCCCGAAGCACGTGCATAACGAGCCTCGCGCCCAGGTTAAAGAGTGGGCGGCCAAGCTCGGAGCGGAGGGACGTGAGAAAGAAATAAGTGCCCACGGCTTTCAAGCACCAGGACAAGATGGACATGAACCCTAGGGAAGGTATGAACCAGGCGATGATTCTCCACAGACTCTGAATCAGGATTTTGGTTCCCTCAAAATCATGAAGTACTCCTGAAACGGAAAGGAAAAGCGGTAACGCGCGCTGCTGACGCTTCTTTTGACGATACCACTGCTCGCGAATAGGCATATTGAGGTCGTTGAACACGAGCGGATGGGCGTTGGCGACGAGCAAGACGACAATGGTGAAAACATACGTCGTAACCCCGCGCACGTTGAGCAGGTAATCCAGCAGGAAGGCAATGGGGAAGACGAAGCGGCCGGCGCGGACAATGAGCATGCCCGCGAGGACGAGCCAGATGCTGCCTATGCGGTAGGCAATGTAGTCGACGCAGAAGCAGGCGGCTGCGAGGCTCGACTCGCCGAATATGACGCCGATCGCGACAAGCCACGTCGGTTGCTTCATGGTGACGAGTGGCTGTGATGATAAATGGCGTGAGCGGGCGTGCTGAGAGGATCCAACGTGCTGCGTTCGTTCGCGGGCGATTGTCTCATTACGCCCCCATAGACTTCAAATTTCTTCAAATGTTGGGTTTAGTGGTTTGGTTAGAGATGCATGAAAAGCAGGATATCTAGAAGTTTTGAGAGCGTCGAAATACCTTTTTCTTTATTTTTCGATATTTTCCCTTGTGTGGTCAAGTGGACAGCTGAACTTCCCGCAGCCTGGTCTCCCAAGAGCGAGCGCTGCTGCGGGGAGAAGAACATCGCGAAGCCGGGTTAACCGGCCACCCAAACCGCGTCCGTGGTTGAGGGATTCCTTGGCCAGTCTGGGCAGCTGAAAGATCTGGAGGGGCTGAGCGTCACTCGAATTCGGACCCCTGAGACCACCAGACTGTCGCAATTGGCCCGACCCCTTCTTCGACTTTTTCGGTTGGTACCAGCGTTGAAGACATTGAGGATTCATGTTGTTCTGGAACGTTTTTGGCTTGGAGGCTTGCCCCTGTTCTGTTCCAACGACGAACATTCCAGTGCTCAACTGCATCAGATCAATCAATTGGATCCCGGATCCATTCATCAAGTTCCCCGCGACGCTGAATCTATTGCGCCTCTTTCTAGCGTGAGTCGGGAGCTCGGCGCCCTTGCGCCACCTTTTTCCCTTTGAGCTTCCCTTTTGATGATTCTGACTTCCCCAACTGAAATGGGTGGCAGAGTCAAGTGGATTTTCTGCCCGGGTAGAGATGGGGGATGGATTCCAGGACAGTATTGAAATGGAAAAATGCAAACAGATCCATCAGATTCATCTTGCATAGACTCATCTTGTACAGACTCATCGAGTATAGATTCATCAGTATAGATTCATCGAGTGTAGATTCATCGAGTGCAGATTCATCGAGTGCAGATTCATTCCATACATCAATGTAAGCATCTTAATCCGTTCGACAGGCAACGACACAGAAGTCTAGAGTAATATTTCTCTTTCCACAACACTGAAGCCTATTCCCCACTCAAACCTTACGTAAACATGCACGCTCACGAGTTTGTGCACATGCACCAGATTACGAAGTAATTGGTGGGGAAGGAGCGATTCAAGGCGAAAGAGCTTTCCTTTCATCGAGGTTGAGTTTTTTTCTTCTTGTTTTCATTATTACTCGGCGTCAAGCATCGAACAGACGAATCACAACCCTAATTTTTAGTTCAACGGGGCTAAATCCTACCTATCCTTAAACCATCTAAAAGGGATAGCTCGGCCGGGATCCATAGATGGCTGCTGTACCCGATCAGGAAGGGAGGGATATGGCGGAACACGACGTGATGGAGGATGTAGACCCGATGGTCCGGCGGAGTTATGAGGTGAGAAACTTACTTGAACTCGTCAAATGTAATGAACGGGCCATTCAGACTACCCACCACTGCGATAAGGCAACGCATCTATGTTTCAGAGAAAAGGACTGACGTTTCGTAGGATGCAGTGAACCTGCTCAACACAACACAGTCCGGATTCAAAGCCGTTGGAGCTCGGACATATACCGCCGTCCGAGAACGTGATGACTTGATTCTAATGGAGAAATGGCTTGGCTACATTGGCTACTCGGTGGGTGCCTTGACCAATGCTTCCTCCCGCTGAGACAGCGAATGAATGAAGCTCCAGTAAAGGGGACATACCTCTCATGAAGCATGTAGCCCGCCGATATCAACCGCCTAAACGTTATTCATGTTGCGGGAACCAAGGGCAAAGGCACCACCTGCGCCTTCGTCAATGCCATCCTGCAACGGTACCACGATACCGGCCAACCCCCGCGCAAGATCGGGCTCTATACGTCGCCTCACCTCGTCAGCGTGCGCGAGCGCATACGAATCAACTCGGAACCGCTTTCAGAGGAGCTTTTCGCTCGGTACTTTTTCGAGGTCTGGCTGGCGTTCGAGGAGGGTGCGAGGAAGGCTGGTGACCCGGATCCGACGACGAGGCCGAGATACTTTAGGTTCCTCACGCTTCTCTCGTTCCACGTGTACTTGGGCGAGGGGTCGACGTGGCCATCTACGAAGTCGGCGTCGGCGGTGAATTCGACTCGACCAACATCGTCCCCAAGCCCCTCGCCGTCGCCATCACCACGCTCGGCATTGACCACCAGACAAACCTGGGCGACACCATTGAGCAGATCGCCTGGCACAAGGCTGGCATCATGAAGACGGCCGTGAAGGCGGGTGCGTTTACCGTCGATCAAGTGCCCGCGGCGATGGAGGTGTTGAAGCAGAGGGCCGAGGAGAAGGGTGTAGCCCTGACGGTGCTGCGCGGGAGCCCGGCCGTTGATAAGATCCGGCTGCGACCGAACGAGGATTTTCAGAAGAAAAACGCCCAGCTTGCAGTGGAGCTTGCCTACGCGGCCCTGTCCCACCTGAACGTGCATGTCCAGAACGAACCGGAACAGCTCCCTGATGAGTTTGTTTATGGGCTGGAGAATGTCACGTGGAGAGGGAGGTGTGAGGTCAAGATCACGGGAAACCAGGAATGGTGTCTTGATGGCGCTCATAACGAACCGAGTCTACAGGTGGCCTCACGGTGGTTCTCCAAGTTGGAAAGGGAATCGTGAGTTCACTTGAAACGCAAATCACTCATGCTTTTGTTTTCATTTCTTTTCAATTTCATATCTTTTTGTCTAACTATGAATCGTAGCCCGATGGAATCAATCCTTCTTTTCAACCAGCAATCCACGCGCGCCGCCACGCCCTTGCTCGAAACCATTCACCAAGTCCTATGCAAGGAAAACGGCGTGAAATTCTCCCGCGCGGTATTCTGCGCCGGCGTCACCTACAAAGATATGACGTTCAAACCCGGTATGTTTTTCCCCCATCGCTCCTGCCCTTTTTCTTCTTCTGACGAGGATGCCCAGACTTTGTCAACCGCAACATCGATCCCAAGGCCCTAGCATCCCTTGAGGCCCAGCACATCTTTGCCAACGCATGGCACCGCCTCGAGCCGGGCTCGGAAGTCGATGTGCTGCCGTCGATTCAGCACGCCATTGACCGCATCCGCGAGGTGATTGGGGATAGGCATGTTCGGGTCTTGGTGACTGGCAGCTTCCACCTCGTGGGGGCGCTTTGTGCATCTTGGAGGGAGGCCAGAGCTTTGCCTTGGCCAGCACGTCGGGGTCGTGATTCAAGAACGTCGTGATTGGAGAACAACATGATTTCAGAATATCGTGATTCCGGAACATTGTGATTCCAGAATAGCCATGTGTTCCTGAAGTGTATCAAGCGTGAAACACTTTGCTCCAGAAATCCACTTCGGAAGGAAGACCATGATGAAGATACAAACAACGAATACACAAACATGATTGTCCAAGGTTTCAAACCACAATTCATAATTCAACCTATATGAATCCGCTTGCCGTGTAAATATTGCAGTTATTTTGTGCCGTGTTGTTGCCGTTATTCCCCATCTTCATCATCACCAGAGCCACTACTGCTGCGTTGATCGTCGCCACCGTCATTACCCTCGCTCTCGCTCTCGTCCTCGCAGTTCTCATGCTTGCAGCTGCCAACGTGGTCCTTGCATTCACGCACGCATTCCAAGCACAAAGGAGCCATTTCCTGGGCCTCCTCCAGCCGCATCTCCGCATCATCGGTCAAGGCAATACACCTGCATTCCCGCGTGGTCCGGGTGACGTAGTCTCGGATGGCGCCGACTCTGTCCATGATGGATCGGACGGAGACCAGGGCAAGAGTGGATGGGGTGTTTTGGCGTAATAGCTTGACGAACCTTTTCACCACGACACAGCCCCAGCCGCAGCGGCATGGTGTGTTGATGTCGGTGAGGAGGAGGTCGTAAATCTTCTCGCGGATCCGGGCACGTCTAGTCTCCAGGAAATCTAGTAATTTATTAGATCTTTGGAACTCACAATAAGTATTTCACTTCTTGACCTCACGATTTCTTTGTTTACCGTGGGATGATGGAATAACAGGGCTAGCAACTCACAGATGCAATACCAGGGAACGTGGAGATCAAGCGTGTCACTCCCCACCACTATCTCTGTGTACGGGCCCACCCCTCGAGGACGAGTCGGGCCGTGATGTTGGAGAACGCGTCCGCCATATTGAACAGGTAAGCGGCCTGAAGCAGGTCGCCGAGATCGCAGAGTGGCGCATTGAACCTGGAAAGAGCCAGTTCGTCGCCGCGTGAAAAAGGGCATCCTGCAAGAGGTACTTGTCGGCGAGGATGGCGACTTCTCGAAGGTCCGCGGCCGACAGCGACCTCACGGAATTGGTGTGGTAGATTACGTCGAGCACGACACCAAATGCGCGAGGATCGTCTTGGGTAAAGACGAACTCGGTGGGATCCTGGATCTGGAGGGCGGGAGGATTCTTCCGCATCCACCGTTTGCTGAACATGGCCGCGAAGAACTTGGAGGCCGCGCACATGACCGTGGAGTCGACGTGGAACCGGACGGGTTCGTCGCCGACGAGGAACACGGAATCCCCGTCCAAGGAAAATTTGGTGGGGCCGACGTAGGAGGGTGCTTCGAGTCGTCCCACAGGGTGGGCAGTGATGAGACGGAGGATGACATGATGGACCACCACGGCTTGCTTCTCTTCCTTTGTTGTGTTTGGTTTGGATATATATAGAGAAGGATGGGGTAAATTGTGCCAACAGGTATTTCAAGTTAAGTCCAAAAGTAAAACATGCTTACCGCCCTCGTCGGGGCTACATAGTTTATATACGTGGGGACGTGAACCGACGATGTCAAAATGAGGGCCAGGCTCATCCAAGTCAGGACTAGCGACTCCAAATTGGACACTAGCTCCATGATTCTCAGTTAAGATTCTGATTCACCCCCGATTCACGAGTGCCACATGAATAATGGATAGGGTACTGATGTAGAAGTGAGGTGCGTAGTGAATTTGCGTAGAAGTGAGTTGAGGTGTTTGGTGAATTTGCACGTGCAATTTCATAGGAATATAATCATCTACTGAAACTTGTGGAAATCTGACGCACATAAGCTTTGAGGCCGTATTCGTGAATTGCTCTCATCTTTGCTACTCAACCTCGTCCTGGAAAGTCATCAGGGCCGGAAGCCAAGATGGATGTTGGCAGTTTGTACGGCCGACTGTGAACAGATCGAAGTGAGTCGGACCGGGCGACATCTTTGGCCTCGTCATACCAAGAGAATCACCCCAGTTCGAATCACTATACCCTCCGTCCCTACCTTTAACGGCCGAATCACGACCGGGGAGGAAGCATTCACGGATCCAAGCAATGACATGGAGAACACGAGGCACAGGCAAGCAGGTCTTCTCGTAACAGATTCATTATTTGATTCGTTTTAAATTAGCTACAAGAAGCACCGCATTCCCGCTAGAGAAGACGGTGGAGCCGCTGTTGTACATCACTTTAGAATCCCTGGCGGGCGACCTGCTCCTGGGCAGCAGCAATCGCGGCGGCGGCGTTGGGGTCGTTGAATCCGCAGCCCTGCTTGCCGTTCTGGAACTCAGCGCCAATGCCGGAGCAAATGCCGGTTCCGGCGCCATTATTCGCACAACAGGCCTCTTTTTGATCCTTGTTAATCAGAGTTCTTTTAGTTCTACGTGAGGTGGTGACGCTTACCTTGGCAATCGGCGTCGGAAACGCAACCACCGGTGCTATTATCGCGATGTTAGTGGGATTGCCTCCAAAGTGGATGGGATGTGGAGTGCTTACGTAAACTGGCGGCCCTGACCGTTGCCGACGTCACGGGCACCGGAGGTGTTGGGGATGGCCTGTGCAATAGCGCCGGCGGCGACTGTTACGTTGGTCGTTAGTAGGGAAGCAAATGAGGAAGACGGGGCGGGGCGCCCATCTCGAGGTGTAGCGGAGGCTGACTTACAGGCAAGAACAGCGAAGAGAGCGATGCGAACCATTTTGAAGGATTGAAAGGGGTATTCTTAAAAGAAAGAGTTGTAAAAATGACACCTGGTCTGATGGAAGAGAAGTAAAGACTGGACGACGCCGGGCCGTTGAGTGCAAAAGATTCTAGTGATGGAAAGTGATGTGAGACCGAGCTGGAGAGAAGAAGAAAGAGAAAAAGACCATAGAGATCTCTGGGATCACCACTTCTTTTGTATTCATGGCCGCGATGATTATTCATCACGCCCTCGACAGATCATTACCTGAACCAGGTCTCCTACGCGGGTTTGGACATGGGATCAGGGGATGGAGGGTGAATGCTAGCAGGTCTCAAGAATGGGATGAGAGACGCCTCGCATCAATGCGGTGGGTTTTCTGCCGGGGTGGGGAGTCCGACATCAGACGCAACAAGTCGCCGTCGCAAATCATCTCGGAGGCGAAGTGATTGTGGGGTGGGAGGGGACGGACTCGTCAGTGTCAGGCGCGCGCGGGCAAGAACAAGCGTGCCAGGAGTTATGGAATTTTGCCACGGCTCACGATGTTTTAGTCCGTCGGCTGTTCGTTCAGTGCACGCCTGGATGCTGTGGGCCCGTACCAAAAGGCCTGTGTCTCATTAACCACCACTCCTGCACACACACACACTCTCTCTCTGTTTCCAAGCCGGGATATGTCCCCGTCGAGCGCGCGTCAGATTTTTAATCATTCATCCTCTTTGCCTACATGTACGCATACAGGCCTGTCAGTTCGTGGATCGACCACTTGATCGCCATCCCCCTGAGTCTCATTTTTCCAGCGTGGCCCGCCCGCCTGGCATCAGACCTGGCGCAAGGGACAGCTCTCTGCCGCGTTTGGGCCCTTTTTTTGCCTGCCAAGCAAAAAAGCGGTTCAGGCACAGTCGTTGATGGGGCGGGCAGAAGTGTCTCAGCTCAGTTCGGCAGGCGATTTTTTCAGGCGGCTTCGTTTGGCGGGCTGTTTAAGGCCCTGGTGGCGCTGCGTGACAGCTGTCAGAGGGACCTCGTTTTTGGTGGGTGGTGAAACGCGGGTTTAGGTAATCATGAACTTGACGTCATTGGGTCCACCTTGTCTGCTGCCCAGAGTTTCAGACTCGTTTGCACCCAAACAAAATGGAAGGAAAAAGAGCCCAACGCGTTGGCGGACTCGAGATCTTTGGATGCATGTTGGTGCACGAGGGTTAAAAATAGAGCTACTGCTGATGGAACTGAGGCGAAGAGCTTTGTGTGGTGTGAACGGTGTGCTGATTGTTTCTTTTCCTTTTTTTCTCTCGAATATCGGCACTCGCTAGACCATTGACGCTAATCTCATTGATGTTCTGTGTATTACTTGTACGCTATGTGTCGTAAAGACGCGGGTGATGTATTGCATGTCCCGCCGTTCCACAACTAACAGATGGATGCATCGGCTCGTATCTCGAAAAAATCCATTCAATCAGTGCATAATGCCGTTCATTCGAGTGAACTGTCGCCTCCTAATCACCTAGAATAGACGTAATTTTTGTTGGTTGGGATGGATCCTTTGAGCCAGGCGGGGGCTGAAAAGCCTGGTCGTTACTGGCTGAACTGGGCGAGTGGAAGGGGCTGTGTAGGGGTAACTAACGCCTCCTCAATAGAAATTCAACATGGCATTTGAGGAGCTCTCTCCCCAGATGGAAGGCATCGTTGTTCTCGTTCCTTGGGATTTTGGAGAGGGCAATTGAAAGCGTACATGTTGAAACAATGCCATCTCGCTGGACTCGAGATATCAAGACCTTTTGTCGTCGGGAAAGGCCAGGATAGCCCAAGCCGGAAACACGGCCGGCTCCTCCTCCTCTACACAGTCAGTCACACACACACACACACACGCCTGCCACTCACCCCCTCCCCTTTCACAGGCGCACGCCCGCACCCCCTCGAACGTGTTGCCCTTCACTTTTGTTTTGTAACGCCCGGAGAACTAACCACCACCCCCGTTGTTGTCGCAGGAATTCAACGCCCGTCCCCGTCCATGACAAGGACCTGACCGGCGACCCCGGGCTCCCGGCGGACGTGCGGCCGAGAGCCACGAGCGATGGAGGCTCCGCGAGCCCCGCGCGGATGGACCCCATCGTCGCGCCGGCCTACCACAACCTGACGCGGTCGGCCCTCTGCCGGCTCCCAGACGAGGTGCTCCTCGACATCATGGAGAACCTCGACCTAACGAGCCTCATGTGCCTGCGCCAGACCTCGCGCGTCTTCCTCATCCTCTTCTCGTCCCCGGCCTTCAAGAAATACCACCCCCTGGGCGGACAACGACCTCTCGAGCTGGACCCCGCCCTGCATCCTCTCCCCGCTCAGTGCGAGCGGTTCCGCTCCCTCATCGACAAGGACAAGTTCTGCCCCGAGTGCCTGAGCGCCCGCGTCCAGGGCGACCGCAACGCCAAGCTCCGTACCCTCATGACGCGCCCCTTGCACTGCGACACCTGCGACGTCAAGCGGCCCGCCCTCTTCTTCTCCGCGTCCCAGCGCTTCTCGCAATACGCCATCGGCAAGAAGAAGAAGCGCGCCTGCCTCATCCACGAGGGCTACATGCGCATCTGCCAGCACCGCGTCCTCCGCTGGGCCGAGGTCCGCGAGTGGATCGACGCCCTCGCTCGCGGCGACGGCAAGGATTTCCGCGTTACGCTGTGCGGGCACGCCAGCCACCGCTTCACCTGCGCCGGGGGCAGCCCCGTCCCGTACGCCGGCATCGAGGCGCGCCTGGAAAAGGATTTCACTACGACTACCCTCACCATCACCTGGGACGCCCACGTCGCCATTCCCTTCCGCATGCCCACCTTTGAGGAGGAGGGCTTCTCCACCACCCACATGCGCCAGATCCTCGAGACCCTCTACCTCGACGCCGGCAGCTTCATCATCCCCGAGCCCAGCGCCTACCTCCCCATCCGCATGTCTGCCTTCGACCCCAATGTCTGCGCCTGCCTGCGCTACCGCGGTCGTGAAAAGTTTGACTGGCAGCTCTTGCCCCGCTCGGATATCGGCTGGAAAACGTGCCGTACCGAGCCCAGGCTCAACCTCTTCACTCCGGGCCGCAAGGGGAACCTGAGCGGGGCCACGCGCGCTCCGCACTCCGTGTCGAGCGGGAGCTCGCTGACCCCACGCGCCGGTTCAACTTTTCCGTCGAGCGGTGTATCCGGTGCGCCGAGTACCCGCGCTGCACATTGCTCACGAGCAGTCCGTCGGGCTCCGCATTACCGAGTTCGCTTCGGAGCACAAGGTTCCCGTCGAGTGGTACGGCCTGCTGGACCCGGACTCGTACGGGCTCAATACCGACGATGCGAGTCGCCATATTCTATGGTGCCCGGATGCGTCGTGCGAGAACTATTCCCATCGACCCAACCATCGCCGTTTTACCAACTTCTTTGATCGATACATAGATCTTTTGAAGGGTAGCACGTAATTTTTGAGTCACTGGGGGTCATGGTTTTCTCACTGGCACGACTGGACATCTACGTGGGGGTTGACTGTAATGGATATTGCAGTACATAGAAGGGAGGGCAAAAGCTACATGTGCTATGCTCGGAGTGTGAGGGTGGCGCATGGGCTCTTGCGCTGATATCGTCCGGGTCGTCGAGCAGAATGAGTGCTTAGATTGAAAGATGTTGCTGGAACACAAAAATGTGTAAAAGGAGCGAGCGAGCACAAGTGAAGACTTCAAGCGCACAAACCAGATAGGTGCAACAATCCTCATTCATTTACGTTGAATCACGTAACCGCATACGGCTATTTTCACACATGGAATGCAAAATATTGGAAAATTTTACTGATTTATCGGTGTAACTCGTTCGCTAATCATTCTTGGTATTCCATCCCATCTGACCCAAGTGCGCATCCTTCTCCCAGCGCGATGATGACAAAGAAAAAGAAAAAAACGCCGTTATTTAAAAGCTATGCCTCCTGCGCCCTGACAACATCTACGAGCTGGCCGCCCTAGCTTCGAGATCCTCGCGGCGAGACTTGCTGTTGGGGTCAAGGTAGGGCTTCTCGCCAAGACCAACGGCGCGGTTGCCGAAGCGGTCGCCCTGGCCGTCGTAGTCAAAGGTGGCGGTGTGGAAGACGCTGCGGTTGTCCCAGATAGCAATATCGTTGGGGTGCAGCCACTTGAGCCTGACCTGGGTATCGTGGTTCTTTGAAGAAGCTCGAGGAAGCGGTCGAGGAGCTGCTTGCTCTCCTCGTCGGTGATGCCGTTGATGTGGGAGACGTGCCCGCCGACGGGGTAGATGCTCTTCCAGCCGGTGACGGGGTTGGTGCGAATCACGGGGTGAACGGCCTTGAGGATGGGGCCAATGTTCTCGGCGCGCCGCGGGCCTTTCGTAGAGCTTGAAGCCGTTGCGCTCGGCGGCGGCGGCGAAATGGGGCTGCTCAAAGGTGGCGTCGAGGGACTCGAGGAACTTTTGGTACGGCTCGCTGAGGAGGTCGTAGAGCTCGTAGCCTGAGGCCCAGAGGGTGTCGCCGCCCGTGGTGGGGAGCTGGGTGAGGCGGAGGGAGGTGTAGTCGGCGGGGACGGGCTCGAAGGCGATGTCGCTGTGCCACTGGGCGCGGGTCTGCTTCTTGGGGCTGGCCTTGTCCTTGTGCGTGGACTTGTAGTACTTGTTCTGCTGGACGGAGCTGATGGTGCTGATCTCGAGGTCGTCGCCACCGAGGATCTCGCGCTCCGAGTTGAGCAAGGGGTGGATGTGGAGGCCCGACGTGGCGGGGCGGCCGGTGAGCTCGCCGAGGCGGAGGATGAGCTTCTTCTGGAGCTCGTTGGTGAGGTTGTCTTGCTTGCGGAAGAAGACGACGCCTCGCTCGGAGACTGGATGGAAGAAAAGCTCTTGTTAGTCCTGTGCTTCTATGTAACTGGTTGGCTTGGCCGGGGGTCAAATTCAGAAGAGATGGAACGTACTGGTGACGGCGAGATCACGGATGAGCTCGTCCGAGTTGGGAGCGTTCAACAGCTCGACAAGGTCGACGTTGGCATACTCGCGACCAATGACGGGGGTAACGTCAAAGTGCTCAAACTGGTCGAGGGTACCGGTGGTCCTGAGAGGCTGGGGCTTGGCGTCGTCCAGCTTGAGGGACTTGACCACCGTGGGAAGGGCGTCGGCGACAGATTCAACGGCAATGGGGGCCATTTTGGAGGTGATGCGCTGAGCTGTGGGGAGAGTGTATGAGGAAGAGATGTGCTGCTTCGTAAGAGTTCTTGTAGAGGAGTATCCCGATTCTGTAGGAGGAGCGTTGTTCACTGATGATGGGAATGAAACAAGAAACAGACCGGGAGAAGTGATGCTCGGGCGTCCTTAAATATAGCCTCGCTGCCCCCTCCCTTGAGTGACTGGACCGGAGTTTATGCTAGTTGTTAAGTCCTGAAACCCGTTCCACGGGATATCACAACATGCGCCCACGATGTCGAAATCTGATGATAAATCTAAGCGTGCAAACAACCCCCTCCTCGCCAAGGGGTTATCCCACGCCGCGAGAAGAACCCTCCCCTCCTCTTCGTCCTCCTCTCGAACCCCTTTCCGATTCTGGTATATACAAGCCGGTATTCACTCGCCAACTAATCAGGGTTTGGGTTGCAAGTGTGCCCGCCTATTGGCGACCCGCGGCACCATGAGGTTATGTTCTCACCTTGGTTGCCTATGGCGCCACCGGCTAAGCAAATACAACACCCGTGTCTTACCCCACACACGCGTGCTCTCCCCCGTGGTCGCCCACGACTTTGATGCGCCGATCATAGTAGGCAAAATTAACGCGGACGGTACCGATGTGACTACATGTGCTTTTAGAAATGATTTATTGGCTCTCGTTTCTTCGAGAGGGGTGCTCGGAGTGCGTGCTCCTTATCAAATGTGCTGTAATACCGGCCAGTCAGACAACGGACTCCTTTGTGCCACACTAAACATGTGCCCTTGGCGTAAGAATACCGGGCCCTCGGCACGAGCTATTTGGACTATCCGGCGTCTCGGGCGCTCGCTTCCAGGGTCTTGCGTCAATAGTTTGGTATCACGGCATCCAGGCAGCGAGATTAAACTAACAATGAGTGGTGGTGCCAGAAGTTGGCGTGGACAGGGTGCTGTCGAATCTACACGTAGCTCTAGATTCTCATCATAATAGCTGCGATATTAGCTACGACATTTGGAAATAGTATATTGAAGTTTCTAGTGTTACTCAGCTTCTAGACGTGGTTGAAGGCCTAAGTCGCTGTCTCACGAGATTTCCATCTTTCTCGATGGAGGTTGTTCGCTCACGATAGACATGTGGCCAATTATACGAGTTTGATTTCAGACTATATCCCAAGCCACAGATGCAACAGGGGTTAGCTCATGGATGACCAGCTCAGAATTATCGTGACTTTTATTCGTCGCGCGGAAAATAAGGATTATGAAATCTTTTACTTTTTGCTTCCACTCGTCTACCCTCCCGAGTCCCAGACTCAAAACTCCGTGCCACCCAAGGATATCTCAACAACGATCGTTGTAAAACACAAATAATTACTTGATTTGTCCTCCGTTTCCATTTCCCTTTTTCCTACGTTCCCATTAAACTTTTTAACTAGCAAAACGGAAATCCAGCCTCTTGCTACCGCCATCCACCTCTTGGTCAAGGTACTTGAGCTTCTCGTCATCACTGAGCTTGTTCCACTGGGTCTCGCGAGACTTGTTCTTCCAGGAATAGTACAACTTGGCGGATATATAGAGAACAATGTTGTACGCAACCAAGCCGATGAGGATGCTGTTGCCCCGCTTGTAGAGAGGCGCATCGTCGGCGCGGTAGATGTTGCTGGAGATGACTTGCGCGACCTGCACAAACATGTTGTAGAGGGCGGCGGACACAGTCCTGCCGCGTACGCTGTTGGAGTTTCGGGAGGCGAGACCCACTTGCATGGCATGGGCTGGAAAGAGAGGGTTCAAGTTAGCACATAGTCAACACAGTTTCATGGGGCGTTATTCCCCAGGATATGACTCACTGAGAGGCTTGGCGACAAGGAGGGTGAGAATGGCCCACGTAGTCCATCTCTCTTCGCCGGGCTTGTAAGCCACGCGGAGCCAGATTAAGAAGGGCAAACTCCATATTTGGGGGACGGTGCCGAAGAGGAGGATTTGCTTCTTGCGCTCGGCAATCCAGAGAATGGCCATCATGGTAAGGACTGAGACATTGGTTGTTAGCTAGGTAACACATAGGAAGAATACCCCAAACGAGCGAGTTATCTCTAGTCTAGGAGGTGGCGGCGTGGATAACAACTTACTTCCGAGGATCTGCGAAGGAATGGTGAGCAAGTTGGTCTCAAAGACGTTGAATCCGAGGCCACGCAGAGTGAGGGTGAGGTACTGGCGAGGGGGCATGCCGGGAACCAAAAACGTGAGACCGATGAGGTAGATCGGCCAGAGATCGAAATCCAAGATGCTCTTAAAGAGAAGCTTGGGGGTGATGGGCTGCCGATTGTGCATGCTGCCCTTGGTAGGGTCGTCGCGGATGATGCGGTTGACCATGATGACTTCCTCCCTATAGGTCGATGCGGGTTAGCTAAAAGTAACAAAAAGAACACTGGGTTCGCAGGCTGCGCTTCTTACCTTTCGTTGAACCAACCCTTCTTGCCGCGGAGCTTGCTCGCAGTCTGGGTAGGACTAGGGGCATGAGAATAAAGGAGACGAGGCCGATGCAGAGAGTGAAGAGACCCTCGATGAGGAAGAGCCACCTCCAGCCTGCATAGCCGAGGACGCCGCGCATCTGCAAAAGACCGGCAGCAGCGAGGGCGCAGAGGATATCGGCCAAGGTCATGGAGAGCCAGAAGTAGCCCAGACGAATGGTCATCTCATGATGTTTGTAGAAGTAAGAGAGGTAGAGAATGATCTGCGAGCGGAAAGTGTTAGTCGCGTTGGTCAAAGATCGTTGCTTGACCAAAGAAAAGAGAAGTTCCCCCAACTTACATCAGGAATGAAGCCGCCTTGGAGGAGACCGAGGAGAGCGCGGCAGGCTAGGAAGGAGCTGCGTCCAGAAAGCTTGAACTGGCAAGCGGCGACAATGGACCACAGGGTGAGCTGGGTGGGGATCCAACGATCGGGGCCGACCCACTTGGAGACGAGCTGGGAGGGAAGCTCGGCAGCCAAGAAAGAGGCGAAGAAGACGGTGTTTCCGAGGTTGTAGTCTGCGGTATGCCGTGTTAGTGGTCAGATAGCCAAAAGGAGGTTAGATTAGGGAGGGGGAGCACGCACCGTTGGTGGTAAGCTTCAGGTCGTCGAGGAGGTTGTCCGAGACGGCCTGGCTGAGGTTGGCGCGATCGATTTCGAGACCGACAAACATGATGCAGGTCCACACCATGATTTTCCAGTCGATCTTGCGAAGGACCTTGAGCTCTTCGGCCCAAGTCCATCGCGCGGCAGGGTCGAAGCGGTGGAGGTTTTCCTATGTGCGACACAGTGTTAGCATGTGACAGCATTCGAAAGCAGAAGAAGTCGCGGAGGACACATACCAGTCGGAACGGGGCTGGTACTTTTCAGCTAGGAGGGGTTGTCGTAGACGCTGGGCTGGGTGGCGACGTCGTCGAGGCTTTCCTTGTTGACCTGTTTTTGCCAAAAGAAGCGGCGGGTGTCCTTGAAGGGCTTGCCGAGAGGGTTTACCTCGACGGTAACGCCATCCTTCTTCTCGTTGGTGTCCGAGTCGGACGACGTGTCGGTGATTTTTATGGAGGAGATGACGGTCGACATGATGGCTTTGTTTCTTGTCTTGAACTAGATCCCAGTCGAGGGGGTTTTAGGATTCTCAAGGACAGGAGAGCGGCCGAGGGGGATAGGCCCGGGTGGCGCGCGTGCAAACGTCAAACCTTGGAGGGTATGAGGCAGCGTCTACTCCTTGGGGATATGTCTATCTCGAGGATGAGAGAAGAGACTATAGGATGTATGAAAGGGAAGAGAGAGGTAAGGGATGAAGGAGGTTGAGGGGGATCATTGCTTTATATGTAGTGTGAAGACATGAGATGGGGAGCTGCGAGGACGATATCGAAACTCGGCATCAATTTCCGACCAGGATCAAGGTGAGGACAATAGCTCACGGAGAGAAAGTAGCCGTCGAACGCAGTGATGGGGAAAAAAAGAACGGAATAAGAAAGAGCTAGTAATCACTAAGAGCAAAGGAAGGCAATGCGTACCACCGATGCGTACCACCAGCTGACCCACCCACGCAAACCCTTGGGACGTTGTCACCACTTAAAGCGCGAACCGGGGCTTCTTTCCCATCCTGGGAAGAACAAGTGGATATGCCTGAAGGATGCGAGCGGAAAGGAATCCCAGCGCAGAATAATCAGCTAGACAAGTTTGATAGCGGCTATCCTGTTGCATCTTTCTATCTGCCAATACTTGGAACTGGCCCCGGGAAGGTGGCCGAATCCACCCGGTACGGGAGGAGGCGGGGGGGCAAGAGGGAAAATGGGAGGCGACATGCGCTTGCTTGTTCGCTCGCTCGTTCGCTAGTTAGTTGGAAAGGAAGCGGTGCCGAAGAATAGTATACGGATCGGGATGGGGTGGGTGGATGGCGCCATCGCCTTTGAATTCCAGATGGGACGAGACCAACAGAAAAACGGGAACCTCTCGGAGCTTTTTTCTGTCTTTTACCTGAAGCTATTTGTTTAGATGGGAGTGTGCAACGAACAGACCAGCAGCGTAGCAAAGACATGGGGGAATACGCAGCTTCTCGGCGGAATCACTGGGGCACCTTGCGCTGCATTTCCCCGTACGTCTTCTCCTCAAGATGCAGCAAAAGAAATGCCACAGCAGACTGGTGATACAGGGTATTAGCACAGGGGCCAAGTTGACAATGAAAGGGTAGTAGAGAGGATAACCATGTGCCGAAACTCCGCTAGGGTGGCGACGCAGATGGGCCAACGACGAGCGCCACCACGTTTTTTTCTGTTCCGGGCAGCGGAGGCAAATACAAATCTAGACAGACAGATTCAATGGAGCGTGTGGGTTGTTGCGCGCCTCCTTTGCTTGACGCCAATGCGGACGAGGATTGTGTGCTCGCGGGCCAAGATGGTGAAGATCGTCGCGGTCAAACTAGCTCCCTTTCTCTCTCTTCTCTCTCACCTTACAGGTACTCTCACGCCCACTTTTTTATTTGTCTTGTTTTCCCCGGTGTTCGAGACCCGCTTCATCGCGCGAGAGCTGGGGCGGCGGGGGAACGGCGCCGAACATGGCATGGGAGGGACCCCTTTACAGTCGAGCAATCTCACATCGACACGGCAGTGGGGGTACCGTACGGGTGGGGGGCATAGCGTGGGAGGGAAGGGTAGGGTAAGAATGGGTTTTGGGGTGGATGGTGGTGGGTAAATCATTAATCGATACATTAGGCCCGTCGATGGATTAGATTCAGGATGAGACAGGCCAGGGCTGAGCCGTTTCCTCAGCATGGGAGACCAAGTGGAGTCCCCCGTCTTTGATGTGAACGCAGGACCTCGAAGAATGGGCGGATGGGGTGCCAACGAGAGCGACATGGCTGTTTTGATAGATAATCCGTCTGTCAGACTTGGGGTGCTGAAGGATCCGTCGTTGATTGGGACCGGGACCGGACCCATGTGAAAGGTTGCGCAGGACCCCATGCACGTTGGTCCTCCAGTGCTTGTCTTTGAAGCATTTGCGGATGTAGACGTGGACGCGAACGTGGGATTGTGATACCAAGGGATCGAGGGAACCCAAAAAAAGGCGGACGTTGGGGTGCGCACCGCGCATGGATCCCAGCCCGGCCCTCGTTGGTCGCTGCGATGACAATATCTAGCGTCAATGACGTTTTTTGCTTGTATCGTCCATCCAGTCGCGCGCGATAGGCTCCTTGTGCCTTATCCCCGGTCTAGTCGTCCCGCAGTCGGACCAATAGCGACGAAGCAGGTCATCCAGCAATTCCCCTTGACGTTATTCCGGAAGTAGCTTAGAGGCCGAGTCGGCGAGCAAACCACGGCGCGACGGCTCCCAGAAGGAAAAAATCTCGTTTCGGTCGCGGATATTTGGGGAACGCGAGCACGTCATCCGCCCCGCCTCTTGGGTTTTGCAGCATCGTGCAGCGCAACTGCCCATGGGGGTGTTTTTTTGGTTTCAATGTTCTTTTCGCGGCCCCAATTTTTCTTATTTCCGTTGGCCATTGATCTTTACGTGCCAGGGGTGGCTGTCTTGTCTTGGCTATAGGATTCACTAATCTTTCTTGATCACCATGTTGATGTCCAATGTCGGGAGAGCCAAGACATTTGGGCGTTTCTTTGCCATGATGCATGGGGCGCAAGGGAGGTTAAACTGCTCTTGAGGGGATCGGAATTCGGTAACGGATTTCATTCAGGACTGCCGACACCGGGCTAGATGTTGAATTCTCGGGAACAGGCGCGCAGATAGGTTTGGGTTCTCAGCAAGAGCCTGGAGAGAAAACATATTATGTCTTGTTTGGGGAAAACCCCAATGGTGCATCATCGACCCATGAGTTGACGAAAGCTGGGAGTGGAACTTGACCAGAAAAAATCGTACGTAGAATCGCACCTCCCGTACAACTTGGATCCGACTGCAATCGGTGTTACGAGCTACACTATGAGGGAAGATGTCTCGCGTTCACTAGCCAGAGATCCATCTTTGCCGCTGCACCAAGATGATTAAAATCAGAAACAAGACTGACAGACGATCCGCTCGGTTCCGGCGCCACACCCTACTCCACCGCATCAGGGTGGTCTTGGGACCTTTCGTTTGCCATTTTGCTCTGCCGACGGGGACTGGATTTCCGCGGAAGCGACCAGTTCGTGCCTGGATACCTGTGGCCGTGGAGCTGGAGATTCCCGTTCCGCCGGGCAGGGAGCCCGTCCCATCCATCCACTCCGAGGGCCCAAAAGCAAGAAAAGCTCCGGACGAGTACCAGCTCCGTGGAAGCGTTTCCGCACCTGACTTTCCACGCGAGGTGGGTGTGTGCGTTGGCGATCACTTTTGCGGGTGCTATCGTTGCTTTTCGCGACCTGACGATCCTTGTGGCAAGTGCCTGCGCAGACATGGCCCTGGTGGCCTTGAGAAAGAGAGGGCATTAAGTCCAATATAAAGGGCCTATAAAGTCACGTCACGAGAAATGCCCGCCAAGTTGAGCCGTGGCGCATCGCCCGTTTAGAACTCATCGTGGTCTCAGAGCGAGCCCTATGGCCAGCAATATGTCCACGATACGAGACATCGTGATGGATCGGCAGGGCGCGACGGATGCTGTATTCCATCACACTGAAATTAGACTAGATCGATGCGGATGCGGTCCTGGGGAATGGGGCCGGCCATGCCCATCATCCACCGTTCTTCCGTATATCGCGATAGTTGTAGCTAAAATGATCGGCCTACGCCCTTCCTTGGGCGTCGGAGAACTTCAGCTGTAAACGGGATCGTCTTGCCCTATCAACCGGTGGGCTGGGTCCGCATGCCGCTCTGACACGGTCGTAGACGCTGCTCTTCCTCTCCGACGCACGCCCTATAGTTTCGGCCGTCCCTGATAAAACGAGAAAAAAGGTTAATCAGTGTTAAAAATAAAACGGAGCTTGTTCGTTTCTCTACATTTAGCCGCTGGCGATCATAATCGTCCTTGCATTCAGGTCCTGGGAGGACCGATGCTTCCTTTCTCGAAGAAACATCGCTCGGTGGACCCGCTCGCTCACGATATTACTGAACACACCGAACATACAAGCGGTACACTGAAACATTTGGTGCTCTCACAAAAACAACCAGTAACCCGGCTCTGCCCAAATCCGACCGACCGGGCGGTACCGGCGCTGGGAATCCGTCGAGCAAGCCCCAAGGTCCACCGCCCGAATGCGGGATAGTGCCGTCGACCTAGGTTCCCCCTCGATACGCTTTAATGCATAAACAGGGCAGGATATAAATTCCACTGGAGCTGTTGCCGGCCCCCTCACTGCAAGCTTCAAGCTCCTCGTAGAAATAATTTTCTTCTTCCCTTTTCTTTTTCTCCATTGCTTCACTGCATTGGACTCTAGGACCCAATTCATTACGGTTATCCTGAGACTCGAGTAAACCATGGCGATCAAGTCCAAGCTCTTGTCTTGCAGCTTGCTGCTCCAAGCGCTGCTCCCCTCCATCGGCGCCTTTGCCCAGGGGAATGACAACCAGATCCCTCTCGGGCTAGGAGACATCTTTGGCCCCAACGACAATGGCAAGAGGCCCAATGTGCTCTTCATCCTCACGGATGATCAAGATCTGCACATGAACTCGTTGGACTACTTGCCTCTGATCAGGAAGCACCTCATCAACGAGGGCACCTTGTTCAAGAAGCACTTTTGCACCACGGCCATCTGCTGCCCTGCTCGGTAAGAATTTCCCCCTCACACTACGATCTTGACTAACATCAATACCTTCAGTGTGACGCTGTGGACCGGCAAGGCTGCTCACAACACCAACGTCACCGACGTGTCCCCCCTCACGGTACGTCTAACCCACGAATCACTGAAGCATACTCTTTCACAAACATTCCCTTCTAACATCTATCCAACAGGCGGCTACCCCAAGTTCGTCTCCCAAGGTCTCAACGACCGCTACCTCCCCGTCTTCCTCCAAGACCTCGGCTACAACACCTACTACGCCGGCAAGCTCTACAACGAGCACAACCAATGGAACTACAACAACCCGTACCCTGCGGGCTGGACGGGCTCCGACTTCCTCCTCGACCCTTACACCTACATGTACCTCAACGCCACCTTCCAGCGCAACCGGGACCCCCAAGAGCTACGAGGGCCAGTACAGCACCGACGTGCTCGCGGGCAAAGCCCTGGGCTTCCTCGACGACGCCGTCGCCGCGGGCAAGCCCTTCTTCCTCGGCGTGGCCCCGTGGCGCCCCACTCCAACGTCAACCTCGGCGCCCTGCCCGAGTCCAACGGCAGCGTCGCCCTCCCCATCGACGGCGAGGACGCCTCCGCCTACTTCTCGCCCCCGATCCCCGCCGAGCGCCACGCCCACTTGTTCCCCGACGCCGTGGTGCCCCGCCGCGCCAATTTCAACCCGGATAGCCCCTCGGGTGCTAACTGGATCCGCCAGCAGCCCAAGCTCAGCCAGGAGAACGTCGAGTGGAACGATCACTACTATCGCAGCCGCCTGCGCGCCCTCCAGGCCGTCGACGAGCTCGTCGATTCGGTCGTTAACAAGCTCGATGCCTATGGTGTCTTGGATAACACTTACATCTTTTACACCACGGACAACGGCTTCCACATCTCGTACCACCGGCTGCAGCCCGGAAAGGAGTGCGGCTTCGAGGAGGACATCAATATCCCTCTCATCATCCGCGGTCCCGGCGTGCCCAAGGGCAAGGTCTCCGAGATTGTCACCACGCACACGGATCTCACGCCCACCATTGTCGAGCTCGCCAAGGGCCCCGCCCGCGCTGACTTTGACGGTGTCAGCATCCCCTCACCGAGGAGGGCCTTGAGGAGGCTACCAAGACGCGCCACGACCACGTTACCGTTGAGTTTTGGGGCATCGCCGCGTCCGAGGGCAAGTATGGCTACTTTGGCAGCAACATTTCCTTCATCACCAACAACACGTACAAGGCTATTCGCGTGGTTTCCAAGGAATACAACCTGTACTACTCGGTTTGGTGCACCAACGAGCACGAGCTTTACAACCTAAACGTGAGTCTGAGTCGATCTATTTTCCCTATCTGTTCAAATATTCCTTTTTCAAGACACGATTTTAACGTGAATGTTCTCTAGACTGATCCTGGTCAACTCAACAACTTGCTTGACCCCGAGGCCGCGGCCACCACTCTCTTTGGCAAGCCCCTCACCAAGGTGGTGGCCCGCCTCGATGCGCTCCTCCTCGTCACCAAGTCCTGCAAGGGCGTCACCTGCGCCAGGCCCTGGCAGACACTTCACCCGCAGGGCAACGTCAACTCGCTCAAGGACGCGCTCGCCTCGCTTCGACGCTTTCTACGAAAAGGAGCAGGCCAAGGTATCGTACTCCAAGTGCGAGATGGGTTACATTGTGGAATCAGAGGGCGCGCAGTTTGAGACAGATGGCGTGGTGTACAAGCACGGCACGTCGTGGAGCGAGTGGGTTTGAGCTATAGCTTCAATGTAACTAAAAGAAGAGCCGACGGAATCTCGGCCGTGGCTTGGCTTAATTTTCTAAAAGAGGAGGGGAATGAAATCGGAGAATGGAATATGCAAGAAAACGGATTATAGTTAAAAAGGAATGCTCCAAATCCGCCACTCGAGAACATATCTCTCCGGACTATCAGAATGCGTCACGTCTAGAGGTGTACCCCGGTTTCCATTTCAAATTTGAATTACCTAGCACATCCCAAAATCTCATCTCAATGGCCTTGGATCGAGCTTTCCGGGGATACGCAAAGTCCGCGCCGATGTTAGAAAGTGGTCAAGCCGGAATTCGGCAGATTCTCTACTCCGCGAGCTCTTCTGACAGAGTTCGGGCATGACTTGAAGCGACTGCATCCAGCGTGGCAATGAATAGACGTGGGGGCAAGCCAGGGTTGTGCCTCAGAGGGTTGCGTGTAAATGCCGAAGGGAATGGGTTCACTGCTGGGTTGGCCTACCTCTCACCCTTGGCCTTGGCTAACAAAGGTCGTATCACCGGCTTCAACAACAGGAAGAGCCGGCTTCCGAGTGATTACCAAACAAAAAAAGAGGACAAGACGAAGCGTGTACATGCACCAATCAATACTTACGCGAGATTACTTTGCCCCCTCCCCTCCCAAAAAACATTGTTTTGTTCCGTGTCTACTGCTCTCCCAAGACGCCCAGCGCGGTGCCCAAAGCGCAGCCCGACGGACTGGGAATGGAAAATGAGGATCCGAGGTATGGTGTGATGAGAAATCCGCAATCGCACAGGCAAGGGAAGAAAAATGGTAGATACAGGGCGTGTCCAGTGGTATCGGCTCAGCCGTTGTGCGGCGCGTCTGCTGGGCTGTCGTCGAGAAAAATCGGAGAACCGGGTGGGGCTCTCGAGATGTCGCCATATTGCGCAACCCGGCCGGAGCAGTGGGGGAAGGGTCCCGGCCTCCTGGTTTAGTGCGAAAACGCGAGGATTCCCAATCTGGCCATGCCGGGGGCGTGGGGTCAAGATGGATTGGAATTGTCGTCCAATTGAGGAGAGGAAATCTATCAAAGCCGGGGAAAGAAAACCAAGCAGGTCTTTTGGATAACGCTTGTCTCCATCATCTGATCGATGAGATGGCCGTGAGATGTCGGTTCCGCTGGGGTTGACTGAATGGACGGCTATATGCGACGTTGAAGTGGCAGAGTTTATCCGTGAGGACCCTTGGGGAGTGACTTTGGAAAGTAGAGCAGACCTGACGGATCCATATCAATAGCGAATGAGAGTCTGCGTAATGACGAGACTAGGCCGAATCTGGATATTGCAGAGTTGCTCGATGTGGGGGCAGCTGCCAAGACCTGTCACGACTTTGCACACGTTCACGGTTGCAAGTACTGTTCTCACACCTCGAATCTCCGACGCCCTTGGATTTAGTGAACTCGTCTGTTTTAGTACCCTCTCCTCCACCCCTCTCCCCTCCGACTCCGCAGGTCCAACATGTAACCTCGAAGCGGCAAAGCCCACGCAGTCACCCAGTCCCAAAAGAGGCCAAATGGAGTAGTGATTCATCCATTGTTCTGAATCCTGTCCCCCTTCACCCCCTCCGCTTCCACAGTCCCCACCTAAGCTCCCCGCTCTCCCCGGCTGCGAGGGAGCACTGAGCAAGGGCGATGGTGCCAGCGGTAAGCTTTCCCTCTGCACCTATGTGGGACGGAATTGGCGCTTCTTGACTTTGCCCGTTTAGTACGGCTTGAAGCGCGAGAGGGGGCTAATACCGTGACTCTAAAAATCCAAGACGGGCGAATATCCGCCCTTTGCGTCTTGTTTATCGGCCTTTCGGGAAAGACCAGAGGCAAATTCCGCATGCAGGTGAGAAAAGTAGTGTATTCCTAGAAGGGAGGGTGGATGCGGCTCCTGGGTGGAGGAGGGGCTATCTCTGGGGGGACCGTTGAGTCAATCCCCTCCATCTCGATCACGAAATACGCCTTGTTCCTTTTGCCAACTTTTTTTTATTCTTTTCCACTTTGTCGCCATCGAAGCTACCCACCACCATTGGCACCGCAGGACACGCTCAACGACGACCCTGGTCAACGGTCTTCCGCCTCGTTCGCTTTTCGGCACCATCATCGCCTTATCGTTCTTGGCTCTGGTTCGTTTTCTTGTTCCCCTGTTGCCTCTTTGGACACTCGTTCAATCTTTCTACCCCCTCCTTTTGTCGTTGTGCTTTCGCTCTTGGCCTCCTTCCTCTCTCCCTTCTTTCTCCAGTTCTGCCCTTCTGCGCAAGGCCCTTGCTCTCTCGCTTACTTCCATTGTCTCCCCACCCTAGGCTACTGTCTAAGAGCCCTAAAAGGGAAAAAGGAAAAAGAAAACAGGGGACCATATCACTAGAACCGCGAGACGAACAGTATGGGAGAGCGCAGAAGGAGTAGCAACGAGGCTCAGCCCGGGGCTCTCGCGGCCATCCCCACGGGGGCCCACGAGAGGACACCCCTCCTCCCTTCTTTTGAGAACCGTCTGTGGTCCTTTCAATATTCTTCATCAAGTGAGAGCTCCCTTACCATATCCAGCCTCGACAGCTCAGAGAGTGGTGCCTACGTCCCCTGGTGGATCGATGCCTCTAACGATCTTGAAGCCACAACCCCTGATTCGGAAACCCCCGATTACCAAGCCCTTGAGGATGACGCCGATGACGAGGAAGATGACCTCAAGAAAAGGTCCGCGTCGGGTCCCTCCACCCCGGTGAACCCTATCAAGAAGGTCATCGCCATCCTCATCCTCGGCATGTTCACCGCCAACGCCGACGGCTCTCTCGTGCTAGCCACGCATTCCACGATTGCCTCCGAGTTCAACAACCTTGAGGCTTCTAGCTGGCTGCTCACCTCTTTTGCGCTGGCCGGTGCCTCGTGCCAGAGCATTGTAAGTCTTGGATATCTGACACGCCCCTAACTTACCACCATGATATATCCTCCCCCATATGGGCGAGCGCTAGTCGTCGGATGAAAACGGAGTGAAGGTGCTGATACTGATGTTCTCCGAAATAGAGCGGCCAGCTGAGTGACATCTTTGGCCGGCGACCCATTCTTGCGTTATCATACACCTTATTCGCAGCAGGATGGTAAGCTTTCAATGATGAAAGAGTCTGGTCTTGGCGCAATAGCTAATGTCTTGTCCTTGCCCTGTCAACAGTGCCCTCGTCGGTGTTGGCCAATCCATGTGGCAAGTAGTCCTAGGAAGAGCCATTTCCGGCGCCGGTGGCTCCGCGATGGGTGTCGTAGCCGCGCTTCTCATATCAGGTCAGTCTTCGCACATGGGCAGAACCAAACCGCCCATGCCTAACGCGGCGAGACCCCCAATCATCTAATCAAGCCCCATAGACCTCGTCCCCATCCGAGACGTCGCCGCCTGGCAGGCCGGCCTCAACCTCGCCGCCACAACAGGCCGAAGTCTCGGCGGCCCCGTCGGCGGCTTCCTCGCCGACACCATCGGCTGGCGCTGGTCCTTCACGGGCCAAGCCCCCATCTTCCTCGTCGCCACCTTCCTCAGCTGGATCTTCCTGCCCCGGGGCCACTTTACTTACAACGACGACGAGGAGGACACCGTCGGAACGGGCTCCGCCACCCCCGTCGTACCTGAGGACGCCGACCCGGAGGCCAGCATCGGCGTAGATAGCGTCGTCGCGCCCGTCGGCGGGCCCGTACCCGCCGCCGTCCCCGTGCCCGCGCCCACCACCCCCGCCGAGACCACGGAAGCGCCCGCAGCAGCCGCCCCCAGCTCCGTCTCGCGCATCGACTTCCTCGGCGCCTCCCTCTTGGCCGTCACCATCCTCGCCATCCTCGTACCCCTCGACATCGGCGGCAAGTCCTTTGCGTGGACGCACCCCGTCATCCTCCTCCTCTTCGCCACCGCCGTGCTCGCGGGGACGCTCTTCATCCTCGTCGAGTCCCGGTGGGCCTCGGAGCCCGTCTTCCCGCTCGAGCTGCTGCGCTCGCGCAACATCGTTAACTCGTACATTATCCTCGGCGCGATGACGGCCGCGCAGCTCGGCCTCATGTTTTCCGTGCCGATTTACTTCCAGGTGAGCCAGCGCGTGTCCAACGCCAAGGCTGGCGCGCATTTGTTTCCTGCTGTGTTGGGTAATGCGATTGGCGCGATTGTGGCCGGTGTGATCATCAAGAGGTAAGTGCTGTTGTTGGTGTTCTTAAAACCTGGACAATCTCCGCGGACGCAAAAACAAGGATACTTGCTAACCACCGAATAGAACGGGCAAGTACAAGTCAACTCTCATGTTCGGCACTCTCGCCTCCGCCTTTTCGTATTTCCTTCTCTTTGTTCGCTGGCACGGCGATACGAATACGCTTGAGTCGTTGTACATTATCCCCAGCGGTTTCGGCATGGGCATCGCCCAGACCGCCATCTTCACCTCCATCCAGGCTTCCGTCGATCGTAACCGGAGGGCTCCGCTATTGCCGGCATGTATCTCACCTCTCAGCTGGGCATGATCTTTGGCCTGGCGGTCGTGAGTGCTGTCGTCATGGAGACGGTGAGGTGGAAGCTGGATAATCTCCTGATTCTTCTCGACATTGCAGAGGCCGCTCGCGCAGAGGTATGACACGTCCCCTCCCTGACCTCGTAGTGATTTTTGGCCCCTTTATTGCCAATTTCTTCGTCCTCCGCCGGGCCCGCCTTCGATCCATCGTCGCTAACTATCTGCCCCGTGCCTTAGATTATTGAAAAGGCAGCTTCCAATATCGACTACCTAGATGAAGTTTCCGGCGGCGTCTACTCGGCTATTGTTGAATCGTATATTCTTGGCCTTGAGTGGTCTCATTTGGTGTCCATCGGCGCTTCGCTGTTTGCCTTTGCCGCTGCCGCAGTTCTGAGAGAACAGCACCTCTAAGGTGGTGTCGTTTGCTCCAAAAGAAGATACTTTCAGAGCGGATGGGGAGAAAAAGAGGGTGCAAGGTCTGAACGGGATAACAAAAGGTATAATCTAAAAACGAGGAAATTGGGGATTCTTCACACAAAATCACTAGAACCAGACGGTTAACCCAGCCTTTAATGAGGAACGGCTAGGTCGTGACATCACCGCGATAGACATTTCATTTGTCATTGAATGGGAGTTTTAAAGAGCACAACGACGCTATTCATTTCTTCTGTAGAATATCATTTTTTGGATTTTATTTTTATATACGAGACTTGATCCCGCCCAACGGCAAGGCGGTTGTATTTCCGTGGGTTTGTAAACGTCCTATGACCCAAGCCTCGATTGAGGCGACGAGCTCATGGACCTCTTTTACCGTGTTTCCGGCATGCAAACAAACTCTTATACGCTCCTTTCCGAGAGGAACGGTGGGCGCGACTATGGGCCGGACCATGGATTTCCGTTGCTGGCAAAATTGCGCCAGTGAGCGCGGGTGTGATGTGTACACCGGGAGGATGGGCGACTGGCGCCTTTCCCTATCAACGTGGAGAGTATCCGCATCCGGTTTATGCCTCTCTATAAGCTGGAGCAATAGGGCATGGGTCTCGTGCACAAGGGCCCAGAGATGATCTAGAAGCGGTTTGGACTTTCCACTGTCGAGGTAGTTGTAAGTAGTTTGGATGCTGGCAAGGACGGTAAAGGGCAGTGCAGTGGTGTAGATGAGGCTCCGGGCATAATTGATCAGGTACTCGCGAGTTATCGGCGAGCATAAAACGATGGCTACGGCTCTAGTATTAGTCGACTTGATCTACTATCTGGTGGTGAGAGAGGTGTGCGCAACTTACCCCCGAGCAGCTCATGGCCTTCCCAAACGTGTGGAGCCGTGCCCAAACCCGATTCTCTAGGCCCAAGGCACAGACTAGCCCCCTACCACGCTCCCCAATAATACCGGTCGAGTGAGCCTCGTCGACGATAATGTAGCCGTTACCGTGCGGGAGAAGCGATTCGACGCATTCCACAATCTCCTGGAGGGGCGCCACGTCACCGTCCATGCTGTATACACCTTCCACCGCGATGAAGACGTTGCGAGCACCGTTGCGAACGTGCTCATCTTCGCTAGCCAAGGTTCTAATCACAGCAGCGAGGTTTGGGTTCGCCAATGGCTGCTCTTGCACACTTTCGGGCCGAAACCCGACTTGGTTATGGGCAAAAGATATCGTGCGCTTCGCCCGACTCCCCTCATGCCATCGTGGACGCTGGCGTGGATCAGCTCGTCATACACGATCGTGTCCTGCGGCTGGGGTACGCAGCTAAACAAGCCGACGTTGGCGTCGAAACCCGAATTAAAGAGCAGACCGGCTTGCGCGCGGTGAAAGCTGGCGATCTCGCGCTCCAGGTTCTCAGCGAAATCGGAGTTCCCGTCGAGTAAACGGGAGCCGCCAGATCCCAAGAGAGGGGGCTTACTCCATCAATCTGCCGGCTGGATGTTGAACCGTCAACCTCGGCTTGGAGCCTTTGCACATACTCACGCTGAATATCTCCTCGAGTGGCGAGAGAGAGGTAGGCATTCGACGAAAAGTCGGCGCAGTTGGGAGGCACGACGGTGAGACGACGACGCTGGCTCTTGGCTTCCCGGCGGGCGAGAATATCGCTTAGGATCCCATCGAGATTTGGCTTGGGAGCAGACATTGCAAGCGAGAATGGATAGAGGGGACCAGCTGATAGGCCTGAAACAACTGCTGTGGGGTGAGGGGTTTTGCTTTCGTTGTCTCTATCTCCTCGCGGCTCGCCCTATAGGGCTCACGAGCTAACCTTAAAAATTCTCGGAGCACGATGTCTCACCCAAGCGCCCGCATCTCTTTAAAAACGCAACGAAAAAAACCACATGTGACGCGTGGGGGATCCATTGGAGAGAATGGGGAAGGAAAGGGCGATGCACAGCACGGACCAGCCGTCAATTTGAGTCAGACTCGAACTCGATGCAGGAACGACTTTGCAAGGGACGAATTGTGAGCTGAATGTTGAGTGAACCCCGCCTTGACTGTTGCATTTCGCCTTGCCTCGGGAAAACCCCCGCTGATCTGCGCGAGCCCCCAAACAGGGGCAGCCGAATGCGTTTTTATTCCTTGCTCCTGTTTTCAAGCAAAACTTTTACCCTCCCATTCCCCAATCGCACGGTCAAGCTGAGGAGGTTGGATTGACTCGATCATGGCCCCGGCTGGTGCGCTTCTTCGGAGGTCCCTCAAAGCCTACCAAGTCTACGGCGCCAACACAGATGTCGGCAAAACCATCTTCACCACCCTCTTATGCAAGGCTTGTCAGAAGTTCCGCCCTGGAGAGGACGTGTCATTCTTGAAGCCTGTGTCGACAGGCCCGCAGGAAGAGGCTGACGATTGGTGTTCGTGCATTCTTTCCCGGTTCTTGCCGAGTGCTTCAAGGGCCAAATGCTGATATTGGGTGCAAAACAGAAGAACTTTCAAAACACCGTTTACATACAAGACCGGCATAGCAAATTACTAACCTGTTCCCTACAGTCATATCAATACATATGTGCCTGGCGTAGCTACGAAAACTCTCTTCCAATTTGAAGATCCCGTCAGCCCCCACCTCGCGGCGGCCACATCAAAACAGGTACGATGAGAACAAACGGACTTCTCAGTCGCGGAAAAACTAGTCAATTGGAAGCTCACAGACACTTTTTGGCAAATAGGCGACCCCGAGCGATCATGTAGTCCTCCAAAGCATCCGCCGCCATGTTTCGGACAGAGCTTCATCCCAGCCCGGTTGGCTATTTCTGGAGACTGCTGGCGGTGTCCACTCCCCGGGCCCATCTGGGACTACGCAAGCGGATCTCTACGCTCCTCTTCGTTTACCCGTAGTCTTGATTGGTGACTCCAAGCTTGGGGGCATCTCTCAAACGATTGCAGCATTCGAATCGTTGAGAATCCGTGGCTATGATGTTGAAACTGTTCTTCTTTTCCAAGATAGTCACTATGATAACCACACCTACCTTTCACAGTACTTTGCCGGAGAACACGGAATTCCACTACAAGCATTCCAACCACCTCCCCGCAGGTCCGATCGCCAATCAGACGTCAGGGCCATGTCAGCTTATTACGAGACCGAGACTGAGACGGAACAGGCTCCAGACCTCGTAGACCGCCTGGAACGGAGCCACCAGACACGTATCAAGACCATCGAGACTATGGCGGGTGACGCATATAGAACAATATGGTACCCGTTTACGCAACACGGTCGACTTTCCCCCAGCCGCATCACGACCATCACCTCGGCCCACGGCGACTACTTCCAGACTTTGGTCCCCGATAGCGAAAATCAGCCGCCCGGAGACTCCCTTCTCCAACCGTCTTTTGACGCTTCTGCTTCGTGGTGGACCCAAGGTCTTGGCCACGCCAATCCCAAGCTCACGCTCGCCGCATCTTACGCTGCCGGCCGCTACGGCCACGTCATGTTTGCCGAAGCCATCCATGAGCCAGCGCTTAAGCTTGCCCAGACGCTCCTAGGCGTGCTACAAAATCCCAGACTGTCCCGCGTCTTTTACTCCGATAACGGTAGCACCGGGATGGAGGTTGCGGTCAAGATGGGCTTGAGGGCGACACGTCAGAGGTATAATATTGATAATGCTACCAAGCTTCAAGTCCTCGGACTCAAGGGGAGCTACCACGGGGACACGATGGGTGCTATGGACTCCACCGAGCCGTCGGTTTTCAACGAGAAGGTGGAGTGGTACGATGGGAAAGGATACTGGTTCGACTACCCCACAGTATTATGTAGAGATGAAAAATGGCGGGTTGATGTTCCCGGCTCCCTCGCACCACACCTTGGGGCTGGAGAGAGTCACGCATCATTATCCGATATATTCAACGTTGATGAAAGGAAGGGATCGATTACCTACCAAAAATACGTCAGTTACATCCAAGAGACGCTCAAGGACCTCACTCAACAAGGTCGACGATTCGGGGCGCTGCTCATGGAGCCCGTGGTTTTAGGAGCTGGGGGAATGATTCTAGTGTAAGTGGGGGTTTTGTTCTCCTCCCCCATCGCGCGCCTACCCAGTACTAACGGTTACTTCGACTAGGGACCCTCTTTTCCAGCGCGCGCTCATAGATGTGGTTCGCACGTTTCCCGAGCTCCTCCACACTAGACACACTGTAGATGCAAGCAGTCAAGGTCCATCCGTTTGGACTGGCTTGCCCGTTATATTTGACGAAGTCTTTACGGGCCTCGGCCGCCTTGGTCCACTAGCGAGTGCCTCGTTCTTGGGTGCTCATCCCGACATTTCCGTCCACGCCAAACTGCTGACTGGTGGTTTGGTCCCACTGTGTGCCACGGCGGCCTCCGAGAGCGTATTCGAGGCGTTCAACAGCCAGCATAAAACCGATGCTCTCCTTCACGGCCACAGTTACACAGCTCATCCTGTGGGGTGCCAAGTGGCGCTCGAATCTGTGAATACGCTGCAGAATCTCGACTCGAAGGGCGCATGGGATTGGGCCAAGCAGGGGTGGGAACAACGTCCAGCAGATAGGCCCTCTTCCGGAGCCAAGGCCGCAGACAGTCTCCCGCATGTGTGGTCTGTTTGGTCAAATAAATTTGTGACCCAGATCTCCGCACACGAAAGGGTCGAGGGCGTTTGGGCCCTAGGCTCGGTGTTGGCCGTTCACATGAAAGATGCCGAGGCATCTGGGTACACGAGCAACTCGGCCGCGCAAGTGCAGCAAGAGCTCCTTGCTGGAGAAATTGAGCAAGGGGATTCCTGGAATGTGCATAGCAGAGTTTTAGGCAACGTGCTCTACATCATGACGGGGCAGATGACTGATGAGGTAGATGTTCAACGGTTACAAAAGCTGTTGGCGCGGGCACTCGGGTAGTAGAAGGAAACACGGTTATAACCTGGATATACGTAATGGCTTCACTCAAAGGCGGAGTTCAAAACGCATTCAAATCATCACGGCAAAGCCAAGGTTAACTCAAAAGATTCAAGTTGCTCATAAGAGATTCGTTCAAAGTCCGTCTCATCATTGATGCCGATAATAATGGTATCTAAAGAGATATAAACCAAGAATTGAGATATTATCCAACATTCGGGTACTCGAGCAATGTTTGGTAGCTGCTTGCTAATATTGGATGATGGCTTACTCTTGCCGACTAAAAACATGAAAAGAAAAAGAAAAAAGAAAAAGAAAACGACCTTCGTTTTCCTGCCCCACTAAAACTTGCCCCCTTCCAGGTCATCACCTTTCTCGAACCTAATAGTTGTATTGCGCTTGCCTCCCATGGGAGGTTCGATATTGGACTCAACGAAGGGCAAGTCCTGAATGTCGAAGACGGGGCGCGAGAACCGGTTGTAGGCAATGATGGTATCCCTGTTGGCGGCTTCGGCATTGACGGGAAGGCTGATGAGGCGAGACTTGCGACGCATCTGCACCGCGTCGTCCTTGATCGGCTTGACTCCGTTATACTCGTAAATGGCGTTGAGGATCGGGATGGAGATGCCGTGGATGACGATGGAGAAGAGAGCCAGCCAGTACACGACGGGGCCCATGGCGCGGAGCAAGTTGGTGACCTCCTCGTCGTTGGTGGCCTCCTCGAGCTTGGGGAACAGGTGGCGGGCGTGCTCGACGTAAAAAGCGGCGCCGACGCCAATGGGGCCAAAGTAGCCCATGAACAGGGCCTCCCTCCAGTTGGCGATGGTGTTGGGCATGAGCCTGTACGTCATGAGCACGGCGGGGATGCGGCGGAACAGGAGGACGAGGACGCCGAGGCCGACGAGGCGGCCGTAGGTGATGCCCGTGACGTCGGATTGGAACTCGCGCCAGGGAAGACGCTGCCGAGGTACATGAAGCCGCCGAAGTTTAGGATCACGTCGACGCTGGCGTTGACTTCGTCGTGGCGGCGGATGAGCTCGGCGAGGTATTCGCCGTCCCAGTTGAGGGCGCTGCCGGCGACGAAGCAGGCGAGGAGATCGTCGATGCCGAGGCAGCCGCTTGTACCGAGGAGGAAGAGCTACCCTGGGGTTAGTTCGAGGTTGTTTTTTGCGTTTGAAACTAGGGCAAGGAGTGTACTTACGCCAAGGGCAGTCGGGGCGAGTACGTAGCTCTCAGAGTCGATCCATTTCCTAATCATCCGCTAGTTAGAAGATGTCCACAGATTTGTGAGTGGGTACGAATTGAGAGATAGAACTGTACCTCTTCATAGAAAACTTGAGAGCGATGCGGGCACCCCAACCAATGGCCGCACCGTAAATAATACTCAAGATGATGAAGTACAGCCACGTCTCGAGGAACCAGTTGCCGATGGCGACGCCCACGCCACCACCTTGTCTGCCCACCTCGCCAGCGCGGCGAAACAGCACGCCCACGTTCACAGGGCTGCTAGGAACGCTAGGAACAAACCCGTCGGAGTGGCGCATGAGGTAGGTAGCGAGCATGAGAAACGGAAACCGAAGCCGTCGTTGGCGCCGGCCTCGGAGGATATGATTTCTCGTAAGGGTCGGGCGACGAACTTGTCGGAAAAGGGGCCCTTGGCCACAGCTTGGGAGAGGACGGGGTCGGTGGAGGTGACGCACGAGGCGATGACCATGGCGGCGAGGAGGCTGAGCTTGGGGATGGTGACGAGGACGCACACGGTGGTGGCGAGCCACATGACGGTCATGACGGGCAGCATGAGCACAATCATGTCCTTCCACCGCGTTTGCTGGTACTTGGCGGGGAGTTGGTAGCCGGCCATCACGAGCTGGATGCCGATCATGACCCGCATGACACCCTGGCGAGATGAGAGGTGTTAGCGGGGTGCTTGGGACGCCGAAAAGAATACGGCGAGAAAGGGGGTGTTTGAAGGAGCGAGTTTTGTTCATTGACTCGAGGTTGAGGGACTCACCAGCGTGATTTCACTGGTCTGGCCTGGACTGGCAGACCCCCATTTTCCGAGTCTATGAATCTGGCTGCTATAGGCCCCAGTACGATACCGAGAAGCACCGCAGGCACTATGGAATAGCGTTAGTGGTGGTTACTCTCGCAGGCCATCAACAGATATGTTGTGGAAGTGGCCGGTCGAAGGGTCGGATCTAGGATGTAAGGCTTACATGCTTCTCCGAGAAACCAAGCATCCTTGATCTTGACGGAGATGATTCCGTAAAGGACGGTGAATGCGCCTAGGGTAGGTTGGATAGGAGTCTATTAGTTGTGGGTGTTCAAGACGAGAGGACAGAGAGATGAAGGCTCAGGCAAGAGGAGAGACGCTCGAGATATCTTCTATGGGTGGAAGATGGCATACCAAATATGGCGATGATGGTGTTGAGCTCGCTCACATCAAACGTAGGCATCTTGGCGGGCTTGGTGGTGTTCTTGGCGTAGAGCCTTGGCTAACAACGATGTGCACCAAGTGTTCGACGAGGTCTTGGCCCGTACGATGCCAACTCTGCGATCCGCGATGGTCCAAACGGCCGGCGTGGGAGGAGAACGAAGCCAAGAGAAGAAGGATGCTGGGGATTTCGACTGGGGAAAGGAAACGAAAAACAGCCAAGAAGAAGAAGAAGAAGAAGGAAGAGCTGGAGATGAGGTATTATAAGGCAATACGGAATGTACGCTTGAGGCTCCCGCTGTGAATGACTAGTGACAACCAGTGCACATCTTAATAAGTATGATTTTCTCTCTTTTTCTTTCTCTCTCTCCAGGCCAGCTGGGGGTCTTGGGGGAGGACGGGGAAAATGGGTGATCTCGGCGAGAGTCTTTCTTGTCAGGTGAAGGTGAGGTGTTTTTCTTGTCTGGGCGTGGGGAGCTAGAGGATCGATATTTAACAAGGCTCGGCGGCCACTTCTACCAGAGTGCTCAAGCCAGGAAGAGGAACTCGGGCCTGGTTAATCCCTCCCTCTCCCTCTCCCTCTCTCCGTCTCCGCCTCCGTCTCCATTTTTCTCTCAAAGACGAGACGCTTTTCCATTTTTAGTCCTTGTGATTTTCGTCCTTCTAAAAATGGACGCCAAGGGCCATCACCTCGGACCTCTGCGTTGTGATGTACCCTTGACCAGAGACACCGGGTCAAAACAAAAAGAGAGAGAGAGGCGGCTCAGGGAACGCTGTACATCTTCCTCAAGTCTTCTTGAGAGAAAGGGAGATGAGGCCCTTACGAAATTCCATTACTTTCATAGATAAGGAAGACTTGGCAGGGGGTGTACGCTTGCTGCGTTAGGGGGTGGTAGTGACGTATCTTTAAGCTTTGCACGGCGGTTTGGGAGATCATTGGAGACAAAGTTGTCTGACAGTGGTGAGAAGACAGGAAGCGAAGGAAGGCAAAAGAAGGCACAGAAAAAAGGAGGTGGTTGCGTTGGTGGATGTTTGGACAAGGGAAGCTCGGTTCTCCCAAGTACCGTCGTTGTGTTGTCGCGCGGTTGAAACATTAGATGTACGCGTCTTCTTGGCTCGAGTACAAAACAAATAGTTGGGACGTTGGTGCGTTTTCTTTGTCGTTGCAAGATATCTTGTCCTTGGCGGATCGCCCATGCCCAGAGCTTGGCGCGCTTGGCAGGGTCAGAGACCACTACTTTCTCGACGTGGGTCGAGCATCAAACTGTTTGACCTCCGGTGAGGCGACCTAACAAAAGCCTGCGTGTAGCTGATAAGAAATGAAGAAGAAAATTTTACTGGACCAATAGAGTCGTTGGGCGCGCGAGGGCCTTTCAGTGTCACAGGAAGATGACGGAGGGCGGAGCCAAGAGCTAGAGCCTCAAACTGGCCTTGACACCAACGTCAAGGAGAAAGCCTAAAAAGACATGATACATTAGAAACATCTTCAGTGTCAGTGCCACGATAACCATAATCACACCACGACGACAGCAAGACACGGGCTTTATGCTCAAGATACGGCCACAAAATCCTACATATAACGCTGCAGTCGGTGGGGTGCCAGCCATCCTCATCCTCTTGCAGAAGAGGATACGTGGGAAAAATAAAAGAGTGAGAGGGAATTGGCTCTCGTGCCTGAGACGGCTCATGACAAACCCAAGCGCCAAGCGAAATCACGAAACTTGTTCCCCAGATGCGCTTCTTGGCGGCTCTTGGCGCTTATGATCAGCTGCACCATAGCACTTGGCGCCAAGGGACAAGGTAGTCGGACCGGACCGCCTCTACTCTCGCCACTGGAAAGGGGCCATTGTTCGTCAGAAGCACGCTACTCTACGGGCCAGGAGGGAAAAATGCCTGCAACTCGTCTTTGAAAGATAACGACGAGATGTCGTAAAAGATGGGCGTTTCCAAGGCTAATGTGGGCTTTTTTTTTTTATTCTGTCTAGTCGGGTAACGGTGGAGATAGCTCCCGTTAGTCCGCTTCCGGCACGGGGAGTGGGGTGATGGTTGCGGCGGTGATCACTCCCGACGCCGAGGCTGCAGGAGCTACGATATTCGGGCGCAGAACGGGGGAAGCAGCCCGCCCAGTGTCTTATTAGCGTACCGAGGTAGGGACCTGCCACACCAATACCCTACCCCTTGCGTGAAAGAGGCCGGGGAAGAATACATGTCGTAGCTAGGGCCTTGTAACCGGCCCCGGGTACACGCCCCCTTCTTTTTACCAGCCTCTCCCAGGTCCCGCTGGGATCGCCTTTTCGCGATCGGGGACGGGCATGCGTGTTCGTGGGAAAGACTGCCGCGTCTATTTTTGGCAAAGGAAATCACAGCTCTCGGAGTACGGATCATCCCCCGATGATCGAGAGAGTGAAATCCCGACTGTCGCAGCGCGGATCCATGCGTTGGAGTGGAAATCGGGCCGCACCTCTTTTCGGCCGCACGCGCGCGTTGCGAACCTCGGGGAGGAACAGAGACAAAAGATTGGGGTTTCAAGCCCATGCACGATGCACGCAAGGAGACCGGGGGTGACGGGGGTGGATATTCATATGGGTTTGCGTTGGACCTGTGTCTCGGAGGTTTACCGCTTGGCGGGATAATGAACGGGACATGGACTGGAGAATGACGAAGGAAACACGAATAGCGGACGCTTCTTTCCAGCGCGGTCGCTGGGGTTGCATGTTGATCTATAGCCAAGCCGGCAGCCTCACGCGGCAAATTCGAGCTTTATATGCAGAGAAGGGGAGGCGTTCACGAAGCTTTGGGCATTACATTGCGCCCAATCTACGAACGGCTTGGCCCGCCGCAAGCTAGAGCCTGCATGGCCGTGGCCAAGAATGATGCACAGAGAGATGTTGGCCAGCAGACGAGGACTCTACCCCGTCGGCTATACCGTTGGCACCTCCAAGCAATCTTGAACGGCGAAACGCGTTAGATATGCTCAGAAGTCCTAAAAGAAGCGGAGAACGTGTCTCTTTGGCACAGGGGTGAGTTGGGCTAGCTGGACAGGAATCTGTGTTTTATATACCGAGAAGGTTGAAAGATGTAAGGGTTTTGAGGAGCGTACATTTGACAGCCGTTTTCATCAACACGCTCCTTGCAACCGGAAATAGGAGGGATAGCCATGTAAATGTAATTTGTTCTAATACAGCGGATAATAGGGCAAAGAGGAGACCAAAGAAATGTAAATTACTCATCTGCTCCCGTTCATTCCAACCCCGTCAGAGCCCTCTTTTCATCCACGTCTCGCAAAAGTTTCTCATGTGTCTCCCTAGCCTTCTTGGCAAACTTGTTCAAGTCATTACCGTACTTGCTCTCAAACTTGCCATCAAAGACCTCGACGCTAAACCAGCCCCGAAACCCCGTCGCTAGGACGGCTTCCACAAATTGCGCGATGGGGAGGTATCCCCGTCATAGGGCAGGGGTCTGCAGTCGTGGCTCCACTGACCCCGGGGCCGTAACCCAGACGCATCTGGTTCGTCCCTCAAGGGCGGCGATGCCCTGTACGCGTTGCTAATTTGCAAAAGTAGATGCGGTCCGACGGCACGGTCCTGGATAGCTCCTGCAAGCTGATGCAGTAGCTCATGTCCAGCTCCTGCTGCGAGATACCCGCCGTCTCGATCCGCCCCGATTCGGTCCTCGGATCCCCCATTCCCCACCAGCCGACTGGAACGTGTCGAGGCAGAGCCCAATATTAGGCCGATCAGCCTGCTTCACAATGGTCCATACATCCTTCCACCTCGGCGCCCGCGTCGCCCAGCACCAGTTCTCGTACGCGAGCCGGAAGTTCTTCTCGAGCAGCAGATCCGCCAGCTCTCCGAGATCCGCCGCCAGCCGCGCTCCATCGGCCGTGATGCCTTCCGAGTCCGACGACCCGACCTGCAGCATGTCGGTGCCGACGGCCTCCATGATGCGTATCCAGCCCCGCGCGCGCGTAAACGCGTCTTCCCTCTCCTGGCTCCCCGCGGGCCATCCCTCAAAGTTGGAAAAGGGCTGCAGCACGATGATTTCGAGATTGTGCGCGCGCACGAGCTGGCCGAGCTGGCGGCCCGCGTCGCAGAGCGCGTCGTAGTCGTCTTCTCGCACGTCTTGGCTCGCGTGGGCGCGCGTAGGCGACGAGGTCGGGGAAGGCGAGCTCGATGCCCTTGAAGCCTTGTTGGGAGAGGGCTTCGATCTTTGGTGGAAGGTGTGCTTTGGGAGGCCGATGGAGCACGAGGCCATGGAGAGCGGTACATTGAATGGAGTTGCCATCTTTGCGGTTTGATCCTATGCTGGTAGAAACAGAAGCAGCGATTCGAATTCAAAGTCTATTCTTCTTGTTCAATAACCGCGCATTGATTTATCTGATTATTTGAACTGAATAGTTACTCGTACTTTTTCAAATAGCGACTTCGGAGGTCAGGTCATGATGTGAGGAGTTGGGTTGGGTAGTCCTAACGCGCAGTCAGATGATGTAACTTGGAGTAATGTGGCGGTCATCTACTCCACAGCCACGACAGTAGATGAGCAAGAATGAAACAAAGAAGGCGAAGGAGAGGGCAAATTCGGGCCCCTTTATTGCAGGGTAATCATTCCAAGTAGAAGATCTCTCGAGCCCGTATCCAAAAATCGGAACAAACTTCTTGGCATCGCTAATACCTCCAATATGTAATGGATATCAAACAGGCAAGTTTCCGTCTAGGTCATTTACCCTCGTCCATCTAGAGATGTTTTAGCTAATGATCTCCCAGATAGATTGGCATGATTGGTGCCGGAAGCATGGGGAGCATCGTCATGTTCGCCGAATACGACATCGATATGCACTTTTACGAGCCATCCGACGACAGGGCAAACAAGCTTCTCGGCTACGCTCAAAGAAACAACCTAACAAGATTACAAGACACGCATCTCACCAAGACCTATGCGAGGCTCTCCAACCCCTAAGGTCTTCATGTTCAGCATCCCCCACGGAGCACCTGCCGACAAGTCTATCGAAAGCCTCCCCTCCTTTTGACGCCGGCGAGTGGGAGGTCGAGGTCGCTGCCATGGCGGCGCGGCCCAACAAGGAGGCGACCGACGAGCTCGAGGTCGAAAGGGCGACCTGATCAAGGACGGATCTAACGAAAAGTGGACCGAGACAGAACGGCGCCAACGCGAGGTCGAGCCTACGGGTACTCACTACATCGGAATGGGGGTCTCGGGAGGATACCAAGCCGCCCGCAGAGCCCCGTCTCTCTCGCCCGGCGGCACAAAGGAAGCGCTCGATCTCGCGTTCCCGTTCCTGCAAAAGATTGCCGCGAAAGGTAGCAAGGGAAACGTGTGCGTTGCAAAGACAGGCCCCGGCGGCAGCGGGCACTACGACAAGATGGTCCACAACGGCATCAAACAGGGCATGATGACGCCGCTGTGTGAAGCATGGGCGATCATGAACCGCGGCCTATCCATGAGCTACGAGGGCCCCCTACGCGATTCTTTCCTCGTGTAAACTGGCAGGGACGTGTGCAGGACAAGAAACCTCGAGACGGGCCACCACGTCCTCTCCAACGTCAGAGACAAGGTGGTTCAGGACGCCGATAACAGCGAGGGCACCGGCGCGTGGGCCTGCGAAGAGGTGGTGCGCTTGCACGTCCCCGGCCCGACGATCCTCTCGTCGCACCTCCTGCGCCTAGCGTCCGCCGATGCCACTAAGCGCAAGATGATTCTCCAAGCGTTTGGTTCCCGCGTGGGCAACCCCAGCATGATCGAGACAGACAAGAGTGCCTTCTTACGAGATTTGCGCGACGCCGTGTACGCGTCCTTCCTGGCGTCTTTTATCCAGGGCTTACATACGCTGGCGAGGGCGGACGAAGAGTATGGCTGGGGCATCGAGTTCCGCGCCGTGCTCCAGGTATGGCGCGCCGGCTGCATCATCCGATGCAACGCCCTCGTGGACCTGCTTGACGGGGTATATGCCAACGACGACGCGGGACGCTGCGACAAGGCCAAGCTGCTCAGCCACCCGGTCCTCGGCGCCGAGATCCAGAGGGCGTATCCGGGGATTCAAGCGAGTCGTGGCCCGTGCGATAGAAGCGGACCAGTACGTGCCTTCGCTGAGCGCCACGCTGGGGTTTCTCAAGTACTCGGGCGGCACGGATCTCCCCATCGTTTGAGGAGGCGGACCTGGATTACTTTGGGGAGCACATGTTTGATCTGAAGACGGAGGCTCCGGGGGCCGAAGAAGGGGTCGCATCATTTCTAGTGGCATCCGGCGCGGGGATACGGCAGGATGGCTAGTCATTGGGGAATTACGTAGATGGTAAAATCGTATTTGTAAACTCGGCGAATTGAATATTATGAATCAATCCTAAGAAACACCTTTTTTTCCTATCAAAAGGAAAGTGTTGATTTGTCGTCGGAGCTTTTCACGTTACCAAATCGGCAACGGTGCCGGCCGCACATTTTCGTTGTGCTAAAATCACACCACACGGGAGCAAGCTCTCCGTGCGCTAGCTCCTCTAGCCTCCGGCCGCGTTTCTCCAGACTACTATTCCTCGGGGGCGGGGACGGGGAGTGGCGGCGGAGGCCATTGCCTTTCGCCACCGAGGGTATCCCGATGGCCTGACGCCCGGGGGTCCGGGGGCGGCGGACGGGCGCGTCTCCCGAGTGTCTGGGCCGGAGGGTGCCGTGGTAAACATTTCCCGACGTCCACAGCGCCGGAACCGGCCGGTTCTGGATATAATCTTGTTCCCCCTGGGCAAAATCAAGTTACATGCGGGGCGAACGAGAGCTACAACGGCGCCGGCACCATCCAAAACAACGATGGTGGATGAATCAACGACACACAAGATTTTTAGGGATGAAGACAGATGAGATGCAAAATTTCACGTCGCGAATGTTGGGTCACTTGTTTTATAGAATTCTTTTATTTGTGCTACTACTTGTCAAGGGGAACTGTTTGAACAAGGCGCATGTGTGAAGGATTGGGTTTTGTGCGTTTTTGAGTGTTTAATCAACGAATATCGTTTGATTGAAATGTAATAGGGGAATATGTTGAACTAGGTGGAAAATCAAAACATGACAGGATAAGTCTATATCGCTGATCCAAGTGACAAAGGAAATAACAAAGAGGAGTTTGAACAATATCAAGGTGATAAAAGTCGTCGTGCCGAAAGTGTTTCCCGTATCTCATTTCCCAGTTCTATACAGTTGACAAGCAAAAAGAAAAACATAACATGATGAAGTGTTGACAAGTATTTCGTATCGGGCCGCCGTACATAAGAGCAAAAGTGTGGTTTGTTTGATTAAACCAGGCTATGCAGGTATGAAAAAGTCGTGGTAGAGGCCCCATGGGGCCGTGGATAGACATAAGAAAGGCTCATTATAAGGACGGCAAGGGATGTCAAGAAAGACTCCCTTGCTTTATTTAACTGCTGTGTTGAACAAATGTTATCATAAATGTTCAGATGAAAAGGGTTTCGATATATAAGGTAAAGGGTAAAACTCACAGCAAACCAATGGTGACATCACCCTTGACTCGGGCATACAGGTTGATCTCGGCCTCGAGGTCGAGCTCGATCTTGATCTTGAGAGAGCTGTCCTCGGCACTCGACTTCTCGCGGTCCTGAATACGGGTCTTGCGGACGCGGTCGCGGCCGGGCTTACCCTCGGTAGGGTCCCGGTAGTGCATGGGGGATCGTTTTCCCTCCTGTTCTTCTGAAGGGCCTGGGGTTGCTGCTGCTGCTGCTGCTGCTGCTCCTGGGCAGAGCTATCGTCGTCGGAAGCCTCGGCGACCTCGTAGTTTTGTTGTTGCTGCTTCTCGTCGTTGGACATTGTGATGGTTTATTGTGTTGGGGGTGTGTTGTGGTAAAAGATGGTTTAAAAGTTGATTTGTTTGTTTGATATCGTAATCGATGTCTTTTGTCTTGGTTAAAGATGATGATTCTAAAAAGAAAAAGAAGAACAGGACGGAAAGGGAAGTTGGAGGGATCAGGGACTTATATATTCAGATCGAGATCGAAGCGAAGAGGGACCAAGATGGATGCAGGCCTCACGGAACCCTCCATCCCACCGCATGTACCAAAAGGGGACCCACACATCATCGACTCACTACCCACACCATCCACGGCCGTGAGGGTGGGGCCCTCGGCAGGCAGACAGGACGGGAATGAGAGAGAGGAGGGGCGTCGGACGCCGAGCGCCACTGACGCAATCGTCTGGATGACGCTTAGGTTCAGGGTATCTCTCTGTAAGGGGGAGGGTGGAACCAGTGTCGGGGAATGACGACTCCATCTATGTGGCGCGCGGGAGCCGCGAGGTTGGGCCAAAAAGAAAAACGGGAAAAAAGGTCCCTGTTTAAGTTAAGCTATGGCTAGCTTCGCGAGCAAAATCCGGTACTGCCCCGAGCGCTTTTCTCTCATTTTTCTTCCATGACCTCTTTCTTCCTGCCTTTGCCGGCCAGCAGACCAGTCTTGTAAAACTTGGACCTGGCGGCTCATATCACTACTCGCTTGTCTATTTGTCGCATATGGTCATGATGCAAGCGACGTGATTTGTGTCTGAACCCAATGTATTCACAAAAGAAAAGCACAAGATACGAGGGAAGTACTCGTCACGAAGCAGCATATTCGTCACGTTATGCAGTCACCTCGTTGTAATACTATATACCTATACACGGGTGTTATTTGAAGTGTTAAGCCATGCAGTCATTACCCTGTGCAAATGTGGACTAGGGGAGGGCAAAGCCTTCCAATATCGCTGGCCGGGGGAGGGGGACTGGTGAACTCTTCTCGCTCTGCGTTATGGGTGTTAACGCCGTGACTAGATGATGACGTGCGCTTGCGACACATGGAAGGCTGGGCTGGACATGTCGTCGCATCAGGAGTCGCTTCGGATTTGCAGATTGCGGGCCACATGCACGATTTCTCTCTCCTTGCAGCAAATAAAGTTCTGCGTCTGCCCTCTTGTTTCTACTCGTAGCGTCGCATTCGAGAACGATATATAATACTAAAAAGTATGGGGAGTGTGATAATGGAGGGGGAGACAAGAGGCTGAATGGACTGCCAGACGGAAAAGGGGGTGTGCGTGGGGACATGAAGGCGGAAGAAGAGGATGGAAGGGGACATCACCGTCAGTGCTCCGTAAGTGCTCCGTAAAGTTATGGCAATGGGAGTGAGTACCTGTGGCCGAGGTGGGTAATAACATTGAAATTGATTGTGAGCTTTAAAAGAAATCCGGAGACCGAAGCCGAGATTAAAAAAGAAAAAGAAAGAACATTAGGACAGAAACGGTCGACGTGGAGGTATTATCGTGGAAAAGGATCATTACCAGTGTGTGACGCAACAACGACGGCTGGCCATGGGCCGGTTTCCCGTGTCGTCGCTTATCACGCCCTGGTCTGGATGCTTCAAGGGAGAGAGGATTGAATGGGAAAATCCTCAAGGTGCCCAAACATACCCAAATGGGCCAAGCGTGCAAGAAAAAAGTTTACAGGGGTTTTCTATTTAGGCAACCGCTCCTCTGATCCCAAGGCGAAGAGTAAACCCGGCGCAGGGGGAGAGAATAATAATAAGAGAGAAAATATAACCAGACGTTGACGGATTATTCAAGTAGAGATGAAATCAGCGTCGCAGCAAGGTAGTCAAACTGATGTTACTTCGATGTGGTTATGTTTTCATTTTTGGCTACCTGGGACGTAACGGCGCGCGCGGATCACTTCATGTTCGCAACGCTGCGAGGTTTGGTCCACCAACGGGATGCTACTCTTTCTTGTGCTCTTTTTGCAACATTGAACCGGGAGCAGCCGCTCGCAACGTTTACGGTGAATGAGACGACACCGACTTCAACGCATGAAATCTTGCAGACAAGCCCATCTGCAAAAAACTTGGCTTTTCTTTTTCTCTTCTTTTCGCTTAGAATGAGCACGGAGACCATGGCCATGCTAATGCAGCGACTTCCGTGTCGAAATATGTCTCAAGCACACGGCAAGAACTGTCAAAAACAATTGTTTTTCTCTTCTTTCCCACGTTTTGTAGTGGGGGACGCTAAGTGACGTCACCTCTGCGAGGGGAGCACTTCCAAGTTTTTTTTTTTCGAGAGGGTGTGTGGCTCCTTCCCGTGTGGTGGGTGCGGCCCTCTCCTGCGTCAAATCAAATCGCACTCTTTCCCGTTGCACATCGCGAGGAAATCTCCCGTTTACGGTACACGCTGCCTCCATGTAAAAACAACGGTGCACGATGAGCCCGCACGTCGATGAAATTCTGTCGAGGAGAGGTCAAGTGAGCGGAGGATTCCTCCCCGTCGCACGCGCGGGCAAGAACTGAGACCCGACTCACTGGCTTGTGTTCATACACGACCCGGACTACTACACTAGAGTTTGGCCATCCCGCTGGCCGTTCCGTAGCGCACGACACTAAAAGTCGAATGGACTGATTGAACGGACTGATCCAACGTCTCATTCGGGCGCTACATGTGAATCAAGTCATCAATCACCACGAACGTCTACCTTCTTCGCTCAAGCAGCTAGACGTTCATCTTGCCTCCACTGATTTTCCCAGATATTCTTACCAGGATTGGGTCCCAGGGTACCAGGACCAACCCCACAAATTGCAACGCAACGGAGTCCTCCCAACGGCCGTGAGACCCGTAATGACAAGATAGCCAACGTTGGACTTGGACACAGGCCGTCACCACTTCCTTTCCAAAACCCACTGTCTGCGCAATCTTTCCCCTCGGTCGCACAGTCCATCACGCAACCATGCATAAAGGTAATCAAACTAATTGGCTATGGCTCCCTGCGCCGTCCCATATCGCGGCCGAAGGTGGAGAACTCAAAGGAGTGGAACTTGGGGAGTGGAGAGCTCCCATTTTCTGGTAGCGTCGCGCTAGAATATCCTTCACAGTTGAAGTTTGGGTGGCACAGCCAACATTGAACGTTTTAACGGTTGAATGGCTTGACTGGCCCGAGTTTAGTCCCAGTGCTCCGGACTTGTCGCGGCTGGAAAAGGGCTGCGCAAACTTTCGGTGCAGATTTTCTAGCTCTCATCCACATTAGAAGTAATCGATGGCTCCATTTTTAATGACTGGAGAAGCACCTTTGGCCATGGCGCAGCTCTTTCCCCTTCTCGATCACATTGCGTTATGCCCTGAAAATGCTGACGCCACGACTCCGTTGGGACCCAGTAATTGTGACAACTTGACCCGCCGTTTAGCCCCGAGTCCAACCGTTGCTTGGCCCGCAACGGGAGATCGACTTGAAGGAGAAAATGGTCCACAATTTGTGCCGTTACTCACGCCACTGCCTGCCCATCTTCCTCCTCTTCCCTCCCAACCTCCTTATAGCCTTTCCAGATCACAGGTTCCCGCTGCCCTCTCCGTTTCGATCCATTTCTACGACGTGCTCCAAAACGGGGATGACTCGGTTTAGGGGAGGGGAGGGGTGGGATGATTGAAATTACCTGAAGGTTGTGGAACAAGCGAAACTGCGTCTACGAGGCACGCTTGCTCTCTATGTGGGTGGGCAAGTGGGCTGCCTACTAACTTGGTTTTCCCACATACAACCGAATATAAGTCCCCATACACGAGGGGTGCATCTGCCTGCTCGTCATCTTAGGCCCCCTTCCTAGCTCATTTAAACCCGACATCATCATCATCATCATCATCCTAGCTAAGATATAGCATCCCAACTGACCTACGTCACACCCTTCTTCGATCAACCGTTCGGACTTTTACATCCACTTTCGGATCTCTCCTTTGCTTCACTTCGGACTTTTCACGCGCGAGAGTTGCTCCATCTTCTCTCTTTCTATTACATCTTTCTACCTATTCGGAGCGGAAATCAAATACGCATTTTCTTGAGGAAGAAATTAAGTTTGCCATACCTTACCTGATTTGCCGATCCGCACCGAGAGACGCAAGTACCCCTACTCCTGCCTCTCCAGTCTCTCATATCCTTCCATCCTCCGCAAGGCCACCAACCCCTTGAAGCTCGAAGCGAGACGACGAAAATCACATCGCCAACATGGTGCTGGGTGTTCTCACAGCCATAGCCGCGTGCCCGGCCATTGTCGGCACCAACGAGGCTATCCAGATGACCCAGAAGAATCAAATGAAGCAGATGCACCGAGAACGCAAAACCAATCTCGTCGTTTCATGTACTCACCAGTCCCCCAAGGGAACGAGATTGACCAAAAGATCGTCGTGCTCAGGGACAACAAGGTACGTCTTGGCCCCTACTCCACTTGGACACTCGGTCCAGCCGGTACCTTTTCCACCCCCATCGTGTACCCTTTCCCGCTCCGATGCCCAACCCGAAGCTTCCTCACCTATTGACTGACTCAACCTTACTGACCACTTTTCCCTTCACAGCTCTGGATCGCGACACGCCGCCAAACCGCCAACGACGACGCCCCCGAAGGCCACCAGTTCGCCGGCTACTTCTTCAAGCACCCCACCCTCAACTGGGGTCGCAAGGGCGACGGCTACGTCTCCACCATCATGGACGACCCTCCCATGCTGAACTGGATCTACGTCGATAAAGACACCTACGAGGTCAAGTACGGCACCAAGTCCGAGTCCGAGGACCACAGGCTCGGCCCCTTTAGCTGCACTCCCGTCGACCACCGCCTCACGTTTGACGAGTGGGAGGGCTTCTGCGCCGTGGAAGAGAGGCCCGGCATCTGGTCGCTGTACTTTGACGTCGACGATGACGGCCTCGAGGAAAAAGTGTCGATGGACAAGGACGTGCTCGAAATCGAGTTGATTCGGCGCGAGATGAGGATACCTCATAGCAAGCCCAAGGATGTTGGCCCCGAGGAATAAGTGGGCACCCAACTTGGAAAGAGTATATACCCATGGTATGGCGTTGGTGCATTCTTCATCTTTTATTGGTTCAATACGTATCATTCCTGGGCTGGGAGGACGGCTATCAATGGTGTTTTTTGGCGCAATGATCAGACCAGGTTGTAACGAATAGCATGCTCATGAATACACTACGCTTCACGACTTTATATGCTTTATTGAAGGTGTCAGTGAAGACTTCCATACTAGATATTCGATCCATGGTTGATGATAAACCAGCCGTGGATGCTCTCAGCATTACACATTCGCATCTCGCAGCATCTTATAAACCATACATGACTATGCCTGCAGTACCCTGCGCCTCACACACAGCTCCTTGTGATACGCCCGCAACTCCGAGGGGGAAACAACCCTCATATACGGACCACTACTCCGTCGGGCGGCTACATGTGGGCACCACGCCTTCCATAGGCGGCGCTATGCGGGTTTGTTCAACAATCGAAAAAGAAACATGCCCTTCCATACGATCAAATATCCAGGGTTTCGTGCTGACATCGGAATCTATGCATCGCCTCGCCCCTGTCCCGTACTTTTGTGGTCCCCGACGGAAGAGAACACTTAGTACCCATAGCCCACTCGCAACGAATCACTACACCACCTTAACCGCAATCACCATGACCACCCACACCCCGCCCTCAAAATCATCGCCATCACCGGCCTCGGCGGAATAGGCCTCGCCATCGCCCGCCGCCTCGGTACCGGCCGCCTCCTCCTGCTCGCCGACTTGTCCCCCACCACGCTCCACCAAGCCGCCGCCACCCTTCGCACCGAGGGCTTCCAACTCGAGACGCACGAAATCGACGTAGCCGACAGCACCTCCGTCACCGCGTTCGCCCAAGCCGCCGCGCGCGGCACTCGAGGCTGTGGTGCACACGGCGGGCGTGTCCCCGCGCAGGCCCCGCCCGACCGCGTCCTGGCCATCGACCTCGTCGGCACCGCGCACGTCATCGACGCCTTTACCGCGTCGCCTGCCCCGGCACCTCCCTCGTCTGCATCGCCAGCATCGCCGGCCACGTGGACCTGCCCTTATCCGCCGATATGGAGAGGCACTTGGCGACCGCGCCGGCGGCGGACCTTTGGCGGGGACGAGGTGCGCGGGCTCGGGCGGCTCACGTACGCGCTGGCCAAGAGGGCTAATATCCTCAGGGTGCAGGCGGCCGCGGTGGCGTGGGGCCGCAAGGGGGCGCGCGTCAACACGGTCAGCCCGGGTGTCGTGTCGACGGCCATGGGGCGGGGTGAGCTGAGCGGCCGGCGGCGCGGGAGATGTAGGCTCGTGGACGGGGCCCCGGTGCGGAGGATCGGGACGTCGGAGGATGTTGCGCGGGCGGTGGCGTTTCTTGCGAGCGTGGATAGCTCGTTTATCACGGGTGCGGACTTGTTGGTGGATGGTGGCTCGGTGGCGGCGCAGAAGTGGGGGTATCGGCCGGAAACTAGCTTGTTTGAATTCATAAGAGGTTTGGGTCTACATGGCAGAATCAAAGTGAAACACAACTGAAGTATTGTAGATTCCTTGGTGTATAGGAAGATTTGATTACAAAGATAATTCTTATTAGTATACAGCTTAAATTGCGTTGAACCTTGATGGCAACAACCCCATCACCTACTCTACAACCGCGGCCATGTGGATTTCCATCCCTTCAATCGTCCTCCACCTCAACGCGGTCTTGGGCGCAATGAAAATATGTACCCCTCATTCGCCGGATAGTCCTTGCCCTCGACAGTGAGAATCCCTCCTCCCCGGGTAACAATGGCAACGCTGGGCCCCGCCTGCTCGCGAATATGCTCTTCCAAGTTGCCGAGCAAGTCCGTCTTGAACATGGTGAATTCCTTGATGGGGGCGCGTACTCGACCGTGTATCCCTTGGCACCGCTCTCCGAGTCCTTGGCGGGCAGCATGATGTCCTTCTTCCCCAGCGCCTTGAACGTGAGGGTCTCGGCAAAGAGATCGATGCTGTCGCGGTCCGCGCGAGGGCAAAACCCGCTATTCAACACGTTGTTGGACCGCGCCATGCACTCGACGATATCGCCCGACAGGTACGCGTGGATGCCGTCGGCGGGGATGAAGAGCGCCTCCCCGGGCTCCAGCACGAGAAAGTTCATGCACAGCAGCGCCACCAGCACCCGGGGTCGGTGGACCCGTACTGCTCCTGCAGACGGGGAGTAGGTCGAGCATGTACCCCTGTCCGCCGCCGCCACCGAGGTGATCGAGCTCGCTGCGCGGTCGCCGCTTCAAATCGTCTTCGACCTCCTTGACGAGAGCCTCGTCGGCCTTGAGAAGTCCTCGTACGACCTCCTTGAGCGTGTCGTTGGTCCACGACGTGGTGCCTTCGGGAATGAAGCGGCGGAGGGAGGGGATGTTGAGCAGCACGGAAACGACGGAGAGAGGCTTCCACCCGGCAAAGACTTCAAATTTGGAGAGGGCCACGGCGATCTCGGGTTTGTGGTTGGGGTCGGTGAACTTTTCGGGGTCTTTCTTGTGCAGCTCGTCCGAGAGCTCTTTGTTGGGGTGGATTTGTAAGGGGAGCGCCTTGGAGATGGAGAGGATCTAGAGAGGGGGTTCGAGTGAGTGATTGGTTCGCACCAAGGGCGAGTTTTGAACTACAAGCGTACCTTTGGGAGGAATGGGAGCTGCGCGTCGAGGTTTTTGACCACGTTTTCCCCTAGCAATTCCACTTGGTGCTTCTTGAGGATGTCGGCTAGCGGCTCTCCCGTCTCTACAGACTTGGCTGGGAAGTCGGGATAGTCGCCAAACCACATCTCGGAGTAAACCTTGTCATCGTCGATCTGGAATCCTGTTCCGGGGTTTTCTCACATAACCTCGCGGCCAGGGATTCCTTACCCTTCCTTCCCCAAGGGTAGTTATTGCACGAGCCGCTAAGCTGGATTACTTTGGGTGTCATGGTCTAATATCTCGCGTGTCTCCTGTTTCGTTGAAGGGTCTGGGTTTGCGATTGGTGTTTTAGGTATGAAACGGAAGAGCGCACGAGAAATAGGAAATTTAAAAAGATGAAAGCCTATTCTTCCAAGAATATCATGTTTTATTCTCCGTATTCCAAGCAAAATAGCGCGGTATCTTTTCTTACATAGGAACGTCATTCTTCCGTGAGCTTTCCACAGCTGAGTGTCTACGTCATTGCCCGCTCAGAGCTCCACACCGGAGCCCACTCCTGCGCCGGGCTGAGAAGAGCCTACTCACCGGGTTCCGGCCCCGAGGCCGGAGCAATCCTTTTTGCGCACCTACTATATCGTGCAGACATGTAATCTTCGTCGCTCTTCCGTATATTATAAGAAAATTTTATTTTCACTTCTTTCATTTCAATGTGACAAAGAAAATCTGTTGCGTGTTGTCAGTCGCCAGCTTCGTCAACCAGTTTGCTGTCGGCTGTCATTGCTGGGGCTTTGCCAGGAGGCTCAGGATGGACATTCCCGGTAAGAAAGCCGTGCTTCGGGCCGTACCCGAGGCCTCGGGGGTCTGGTGAAGCTTCTTCCCCGTGATAACTCCAAGGGCCGAAAGCAGAGCTGTGTCCTCTATTAGACGAGAGCGCGATGTCCCGATGAAAGAAAGTCGAGCTGCGATGGAGGTCAAAGCGACGGTGGGGGAGCATCGCGCCTGATTGATTCATGCATGCTCGGGATTTGAACAGAGACCCCAGATCCTGCCATACCACCCTAGTAATTTACCCCAACGATCAAGCTCTATCCCCGATCAATTCGAGGTTCAGCTCCGGGTCCTGTCGCAGTCACTGGTCGATCGGAGCCGATGACTTGTCCCACTCGGCATTCGCTAGCCAATCTTGTTCCCTCGTGGCCCCGATGAGTTGCGTAGACCCTGCCACCCTCGCCTTCAATGTCCCATTAAAAACCAAAATTCACTGTCAGTGCATCGTTGAGTTGCATGGAGAGTCTTGGCTGGCTTTGGTCCTTCTCCTCCCAATCACATGCCAGGTCATTTATCCGCAATTTGTTTCCCGCGTCGAGAAATGTAATTAGTAGAAGAGGCTATAAGATTGTGCAGTTTCGCAGCGGTTTTCTTCAAACCCCTCCTCGTGTGCTTAGCTTCCAGTGGCCTTAACGATTGACCAATTCAAGCGCTCTGGCTCTGGCTTACCTGGTGCTTCGCGATCAAACCTCCTCTCACTTCGGTAGCCCTACACCTCAAACACGTTTCATTTCGCCGCACCCACCGACAAGATGAAGCCCTCCAGCCTCTTTGCCTGCGCCGCCCTCTTCGCCCAGGCGGCCATGGCCGATCTAGACCTACGGCTCATCACCTTCAACATCCGCTACGCAGCCTCCTCGCTCATGACTAACGAAAAGCCCTGGTCGACACGGCGGCCCTTGCTAAAGAACCAACTGGCCGGGTCCATCACCGGCGCCGCCAGCGGAGCGCTGACCGTCATCGGCATGCAAGAGGTCCTGCACCAGCAGCTCCTCGACATCAAGAGCGACCTCGGCTCGCGATGGGCGCACATCGGCGTCGCCCGAGACGACGGCAAGCAGAGCGGAGAGTACTGCCCTATACTCTACGACAACACCGCCGTGAAGCTCATCTACTCCGAAACCAAGTGGCTCTCTCCCACCCCGGACACGCCTTCGTTTGGGTGGAACGGCGGGAGCCGCCGCGTCATCACGATTGGCGTTTTCGAGAGCATCGCCTCGGGCGAGCGGTTTATTGCTGCTAATACCCACCTGGACAACGCCAGCTCCCAGGCGCGGTCCGAAGGTATCAAGGTTGCGCTGAGCGTGATTAAGAGGATTCAGGGGACCTACGGCCCGCTGGGCGTTTCCTTGACGGGCGACTTCAACTCGGCGCCCGGCGGGGATGCGTACACTGTTGTCCAGAATGATGGGTATCTTCGCGAGCTGTACGCGCTCGCCGATGCGTCCAAGCGATTTGGTCCCGTCCATACGTACACCACTTTTACGAGCACTACTGGGAGCCGCATCGACTTCATCTGGGTGGGCCCGGCCGCTGATAACCGCTGGGATGTTCAGAGGTATGAGGTGTTGGATAATGTCAAAGATGGCGTGTACATAAGTGATCATAGGGCTGTTGTCGGCGATCTCAAACTACGCACTTAGGGGCCGCTGAAAAGACCAACTCAGCATGTGGGGACTAGGAAAGAGGGGAACAGCTACGAAGTATGGAATATATATCATCTAATAGCATCACTGATCCTCCATCTTACACGTACAGGCTATATATGAAGCATCTTTATTTGCCCTCTCCTTTGGCTTAATTTAGCAGGGCCATTTATCGTGCCTCAGTTAACTACGAGACCGAATTCTGTTATCCCAGACGGCGTTTCCTGAAAGAAGAAGACGCTCTAGTTAGCCACTATCGCAAAGAGTCGAGGTGCTACATGTCGGTTTCTCCAACGTACCATTCTCGTGCAAAATCCGGCTACAACGCGGATTCCCGGATCAACATCGCGGTGAAACTGTTCGCAGTCAACCGGAGCCTCTCCTAGTCGACCTGGATACACGGACAAGCGCCCTGAACTTGTATATACCTGCGGAATGAGCCCGGTAGTGTTAGGTTGTGCGAGATGCTCTTTTCAAGAAGTATGGCGGGAGGGTACTGTGCAAGTGGCTACTTACCACAATGCCGACGAGCCACTCGTTCAATTCGTTTTTCCTGTGAACTGTGTGTATGCCAGCGATGCGCTCCCCGCGGCATAGTCTACACGGAAAGGCGCCACCTCCGGATCCAACTCTAGCCCTAGCAGCCCTATTTGCATCGGGGCCTTTCCGTTGGAAAACTCGACTCGAATACCCCAAGATTCGCTTTCCGCGCCTCCACAAGCGTACAGAGTTAACACCCCCAGATCGGATAGGTCTATGAGGTCAGGTTCGGCAAATATGCTATGATATACCGGTCTCTGGGTACATAGGCTATTGTCTACATCGGAAGGTGAGTGCTCGATGCCAAGAAACTCGTTCCGGGGGTCTGGGACACCGGGGAACCAGAACGCGAGGTCGTGAATACGCAAGTCGGATGGGGAGCTGCGGCCGTCACCTGTAGACATTGCTACGAAACCAAAAGCCTAAGGTGTTCTTGTTAGTTCAAGATGTAGAGACGGAAGATCAAGAAACAGGGATTTCGGGGCTGGGCACCCTTACATTGAAGGCTCCCGAGAGGTATGAAAATGGCTGGGGATTTATAGACTGCAGCATTAACCGGCGGTGCGGAAGGCTTTGATGCTCACCAACCCACTTCGAAATAGGTCCTGTTGACGGTATCACGGATATGCCTCGGATACCTCGCTCGTCATGGGCAAGCAAAAGGCCGGCAATCTGGATTCGCGCCTCAGCGACGAGGACCTCGGTGCTAGCATGAACGTAGCCGAGCCCAGTCGATGTCCCGCTCGTAGATTCGAAACGCATCCCCGAGGCGTAACGTTTCCCAAAGACATCGACGGTAGAGATGAAGACGCGGTATGGTTCGGGGGTAAGTGGACGGCTCTCCGACGAAGCTGCCTCGGCCCCGGTAGAGAATGGGATAGTCCGAGCGGCGGCCTGATGGACGTGACGAGGATCTGGTCGTCCTCGGGAGCTTCCGGTTCAAAGAAGGAGCGTTTGGGGATTCCTGGCACGGGCTTGCGGCCAGGGTATCCACAAGCGCCCGAAGCTGCTTGGCGAGCCTCCACACCCGCTTCTTATTTTCCAGCTCCGCGCTTCCTTTGGCGGCACGGATCTTGCTGTAGATCCATCCCCATCTCCCCTTTTGGGAGTTTTGATGGTCTTTCCATTCAGGCACAAAGTCGCACTCACGGCCAGAGAGGAATCTAGATTTCCAAAACGTGTCGGGAAGGGTGAGCGCCGCGCAGGTCCGCGACGCGAGCTTCAAGTTGGCCACGTCCTTGGAAGATAAGAGTTCGAAGATCAGCTGGGTGATTTCGGTCGGAAGGCCAGCAAAAGGATCGCTTGACGACGGTGAGCCAGGGCCCAGCGAGGAACCCTCATCTTGGCGCACAGGACTCCGGGTATTGATATTCAAGCCCTCAAAAGAGCAGCTATCATCCCACCACAGCCCGGATTGGAAAAGGACAAGGTGTCTTCCGCCGTGACGTAAAACAAGGACGTCTCCTCGGCGATGGGCAGATTCTGGACCGGCAAAGACATGCGGTAGCCAAAGATCCCACCGTACGTGTGGCCAAAGTTCACGGCACCGATTCGGTTCGGGACGGACGCGCACAGCTCGAAGATGGACTGCACAGGGAGCGGTTCCTCGGGACGGGTCGACTGCAGAATCTCCCAGCAGGCAGTGTGCACCGGAAAGCCGCAGGCTACGCCGAGAGGCTCCCTCAAATGGCGGACGGCCGGACCCCCGATCGTAGGCCGAAGAAGAAGGATGCGGAGCGGAATGTCAGCGGGCACTGGCGCTCCGTCCACGTAAACCGCCTGATCCGGATTGTCACGGTCCCATGCACCTGTGTACCTGGCGTTTTGCCATTGCGCATTTACGACAATGACTTGCACTTGGTTAGTATCGCCGTCGCGGACGCGGTAGGAGAATCGAGATGCCGGTGCATGGCCAGGAGGGGGTGGTTGGCTAGAGGGGGAACTACCTGATTCTGCGGAACGGGTCCAGTGGTCCAGCTCCTGGTTACGGATGATCTGGATGCCACAGACGATGCAGTGATATCTTCGTTCGGCATTCATGATATGCCACAAATCTTTGCAAAAATGATGGGCTGATGCTGCAGTCAATCAACACTCAGGGGAGAGGCAGCCTGCCTGCCTGGAGGGCATTATGCAGATGAGATGTGGTCTGCGCCACACTCACGTGTGGCTGCATCCCCGCCATTTCTTTTGATCCTGCTAATCGTGATGGATCAATTTATGACAGTGGAAGAGAGTGACCAATATTTCCTTGTCAAAACTTCGAAGCTACTCAAAGTGCGTGTATCGAAATATCATCTCCTCACATCTACTCAGGTAGAGGCAAGGGATAAGTAAGAATCGACATTGGCTTAGTGGATGGGGAATTGGCCGCGCAAAGACAAAAGGCGAGGGAGATATAGTGCCAATACCGTGCCAACAAAAAGCTCACACATAGAAGGATCCACAATATCGAGCTTATTTCAACGCTCGTCACAGCGGGAGTCACATAACTCTGATCGCGAGTCCGGGAGGAGTCAAGACGAATTAAAAGTCATGCTAGCCCCTTCGACTTGCGAGTTCTCTGGCAGCAGGGCGAGAAATATCATCGGGTTGCTTCGTGTCAGGCTGCATTAGGGTGCAGGAAAGGGACATCTGTATCAAAAATATTCTGATAGGATCACCACAGGGCCATCTACCCGGCTTTATTTCCTAATTAGGGCATTTGATAAAAAGTAAAGAAGGGGGAATAAAGGCGTTGGTCGGCTTGTCCCCACGGACTTTGCCTTTGTAGCTCCTCTGTCTGGCCACTTCGTCGTCCCCTCTCAGTAACCTCCTGATCAGGTAACCCGATGGGAAGTCGTAAGCCGGTGACTATATCCGAAAATTTGCGGCGGCGGGCAGTCGATGCACTGCGCATCGGGAAAGGGCGCAATCGATAAAACCGTATCTACGTTGGCCCCGTGGTGAAGGATCGGTGAAGGTCTCCGGGTGGATATCGCGCCAATATCTGTGATCCCTTGGCAGATTTGGCGCAATATTTCCTCCGCGAGGCGACGCGAAGCCGTCCCCGCCCCCGAATCCGCCCGCACATTTCATCGAGCACTTAAAATCCTCAAGGATCTGTTCGAGCGTCACGACATATTTTCGTCCGTCCCCGCCTGTCGACCGGCCGACGGACGCAGAAAAACAAAGACGTTAGTCAAAAGTGCCGGGAGTCATGGTTCCCCTCGCATCACCAAAGGGCTGCGAGATGGATAGTATGCCAGCAGTAGTGATATGGCTGCCAGCTGACGCAAGCAATCTCAACACGGCACAAACTCTCCGATCATCGCCGCCCTTTCGCTGTCGTCCCCCTTTCGTCCGGGGGTGTCTTAGACCTGGGTCTCCGAGGTCCTGAGACACTGCTGGGCGGCGCCGTGGCGGTGGGGCATGACGGATGCCGCGAGACCCACAATCCACTGCCGGTCCCGTAAGGCGAGCTTTCCAACGACAAACGTGCTTCTTTTGAAAGAAGAGAGATCCTACCCTGGTCTATGAGACGCCACACCCTTCTTTCCTTACCACAATAGTCTCAAAGCGACTGTGAGAGACGCCCACTGTCTCCCCATACACAACCAGGCACACCCACAGGTCCACGAGCCGATGCCAGGGCCACCTGGCAAATGCCACCACATTCCGGCTTCCGAGGCTTGGCGTAAGTTGACGAGCTGCAGGCGGCGCTCGGGTAAAACAAGAGAAGGCAAAAAGAAGTCTTTGCCAAGAGGAAAGAACAGACGAAGTGTGTGTGTGTGTGTGTGTGTGTGTGTGTGCGTGAGCGAATGTTGGTGCGCTATCGATGCGCATAAATTGCTTATTCCGGACGGGGAAAAAGAAGCCTACCAAAGCACTCGTTTCCGGACTGTGGGCACGAAGGGGGACAAACAAGCGGAGGATAGTGATTTAATGACTCCATGGAGACAAAGGGCACAGGCGGGGGTGCGGGCATCGTGCAATCAAATCGCCCCGGATAATATGCGAGTCAACCGATCCATCTGTCAACGGGAAAATGCACTCACATTCACCCATTAGCTGAAAAGCACGATGCTTTTCGGAATTGGGGTTGTATTAAGTGGTAAGAAAATAGGACGAACCAAAGTTTCCTCCTCGCCCATTTCGCCATCTCTCGTCCTTAATCATTTTCCCGCAGCACACATCCAAATCGTCGCCCCAGTTGGGAGTGGTTTTCGGTGGCGCCTGCCGTGTCATGCCTGATGAGGTATCCCACCCTAATTCTTTTGACGCTTCGCCAGACAGCACGCACGGAGCCACTTGGGACACAGTTCAACGTATGCATCTCTGAGACAAAATTAGACGAAAAAACGTGACGACGGCGAACATGGAGCAAAACAATACAGAACTTGAGCCCCCCACCGGCCCATTTCTCCCCACAGCCCTCTCTACCTCTCTGTCTCTCTCTCGCTCCCCATTTCCGTGATAGTGGCCATGCACAAATGTATTAAACGATAGTACTTTCCAGGATGAAGTGCCGGCTCCTCGCCCTGTAGATTGCGGCCCGCCCACTACTCGTCAAGGATGAATGCCGCGCGTCCCAGAGGCCAGGGCGCTGGGGATTTTTGCCATGTCTTCCCTTTTCCACTGTCGTTCTAGGGGAGGAAGGGAAAAGGGACTAGGGGGAGCGAGAAAGTGCGTGTGTGTGAGAGTGTATGTGGGAAGTCCTGCGAAGAGAGAGAGAGCAAGCCGCGAACCGTGAAAGAGGGTGTGGAGGTTTGTATGGGTGTATGGCCTCATTCGGGTAGCGTACCCCAATTTTTGTAAAAATCTTCCGCAGATCTCTGAAAGGGAAAAATATCCCGTTCCGCGATGCGGGCTGGGAGGTAATCCTAAGGAGAGGCAGTAGTAGCAGGGGAAAGAAAAAAACCCACTCGAATAAGAAAAACTTCAGATGGTCCCTGGTTTTCTTTTTATGGAGCTCTCCTCCCCATCCATGGGCGCCCGTCCCCCGGTTCTCTTATCTCACGCTACGCTACGGATACATGATCGGTGATTGCAGCCCAAATTCTTCACGGGTCTCAGCTCGGATCTAAGACACAGACAGACACTGAGTCAAAAACATACAGCGAGGGAAGAGGGTCTCGGATCACTCACCGACCGTATCACGCGCTTCATTGCCAACCTCCCGGAATTGCCATCGTGGAAAATCTGCCTAGACTGCAGGAGACGGGATCCCAAGCTCTCGGCGCAGAACTGTTTATATTTCCGACCACCACCTCGCAGTCACCCACGTCGTCACGCATAGGGATACACGCATTATAGACCCATGACCTTCTTAATCCCCGATCGTGACAGTCAACATCGAGATCAAAGAGGGGTATCTCCTTGGCTTCTTGCTTGGCCTCCTTGGCCCTCATCATCGTGCCTTCCTGTTCGCTACTTCCTTGTCAACAAGTGAAGAGGCTCGGCAGGTACGACCTGGGACCAGAACTCTTGGGGCCGGTACTTGATTTAAGCATCGCCCACTTGCGAAGGCTTGGAATCTTGCTTTTCTTGCCGGTTTCTTTTAACTACGACCCAGTCCACCTTCCCCAGACCGCGTTATTCTCTCATATCAAACTCAATTTTTTCCGGGGAAATAGAGGAGAGAAACAAAGAGGCGACTCCAGGGGCTAGCTTCGCCCAACATTCCAAACTCCGTCAACATGAAGATCACCACCACCTATCTACTCGCCCTCTCAGCGCCAAGTGTCATTGCTTGGCCGTCAGTATGGCCGTATGAGAAGAGGGCCACAGCTCTCCCATCGGAATGGAAGCCCGGCGTCCCATGGCAAATTGTGATCCATGCTCCCATCGATATCAGGACTACGGTGATCCCAACACAGGCACAAGTCTGGGATGTAGATTATTTTCATTCCCTTGCTCATCCCGAGATTATTCCCGCCATTGTAAGTCGAGAACCCCAAGAAGGAGTATAAATCTGGGTCACCACCAATCATAGATGCTAACCATATCTCAGAGAAATCCCGCCCCTGATGTGGATAACGTTGTGCTCTGCTACGTCAATATCGGCGCCATTGAGCAGTACGAGGCGGACTATTCAAGCTTTCCCAAGGATGCGATAGGCAACTCGTACGAGGACTACCCCGAGGGTGGATCGATGTCCGACGGGAAGACGTCGTGGAGTTCATGAAGAAGCGTCTCGTCAAAGCAGCTGAGATTGGCTGTGACGGCATCGATGCCGACAATATTGATGGTTACGTAAGTTTACTTTGGTTATTGTAGCCATCGCTTCTGCTCTCATCTATCAGAGGAACCCCTCGTAGCTTGAGAAGACGACTAATACAGTCTGCTGCGTTTAGGACTGGGATGAGCCTGGTGTGGATAAGACGGGATGGCATCTCACAGAAGCCGACCTCATCACGTACGTCACCACACTCGCCGACTACGCTCACAGCCTCAACACCCTCCGCGGCGTCCCTCTCATGTTCGGCCAGAAGAACGCCAACCACCTCGCCGACCGCCTCATCCACATCGTCGACTTCGCCGTGCTAGAGGACTGCCAGGGCCTTAACGGACGGCTCCCCGGCGTCCACGAAGCCTACTGCCACGACTTTCAGGATTTCGTCACGGGCGAGGTCCGCTCCGACGGCAAGAAGCTGCCCGTTTTCGAGATTGAGTATCCCGGATCGACGGAGAACGGGAGCACCAACCTCACCAAGTCGGACTGGGAGTACTACTGCAACAGGGACAAGGTGGAGGTGGGCAACGTCGACTTCAGCCAAGTCATCAAGCACGAGTCGGAGCAGATTGATGGGTGGGTCCAGTACTGCTCCGAGAGCGAGAAGATGGGCAAATTCTGGACCGTGACCTTGCCTATTGGGTAAATAAGGGCGCCGCGGGTTTCTCTTGGCGTGAGACGGACGCGTATGATTGTATGTATTTTGATACCAACTTGGAGATCTACCTAGAGATGGGTCCGAAGACAAAAGGAAACAAAAAAAAAAAAAAAAGGTCAAGGATATGCAGCGATAGCGACAAAGACCCGGAAAAATTCTGATAGTGAATTGCGTATGCAAAGAATAAAAACATCCTTCCATCTCATCTTTCGATATCGTGCCCTGAACTTGTCGTTGCGGCTTGCGTGTCTTGTGATCCCAGCACGGGATATTAACACATGCGGTAGACAAACATGGCGGGGATTGCGACAGGGGAAAGCCACGTTTGAAGAAAAGTTGAAGTGAAGTTTGCATATATCCCGTCCCCAAACGAGTGAGATCAAATTTGATGAATCGACATTGTCCCCACATGTAAGCCTCACTCGACACCTCAAGTTTCCCCACATTCAAACTAGATTGATTCGTGAATATCGAACAACCACTTCCCCATAGCAGAAAGCCTAGCTTACAAACATCAACCTGGAGACAATAATAACACACCGAGTCAGGACTTTCTCTTCCTTGATGCCTTCCAATCGAGTATGCTGCCCCTCCCTGTGCTGCTACTGCGAAGTATGACCCAGCGTCTGGACCTCGAATCGCTTGCGAGTGCGCTCCACGCCCTCAACCTACATGTAAGGATGGGAAGTGGGGAAAAGATTATATCCCTGTCGGCTCCCATAGTGCGTTGTTTTAGGCGAGCCCATGTCTTCTTCTTTTTCCCCTTCTACCTGTATTTTATTCTCTTTGTCGCAATTCTCGCCAAAGTACGGCAGAGCAACGCCGGCTAATAAGCCTCTTGGCAGCGCGTGCCGAATTTGCATCCATGGAATCCCCCACAGGTTTGGACGAATGCCCCGTTCTCTCTCCAACTTCGTGGGGTCGAATCTATGGCTACGGCGTTTTTGGGTTCAAGATAAGTATATACAACGCCCCGCAGAAGGATGTGGCTACCTCACGATCTATGGATGGGTATAGTGATCCTTCATGACTTGCGTGATTTCACTGTATTGTATAGATATTCGCAAAACCAGCTCGAGAAAGGCACGCTCACCTGAGACAAGGAGGCTTCTGGCTATTAAAAAATATACTGTGGCTCGCGCCCACGTGCAATACACACCCGCGTCTTGGCACTTCGCCTCGTCTGCAACATTCTAGAACAAATTGTGCTCTTCAACACACCTCTATTGCCGGACCCGACCGCCAAGACGCGGCCGCGTGAAGTCCTCACGCTCTCATTGCGAAGTGCCGGAGTGTCCAAGAGCGATAGTTGTAGGGCCACAGTCTAACTGGTGTTGTCTTGGTAAATAGTGGCTGGTCTGCCCGTCTCACGAAAAATTCAAGCATGGATGGTGATTCGGAGTGGTGTGTGATGTACTCCCTTGGAGATTCGGCAGCATCCGCTAGAGATTCAGCATAAGCAGGCGATACTGCGACCAGGTTAACGAACTTGCTCACGAACTAAATTTTCTGAATTTCAATTGGATCTTTTCACATCTCAGAGATGAGTGTGTGTAGTGGATCGTGGTTTCAAGAGCTGGGAGACTCCAGGTCCTTGATAGAGAGAAAATTGCTAGAAACACTGGATATGAATGCCATGCACGCCGGAATAGGCAAGATCCGCTCGACTATTTCGCGCATCTTCATTCTCAGTTAGCCACATCCGGGGTCAACGTATACTTTCTCATCCATAGTGGTATATAAGCGGCACAGAATTCGGTGATAGGTTATAAAAGCCAATTGAGAGCTAAAGGTGAGAAGCTGGTAGGCATTGAAGACTCTCACTCCTCGTCAGCAACGCACCCAACCTCCGTTTCTGGAGACCTTGGCTTTCTATGCCGTGTCGGGCAAGAAGACCGAAAAGAGCCTTTCGGGCCGCCGCCTGACCAGCACCTCACGTGTAAGGATAAGGGCGTGCCCGGCACTGTACCTGCAGATTCCTTACCGATTGTGTGGTAGGAAGCCAGGCTAGCCGAGGCGGCCAGTGCCGGATTTACCTGGCATGGGATTTACAGGGAAGATGATTGGGACTAGTCTCCGGCCCTGAATACGAGCGGCTGATGGGGCGACAACGGAGCTTGGTGATGGAAAATAGAGGGATGCTTAATATTCAATCTCTCGGATTCGGAGGAGAAGTGATACGGGCCACGGCTTTTGAAGCAAGCGGATGCAAACCCAAACGGCTACCCGTGGTCATTTGATGGCGGTGGCCTGTTCGATGCCTTTAAGCCGACAGCCTTCCTGGCGACCGGGCATGGGCCAAAGGGAATCTCCCAACCCTATCAACACGATTTAACATCGTGTTGTCTCGCTGTCACCATTCTTGACATGCCGTACACTTGCAGACGCCGCACCCAAAAGCAAACAAACGACCGTGATAGATCCTTCAAACTGCATACACCGCCCAAACCTCTCCGCCGGCTAGTGGATTTGACATGTGGTGCTCTTCCGCCGAACCTTGAGGTTGCCGTCTAGACCTGTGAGCTATCATCTTTCCGACCAACGCCTCTGACATAACGCGCCGCCCAACTGGAGAAAAGTCTTGCATATGATCGAGGAAGCCCCGAGATGGCGGCCCGCGTATGTCCGGGCTTTTATGCCAAGTGACCGACCGGGTTTTCCTTGCAAAATCTACACTTTGATCGAGGATTTCAACCTACAATTTCTCTTTAAAAAAAAAAAGGAGGAAGAAAAGGCAAAAGTGGGGTGGGGGACTGCCACACGAGAGCGAACGCATCCCCGGTGCCAAGCGTTCTCCTGATTCTCGAATCCACGACTAATCTTAACAAGGCTGGGATTAGCACGCGAAGATGGGAGACATGAGATCTTAAACCCGAAGAGATATCCAGAGAGTGACAGCCGTTGACTGATCGCTGCGGTGATCCTGAATCCTTCGATACCCGGAATCAAGGATGGTGGGGGTGAGAAGGGGCGAGCACCCTGTGACTGGCATATGCAGATTTGCCACCCCGGGCCGGCCCCCTTCCCCCGGCACATTTGGGAAATAGCCTCATCCACCGTTGAATGACCCTTGGGACTCTACGCTTTGGTAACATGCATCGTACGATGTGGGTGGATAGATAGAAATCAATAGTTCTACGGGGAGCGGCAATAACTGCGAAGCACCCTAACGCCGCAAGGGGTGATAAGCTAGATTAGTAGGTCGCCGAAGCTACACCACAGTACCGCTAAACCAGGGAAACCAAACCCCGAAGAGAAAAAAATTAGCAACGAAAAAGCTGAGGGGAGAAAGGTGGCAGGCGGGCGAAAGCGGAGTTGGGCGCGGGTTTACATACGGGAATGCGTCGTTTAAGTCAGTGATTAGCTCCGGAGCTCCGGGGCTATGCTGAGTAATAATGAGATAAATCCGGGGTCGATATCCGAGGCGAGGGCGGGCGACGGACGACTCCTTGCCAGAGGACAGCGTGGTTGGTGAGTCCACCCCACCGGAAAAGGGGGTGAGGAGCGGTAGGGAGAGAAAGAGAGGGTTTGGACGTTGTTTTTTAAAACAAGCAACAGGCGGATTTATATGTCCGGCAAGGAGTCCCTGCTCGAAACGGTGAGGCTGTCCAAGGCTGCGTTCCCGGGATCCAAAGATAAATATAAGGCCGCGCGCCACCGAGCTTAGCGCCAAAACGTTCTTTTTCTTCATCGTCGCATTGACCATTGTCGCAATCCAGCTTCTCTCAATCCCCCGAAATTGACGGGTTTCTTGGTATCTTCTCACATTTTTGAACGAATCTTTTTCCACCCACGTCCAAGCCGGAGAGAAGATGGCACAAAACGGACACACGCATCCGCTCGCAGAGCACGATATCCAGCATGGGGTAAATCTCACCAAGACAATCCACAAGGGCCCCTACCCCTCCATATCACCCCTCCGGCCCGAGCTGAACCAGGCGGGAGGACGATTCTCATCGCGGGGGTTCGAGCGGCATCGGGTTCGCCATAGCGCGAGCGTTTGGGCAAGCGTCCGCGTCGCGCATCATTATCCTCGGCCGGCGGCCGGGACCGCTGCGGGAGGCGAGGGTGAAGCTCATGACGGAGCTCAAGGCGGCGGGGTCAAAGGTCATTGTCGACGCGAGAGGCTGCGATATCGTGGACCTGGACGAGAGCAGGCAGCTCTGGGAGGGTTCAAGAGGGAGAAGATCGAGATTGACGTGTTGGTGATGAACGCCGCTGCGCTTGGGGCGGACACGGTGATACTGGAGAGCGGGGTTGAGGATGTGTGGACGGATTATGTGACGAATGTGCGGACGTTGCTGGATTTTGCTTCATTCTTCAGCAAGCAGGGGTTGTCCAAGTCCAAGGTATGCTTTAAAGAAGGAACAACGCGGGAAAGGAACAATGGATATTACAGATGCCAGCAAGCTTGATGGACATTGATTACTGACTTGGGGTGAGTAGTACCTCGTAAACGTCTCCTCGTCGGCTGCCCACAGGTGGTTTGATCATGCCCAGGATCGTCCGTCGTATGGCTTGACGAAGAACAGCGGGGCGCTTCTTCTTCAGCAGATCGCCAAGGACACCAAGGTCGAGGATATGCAAATCATCAATTTCCACCCGGGGAGCATCCTCACTCAGTCGGCACGGAGCAAAGGGTACACGGAAGACAATTGGGCGTGGGATCACGGTAAGCCCATCCTCCTTTTTCCTTTGCTATATCTCTTTCATTCTGCTTGAGAATGAAGAATGTTTTCTAAACACCCGCTTGCTGCCTTTCTAGAAGATATGCCTGGCCATTTTGCGGTATGGGCGGCGAGCGCCGAGGCGAGCTTCCTTCACGGACGATTCATTTGGGCTAGGTGGGACGTGGATGAGTTAAGGAGCGGAGAGCTGAGAGAGCGGATCGACAATGACCCGTACTTTCTGAAGATTGGCGTCATCGGGGCCACTGGGAACTGAAGAATGGGAATCACTTAGAAGGAGGAAAATGATCAACGAGATCTATCTGGAGTGGTTGGAGTACGTACACGCTACTTCATTTTCTTTTGTTTCAACTAAACATGGTGCGGTTAATTTTTATATGGATGATGCATGGTAGAATATATGGAAACATGATGAAATATATACGTTAACCCCATTACAATTTTTCATTCGGGGCGTTCAAGTCCTATATACAACCACCGCGTTTCTATGTTTACGCAGCAGCTATTCGATGAGCCTCCCCGTCATACCAGGGCCCACAATACAGACACGCTTCTTCGTCTACCTCAAGAGCTCGACAACAGTGGAGTTATACGAGCTGATGCAAGGTCCGAGCACGCCCGAGGTCAAGTCGGCGGTCGAGTTCTTGACGTTGGACGCGAGGGCGCTGGTGCCGCAGGCCAAGCCGAGCACGAAGGACTGCGAGACCATGTCGGCCATGGCGGGGCCGGTGTGGGTGTGGTCCTGGGGGAACCCGGCGTTGACAACGGCAGCGCCGGCCTTTGCATCATCTGGGCGGTGTACTGGCCGTGGGGAGGAAGAAGACGCCGGCGTCGGGCCCGCCGAGTTGGGCGGACGCGAGCCAGGTGTAGTAGAAGAAGCGCGAGGGGCCCCAAGAGAAAGAGCCGCCCTCCCAGGGGTTGTTGGGGGTGGTTTCGGAGAGGATGACCTTGGCGCCCTTGGCGAGGAATTTGGTGGACGCCTGCTTGAGGTACCAGGGGAACGTGTGGACCGTCTCCGCGACGCCGCTGCACAAGAGCAAAGGGGGTTTCCCGTTAGTTCCACATAACCACCTACAACGAGAATCCCACTCAGAATAAACAAAAACTTACTTATACGTCGTCTGGCACGTCTCCTCCCCGTCGCCAAAGCACGCCGAGCGTCCGTTATCGCTGCTCAGCGAACCGCCGTCGTTGTGGCCAAACTCGATGACGACCCAATCGCCGTTCTGGACCTGGCCGAGCACCTCGTCGAAGCGACCCTCGCGCGTAAAGGAGCGCGCTGCGGCCGCCGATGGCGTGGTTCACGACGGGCACGTCGAGGGAGTGTTGGAGGTACTGGCCCCACCCGTCGATGACGCGTTGCCGCGGGCCATGGTGCTGTCGCCGCACAGGTGCACCGTGGCGGCGGCTTGGCCGGCGGCGAGGAGGAGGCTGGAGACGGTGGAACGCATTGTCGTTTTCTTTTCCTTTTCCCTTTTTTTGTCTTTTCGGCAGTACGGGTCAACGATTCTGTTGAGCGAACTGGGACTGGACGATAATGACGACGATGGGTGGGGGTAAACAAGTAGAGTTTGTTTCGATCGTCGACGCAATGGGTGGGAAACAAGCCTTTTTCTTTAGTCGAGAGCAGGGCATGTTCTCGCATTAATATAACGACTAAAAAGAATACACCAAAAAAGGGGACCCTCTTGACGATGGAGACGGGCCTTCGGGCCCCATTGTCCCGGATAAAGCGTTTGTAGGCATATTCGAGGAGAGGCACATAAAGGGCGAATAGATTAAAAAGTGCCCGCATTTGCCGTCTCAAGATTCACTCGCGCGCCAGTCAGCTTCCAGGCCTCTAAGGAAATCCGCCCCTCCCTCCCCCAACGTTCTGATCATGCTGCTATCCGCTGCGGGGAAGGTTTCCTTCTCCAGACGGACGATGGTAAGCCGTGATCCCGGTAGCGAGATCAAATGGGAGATCGAGGGTGGACGAGGCAAGCACATCAATCAAGATACAGTAACCCGGTAATCCGGGCCAAGATGCGAAACAAGGACTTGTTAATAAGGTCCCAAGCGATTGTGAACGGGCGAAACTTGACGAATATCTTCAATAGTTACTTCCGCCAGCTATACGTGCATCCGGATCGGCTCCAGCGGAGAGCGCCTTACCATAGGGCACGCATGTCGAGTCTTCAAGTACGCACTGCCCGAGAATTAAAAGACCGAGACGTGTCCCGCGCAAAGGTGGCCGGGATCAGTTTCCTGAAAAGGACCAAATCCACGAGATGAAGGGCGATTGCCCCCGCAAAACCAGGCCAGGTCCCGCCCCTACCTCGGCCCCGAAGCGAGCCAAAACGGAAGCTGGGGGAAAATTATACTCGGGGCGTGCGTTCTGATTGGTAAGGATCGGGAATGCCAGGGGCGCATTTCATGATGAAGGGGAATCCGGGCGGGTCATGAATGCAGCGATCAATAGATATTTCCACCTATCGAACGAGTCTGCTTCGGGCCAAGGGCGAAAATGCCGAATGTGGATCCTGGGAAATCTTGCACATCGTCGCCTTTCGGTACTAACATAAGGAAAGGAGGATACGACCAGCATCGAATCTTGAAATTTACTTGGAGGGACTAAACTAAACTAAAATTGGTTGGTGGCAACAGTCACATTACTGACGACATGTCGAAAGAGGTTGTACATCGTTGAGTTGCCCCAGCACGAACAAAAGAACAAAAAAGGAAGAGTGCCAGCTCAGCTATCGTCAGCCACCCACTCGTCGTTAACTTTGGTCCATTTAGGAAGCTTGTCATCCTGTCGCAGCTTGACCAAAGTCGTGGGAATTCGAACTTTCCAAGAAGGACCTTGGGCCACCTCATCGCCGGGCTTCTTGGTCCTCTCCGCGATCTCGTCCGCGATGGGGAGGAAGAGCGGGCTCGAGATCGGGGGTAGAGGTCCACCGTTCCACAGCTCACCGAATTGGAGGAAGCTAGTAGTTGGAGGAAACTAGTTAGAAGATGGAGAGAAAGTGGCTGCAGGGAGGGAATTCCTACTGGTCAATGGCAGCTTCGAATCCGGGGCGAGCAGGAATTTGCACGCGGCAAAATCCGGCCTTGAGGAACTCTTCAAACTCGGGGTCGGTGTCCTCGATCGAAAGCCGTTCGGCCCACTTGCCCTTGCGGCCCCAAAAGTACGGATACATGACATACACTGGAACGAGTGGGAGCTACAGTTAGCCATGCGAGGTGCGCCGGCGGGGACGGAAACAAAGCTCTTAGAACACTTACTCATGTTCTCCCACTCAAATGCCTGTTCGAAAAATCTCACGTATTGGCCCTCCCCTTCGGCTTCGTATAGGTCAATATACGGGCCAAAGGCTCCCGTCTTGATCGAGTTGAACGAATCGAAATACTGGCCCGTGATGATGGAGATGCAATTCTTTTTGAGCTCTTGCTTCACCGTGATGGCATTGCTAGCCGGGTTTCTGATATTGCACGAACAGGGTGCTACTGTCAGCCTTTTGTCTTGTGCAAGCAGGGGGAATTTGTGAGAATGACTTACCTTCCTTGAATCGTGATTCCCGCCTGCAGCTGAAGCGTCGCCAGTTTCTCCTCATACTCTTGAAGCCTAGCCTTGTACGCGAGGACCAGCTTCGCGTGCGTTTCAGCCTTCCAGTCGTTGATCGTGTCCTCGGTAGCCACGCAGGTAACCTCGACCGTCACCGTGACGGCAGCGATATGGAACGTGTGCACGGCCCACGGGATCGTATTCCTCTGCCGGTTCAGGTTGACCGTCGAGACGCCGGCGGCCTTCTTCCGGCTGAAGCTATTGCCGACGATGACGTCGATGAAACGATCGTCCTTCCAGTAGCTCGACGAGGTCCCGATGCGGGCGTGCAGCGCCTCGTAGCCCTTGTCGATGACGATGCTCGCCGAGTGGTACGCCTCGGCCCTCTCGTTCATCTCCCCTTTGCCGAATGCGTCGCAGACGGTGATGTAATCGGGCGGCGGGGTTTCACGTCGGTGGCCTCGTACCTGTTGACCCAGTAGCCGTAGTTGAACTCGTTTACCTCGGATGGCTTGAGCGGGAACAGAGTGGGCCGCATCAGGGTCATGGCTTGGTCGGCGGAGTCGATCATGTTTTCGATGGTGAAGGCACCGGGCTCGGGGATCATGAAGTCGCTGCGCGTTGAAGTGGTTAGCCTATCTCAATCAGAGGGAGACAGGCTCAGACAGACTTACAATAATGCACGAACACCATAGTTGAACATTTGCGCCTCGTACCTATTCGCCAGAATTAGTTTACCAAACGTCCGCTTTCTGGAGGAAAAAGTTTGGGCGAATGCGGTGGCTACTGACACTTTATTGACCCATTGGTAGACGCCACTCACGTTGGGTCCACCTTTGCTGTTGTCAATTCCGTGGGTGTTGACCTCGACAACCTCGGACTATCATCGATAGCGTCAGAAAAAGGGCAATCTGGGAGGGCAGAGGCGCAGACCTGCCCATCTAGGAAAGAAAGGAAAGGAAATGAAAAGAACAAACATACCGAGTTAGTCACCGTTTGCTTCTTCAAGATACGCTCGGTGACCTTCTTTGATGCCTTTTCCGTGACATCTTGGGAGAACTGGAATATATCGACGCTGGTTAGCTCTCTTGTTTCTTAACTCTTTCGGAAGAACAAAGAGATCCCGTTCGGGATGAGCCCAAAAACTCCGTACCTTGCTCGCGGCCTTGGTAGCCGACTCCCTTGACCTCGAGAACCCGCCCTCCACCTTGGTGCTAAACTCAACCGCCGGCCCGTAGCCAGTCACCTGCAGCCCGCCCTTGAGCTCAAACTGCTCCTTGATCGTCGTCTCGCTCTCCTGCGCCATCTCGAAGCGCGACGTCGTCGACAGGTCCCTCGCCGTTTCCGTAGTCGTCTCTTCTTCCGTCGAAATCACCGTTTCGCTGCGCGTCGTGGACGTGTGCTCCTCGACTTGGACTCACCCTTGAGCACGTTTTCAATGTGCGCCACCTCGGCCCCCTCGTAGCCGATGAGCTGCTGCTTGACAATGATGAGGTCGCCGACGCCCATGCTGCTGATCTTGCCCTTGGTGTGGGGGATGCGCGTATCGATCGGGGCGACCCACGGGGTCCGGGGCGCGAATTTACCAAAGTCGATGCCCGTTGCCAGCTTGGCAAGCTCGCTGGCGATGGGTGTCTTGGATACAATGGTCTTTCCTGCGATGATGGACACGTTTGTCGCTTCGAAACTGGGTACGAGTGACTTGAGATCGGATTCGATGCTCACAAGGCTGGAACGAAGCGTCTTGACAACGTCTAATAGAGTTTTTCCTTGTCAGTCCATCTACAAAAGCGAATCGACTCATGACTCGACGAGTTGGAGGGTCTTACCTGGGAGGCCAGTGATGCTGGGGTTCACATCCAACGACGTCAAAACTCTTTGGGTAGTGTCCGACAGTGGCGTATCATCATTCAAGGTCAGGATCGAATCCTTGAATTCGACGGGCTTGAACGCAGGAGCACCGAGCATTCCCAGCGAGCTCACAGCGAGCTGCCGCGCCAAACCCACGGCCGAAGTCGTCCCCGCGACATCTTGAAGAGCAAGAGGATCCGTCTGCCCCATACCAATCGTGAGCGTGCCCGCCGACGCCGACACGCCCGGCGCTGTCCCGCCCGGGGTGGTCCCGACTCTCCGCCGCCGCCTTGAACTGGTCGATGTTGACGGCGCGAAGCTGCGTCACGTGTTTGATCTGGTCTGCGATCGACTTGGTGATGGACAGGCTCTCGTCAATCTTCACCTCTTCCGCCTCGTCCATGACGCTCTTCTTGATGTACGTGGCATCGATCCTGGTAAGTTCGGTGATGGCGGCCTTGGTCCTGGTGTGGCGGTCGATGAGAGTCTTGGCGGACTTGGCAATCTCTTCGTCGCGATCGCCTCCGCCCTCCTCGGGGTCCGGGCTCGCGAGGATGGACTTGAGCGTCGTTTCGGTCGGCAGTAAGAGCGACCGCTTCCGGAAAGAGCTGAGGTCCGTGGTGGTGGGCGGAGTCCCAGGCTCTTCCGGCTCCTCCAAGGTTACTCGGACCCACAGCGCCGGGGTTCTCGGCGGCTCCCACCCCACGAGGGCGGTGTGGGCCTGGATGCAGACGTAGTTTGCGTGGCCGTAGGTGACCTGGTCGCCAATCTTGTACAAATTGTTGGGCTGCCACTCGGGTGCCGCATGGGTTTGCTCGCTCGCCGTCGACTCTGGCACATCAGTAATTCTATCCCGCGTACGTGCGTTTTCACTGCTGCTGCTCTCTAGGTTGTTTACGGCGTCCTGAATCAACTCTGCATCACGGAGGATGTCAACATACTCTTCTAGGGGAAGAGAATGGTTTCCCTGAATACACGTAGGTGTCAGTGTTTTCTGCACTCAAGATGAGTAGGGCGGCAACCCGCATACCTGATCGAACTTGACCGCAACAATGGCGTCTCGCAAATCGGTAACAAGTTCATCGAACTCGGGTTTACCAATGACATCCGAAGCTGGAGCACCAAACACCTGCCTGGTGAGCTGTAGCACCGTCGACCCCGGAAGATCGGGCCCAGTAGACGCATCGTCCAGGAGAAAGCCAAGTCGTTTGAGCGAGTTGACGAGGGGGTTCGTCCGGTAGTTCTTCACCAGCTCGCTCTGTTCAATAAGGGCTGTTGCTGCGCTCGCGGACTCGACGCGAGGGTCGGCAGAGGTAAGGGCCGTGGCGAGCTTGAGCTGGAAAGCTGACCTTTGGGCAAGCTTGATGCTTGGAGCTTTGGGATCCTGGCTCACAGGGGCTGGGAGAGAGGGAAAATGGTTAGTCTACTCTTTTGTGAATATCATCGCGATAGTCACTTACGCCGGATTAAGAGCAGCCGAAAAAGCGATTCAGCCATTTCGTCGCTCGCCACTGTATATTGTAGATTAGGTTCAAATGGGTGGGAATAAGGAGGGGACTTGGCTTGGGAGGACCATGAATTGGGCGCAAACACGGCCGAGGATGCCAATGGATCGGATGCACGAGCTCGAGTATTATATCGCGGAGAACATCCGCGTGAACTTTGGAAATTTCCGAGGAGTCAAAAGGTGTCAAGAACAATTGCGCTCAGCCCTACGGAGGAAGGGAGAAGTGACATACTTCCCGCCTCCCTCCCCTCGTCTTCGCAGCCAGCCCAAGCGCAAGCGTGTATTCTGTTGTGACCAGCCCCAGGAACCGCTATCTTTCCCCTCCAGTGACATTCCAAAACAGCTGATCCACCGATGGTGCCTAGTACTAGGGGTCAAGCGATGCTCGGGCACCAGTGGGCGGGCCGGAGGCATGCGTGGCCATTGCGAATACGGTTGGCCGGACAGGGATAGCAAGTCCTATGCTGTGCCTGGACGAACCCTCTCGTTTCTTTTTCCTATCGCCCGCAATCCATGATTCGTCCATTGACTCGATGATGCTAGTTCAGGGTAGGTCGGTAGGGGTATCGTGAGTTGACCAATTACGACGGCTGCACTCGCCCCTGCTCTGGCAGCTGATGCGCCCCAATTCGGGGATTGTGGGCGAACAGAGGTTCAGCTGCGGCATGCTCATGTCTCATTCGCTCCCGCGCGGTGACATGCTGGATGATGCGATGCCTCGCACTACGACATGGAGATCTAGGCAAGACATTCACTATCTGTCTAAAGAGGGGAATGGGGAAAAGTGTAAGGAGTCCTCCGAGAGAGAGTTGGAAGAAAAGAAAAGGCACAAGAGCGAAAGGGAAAGAATAGGAAAAGGTTGAGAGGAGGCATCATCCGGTGAGCGCACCACCCAATTCGAGATTTCAGGCATCGCGCACGATTAGCACCCCCATCCATCCACGACACTTTCTCTGTGAGAAGGAAAAAAAAGCCACGATGCCGTTCCAAGAAGAAGTAAAAAGGCAGACCTCGAGCGTCTCGTCCGATGGAGCAAGAACCGCCTCATCGAGATGCTCACAGACGCATCCACCGACACCAAAGCCATCGCCCTCCAGCGCGAAACAGCCTCCATCCTCGAAACAGACCTCCGACAAAACCCCAAAGCCATCCTCTTCTTCCTCAGCGGCAAGGGCCCCGTCGGCCACGTGCAGAAGAAGCTGCTCGAGTGGTACGCCCGCGCCGAGGACAAGGCCCGCCTCCGCGTCTCCTACGAAACCTCCTCCACCGCCGCGCACAGCATCTACATTGACCGCATGGTCGCCTTCGAAACCCTCCTCACGCGCTGGGCCCTCAAGGAACAGTCCTTCCTCGTCTGGGCCGACGACAACTTTGAAGGCGAGCGCACCGTCTGGGAAGCCAGCCCCCAAGTCGAGCGCCTCACCACCACCATCAAGGACCACGCGCACGAGTGGTTCCTCCGGCACGTCATCACGCCCGAGTTCCTGGCAAACTCGCCCATCCAGCTCATGGACATGTTTTTGCGCGAGCGACCCGACATGATGGTGCTCGCCAACCTCGTGCTCAACCTCCCCAAGAGCAAATACACCCAGGAGATCGAGATGCACCGCAACGAGGCCGAACAAATCGTCGAGCTCGCCCTCGGCTGCGTGCCCGTGCTCGGCGGCGCCATCGCCCTGTATGAAGCGTGGGGGCCGCGACCTCGCCGGGTACCGCTTGACGAACCTCGAGCGCGCCGTGCTCGCCGCCACCGTGCTCCTCCCCGCCGCCGGCCGCCTGTTTCGCCACGGGAGGGCCGTCTACTCCGAGGTGCGCCTGGCGCGCATGTACGGCCGCTCCGAGGCGCAGTGGACCAAGACCATTACCGTGTCCGCGCGGGCCGCCGAGAAGGAGGGCGCCCTCAAGACCATCCAGGAGGGGAGGACGCGCTTCTCAAGAAGGGCAACGTCGACGCTCCGCTGGCCAAGGAGCTCGAGGCGGTGCTGCCCCAGGTCGCGCACGCCGCCGCTGCACCGGCCACCGCCACCGCCGTCACATCGACCGTCGCGCCCGAGGTCAAGACCCTCTGGCAAACCCTGTCCGACGCCCTCCCCATCCTCAAAGTCCTCGACGAGTTCGCCATCGAGCGCATCATCCGGAAGGGCTCCAACGAATCCCACATCAAGGGCCAACTCCTCGAGGAAATCATGGAGGCCCACATTATCCCTTGGCTGCGGAAGCGCGAGGCCGGCTTCGCTCTGGGTGTCGCCGTCCCCGAGGGTAAAACTCTCGAGTACATTCCCGGGCACACGATCCTCAGCGCTTCGGAAAGGGCTCCGAGCCAGGTCACGGATGGCATGATTGGGTATTGGGACAAGGACGTTTTCCACATCCTCGGCATCTTTGAGGTCAAGGCCGGTAAAAGGGCCCTCGTGAGCTGCTATTGAGCCTCGGGGATATTTCTAACCAAGAGCGGCAGGAGCTGAGGGCCTTTGCCAAAGACACTTGGAGGGAAGAAAGGGCCATCGCAAAGAGGCTGGGCAAGACCCATACACGAACTGTGGAACAAGTCGAAGCCGATGTAAGTGGGCGCTCTCGTTACCTTCTCGTGAGCTTTGTGGGCCCCTTTATCATTGTTTAAAGCTAGTACAGATACTCTTCAACTAACCGCGAAATCTCTAGCTCGCCAAAATCAAAGACGGCGGCCAACTCCAGCGCGACATCGAGAGACTCACAGCCAACGCGGACGGAACCCCGCATCTGTCTTCATCGACGGCAAGCTCACCCAGGTGCACATGTCTCCGCAATCCACCAAATTCTTCGGCATCGTCACCAAGGGTCGACGCGTCGACCATCTCGAGACCCAGGTCACGGCCGCCGGCTTCAAATTCGAGGCCATCGCCGCCCCCATCACCAACGCGGAACTCAATTCGGCGACCAAGAGGCTTGCAGAGCTAGGCGCCGCGACGGTACCGAAGCCGCCGTAGTCGAGATACACGAACAGAAGAGAGCTAGGAGACAAGAGAGGTAACAGAAGATGACGAGATGCGCCGCTGATTTCATTTGTAGCTATATCAAACTAGAGATACACACACTTTGAACAAGGAAAGAAAAGAAAACAAGAACCTGTACAAAGAGAAAGACAATCGCGACTTGATTTACCACAGCTCGCACGTTGGCTTCTTATCCTTGCACTGGAAGCTCTCCCTGAATTCCCGGCTATTGGCCATCGTGCCAAGCACACGGGCCCATTTGGGCGAGTGAGGATCGGTGTAGATGCTGTCGACGGCGGAATCCTTGCGGGTCTTTCCGCACCACCAGTTGGCGTAGTTGACAAAGAAAAGCTGGTCGTGGGAGAAGAAAGACAGGCCCGGGAGATCCTGGTCCTCGCGGTCCTCGGTACGGCTCTTCCAGGCCTGGAACGCGGCCGAGAGTCCGCCAGCGTCGGCAATGTTCTCACCCAGGGTGAGCCAGCCGTTGACGTGGAGGGGCTTGCCGTCGAGGCCGGGGATGGTGTAGTCGGCGTACTGGTCCACGAAGCACTGGGCACGCTCGTTGAAGGCCTTGACGGTACCCTCGGACCACCAGTCGCTGTAGTTGCCGTTCTGGTCGTAGTGCCTACCCGTGGAGTCAAAGGCGTGGCTGAGCTCATGGCCGGCGACGGCGCCGAACGCTCCGTAGGACAAGTAGGCGGGGGTGTCGACGTTGAACACAGGGAACTGCATGATACCGGCGGGGAAGACGATCTCGTTGCCAGGGGGTTGTAGTAGGCGTTGACGGTTGACGCCGTCATGCCCCACTCATCTCGGTCGACGGGCTTGCCGAGGGCCGACCAGCTCAAGCCAACTTCGAACTTGCGCATGGAAATGGTGTTATCGAAGAAGGCGGAGGAGGAGACATCAACCGACTTGTAGTAGCCGCGGAGCTTGGAGGGATTCAGTATGTCCGGGCTGTCGGTAGGGTAACCAATTTTCTGGATAATGTTGTGGACCTTGTCAATGGCCTTCTTGGTGGTCTCATCGTCCATCCACTCAATGGTGTTGAGCTTCTTGACGAACTCGGTCTTGATGTCCTTGATGATGGTGTCGCCAAACTCCTTGGCCTGTGCGGAAAAGGCCCTTTCGATGAAGAAGCGGCTCAGAATCCAACCGAGACCTCCATCAACATGGCGCACGCAGGTCCTCCACCTATCGGGAGCGGAGTCAGGTTCCTAAATGTCACACCATGTCTCAGCATACAAACTAAAAATTGCAAGAAGAGTTGTAATATAACGGTGGTGTTCTTACCTTTCCGGTCAATTCATTTCGGAATCGCTTGTAGGGCTTGACCGAATCTGACTCGACGTACGACGAGAGCGACTGGATGGCCTTCCAGCTGAAATAAGCCTCTAGGACATCCTTTTCAGTATCCTTAAGAATGCCGGATAGGGCGTCCAAATATTCTGGAGACGCAACAATGACACGCTCGACGACGACATCCTTGGGGGCAAGCTCCGAAATCAAAGCCTGGATCTCGAGTTCGGGGACAAGGGCAGCAGCCTCATCAATTACCATGGGGTTGTAGTATTTCTAAACGACGCGTTAGCTCAAGCCTCTTGCGTCCAGAAGCCCTTCCTAAATTAGTAAACATACCGTGACATTCAAGCGGTCCTCGGTGGACGGGGATACAGCGGCAAGCTTCTTCTCAAAGTCAACGACCTTGGAAAACACATCCTTGTCGGCATCAGGGTAGAAGGCGCCGAGGACATTGACAGTCATGTTTCGATACTTCTCCAAAAGGGTGTCGTCCTCGTACCGTTCCTTGGAGGGAAGACCAAACGACCAGGGAGGCGAGACGGTAACCACGACGCTGTCGGGGTCCCGATCATCAGCACCAGTGCCCGAGTCGATGAGGGCGGCGATGCCCTGCTTGGCCAGAAGCAGAACGGTATCCTTGACGTATCCTGACCGCCTCCAGGAAGGCACACTCTTCTTGATTTCATCGAGAATACGGTTCAGGGGTTCATCGCCAAGGTCTCGGGCCTTGCCCTCGTCGAGGCAGGCGTCAAAGGCAGCCTTCATCTTGTCAAAGTTCTCCTTGTCCTCATTCCGCGAAGCAGAGGCGAGGCGCGCGGGGGAGAAGTAGGAGTGGATGGACTTCTCAGGGTAGTCGTCCTGGAGGATGTTCTTCAGGAGCAGCTCCGAGTTCTCGGCCATGATGGTACCCGTGAAGGCGCTTCCCTGGTCCGGCCGGAGATCGTGACGGTCCCTCCACCCACCGCAGACCATCTCCTCAAAGTTGTTGCACGGATCGATATCCTTGTGGTCGGGGAGAGGTTGTACAGAATTTCGGAGGCGGCGTGCACGCAGCCGGGGTCAAGCACAGGTTCGAGCCGTCGTCTCCATCTCGGGAGGGCACTATATGGATAACCGGTCCTGATTAGTCCTACGGTTTCCGATGGACAAGGTAGAGTTGATGGGAAAATGGAATGATTGCTTACTAGCCGGTATGCCGTTTGTGAGGACCATGTATGCCGTCGCGGCGCTAGCGACGAGGGCGAGACTCGTCCAGGGACGAGCCGGTCGCCGAGCAGGCATGCGAGGCGGCTCGGCCGGCAAAGAGAATGCTTCTCCGACATCGTGATATTGAGTTGGACAAATGCGAAAATTTGATCACAATTGAATTCGAAACTCAATTCGGAGTTGAAGTTGGAAAGATGTTGACCTCAACAAGCAGCTTCCTCTTCCGGTCGAGGGCTGGTGAGGGGAAGGTTACGTCGGGGTGAGATCTCGGGCTTAGACTAAGGAGGGCGCTATCCTAGTCCGCCACCGTCAAATTGTTGCGGCGAATTGATCTAGGACAGAAAAGGGAAATGGAAGAAGTTTCGGGAGAGAGAAGAAGGGGAGAGAAGCTTCCCACACTCGGTGTAGGAGATGGCAGGTTTTGTTGTTGGAAGAGGAGAAGAGAGGGAGCTCGGACAAGGATCAGACAGCTATGGCATCATAGCTTGGTTCGCCAAATGGACAAAGCTCGTGTGACTAAGCGCTGGGCGTGGGCTTTGCCAGTCTTGCCAGTCACAAGGCGGTGCCTGGTGCAGGAACGGGTCAATCAAGGAGCTCTTCTCTTGATTCACCGACCTAGTGTGGGCCATGTTGCCTAAATCCGAGAGGGTGGGGCAGCCGGAGGTCCGTGTACCGTTGTCAGCAGTTGAGCGCCCCCAACAAGCTTTTGACTGCTTATCTGTACCAGTTACCTGCGGATTGCATGATATGCCGCATTGAATCAGGTGTGCGGTACATCCATAAATGCTTACACCTGAACCATATATCTCTCTATATCCCAGAAGCTGCCCACTTGAGGCAGAGCAGCCAGCGCAAACGACCGCCCCAAGCTGCGAACCGTTGCCTGCCCTATCCTGCAAGTACGAAGTACCTCGATACAAAGACGAGATCGAGTCTGATGGAAGCCGGTCTTCAATGTTCCATTTTGCTTTTTCCTTGACAACATTGAACCAACTAATAAGCATCTCACCATCTTCAACTTGACCTTCACCAATGAGATGACACTACGAAATAAGCAAATCCCAACTGCACATGCAGACACAGACACGCAGACCGCAATTCTCAGTCAATGTAAGACGAGCGAATTCCCAGTGGTTCACGATGAATTTCACGATGAATTTCAGTGGTCACACTCTTTATTGTCAGCAAACATTCAATGCTTCCCGTGATAATACGATCCATGAACACATCCCGGGCCCATACCAAATGCTTTTCGTTACCCATGCCATGAAAATTCTAATACCCTCACTTTCCCCCGCAAAAAGACACCCTCTTCCCCATTCCCCCTACGAGATCTTATCAAACCAGATCTTAGCCGCACTCATCGGTTGCGGAAACGCCTCCAAATCAATCCCCACCCGCGCCACCTTCCCATCCGCGCCCAGCTCAAACGCCGCCGCCACCGCGCCCTGCGCCATCGCGCTCCGCCCTTCCATGTTTATGTAGGCGACAAACTCCTCCCCGGACACGTGGTCCAAGTCCAGCACGAACCCCCACTCCGTCTCCTTGGTGCCGTGCAGAACGGCCTTGACGTCCCCGGACACCGGCAAGTCCGCCGCAGGCGCCTCGACCGAAAACGTAATGGTGCGGTACCCCGGGTGGGAGTACGTCCCCTGGTACGCCTCGAGCGGCAGGGACGGCGGAAGCGGCGGCTCGGGCGCCGTAGGGAACAGCCTCTTCTTCCCACCCACGTACATGAACCGCATGCCGCCCGCGAACCCGCCCCAGAACCCCGTGACGTCGCGCCTCTCGCTCGGATCGACCCCCAAAAATCGTCAAACAGGCGGAAGAGCGCCGAGTCCGACACGGCCATGCCCCCGAAATCCCCGTTGGTGGCCACGATGGCGCCGAATTTCTTGTCGGGCAGGTAGCCCGCCAGCGAGGTGAAGCCGGGCACGCCGCCCAGCTGGTAGACGACCCTGTGGCCGCGGTAGTGCGCGACCTGCCAGCCCAGCGCGTACAGGACGTCCGAGAGACCCGACCCGGGGGCCGTTGAACCCCATGGGGATAACGGGCCGCACGAGCGCGTCTTGTAGATCGGTGGACATGGGCAGCGTGCGGTGGATCATGGCGCGGAGATACTTGGCAAAGTCGTCTACGGTGGAGATCACGCCGCTCGGTCCGACGAGGTTGGTTTCGCACCACGGCTGGCACGTCATCTCGTTGCCCTTGGCGGCGTTGCAGGCGTAGCCCTTGGCGAGGCGGTCGGGTTTGGCTTGGGCCTGGCCCAGCTCGATCGTCGTCGAGTCCATGCCCAGGGGGCCAAAGATGGCCTTTGGTACACGGCGCCGATCGACTCGCCCGCCAACGTCTCGACAACGTGCTGCGCCACTTGGTAGCTCATGTTGGAGTACTGGAACTGCTCCCTGAAGCCCTTGGACATGGGCAGGTGGCGGAGCAATCGGACGCTGTCGCGGGGCTTGAATCCGGGACCGCCGTAGCTCAGTTCGTGGCGGGGTAGCCCAATCTGTGGCAGAGCACGTCCCTGAGGTTGGCCTCTTTGGTCGCGTAGTCGTCGCTGAGGACGAAATCATCCTTGAGGATCTCTTGGACTTTGGTGTCCAAGGTTATGGGCCGGTCAGACTTGGCCGACTCGTTCACAAGATACAAGAGTGCAGCCGCTGTCATGCCCTTGGTTATGGAGCCGACGTAATACAGGGTATCGGACGTCGCCTTGACATCGGGGCCCAGTCTTGCGTTCCCGTATCCCTACATCGAGATTGAAGCAGTTGAGCAATTAGCGGGGCAGAAAACCCTCCGCCGAGAGTGGGGTCACCTATTGAACAGAGGGCAAAAGATGGGGGTAAAATGCTGTTCGTATTCGCTGCTTCGTTCCATTATTTGGAGCCGTTCTATGGAGGAATCTACGGTCTTTTATAGTTGCCATTCCTGGAACCGTCGGATACCATCTTCCGGAACGGAAGTCGATATCCGTCATGTGGATCCGTCGGAAACCGGTATCCGCATCGGATATCTGTTTCCATAACGGATATCTGTTTCCACAACGGATATCTGTTTCCGTGACGGACTTCCATTTCCATAGGAATCCTTCCATCATCCTTCAACATCACCAACCGTAGAATACGTTTTGTCGCCGTCCACCACCGCGACGGAAACGCCAGGGACGTGGAAGTCCTTGCTCAATTTGGCCACATATTCTTCGAATTCCTTGGTGAGGAGATTCTTGGTTTCGTTCTCGTTAGGTGTCCATCCCGCCCCGTTCTTCTCACGGATGGGGACCTCGACAGCGGGCTCGGCAGGGGCAGACATGGCGGAAATTGATGTAAATTGTTCTCTTTAGTTGATTGTTTCTTTACTGATCATAGTATTGGGAGAAAAGGAAGAAAAAAGCCCTTTGTGTTGGTCCGGCCTTTATATTCCGTCCTTGTGGCTCCTAGCCTGGCGCGGCTTCGCATTTCTCGGACAACTCGAAATCCTACAGGTACAAGCAATAAGCGGAGAAATCCATGATTGAATCAATAGGGCAGGTGGATTCAATCCCCCAACTTGATCAATCTATTGATCTGTTAACCCGAACCTTGGGGCGCTGACTAAATTTAGCTGGATTGTCTCGGGCTGTCAATGTCTGAATCTCGACAAGACCTGTCCTTCACACTTGGAAAATCCGACATCTTTCCCCGCCAATTTGGAACAGTTCCAGCGCCAACAACCCAACTACGAGGAGCTGTCAGGCCCCGCAAAGGGCATCAAGTCCGGGGGCACAAAGCCCCGCGCCGCCTGGTCGCTCTCCCACAATTCGGAGGAATAGTGCATCAGTGGGAGCTGCTCGTACGCGAGCCGGGGCCAACCGCCAATAAATTGGGCGAATGAGGGCACGTCCTCGCCCCTGTGCCTGGAAGCGACGGCGGAAATGAATTCCCGAACCCAATACATCTTGGCCGTCACCCCTGCCGCATAGGGCCCAGCCAACTCCAATGCCACCGCCACTCCGTCCGACGAGCTTATTGGATGCGCCCGGGGCCTTTTCACCAGTCGGTGGTAGAGATGGAGCGCGAGTTCGGCGTGACTCACAATGGCCCCCGGCTCCCGATTGGCGTCGCCCACCTCCCCCACCAGGATAGCGGCCATGACGGCCAGATCGTCCTCCGAGGGCATCTCCCGGCGGAAGGCCCTGCCGAGCGAGATGGACTCCACCATCCTCTCCCGCGCCTCGCGTACGTTGTCTAGGGGCGGCGCAAGCAGGGTATTGGGCAGTGGCTTCAGATCCGGGAGCTGGAACTCCATGCGCGCCGCGACGCTCTCCCACACTTTTGGCGAATAATACCGCTTCCAGTCGTCGCTGCTGACCCGCAGGAGCGCCGTGAACGCTTCAAACGTCAACGCCGAGATTTGCACCGGCAACCCCTCCGTCGCAGTCGCCGCTCCTTTGGCTGCCTCGAGGGAGACGCGCGCGTGGTGGAAGATTTGAATCCAAAAATACGCTTGCGTGAGTGAATAAGGGGGATCTCTCGGTTTTGGACGCGTGCGCGTATCGTGTGGACTTTGATGGCCTCCAGCGCCTGCTTGACAATTTCCCGCGCCGTCGGTTGGTCGGGACAACCTTTTGGACCACGATGAATGCAAATCTCATGAGGCGGTCGTTTCCAACGGCAGAATGAACTTTTGTCTGTACCCGCGATGGCTGCACCAAGGTCGGCAAGCGTTGGATATCGGGAAAACACCAAGCTTCGCGCGCGCCAGGGCTGAAGAGCAGATCCTTGGTGTAGTACTGTTTCCAGAGACCCGCGTTCATGAGGTGGGGGAGTGTAATAGAAGATTGCCAAAGGCATCAAGGGGCGGAATCCTAGCGAGGCGGTTCTCCATCTGGTAGGTAAGAGCGGTGAGTCGAAGCTGGAAAAGCCAAAAGGCGGTCATTGTTCTAGACGAGGCAACACCCAATTCGTTGTTAGTGCCCCGTTTTTGCCTCTCGCCAGCGAAATCCTTTTTCACGTTGTGTTAAAAAGCGCGCTATGGAGAAGGGAGAACATACCTGTGCGCAGTATTCCTAAACCTGTCCGGGTTCGTCGCCTTGAGCCGCTCGAGATGAGCCATAAAAGTACCCGTACAAGTCAGCACGCTATCCCCCACCGCAAACGCCTCGAGCAGCACCGCATACCCGGCGCGCAGGTGCGTGTGGTGGTCCCACAACGGGATATCCGCCCGGAGAAACGCCCGCCAAAACTCGTCGGCGTCGCCCATCATGCTGTTGGCCAAGGTCGCCCGGCGAACCAGCTCCTCGGTCGACGGTTCCTGCGCGGTGTCAGTCGTCGACGCCTCAGCCGCTCGAGTCTTAGTCCGTTCCGCCAGGGACGTGTGGAGGTCGTCGAGGATGTCGTATATGCGGTCGCCGTGGAGTGCACTCAGCCCGGGGAGGCGCAGGACTTTGCACTCCATGCTGGCGCGGTGAGGTGCGAGGATGGCTTCAAAGGCCTGGTACTGCGTTTCGAGGGTGGCCTCCCTGGTTTCGAGGGGAGCTGGTCTTGCTTGTTCATGACCACGCTGACGTAGACGCATCCGTAATCTACGAGGGTTGCCATGAAGTCCCTGAGCAAGCTGAACGACTCCTCCTGCCAGGCGAGATAGGCCGAGCAGTCGTGCAAGTAGACGACAAAGGTTCCTGGCACGATGTAGTGCCGGAGGAGTGGTCGGATTTTGTCGCACCCTTGGATGTGCCATGTTAGCCTGCGATGGATAGGTTTTGTCTAGGGGAAAACGAACCGCCTACATCCCAAAGCTGGAATCTTGAACCCTTGGAGTGATCAATGTCTTCGACGTTAAAGCCGATAGTCGGGATTGTATGCGTCACATCAACGCCCTTCAACTTGTAGAGCAACGTTGTCTTGCCAGAAGCGTCCAGTCCCATGAGGATCCCACGGTATTCCTTTTCTTAAACAACCACTGGAGCACTTTGTCAACTGTTAGCGTCAACCAGTCCTTCACCGCGTACTTCATATAGACTATTTTCTTACCCATCGTGGCTGTCGATTTCCTCGCTGTGGAATAGAATGAGTGAATATATGCTTTGAATTATCTCGCACCTCACTTTGGTCTTCTGCCAAAAATAATAATAATAATACAAACAAGATTGATCAGGTTTGAACACGTATCCTAGTTCTTTGAGTAGAACACGAATCACCCTTAGACCCCCGGGTCAAGCTCTAGGCAGCGATCACCACCAGCGGTGCGCGTTTTCAGCTCAAAATCCCAGTTCGGAGCTGAGAGGGGTTGGCTTGTTTGGTTGCCCCGATCCAACGTTCGCGAGAAGCGCTGCCAGTCGCCAGGGCTGTCAACAGATGGATGAGAGGGGGCATTGAAAAAGAGCAATGTTGCGGGGCGGACTTTGCCAAGTTCCATAGTCCGTTCAGCTCGCGCATTCGGGCCACCCGGCCACCGTCCAGCTCCACCAAAGGCGGAAGGGATCCCCGCCGACGGGCAGAGCTGCCCCAAAATCATCTGAAAATGGTCGGGAAATAAGCACCAAGCTGCGGGAGGATTTATAATCCAGCACACATGCTGAACTCGGTATGGTCCACGGCGACGCCTCCTTCGTTTTCCATCATTGTGAATCATGTCGTACATCGTCGCACCATTTTCGCACGCGGAATTCCGCCATGGCGAACCCTGATCCGAATCACTATATATATAGCTAAAAGACTCTCTGACTTGAAAAGAAATCTTATCGTGAATAGCAAGAAACACATACCGCAAGAGCATCACCACTTGCATCTCAGTTCTCACCCCTTCACCATCTCCTCCCTTCTCCCCACTCGAGCTCGGCTTGACCCCACAATAAAAATGCCCCGCCGCATCGTCATCCTCCCCGCCTCCACCAAGGCCGGTCGAGAAACCATCCGCGTGCTTCTCCAGTCCGAGAGCAAGCCTTTTGTTCGTGCCGTCTATCGGAACCCGGCCAAAGCCCCGGCCGAGTTCCTTCAAAATCCCAATTTCGAGGCCGTCCAGGGTGATGTCTCCAGCGGCTCGGGCCTTGACTTTGCCGGCTTCGACACGCTATTCTACATCCCTCCCCGACCTATGAGCCCGGTGCGGACCAGAGTGAATTCGCTACTCGTGCTGCGACGAATATCAAGGATGCGATCAACAAAGCTGGCACCGTTACCCGACTACTCATATTCTCCGCTGTCGGCTCGCAGTACGACCGCGATATTGTATGGTTTCCCCATCCCTGCTCTCTCCCTACTCACCTTCTCTAGAAAATGCAACCAAGATTCTGTGAGGACTCTCATCTAACATGCTATAACCCGTAGGGAGTGTTGCGTTTGAACCACATCTCGGACGAGATACTCAAAAACTCCGTGCCCCAGGTCTCAATCGTCCGGCCCGGCTACATCACCGAGGAATGGGCCCACTTTCTCGACGCGGCCAAGGCTGACCCTCCCGTCTTGCACTCCTGGATCTCGCCAGTTGACCACAAAGTACCCATGGTAAGGCATCCTCAGCCTCCAGATGGATACATGTATTTGAACTCGCTCTAACTAAGACTTCCCTCATTGCAGGTTGACCTCAAGGATATCGGTGAATGCTGCGCAAACACCCTGCTATCGGAGCAGACGAAACCTAGCCCGTACTACTTTAAGCTTTTCGGGCCCCAGCACTACAGCTCTGCCGACCTCAAAGATGCGGTGGAAAAGGTAGTCGGCACCAAGACGGAACTCAAGCTGATAGAAAGGGATCAGCTCTCGGGCTTCTTCGCGCAGCTGGGGATACCCGAAACTCACGTGCCCGATTTTGTAGGCATGACAACTGCTGTCTTGCCGGGAGGAATCATGGCGGGAGATTTTGGGTATGACGAGGACACGGTGAGGGGCAAGGTAGAGCTTGTCGATGGCCTTCGGGAAATGTATGAGAAGAAACAGCAAGGTTGAGGATAGACCAGATATCTACAGTTCAAGTATTTCGAAACGTATTGTAGAATAATTTACGAATCATTTACCGCATCACCGCTAAAGCCGATGACCTGGTGCCGTGGAGATACCCCCGCCTTGCTGAAGAATATCGGCGCGGGGTGACCAGGCTTGGGGAACAGAGTGTCGAATGGGCGGGGTCGAACTGAGTGATATCGAAACATCAACCGACATGTGCTGCCCAAGGTGCAGATCCATGTAGGATTGGCGTCAGCGGGACGGGCCACGGACCGTGGGCATTGCTAGCCACCTTGTGTCACCGTGTAAGCCTAGGCCAATAACTTGGCCAAATTCCCCATCCGCGGGATAATTGCACTCCTCTTCTCACGTCAGACCATGCCATTAATACCTTTTGGCCGTCCTCGACAGGGCTGAAATGCAATGCGACATTAGCGGACATCACCTCTTCACGCAGCACGTGGGGAGGATTGCAGAATTACATGAGACCATGAACCCCCAGGCTAGTTGCCAAGCATCGATGAAGATTGACTACGAGAAGTATTTAATCGGCCGTGGCCGTGCTTTTCAACCTTCCTCGGAAAGTAGCTTAGCTATCCTTGGATCACCCCTGTCGCCTTTTCGCAACTGCCACAATGGTCTCCTCCGTATTTTGCGCAGCCGGTGTAGTGCTCTCACTTATCGCCCACGTCGGAGCGTCCTCCAGCCACTCCCACTGCGAAGAATATGATTACATCGTCGTGGGCGGCGGCACCTCCGGCCTGGTCGTCGCGAACCGATTGACAGAGAACCGAAGAAGTAAGCCAATCCGCCCAGTCCAAATCTTCCCAAAACCGGGGGAACGCTGGGTTTTCGATTCGTTCTCTTATTCTCCGCCCCCATATCCTCGTACTGACCAACCATTCTCTCCTACAGCCACCGTCCTCGTCATCGAGCGGGGAGGATTCGCCAACGGCCCCCGCGCCATCATCCCCTACTGGGCCAACGACCTCGACACCAGCCTCATGATCCGCCCCACCTCCGCCCCCAACCCCCAGCTCCACAACCTCACCATCCAGGTCGCCGTCCCCGCCGTCGTCGGCGGCGCCACCGTGATCAACGGCATGGCCTACATGCGCGGCAGCCGCACCGACTACGACGCCTGGGAGGAGCTCGGCAACCCCGGCTGGGGATGGCGCGGCCTGCTCCCCTACTTCCGCAAGAGCTCCACCTTTGCCCCGCCCTCGCCTCCCGCGGTGCAGGCGTGGAACATGACGTGGGACCCGGCCGCCTTCGGCTCCGGCCCCGTCTACAGCACGATTGCCGATTTCCAGTGGCCCGATCTCCAGCCGTTTTGGTCCTCCTGGCGCAGCGAACCCGGTATTCCCCAGCCCGCGGATCTCAACTCTGGGCACGGCCCGGGCGCGTACTGGGGCCCTTCGACGATTGATCGTCGCGATATGACGCGCACTACGGCGCGCAAGGCGTACTACGACCCGGTTTTTGCGCAGCGCCCGAATCTGCGGCTCTTGACGGAGCACACGGCGACCCAAATCGTGTTTCGCAACCTCCGTGCTACCGGCGTCAAGGTGCGGCGGAATCAGGAGGATGACGACGATGCACGCACGTTTTGCGCGCGCAAGGAGGTGATTCTCGCAGCTGGCGCCATTCAGACGCCGCATCTCTTACAAGTGAGTGGCGTTGGCCCGAAACATGTGCTCCAAGCAGCCGGGATTCCGGTAGTGAAGCACGTGCCCGGGGTTGGGGCCAACTTCCAGGACCACGCGACGGTCTTCATGATCTTTAACCTTGCCAACGCGTCGTTCCCCAACCCGGGTACAATGGCTGCCAACGCAACGTATAATGCCACGGTGTGGCAAGAGTACTGACCACCACACAGGGCCCGTGGCGGCGGCGGGCTCGGGCATGGTATCGCTGCTGTCGCTGTCCCACGTCACATCCTCAGCCGCAGCCATCGTGAGCCGGCTCACCGCTCAGGATCCCACGCAGTACCTGCCAAGTTCCCAGGCCTCCGGGTCATTGCTCAAGGGTTTCAAGAAGCAGAGGTCGATCCTGGCACGTCTCCTGTCCTCCAACAGCGCATCCGTCTCGGCTCACCCGTTCCCGGGGGCGGCGTGTCTCCCGGCGTGATGCTCAAGCCCCTCTCGCGAGGAACCGTCACGCTTGATCCGGCCGACCCCCACGGGCTTCCCGTCGTGCAGTACAACACCTTTATGAACCCCGTCGACGCGGAGATTGCGGTTTCTGTGGTCAAGCGTGCTAGAGCATTTTGGTCCAAGCCCGATATCGCCGTGCTGGGTCCCTCGGAGATTTCGCCGGGAGCCCAGCATCAGACTGACGAGGAGATTTTGGCGGCCCTAAAGAATGGAGCGTTGATACCTAGCCTGGCCCACCCGAGCGGCTCATGTTCAATGATGCCGGAGGACTTGGGAGGCTGCGTGGGGCCCGATCTAAAGGTGCATGGGCTCAAGGGTCTTTCCATCATTGATGCTTCGGTGATTCCCATGATTCCAGGTGCGCCGCTGCAGGCGACAGTGTACGCCATTGCAGAAAAGGCCGCAGATATCATCAAGTCGCGGGCTTAAGCACACAGGAGGATAGATGGAAACATGATAATCATTAACTGGGCACCCTGAATAATTTCATACAATTAATTATCGTTCTAAGGTTGAGGCTCTTTTTGGCTCTAATATTAAGTTATACAGTTCATTATTTATACATGGTATCTTTATTTCCAGCGTACCACTCCCTAGCACCGGTGCCCGGACGTCGTGCGCCCGCGACCCAAAGGCGAGGTGGCCCGGGTCCTTCTCAGTGCACGCGGTCTCGTCGCCGGACACAACACCCCATTTGATTTCTCCGCGCGCCATATGTTTCAAGTACGCGTCCCCGGCCTCGTCGTAGTCGTAAAATTGGATCGAGATGCCAGGGCTGAACACTCGTCGCCCGTGTCCGAGGCCCAGCTGCTCGCCCGGGACAGAGGCGAGAGGGAGTGGCAGGCGGCAGCCATGACCGCCGAGTCGTTGCAAGCGAGGACCATGGTCCCTGGGAGCTTAGTGCAGGCCAGGACTATGGGCAGTGTGATGAAGAATAGGGAGAGGCAAAGCGTAGTAATGATGGCAATGGGGAGTAGCCCATGCCTGTACTCAGGTCGTCATTGAAAGAGGTGGTAACGTAGACGCGTAGGACTGGTTATTTCGCGCGGGTTAGCACCTATGAACATGAACTGACAGGGGGCGAGAAGAAAGAACTTACTCCTCGAGTCGCGAATGTACAAGCAGTTAGATACCAACCAATGCAAGAGGGCGCTGAGAGAGATGAGGGGGATGGACCAGCGAAAAGGCAGCTGCAGACGGTACGCGACGGTCTGGAGCCCGCGGGCGTAGGAGACGCGCAGAGGCTTGTACTTGACGCTGTATGACGACCACTCGCGCTCGCCGTGCATGCGCGTAAAGAGGCCATTGTACGCGAGATAGGCGATGGACAAGAGGATTTGCGGGGTGTTGACAATGGCGGCCATGGTGACGGAGGCGGCGACCTGGAGATTGCCCGTGGTCTCGGTCTCGTATGGCAGGATGGAGAGAAGAGGATTTTGGGCGCTGGGTCCGAAAGTGGTTGTAGAGCTAGGGCGAGGTTAGAGAGCAGGGACAATAAAAAAATGGCCACGAGGTACTATGCGGGGAGGGGCGCAACTTACATATTAACAGAGGGCAAGCCGGTAGCTGCCAAGATGCACAGGGCGGAGATCATAATGGTCAAAAAGATGACGTACGCCAACAGCCAATGATACCAAGGCACAGATGATCCGGTCTTGGAGCTCCTGCTCCCCACCAGCGGGGGCCGGGTAGGCGAGTATTGGTGCAAGACGACGCCGAGCGGTCGAGCCAGCACATGCCGCGGGTGCTGGTGTCCGGGTTGCGGAGGAAGGACTCGACGGCGTCGCCCAGGGTGAGGAGCGGGGCGTGGAGGGGTCGGGAGACGACGACGGTGGTGCAGGCAAAGGCCTTGAACAGGCAGCACAGGCAGGAGATGAGCAGGAGGAGGTTGTGCACGCGGATTTCGCAGGGGGCGACAAAGGGCTCGGACAGGCAGTACTGGGCGGTGACGTTGCCGGGGCGCCGGGCCCCAACTCCTCGAGATTCAGGGCCTGGGTGGCGCCCGAGGCGACGTCGATGGCGAAGTAATCCCCGAGCGGGGTGATTTGTCGACCCCAGACGAGGGAATCGGCTTTCCGGCTGGCGACGAGGGACTCGCTGAGCTGGACGGCGCGGGCGCCGTACACGGAGTTGACCCTACCGTCGTCCTCGACGTCCCAGCCCTCGGCGTCGGGCTGGTCCGGGTCGGCGACGACGACGACGACGTGGCGGTGGGTGGTGAGGGCCTCGTCGACGCTGTTGTAGATGTCGAGGCACTCGTCGAGCTCCATGCGGGCCCAGGCGCGGGCCTCGGCAGCGATGCGGGCGATTTCGGCATCGGAGCCCGTGTCGTTGTGGAGCCAGTCGGGCCCGATGGCCCATTCGACGTAGTAGGCGGTGGCGTTGTAGCCGGCGCCGGGGATGGCGTAGTCGGCGCCGTCTAAAAAGGCCTCGGTGGCGAGGACCATGTAGTAGTCGCTCGAGGTGCGGGTCTCGGCGACACTACTGTTGAAGAAGAGGTGGAGGGGCACGGAGCTGAGGGCGAGGAAGGCCCAGAGCAGGCGCGTGGACCAGGACAGGTGCACGAGGTTGGAGGGGACTGGGCGCCGACCTCGAGGAGCGGCCGCGGGCGTGGGCGGCGTCGATGGCCTCGCGGGTCGGGGCGGACAGCACCTGCATGAAGTAGTTGGAGGAGGCGAGCACGAGGGAGGCGACGATGTTGACGAACGCGTGCAGCGCCGTGTTGATCACGTTGGTGTCGCTGCACTTGCCGTCGAAGATGACGGTCGTCGTGAACACGGAGCCGGAGCCGAGGCGGTGCACCGAGATGATGAGCAGGATCAGCGTGACGATGGAGAGGGCCCATGTCGAGGAGGCGGCGACGATGCCTGCCTTTCGCCAGCCGGCGGAATCGCCAATGGCGACCATGATGGCATAGTATCGCGGCTGGTCGTCTTTGGAGAATTGTTTCGTCCGCCTGGGATTGTTTGTTAAATCCGCTGTTGCTGCTTTACCTTACCTTCCCTCCGGGGGCGGGGACGAAACGAGGAAGCGCGCCGCTGCTGCAGAGTCGACGCGTGAGTACCCTCGTTCAACGTCTAATTAGGCGCTGCCTGTCGACGCATGACGAAGGGCGGGACGGGGAGAAGGAAAAAGAAAAAAAAAAAGAGAGAATTGTAAAGAAGGATGGTGGAACGAGATAAAGAAAGAACGTGGATTCTCGGTTCTCGATCCGAGAGCGAAAATTGGGGTCGTGGTACGAGGTATCCAACATGGCAAGACGCCGAGACTCCCGCTGAGCGCGTCTTGTTAGTGTGTTTTTCTTTTTCCCCGATGGTAATACAATATGCAGGACCAGAATGATCCTGGACGCTGACAAGCAACGTGAATGGTCCCCCTCGTTTTTTCCCCTGACCGCCCGTTGTTAGCATTGTTTAATGTTGACCGTCTGCTCACCTCGATCCACTCTGAGCTGCTGCGCCTCTTTTCCTCTTGCAATCCTTCACGCGCCATGGATTGACGGGCTCCACGCCGTCAGTATTTTGTTTGGTTCCTTCACGTGGGATAGAGCACGGTGCCTCTCGTCCTGGGATATTAAATCCAGCATAGCCCCAAATTCACTTGGTTGCGAAAATCCTTCCGGTCCTAGTTCGACGGGATATTACTATTGAAAACGCTGTTCCAAGTGCAAGTTCAATAGCATCAGCCTATCGGATTCCGAGGCCTTGGCTCAAGTCCCGGCTCGCTAGTCCCCCTGGACTAGAACGAGAACATACGAAGTAGAAGGCCGGAATCAAAGAGGGCAAAGAGTTGGAACCACCACAATCTACTCGCGATTTCGCCGCATCGGTCGTTGGATCTTGATAATGGTTGCGCCATCCTGCGGAGCCGCATGGTGTCGCGGAGAAAACGGCACTTGGATAGTGAATTACCCCTGACCTGTAGTGGAAAGTCAAAGAAGGCGCCAAACATTCCTGCTACTTCGTAGATTAGATCCTTACTGTTCAAGGGAGATCAAATGGAATTGATATATTATTAGCTCAATTCGTTTTTATTTTTTATTTTTACAAGCCTTGTAGATAAACTAGCTATTCCCTCTTCCATCTCGAGCACTCTTCCACTCTCGGCGCGGGTATGTCCTCCTCTTACCACCCTCATTTACTCAATCCATGACCTTCCGCCCGCCAAAAGACGACATGCTATCCTTGACCAAGTCCTGCATCGCGATCCTCCAAAACGGCGGCGACCCCTTGATCGGCATCATAGTCAGTTTCGTAAGCCAGGGCAGCTCGATGTGGCGCGCCTCGCCAGACCAGAGCGCGTCGACGACGTGGGAGGCCACGAGCTCGGGCGTCAGCGGGGGCGTGAGGCCCTGGAGGGTAGGCGGAAGCCCGTAAACATCTTGGTGCCCACGGCGGAGGGTTGACGACGGTGCACCGCACCTTGGGGGCCTTGTAGACGTGGCGGAGCTCGGTCTGGAGGCCCTCGTGGAGGGCGAGGGCGGCGCTCTTGGATGCGGCGTAGTCGACCATTTTGCAGGAGGGCAGGTAGGATGCTGGAGTCGGGAAGCGGCGTCGCGTGTTGCATGGTTAGATTGAAGAGTAACGAGCAGAAAAATGGGGCCAAACTAGACGTCAACTCACCGAGAGAGGCCATGGTCACGACGTGTCCGTGGTTGTTCTTAACCATGGCGGGAACAAACTCCTTGTAGCACATGGCGACGGCAATGGCGTTTACGCCAAAAGTTCTGCGTCCATACCGCGTTAGCCACATCGGAGGAAAAGGCATGAAGCCTTGCTAAGAAACGATACACAAAGTCGTGATACGTACAAGTCGAGATCCCTCTTAGTGAGCTCTGCAGAGAAAGTAAACAATTAGCACTTTCGCCCACAATTCCACCCGGTCGACGCATTCCTTCTCCGTCACTTACCTAGGATGCCCTTGGCGCGGACGATGCCTGCAATGGCGCATAGGACCGTCGGGTCTCCCCAGTTGGCCCGGATTTCCTCGGCCGCCTGGTGGAGACTATCCGCGTCCGTCAAGTCGCACTTGTAGTATTCGACGCTGGGAGCTGCGCACATTCGTGGTCAGTTAGCACTTTCTCTTCCATCTGCACCACAACGTTGCAAACATGGATTCCACGTCTCAACAAATTCATGCTGCTCCATAGCCACCAGTCCAGCTTTCCGTTCCAGCCTATCCCCTCTCGATGTACTTACGCTTAGGGTACGTCAGGGGCAGAATGTCGATGACAGCAACCTTGGTACCCCTCGAAGCGAGCTTAACCACCTCGCCGCCAATCCCGCCCGCGCCGCCCGTCACGACAACAATCTCCTTGGACCAATCGTACGTGTCTGATACGCCATTGTTGAGAGCCCGGCGCGTCAGATAGGCCTGGAGGCGGAGGGCGATCCCTGTGAGGATGCAGTAGAGCACCTTCCTCACGGCGGGCGATGCCGTGATCTCGGGTAGGAAGGCTGCTTCGCGACCGCGCAAAATGACACGGAGCTGATCGGGGTTCTTGAGTGCGTATCCGGTCTAGCAGGGGGTTTAGGGAAAAGAATTTAGCGGATCCAATTCTTCAATCCTGAGCTTGCTATTGTCTTGCTTTGATGGTCCCCTTTGCGTGCGATGGGGGCTTGTTCCACAAAGGCGGCGCGCGATAGGGCGGGGACAGCTTCCTTACCACAGCGGGAATGGCAACCCAAGGGTTGAAGAGGGTGCTATAAAGCAGAGAGACGAGCTTTTCGACCATGTTGATGAAGATGGGATTGGCTTCAGAACAGGAGGCGATGTGGGGGCAGATGTCCAAATTGTCAATAGAAACAGAATACTAAAGCTTTCAAAATTGACAGTCTACGGTCGGTGATGCTCTTGGGAAGGGAAGGAAAAATGACGTCTAGGTCCTCGTCGCATAGTGGAACCAACCCGTTATATCACAAACACCAATGTCATGCACAGACCCGAATGAAGCAAGCTCGTCCAAAGGAGGCCCCAATTCAGGGAACAAAGGACACAAAATCCGGGGTACAGCAGCTCTCCGTCCCCCTTGGACGATGCCCTTCGAGCGCGCCTAGCACGCAAACTAGCATGCGGGAGGGCAAGTTTTGGACAGGAGAAGGGCAAACTAGGGCCCCGACGGACAGCTTACCCCGCATTCGACAGGTGGGCGAGTGGAGGATAGGGTGGTAGTGCGCCGGGGATGGGCTCGCTTGGGCCAATCTATCGTCTCACCTTGCCAGATGCGGAGCCCTAGGGCCACTGGACCTCGGCATGGTTGGACGGAAAGCGTGATGTTTGGCACTCCATCCATAGGTGGCAAGTCCGGCCCGTGAAAGAGGTGGTTCTCAGGGAGGGGAAAGAGAGGGAGAGACGTGCTTCGGATCCGGGCGCATGGGTGGGAGCTCTCGGTGGAGACGTTGATCCATGGGTGTCCAGCTGTCAACTTGTCTTTTCAGATTCAATATTCCTGATCATTCACCGAGCTCCATGAGCTTGGGCGACAATAATGCGCCCTCGTCGATACGAAAATAATGGGGCCCAAGGTTACATTTATAAAGTGGATTCGCATGTGAGATTCAATGTTGTATTAAACGTATTAGATAAGAAATCCTTCGTCAGCACAAATACCGATGATTGAATCTTCTTTGCCGGGGATTCCATCGCCCTTCTCTTGCTCACGACAGAATCATCCGGGACGAAAACATCCGGCGTCGAGAGTAAGGACGGGGGCGGCCATGGTGGATTTCTCGCTAGACTGGAGTGAGCAACAATGACGCGCGGACCCTTTCTTGGTGTGGTGGACGTTGTCCAATACGCTAGTCTAATCAGGCACTATAGTCGACTTGAAAAAGCTTCCCCTCAAGGTCAGAAGACTATAGCTCGAGCCCCAGACCCGACGTGATGGATCCACATTTCAATCCCGGACCTGTCTTCTCCCTATACAGCGTGGGGCTACATGAGACAGTCCTGAACTCATCGCTTAAGCTGAACGCACCCCTGGCCCACTAGCTAAGGAAAAGGTGCACACAGAAAACAGACAGAAGGGGGCTTATCACGACATTTATACAAGGAATCACTACCAGGAAGGATAGAGGATTTACGCCATGGTCTAAAGGGCTGAAGGACTGTCCGTTTGGGAGACTCGTTGGTGGATGCGTGCTCCTTCCCGATGATCAAGAATCCAATCTAACCTGATTGAGCTTGGTTCCGTTCTCAAAATATTGTGCCCCGCTCACCCCCAGCCCTTCTCCAATTGATACATGTAGCTGATGATAATTCCCATCATTGAAATGATGTTGGAAAAGGCAAATCCGGCCTCAGAGGGAGTGTGTTGTTGTTGAGCCTCAAAAACGTCCCAAGGTCAGAGCCCGAGCTTCACGCAAGGCACGTGCAGAGTCATGGCCAAGAAAAAGAAAAAACCTGGGGGTGGCGGAAAAAGGGGGCTGGGCTGAGCTGGGCCGGGTTGCACGGAGCGTCGGTGAAGCTGGAACAAGGCAAAAGGGGAAACGGTGGGAAGGAGGGGGAAAACGCCACTCTGGATTTTGCCCTTTCAACAGGTCAACAAAAATTGGAGGCTAGCAAAAAAAAGGAGCAGAAGGAAGGTGGATCGTCAACGCGAACAACATCAGACGAAGGGGCCTTGACGACGGCAGGCAGAAAAAGCATTCAAGACAAGAGACTTGGTTGCCTCTTTCGAGTACTCAAAAAATTCCGAGTCAAGCAAAGTGCCACGTTTCGGCTTGGCGGACCGTCATCAATTAAGGAGGGAAAAAGAAAAAAACTGAACCAGTACTTCACACCCAACAAGCCATGGCCGACATCAACACGATCCCCTACGACGCCCCGCTCTCGGACACGATCCCCAGAGGCCCCACGAGCTCTGGGGCATCTTCTGGGAGCTCAAGGGCGGCGACAGGACGCGCCTCGCCGTGCCCGCCGTCGACCTCACGGGCAAGTGGATCCTCATCAGCGGCGCCAACAACGGCATCGGGCGCCACGCCGCCCTCCAGTTCGCCGCCTGGGGCGCCCACCTCGTGCTGGCCTGCCGCGACGCCCCGGCCAAGGAAACCCACCCGACCGTGGCGGTGGCCGAGTGCCGCGAGGCCGCGCGTAAAGCCGGGCACGCCGACGCGTCCATCGAGTGGTGGGAGGTCGACTACACCAAGCTGGCGAGCGTCGAGGCGCTGGCGCGGCGCTGGCTGGACACGGGCCGCCCGCTCGACGTGCTGTGCAACAACGCGGGCATCGGGTCCAGCCCCGCGGGCAGCGGGGTGTTCAAGACGGAGGACGGCTTCGAAATCATCCACCAGGTCAACCTCTTGTCGCACGCGCTGCTCACCCTGCGGCTGCTGCCGTCGCTGGCCAAGGCGCCCGCCCCGCGCGTCGTGTGCACCACCAGCGTGTTCCAGTACCTCGGCGAGTTCGACCTGCGCAACTGCAACGGCGAGCTCGGCCGGTCCGGTCCCCAGGGCGTCCAGTACTACCAGAACAACAAGCTGTGGTTCCAGGTGTGGCTAACCGAGCTCCAGCGCCGCCTACTGCAGCACCCGGGGCTGAGGCACATCACCGTTAATGGTATGCATCCGGGCTACGTCAACAGCGGCATCTGGAACATCAACAACAGCGTCGGCGGCCTCGACTCGTGGCTCAGCTGGTTCTACGTCAAGGTGCTCGCCTACTTTTTGGGCATCAACGAGCAGCAGGGGTCACTCGCCATCCTCCACCTCGCGACGCAGCCTGATGCGGGGCCCGACCCCGAGGTTCAGGGCGTGGGTGAGCCCGGCGGCCTGGGCGGCGGGAGGTATTTCAACAGGGTGTGGGACTCGGCGCCCATGCCCCACGCCAAGGACCCCGATTGCCGGCAGCGGGTGTGGAGAAAGGTGAACGATGAGCTTGGCTTGGAGGGCAAGGGCCTGTTGGATGTCTTGGGTTTGAAGTATAACGTCGGAGACGTTTTGCCCAAATCGCTCGCTGCGTAAAGGAAAGTCACGGGTGGTGCTCGCGAGACATGCCGTTGGCCGGCTGGAACATTGGTTCAATGTTCTCTATAGCGCGATGGAGAAAACTGTACCGAAGTGAAAGAGAGAAAAAGAAAAAAGACTCCGTTGTATTATGCCACGACGAGGAAGAATATGATAGACGAGGGGGCTAGAATTAGGATGAGAACAAGGCAGTCCCTCCCTCCATAATATGATGGGATTGAACCAAGACCTACTTGCACACTCGGGTTTTCGCGACGCAACACGATAATCTGCACAATCCTGCTAGTCCTCGTGTGTCCTACCCAGCTCGAGGCATTCTAGGAAATAGATACTTGCCGGAAATGATTGACAATTACGGCAAACAAGCCCTCGGGATCGGCAATTGAAGGAGTGTGGCCAATTCCCACAATCGGCGCTGACAGCCCAAATTATCTATTACAACGCTCGCCGTCTTTTCTGTTTGCTTTTTGCTTCTTCCTTGCCGCAGATCCGCCAATGCGGTGAACACCGGATAGTTGTAAGCGGCAGCGACCCTGAGCCATGGTAATCGGTCCATTCAAGTAGCCCCATGCACTACCGTCAGCGGCGCAAAGAGCTTAGAACAAAATCTCACCCGCGTGTCGTAAAACGGCCACCCACGACCCCTGCCCCTCGGCGTCACGACACAGGATATCCCGTGTCTGCGCGGTGTGGTCAGAATTACTATCAATGCCAGCCTTCCATTTGCGATTGAGCGATCAATTGAAAAGAAGATAGATCCTTGATGTGCGTTACCACGGGGATCAGCTCGCCAAAATCTCTCCCCGTCTGCAGAGACTGAAACGTTTGCCGGACCTCCCCGCTAGCGACATAGTCTTAGAAGAAGCAAAGCCCGTCGTGCATGGTCCGTCGGGTAGCTCAAGGACCCCGACTGATCAGTCCATCGGGATTTAAAATAGTACCTGGCCCCCCTCCCCCAGACTCGAAGCTCTTTTTCCTACGATGTCATAGTTCCTCATACAGCTCTCGTCTAATACCCAAGAGCTCCGAGAAAACCACCAAAGCCTCAATTCATTTTTTTCTTCTCTCTTTTTGTGACCATGTCGTTGACTTTCTCGACCGCCGCCGAATTTGACGAGGTAAGCAGTAGATTCGATGCATCATGTTCATTGGGCCCTCTTGTCTTTTCCTCTCTTGGCGCAATTGCGGTGTAAATGGATTGAATAAAAGGACCACGAAGAAGCGAAACGCGCGCACGCTCGTATCGTATCCAGAACTAACCCATCCAGGCCTACGCCGCCGTGAACAAAGCCTTCGCCTCCGGCAAAACCAAGGACAAGCGATGGCGCAAGCGCCAGCTCAAAAGCTCTGGTGGATGGTGGAGGATAACAAGGACCGCATCTTCGACAGCCTACGCAAAGATCTCAACAAGCACCGCTTCGAGGGCCTCACCGAGGTCTCCGGCATCAAAAGGAGATCCTCGACACCATCGCCCACCTCGACGCCTGGACCGCCGACGAGCGCCCCAACCGCGGCGACTTCCTCAACTTTGTCAGCGGCACCACCATCCGCAAAGAGCCCCTCGGCGTCTCCCTCATCATCGGCGCTTGGAATTTCCCCTGGGTCCTCTCGCTGCAGCCCCTCATCGCCGGCATCGCCGCCGGCTGCGCCCTCGTGCTCAAGCCCTCCGACATGGCCATCGCCTCCCAGGACCTCCTCGTGGAGCTCGTGCCCAAGTACCTCGACCGCGACGCCATCCGCTGCGTCACCGCCGGCCCCACCGAGATGGGCTACATCCTCGAGCACCGCTTCGACCACATCTTTTACACCGGCTCGCCCGGCGTCGCCAAGATCGTCTCCGCCGCCGCCGCGAAGCACCTCACCCCGTGTGTCTGGAGCTGGGCGGACAGGCCCCCGCCATCATCTGCCCGTCCGCCGACGTGAAGCTCGCGGCCAAGAGGATCGCAGCCGCCAAGTTTATGAATTCAGGTCAGGTGAGGATCCTTGATGGAAGCATAAGACACCCATTGAGTTGTACAGCGTGCTTACAAACCGCCCTATCAATATCCAGATCTGCCTCAACGTCAACCACGTGCTCGTAGACCCCAGCATCCACGCCGAATTCCTCACCCACCTCACCGCCTACCTCGACGAGTTCCTCCAGGGCGGCCGCAACGCCACCCCCGACTACTACAGCCACATCATCAACGAGCGCAACTTTGATCGCCTCGACACGCTCTTGCGCAACACCGCCGGCAAGCCCATCTACGAGGGCCGCCGCGACCGCGACACCCTCTTCTTCGGCCCCACCGTCGTCGACGACGTGCGCCCAGACGACTCCCTCCTCAGCGAAGAGCTCTTCGGCCCCATCCTCCCCATCATCAAGGCCGACCTCGCCGAGGCCCTCCGCCTGACCCGCAGCCTCGACCACCCCCTCGCCCTGTACGCCTTCACCGGCTCCCAGCGCGAAAAGGACCTCATCCTCGCCAGCACCCTGTCCGGCGGCGTCACCTTCAACGACTGCTTCCTCCACGCCACCGCCAAGGGCGTGCCCTTTGGCGGCGTCGGCAACTCGGGCACGGGGAGCTACCACGGCCGCTGGGGCATCGACGAGTTTAGCCACAGGCGCACCTGCGTCGATCCTCCCGGCTGGCTCGAGAATCTCATGTCTTTCCGCTACCCGCCCTACACCGTGGCTAATAGTGAGAAGGCGGGCGCTTACGCGCAGGCCCCTTTGATAGGGACGGGAACGCGGTGCGCAAGCCTACGTCGTGGATCGTGGCGCTTGGCGTGGTTGGCGCGGCAGCCTGGGGGCTGCAAAGACGGGACGGTTGCCGTCGTTTGCGTGAGAGGCCGTCAAGTACGGGGGTCGGGGTAGGAGGAAGAGAAGGTTGCTTGTGGATTTTGTAGGATGCGCGTGGTATTTTTAGGTTCAGAATGAATTGATATCCTGGTATAAGCTCTTTCATATTTAGACTCAGGTATCTTATGATCATCTCGCTAGTGACAGCTAGTATCTACTTGGGAGAGTTCATGCATAGCACATCTCGAGATTCGACTGTAGAGACTTGGGTCACATCGTTGCAGATTATCGGTATCTCAGCATTCTCGTGGCGAGGAGCACATCTCCACTATAGTCACAATTTCCATCGCTCATACAGAGACCCGCATTCTTTATCCCCGCGTCAAACTCCATCGCTCTACCACTTCTGTTGCGTATCAAACGCCCATGCCGAGTTATAATAATCCGCGCGCAAAACGGACGGGAAAAAGAACAAAAGAAAACCACAATGGTGATAAAAATGGGGTTATGTAAAAAAAAAAAAAAAAAGAACGGGCCACGCCCTCTCTTGTAGCCGACCGCTATGTTTTGATAGTGCCAGAGAGGTAAGCAGGTCCTTTGGCGAGCCAAACCCAGGAACAGCAGGCACAATCGGGCCAGCTGTCTCTAAGCGACTGCGCCGTCATCATGAGAAGCGAAAATATTCAAGTCTGCCTATTATATGAAATCGAGATTTGCCCTCTCTATTTGTTGTTCATAGGCATGCCCTGACCGGGAAGCGAGGTGAGCCCTAACCTTGTTGTTAGTATCGAAACATAGAAGTGGGAGGTTCGGCAATGGGGGACCCAAAAGAAAGAGGGAATAGATAATGAATAGAAACTAAGACTTACATCCGTCAGTCTCCTCGCCAACCATGTTCTCGACGCCGCACTGGTTAGCGACCGACATGGCCTGCTTCTCGATGGATCCGCAGCCATCGTAGAAGCACTCGGACTTGTCCATGGCGCGCTGGAGCGAGTCGCCCTTCCAGCCGAACATGTAATCGGCGTGGGTGCCGTAGCCGTTGCCCTCGAAGCTCCACACGAAGGGGCTGGGGGTGCCCGAAGGCCACATGCTGTTGAACTTGCTCGTGTCCCAGACGGTCTCGAAGGCAACCTGGGGCACGCGCACGGGTGGGAGTCGGGGCACTTGGGGGCGTTGGTGAAACCCTCCGAGGTCACCGTGTTGAACATGTGCGATCGGTGGTCGGGGCTGTCGAGGTTCTTGCCGTCCCAGCAGCTGCGCGGAAGGGTTAGTATCCCACGCTCGCTTGCTCACTCGCGCACTTGGGGGAGGAGGATGGAGGATGGGGGATCTAAAATGGTACTTACGGAGGGAAGTGGTGGGTGGTGAAGATGCCGCTGGGGCATGGCTGCTGAGGCATAGCAGCGGTGATGGCACCTCGGCTGGCGCCGTTCATGCACTGGTAGCTGAGACCGGCGTGGACCTGTCCGTCAGTCGCACCGGGGTCGCCGACAACCATGCGGAAGCCCTATAAAAAAGCGCAATGACCACGTTAGAGCACGAAATTCAGACTAAGCCGCGAAAAGCAAACACAGGTGTGTTAACGAGAAGGAGCCTTACCGGAGGGAAAGCCTTGACGGGCTGCTGGGCCAAGTTGTCCCTGCTGAGGTCAAACTGCGTGTAGTACACGGTAAGACCACCCTGCGCGCCCTGAGATCCTCCGAGGAGGGGCTGGACAGCCAGAGGAGGGACGCGGTGGTAGCTACCGTTCTCGGGGTGCTTGAAGTACAGGGTAGCGGTCCAGTAGTTGGAGAAGTCCTCGGCCATCTGGCAGGTGGTGCAGGTAGCGCGTTCACCGACGTCGCCGTCCATGGAGGCGTTGAAGGCATTGCCGCCGACGATGTGGTGGACGTGGGAGGACGGGAGCGAGCCGGGCTCGCCGGCCGGGTCGAGGCGCTGGAAGGTCAGCGTCGAGCAGGGGAAGCGGAGGCCGGCGTTGACGAGCGCGGCGAGCGCGAGAGTCGCGGCGAGGGACTTCATTGCGTTCGGGTACAGAGAAGGATCCTTATGCGGTGGGGTTTGGATGGCAATGAGGATGGGACGGATCAAGGCGAGGCTGGAGAGGAAAAAAGGGGAGAAAGGGAAAGGGCGGAACGAGGCAGGGCGACGGACGGATGTTTGGATCGGGGCCTTTTATATCAAGAGTTCAGGCAAGGTCTTTTCTATCTTCTGCTCTCCCCTCCTCCTTTCTTCCTAAGCGTGGGTTCGTCCGGATATCCCAACGGCGGGCCAAGACCTAGGTCATCCGCATGCCAACCCTTGTCATCGTTACGATGCCCTCCCACCCCCGGATCCGTGGCCGTGCTGGCGCCGGCATTTCTTGCCTTTTCGTCTAGGCTAAAACAACCAAAGTTTATTTTCCATCCTACTCCAATAGCCAACGAGTTAATAGCGCTTCTTGCAATGTGTAATCGTATGTGAGTCGGCCTATACCTAATCATTACCCGGCGAGATGGCGATTTAGATTGAAGCCAGCTGCGCTCGACGTCGTTGCCCCTTCGGGCACCTACGCGCCCCCTCGTCCTCTCCGAAGTTGATGGCAAAAAAAAAAAACACAAGTCGACCAGCATACATGAATAATCTATGAGCACATCGCCCGATTCGTCCGTACCCTAACTGGGATGACGAGGCCTTGGAGGAGGGTTGCCAAGATCGATTGGCTCGGAAGGCTAGCGCTATATCAAGCTGAAAGGGAGGGGGCAAGGGGAAATGCGAGAGACAGATGGCGGAGCACTATACAAGAAATATACGATATCCGGGCATTTTGATAATGTTGGTCGCTAAAAGCAGTAGGCATCGGCAGTTGCGGGTTAATTAACGTCAACTGTGGAGAACAAGGGCGGTTGATACGACGCGGATGTGGAGGCAGGCGGGGCAATCGCAAGCTGTCAACGTGACAGCTTAATCTATCTCCCGGAGCTGGCATGCCGTGGGGCCTGCATCGTCCACTATCTCGTCTCCCCTTTAATCAACCCCAAGCCAGTCGTCTCTCGCGGCCCCTCTGCCATCCTGGCTGCTCCTTGAGGGCCCCTCTCCTCCCCCTTCGCATCCTTTTTCTTTGTCTTTGAGGTTTTGTCAGGATTGAAAAAACCCCAAAGGTCCACACTTTCTCTCAAACACCCCTGTCCTGCCCTGTCCTGTCCCGTTGCATATGGACCCATGCGCTATAGTCCCGACCCGAGGCCGACTATCGCTGGGGCCTTGGCTTTGACGAACCCGACCGACCCTGCTGCTTCCGCTTTGGCGGGACATTCTGAATAAAGACAAGAACAAGAAAAAAAAGCTTGATTTTTCTTGGGCTCCCCTTCCGACGGAAATCCCTCTTGTGCACTCTCTCGGCTCGGAGCCTAGTCCACGTTAATAATCTAATCGGCTTTCCGCCACCCACTCGCCCCCTTAGCGCTGCCGCTATAACCCACCCTCAACCCCGGATAATATGAGAATTGGCCTGCACCCTGAGGCCTGGAGCTGGCTAAGTAATACATTTTGCGGACAGTGTCTGCAGCCAAAAAGATTGCGACGGCGAATCGATGTGCGTGTGGGCATAGCACCAGGTTTCGCTTGCGATACTTGGACGACGATCGCAGCGTTTTGCGAAGGGATGACATCTCTTGATATGATATGGCCGTCGCGTCAGGCCCCATATCCGGAACCTACCCTCAAAAAGACGCACATATATCGCATTAAGTGGAGTCCTGCACGCACATCTACGATATAAGCATGTCGCACGTGGCTATGACTCTTTGTCTCGATGCATCAAGAGCCCACATGGCCTCGTGCTCTCGCTCCAGAGGCCCGCTTTTGACGTCCTACCCCGCAGGCTTCGACAAGTCTGCGCGCCGTCGGTGGGTAGCCACAGCCTCGCTCTTACGCCCTCATTAAGAGCTAGGAACGGCGGAGGGAAAAAGTATCAAGATGGGCGGCGAGGCGGGCAACGCGGCTTCGGCTCGAAAATTCGGCCCATCATGTAGCGAGACAACCATGTTGTTTATTCTCGGGTTGGCCTACCCGTCCGACCCGGACCTAGATACGGAGGGGTGCTTTGAAAGACAAAAGTTGTGTTGCTTAAGACGCTAGAGGGTACTCTCATCGTATAGTAACCTGTAACACTGAATGTACTCCGATGCTTAGGCTCCCTTCCTCACATACATACGCCACTTCTTTCCCTCTCGGAGAACAGAGGTTCCATGAAGAGGCCATATAACGGGGAGCTAAGAAAGATCAGACTGGTCAAGATGAAATACGCTCATGTCCAATTTGTCAAGATCATGAAAGATGAGTAGAAACTTTTAAAGATGAATTAAATTATGATGTAGGCGAGCGGAATGATTAGAACAGATAGCCCCCTTAGTCTATGACCCCTGACGCCGATATGCGCAGACTGATCCTGTCTGTGAGAAGTGGTAATCTATATACAATGCTCCAGTACCCTAGATACAAGGAAAGAAAACAAAAGAAAGAAGCCCCGCTCGACCAAGCGATATATATGCATTCTGATATAGAACGAATCTCGACCGGGGATGAGACAGCCAGGAGAGTGATAAAACAGTGAATGAAAAAGGGAAGAAAGAAGGGCCGGGTGTGGGTTCGAATGACCTCCAATATGTTAATGAAGAGGGTATATAGTTTGAGTAGGTAAAAGGTGAGTTGGCCGTTTTGGATTTGGTTGTGTTGATTTCAGTCCCGTTCTGGGGAAAATAGCGATTCGCTTATTTTTCAGTCACCGACTTTGCGCGGCTGTGCGCGTGGTGAAGGCTAAACATCTCGTCGTGGGTGTTCACCCTGTCGATCTGGTACGGGTTTCCATCGTAGGCCAGCGAAGCTCTCCTCCTGCTCGACGCGACCGACGCCCTCCTGTGGGCCGTCATCCTGCTGCTGGGCCGGGACCGGGAGGGCGAGAGGGTCTCCTCGGAGCTGTTGGCGCTGCTCTCCGAGTTGGACGAGTCCTCGCCGCCTTCGCGTACAGAGGCGTCATCACCCTCTTCGACCGGGGCGCGAGGGCCGCACCGGCCTGGAGCCTCTTCATGAACTCGGCGGACTGGGCGGCGAAGACGCACTTGGCGCGGATCTGGGCGCCGTACTTGTAGAAGAGGAAAGGGAAGGGGATGCAGGCGAGGGCGAGGAAGGCGGGGATGCTGGAGGCCCAGTGGATACCGAGGTCCTTGTACATGTACCGGGTGAAGAGGGGAAGGCGGCGCCGAAGAGGGAGCGCAGGACTGAGTTGGCGGCGAGGACAGAGGCGGCAAAGATGGTGTAGGAGTCGATGAGGTAGTTCATGAGACTGAGGAAGACGAGAACCATGCCGAAGCCAAAGGGAACGCCGGCGGCGATGCTGGCCATCCAGTGGATGCTGGGGTCGTTGGTCCAGGCGAACCAGAAGAGGCCGATGGGGATGGCGATGGAACCCACGAGGGTGGGGGTAGGCGGGATTCGGGGGCGCGAAGCCGTTGTTCTCGGTCTCGACTCGGATGTAGCGCTTGTTGTCGATGATGCTGTAGATGATGGCGAACATCATGCCGACCATGATGCCGAGGAAGGCGAGGCCGCCGATGCCCTGGCTCCAGCCGCGGTTTTGTTGGTAGACGATGGGGAAGGCGGCGAAGAGCATGTAGAGGACGCCGTAGACGATGGCCATGTAGAGCGAGAGGAGCAGGACGATGGGTTCCTTGAAGAGGAGGATCCACGGACGGGAGAGGGCGGTGACGAAGGAGCGCTGGATGGACACCTTGCCCTGCTCGGCCTCGGTCTTGCTCACGTACACCTTACCCGTCTTCTTGGACAGGCGGGCGGCGCGCTTACGGAGGAGGAGGGGCGCGTAGGTCTCGGGGACGAGGAACCCGCCAATGATCCAAAAGACGCCCGAGACGGCGGCCAGGTAGCCCATGACCCAGCGCCAGCCGGCGGCGGCGCCAAGAAACCCGCCGGTGATGGGGCCCAGCACGGGGCCGAGGAACGGCGCGGCGGCGAAGAGGCTGGTGGCGAGGCCGCGCTGGGAGGCGGGGAACATGTCGGCGATGACGCCGCCCGAGTTGGTGAGCGGGGAGGAACCGAACGCGCCGGCGAAGAAGCGCAGGATCATGAGGGTGGCAGCGTTTTGGGCGCCGGCGGCGCCGGCGTTGAAGGCGGTCAGGACGGCGTAGGTGCCGAAGAAGAGGGCCTGGCGGCCGAACAGCTCGCTGAGGGGCGCCCAGAGGAGGGGCCCGATGGCGAAGCCGAGGACGAAGAGGAGACGCCGAGGGTGGCGACCTCGGCGCTGATGTGGAACTCCTTCATGATGTCGACGATGCCGCCGGTGTAGGCGGAGGAGAGGAGGGCGACGGCTAGGGTGGTCATGGCGACCGTCATGGTGATGAACCACTTTCGGGTCTGGCTCCAGAGCATGGGGTTCCTGGGGTCGTTGGGGATCCACGTCACGAGGTACGGGTCCTCCTCGGTGCCGGCGCCGGCGTAGGGGAAGTTTTCGACCTCGTATGTTAGGCCGGCATGGTCAAATACCATTCGCCAGTAGGGGATCTTGGTGATCTCGACGGTTTCGCCCCGGGCGACCTTGCTGGTTTCTGTTTCTTGGGCGAGGCCCATTTTTGCGGTGCTTTTTGTTGCCGTGTCTCCTTTATTTTTTAATATTGGTCGTGGGAAAGAGACGGGGAAACCAAAAGCGAGATCGGCGGAGGAGAGGGAATCTGAGGTTGTTTTCTTGGTTGGTATTTGATCTTTGTATTTTATCCCTCTTCGGCTCCAATCTTCCGGGTGGGCATGCGGGTGGCGTCTGAGAGTGTCTTGGCGGGGAAGAAGAAGAAGGCCTCGACGAGGATTCGAGGGAACGGAGAGAAGATTAGATTATCAAAAGCCAAAAACGGCTATATCACGAAAAATAGAATTATGAATAAGAAAAAAAGAAGAGAAAGAATAGCCACCGTCGATCAACAAAGGAGGGAATCAGACGTTTTTGTTCTCCGTGATGCGGACTTAACAAAAGGCCCGGTCGAGGGAGATAAAATGATGTATCCCCACTACCTCATGGCAACGTCCGTCTTGTACAAGTGCGAGCGGGAAAAGGAAACGAAAACCGAGAGGCGATAGCAGAAACCCGTCGGGATTGGACGCCTAGCGCGCCATCGCACCCTAAAAATCTGATTTCCGTGTCTTCTCGGCCGTGTTTCCCGGAGTGGGGGCTGGAGGGCGGGCCAGTGCCAACCATGAGAGTGTTTGACAAGCAGCCATGGCGGCCTGGAAACGGCATGGTACCAACAGGTCGGTGGATTGCATGAGCCGGTAGTGCCGATGCTCCGACGAGACAGGACAGTCAAGACAAAAGCCAGCGCGATCCGACGCAAAGAGGGAGGGCTGCGCGCCAATGGAATGGAACAGTGGCAAGGGAAGCCAAGCGAAGAATAGAACATGGAAGCTTCCCTTCTCTCGGAAGACCAAAAGCTTGGCTCGCCCTAAATTTTCAAAGCTCCATTGAAGCTCCCTTAAAAATGCTGTTCCTGTTTTCTCCCCGGGCTGTCAAGTCTAAATGTGGGCAGTGGGCTGAGAATATTTTTTTCTTTCTTTTTTCCACCGAGTCCACGTCTGGGGAAAAGCTGGACCGAGGTAAATTGACAAGAGTGGATTAAAAATGCATACTTCTTCCACGAGGCTTCCCCCTTTTATCTCCTCTCTCCATTTCTCTCATGTTCCGTCACTTTGAAAGACTGGGTCTCGCCTCGGATATCTACAAGGAGACTCGCCAGTCGCTCCTTCTCGTCTCTTTGATTTTTTTCTTCCCTCATTGCCCCACTAAATGATCCACTCGTCACCGTCGGTCGTTCGCCTGTGCCCGTCCAGGGACGGCAATCCTTTCCGCATTCGGCAGGAACTCGGCACAATCACGTGGATGGCTTTGATCTCAGGCAAATGAGAGTCGGCGTCGTGCGCCTCGTGTGGGAATCCTGACAGTGAAGAAGCGGGGGCCTCCTGCTCCACTGACACAAGCCTGAGCGCATCGATTTTGCTCGCGCCTCTTGTGTCCGTGGCTCCATTGCAATTTGTTACTGTGATTTTTTTAATTCATTTTTCTTCTTAGTCGTGGCAGGGGTAAACATTCCTCCGGACCTCGAAAGTAGGCGTTATGGGCGTGTATGAAATCTATGTAATCTCGTCGGCGGGCTGCTCGCTGCGATAAAGCGATGAGGGTCCTGGTGGACTGTCCCCAACATGGGATGTTCGTGTTGGCGACCATCATGGTACATTTGGTAGCTTACAAATTAGCCATGCTAGATGACGTGTGTGCGATACTTGGAGGTTCGAGAAGAATTGATCCGTGGGAGGAGAAGTGTTTGCACCCATTCAACAACCCAAGCCCTACAGCCTATGACAAGCCTTCAGCCGGAGAGCTAGCCCAACCCGACCGCGACTACACTAGTACCTGGACCCAGTTTCTCAGGCGGGGCCACTGGCTTAAAGTACGGGATTGAGACGCTGTTCAAGCCGATATGTAATCATGATTCCTCGGATTTCGGAACAATGTAGGCTGGAATCCACGCAGCCTAAGCTTTTCCTATCTTGCTGAGCCTAGTGAATTCCATAATATTAATCTCGATATTTGATCTGGGATCAAAGACAGCTCGAAAGCTCCGATCGCACGTGCTAGGAAACGAGCCGATCCTCTCGCCCCACTTGGCCGAGGATCCTTCCGGTCTGATACTACACCACAACAATTGAAAAACAAAAGCTCTATGAGACACCAGGCAACCATTCCGGAGAGAAGCAAGGAAGAAGAATCGGAGAAGCCGAAAAGAAGGGCAAATCTCCCTCAAAGAAAAAAAGGAAAGAGACAAACGAACGCCAAATATCGTAATGGGGACCCGTGTCTACCTTCGCCCTTCGCTCCGACCCTTGCTCTTATCACTACCACTTCGCTTCCCCAACCCTCAATGGTATATGAAGTAGCTGATGCCTCGCGTCCGTCGGCCGGGGTAGTTTTCCCGCCCGGATATTCATCTGTAGCGATTGGTGTAGTAGCCTCGGTTCACCCAGCCCGGCATCACGCTCGCGCCTCATGGTCACGAACTCGTCTTCCGTCGTGCCCGCCTTGATATGGCGGTTGGCTTGCTTGTGGTCCCGGACCGTCTGCCAAGGTACGGGCATCGTGCGATCCCCGAAGGGTAGTCGTGGCCTGTCCAAATCTTGACGTCGTCAGGTAGGTTGAGCAAGCGCTGAGCCGACGCGAAGAGGTGGCTCGCGCTACCGCCAGGGAAGTCGCAACGGGCTGTTCCAATATCTGTGTGGAAGACGCTATCACCGCAGAATACGTTGTCTAGGAGAGGTATACCGGTCAGTATACTTTCAACCAATATATAACACCTCGCAGGAGAGCGATGGGGTTGAAATTTCCTCGGGAGAAGTGGACAGAGTTTGACAGTGAAGACGAAGCCAGGGGCAATCTTCCCGCATCAAAACTTACCACCAATCTTGTAACCCAAGTGATCGGGCGTATGCCCAGGAAGATGCATCACAGTGACTTCTAACTCGCCCAACGCAAAAACATCACCATCCTCAAAAGCACATCAAACACGCCCCGGAACTCGTCATCCGGGACCCCATATCGCCGGCTGAACAGCTCCTGCACACGCACGATGCCCTTGCCGATACCAATCAACGGCCTATGGCCCGTCTCGCGCGCGAGCCGATCCTGGAGGTACGACGCAGCCGTGACGTGGTCCGCGTGGGCGTGCGTCTCGAGGATCCGGTCAATCTTGTATCCACGCTCCCGCGCAAGTGCTAGCAGGGCGTCGGCCATGTGCGTAGCGATGACCTGCGTGGTGGGGTCGTAGTCTAGCACCGGGTCGATGATGACGGCCGTGAGCGTGGCCGGGTCGGCTACAATGTACTGCCACGTGCTAGTTTTGGTCTCGAAGATGTCGTGGATTACTGGCTCGCCTCGCGTGGGTTGAACTACGGCAGGGATTCCACTCTGTACATGTTCACTCGTTGCTCGAGCGTCTCCGTAGAGCTTGACGCTACCAAGGCTCGACATGGTGGGGGTTGCGGTGTGGTTAGTGTTGCTAGTCTTCTGTTCTGGCTGATGAAACGGGCGCTCTGTCGACAAACTGGGCAGCGCGAAGATGAAAGTATGTTTGGTAATTTGGGTGCTAAGCCTATCCGTGCTTGTCGTCGGAGGGGCTGCATCTTCTTCGCGAGACGTGGAGTCTGGGTCTCTTTTATACAAGCGAGGGCGATATAATTCAGCGATCTCTGTCGGCGAACGTGATCCACCTTGTCGAGATGGAGAGGTTAGGGGCAAAAATGACGAGGTTGAAAAGCCGCACGAACCATGATATCGGCGACTTTAAGAATGGATCTCGGGGATGATGCATTTGAATCGCGAAAGCCATTTGGGCTGACTGGCCTTGGCGGCGCTCCGTGTCCTCGTTAGCGCCGAGCGCATGGTGCACCCGTTCCGTTTGACCGCTCGGAGACTTTCCGCCAATAGTGGCCGAGGCCCCCGAACTAGTCGCCGACCAGAGCGCCCCACGTCCCTTGGTAGCTCCCCGTCGTGGTTCCCGCGCCTCCGACGTTAACCGTGACGAAAAGACCCCGAGCAGTTAAATTCAAGGTAACTGCACTATGAACGCGGACATTTTCCGGTGACGTGAGTGGACTGCTGATAGCTACGAGCTTGAGATGCCCGGAAGCAGCGCAGGGCGGTCGGATGTGTAGTCGGGAGAACCCGCTGCGCTGAGCATGAATCATACGATGAGCAAGTTTCGGGGTTCGAGCGGGAGGCCACAACAAGTGTGAACAAAAGTAAGAGGCAATGGGCAGTTACTTTGTTTCTTCTGTCCGCTAAAGATACGGGGCCAAGGGATAAATTCTCAGCAATATACAACGCGATGCCACAGTCCGGTGGATGACATCTGCATCTCGCAGTCAAATTTAAAACACTTCTGTGGGCTTGTCCTGGCCCCATAGTAACCCGATGCATTTTAGTTATTTTCATCTCTCATGAGATTGAAACTTGTGGAATTAATAAGGGTATCAAAGTCGTATTTTTAATAAAAAAAAAAACGAACGACATTCCATGCTGGGCTGCTTCATCTACTCAGCTTCACTATATGGGAAGGCCTCCCAGCCTTACAGGACCACGGCCAACCCTCCCACCACGGCAGCAATCGCCATCATGGACACGAGTGCCAAATTAGCCATCCGATCCGTCGCGCCCTCCGACTTCACCTTGGACTTCACCTTGGACTTTGCACTATCTGCCACCTTTTTCTTTTTATCCGTGCACTTGGACTGGGTGGGAGACGGCACTTGGTGGTTCAGCGTGAGGGTCATGAGGTTGGTGCTCTCGGTCTTGGTCGTGGTGCTCTTCGTGGAGCCGGAGGAGACGTCGGTACGGGTGCATTCGATGTCGGGCTTCGTGAGGCAGTCCTTGAACGTGCATCTGATGTCCACGGTACTGCAACAAGTATCGTCAGCACTAGAACCCATCGTCCGTAACCGGTGGGTCTTTTTCGGGTGTTTGCTTACCTTTGGGGGTTCGGCGCCGTCGTGTAGATGAATGCTACAAAGTAGTTGCGCGGTTAGTCTTGTCGCGCGCGAAAGCTATGAAAGCACCCCAAGGTAACGTACTCTCAGGGCCAGCCGTAAATGTCAAGGTGCCCGATCCGCCGGGGAGCGCGGTGCATGGGCCCGAAGTGCAGGTCGCAACAAAGACGGTGCTCTTGTCTTTCTATCCGTGGCAATCAAACAACGCGTCAGAAGCCTCGTTCCGTAGCGCGCCGCGGGAGAGGACAGGCCAGCTATTGAATCACTTACCGTCGAGATGACGCTGGCGCGTAGGGCGGACTGAAGCGCGCCGTTATCAGCAGCGAAGGGTATGAATATATTCTAAGATTATCGTGTCAATTGTAGCCTTCGTTGATGGCCTCGGTCCTTGCCAGACACCCCACCTGGTGCATCAATGCCTGCGCGATATCGGCCTGGCTTCAATGATTTCAATCACTTACTGCAGTGGTCACAGAGGCCTGCGCCAAGACGCCGCTGAACCACAGCGCGACGCAGAGGAGGAGATAATCAATGCCGCGCGACATGTTTGTGTAATGCGACTGACGCAAGATGCGAGGATGCGGACAGATGCCAAGGAGGATTGTAGTCTTAAGTTTTTTTCTTCCAGCCCCCTTCTGGAAGGAGATCATCAGCCATATTATATTTTCTTTGGGACGACCCCGGAATTTCGCTGCTGTCTAAAAGGGGGCGCAGTCGACCAGGGCTGATGCATGCTGCAGGTTCAGCCCTCCAGCCCCTGTTGCCAAAATGAGAAAATAGATAAGCTGGCTTGCTTGATACGTCGAGAGGTGCGCTGTGCTTACATGTATTACCCCTTTGTCTTCTTTCGGGGATGGTTAAATCTGGGATGATGTCGCTGATTTTCGGAGAACCAGTGCCATTGAGGCCGCCAACGTTTCTCCAGGCTCATCATACCTTTTGGGGACACGGCCTGCTGAGCGAATTTAAAGCCCAGGCTGATTGTTTCATGAATTTGATAGATTAGCGAAGTCGTTGGCTTAGTTCATTCAAGGGGTTGTTCGTTGCAGACAAATGAGTTATCAAGTAAGAGGATGCGGAACTCCTCCCGTACTCTCCACGAACCTCACGAAGAAAGAGATCCATTGATTACAGTTGTGGATCGATGAATCCACGGATGTGTCCACCTCGTAATCATAGTGGTTTTCGTTTTAAGGCGCGCTGACATCAGTCGCTACATGTAGGCTGCCGTCTATAAACCATCCTTCATCGACCCAGATTACCCTATGATTGAGCCGGGGGACTACATGTAACTCGACTCTCATCAACGCAACGCAAATGGCGTTCCGCTCCGACCAAGGGTAAGTAAAATCTAGCCCTTTCATCAAGGGGCCCCAATATAGCGGCAAACATGTAATCTGCATTACCTGAGGATCTTTTGCGATTTTAAGGGTCTATGTGTTGTAAGAACCTGGTCTTAGTTAGCTTCGCCATCTGATTTTCTTCCATGTATCCACATCGTAAGTTACGTTTCCCCACTTCGTAGTCCACCCCACGCGCGAAGGCCAGGTTTCATCCTGGACTACGTGCATTGAATGTCTTTGCCAGTTGAGCAAGGCGTCTTTCAGCAACTCGGGTCGTTTCTGGGGGACAAACACGCCCTTGGACTCGGAAAGAGAGTTTCTTGGCCTCTCTGTTCCTGGCCCTGTCCCACCATCGGCGAGTGTGTTCGCCTCGTTGTGGAGGGATGAATCAACTACAGTGTCCCCACTGTTAAACTGCTCAGGCAGATCGACAATCTTCACCTGAAAATGGTGCTGTATAACATCCAAGAAGGCCATCCCATCATCGCATACTTTGGACGAATCATCTGGTAGGATTTGTCCGACCTTGGACCACCACCACTGTTGATGAGCCATCAGCGCTCCTTCAACCGGAATCGTCCATCGATTACCCTCGATATTACGGCAGCTGCACACTATAAAAGCTCGTCCGCAACCTCTCTCTCTTCATGAACCCACTGTGCGAGGGTGTGTCGATAGACGTCCATGAGTACCTCTAACTGCTCGGCGAGCTCCTCGTCTTCATCGCGCAGCCGCACGTTTTCTTCTTCGTCTACCCATAGCCTCCCCGACGAGCAGCACGTATGTGCCATGCCAAGTCGATTAAATAGCTCTAGTCTCACAGATGTTTCGAGATTCGCAACGGCCAGCTCATCATCTGGCACATCTTGGCACTGAAATGCCCAAAAGTAAGTTCGGTGTTGAGTATGGCCGTGGCACCCCGGCAGAATTTAAGGGACGGTTGGCGTAGGAGGTGATGGAGGGGAGGCACCCGTTGGCGGAGCAGAAACACACGCATTTGTCTTCCTGTGTTGATGAGTATAGTCCAGACGCGTACTGCAACAAGGCCCTAATACTTGGCATGCCAACTTGAGCCGCGAATATGTCCTCACTAAGGTTTGCAAGGGATTGCGCTACCCTCACTAATAGGTTGTGCTTCGGTTCGTCTTGCCCCATCGTTGGTAAGGCGCCTTTATCGAGAAGCCAAATGCAGGGAATTACCCACGTTTCATATCTCTCCTGTGCATACTGAAGAAAAGCATGGAGGGGCGTATTTGGCGACCAGTATGGCGACGATGAATCGTTAGGGTAGTCAAAATCACGGAAGTTGGAGGTAAAGAGTTCATCGAGGGCAAACGTCATGCCGAAACACCCACTCATGTTGCCAAGAGTCCAGACAGCTGAAAGAGTGTAATAAATAGAAGATTTTGGGCCTGGAAACAGCCAAGGATCTAGAGGAATAGCCCTCTTGCTGAGAAGATCGAAAACGGGTCTGGCCGTGACATCTAGGGTCCGTCCGTCCTTGATACCAAGTTGAGATAAGTCATAACTGGAGAGATAGCGGCGAGCAAGTCCTGCCAAAGCATCTCGTCTCCGTTTCAGGGCCTTGACCAAGAGGATGCAGGCTTCCTCGTAAGACAGAAGCGATAAGATGTAGCTCCTAAATTCATCGTCATCGGAAAACAATGGCGCGTTGAACTTATTACATAGAATGTCAAGAGATTCAACGTCTTTCTTCTTTACCGCCAGTTCGATTGCTGGCGTCAGGGTATACGTCCATCGCGTGGCTAAGATTAGGAGGCCTTCTTTCCACCCAATGGCTAGTTCGAGCACGTTGACGAAAAGCGAGCTGAACGCCCCGGTGGACCAGTTGGGCGAGTCAAGTGCTCGTTGGAGATGTTCTGAGTTCCTGTTTAGGATTATAATGGACAGATTTCCCTCGAAAAGTCTGTGTATCGTCCCCGTAGCTGCGCTATCAGCGCAAGACATCAATTCGGATATAGAGAGGGGACAACGCACGCTTTGAGAGCCAGGTGTCATGGAGTAACATTGTGGCTATGGACAACCTGGTGGGCGGGGTTGCGGTTATCTTAAGGCTCGAGAAGGGTGTCGCCTCTGGTTGTCCTTCTGGTGGACAGAAAGTTAAAACCCGAGCGAAAAAGGAGTAATTCTGGAGCTGGCGGCTGAAGAATCGCACATAATCGTGTGCCATATTGGTTACAGTCCACCTAGATAGATTCTGTTAATCAGAAATTCTGGTTTTTCGTCACCTCACGTATGAACGACGGCCAGGACGTACCCGATGATGTTCCCTATCGGCGAATACCCAACTAGCGTTTCCCGGATTGAATTGCAAATATACCGCCGGTTTCCGGCGTGCGAGGGTGAATCGGTTTCAAGCCCGGATTCCTGGGCGATTAATAGGAGGGCGTCAAACTCCTCCACCAAGTGACCGTAAATCGGAGCAAACAGGCCAATAAGGACAAGAATTTCCTAGATTGAAGAATTCTACACCTTAGCAACCATAGTATTGAGCTAGATTATTAGTAGATGCCCTTACGACAAGTAATGTTTGGCCGCTTTCATCTCTGTCGCGAATAGACCCACGTCCGCTGGCTTGTATCATGGCCAGTTTTTCGGGTAAGTTGGCCAACTCAAGCGAACTCGGCCGAGGTCCCACTTAAAACCGGTGCACCGAACGTGGTCCCACTGGTCAACCCATGAACATCCGGTAGTATAATCCCACTCTTTGGTTCCCAAGGTGCAGCGCTCGGGGAGGTTATCAAAGAGCGAAAAAATGGGAGACTGGAGTCTTCGGACGGTCGGGTAGACCCTGAAAGGAGGCTCTATGTGGAAGCCGCCGCCCTGAAATGTTGCACCAAAGACAAATTCTACCGTTTTATTAAGGAACGGGAGTAGCTGGAACGAGAACTGATACCTCCGCGACCATGGTGGGGACCGAAACCAGGGGCAGCTTTCATCATGATATCCGTTTTGGTGGCGCCCAAAAGGCGGCAGATTGTCTTTTGCTCCTCGACTCCTGCCTTGGCACCGGCGAGTGCAACCAGCCAATCGAGACGCGGCGACGAGTGACTCATGTCGCGGAATAATCTCGTCACATATTTCGTGTAGGGTTCTCGGAGTTCGTATGAGCTCATCTATCAGAAAGACGACCATGTCTCTTTTGTCGGTATCTGAAAGACGCTCCGCTATATTTTGGGCCGCGCCAGACATGCTGGGCTCTCTACCTGTTATGACCGGTAGCACGCCGTCCCGTAATGTTACCATCTCTCTGAATGTCAATTGGGACTGGACCTGCGAGCTCGTACGGCTGTTAGTTCGAGATTTAGCGTGTGCCATGGACTTGTGGCGAACTGGACCGAGATCGGTCGGCGCGTTGGGAGGTGTGTCGGGTGTACCATCAAGGCCGGAGCTCAGACTGCCTAGCTCGTCGATGGTCGAAGGAGACTCATCAACCTTGTTAACACTGTCGTTGGAAGCGCTGGGGTTAGCTGTTCGGAGGGCCAGCTCAGACTGGAGGCTAAGAAAGGCTTGCGACGTGGTTTGCGAGAGGCCGCTGCATACATACGACATGGGTTAGCCTGACATATGGATTCATACGAACCAAGAAAGATGAAACAAAAAAGAAAAACAAGAGATATGGTAGGCCTACACAAGGTCGGCTTGCAGATGAAGACTGGTAATCTGTAGTTCTTTCATTACTTGGCTGTTCAGCCACTGCACCCTTTCCAACCTTTTCTTGATTTCCTTTTCTTTTTATTGACACCATAGTTTTCCAAACCCTCTTCCCCGGCTAGCTGCCACCGACGAGTCGGCTAGCAAAGGCTCTATTATCTCTTGCAATCCGAGGGTCGCTTCGTAAGTCTCGTCAAGTGCATCGTGCAGGGCTTGGTGCTGGCCCGACGGGAGGCGCTGACGGAGGTTAGATGCGGGGTTCATCAACTGATTGCGGAGGTTCAAGGTAGAGAGGATGGATCTTTCAACGTCGATTAGCAGTTCCGCGAGGTTGGCCGGCGTCTCCTTGAAAGTTTTCAAGATGCCTATACCGCGGAGGACTGCGATGGCCGCGACGCCGCTAAGCTGGACGGAAGCGGCCGCGACGCCGAGAGCGCTGGCCGGGTCCATCGTGCCGCGATTCTGAGAGATGGAGCTGTCGCAATTAGCAGATTTGGGAGCGGGCGAGCATGCGGCAAGCGCCCTCTTGAAGAAGTCCTGATGCACTTATTTGTACCGCCGTAAATTGTAAAAGAAATAAGGCTTCAATGTAATCTTGTGTTACCATTACCTTAAGCTACTAGATCCTGGGGTGTATCGAGGTATATACGCATCAATTCTTCCACGCTATCTCTTGGGCGAAACTACATGCAGTGAATTAACTGATGCCTAACTTTCCGTCGCTCACACTACGAGGGACTGCGCCTACCAGCCAGGAAGTGCATTTATGTACATAGTGTGCCGTCTGCTACGGGTCCAGCCAATCGACTCATCGACCCTCCAGAAATTGAAGCAGGCTGAGCTGCACCAACTTCGGGTTCGGCGAATGAGGGCTGAAGCTCTCCATGCAGCCATCATCCCGGATGCAGCTTTGACTGAGAATGCGCCAGGCGCTGTGGGGTCCATGCACATAAAGAACCAACCACGGCCGACGTTTGTCCGCTCCCACACATTTCCTTTGTAGTTTTCGGTCACTCGATCCTTGGGGCTTGGATGCGTTGTCGACTGGAGCATACTTTTTTCCACTTTTTTCGCCCTTGCAGAATATCTTCGGTTCGCCCGCCCTCGTTGTTTCGACGTTAGTACGTGTACTGGAGCCCGGACCGCGCAAACTTGCGTCCGTTGAGGAGAAAGTATTGAAGGTTGGCGAGTCCCGAAAGCACGACGGCGGCCGAGGTCAGCCCCACGATGATTGTGAAGCCGTTTACGTAGAGCGGCGAGTCCTCGGAGCGGAAAAGCTGCTTGCCCACGATGCCGGCGCAGTTGGCGGACATGATGTGGATGGCTAGGGTGACGGAGCGTTCGCCTGCGGACTTGGCGTTCAGCGCGAGCCAGGAACCGTTCACAGCATCTGTAGAAAAGGAAATTAGAATTCAAGTCAATCGGCGCGGGCCTCGAGAAGTCTAGGTCGGAGGAAGGGGCTCAACCCGTGAGACTACGGGTGTATACGTACGCCATGGCCAGGATACAGCAATCGAGATTGTGAGGATGGCATATCGCAGGTTTGCATCCGTGGAATGTACAAGGGCTCGATTCGCAATCTGTTGTTGTTTGTTAGAGCCGTATCGAAAGATATCATCATAGGGCGAAATTAGCTAGCGACACCTACATTGAAGATTAAACCTAGAACAAAGCCGAAAAACACCATGGGGCCACGCAGGCTCATTTTGTCGCTAATTTCAAAGTCAGTACGTGATTCTCCTGCGACATGCAACCAGAGGAGGGTACTTCTTACGCAGCCCAGCCCCAGAAAAGATTGAGAAACATGAGAATCCAGAACCCGACCGACGACAGCGCGTTGGATCGGAGTTTTTCAAATCCGAACCCGGCCACCAGAGTCGGGGCGTAGGATCCAAAGGCGGATGCCGGCGCGAGGCCGACGATAGTGAAGCCGATGTGGGGGATGAGGCGCCAGTTGGTGAGCTTCGTAGGAATACCCTTCGTATTAGTGAAGCCGCAACGTGCGAACGAGCGGTGGAAATTAACCAGGTTAGTCAGGACTCACCGCGCCTTTGATCTCAGCCCACTTGACGTTCCTCGAGGCCTGCGCCTTTGTCGGATCGTCCTTGAGGACTCGCTGGTGGAGGATACGTGACTCCCGCTCGGAGAAGTATCGAAGCTTGAGGAGGGACACGGGGTGGGACGCGCTCTCTGGGAACACGGCTAGAAATGCGAAACCCACGAGGATGGTGAAGATTCCTTCGAGCTAAAGGATGATGGGGAAAGTTAGACGTCGCGGGCCACTCGCTGGTGAGAACGGTGGGAGACTTACGATGAATAGCCACTGCCAGCCTGCGAGTCCAGCAACACCCCTCATGTGTAATCTAGTACACATCAGCATGTGCCCGGGTTATCGCATAGTGACGGGGGTTTTATTTCTTTTTCTTTTCGGGCTGTCCGGAGGAAGAAGCGGAGAGTACTCACATGCCGTACGCAATGATACCAGTCATCGCAGAGGCGACGGTGTTGCCGATGAAGAACCACGAAAATCTCTTGCTCGTTTCATTACTCTTATACCACCTCGTCATAGTAAAGAGACACGCCGGAATAAATCCTGCTTCGCATAGACTATTGTCGGCTCAGTGGTTAGTAAGTCTTGGCTTGCAGCTCCCAAGGCGGTAGAGGAAGCGCCACCAGACAAAGCCATTCCACCCGAACGTACCCTAGGAGTAGCCTGGTCACCATGTACGCAGGGAGGCCCTTTTGAAAAGCTTGGCAAGTTGCAACAAGTCCCCTGATTGTGAGTTAAAAACCAATCTGTGCTGTAGAGAGGAGCGGGTCCCGAAGTCTTGGATGGTGGCTTACCATGCGATGATTTGTCCACCAATCCAGATCGTGGGCCCAATGCGGTAAAGTATCAAATTGCTCGGGATCTAACGGCGTTGCATGAGCTTCTAGAAGGCGTAGAATTCAACGTCACTTGGCAAACTTACTTCGAGAAGAATGATACCAAGTGATAGAAGCTGCTGGCCAACGTTGAACTGATTCTGCGTGATCCCCACATCCTTGAAAAAGTTGTCCGTCAGGGCGTTGCCACTCCAGGGACCCCAAAATTAGTATAAATCCAATGCTTCCCTCTTCGAATTCGTATAGAGGGGCTAAAGAGGGGATACACACATATTTCCTCTATCAAGCTGCAGGGCGAAGAACCCGAGAACGAGAAGCGGCATCAGGAGAAAATCCAGCCTAGCAAGCGTATCGTCAGTGTCTCTCGGAACGGCCCGAGGGGAAACGAATTGGAGGTTAGACTGGTAACCGCAACTTACTTTCGGACCAACCTGTTTTCCTCATCCTCAGTCCATTCGACGAAGTCAATCTCGGCACCATCACTGCCGCTGAGCTCGCCATCAGCCGACCTTTCGAGCGTCTTTTCGTTCTTTTCGGATTGGTCCGCCATATTGGTGTACGATCGAGAGCTCACGCGTCCAACGAAACCGGAAGAAGTAGGGCGATCCTCGAGGATCTATGAATGCTAGAAGAGATGGCTACACGAAGATACTAGAGCCGATGAAACAAACGAGTGGGATGGACGCCGGCCTTTTATTCATCCAAAGCACGGCGAAGAGATCCTTCCTACAAGAGCCTGACTTATCGTGAAAACTCGGACGACGAGCACCCCTGCGTGCCGGTGGAGACGAGACGTGATGTCGATTTGTGTATCTCCGCGCAAAAATGTGGGTTGCATTACGCAGAAACCGACAACGACATGGCAGTCTGTTCGGCGCTTGTTTACGGTGTTCGAGCAAAGACCCGCAAGTCTTAGCTTTAACTGGAAGAGACTCACGGAAGCAGCCCTCTGGGATCGAGCTCGCGACTAATCAGGAAAGAAGAAATGGTCCCATCCAACAACAACATGCGGAGGGGCGGGGAGCTTCCCTTTGGAAGCTCCGCATCTTTGTTCGTGGATCGAATGCTACATGTATCCTGGGATCACATGGACGTCCCTTGGATACGGCCGTTGGATATCCTGTAAACTCCGGCAGTGGTGGCCCCAACCCGCAGGGTAAATTTCTACGCTGATTACTTATTCCCGAAAAATGTCACACAAGGCAGATGGATGCGGGTGATCCCCACGCCTCAACCCTACGACTTTTCGATTAATGAACCCGCCCTCGCTTGCCCTTCTTGTTATTAATCCAACACCTGCGCGACCCCACAGCCGGCATGCTACTGATTCGCTCGCACGCTGGTGATGCCATAGGCACCTAGATCGCGAATCATTCCTTGGTCCCCCTGGGCCCCCGCGCTAGTGGGGATTTGGTATCATGGTCTAGCTCGATTTCCTCACTGACAAGGGAGAAGAGACGGTTAGGACGGCCAGGTGCGTGGGGTATTTTTCTCGGCAGGGTCAGTTCGGAGGGTGGGGGATTAGACTGCTTTTCAGATCTGCCCTGGGTGCCTCTTGTTTGGCAAGCTTGACCTCCTCGTTACTCCCGTCTCGATACGTCGTGTTCTGTGCCAGCAAGTCTGCGATAGAAAAGCCTAGTTAGGCAGGCGATTGTCCGAGATCTTTGACAAAACAACCAAATGTGATAGAACTCGACTGATATAGCTTACCCCGCTACTTTGATTGTCGAGGCGTGGCGAGGACTCATCCTGGACTGGATGCTTCGAGGAGCTTTTTGTCTACATCTAGTATATAGCTTGATTGCGCCATTACGCTATGCCGGGGCCGAAGCACGTCATCCGAATCGGGCGAGTCGGGACCCACATGCCCCACTCTCGCTCCGATACGCTTCCGGCGGGATGCTCCAGCGTATGTTTGCGAGAGCAGCATACAATGGATCCGATGGATGTATGCGCTCAGTCGATGCCTGTATTTCAAAGTAGATGATAAAAGTCAAGCGCTATCCTCTCCATCTGGGGAGGGTTACGCAGGTGTGCTGCACATAGCCTAAAATCCCGTGCATCTCACGTGGAGTTTGCCAGTTTGTCTTTGGCTTGTTTGATTTTCTAATCAAAAAGGAAGGTCACAACTTTATTATTATTCTTATTATATCGTTCCTATTGCTTTGTTTTCTTGTTTCGATATGCAAATGAAGCTTTCCGCGCTACTCTCGGCAGCGGCCGTCCTGACAGCCACGGCCGCCAATCCGGATGATCAGACAAGACTGTTCAACGTGGAGGAGCCGAGGCCCACCCGGCCCAACATCATTTTGATCCTCACCGATGACCAGGATGTGCACATGGACTCGCTGAGATTCACGCCTCTCACGCATAAGCATCTCATCTCCCAGGGCACGCTGTACAAGAAGCACTTTTGCACCACCGCCGTGTGTTGCCCGAGCCGTGCATCTCTCTGGACGGGAAAGCTGTCTCACAACACCAATGTCACTGATCTCACGCCTCCGTATGGTACGTCAAATTGCCAATCCTAATTAGCGATGCACATGGATTGTATACTGCCATGGAGACCGTATGCTAACCATTGGATGATTAGGCGGGTACCCCATCTTTGTCAAGAACGGCCACAACGAAAACTACCTTCCGATATGGCTGCAGTCTGCAGGGTACAGCACCTATGTAGTAGGCAAGATGTTCAACGCACATACCCTATGGAACTACGATAGCCCCCATCTTAAGGGTTGGGATGGTTCCGTAAGTAAAATAGCCTCCCCTCCCCCACATATCTTGAAACCCAGCCCCAGCCCCATCATGTCTTGACGTGAGTCACTAACTCAGTCACCTCACTCTGGACAGGATTTCCTCTTGGACCCCAATACCTACGATTACTGGAACGCGACTTTCCAGCGCAACCACGACGCGCCCGTGAACCATCTCGGAGAGTACTCCACCGACCTCGTGGCCGAAAGGCCTTTGGGTTCCTCGAAGACGCCGTCAGCGCCGAGAAACCCTTCTTCCTCGCCATCGCCCCCATCGCCCCGCACAGCAACGTCAACAGCTCCTTCATCACCCCCGTCCACGGACCGGACGACAACGTCCCCATCACCGACGACGGCCTGCGCGTCAACTACCCTCCCCGCCAAGCGCCACGCGGACCTGTTCCCGGGTGCCAAGGTGCCCCGAAACGCCAACTTCAACCCGGACAAGCCCTCGGGCGCGGACTGGATCCGCCGGCAGCCCAAGCTCACGGACGAGCAGGTCGAGTACAACGACGGCCACTACCGGGGTCGTCTCCAGTCTCTGCAGGCCGTGGATGAGCTCGTGGACGGGCTGTTCGAGAGGCTCGAGACCAAGGGCCTCCTGGATAACACGTACGTCATCTACACCACCGACAACGGATACCACATCAGCCATCACAGGCTGCCCCCGGCAAGGAGTGCGGTTATGAGGAAGACATCAACATTCCCCTCATCATCCGCGGGCCCGGCATACCCAAGGGTCAGGTGTCCGAGGCCGTCACCGCCCACGTAGATCTCGCTCCCACGGTCCTGCACCTCGCCGGCGCGCCGCTCCGCGCCGACTTTGACGGACGGCCGGTGCCCCTCTCCGCCAAGGAGATCGAGGAGGCGCCCGCCACCCGGGAGCACGTCGGCATCGAATACTGGGGCTGGGCGGTCAGCGAAGGGAAATGGGGTTCAACGGCGGCGAGGACGGCAAGCTCGTCTTCAACAACACGTACAAGGCCATCCGCGTCATCGGCGAGGGCTACAGCCTGTACTACTCCGTCTGGTGCACCAACGAGCACGAGCTCTACGACATGACCAACGACCCCGGCCAGCTCGTCAACCTCCTCCACCCGGACGAGGCCAAGGTCGCCGAGTCCGCCACCGTGCTCGGCCACTCCATCAAGTCCCTCGTGCCCCGCCTCGACGCCCTCCTCTTCGTCCTCAAGTCCTGCAGCGGCATCTCGTGCTCCCAGCCCTGGAGGTCGCTGCACCCCCAGGGCAACGTGGCTAGTCTCCGAGACGCCCTCTCCCAGCGCTTCGACGCCTTTTACGCCGAGCAGGCTCGCGTGGAGTGGTCGCGCTGTGAGCTGGGCCACATTATCGATGCGGAGGGTCCTCAGTTTGAGAAGGACGGAAACGTGTACTGGCAAGGTTCGCGCTGGAGTGACTGGACGTAGGTGCGAGAGAAAGAATTTGTAGATGAAGGCCAAGGGGACTGAAAATATTGTAAAACTAGACAGAAGCAAGATTAAAAGTTATGTTGGACATCGAATCGAATTTCGGCGAGCTTCCTACGTAATGCGTCAACTGATGTGCGCCTGCACATCACTAGATGGGAAGGAAATTGAAAACTCCTAACATCTATAGTTTTCAAATACTGGCAGTGTTGCAGTGGAAATTATGTGTGTTGGCAATAACAACCCTGCTGGCATGGCACCTCTCCCATCTTTAAATGGAGCGATGACAAAACGCCCGAGGTCAGGCATATCGCATTTTATAACTTGCTGGCTCTATTTCCTAGTCACTTACTTTGGTATTGATTAACTTGGTGTAGCTGTAGAACGCTGGGGCACTTGAGTTGATCGTGGAGATCTCCAGATAGCTTTACAAGCTCGGGATATATTTGGAAAAGATCCGTTACGTCTACACACATCTCAATCAAGCAGCTGCTACTGATAACCGTGCGGCCTAGTTTAAGAAATTGAGCTGATACATAGGGCTCTCTACCCCGTAAGTGAAACTACAGGACTGGTGTTTGAAGTGAACTTGGCTAGTTAATATGGAGTTGGGGTGTTACTTGTCCGCGTGAAAGAAACGGTCTAGGAGACGGCCATGTTGACAATTTCTGATAGGTTACCAAATAGAGCTTAATTTCAATCCTGACCTTTGCCACGTATCAATGCGAGACTAGTTTTGGTCCCCAGCTTCCGCCAAGCTCCAAAGAAAAGAATCTCTCTCAATTACGTGCACTTCCATCCTGAATCCGCTGAAGCTTCCCATCCTTAAGAAAACGAGCTCTCGGCGGCATGGCTCCCACATACCAGGAGCCTAGGGGTATCTTTGCCAAACCTGCGCAGGCGCTGAGGCGTTTGTGTCGACCGCATGGTGGTCGTCTTCTTTTAGTGCCTCGGGCGGATCGCTCGGTGCCCACCACTCCTCCAACGCCGCTGAAGCTAGCGTGGCCGTGCTGAGGATCGGGAGTAATTGACCAAGATCGTAGAAATTCCCCTCCGCCGCAACCGACAAGGCATTCATCCAGCCCGACGAATAGATCCATGACCGAAGCGCGAATATATGGTAGAAGAACATACCGCCGACTACCATGTTCTCCCCAAGGATGAGGATCCGCAAAGCTGGAGCCAAGGCAGAGCTGTGGCCCCCTTTGTTATGACGTCTGAAGTGGATGTAGGTGGTAGTGTGGATGGTACAGAACATTAACGCAAGGAAGCATAAGAATACAAACTCGGGAGCCGTGGTTGTTGTTATGCCAAGCCTAGGCCGTCCACCCGGGTCCACTAAGGCCGCGAGGTCCTGAGACATGGGGTTAACGAGGTCGGGGTCCAGGAAACAGGCCGCCGGAAGGAGCATGGCGCTGTCCGTCCTACTGCCCTTGGGGACGAACCACTCTGGATACAATTTGAGGCTGCTTTGGTAACCCAGGAGAAGGAACAGAACTGCGAAGAGCCCAATGGAGCCGCCGAGCCGCGGGAACCGGAGCGGGCTCTCCCAGTAGTGGTGATCGACCAGAGCAGTAGATACGATGATGGACGATATGAAGAGGAGGATGACGTCTAGCACGATGTAATAGTGGTAGTATGAGAGTGAGCATTTGGAAGCCATAAGGAAGCTGACGAGATAACCCCATCCGAGGATGAGGGAGGAATCGTTGACGGCGAACGCGACGTTGCGCATAATGCGTGATGCCCATCCGTTGCTGTAGTGTAGCCTACTCAAGACCAATGGGGTTAGTTATAAACTTGATCGGTGCGAATGGTACCACGTTATGAGAACAGGGTTCCGTACTGGGCTGTTGAGGGGTTGCGAATTTGAGAGCTATATCGCCTAGTGCTGACTATGCAGACGATGATTGAGAAGACGGTGATCACGCCGTAAACTACTGTCGTTGAGATCAGGACCTGTTAAAACGTATCTCTTAGCACATATCATGGAGGTGGGGAGGCAAAAGGGGGGTTGGAAGGAAATTGAAACTCTTACACCGATTCCGGCGATATCTGGGTTAGCCGGAAATTCTCCCCTGACGTGAGGCCCGATTTTCGTGGCCTCGCGTGAGCCGTTGAACTCCACGAGGCAATCGACCTCCGAGCCCTTATTGAGGCAGAAACTTTGCACCTCGAACCCAATTGCGAATCCCTTTCTGGGCCCGAAGCCCAAGAACAGACCGTCTCCTGACATCGTACTAGATTAGGAGGTAGCAAATCTCTATTCTGTAAACCCGAGACTTTGGTGCGCTGGGCGAGGGATACGACCTTCGGAGAGGATCCCACGGTCGGTTTAAGTAGATGTTGGACCTCCCTTATCCATCTCCTCCCTTTCGATGCCCCTGAGAGGAATCAACGGCTTTGGACGATAATCATGAGTGGAAGCAGCACCAGGCTCTGAGGCTGAGCTCCGAATACAGCACATTTTCGCCTTTCGGGATTTCCCTGGTGCACATGGGGGCCAGCCTGACGCTCTCGGGGACGGACGATAGTGCCAGATGAGGGTCTTCCGGGGTAATCGAGAAATTACAATTGTGAGAAGAGGTCTTGATAGGGCTAGAATTCTAGAATTATGCCACCATCTTGAGTGGCAGCCCTCGGTGTAAATCCCCATTCCGGACTCTCGAGTAATACTGCAGTGGGGCTGGGAGCGGCATGCAGCGTCTACGGTCTACGTCCATACTGCAGCTCCCTCCTTCGTGTCGGTGAAGTGTAGCCAGGCTCGGGGCCGCCCCCTGGATACGGGGCAAACCAACATGGGCCTTGGGGGTGGCGTCCCAAATGGTGTTGCCATGCGAAACCCGAATGGTTGACAATGCTTATGGCCTCCAGGTCACGTCACACAGAACAGAGCAGGCTCTACGTGAATCCCGGCCAGTGCTCTTAACCCTGAAGCACCATAAGCCGGCCCCCTCTTAAGTACAATGGATTCGATATAAGTGATTGGACGATTCGAGCCACACGAGTTTCGAGTTCCCATGCACTCTTGGTGCCTAATCCCACAAAGCTCCTGTCCTAAAAGAAAGAGACCAAAATGAGGCCGGCACGACAAGGCTCGATGTCTAATTTTAGACGAGACGAAATTGCTCGTAGGAGAGCGTACGGTAGCGTCGAAAGTGCATCCCAAGTCTAAATTCAAAGGACACCTAGGCTCCGTTCTGCGTCGGTTGCGGGCCCTAGTGCCTTGGACCCTGAAACTGCCACGGGTGAGGCGTTGTGTGGAGGTTACAAAGACAAGAGCTCGCCGCTTCCATTTAGCCTCACTCTCGTTCATAATGCCACCTATCACACTCCCCACCGGATACAGAAGGAAATGGTGTGTTCCTTATTCATGCTTGCCAATAATATGCGTACATGCACACCTCTTGCACTGATGCTGCGTGCAAGGCGCCCAAAGCGCTTAATCAGAGGCAGCCAACGATGGATTGACGCGATGCTCTCGACGCAAAACAAGCCGGGAATTAACTGTGCCTCACCTCGGTTATCTTCTGGTTTCCTTTCGTGTAGATATGTCATCATCTCCTCTTTCTTCTATCCCCCGGGCCTGTCTGCGTAATAGCTTGGCCATCTGCTTCTAGTTTAGGTAGCAGCCCCGGCTTCCTCTACATGCTATAATGGCACATTTGTTGCCCTCTGATATTGTTCATTTGGCTTAATACTCCAACAAAGTTGGCCGGTATAGTAGGCATCAACTCTTCCTCAGGTATATCTAATATATCGCTTGCGTGGTACCCTAGCGAAAGATTCAGGGTTGAAGACTGGAGATGTAAACAGGTAGTACTCGGTGATAAGCTAAAGCGAAAGAGTCCAAATTAAGTTGATCTGACGCTGGGCCGATGTGTCTAGGAGCGAGTTAATTGAGCGGATGCTGAGCTAGGATTCGACAAGGTGGGCGAGAGTGCCCTCAGTTGAGCCAAGGTTGACTAGTAACATGCAGTATTCAGTGAGGTTCCTCTTCATATCACTTTTCCTTGCAATAAATCAAGAAAGATTAGTGATCGGGTCTCCGCTTGTGTTGCACCGTCCGGACGAGTGCGCGACGTTTCCATCCAACCCTACCTCGGAGACAAACTTCGGTCCGGCCATCGGAGCGGAACATCCCCGACCTAGAGACGAGCCAAAGTTCGTGGTGGGAAAGCCGCTCGGGAAGGATTGTGAATTAGAGACATGGGCCAATTCCCCACCCGTGCCCGAAGTGGATTCCGCGCCCTTCCTGTCATGGCAAAGTTTTGTGAAGTCGCGGTAATGATTGGGCAGGGATGTGGCGCAGCAGCTCCTTCGCTTCAGAGGCGCCCGAGCCCTTTTGCAACATACATCGAGTGAGGATCAGTAAACATTGAGCAATAACTATCTAGATCGCAAGCAAAAGTGTCGATATTTGGCCATCGAGGCCGGTTACGAAAAGGACGGCGGGAAACAATGGCCACTAAACGATACCAGTATGATTCGTTGCCGCGGGACCAGGCGGTCATCCGATATCTCGTTCTCGAGCCGGGCACAGGCAACCAACCTATTGTGTGTGATATCAAGACGTCGACCTTATCCTCCATGCCCTATTTTGAAGCACTCTCGTACGTATGGGGCAATCCGGATCTGATCTTCCCCATCTTCGTGGGCGGGAAAGAGATTCTCATCACGAGAAACCTGAGGGAGGCCCTTCTCCAGCTACGCTTACCGACGAAACCCCGGACTTTATGGGCGGACGGCATTTGCATCAACCAGAGCGACAATGACGAAAAGGGTCACCAAGTCGCGCTCATGGGCCAGCTCTACACCACCGCCAACCGGACCGTCATCTGCCTCGGCCGCGGCCACGATTACGTCGAGGAAGCGGCCCAGGTCGCCGGCCTCGTCACGCACGTCAGCGACATGATTCTCAAGACGCTAGAGTCCACAGAGCCTGGTCTGGGCACCTTTCCCTACCCCGCGCCCGACGACCCCTCCTCCAGGACGAGCGGTGGGCCAGCATGCGCATGCTCCTCGACCAGCCGTGGTGGGACAGGGGCTGGGTGATTCAGGAAGCCTGGCTGGGCCGCGACGTCAACATCCTGTGGGAGGACTCGGTGTTTTCCTGGCTGGCGGTGGTGCGCACGTTTGCGTGGATCAACACGCGCGCGACCGAGCTTTACACCCGGCACGCTCTCACCATGCTCGCCGTGCACGAGACCCAGTACGGCCTACGCCACCCCGGCGAGGCGTTCCCCTTGCGCGTCACCGAGCCGAGCGAGTACTTCCCCGACGTCATGGACTGGACGCGCTCCCTCCAGCTCACGGACCAGCGGGATCGGATCTACGCCTTCATGTCGCTCGCGCCGCCGGGCCAGGTGGCAGACCTCCGACCCGACTACAAGAAGCCCTATCTGGAGGTCTACCGCGAGTTTGCGCAAAAGTACATCAACAACAGCCGCGACCTGAGCTTCCTGCTCCTGATCGACCATAACCAGGACAGCTTCGACGCCGACTACCCGAGCTGGGTGCCGCGGTGGGACTTGCGGGTGGTGCTGGAGAATATTCCGCACATGGCCAAGCCTATCCCCGGCACGTTTCTCGCGCGGGCGGGAGCCGCCACGTTGGACGTCCGGGGCCGCATCATCGGATCCGTCGAGTTCGTGTCGGCCGACGTGCACTGGGTCATGAGCGGCATCAGCGATATTATCAATATTCTGCGCGACCTGGCCGGGACGGGGACACGGGCGCCCTATACGGAGTTTTCTGCCGTCTTGGCCTTTGCGACGGCTATGATGGGTGGCATCGCGCCGACGGGGCGGCCTGGCTGGAGGGCGGATAGGGCGGCATACATACGGCGACTGCTGGAGGCGGGCATACCGGGAACTGGTGGCGAGGGTGGCGCGGATGTTAGTCTTAAGGATGGCGAGCCTGGAGGTGTGGGTGGCGGGGACGTAGGCGTGTTCCATTCGTGGGTGCGGGCTTGGAGCCACACTCGGCGGGCGATTCAGACGAACCGGGGACACTACGGGATCGCGCCCGGGATCATCGCAAAGGGTGATTTGATCTGCGCTATCTCCGGGGCGTCCGCTCTCCTTGTATTACGAAAGGTATCCAACAACGGGTATAAGCTCGTTGGGCCGGTTTACATTGTCGGGGAGAAAGTGAATGGCCGGGAGATCCCACTCGGCTCGGAACGGGCCCGCATGTAGATTGGCAGTCGTGGGGAGTAGAACAGGAACTAACGATATCCTAGTATGAACAACATTAGGTTTTCTTGGAAAGAGAGGCAGTGTCGGAAGAATTCCATCGAGAGAACCGTGTCATGTAGATTACGCCCAAAGAGGCTACCGACCCAGAATGTACTCTCAAACTATCGATCTTTCAGAGATGAATACGAAGATAGCTATCCCCAAGTTGGGAGGCAACACATTTCGTGCTCACATACCAAAGCGAGCTTCTTTACCTCACCGACTCAACAGCACGTTCTCTCTTGCATTCTTTGCAGTCAATGGGGAAAGGGTATGGCGAAACTAGGCCGGCCTTGTGCATGTTAGTGATGCGAATGCATCAGACCATCCATTTGCCTTCCTTGGTAGCAAGTGGCCATTACAGCCCGCATAGGATGGCAGGGTATCCTCCTTTTCTTGGTTCTTTTGCCTTTTCTTTTTCCAAGGAAGCAAGCACACGTCTACCCGATAAACTTTGGTTTGCCATCGGATAGTGCACTTTCCTTCGCCGGACCGTTCCCGACCCTTCAACCAACCAAGATCTTGAGCCTGTCTCGTCGATGCCGAAACCCGCGTCTCGACAACACTTTCCATTTCCCGAGCGGCAATAAGTCTCTCAAACAAACCCCAAAGGTCAACCAAAAATTGTGGAGATGAGGTTGCCAACGAAGAAACTTTGCGTCTTATCCTCGGCATTTGGGGTATTTCGGAGGCTGGTGTAACCCCAAACGCTGTTAGCTGCCGGCCTATCTCCCCGATCGTTTGGTCCGAGGCAACTTGGCGCCTTTCTCAATCAACGATACAAAACGGCACGCAATCCATTGCATACATGTACTCCTCTGGCTTCCCCCTCCCCGCTCTCCCCTTTTTCGTTGTTGAATGCTACCCCTTTTCTATCCCCAAATCCCGGCTAGCATCCTACCAGTCTGCGTGCGGCCGTTGTCATCCTGCGTCTACAAGGAGATGGTTGGGAGAGGGAGCACTTGTGCGGGGACACCCGGATATTGTGGCGTTTCGAGGTCCACCCCCATTTCACCACAAACCTACTCTTTCACTCGCTAGGATTTGTTTGCTGGATGTTAAGAGACCCACGGAACTAGTGTTGCAGTCGGTCGCCGTGAAGGCAAGCTTTCCTTTTGGGGGTTAATACTAATGTTGCCAGCCGAAGCGCCTCTCCTCTACCAGCTACAATAGATCGATGTCTAACATTGAACACGCACATCCAAGGCAATCGGTGTTCGGGCAACCAGTGATCGATAAATTCCCTACTGGTGCCTCTACCATTTGTAACTTTCTCGAGTAAATTACCCGCCGACAGATTTGGAGACCTTCTTCATGGTGTCTCCAACTTTTCATAAAAACCACCAGCGATGTGGGGCTTCTAGCTTATCTCTGTGCATTTTGACACCATCTAGGAGCATGGTCTCACATGCTAGCCTAGTTAGCGTTGCATTCTTGGAGATAACGACCATCTCTTGACTAGCTTTTATGCCCTGTCTATGAAATACAAACAACCCTCGAAAGTAAACACTTCAAATATCCTAGGAACGAAGACTGCGAGACTACCATATCATTGGGTCTGATGGCGGTACGGGAAGGAGAATCACGCAAAAAGACAAAACATGGTTGAACACAATTTTGCATTATAATATCATCAATCGCTGGCTTGTTTGCTTTTTACATCGAACCGTCGCTTTACCAGGGACCCACATCGAGAGAACAACCCTTGCCTTAGGGCCTCCACCTGAAATCGGGGTGCCTCCAATCCAAGTCCGAGATTTCCTGCCGGCTCATGCCCGCTAGGAGCTCCTCCTTCTCGGCAGGGGTCTTTTGGTCGCGCTTCTTGTTGTCCGCGTTCATCCAGAACAGTCCAAGAAGGGACGAAATACCAATGGTGCTGGCCACCGCCAGGTTGAGACCGTTGCCGATGGGGTACATGGGTCCGTCCCAGGGAGGTACGTCCAGGTGGCGATGAGACCTCCGAGGTATCCACCCAAGGCTAGTAGTGAGGAGACCAACGTTAGCATAAGCACTTTGAAAACGAGCGGAATGGTGGTAGGGCCCCTCTTTTCTTTTCTGTGAGTTGGGAAGTGTTGAGACATACCATTGGTTCCGAGCGAGATGCTTCGCGCGGTATCGGACACGGTGTTGGCGCTAACTTGGGCGGCGCACAGCGATCCGTTGAAGAAGGCGCAGCTGGTAGTCAAGAAGATGGCGGCATACCGCACGCTGGGGTTGGTGCTCGAGAGAAGAATGGCGTATCCGGCGACCACGGTGGGGGCGCTAGCTGTGAGCATGATCTGTCGGGTGTTGAGCTTGCTGGAGAGGTAGGAGACGGCCAGGAGAAGGACACCGCCCACAATGTAAGGCGGTACAGTGAGCAGTTGCTGCTGCACAACAGTACGGCCGGGGTAGATGGTACGGATAATGGTGGGCAGGAAGAAGGAGGTGCCGAGCACGGTGATGTTGCCCATGCAGAAAATGAAGGCGGAGAGGAGGGTGATGGGGTTAGAGACACCGCTCTTGAGCTTAGCCCAGCTCATCTTGTCGACGACTTCCTCCTGACCTACACGCTCGCTCATCACGCGAGAGATGGCCAACTTCTTCTCATCCTCGCTCAGCCAGCGCGCCGTCTCCGGGCGGTCAGTCAAGAGAACAAGGAGAATAACAGCAACAACGCAGGTGATGATGCCCTCAATGGCGAAGATCATGCGCCATCGAGTAAGTGAACCGAAGCTATCAAGGGTCAGGATTCCGGAGGCAAGGAGACCGCCAAAGGCGCCGGCAAGAGGGTCATGACGATGTAGAGACCCAGGCGGAAGACCAGCTCAGAGTGCCTATACCAGCGCGAGAGATAGTAAGAGATACCCGGGAAAAGGCCGGCCTCGAAGATTCCCAACACGAAACGGACCGCGAGCATCTGGCCCTTGGTATGGCAGAAACCGGTACCGATTGTGACAGCTCCAAAGAGTAGAGTTGTGAGTGGCAAGAACCAGCCGGGGCCCATATATTTGCACAGGAGGACGCATGGTATTTCGGAAACCGCGTAGGAGATGTAGAACATGGACAGGATCAGGTTGTAGTCTTGACCCTGGAGCCCAAGGTCGGCTTCGAAGCCGGCGAGACGAGCGTTTCCTGCAGACAGGCTTTTGCATTAGTGACCGTGTTCGCCTTCTCTTTTTCATTTCTTAGCTGTGGATGTGGACATATATGGCGGATGATCTTACCGATATTCGCACGGTCGATGAAGCACAAAAGGAAGAGAAGCGCGACCGGCGGAACTGTGCAGAGATCGATCTTGCGTCGAAGCTTCTTCTCGGCGACCGGATCAAAGTAGGGAGCCGCGGGGGCTTCTTCCTTCATGCTGCCGCCGGAGCCGATCACCACCGACTCCTTCTGCTGGATTTCAATGCTGGCCTCCTTCTCCATGGCGAAAGACCTAGAGACGTCAAGGCTCTGGTAGATGTTTGAATGGCAAACAAGGTCGACGAAGAGATAGGAGTGCCAGGAGAATGTTTGGCGGTTTGGCTTGAGGGTGATGGGATGGAGAGAAAGATGAACAGAGTGAGGAGAGGCGCGCCTTATCATGGGTTTTATATCTAGGTGTCTCTGGCCTTTATCTCATCCTCGTCCGCGCAGAACGAAGCGGATCTCCCCAGCATCTTTTGCCTGGACCATAGTTCCCCAACGCATAGCTAGCGGAAACCCCGGATCTACGACTGGTCGGCCAGCTCTCCGCAATCATGAATTTGCTAGTTTCCTATATCTCCCCACCATCGACCCCGACGGGGCGTCCATGTGGGTGGGTGAGCAAGGCTTTACCCCAGAATCACCCCGCAAATCCATCCCCATATCTCATTTCTCCATCATCACCGTCATCTCTCTGGCTCCAGATCCTGGTACTGCTTGGGGCCTCTGTGCGGAGCCTCTCTGCGGAGCCAGCGTGGTATTAGGTCCACTCACCTTTCTGTCCCTCGCCCCGGCAATTGGAGATGCGCGCCAGAAGCCTCCGTGTCGCGTAGTTACGGCTGGTGAAACTAGCGCAAAAATTAGATCCATCACCCTTACCCGGTCTTGGCTAGCTTGGCTATGCAGCCCTCCGTTTAGCGGTACTCTGTGGTGCTGGACACCCACGTTTTCTGCTCGCTGTCGTGGATGAACGCCGATAACTCCCCTAATCCCGTCTCAAACTCCCCGATTCGTGACTTGTGGGGCGAGGCCTGGGCAGCTAGCGCCTCTGTGAGACTGCGGGGTTGGCTGGGTGGCATGAAGCCTGAGTCTCACTGAAAAAGGACAGACTTTGAACATAGGGTGACCAAAAAACGCGGGTTCGGCCTGTTTCCCCACAAAGAGCGAGCGTTGAAGCGCAGGGCTCGCAGCTTTCCCCGCAAGAGCCGGACGGGACTGGGCACCACTTTCCCCCACAAGGAGAGATCTCGGGATCTGGGGTAAAGGATCTGAGATTCGCGTCGCCACAACCCGATCGTGCTGCTTCCAGCAAAGTATTTGAGGCCCGTATGGCCAGCGTCATATTTGCATCCACTTAGTAGTTCTCAATTCCAGGCCAGCAGCCACGATGTTGAATATTCCCATTTTCGTGCTTGTCCTCGCCGCCTTAGCTGGCGCGGCGATCGTCACCGCCGTCTGGAAGGCCTTTTTCTCGAAACTTGCTGCCGTTCCGGGCCCATTTTTAGCGAGATTTACCGACTTGTGGTACGCATGGCGGATGTATCGCGGGCGATTCGAGCATGACAATCTTGAGCTTCATAGGAAATATGGTAGGCACAACGCAGCCCGAAGTGGGGGCGGTAAGAGACAAGACAAAGCAGTTAACAAACCCCAATTATTCTAGGCCCTGTGGTTAGATATGGAGTCAATAGGTACAGTATCAATGACCCGATGGCGGCGAAAATCGTGTATGGAACCACGAGCAAGTTTACCAAGTCCTCGTGGTACGAGACGTGGTCCAACCCGCACCCGAACGCATGGAACCTATTCGGGGATCGAGATGCCAAGCGCCACGCCGCCAACCGCCGCCAATATCAAAACACCTACAGCATGTCCTCCCTCGTTAACTACGAATCGTACGTCGATGACTGCGCCGACATCTTTTGCCAGCGCCTCGATGAGATGAGTGCTCGGGGTGGCTGGCATGAGCCCGTCGATATGGGGCATTGGTTGCAGTGCTATGCTTTTGACGTCATCTGCTTTATCACGTACTCGAGCCGCATGGGCTTCCTGGATCTCGGCGAAGATGTTGGCGAAGTGATGAAGAATCTCGAAGATCACCTGGCCTATGCAAGTATCGTGGGCGTATACCCTCAACTCCACCCCATCTTGTTCCCGATTCGCAATTGGCTTGCTGGATCACAGGGCAAGGGCCGCCAGTACGTCATCAACTACACCCAGCAGTGTATGTCAGACCACCAATCCAAGCCCAAGGCGCAGATATTGGAAGCGTCGAAAGCTAGTGAGTCGCAGATGGGGAGCTTGGATTTCTTGTCCAAATTCATGCAGCGCCACTCCGAGAACCCGGATGCCTTCTCCACTTACCACGCCCTAGCGGGGTGCGTGTCGAACATGGTGGCCGGAAGCGACACCACTTCTATCAGCCTCAGCGCCATCTTGTACCATGTCCTCCAGAACCCGTCCGTGTTAAAAAGCTTCAGGATGAGATCGATCAGCACTGTCCGCAAAACAAAAGCGCTCCCCACATCACCTTTGCCCAGAGCCAAGAGATGCCATATCTCCAAGCCGTAATCAAAGAAGCACTTAGAGTGCATCCCGCCACTGGCCTTCCCCTCGAAAGAATCGTTCCCGAAGGGGAGCAACGATCGCTGGAGTTTTCTTCCCCGAAGGAGTGAGTTCCCTTGATTGCTATGATCTAACCGCTGCGGCAAGTACTAAACTTGGCGTTCGTATCTTAGGCGACGGTTGGAATCAATAGCTGGGTTGAGCACAGCAACAAGACCATCTTTGGCGAAGATGCAGACAAGTTCGTCCCGGAAAGGTGGCTATCCGAGGATAAGGACAGGATTGCTGCCATGAACCGCCACTGGATGCCGGTACGTGACCGACCCCCGTCCATGACTGGCGCATCTACACCCCCTTCCATGTTTTGCTTATCGGAGACTGACTGGTGGCACTAGTTCGGCTTGGGATCGCGCACATGTATTGGTAGGCACATCTCTATGTTGGAAATGTCCAAGCTCATTCCGAGGCTTGTCCGAGACTTTGAGATGGAACTTAGCGGAAAGGGAACCTGGGAAACTCAGAACTATTGGTTTGTCAAACCCAAGAACTTCAAAGTCCTGGTTAGGCCAAGGGCTATCAAGACCTAAAATATGCCTCGATCATTTTCTTTTCTCCTTAGCAGTTCAGCATCTCATTTAAAGTATGGGGGAACCGGTGGGGCGTGGTAGTGTTTAAGGATATGAAGAACGTATAACCTCTGCTTGGGATGAGGAGCCGAAAGAGTGGCGAGCGCAAAGCAATGGACGTCCGGCCTTCTCGGAGACTTTTTGTTAACAGACCAAGCTTTCTTATGTACTGGGTGCCATGACGAGGTTGCCAGCGTTGAAAGGTAAAGCAATTAGCTCTAGTGTAGTTTCCAAAAAAAAAAAAGAAAAAGAAAAAAAAAAAAAAAAAAAAAAAAAGGCTAGGTTCTAAAGCAGTCGCCCCTTCCAAACGAAAAACTACGCGTGGTCAAGGGTACGCAAGGTCGCAGCGCTTGAGTCAAGAGCGACCAACGAAGAGTAAACGCCCAAAGTCTACATGTAGATATGGCATCTAAGCAACCAACTGCAGTTGGTTTACTACTTCGAAATTCATGGCCGTTTGAATCTGCTTCCATCCATTTCCAAACACCCACCTATCCTACTTCAAACTTCGCATAGTCGCATAACAAATAGCTCTCTTATCGGATATCCCCACGCCCTTCTTCATCCATTCCAGCATCGCCAACCCGTAACACTTGATTGCGGTGGTCCTTCTTGGGCCTTCCGGTTATATTTGATACTTTTCCCCATCATCACATACTTCCTGCCAGCTATCTTGCTCAGCAGAGATGAGGGTGCCAATTAGCCCGCCGCTTAAGATGCCGCATCATGAGAAAATATCCTCCAGGCAGTTCTTTTCGCCGTTCGGAGTCTCCACGGCCAGGAATCTCACGCAGCACCTTCCGCCTGGCGAAAATGCTGACATTCTTCTCACTGAATTTGGGGACATCGGCGATCTGCTATATACTTGCTCTCAAGATCGTATGTAAAAAGAGGCCAAAGTATATCCCGTCGGATAAGCAAAGACGAACGACTAACTCTCTTGTTTTTAGATACGCGGGAGTTAGACGTCACGGCCATTGATTCCCAGGCTGAGATGCTCGGTAAGCTACTTTTAATCTTAATCTTGGCGATTACTTTCTAATCGGGTATCTTCTCTAGCACGAAACATCCTGACTCTAACCCTTGTATACGATGACGCCCAAGCCCGAAAATGTCAGCTCATATGGGCCATATACTATCACCTGCGCCTCGAAAAGCCTGCTCTCGATCTCCTTCAAGCCCAGGCCAAAAGCTCCACAACTTGGCTGCCTCCCTTCAAACGTGGAAGGCGAGTCCCTACGCACATTTTATCCACTTCTGCGACTCGGGCACACTGCACGCAGTTGCTAGCATGTGGAAGTTTTACTTGTCCGACCACGCCGATGTCCTCACTAATATCGAAGAGAGAGGCTTAACAAGTAGTGTTAGTGAAGGCGTCGTGGAAGAGTATCGGTGCATGGTCCCAGACATCCTGTCGAGCGCCGCCGATGTCGCTCTTATTCGTTATGTGTACACGAAGACTGGGACGACCGCTACTAACCTGAAACTCCGCGACTTGCCCAAATCTTCCAACCCGACTCTAGCATCGCCAGACGAAACCTTCACGCTTCGTCAGCCCTTGAACCCAGTCACAGGCTTCCACCTTGCCGGTGCTACCATTCCCTAAGCCTAGAGTCGGACTTGGCTCAGCGTCATGGTCTCCGGACAGATCCTCCCGCCGCACAGAAACTTGCCGACTTTGCTCGCACCCAATTTTACACTTGGTGTTTCATCTTTCGCAAAATGGTGGTTGGTGGGAAAGTGCGAATTCGCCTTTTCCAGGGCTGCTTCATGTCATTTTCTCATACCCTCCAGCATATGCACGCATCGGGAGAGCCATCGACCTCCGCCAACTTGTTCCGTGACAAGGATGATTTTGTTCCCATTGTCCTTGACGGTGAAGGTTACGACGGTGCTCCGCAGCAAACCGCTGCCAAGTCAAAGGGTAAAAAGAACAAGAATAAGGGAAATAGCAAGGCTCCCTGACGTTCAACGTTATTCATACTTGCAGTCTCGCAGATGACTATGGCCACCTCAACATCCTCGTAGCTACCGGGGTTTGCTCCGAAACACCCTCGCGGCCACATTGTACACGCAAAACTTTATACAGCACGAGAAATCCATGGAGGAGCACCTAGAAAGAATGGTACACGGTGACCTAGGCACCGTCGCCCAGTTGATTGGCCTCGCACCGATCGAGTACCATACTAATGTCGACTCTTGGCTAAATATGGACGGGAACCGAGTCAAGCTCCAAACCACCAGTGCTCATATGGCTCTCGAGAGCAACCAGTCCTCTGTGCGTATTACCTGGCGCCACCCCCAGCTAGCTTCAGGGTCAGAGAACCGTGTGGTCACGCAGTTCAAAGAGGATGAGCTCGCTGTTCTTCTGGCCAGCATCTATACCTCCATGTTCGAAAGTGAAGAGCCCACATTTTCGGAGAACGGCCTAAACGCCATCAATCTAAGGCGCCACGTTTTCCCCTTGAACAACCGCGCCGGATTTGTTCTCTTTCTCCGTCTCGTCAAGGACCGCGTTTTCGTTCATGCTTGGGATGAAGCAATGCACGAGTTTTTCAAGCAAGCAAAAGTTCAGGTGCCAGGCCGACACGACTTCCCTTACTACCATGAACTGATTTTGTATATGCACATCTTAGATGTCTATACCTCTCCAGACCTTCTTTTCACCGGTGGTGAGAATGTTGAAGATAGTGGAACTCAGGCTCGAAACCAGTTGAACGGCTAGAAGAACGTTCCTCTTCACGTCTGCATCACGATCTGCATTCCGCCCACCGCGCTGAAAGTGTTGACCGAAGGAGAGAATGAAGGTTTGGATAGCTGTCCTGTCCAGTGTATCGTGAAGTACCAATGTGAGGGTGAAGGAAATTACCATGCGTTTGCCGCCCTGCACGTCGGCCACGGCTGGGTTCATCAACGCGGGTCCAAGTTCACAGATGACTTCAAGCTTACCGTTGTTACCGACGACTCTGTAGGAGCCAGCGGGGTTTCTCCCTTTGTGGTCTCGTTCTATATCCCTACTTGTCTCTTACTACAGAAACCTCTGGACGAGATTAGTGTTGGTTTTCATATTCGCGGCAACAGGGTGACCGAGTCGGTTTTCAAAGAACTGCTGGGCCCTATGCTAACAATCTTCGAAACAAACGTTGCGGATGAAAACGCCGTCTTTGTTACCAAGTCTATGCCCGGGGTTTCGGGCACCATGGCGATCAGCTCCGCTACTCGGCCCTCAGAAGCGCAGTTCAGCAGCCAGGCCAGACATATTGTCCCCTATGACGGCTTCATTGTGAGCATGCACGCCCAGGTGGACCCCCTGGACGCAAGTATCCCCTTCGTTACGTGCCACGTAGAGTTAGCATCCGAAGAGTTGAGATCGGTCCCTTTCAACATGGACGGTGTGTATAGGCCCTCCGATGCAACTCCATTTAGCTATGTCATTGACGCGCACGACGCCATCCCTGGATTCGTGGTCGACTTCCCGATCCCCGTGTCCGAAAGTGGCACCAGCGTGACTCTTGGTGATGGGTGTTTAGACGTGCGCATCCGCACATCCCCGATGGCTTGGGCGGCCAACCCGACAGCTTTATACCCCACCATTCTCAACAAAGCCCTCGAGCCTGTGCTGATAAACTTGGCCTACGTCAACCTCGATCTGCAGCCAGCTATCGACAGTCTACAGTCTAGCCGGCTCGACTGGCTCAAATACACCCTCCACGCGCAGTTCACGCCCAGAGAAAACTTTTACACAAGATCCCCACAGTCATTCGACGGAGCGTGGAATCGGGACGGATGAGCCTCAAGGACTCCATCACGCAAATGTTTCAGCTCTTCACCAAGACATCGGACGAGAACCGCGAGTCCATTTTTTCTTTTGGCACCAGAAACACCGACCGCTTGCAATTTTGCATCCTCGTGTCCAAGTTACGCATCGATCTTGGTAATAAAACGCCCCTCCTCGACGCCGCCCTAGTAATCATGCATAAAGACAACGCAAAGGAACTCGGCGCCTGGGGCGACTATGCACGGGGCCCCGATATCTCCCGCTTGACGGTCGACGACGGGGAGATCGACGTATGGCGGCAAGCTCTGGCGGCATGGGCAGAGCGGTGCCGTACATGGCAGCACGGCCCGGATTGCGCGTACAAGAAAGTGAACCAGCAGAGCGTGCCTCTGCCAGTCCCCAGGGGCCGCCCATCCCTCGCAGACCGAGTCGCCGCAGACCGAGTCATGTGTTCCTGCGGCGTGGGGAAATTCCCTGAAGGCTACCTAGCAGCCACGCCGTACTGGAAGCTTGCGCGACAGCAGGCGGTGCGGGTAGCCATCGCGCCCATCTACCCGTGCAATCTTGTCCAAGAGACCGGGATCAGAAGAGATACACGATATATCTCGCTAGATGGCTCGGGGAGCGGGACCGAGACGGTAATGTCGGGAGAGGAAGACAGCAACTGCACCATGGGGAGCGAAGCTGGAAGCCCGCAGTAAGGCATACGACAAATGGCTAGTCATGTATTGTTCAGCGTGCCGTCTAGCTACTAGCGGACCCCTTTTGTTATCCTGTTTTGTCCTGACCCATCGGCAGCGGCGATGGCCTTAGCCCTTCCGCATTGATGGATAAGATCGGTGTCATGTCTCTCTCTGATGTCATTGTCTTACACCACAATCACCCGCGCGGTATTGCCAGCCGCAGGTTCGTCACTTTGCTTTTGCCTAGCGACACCACCTACTAGCTTCCCATTGCTGTTGGACTTTCTTTTTGTCTCCCAGCTTCAGCCACGTCGGTCTGGCGGAGGATATGTTGTGGCGTTTAGGCCCCACCGAGATGAGGCTCGGTGAACTAAACAGGAACTGGCGTGTGGGATAGATGTGTGGGTTTTTTCCCACAATATCCTCGGCTCTAGTGACCAGTTTTGGGCTGCATCTGATGCAATTCTTCCCTCTCACTCTAATCCTTCTGAGGCTTATAGCGTTGTTTCCCACCAGATCTTAGCTACCACTACTACTGAAAATTGAATGCAACCGCGTCAACCTTATGCCTAACGTTGCTCCGTGATCCACTGATGCGAATGCTGTGTCTCTCTGCCAAAGATGCAAGATATGGATAGATCCATAGATGTCACATACAACCGAGCGTGGGTTCGGTGGCCAATAAATGAAGGATAGCGAGGGGTAGAAACAATTACCTCCCTCGATAACAGGAATAATGATAATACGAGTAGCGCTCTCACCGCTCCATAGCGGTTTGACCTGTGGACTTGGCAGGGGTGGAGAAGGGGGCGTTGGGTGGAGAGGCAGGGGCGGCACCAGGACACCATCAAGGGATGACCACGTTAATTGGTTGGTCGGCGGAAGGTACCAGAGCACCCCAAGGCGTTCCATCGCAACAAGCCGGGAGTTCTGATGATAGCTAGCGAGGGATGCGAGGTTTCGGCTCAACATAGAGGGCGAGCCAAACAAAATACTCATGACATCGATCCATATGTCACGGATACCGGGTGAGCCCATAAGATTCCATCCATAGCCTCATCGGGGCCAGCATCCTGGACATGTAATAACCTCATGGCTGGCGCTGATCTACAGGGCAATCTGATAGGGAAAAACAATCGAAGAAGCCAACGCTTCAGGCTCCCCGGCTATGCATGAGGTGAGCGTGAGGGGCAGACTGGACAAGATGGTATTATCGGCTATCAGTCTAGGCCCCGCTCCCAAGGGGACCCATCGCCTCGGGGAACCACTCCCTGACCCCTGTTGGCTGGACAGACAAGCTTCCCGAGGAACTAGTTCGAAGCTGGAACCTTCACTATGTGTCATCCACGATCAGAGCGCTGTGGTTTTGCTTTGCACGAATCACGGGTATTTACGACTGTTGATCGGAATAGACAGGCGCCTCGACTCTACGCCGGGAGTAGTCGAGATTTGGTGGGTCGTGGTGGTAAAATCCGACATCGCCGAATTGCTAGGACCGACCCTTGGGTCAAAGCCCAGACACTCAACCAGCCTTTATCTAACCCTGATCAATTCAGCATTCATTATGTTCCCCGTGGGACCAAATGCCGCATAGTCACTTATGCTTCCGCCATGCCCGCTAATATTTCACCCTTGCAACCCTGCATCCGCCGAGATGGTCAGGCACTGTCCAAAGCGGCTTCCGAGGCCAGCATGTTAGCACTGGGATTTAGCTCACGAGAGGTTCTGCACGGTTTGTCATACAGTGCATATCCGACATGGAATCGAACGAGTGCCAAGAATGATAGAAAGAGGGGACGAGCGCCTCTTTTGTCTATTTGGAAAATGCAAATTTTTTCCAAGGAATTGGAATGAAAATTGTGTTCGAGCAAACACAGAGCCCGTTGTCTCCGCGGGATGGGATGGGAAGAACGGCCGGAAGGAGGATTAGGTCATCGATGGTGGAGAAAATAAACGTAATGGATAACCCCGGAATGGTGAACCAACGTGGGGACTAAGTCTGATCGGGCAAGTGCAGACTGGCAAAGTGGGTTTGGTGGGTTTGAGGAACCGCATGGAACGACCCTTGACGGGAAAACGTCGGATTCCCAAACCAATACAACATCTCGTCGACGACTGTTGTTATTGTTGGTGCGGCTCTACGCATAGATGAATCCTGTCCTTCTTGCTCTAGTTTATCTCCAAGGCGAGGACGTTGGAGAGGTTTAGGGAAGGCGAACCCCACACTTGTCTACCGAGGTATGAAGAGGCAAGAAGAGAAAGAAAAAGAGCACATCTTCTCGGAATCGTAAAACAGGGGCCCAGCCAAGGAAGGCGGGGTGTGCTTCAGGGCGGGCTGGTCCAACAGCCACCAACCTGATATGCGGGTTCTCGCGAACGATGCAGAGGAGCCAACAAGGGTTACATGAGAGGTTCTCGATCCGATGAGCAAGATTCTTTTTAGGCGCCACTTTTCTACGGCAAGCCCCCTCCATTAGGAGGAGATGCAAGCCATTGGGGTTGCGGATTGGCCAAGACAGAGAGTTCTAGAAGCGCGGGGAAGAAAGTGGGAATGCAACTTTCCTGCTCGGGCGAATCGAGTGTGATGGGCTACATGGAGAGCGCAGCAGTGCGGCTTGACGTGGTTGTATCCTCACGAGCAAAGAAAAACTTTTTTTCTTTTTTTTTTGTCCAGGTTGAATCTCTTCATCCGCCCTTTGGATGCCGGCTAGCAAAGACTAAGACATTGATGGATCTTCATATGTGCATCAACAAGGTCAGTCAAAATTCACTGATCGATCTAGAGCCCAGGCGTGATCGTCAGGCTTCATCTGGCGTTACTAGGTGCCGTCCGAGTAGATAAGTAGAAGAAATAATTGACAACAGAGTCTCTCTTGCTTTGTTGCGCAGCAATCAAGACTTGGTGTCGCGTGAGGAGACGGCGACGGGCTGGGGAATGCGTGTGAGGTTTGATCCTTCCCTCGACGTAGGAAATCTCTCCCTCCCTGCCAAGCTTTTGGTAGGTCTAGCGCGCCAAGAAGAAAAGTACCCACCACCTCACATTTGCCGAAAAGGTACCTCGTGTGCTCCCAGAAATGTGTCGCCGATCAAGCTCACAACTTCGAATACTCACAAACCAAACCCCCGAAAAAACCAAAATAGAGAAAACGGCTGTTGCATCACCGGCGATTCCGGATTGTTCTAAGATAACCTACATAAGAATTTGTGACTGTAGTGGCAAAGAGCCATTGCTCCCTCTCCGACGTAAAAGGCCCCTTCAAGTGGGCCAAACTTCACGGCCGGTCAGGGCTCGGAAGGGCTGCACGTGCTCGGAGCCCGCGGACCCCATCTCGGAGCGGATGCCACGGGAGAGGGCATGCGTTTCGACCAATTATGTAACCTTTTCTATTAGCCTCAACCAACACGACTTTGAGATCTCCGTGGCCCCCCCACCTATTTGAGAATGACTGGGCTTGAACAAGACGAGCCTTGATGGACCGGCGTTGGGTGAGCTGACAAGACGAAAGGTGAGCCATACTTTTAAGACCCACCTCAAGTTTTGTGTTCGCCATCGCCTTCAGCTTTGCCAAGGAAAGTACCCCGCCTCCTGATGGATTGTGTCATGTCCGGCCAAGTCTCGACCAAGGAAAGCTAGTACGCCTCAGGGCCTTCTCCACGGGCGGCACCTGTGGTCGGACATCGGGCCCGATCAGCACCAAACACTGCTGGTGTCGAGAAACCCACCGTGATTGTCTTCCCATGTTCTATTGCTCTACTTCTCCGAGAAATGGATCGATTTCCTTTCCGTGAGCGCCCCTCTTTAGTTTCCATTCCCGTCCAAGTGATTCCCCTAATTGGCCGACAAGACATACTTTCCGTCGAGTTGTAGCGAAATCTAAACTCGAGGTGACTTGTTCGCCTCGCGCCTTGTGCCGGCCAGGCATGGCTTTGGTCCCTCCTTCCGTTTCTTTTCTTTTTCTTTTTTCCTTTTCGGTCGCCAAGACCGAACCCAATAAACCGAGACAGTAAACCTGAGCTAAAATAACACAATCCCGCCCCGGAAGGAATATCGATTTGTTAATAAATACTCCCTTCCCTCTTGAAGCCTGCATCCATTAAGTCTTGGCTCTGTCTCACGAGAAACAATCTACTCTCATCCTACCCCTCCTCCTCCTTCTCCTCTTCGATCCGATCATATTTCCTTATACACATTCTCTGACGTCCTCACGTCTGAATCCCCATCTTATCAACTCTTTTGCAAGCCTTTTGGTCCATCTTTTGACAGCTCTCTACTAAGCGCCACCATCTGGTCCTTCATGCCTCGGTCTAGACGCCACAGCTGGTCACTCTACTCTCTCCGAAACATCAAGGTATCGGTCAACTCGCCATTGATGCCTGGGTCATCGACGCGTCTCTCCTCCCCCTCCTCCCTCTCCTACAGCCCACCAAGCACATGAGCTTTGCCTTAAGGGTCACCACAGCACACAGATAATACAACCAACCGCGAGCTCTCATCTTGTCTCGCCCAAACACCCTCCCTCCACGGCCTCCTGGGACAGTCTAAGTGCCAAGAAGAGTCACAATGGACCAGGTCGAACACGTCTCTGGCCAGGCAAACAAGCCTTTGCCGAGGCCACCCCATGCCCTACCAGCCCGCACAGTTATCGAGCTGCTCGAGGTCAACGACCAGACCGGCCTTACTTCTACCGTCGCCGAGCAGCGCCTGGCCGAGTACGGCCCCAATGAGCTGCTCAAGGAGAAGAATGCGCAGCCTCTCAAGATTTTCATTAGGCAAATCGCCAACGCCATGACGCTGGTGAGTTCAAACGCCCTCGTTCCTTCCTTTTCTTTCTCGTTAATTGCCCTACACCTCTTGCCCTCCACATCAAGCCCACCCATCATCGTGCCTTCCCTCCTGTTCCAGTACCCCGCCATCATATCTTATTGCACAAACTATGCGCCCCGATAAGCGAAGAACCAGCGGAAAAACTATGGAATCACTTTTTGACTTTATTCTCAGGTTCTCGTCTTGGCCATGGGTGCGAGTTTTGGTATCCAAGCCTGGATTGAAGGCGGCGTAATGGCTGCCATCATCGTTCTCAACATCGTCATTGGTTTCTTCCAAGACTACCAAGCCGCCCGTACCATTGATGCCCTGGGCGCCCTCACCTCGCCGACCGCCAAGGTCATCCGCGAGGGCAAGACCGTCGTCGTCGACTCCGCCTCCGTCGTCCCCGGTGACATTGTCGAGCTCAAGATGGGCGACTCTGTCCCCGCCGATGTCCGCCTTATCGACGCCGTCAACTTCGAAGCCGACGAAGCCCTCCTCACTGGTGAGTCCCTACCTATCCGGAAGGACCCGGATCTCACCTTCGAGGACGAGGTCGGTCCCGGCGATCGCATCAACGTGGCATTCAGCTCCACCGTCGTCACCAAGGGCCGCGCGCGGCATCGTCTTCGCCACCGGCATGTACACCGAGATTGGTCTTATCGCCGCCGCCCTTCGTGCCGCCTCCGCCGGGAACAGGGTCCAGGCGCACCGCAACGCCGAGGGAAACATCACGATCAGTTCTTACTTCATCTACGCCTGCGAGGTCGTCTGGGGCGTGATTGGCGGCTTTTGGGCGTCACCGTGGGTACTCCGCTGCAGCGAAAGCTGTCGTGGCTGTTCCTCTACATCTTTGGCTTTGCGGTCGTCTGCGCTATTGTCGTGCTTGCGGCGAACAAGTTCAGTACTAGGAGCGACGTCATCATCTATGCCGTTGCTGTGGCCGTTGGAACTCTTCCCGTATCTCTAATTCTGGTGCTCACGATTACTATGGCTGCCGGCACCAAGGCCATGGTTGACCGCAACGTCGTCGTCCGCCAGCTTTCTAGCTTGGAGGCTCTTGGTGGTGTAACCAGTAAGTGAACTTTTCCATCCAATCCCCCCGGTTAGTGCTTTGTGTTTTATCTTCGTTCCTTTTCTAACTTCGCCCCTTTCCTTCATCAGACATTTGCTCCGACAAGACCGGAACTCTTACCCAAGGCCGCATGGTTGTCCGCATGGCCTGGCTCCCCAGCATCGGCACTTACTCCGTCGCGACCACTCAAAACCCCTACGACCCCACCTTGGGCGAGATAAAGCTCACTCACGTCCAGCCCAAAGACCTCCACTCCCCCAAGGGCGCCGAGGCCCCCGTAGACAAAATCGACACCACCAAGGAGCCTACCGACAAGCCCGCTCTCCAGACCTACCTCAACATCGCTTCTCTGGCTAACCTCGCGACGCTCCAGCGCATGACCGATACAGAGACCGAGAAGGCGGGTAGATGGTCCGCCCACGGAGACCCCACTGAGGTTGCCTTGCAAGTTTTCGTCACGCGCTTTGGCTGGAACAGATTGACGCTCTCGACCGAGGCCAACCCGAGCGCACGCTGGAAGCAGGTTGGCGAGTTGCCCTTCGATTCTGACGTCAAGCGCATGTCTGTCATCTGCGAGGACACCCAGTCGCCAAACCGCGAGATCCACATGTTCACCAAGGGTGCCACGGAGCGCGTGGTCGGTTGCTGCTCTATGATTGCCCTAGACGACGGCGAGCCCGTGCCAATTGACGACAAGATTGTGTCCGACATCCAAGCCAACATGGAAGCCCTCGCCAGACATGGTCTACGCGTCCTCGCTCTCGCTAGCAAATCGGGTCTTGCCCCCATCACCGAAGAAGAGCACAAGAAGGGTCTCGACCGCGCCACCTACGAAAAGGACCTCATCCTCCGCGGCCTCGTGGGAATTTACGATCCCCCTCGTCCCGAGTCTCAGCCCAGTGTCCGCGCCTGCCACCGGGCGGGCATCAATGTCCACATGTTGACCGGTGATCATCCTCATACTGCCCGCGCCATCGCCTCCGAGGTCAGCATTTTGCCCCCGAGGCCAAGATCAGCCAGATGCCCGCCGATATCGTCCGCACCATGGTCATGACAGCCCATCAGTTCGATTCCCTTTCGGACGCGGAGATTGATGCGTTGCCTGAGCTCCCTCTGGTCGTCGCTCGCTGCTCGCCCACCACTAAAGTTCGAATGATTGCTGCGCTTCATCGCCGCAAGCGCTACGTCGCCATGACCGGTGATGGCGTCAACGACAGCCCATCTCTCAAGTACGCCGACGTTGGCATTGCCATGGGTCAGAACGGATCCGATGTGGCCAAGAATTCTTCCGACATTATCCTGACTGATGATAACTTCGCTTCCATCCTCAACGCCATTGACGAGGGTCGTCGCATCTTTGACAACATTCAAAAGTTCATTCTTCACGTCCTCGCCGCCAATGTTGGCCTTGTCATCACACTCTTGACCGGACTGGCCTTTAAGGATGCCACGGGCATCTCTATTTTCCAGATCACGCCTGTTGAGATCCTCTTCATGTTGCTTGTCGCCGGTGCCTTCACTGAGACCGGTCTCGGCTTCGAGAAGGCATCTCCCGACGTGCTGCGCCGCCCTCCCCACAATGTAAGCATTCTCTACGCTAGCCTCCCACCTATGCTCTCCCATTTATATCCACGCCGATTGCTAACGTTCTTTGTTTCTACGAATTTAGCTCAAGTACGGCGTATTCACCCCCGAGTTTATTCTCGATCTCATTTCCTACGGTCTCGTCATGGCAGCGTGCCTCCTCGGGTCCTTTGTAGTCGTACTATTCGGTTTCAACAACGGCAACCTGGGCCACGATTGCAACATTGAATACAGCGACTCGTGCGAACCCGTATTCCGCGCCCGCGCAACATGTTACACGACCATGATGTGGGTCTTCCTCTTCTTCGCCTGGGAGCTCGTCGACTCCCGCCGTTCCTTCTTTGACGGATTCATGAAGAGCCCTCGCGACTGGGCCCTCGGACTGTGGAGCAACCCGTTCCTCTTCTGGTCCGTTACTGTCGGTTTCTTCATCACCATCCCGACGCTGTACATTCCCGTCATCAACACTGTTGTTTTCATGCACAGCGGCATCACGTGGGAGTGGGCCGTGGTCGTGATTGCCGTCATCTTCTTCTTCGTGACCGCCGAGTCGTACAAATGGGGCAAGAGGGTGTGGCTGAGGAGGCACGGTCTGGCTCCTAAGAAGGGAGACGAGGAGGATGCTTATTTCAGCACCAGCACCGACTACATGTAAATTGGCGGGGAGGATCTCGAAATCCACAAGAATTTGAGGCTGGAGATTAGGAACAGGAGGGAGGGGCCCTACAGTTCAAGCGTATTGGAAATGGGGAGGGGGGCATCGGTTAACATAGCATTGCCTGCATCATTTTTTTCCTTTGTCTTTATTTCTTTCATCGTTTTCTTTCTAAGTCGATATGGAGTTAAGGGGAAGATAAAATATTCGAATCTCAATGATACTTTATGATAGCTGCTTTGAAGATTAACATCACCTTGTGAGAAGAAACTTAAGGATACTACTATGTAGAGATTCCTAAAAGTGTGGTATTGAGGCTATGGAAGGTGCTTAGCGTAGCTCCTTCTCTAAGGACCTTCTCCTAATAACTGGTGAACTCAGGTTATATATAGAAGGAGCGGCCGAAGGAAACATCTTTAGAGAATGGGGGTTGCCAGGCCAAACCTCCACATAACACCCCCATCGTTACCCTTAGTTCCAGTGGATTCTCACACCTATCCTGTTTTCTTTTTTCTTTCGGCAAACTTAACCATCTTCATCATCATCATCTCTAAGATTTGTATCTACTAAGAACAGCGAAAATATGGCGGAACCAAAACCGCTTCCTACAGCCATCTCGGCGCTCGACACTCTCCGACGAGTCTTGTCCACGGAATCGACCGACGCAATCCCCGACCACGATGTACTGGACCAAAATTCGTTGTCGACGCGAATTATTGGGCGAAGCGAGCGAAATACAATTTACGAGTTCTTCGGGACGGGATCGGTTGTAAAACTCATGAGAGAGCCCAACTTCAAGCTGTGGCATGACGAATGGTTGCAGGCCGGCAATGTGTTCAGCGGAATTCTCAAAGCGGAAATAGACCTGCTTGGTCTGCCTTCGGCAGCACCAAGCTTCCCTAGTTCCCATAACTTACAAGTACCTGGGAGCAGAAACCGACCGGCTTTGGCCCGAGTTCCGGCGCAGGGTGGCACCTGGCAGCCCAGAGTAGGTCAAGGGCATTGTCATGGATCGCATACACCCCTTGCCGGAGGATGCCCGGCTGGCCCTGATCGCGCTTTACTTCACGGAGCGAGACCAGCCAATAGCTCTTCGCAACCCGGAAAATGATGAGTGTCTCGTGCGGCCCTACTTTGGGCAGAATGCGCCTCCCGCAGCGCCTGCGCGCCGCAGTCTTCGCGATTTCATACTCTACTACGACCAGATGAGTTTAATCGGAATCGACATGGAAAGTGCCGTTCGGGAGATCGCCCTGGGCCTCGCGGTGCTGCACTATTTCGTACGAATAGATGCTCGCGGGGTTGAGTTTGTCTTTGGCTCTGCCCACACAATCGAGGGTGAGCCTGACGCGGAGATCCCGCGCCGCCAAACGCGAATCTGGATGCTAGACTTTGACAAAACAAACAAGATTGATATTGAAAACAGCGATTGTGTTGGGCAACTCGTCTCGGCCGCCGTTGATACCTTGCCTTATATTCCTCGGCCAGGAGTGGACAGCGAGCTCTGGCGCGTCTTTTCCGACGCATACACGCTATTTTCCACACGATTTGTCGGGGAAATTGTCCACTACACCAACGAATGGTGGTGGAGCCATCATTGCAAAAGCCCTATTATTGCCAGTGTCCCGGGTCAGTTTCTTTCACAACTTGAAGAGGCCTTTGAGAGTCGATAAGCTCCCAGCCAAGGCTCAGCAACCTGATTAAGACCTTTATCTTTAGAGCGGTTGATTCTTAAGCGAGCATAGAGCGTTGTGTTTAATGAGAAACAAGAAAAGTCCCGAATAGAAGAAGGAAAAGAAGATGCACCATCATTTAGAACCAACTATAGTCACTTAACTACGGATCCTGGTAATACAATTGCGGCTAGACATCGTCAGTCACGTTTCTTCATCAATGAATATCGTGATATGTGGATGAGGTCCGGTAGCTTACATCTTCCTACAGAGGGCATATCAGCCATGTTCTAACCCTAGTCTACACGAACTAGCTGCAGATCTCCGGCCAGGATGCCAATCACGTTCAGAGAGTCTCCAGACCTCTAAGAGCGGCGTTCTTGGCCACAAAAAGGAGCGAGGTCTGACCCACATCGATGCTGGCAGGTGGTATCCTGATTGGTTCACCACAGGTTTCTCCATCCATCAACGACATCTAAAAAGGACGAGAGGAGCATCTGACGAGCAGTATTTCTGAGACAATGGATTTAGTGTCTTCAATGAACGTTGTGTACTAATTTAGGCGGTGAGAAAGGCAACTACAGTCAAGAAGCGTGCGAGGTGTCATTGGCAGCTGTCATCCCAGCCGATCCCCGTTCAGTGTCCCACCGTGCACAACCAGCTGTTAGTTCCAGGTGCGGATCCTATTCGGGTCTTTCTAACCGCGTTCTGCATCTTACCGTCCGTCTGTATCCCGTTGTGGTCGACCGAACTCTGTATTGGACATGCTGCAGAAGGACCTGCGCACCAAGGTATGCCAAGAGGGTGCCGCGTGCGCGGTTGACGGGAATATCATTCTGACAGTTTCTGATTTGAACTCCTCCTTTCTCACAATACTCAGTCACATTCCATGTGTGCGCCTGTAGGTGGTTCTTCCTTTGAGGCAGGTAAATGGATACGGATACGACAGTCACAAGATAAGACGCGTCTTTTGCAAACCGTCACCGAGCTTCTTTAGTTACATGGGGATTTCGCCAATCCCTCGCGACATTGAGTGGGCCAAATCCAAGAATGGAACAAAATGCACTGCGTGTGCGAAGATCGGGAGCGAGCAATCAGAAAACCGATGTATTCAATGTCCCTAGCCTCATGCTCAGCGCTTTCATCACAGCCAAGCGACGAATGGCCTCCGAGAGATTGACCACGTACCTCTTATACCTACTTTCTTCCTACAGGAGTGGTCAGAGGAGATACATCATTGATATGCACGTCCATTACACCCTCATATGATCCGCACACCCTAACCTTTGATCAATACTACTATGGCAGATGCTGGCATCGTCCGTCCTCGCCACACTAGCAGATTCTTGCCAGCCTTTACGCAACTCGACAGTCGAAGAAGTCCAAATGTGGGCCTGTCTCCCTCTATAGCACACTAATCTTTAAGAAGCTAGCATATTTTGCATATTGTCTGGCAAGGCATGAAAACCGCCTGTCCATTCGGCCAGAGAGCCGGTGTGTGTGGATCCCAACACCCGTTTCCATTATGCGTAAGCGGAAGTTTCGCAGTCGCGCTGAACCATGAAAAAAGGCGCTCTAATAGTTCCCTTACTCCCTGCACCAGTCGAGGATTCAACCAATGGCCTCTCCTATCATAAATCGCCCGGAGTCTAGGCCTATCTGAGTAGATTCTATGGCACCGAGTATCTTCTTCAGTCACGCACAACCAAGAGTAAAAGCAACAAAGCTGCATCCAAGCCCAATCACCCAGAGATCTTATCCAACAGAAAATCAGCACATCATCCCTTTTGAATTTTCTCCGGTCCTAGCAGCTGGCGGTATCTATGGAGCCCCCTTTCAAGTGTCTGCTTTCGGCGGCGGGAAATAATCCACCATTCAAAAGAACATCACATGCGTCTCCACGCCTCCCCTCCTTCTCATAACCCTGAGGCGTTTGGCCTTGGACAGGCGCCGATCCTCCCACCATTCTTCCCCATCCCACGGCTTGTACTCACGTCCAGGGTGATAGTTTCAACGACTCGGCCCGTCCCACCTCCGATAACCGGGCCAGATTCTTGTTTAGCCGTTCCTAGCTGCCGGTACTAGCATGCTATCCTCGCCTCTGCAGACCAGCGAGAAGCTAGCTTGACATCCCGACAGGGAGGCTCCCCATTTTTTCAGCCAGTATCATTTTGTGGATTTATTTCGCTCTCGGATAGACAGTTTCTCACACCTCCTTGCTTCTCCGCTATCCACTTGATACCAGGCCACACCACGTTCAAGAGCACAGCCAACTGACCGGTTTCGATGTGATACGAGTCCGAGGCAGAGCAGTCCTCCCGGCCGTGCCCGCCGGCTCCGCCCACGCACGGGTTTTAGAGCGGTTAGAAGCGGAGCAAAAACGCCAAACAGCTGTGTAGAAGAGGGAAAGATCCGCCTTTAGATTCGACCACAAAGGATCTATTGAATGCATGTCTCTAACGTCTTCATGCATCTATTCGCGCCCCAAACGTCCCTGCCCATGATCTCAATGTCATAGTGAGCACCATACCTCCACAGAAACGTTCCCATTGCCGCCGGCAATATCATTTCTACACTAACGCCATGGGCTTGCTAGCCCCTCGGTCCGTAGAAGCCGTGCAGAGGCGAATCCATCGTCCATGTTTAGTTCACGACAGTTGGACCCAATCATCCGCACCATGATGGAACCCGAGGATTCCATGGAGTGAGTCGCGGCCAAAGGGAGGCTAGTCGGCTAGCTAGTTTTGAGACGCCCGAGGGAATTTTCGAGGGGATGCCCCAAGGGTGGAAGACTGGCGCATGGAGATTCGGGGAAATAGTTGGTTGAATGACTTGAAAGAGCGTAAATAGCTAATATAAAATGATTAGATCCTCCCAGGGTCACCACGTCCGCGCTACCAGCATGCGAATTCATAAAGACCAGCACAGTCATACGCATCTTCACCTTCTTCTTCTGTCTCCTCTTGAGATCCCGACATCCTTGCCCATTTAGCTATGCCTAGCACAACACCGGTCATGTTCTCCGGACTTGCCCCTGTTATCCAGCAATGGGCCTCTAAGCTTCCGGGCAAAGTGGCAATCGTTGATGCTGGCCGAAAAGTCACTTACCAAGAGCTAGATGCGTTCGCCAAACAATTTGCTGTCCAACTTCTCCAAGGAGGCCTGAAGTACGAAGACCCCGTTGCTATTCTGACCCGCCATGGGGCGGACCACATCGTAGCCCAAGCTTCCATTCTCTATGCCGGCGGCACTTGCCTTCCGCTAGACCCTTCTTTGACTTTATCGGATATGCAGACGAGAGTCGACGCCGCCAAAGTGCAGTTCCTGATCACGGATGAGACCTACCAGTCAACCACCATTGCAGTTACTTCCCGGTTCGTCGTAACACCCACTACGGACCATGGCACCCTAGCGCCCCCAATAGGGGAGAGGAAGCCCTGGTCCCAGACGTCCCGGCATCCGTACAAGAGGATCACCGCTCTCATATTCTCTTCACCTCCGGGACCACTGGGACACCCAAGGCTGTTCAGGTTCCCGGCCGGGGCATCCTTCGCCTCGCCCATGATCCTACCTGCTTCCCCAGCCCATGTTCCGAAGCTGTGCTCGGCCACTTTTCCAGCGTCGGTTTCGACGCCTCCTCATCGACATCTACGGCGCGTTATTGAACGGGGCCACCATCGCAGTGATCGATCGGCAAGCAGCCCTGAGCCCCGATTTGCTAGCCGAGGCTATTCATAGTGCTGGTATCACATCCATGTTCCTTACCTCGAGCCTCTTCAATATAGTGGCGCTTGCTCGCCCTGACGCTTTCGAAAAGATGGACACACTCATGGTCGGGGTGAATCTCCCGGCCTGCGTGCTTTACAAGCCCTTTTCGACCACGGCCGCCGCGGCGGATTATAAACGGATACGGCCCCACGGAGTGTTGCGTTTTCGCCGTTGTCCATGTCATCACACCGGCCGAGGTCCACGCAGGAGTAGTCCCTATTGGCAAGGCACTTTATGACACTCAAACTTATGTACTTGAGGATGACCTGAAACCCGTTGTCGGGGAGGGGACCGGTCAGCTCTATCTCGGCGGGATCGGTCTTTCAAGGGGATACCTTGGCAATGAGGAGAAGACGAGGGAGGTATTCTTCGAGGTTCCGGGCCTTGGGCCTCGAGACGAGGCCATCCTCGTTTACCGTACTGGTGATATTGTCAAGCGCAACGCTCAGGGAGATATGGTATGGATGGGACGCAAAGACAGAGAGGTCAAACTCCGCGGCTTCCGCGTCAACCTTGACGTGGTTGAGGCGGAACTCCTGTCCACCCATCTGATTAGAGCCACCGCCGCAATCAAAGTCCAGCTCCCAGACCAATTGTCCGCGTCTCTCGTTGCGTGCGTCTCCCTCAAGGACCCGAGCATCAGTACAGCCGTCCTTGATGCAGCGGTTAGAAAACGGCTGCCCGCTCATATGGTCCCGCAACTCGTCGTGCTGGATGACATGCCCCTCAACCGAAGCGGTAAAATTGACCGGCAAAGGGTGTCCAAAAACCTAGTGACGGCTCTACAGCGTATGCAGGATGGCCGTGAGGGAATCCTCGGCGGTGATTGCCCAGATAGCGGGCTCACTGACACCGAGAAACGGGTCGCGGTCGTGTGGCTGCGGGTCCTTGGCACGGTACCTGCCTCGAGCATCACGCGCAACTCAGAGTTCTTCGCACTCGGTGCCACATCCTTAGCCGTGGTCGCTCTCATCGGCGAGGTCCGCCGCACGTTCGACGTCTCCTCACCGCGCGGGCCGTCTATGAGCACCCTACTCTGGGTGGTCTTGCCTCGGTCATCGACAGAAGAGACGCGGTAGATGATTTCAGGGACATCGAACTCCTCAAAGAGCAGTGCAAACGTGACGCAGGGTTGTGGAGCACCATAACCTGGTCAGAGCGCACACCCCGAGTACGGAACTGGATGGCCAGTGATGAAGGCAAAGTCTTCATCACGGGAGCAACCGGCTTCGTCGGTGCATTTCTCCTCGCAGATCTCCTCGCCTTGCAGGAAGTCAAGGCCGTTAAATGTCTCGTTCGTTCCCGGTCGCCCGACGAGGGCCGCAGGCGACTTGTCGCCAACCTCAAAAAGTACAATCTCGGAGAATGCCATCCCGATCTTCTCTGCAAGCTCGAGGTCGTCAGCGGTGACTTTTCGCTACCGAAATTTGGCCTCCCGGATGGGGACTTTGCCTCCCTAGCAGGATGGGCAAGCGTCGTGTACCACCTAGGTGCGCAAGTCAACTATAATCAGCCCTACTCGGCGCACCGGGCAGCCAACGTTCTTGGCACCTTGCATATGCTCCAGTTCGCAGTCACCGGGAGGGTCAAGCCTTTGCACTACACGTCGAGTATCGCTGCGTACGGACCCACGCGTCTAGCTGGTCGCGACGTCATCTCCGAGGATGAGCCTTTAACCCCTTTTATTGAATCCTCGGTGCTCTACGAGGGAGGCTACGGACAAAGCCAGTGGGTGGCAGATGAGATCGTGGCAGCCTTGATGCGGAAGGGCCTCCCTGCAGCGATCTATAGACTAGGATTTGTCTTGTGCCACAGTAAAACCGGGGTAGGGAATCCGGATGACTTTGTAGGCCGGCTGCTAGTCGATTGCGTCGGGAGGAAGGCGTACCCTTTACTGAAGAATCAACGCAAGGAGCTGCTCCCAGTCGATTACGCTGCCTCGGCCATTTTGGCCATCTCGAAACAAGGCGAAAATCTTGGCAAGGGGTACCACATCATCCCGGATATGGGGAAAGCTCTCGATCTGATTGACCTATTTGAGATGACCGCCAGTGCTACAGGTATCGAGATGAGGGGCATCGAGTACTCGAGTTGGGTGGAAAATGTGAAGGCAGGCAATGACTCGGCGTGCCGGCTGGGACCACTCGTGCCAATGCTCGAGGAACGAGTGCGGGGAGAGCAAACGCGCTGGGAGCTTTACGAGGATATGGCGAGGTTCAAGTCCGACAATACAGCACGGGCACTGAAGATGGACGGAGGAGTACAGCGGATGCATGTTGATGAGGATGTACTTAGGAGGTATCTCCACACTTTGGGTCTTTCGACGAAGTGAGTGAACACGAAGTGGCTGAAGCGATTTCTACACTTTTTGTTTCTTACGTCGCCTCTAGTGTTTTCTCGGCGCAGCCCCTGCCATCACTCTTCATTTCCATCAAGTCCAGAAACCGCGTGCTATAGACCAGGGCATAAGGTAAACGGACGCTTGCTTTCTTTTCCTATAGATCGTTACAGGGGAGCCCAGCCGTTTAATGTCACATGGCAAAAGACTCTCAAAGCTTTGCTTCTTCATCATTCAACGCAATCGTCTCCACTCCAGCCTATCTCTCCCAGGAGGCTCATCCCAACCCTTGCCTGCTCCCATACGATTGCATAGAAATGCGCCTGTGACAGCCGTCGTTTCAATATTGTACGACTCGACTACCATGCTCTTGGCAGAAAGCAAAAGCAACCCTTCAGCCGCCCCTACTCGGCCTCTCAAGGAGGGCTGCCCGGGTTATGCACCAAGGAGCAATGTCTCGGGAATCTCTTGAGAATGCCGACCTGTGACATCTGCATTACATCCATCCATCCTCGGTAAAAGCCATCAAGTTTCGCGTGACAGCTGCAAAACATGGAACCTAGCAAGACCGACATTTTGAAGTGGGCTTCCGGTAGGCTTGCACTCGTAACTATGCGCTAGGTGAAGATTCTCACGATGAGCGCGAAACCCCTGAACATCTCCATTGAGAGGAATGCTAACACGGCCACTTGGTTGCGATAGCGACCTATCTTCATAATGGACAATCCAGGCTTTACTCACCACATACGACCATAGCTCGTAGAAAATTGAGGGTCCCGTCCGCTCCCTGTACACAAGCTGCGAAGCGCCGGACTAGTAGTTGGGTCGGTGACGACCAGCGAATCCCCGGTTTTGTATGTTTTTTTTTTTTTTGGCGTCCTTTCTTTTCTGCCTTGTTCTTGACAGTCGCAGGCGCCCGCCACTGATCCCTGTTTCCCTCAAAATAAGTAACGGGTTGGTTGAGCTTATTCACCCTCGCCAAATGCAAGTGCCTGGATTCGAAGCAAGGTCGACCTGCAGCCAAGAAATGAAAAATAAAAACAGACAGAAGGCAAAAAAGAGAGATGAAAAGACGGAGGAGGACAGGAGACTGAATTGATTCAAATCACGAAGGGTTAATTTTACGCGAGGTCATAATGTCTCTCCAACTATCCTATTTCGACGTATTGGTGTCAGTTTTGTTCCGCTTGTTGTCTCACGCAGCGTTGCTTCTTCTCGGGCGACGACTCAGACGCACCAAAAGTGCATGGAACCACCTACAAGGGACCGTTGCCTATAGTGTATTGAAAGGAAAGGGGGAAAAACAAAAGAAGAATGGAAAAATAGACGTAAAGAGAGCCCTGGCCGGGAGAAATACCCCGAAGTGTCCTCGGAAAAGTGAGATATGTGTCAGTCCCCTGAGAAGTCCATCAGCCGATTGATGATCGACTCGCTTACATGCGGGTAGGCAAACCCTTGATCGCCTGCGTTCCTGCATGTCCGGGATCTAGGGACCAGTTCAGAAAGGAGCACAGGACTTACCTCTCGGCCTCTCACGAGGATTAGCACAAGTTTTATCGAGCCGCACAAATGCGGCAGATTAACAAGCCAAAGGCAAGGGAGGGCGATGGTGGCCTCAAGAGAGTGAGTGGACCCTACAAAATGTAATGGATGTCACCAGCGTGCGTGCACCTCCAAGTTTACCGTTTTTAGACATGAAAGCAATTCCATTAATACAAAGGAAAATGTAATGTTTCAAAGGATATTCTTTGAAGCTAGCTAGATACATGTGAACATTCCTCGAGTTCTAGAAAAGTTACCAAAAGTCCCAAGCTGTCCAGCATATTATCAAAGTCAAGACTTTGTATTTGGATTGCGGCAACCCGTGATCCCGTACCTAAAGCGCGCACGATGTAGTATGCCGTGCGGCTGCCTTGAGGTGGCGAGGGGCATGCCTTTAGTCCACTTAGAAGGCAAGAGCCAGGGCGAGGGCAAGAGCACCAGCGCCGAAGATAGTCTTGCCAGCACCGGCAGTGACGAAGCCGCCGGAGCCGCCATCGGAGCCGGAGCCGGAGCCGGAGCCACCAGCGCCGGAGCCGGAACCAGAGCCACCGGCACCAGAGCCAGAGCCAGAGCCACCAGCGCCGGAGCCAGAGCCAGAGCCAGAGCCAGAGCCGGAGCCGGAGCCGGAGCCGCCAGCACCAGAGCCAGAGCCGCCGTTGCCACCGTTGCCACCGTTGCCGCCGTTGCCTCCGTTGCCGCCGCCGTTGCCGCCGCCGTTGCCGCCATTGCCTCCGTTGCCGCCGTTGCCTCCGTTGCCACCGTTGCCGCCACCGTTACCACCGTTGCCTCCGTTGCCTCCGTGGCCACCGTTGCCACCGTTGCCACCGCCGTTTCCACCGTTGCCGCCGTTGCCTCCGTTACCACCGTTGCCGCCGTGACCACCACCGTGACCGCCGTTACCACCGTTACCACCATTGCCGCCGTTGCCACCGTTGCCACCACCGTGCTGAGGGGGCTTGGGGTGAGGCTTAGGAGGAGAAGGAGGGCCGGGGGCTTAGGCTTGTGGGTAGGAGCAGGGGAGGCTTGGGCTTGGGGCACCAAGGACCCTCGCAGTCATCGGGGCAGTAGGTGGTGGTGATGGTCTTGGTATCCGTCTTGGTGGAGGTGGAGCAGAAACCAGTGCTGGGGCAGGTGACAATGGTAGTAGTGTCAGTGGTTGTGAAAGTAGTGGTCTCGGTAACGGGGACCGTGACGGTGGTGGGGTCCTGGATGTCGGCGCGAATGTAGAGGTTGATATAGATGCCGCCAGGGAGGGCACGACGACCGACGACAGCATCACCACCACAGGTCTGTTCGGCGTTGCCGGGGCAAGGAATGTCGCATTGGGCATCATCGACAAGGTTGTCACTCTGGTTGCCAGAGTCGGCACAGTAGCAGTCGGCATCGTGGACACCGAAGTAAGCAGCATCTTGGCAAGAGGCGGCGCATTCTTCGATATCGTTGGTTGCTGCGCTGTACCTGAGCGTGAACTCCTCCGAGTCGCTACCAGGACCAGCGCAGCCGAGGTCGACGAACCCGCCGACGGCGGTGGGGTTGGGGGCCCTTCCAGTGACGGTGGCGGTGGAGCTGCTGCCACTGGAGGAGGTGCCGGTCCCAGTGGAAGTGGGCTCGTCAGAGGTGGTGAGCTCCGTGCTGCTGGTGGCAGACTCGGTCGCAGTGTTGGTATCGGTGCTCGCAACGGTGGTGGTGTTGCTCACGGCCTGACGACGGAGGAGGGGTAGTCGCCCGGGAGTCCCGCAGCGGAGGCGAGGACGGGGAGGGCCATGCCCAGCAGGATGCTCTCGGAGAACTTCATCTTGCGAACCTTTCAGGCAGAAGAAAAAAAAAGGAATGAGAGATATTAAGATATTAATAAAATAAGAAGCGAGTGTAAGTGCTAGGCACAGGCCTTTGGCAAGAGAGAGCAGCCGGCGAGTGGGAAGTGCTGTTGCGAAACGAGTGAATTGCTAGAGAAGCTGGTTGGTGATGGTGACAAGAAGAAAGAATCGAAATCAAGTTGGGAAATCCCACCTGCTTTATACCCAACTCGTTCCTATAGAAAGTCAAGAGTGTCCAGGAAGGGTAAAAAGGAAGAATGGGGAAAAGAAACAACAACAACAGAGGCCCCCCTCCTTCCTCCGCGTCCCCGTCCCAGAGCCTCAGCTCGGACAACAGGCCAATGCAAGACAAGGAAGTGGAAAACATAATCCAAGGAGCAAGGCTTGTGAGACCTTCTCCATCTTCATCGAAGTGTAATGACAAAAACGACCGGGGGTATCGTGTCCTGAGGGTCTGTGAGGGACGGAACCAAAACAAGGGAAAAAAAGAAACAAGAAAAAAAGAAAAAAAGAAAGATCCCCACATGGGTATAAGCCGGCAGTAGTGTGCCCGAGATGTAGGTACCTCGGGACACCATCTTTTACCTCGCAGATGTGCCGTCGCATCGGCGCTGCAGGCGAGGGATGGGTGAGGTAGACTAGGGTATCGGCGGAGCAGGGGAGTACATGCCGAAGGAGCAAGCCTTCCCGATCAGCCCGCTCGGCCAGTGTACGCTGTCGAGCAGGGTATCCCACCGGAAGAGAAACGTCTCTATCCTTTCATTGCACTGGATCCCAGTTTAGATAGTACGGCCGCCGTCCTTTTGATGAGACCAACCTAATAAAAGGGAGTGCTCACCTATGGAGTATTGGGATGCGCAAGCGAGCAATAGATGACCGAAACACAGTGGAGAAGAGGGTCGAGAATATCCATCCCACGTACTCAACTAGAGGTACGGGGACCAAAACAGAGGAGCCCAGGCCCTACCTAGTAGGCAAGGACCGGCAAACGGTAAAAGACAGCAGAGGAGGGGGAAGGGGGGCTCGTGGCAAGTCGAGGGATAGGCAGGGTTCGGTGACTGAGAGAACGGTCCTTCCTGCGTCTAGCTCCGGCGAGGCAGCGTTCCATAACGCTGTGTGAGACAGCTTGGAATGAGGCAATTTGGAGGGAGGCGTTCTCGACAGGGCCAAACAGCCAAGAGTCGAGGCCCAAACTGCAGGGGCAAGGCGGCCGAGGAGAGGGAAGTGGAGCAAAACGAAGTGGCCAAGACAAAGTCTATCTATCCGGACCTTGCAGGGAAAGAGGGAGAGAGAGAGGGAGGGTTGTCACCTGCGGGAGGGAAAGGGCCTGCACAAAAGCAAGTTCTTAGGATAGACGTGTTCCAGATCCGGGGTAGGTCCCTCGCTTGTACCCGCGCCGTATCCCGGGTCGGACGAACGACACCCAAGACGAACGATTTCACAGGAAAATATACATTGCCGGGTACGACGTCGCGGGATTCTCGAGGCCAACTTATCCAAGGGGGCAATGTCTCAAGCGCTACGATAGTCGGGTGCTGGAAAAAGGAAAGCTGGGCGAGGAAGAAGCAAGCACAGGTGGAGTGGGGGCGGCGAGTGGTAGAGGCAGCCTCGGAATCCGTACCAGCGGGTTCTTGATTTTCGGAAGGAAAACGCGAATGGGCTCGCATGTACTATTGCATCAATAGTAGCCACATGCAATATCCAATACATGGAATCCCTCCTGCCAGGCTGCGAGCCGGGGCGCCGTAGCCTGCGACAGGCGCAAAAGACAATGTGTCCGAGGTTCCTAGTTTTTTCTCGAGAGACACAGCACAAGCGAATCGTTTGCCCCCACCAATTTCCGCGTGTACAGCGAGATGAGCCAAAATTAGCATCATCCAGTCATCCTATGGATACCTCGGTAGGGAGTCAACAGTGGCACGCTCTTACACACACGATTGCCATGCTTTCCCCCATGAAGCCACACTTTTGACGTCACCCCCGGTAGTAGATTTGATTTCCCAGCTTTGTTCGACACGAGTTCGACCTTGGTAAGCCAAAGGACTCGCATTTTGAGACTACCGACCAAGGCTCTCGCAGGCCCTGTTTGTTCACTTGAGGAAAGGAGCAGCGCTGTGTTATTGTTCAAATCTCTTCTGGTCATAGTCCTTCTTACCCCCTAGCTCAGAGTGTGTTCCTTGGTTTTTTGTCTTTTTCTTTCGTTTTCATTTAATTTCTGGCCCGCTCTTCTGGCGATCCCTAAACATATATCGCACATCACTCTCACGCCCGCCCATGCCCCCATGGACCGGGATGCGGCGCGGGACTCAAACCGCTCCGAGGTCGAGGCACAGTGGCTTTTCCGCCCGCCGTTATCCACTTCCTTCATCTGTTTCACTCTCTTCAGACCAGACTAGCGAGGCCTCTAGCAAAAGGTCGACAGACAACCCAATAGCCCAACGTCTAATACACCCAGTTAGCTCGGTCCCTACGTGTTCCTTCGAGTCGTCAAGGCCCAGCGGATCCGCCGGGTCCGCTCGCATCCCCTCGGGAGATATGGCTGATTCTGATTCAAAAAGATTTCGCTCCCATTCTTCGATCCAAACGGGTGAACACCGTTGCCACGTCCGAGGAACCGCTGTTGCAGATGGTTCTTGAGCGCACGGGTCTTGTCTATCGTCTCTCTCTCCTCCGGAGAGATCTCTCCTGTTTTTCGCTTCCCTCTTGATATCACATTTCCACTCCTTCGAGGGCCATCTCATGGTCGTCGTGAACCACGATGCCGATCCCGATCTCCCACGGTATAGATTGTTCTATTCCTGTAAAATGGCAGTGGATCCATTCACCATCCCAGTGGAACAAAAGTCCGGAGAGATCACCCTCGATAACACGACAAAAGTTGATCGATCAAAATATGAAGAAAGTCACCTGCCTTGACCCGTCTATTCACTTCTTAGAGAGAGACAACATTGCAGCCCAGTAGCTATCAACTTTACTACACTAGCCACTGTGGTGCCAGGCCAGAAGACAACTAATTTGCCACTAGATAGCTTCCATTCAAACCCTAGGCTATACAGAGTCTGTAAGACACTTGCACGAGATCGCCCTAGTCCAGTGTCCCAACGAGCCAAAAGGAGTGTGATGGGCCTCTGATCATCCGGTGACAACATGAAGGGATCAAAGGGTCCATCTCGCATGCCTCTGCAGAACCACCTGCATGTTGTCCCCCGATTTTATCCTTTCTGTGGCTGTAACGCTTCTGTGATGCCAAACTGTCACAGGATGCATACTGCATCGTGCAGCTGACATCTCTGACGCTATACATATGTCAACAGGGAGAAAAAGAAAGGGCTAGCAATGCATAATCCTCTTCCTCATGACCTCACCTTCCTCCCTCCTCCAAGCCTTGCCCGCTCAAAGCTCGAATCGACACGCTTGTGATAGTCATCCATCCCTCTCAGTCCATGGCGAAACGGGGAGGACTCAGGCTGAGACTTGAAGAGACTAGCGCGGCATCGAATAAAGCGAGCGAGCGAGTGGGGTAGAGTAAACGGGGCAAAACCGGCACGATGCATTCTCGGAAAAAAGTGAGGTAATGGGACAACACACCTATCCCGCGAGAGAACGTGAGGAAGGTGTTCAAATGGGCGTGCTCGTAAATTACAGGGTGAGACCCCATGGCTCAGGGACTCGAACCATGCCCAAAGACTAGTTTTTGAAATAGCTAGGGTAAGGAGTGTCTATCCTTGAGACATTTTGAGAATCTTCCTCGATGCCCGATATGTGCGAGCTAGAGCCGCCACTTGGCGAACCTGTTTTTTTATTTTTCTCTCGCCGACCCTTCATCACTGTGGGCATAGCCCGACTCAACTCAACCCTGCTCAACACGTCTCAACTTAGTCTCCTCCACTCTTGGTTTGATACAGTAGGAGACACTCAGGGCCCATTGTAGCAGGTCTCTTGTCGTCCAGGGCAACACAAGACCTGACTTGCCATTCGACTGGATCGCGACAGGTCTACAAGGTTTCCATGCCAGGAGGAAAAGGAAATGGGAGGAGACTCTACAGATTCTTCATCTCTTCATCTATATATAACTTGTAGCCCACTCTTCTCTCATCTTATGGAGAACATCTTAATCCTGTTTTCTCCCTTCTGTGACCAATCTTCCATGGGCCCCTAGGATGTCTACAGACGCCAAAGGTACCATGCCGTTATCTCCCATGCCGCAAACATCTATGGGAGCATGTTCGTGCCGTCCACGGTCACCATCCTCCCAGTGTTTACGCATGCGGCACGTTCCATACGACAGATGAAACCTACCCCGGAGAGGGTTGCTATACTCAGATGCCAGTGCCCAGTCGCTTTGTCTTTTAGACTCGAGACCTTGCAGAAGTTCCCGTTCTTCTAGGAAAGTAGCCATCGGACACCAGTGAGATCGAACCTCGCATCTGACCATTTTCATGTTTTTGTTCCAACGACGACCTTGATAATCCGCTCAGCTGCCGCTTCCGCGACCATACATAGGATGCTTGACTATTTCAAGACGGGAGTCAACCCATGGGCGGTAGTCAAGAGCGGGAAAGAATCTTGTGGCTAGTGCATGTGATCATTCGTAAACCCTCCCATCGAAAGTCCCGTCTCTCCATATGTAAAGATCAAGCCCCTTGACGGCATCACACAACAAAATCCCTTCAGATTGATATATTCCGTAAAACCATACTCATTTAATGCATTGATGTAAAAATTGGTCAAGTAATACATGCAAAAATGACAGGCGGAGTCATCAGGATGTGAGGGATAAAAGCCCCCACGCACCGATAAGAGGGACAAAAAGAATTGATAAGAGTGAGATTCGAACTCACGCCCAGTTACCTGGACCAGGAATTATTTCGTTAAGCTAACCTTAACCTGGCGCCTTAGACCGCTCGGCCATCTTACCCGATTGCTTATTGAAAGTGGACTGCACAATTGGTGTCAACTTCCAAGTTTCGCTCGGCGCTTTCCCGACAGACATGGCAACGTGAAAATCAGGAGACGTCGGGGCGGAGGCTGTGGAAGCGGCGGATAATCCATGAGAATGAGAACTCTACATATTTAATATGATAATAAAAGAAGCCTACTTATACTATACAAGGGCGAAGAAAGGCAAAGTTTACTGCGGACACTAGATATAGTGTTCCGAATTATATTATTCGGCGCGTTCAAGGCATCTATATCTCATGTCATCCCGAGATCCTAGACGCCTCATAGGTCCTGGAATGTTAGTAGAGTTCGTTGAAAAATGTGTATATCTTCTTATTGCAATTGTAGAGTTTGAATTATCTTAGTTTAACAGTTTATAATATACTTTGTTTCTTATCTTAATAATATCTTGTAAATGGATAAAAACAAAACAATAAATTGGAGGCGATGTTGAGCCACCAAGAAATGCATGTGCTGCTAATAAATCCAGCGGTTGACGCTTGTGCGCCTACCCCTCCCACCTTTGCAGAGAATAGAAATATATATCCATCCATCCATCCATGGATATATTTAAACGATGAGAAACTCTTGAATATGGTGGACATGCCGGCGTTATGGGAGATGTAGCGTATACTGTTCCACTTTAACTTGGACACTTCGGTTGCTATTACATTGTTGAGAAAGAGATAGGCATACCATGGATTGGAAATAATATACATATATGGATCTTGAAACCGAAATATACCTCTCTCCTCTTATCACTAAACGCCATAGCATTCCTTTCCCGATATTAGAAGCAAGGGTCATGGTCGTTGTGCGAACGTAGAGATTTTAAAAGCTATATCTCGAAATGCTGGAATATATATATCCATGGATCCGTATATATGGATCAATTATCATGACATATTCAACCTCCGTTGCAATTATATTCCCCGACAGCCGCCCAACAACAATCTCACTCAAGTCTACCTTGTTTTGATGATAAGGAGCCAAGGAAAAGAAATATATTTATCCACGCATTCATTCAATGTGTGGGCGGCGTTGGAAGTCTGGAAGCCTCTCGACACCTCGAAGAATCCAAGCGTCCTCATGAGACAACGTTTATATATCGTAGGTACCTTTGGCATACTAGTTCCTAACCCTGATATATTGAATAGCAGATCCAATCAAGCAAGAAACGAGACCCCACACTCGAATCAGTTTAGGTTCTGAGGTCAACGTGTGCGAAGCACAAATATATGTAGCTCTAGGAATCATCAACACAATCCAGTCCGGGCTGTTATCTAGATAAACGTGTGATTGGTAGGGAACTGGGAGCAATTGCTCTACGCTCCATGGTCTTTTCAAAGCTTTGGGGTAGGAAACAAAAAACCATCTAGAAGGATACCCCCTTTGATAGTCGTGAATGCGAGGATAAACATGACTCGAGAGTCGGCCGGTCTATCTACCAAAGTTGCATTATGAGCCCCGAGAATTCGTGTCCTTCTCGTCGAGCATGCGATAGGGCTTGCGGAGATCGCGGCATAATTGATTATTACTTAGGCAATAAACAATACACCGGTTCACAAGTTGACATAGCGGTACCCACATCTGTGATAGTTCCCAGGCTCGATAACGCTACGTGTTGCTGTTACAAGAGGAGTCGCGCGCTTGCACCCTTAAGATATTATATATAGACGGCTTAATGGCCCTCATATACTACATGTAACGAGGAGATGGATCGAGATTTCTTTCTTGAAGGCTTTGCTGGGGAAGGCCCACCCTCTATACACAGCCAATGGATGGTCCAACCGTTCAAAGGTATCAACACCCTCGATGCACGTAGGTTCGTGAAAGATTTTCTCCAACTCACCAAGAAGAGGAGATTAAAGCGAGGAGATGAGCCGCCCGAAGAGAAGAGGGAACCCGCCCATGCAATACTTGGTTGCCAAAGATGAGGCGTCTCGATTTGATGAAGCCGAGTCTTTCAGCTCCTTCGACGCTGGAGGTTGCGGGTGAAGTCTACTAGGTAAACTCTGTCAATCACGTGAGACGAAGGATCCTGGGCTATTCCAATACATTGCGATTTCTACTTGAACACAAAACTCCAGGAATGATGAGGATCACTCCCCTTTATTAGGGCTCTCAAGTTTCCCCTCAAAGCGTAGGCGGGGTTGCCAAGGATGGCTGGGACTGGTGCTTATGTCGACTATTCTATGACTTCGGTACTTTGATGCGGCTTCCAAGCCTTGTGTTTAATATTCACTGTGTGACCAAAATGCCATCAAGCATCAACAGCGGGTTAATAAGGCCCCGAGGAAAGAAACCTTTGGCAAGGGCACCCTTCTTGGCAGGGAAAAGCCGAGATGATGAGAAAAAGTTTAGATTGGCTCCGGCCTTGTGCCAAGAGGAGGGAACGAGGGAGGGAGCGCGAGGGAGACTATTATTACCAAGAGAGCAACTTGGTCGAGAGAAGCAGGTGGCGCGTCTTGGACCGTGACTTCCAGTTTCCCAAAGAAACATTGAAAAATTCCCGGTCATCATGACACGAGCCGGTGGAGCAGGCGCGACCCGAATCGGAAGATGGACAAGGCTTGTGGGGATCCCATCTTGCCCATTCCCGTCAAGTCCCAAGGAGACGTGAATGGACACAGTGTTCGCCTGGGACACGACGTTTCGGGTCCCCGGCACTCTATTACTTGGACACAGAGCACTGGCATCAACTGCAATTCTGTTTCCTTGGCCGTGCGTCAATAGCTTGTTTTGCACGGACCAGTCGCGTCGATATGCTGTCACCGCACGCCGAGCTTTGCCTCTTTTCTCTCCATCGAATGGCGTTGGCGTTGGGGTTGGCCAGCATTGGTCATTGGTATTGGCATTGGCACACGCCAAACCGCACATTTACGCGCAAGCATCGATTGCTCTTTGGCGCCTTCCCTTCCTCGTGTGCGCCCCAGGCAATAATATCTCATACCATTAGCTGGGCAGGGGTAGCCCAAGTCGACAAAGCTCCCTCAAATCATAGGAAACCCCACCAGAGCTGTTTAGGTTCCTCAAAAAAGGAAAAGAAAAAAAGAACAGGAATTCGCTAGCTCCAATCCATCAGCTCGTCACAATTGCTTGCTCCATCCATCCCATCATCCATCCGCCCCAATTTTCCCTCGTCAGCAGCGTTCCATCTGGGCCTAGACGGCGGCCGCATCTTTCTCTTCTCCATCCCGTCTCGAAGTCCCTTTTTTTCGCCGCATTGGCCTTTCATCGCCTGTTTCCTCTCTCCTCTCTCCTCCTTCGCTTCATCTCCGCAAGACGGTTGGTTCGTAGACACTGTTTTTGCGTCTTTACTTTGGATGTGATTTTAAACCTTGGCCCGTTAGCTCCCAACGCCACCAACACTCGCCGCCACGTTGGGGTGAGCCAATCGCGACCTGCCCATTTTTGCCTTGCAGGATCGATCACAATTGTTTTTTTTTCTCCTCCCCTTCTCTCTCTCCCACAATCACCCTTGCCCTCATTATTCTTCCCTTGCTCGACCTGACCCCGGGTGTCCCGTGGCGCAGCTGCAGGCATCATCCCTTGACGCGACACCGAGAAGGCACATCTCACCTGACAACCAGGGGTAAGGAGGGAAAAAAACCCCCAAGCTCAAGGCCGAAAAAAACGTCGAGAGACGACACAGGAAAAAAACACCATGTCACCGATAGCTCCGCCCTCCTCATCAGTAGGAAACGATAATAAACAGGCATCAAGTGGGGTTCGGACAACACTTAGATGGTTGGGAGTCAACGCGCCGCAAACGCAGCAACAACAGGAGGAGCACGTCGCGCCGGACAAGACCGCCGCTCCACCGCAGCCAACGCAACACAAGATCCGTCGCCCTCTGCCCTCTAACCCGAGCGCCGCGAGCCTAGACGCGCCAGAGACCCAGATTCCATCACCGCGACACCGCCCAAGCCGAAAGCCTTTGTCACCGCTCTTAGGGCCCCACAAACGGAGCCGAAGCCGCGAAGTGCGCCGCCCGCCGCCGCGTCCTCGACCGACGAAAACGGGGGCAGTATCACCGTGTCCGGATCACAGCCTGTCGCTCCCGTTTCCCGGGCGCGGTATTCGATGGCGGCCGTAAGCAGCATCTTTTCACGCGCTCCATCATCCGTACAAGCGCAAAAGACGGAGACGATGGTGGAAGTTGGTATGTTTCTTGATTTCGTCGGGTTTCCCTTAGCCATCCTCATTAGGATGTTGCAACACGCAGCTCTGTCTCTCTTTTCTACCCCTCGACCATCGGTGTTCACCTTTATCGTGTCGACAAAGATGGTCGAACCCGGTGCGAGCCGGCGCACATCATTCTTCGTCTTCCTAACCAATCTCATACCACCAACCCGGGCGAGATACCTCGGAACACTGGGCGCGTCAGAGACCCGGCATTCGTTAAGTGATATAAAACTAACCGCGCCGTTTTCCGTGATGCCTAGAAAACTCAATCTCTGTAGAAGCCCCACGGCTAAAACGCGTTGCCAACCGCGACTCGGACAGCGCGTCCTCCCCGAGGACGAAATCAAGCGAAAGCCTCCGACGACGACGACGGCGGCGAAGATAGCGACGAGGAAGAAGACGCCGAGGAAGCCGACGAAGAAGCTACCCGAGAACGCGAACCGGACCGCGACGGAGAAGCTCCCTCCAGCCCCGCCTCGGGCAGGAAGCCGGCGCCCGGGTATCACGAGTCCATATGGGATCCTCCCTTCAGCCCCCAAGCGAAGAAGTCGTGGCAGCCGCGCGCCGCAGCCCGACGGCGGTCCTCGTCCGCCCAGAACCCCTAGCTCGGCCATTCGACGGAGCCTGCGCCATTCCAGCCCCGTCCTCGCCGATATGGACGAGGAGGGAAAGAGGAGGAGGAGGCGGAGGAGCAGCCGACCCGCGGCGCTGGGAAGAGGAGCGCGAGGACGAGGGTGGTCGGCGCGAAGACGAATGGCGCGACTACTACTACAGCTCCAGCCGCGCCCCAACCCACGGCCCGCCGGGGACGAAGTGACCGGCAGTCCGCCAAGGCGAAGGATACCGCTGCCGCCGCGACTACCTCCGCCGTCGACGCCGGTGCGGGAGCCGATTCAGACCTCGAGTCCGATTCGGAGTCGGTAACCGATGCGAGTAAATTCGAAATCTCCCAACTCGTCAATCATCGCCCGAGCAAAGACGGCGAGAACCTCTTCGAGCTCCAGGTCCTCTGGTACCACCCCGAGGACGCCGAGGCAGAAGACGTGACGTGGGAGCCCGAGGACGTGATTCACCGCGACGCGCCGACCCTCTTGTTCGCGTACTGGCGGTCCCTAAAGGGCGGGCGCGAGGCGCAGATGGACGACCCGGACCTCTGGTTCGTCTCCCACGTCAAGAACCATCGCGTCTCCCCGACGGCAGCAGGGTATCGCTGCACGTCTCCTGGATCGGGTCGCCGCAGGCCACGTGGGAGCCCGAGGCCAACGTGGAGGAGTCGTCGCCGGAGGCTGTGGCGGAGTACTGGGCGGCCAAGGGCGGGCGCGACAGGGTGATTTCGGGGGCGACGGCCAAGAAGAGGGGGCTACGCGTGGTGGAGGTCGAGGGGGTCGCGGTGGCTCGCGCAAGAGGATAAAGTCGTGAGGGGAGTAGGAATAGGGTATGGATAAAAGGGACGATGAGCAGACGAGCCAAACGGTGCCCTGTCAGACTCAGTGGTGTGGGCATGGCTTGATTCAAAGCAGAACAGAGCGAGAGAGACAGAGAGAGAGAGAGAGCGCGCAAAACGATTTGCGAACAGAGACAGATTACGCTGGCGGCTTATTTTGTACTGATAGATTTTCCCACGGTCGGAGGACACAACACGGCGGCTAGGAGGAGCCCGGGCTTCACTTTCCTTTTTTTTTTCTTCCCTTTGTTCTGCCTCCCCTTTCCTTGCCCTCTTTTTTCTGGTTTTTTTTTTTTTTTCCTTTTGTCGGGATTTCTTCTCTTGATCTCTCACCGTGTCTCTCTGGGCGTTGCTAGCTTTCTTTAAAGTGAATGGGCGAAGATTTGCATTCCTTTCTCATTTGGAAGGGATGATGATTTCCAATTGTGGGTAGCCAGTCTAGGTGTTGGTGTGTAATGTAAATGCAGCAGCGGCTTTTCGCAGCTGTTGGTGGTAAAATAACTTGAAGCTCAAGAGGTTTGCTTTTCTTTCCCGTTTATCCCCGCTGTTTGCCCGGGATTTCCAAAGCACTTTGAGGTTGAGGGCTTTCTGCCTGGGCTTCTACGACGCTCAGGAGCGTTTAGTGCACGAGCTTCGTACAGCGATTCTACGAGCTCACGGAGGTCCTCAACTCCTTTAACAACTATGTTGATACATGTACTGTAAGTCATGGTTCAACATAGGGCAGGGCAGCAAAAGGTCACAAAGGTACGGCACAACTCATATTTCCTCGTCATCCACGCTTGATTTTCTTAGGTTCTCAAATTCGTGTACATGTACGATATACCAATCTTTACTCTTGTTACTGTGGTTGATCACCAAGATATCTCCACCAAGTGACCCACAGCCAGCTCGTTTTCCAATGCTGGGTGAGCCCGAGCGAGAAAGAAAAGCGTATAGGGGAAAAGCCCCTTCCGCCGTGGTGAGGACAGGGCCCCGCCGACTTAAGCGTCAGTGTCGTTCTGCTTCTTTCGAAGGTCAAACACTTTAAGGGCTTCCTCGGCGGCCTTGACGCCACTGAGGGCCATGGCACCAAAGGTGGGGCCTGCAAACGGGGAGAGTGCTTGTCAGTACGAAAGTTTGACAGCGAGGGAAGGGCTGATTGATAGAGAAGGGAAGTGGCCTATAAGAAAGAAGGACCAGAGAAGAAGCAACTTACCCATGCGGTTGCAGCCGTCCATCTCGGAAAGCTCCATTCCGCCGACGATCAAGCCGGGGACGATCTCGCGGGTGTTCTTGACGATGGCGTCTTCGGCGCGGAGCATGTCGAGGCCGCGCATGCCGCCGAGCTTTTCGACGCGCTGCATGCTCACGAGACGCTTGACCGAAAAGGCACCCATGGGTCCTAGCGGCGGCGTATGTTAATATCTAGACTCTGAAGCAAAAAGAGGAGTGGAAGATGGAACGCCTGCGGCAAAGACAACACAAAAGGAGACTGTACTCACCATCATGGCCGGTGGTGGAAATCACAACGGGGGCGTTGATGGTGTTGGGGTCCATGCAGCTCTGGTCATCGTGGTGAAGGGAAACGAGGGTCCAGTTGGTCACGACGCCGGCGATGCGGACGCCGCCCTCGTGGGGGCGGGTGATGAGGTCCTCGACGGCGGTAGCGTTGAAAAGCTTCACATTGGGAAGGGCGAGGACCTTGGCGAGCACAGTCGAGGTGAAGAGAGCCGCGTGCTTCACGACGACAAAGTCGCCCTCGTCGTCAAAGGGGACACCCAGCTCAGCGAGGAAAGCATCAGCAGGCTTCCGCATGACCATGGCGGAGAAGAGCTGCCCGCCGAGCCACGCGCCGCCGCCGGGCGCGACACCGGCCTCGACAAGCGCGATGCGCAAGTCGGGCCGCAGGGTAGCGAGGGTGTAGGCGGCGGACAGGCCGCAGGAGCCGGCGCCGACGATGACGATGTCGGACTCGGCGTGGGCGTCGAGGTCGGCAAAGTAGCGGCGCGTCATGGCGCGGGAGACTTGCGATTCGCGGATGGGAGCGAAGGCGAAGTCGTCCCAGCGGCCAAACATGTCGGCGATGGGCTTGCTGAGGACGTTGGCGGCGGCGGCGGGTGCCGGGGTGGGGAGCTCGTGGGGTGGTTTGGTGAGGAGGGGGCGGCGAAGGTGGCCTCGGAGAAGGAGTCGCGAGCGGCGTGAGGGGCCATTTTTGTTCTTTGTTTTGGTTTTGGTTTTGGGTGGTTATATCACGTTAAACCTGTGGATGTTAGGAGAGGATGAACCTTTAAACGGAAAGGGGGAAAACTGCATGATCCTTTCGCTGGTATTATCCAGATTCAAGTTCAGGGCCGTATAATCTCAGCACACTCCGCCTCGGTCTCTCTTTTCCGTCCTCTTTTTCTCTCCATTCCCTGCCCTTCCTAGAATCATCTCGCGCGCCGTGATTCGCGCCCGTAAAGCAGGAATTGCTACGGGCGGGCATCACGGGGGCGATGAAGACGCAAGGCCGGGAAAAGAAGAAGAGTGTGAAAAAAGGAAGAAGAAAAGAGAGATGAGGGGAGAGGCACCGGCTCACGCATGACATATCATACAGTACCTGAAGACATCTTGACCATTGTGGATAGAAGACCATTGAAGGGATCCATGGCGAGGAGCGTCGTGGGTTGGGTGTACCAAGTTGGTTCCGAGCGGCGGACCTAAAGCGAGAACAGAAAGAAAACGGTTAGCTATTCCCAGTCCATGGCCGGATCTTACCTAGGAAAGGGAGAAGACTGGTGGTAAACTTGGAATAAAACGAGAGGCTTAGAGTACAGATAGATAGCTTGCTTAGTAGCGGGGATTGAATCGAGACGAGATAATACGTGGGCTACAGAGGGCGAAGAGACAAGATCGAAGTTTGAGCGAATACCAAGAACGGTGAGAAGATCAAAGGAGAACAATTTCACATTTTAACAATGGCGCAACGCTTCCCCTTTATATACCGGACCATTGCCCGAGTTTTCCCATGTCGTTTTCGTGGCCGAAGCGGAGAAGTAAGCCAAACCCCCACCTTTTGCTGCCGGGCAATCCTCTCCGTTGCCCCCGATTCCCCTCCTCTTGAAAACTCATCCACCGGGACAAAATGTCGCGTCTCGGTGCCCCCTCCTCAACGATTTTGATTACGAACCCCTTCAAGCAAACGGACAAATTACGCATAGTACCAAACTCTTGCATGCACGAATAGAGCGCAGATCCACATCCACCCGCGAGTATCCAGGGCTGGCCGTGTGTGGCCGAGACAGCTGTGGAGGGGGAACGTCGGAGGAAGAGGGGGTCAAGAGTGAGTGGGGAGCCACAAGCGAGGGCGGGATTTTAATCAAGATCGCACCCACTTGGAAACTCTAGGTATGTTGGCTTTTTTATTCTTTCGCTCGTCGTGGGGAAGGGGGAGGCAGTTTTTCCCCTCGACCTGGAAGGAGGGGGTAGCGGAAGGACATCGGAGGAAGAAATGTGGGGCACCGGGCTCAAGACCGCCGGCGCACCTCCGAGTTCGGCGGGGTTGGAAGAACCGGGCGAATTCGGGTTGCGGGCTTGCGCTCGGGTTTGGGTTCGGGCTCGGGCCCGGGCGCGCGTGAGATGAAAGGCAAGAGCCGGTGCGCGCAGAGAGCAGCGGCCCGCAATGCGTGTGGCGTAGTTACTTGTCAGAAAATTCGACAAGATAGGAAGGACATGGAGAAAAGAACTTGGATATCTGTATGCGCTGCGCTCATGGGGCTGTACAGGACCCCGGATCGCTCGCCCTCAGCCCATTGCCAACGAAGTGAGGGACCTACTCTACGAAAAATGAGGCCCAGACCACAAGAGAACCAAGATGAGGACGGTGGCTTTCTGCAAGTGTTTCTTTTCAACCCAAGAGTGGCTGCTCGTCTGTTGAGTCCCATGCCCCCATTCCATGAATGCGTCGACTCGGCCCAATGACGTGTACGGTTCGCTCCCCATGGGCAAAACCCAGTGCGTGCATGGGCGCCATCTGACAAAGAGCGTTGGTCCAGCCCCGGCACGCGGGTGACGTGCCCGGGAGCACCACCATTCACAAAAGAAAGCAAAAAAGCCCTTGGATCCAAAAGATAGAGCTAAGGTGTGTTTTCTGCAGAGACAAAAATGAAGAAAACGGTTTCTTGGGTCCGGAGAGGGGAAACTCGCTCGGCCGCATAGTATTGCGCACCAAGGTGGAATAGCGTCTTGCCGAGGCGTCCTCACGTGGAATGCCAAGGTCGCCCAAGGCCTGGGCAGGAATGACACGATCCTTGCGGTGAAGACTGCCTCTTCTGCTGTCTCGGCAAGCGCAGGCCGTCTAGTCCTTCATTGTCTCTTTTTTGTCTCTCTCTCTCTCTCCCTTTCTCCCTTCTTTTCACAAATTACTCTCTCTTTCTGCGTGTGTTCTTTGGCCCCTCCTTTCTTTCATTCTCTTTTCGGTCTTTCACTTTTGTTTTCTGTGCCTGGATGCACGCGCAGCTGCAGCTCCGATGCAACCTCAGCCCAGCCGCTGTTGCTTGCTGTCTGGGTACGTGCTGCCCGGTCTCGTCTCCGCAAAGCCCAGCACGCCGCACAAGCCCCGCGCGCGCGCAACCTCCGCCATCCGGGTCTGTCTATTCTGGGAATCTTGATGACTAGCGAATTCTCACCCAGCCCACCACACACCACACACCATCGTCATCAAGACCGAGCCAACGAGAGAGCGAGAAGAGCCTCAGACTCGAAAGGATGTGAGGAAAAGAAAAAAAAAAAAGGAAAAAAGGAAAGACGCCGATCGCCGAGAAACACCGGGTTTACTAGCGCAGGAAGGGAATCGTGCCTTGGATGTTTCCAGGTCAAAGCAGATACGAGGCGAGCGGGTGAAGAAGATGCGCAGGAAGTGATCATCGTCACTTGGTTCAAGCGGGAGCCTCGAACCCCCAAGAAAACCTGGGTCGAGCCCACCCCCAGAGAAACCAAATCCGTAATAGTCGGCCACAAGAACTCGGAGGATAGCAGCGACGTAGAGGGGGACATCCCAAGACTGGATAGCCCTGCGTAGATTGGATTTTTAATTTAATTGATCTCTGGGTGGGAAAGTTTGGCCCTCGACCCTGCCTCCGCCCTCCCCCTTCCCATCCTTTTTTTCCTCGCCTCGCCTCAATCCTTTCTCTGGTCGCGAGAAGGAACAAACCGATCAATATAACCTTAAGTGCCGTGAACCAGGGCATTAATCCATTAATGATCCATCTATGGATGGATATACATAGAGAGACGCACAAGAGACAGCGCGCGCGCGCGAACACGCCATGGAACGGACGCTTGCTGTTTCCATCCCATCGGGTCCTTCACGTTCTCCCCCAAATGTTGTTTGACGTTAATTGTTCCCCAATTCATCCTCCTCGAAACAGCAGGATCGCCAAATGGTCGTGGAGAAGTTTGGTACTCTTACTCTCTCGCCACCAACCAGCACAATTGAAAATAGAAATTGACGTAAGAAGGGGCTTTTCCGGTTCGCTCTTCAGCCTCCCTCCGTTCCCCGTTCCCCATTCCCTGTGCTATTCCCTCTCGGCCGCGACGCATGCACACAGCATTGAGCGCAGAAAACAACCCCTTTGAGCCCAACCCCAAGACAGTGAGTGCGTTTCTCCCTCCCCTAAAAGAGGGAAAAGGAGGATCACGAAGCGAGACACCCCAAGCCCTGCTCCTTCGTCAGCACCCAAATCCTCCGCAACGCTCCATTGTCGATCGCCGTCAATCGATCCTCTCTTTCCCTCTCTTCTTTTTTTTTGTTCCCTTTTTCTTGTATGTGTGTGTTTGTGTGTGCGTACGTGCGCGTTCTTCCTCCCGCCCAAGCAGACCCGGCACCCAGTGCTACCTCTCTCAGTCAGCGCGTGCTGTCACGATGTTCAATTCCGCCGAGTGCTGCGCGTGCGCCAATGGAGCCTGCTTCCGCGCCCTCCCCACGAGGAGACGGGGAAAGAAAAAGAAAAACCAGGGCGACATGAACCTCATCTGACCTTCCGTCTTTTCACACACGCCGTCTCCATCCACGACGCCAGTCTTCTCGGCGAGGACCAACCCATTTCCGGCTAACCCCCTTGTTATTCTTCTGCTTCCCGTGTCTTGGGACACGCTAACGAGAGGCACCCAGTCCGTGCCTCTCGACGTCTAAGCACCAACTCCAACTTGCCCTTCTCCAACGTCACCCGTCATCCGATGATCCCCAAGCCCCGGACCTTGGAGATACCGGCGCTTAGTGTACCGCTTCTTGGTCTTCGCACAACCAAACTCCATCCTTTACCTCTTTTACGAAGGAGAAGAGAGGTAGATCGGGGAAAAAGAGGGCAGGAGAAGGAAAGAGAAGGAGAAAAAAAAAGGCCTTGAATGTAACCACAAGTCATCCACATCCGTTCTCTCTTACCACCACTCCCCGAGCCCCGAGCCCCGAGCCGTCTCGCAAGGCCTCGAAGCTCTGCCCTCTCCAGCTCCCGATGGGGATTAGTACGATTTCGCCGAGATCTTTCCTTGTGTATCCCATCCTTTTTTCCTTGCCTCATCGTGCCATCGTGACTGCGACGCCACGAAGCCGCGCAGCTCAACGACATCCCAGCACCAAGTAAGCTGAAGATGGAAAAAGACGGGACCCAAACTTAGAGAAGGAGGAACGACACAAAAAAAGAATGCGCGCATACTCACGCCAGAGCTAAAGCAGGCTAGAGCTTAGCCAGCCACCACAGGTCCATCTCTCTTCTTCCCCCTTCCCTTTTTCTCCATCCCGCTTGACGTCCTACTCCCCGGAAACCCGGAAACGCATCTCGAACCTTTTGCCATCGGGCATTGGATCCCTGGATCTTGGACCGCTTGGAACTATTGAAATCGTACAGTTCATACCATCCACCCTTGTCCCGATCCCACCTCAAAGATGCAGACGGAGAAAGGGGAAGAGGTGTCGTCAGTGCCTGACCAAAGACCAAAAACCTCAGAATTAGCTTTGAAAAGTGAAGAGATGGAGATGAGTGTACAAAATGTGTGCGTCTAGTTCAGTATTTCTTTTTTTTTCTTTTTCGTTTTCTCCATTGGGGGCCAGAAAGGAGGGGTGAAAGAAAAGAGGCGCGCGCGGGCTGACAACCCCAGGCGAGCATCTTGGCCCCTTCCTCCCTTCGTACCTACCACCCCTTCCTGCCCACCTCAAGATAGGCTCCCATCCCACCACGCCCAGCTTCCATCGTGGCTCTGCCACAACCACAACCTCGCCCTCGCGACCATGCGATGACTGAGCTCCTCCGCTCGGATATCCTCCGCTCGGATGACACACACGCCCCTTTACCTTACCCCCTTCCCTTGTCTTCCCTTGCCTTAGCATCCTCTCCTATTCTCATCCGATGCCATCTCATCTTTCTCTTCTCGAGATCTAGATATAAAACCTCCCCATTCCCTTCGGCTATCCCTTCATCCTTTTTTCATCTTCATCCCCAACGCAATCAATCCTCAACAGCCACAACGCTAAAAACAACCAAAACAAACCTCATCTTACAACTCCTGTTATACCTTTCTTCTCCATCTCCATCTCTCTCTGTCTCCCAAACAGCCAAAATGATGCCCATCTCCAACCTCCTCTCCACCCTCCTCCTCCCCTCCTCGCCCTCTCCTCCCCCACCCCCTCCTCCCCTCGAAGCCCGCCAGTCCGACTCCCAAGTCCGCATCACCGCCCTCACCACCACCGGCGACGGCTGCCCCGCCGGCACCTACTCCACCTCCATCAACGCCGCCGGCACCATTGCCACCCTCGGCTTCGACGCCTACCAGGCCGCCGTCGGCCCCGGCGTCCCCGGCTCCGACCGCGAGAAGCACTGCGAGCTCTTCGTCACCCTCCGCTACCCCGTCGGCTGCACCGTCGCCACCCTCACCACCACCCACCACGGCTTCGCCCTCGCCCAGTCCGGCGTCTCCGCTACCATCGCCTCCACCTACAACCTCTCCCCCGGCTCCCTCACCAACGGCAGCCCCGCCAGCACCGTCCTCTCCGGCGCCGCGTGGGTCAACGGCGACACCTACACCCGCAACGACGTCACCCCCGCTCGTGTCTCCGTCGTCAGCCAGCAGCAGCGCGACGTCAGCTTCACCGTCCGCAGCAGGCTCTTCGTCTCCGCCAACAGCTCTACCCGCGAGGGTCTCGTCACCGCTGACGATGTCACCTTGACCGTCACCAGCCAGGCTGCTTGCTAGAGTGGTCTTCCTTTTTTCTTTTCCTCTCTTCTCTCTTTTCCCCTTGAGCCCCTTCTCTCTCGCCGCCCCCTCGGCGCGACAATGAACGGGAGTGAAGTGAGAATCGCCGTGCCGGGATGGACATGGTTTCACGCTTGTACATATTAACTTCTTGCAATTCGTTTGTTCTTGCACCGTACATTATTTAGCTCTCTGTTTTTTTTATCGTGTTTCTGTCTTTTATCTTTTCGAAGCGCAAAAGCTTCACGGTACTAGGCCTGCAGTCGGACGTAGCAGAGTCTCATAGTCACAGGGCTAGTCGTTAATCAAACTCGTTCCTCATTACAGTAAAATCCAACTTGGCCGTGATTGAACATCACTTGACTTTGACTTACATCGACGTTTGCACAGTGTCAACTCATCGTGGAGGATGAGGGATTCGAGGATTCGAGGCTGCTACTCCGCTTCGGCGAAGGAGCAAGCGCGCGCGCGCCCTCGTCTTAGACCCGCCACATATAACACCATCAAATCTCATCCTTCCAACCCCAAAACCGCAAAATTTCACTTCCAGTGTCTTGTACTGATATAAATCTTTCGTTTTATTTTATTTTCTGGCGACGCGTGTCAAATCTGACATACCCGCACATTGGTCATAACATTGAAGTGTCTTAGACGGCTTCATGAACAACAAGCACAACGCAGTATTGTACTGTACGTGGCCTGAGAGTGTTCAAGTTTTGGGGGAAATTTTGAGAAGAAGAAAAAAGCACGGCGTCTAACCAGAGAATTCCCGCCCTCTGCCGCGTACACAAAACTCTGGGGTACTAATAATACAGCAGCGCCAATCCTCCTCCAGATCAGCAGCCACATCAGCCTCATCCTTCAGAGGGGCTCAGGCCCGATGCTTTTGTCGGATAACAAAACCACGAGAGCAGGCAACAAAAAGGTCTTGTTTTAACCCGCTCCGCCATCAATGTCGCCTACCTGCCATTTCCGGCCACCAAGAGCAGTAGAAAAAGATGAAACCAAAGTCAACCCCGACCTCTCGGAAACCGACTCGTTTTCGTGCGTAAAAGGTATCATAAGGGAGTGAAAGAAGACAAAGGAGGAAAGGTAGAAAAAGAAGAAGAGGAAGAAGGCAACCACGGGAAAAAAGACCTGTAGTCTTGCTCCAGGAAAGCATACATGCCAAAAACACCAGTTGGAAACAGAACTTTTTCTTTTTGTTTCATTAGGACTTGTTGAAGCGCACCGGCGCAGGCCCGAAATAATCAATTGCACATCTATCGCGCGCGACCTGCCGAGCCCTGGCTTTCGTAACCGCCCTCGGAGATCCAAAACTCCGTCTTCTTGCGGATGCCAGACTCGAGCTCAACTCGCTACCATCGCTACGCGACATGGACACCTTGCGACGGGACTCGATAAGCGTCGCAGCGCGGTCGATGACAGATTCTCCGGCGCCGGAGCGGAGCTTGTCGGTGATGTGGCCCGAACGAGGGTTGGACTGCGAAAAGGAGGACCGGACGTAGTTGTTGCGGTCGCCGTACTTGCTGTCGTGGGGGTGGTTTGACCACGGAAGAAGTAAAGGTAGATCTGTCGCGAGAGCGCGAGGTTGGCGCCGATAACACCCAGGTAGAGCTCAAGGTTGGACCAAATGGCAGCGATAGCGTATACCCCTAGATTGATTTCATTTTGTTGGCAAAGGTCCCTCGAGCGTAGGCAATCCCAGCGATCAAAGAGAAGGGGAAAGAGGAAAGACTTACAAGTGAGATCGGTAGTAACGAGGCCGAGGGAGGCAGCACGAGCGATACCGAAGCCAGTAGCACTAAAAAGGAGTATGTTAGCGAACCCAATCTGAACGCTTTCTAGGATATCAAGTATAGTCACTTACACTAGACCCAAGCTCATCAGGCTGCAGGCCATGATCTTGGTCTTGAGAGGAATGCGCACCTTCCAGATGACGACAAGAGGCAGGAGCGAGCAAAGGAAATCGGTCAAGATAGAATAAGCTGTGCAGAAAAATGAGTTCGTTAGTCTCTGACTCTTTTCTTGGATTTTTTCCTGGCAGGAGAGGCTGTCGACTTACCAATGGTAAAGTAGATGGCATAAATGCGGACCTTGGGGGCCAGCACTTCGTCGCGGCACCCTCCAGTAACCAACGGGGCTACACTCGGCGAGAAGGATGACAATGACGCCAAAGTTGGTGATGACGAGGCCAGCCATTGCCGAGTACAGGACGATCTTGAGCTTCTTGGAGTCCTTCATTCGCATAATAAGTAGCATGATGGATACCTTGAGCAGGCAGATGCCGGAAAAGAGACAGATCTGCGCCCACCAGCCGAGTTGGTTGTTCATACGGTAGTCCTCTTCGTTGACGTATGGGCGATGCTTGCCGTTTCCGTAGCTCACCACCTGGACGATTTGCAAGCCATACCGGATGATGCTGATAACGGTGACAAGAGCCATGGTGGCATCGTCCAGGCCGAGAGTTCGCAGAGCGCCTCGCACCCACAGGCGGAGGGCGCTCGAGACACAAACAAAGAGGATCAGGACGCCCGACACGCCAAGAAGGAGAGGCCCGACATTCTCGTTGGGTGGGAGCGCGTCGCCACCGGCACCAACGGCGGACATCTTGTGCAAGTAGACGAAAAGAAGGTGGAATACTCCGGTCGTGAGGAGTCAAGAAGGAAGAGCGAGTTGATAATCGCCAAAGGAGAGACACAAAGAAAGCAACGTCGATCCTGTGCGATGTGATGTATCAAGTCCCCAAATCCGAGCCTCTGGGTGCCAAGGAAAGAAAGGAAGGATGAGTCCCACAGTTGAAATGTGTGACGAGAAGATGTGGAGAAAGGGGACGAGGAAAAAGGAATGAGGGATCCGAAGCCGTTGATATAATAATGGGAGATGCCGCGAACCGACTGGGTTGGACAAAGTAACAGTCGAGGTCTAACCAGGGGGTGAGGTTGAGAATATATGTGCTGGGTAGTACCAGGAAGAAACCCGAAAGCAGACCGGGTCCGACTCTGGAGGTATGGAAGCGGGAAGCTGGGGGTGTGAGCACCCGGGAGAAGATGTGAATGAAGAGGCGCAACGCTGCAAAAGCAAAGACGGCGATGCGAGGCGATCCACAGCGAGCTCTGGAACCGGGGAGAGGCGGTGCTTTTTACGTTTGCCCGTCACCCCTCCTTTTTCCTTCGCCTGTCTCTTGATGCCGATTCACGGCTCTTGTCGATGGCCACAGGCAGTCGAACGGAAGCGAGAGCCCCTTCGATAATCTGACGGGGTGATAATGCAGAATTGTCTCGAGGCGATGTTGTGGCGTCCCAGGGGTGGGGGAGAGACGGGGGAGAAGGGGGACCGGCAAGGACACAGAAGAGAACGAGAGATGGTACCGATCCCAGGGGTTGTGCATTCGAAATTCTGGGCACAGGGCCGGTGGTTTGGTGTGGGTGTATGGAGGACTGGAGATAAAGAAGCGAGAGGCAGGAGAGAGGGCCAGACTGGCTCGTCGAGAACGCATGCCTGACTGAGCTTCCGGGTCCCCCTTGTGCCTCTTTCTTTTGGTCTTCTTTTTCCCGTCCCTCTTATTCCTTCCCAAAGATCTGGACAAGGAGAAATTGCTTTCCCTGCGAGGCAAATCCTTTTCTTGACCCCCTGGCACGTCAAAGATTGGTAACCCAGAAAACGGGAAAGCTAGGGGAAAGGGGACAGGATCCCGTCTTCCGCTTCCAAGGTTTGTTGGCACCCTTCCAACAGTGTGTTCCCCCACCCTGGTTGATGCAAAGCAGAGCCTGCAATGAAATATGTCGGTTGCAAGTGAAAGAGCAGCAACGAGAAAGGAAGTGCGCGCGCAGACAACGCCCCCGCTTCAAGGAGTAGGAGGCGCGAGATTTAGACTTCGCTGTGCAGGGGTTGGACTCAAATATTCTAAGTTGGGGGAACCATTCGCAACCTCATTGCGTGGGTGAACTGGCTTGGTCTCGTTCTCCTTTCTTTCTTGGATGAGCTGTGAGACCATATGTCGGGGAAAGGAGGGAGAGACGCGTGCGGAGTGGCAGCGTCGTATAAGAATAGGCGAGAAACAGAGCTGTCCTTCCTCTCATAGTGATCACTTTTGCTTTTTCCCTTTACTTTTTCCAAGTGCAAGCCACGTTGGAGATCATGGCTGATTCATGCTGCTGGCTCTGTTACTCTTCTAGCGGGCGGCTCGCAGTGTGGGCCGACTTTGATCTGGTGGCTGAAGGTTCGTCTGTGGACAATCCTCCGTGTATTTGCTTTTACCCCACTGTAGCGCTGTTCGAACGTTGCTCGAACCTCTTGTTTATTCTCACTTCCCTTGACTTGCCTGGCCTCCAATTGATGGCTGCTTTTGATGGGACCCAGAAGAAGAGTTCCGGGTAATGGTGGAAGAGACATTGCAGATATCATGGGGGAGGTCGCCTGTGTCAAGGGGGTGGCACGGTTAGGGATTCTTCCGCCGCAGCTCGCGATGGGATGGATGGTCCTGCGCGTATTGCAGAGCGGCTGGATAATTGTTAAACGAGAATGGCAATTTTCAGTGTCGATCACGGCAGCATCCAGGTGGGCCATTTTCGACGTACCTTCTTTCCTTCTGCGCGAGGTCGGCAAGGAATCTAGACAGGGCTCCCAGGCCTAGGGTGGCTATAGCGTTGCAGATTATAGGTTGTTACCTTGTGAGAAGTGACCAATCTGCAATATCACCAGCTATCGATGCTCGCCGTCAACGCATCTCCCTTCCCCTCCATCTCCAAATGAGACCAGCTGCGATATTAATAAAAGAAAGAAACTACACCAAATCGTTGATGACGTTGAGTATTGGCTCGTGGCGTTCAAAGACAAGAAACGACTCTGGTTGTCGGGGAGGAAGGGATTAATCCACAAGCTAAGGAACAAGCCTAACCCCCATCGATGCGGGATCTACTGAGCGAGCGGGCGGGAATTGTTACGCACGTATTATCAAAGTTCTTTTCGCTCTATTTTGGCGTAGCCCGGGTTTGGGTGGCTTGAACGATTTCCATGCACGAAGGAGAGAGCCACCAACAGCACTCAAGTGCTGCTTTGTCAACGCAGAAAGTTCTTCTGAACGCTCAACAGCTCGTCAGGGAAGGTACGAAGTACTTTGGTCATCAAGGAACAGGAGCACGGACAGTCCCTGGCGCTGGACAAACGAAAACTGAGCTTGACGAGACCGGTGTGGAGCTTTTGTTGGTCCATAATATGCGATTTCCCCAGCGAATAATGCAAAGGAAGGAGCAGATCTACGCCAATAACGTCGCCAGGGAAAAAGCCAAGTACAACTTGTATCAAGGACGACACCCACAAAGTGGAGTCGAGGAAGGGAAGGAAGAGACGGAAGGAACCAACCCCCCATCAGAAAAATCGACTCCATCTCGAACTCTATCACTCCTCCCATCGACTTGGGCGGAAGTGACCCGGATCGGCGCGCAACCTGCCCTTTCATCGTGTCGCTCCCTTCCTTTTTCCGCAGTCCATGGTCACCCATTCCTCCAGGGCCCATGAATTCCGACGATTTGATCATATTTTCCCTCTATATCACTCCTTTCAGCTCGATCAATTGATCCTGAACGCGGGGACGACAAGTGATCGCCCCAAGCTTTGAGATCGGCCCATGCACATAATTCATCTTCCGCGGGCTCATTTTGCTTTTGTAAACCGTTGCATCCAAAAATCAATGGATGGTCGGCCCATTCACTTCCATCTTTCTTTTTGCTTTTGTATCAAAATCTTCCCCACGCCGAACTTGCCGCTCCCAAGGAGCTGGGCGCATGTCTGAGAAAAGAGTACCCTCGTAAACTAAGCCCTGCCATTTGCTCCGAGAAGTAACTCTTTCAAAAAAAATTGCCAAGGACCCAAGATCGTCGTCAATTTTTTCCCTTCAATCCAGCCTCAAATGTTTCGTCCGTCAGTGCCCTTCAAGACTTGTCCTCCCGTCGACGGGCCTCTAGCCTACCCGCACCCAGCCAAAAGCTAAAAACTGCCTCCCGATCTCCCGGCATGCCAAATCCGTTTCCGCGAGACCAATCCCCTCACTTGCCTCCCCTCCTGAAATCAAACTCCCCGGCCCTTTCTCTTTTCTTTGGGCCTTACAACCGGAGGTTGGAGGGTTGGAGGTAGGTTGGCTGTGCGCACAGGCATGGAACCAGGAACTGCATCACCCCCTTTTTCTCCCTCTCTTCTCACGCATGCGATACAAAGTATGCCTGAAATACTTGCTCATCGGGAGGGTGGGCGGCACCAAGAACAATCGTGAAGCAAAGGGCTCCAATCCGTGCCATGGCAAGCCTCAGATGTAACCCGCGCTCGGATTTTCCGTCCCCTGGGGACCTGTGGCGCTTTCTATGTGCAAGGCACGGAAGGTGGAAGAAGACATGGGGTCGCAGAGAACAAGATGTGGAAGCTCAGGTCCGCTGGATTGACGCGCAACGCAAGCCAGGATGACTTGAGAGCCGACCTCACGCTATTCTCGCAAGGGCAGGATCAAGGATAATACTCTCCTCGAGATACTCGATATCTTGTCAGTCTTCCAACCCCCAGGCTCGGCTCGGAGTGAAGTGAATGACATGCCAGGAGAGACATTTGCTTAGTCTTCCCCTCCTCCGAGAGACGGCCCACATCGCAGGAAACCGAGCCCTAGAACAGCGTCCTTCTCCGACGCGACTCCCATTTTCCTCAACCTCCGCCCCTTTTAACCAGGATCGGGCTCCTCATACTACCTCGTACTATTACTTTTGTCGTCGGTTCGACCATTTCCCCTACGGTCTGAGCCCTCCCTCTCTTAGTATGCATTATTCCCATGCCCGCCAATGACAAGTCAGTCCTTGAGGCCTACAAAGAAGTGCGAGGACACCAACAAGAGAAGTGCCTCCACCATCTCACAACTCCAAGACCACGGAAAGTCGTCTTGATGTGGCCACATGATGGAGAGAGAGTCTCTAACTAGCGTTGAAACCTGCAGCCATTCCGGCCGGCATCTACAGCTACCCAGCAAGCGTAATCTATTAGCGATCCCCGAGCTTAACCGTTGAAGCTGGAGATTTTATCCTCCAAGCATCAAACCGTAGATAGATATGCACCGTTGTGCTCGAGCCTCCCAGGAATATGAGCCCTGTCCCCTTGATAATCATGAAGGTCGTTTCTCTTCGTTGCGGCCCCTCTCTCGCTTCGGTGCTCCCCTTTTCCCTCCTTCCATGGCCTCCATGCCGCCCGCGCATGCGTTTGTGCAACACAAGGCACCGAGGTACACTCCATCAGAAACACACACCTCATTATTACGAGGCATGGAATGTGCAACACATGGCCGTGTAGAAACTGGGGCGCATCAGTCGTGGGGATGCATGTATCGCTTGCACCAGAAGGACCAAGGGACTTGCGGCCTGACGCGAGTGCAGAAAAGCGGCAGGAATGAACTTTGGTTCTTGCTTTTTTAGGACCTCTGTCCGTGTCTCCTTGTATCTGGCCGTTGAGAAAGCCACAGAAAAAAGGGGGATCTGTTAAGCCTTACCTTCAGCGGGTAGGACGGGAACGAGAAACGTGGTTCTCGGCAAATCCTAATGCTGCTATGAGGGTGCGTACCAGACTTTTTCGTCCGT